AGGGCTGGCCAGGCTTTCTCATAAGATGGGTCCAGTCATTCATGTCCGAGCGGTCCGCAAGAGTTCGGTTTGAAGGTATTATGACCGATATAAAAGCTCTCACTTATGGGCTACCACAAGGTTCACCAGCCTCTCCAATCCTTTACATGCTATATACCAAGCCAATCTGTGCCTAACTTGGCATGAAAAGAAGACGCTTTGGATATGCAGACAACCTAGCAACTCTCTGTATTGAAAAGAACCTTGAGGAAACAGCTACAAAGGCTTCTGAAAACCTTTATTTGCTCAATTAATAGGGACACAATAATACTATTAAGTTTGACCCCAATAAAACCGAGATCATGCACTTCTCGCGGAAAAAGAACTCGGACAACCCTCCAGTCTGCCACAGGACAATGAACAAAATAGCTAAGCATTCTATGCGATGGCTAGGTGTCCTTCTGGATAGAAAACTAAACTTCAAAGTTCATGTTTCTCACTGGGCCAAGAAAGCTAGTAGGGTAGCAAATCACCTTCGAGGACTATGCAACACAATCAAGGGACTCCCAGTAAAATCAACCAGGAGGGCTGTGAAAGCTTGTGTTATTCCTATTCTTACACACGGCCTGGAGACCTAGTACCCAGGAATGGAAAAAATCAAGAGCTCAGGTGAGACATCAGCATGTCGCATTAAGGGGCTTCTTGGGACAATAGATGCTGTACTACGAACGGCGATCAGGGCTATCTTGCCAGTCTGGAAAACACACCCTGGGCATATCCTACATTTTGAATCGCAGATTCCCCCAGCTGGAGTTCTTGCAGAGTCAATACGATGACGTCACGGCCTTCGACTAGGACGAATAGACCAGAGACACCCTCTTGTTGACAGGCTCCAAATACAAGCCTGCAAGGATCCAACAAGGTTACAAAGGAGCTTCCAGCTAGTCCCTGACTTCCAGAGACCAACACTTACCAGGCCATCATGGAAGAAGCCCCCAATCTGCAAAGACAAAGACAAAGAAACAGAGCTCTTCAAGCAATGGCTACAGGAGAGAAATATGAACACTGACCTTGTCATCTACTCAGATGGATCACAATTGGTTGACCAAGGTACAACCCGCACTGGATGGGGTTACACCATCAGGAAAGGCAACACTACTCAAGAAGTATACTGGGGAAAGGGTAGACTTCTGCAAGCAGAAGTAGTAGATGCTGAAGTCTATGGTGCTCTCCAAGGTCTTGCAGCAGCCAGGGCAATTGGACACAGAAAACAGCTATATGTCTGCCTGGACAACACGTCAGTGGTTGATGGGCTCAATGGGACTCCACCCGAGACATCACAGAATATTTTTTTACGATTTCAAGAACTTGCCACAGCACACACTCCTAGAGTGACCGTCAAGTGGATTCCTGAACACAGAGATATTGATGGCAATGAAGCTGCCGACATATTAGCAAAAGAGAATACTATGCTGGAAACAGACACAATAAGCCTTCCTACAATCTCTTGGGTCAAGAGAGATCTCAAAAAAAAGGGCAGAAAGGAGTTCAACCAATGATAGAAAGACCAATCAGAATCTAGGTATCAAGAAGTATACTCACACGCAGTAACTGAAAGAGACCTTATATCTTTTAAGAGGAGTACTTTACACAGATTTCTAGCGGCCAGATCTGGACATGGCGACTTTGCCAGCTACCATGAACGCTTTGGGCACACAGACTCAAATAATCACTGCAACTGTGGTGAAAAGAAAACACCACAACACATTTTCTTTTGTAAGAGGCTGGGGAAAAATCGGCTACTGCCTAGGCATTTGTTTAGAACAGTTTGTTTATAATACTTAAGGGAGAGGAGCACAGAATGGGCAAAATTCGTGGAGAAGAGCAAGTTCTTTTCAATAATCTGCCCCCGATAGATAGCCTTCCTTGAAGGACCAGATGGATGACCCCAAGGTCATACCGCCGCAACAACGGGGATGGGCCCGTGAGCGGGACTGACTGTACTTATTATCTTGAGACCTCCACAACCCTGCGATGCAGAGGCTCTGGGAGGCGTGGTTTGCACTACTGAGGAGCTACCCCCCACGTTTAAAAACAAAACAAACAAACAAACTCGCTTCTCGGTTGGTATCAGAACAAGACCCTCGTAATGCCCCAGTTCGTAAAGCTTGCGCCATTTTCTCCGAGGTGCTTCTCCTTTTGTACTGTGAAATATCAGATTCTGAAGCCAGGACGATGAGTGAATGATGTGGCTTACACTGGACGAGGCTGATGAGCATCGCTCTCTACGTCTGAAGCTCCGCCGGCACAGACCAGAATGTAGACTGTCTGACTGAGTACCTTGTTGAACATTTCAAGCGGGCGCTCATCCAGCCTCAAGAAAAAAGACCGAGGGGCTTCAAGCACCTGCTGGCCTATTTGGATTGTGCTCTCCATAAAATTGATGCCAACACCCTGGTGGAGTGTGGCACGGAAGAGGGGCCCACGAACACGTGCATAGCCAGCCGTGACTGGGCCGAAGTCATCTCTTTTCGGTGACACCTTGGCTTCTATTACATCTGTAACGGCCTTCCAGGTGTATATAGAGGACCGATGACCAGAGAATAGCACATAATTATCAACTGACAGCCAGGACCACGAAGGGGTGTCGGTGTCAACGCGTTTCATGGACGACCAAGTATGCCATAGCAAGTGTTCCAGGAACCTCGGTCGCCACAGCCCACATAGGTAATCACTGGGCGCAAGGCCCAGATAGGTGCAGAATGCGCGTGCGAGACCAGCTATTGCCACAGGTCTGTCCGAAACGAATGACAAATTGCTACGATAATAGGACAACACGGCATTGTGCCACGACTCGTAGAGGTGATTTGTCTCATCGCTCGGTTCTGGGGGTATGACGAGGCTCGGGCACAACTTGTCGAAATTATAGACAGTGCCCGGATATACCTCTAGCCCGGCTGGTACACATTCGGACGTGGGTAGTTGAGCGCACTCCCAATGGATCTGGGTATCACCGAAGTGCACAATCCGCGGGGAAAGAAAGCGCTCTTGCACAACCCAGGCTCTCCGCTGGAGAGGGCTATCTTCAACGTCTTCAGAGAACCGATTAATATGGCAGCAGTAGAGACTACGCTCGCCATCCGCATTTGAGCTGGGGATGGTTATAGACATGTTCCCGGTCAGATCCCGTTGTCGGAACAGGCCGCCGCTGCCATCGTTGGAAGCGTCAGCAGCGATGTCGAGATGGCAGTTTGAATAAACGTCCGTCATCATAGCTGCTTCATGCGCCCAATCTTCTGCGCTGTCTTCGATGATACATAGAGCGTCGATCCATATATATGCGATGCCGAGCCCGTGTACAGTGAGGACAGCTTCTTGGAATGTGAGAGGCAGAGTATCCCAGGCGATACCAGAGCGGAAGCTTTTATAGTTGTGTTTCAAGAGCCGTATTGGTAACATGCGTCCCCAGCAATGGCTTAGGGTGGCATAGCAGCGACTCAGGGCGTCTTGTCCAGATATCATACGGAAATATGGATACTCTGGTCGTTCTGGGTCAGCTGTGACTTCCAACAATCGAGTCGGAAATACAGCATTGGAATTGATAGTTGAAGGGCGCCCGGTGCATTTCTCATGCGTTTCGCAATTCTTCAGCCACGTTCTGATCCTGGTCAAGGTCTCTTCGGAAGCTGTCGAGTCGCTTGACATGCCACGTTGGGCCGGGTCGTGACCCCCTAGAATGGGAGAAGATTAGTTTCACATTGTGCAAAGAGCAGATGGTTAAGATTGTACCTCCGAGTCTTTCAGCGGACATAAGGAGGCTGAGGACAAGCACGCTGGATGGGTCCTCCTGAGTATTATAGAATATCCACATAGAAAACCTTTCCGCGCCGAGGCACCAGATATACACCATGATGTTGGCTGCGTGTAGTCCCATATCCAGGAGTTCCTTCTCATCGAAGTTTGCAAGGACTAACGAGCAAAGCCTGCATTATCTGATGGCACAGTTCTGCAGCGTGCTCAAGTCATGTCCCCGGAGCCTGTATTCGACTCCGTAGATCTTGCCCCGATCCAAGAAATAGGAATCAAGACACTCGCGGCAACGTTGACATAGTCTCCCATCCCAAGATAGGTCGGAGGTGCATAAGCTCATTATAACCAGGGAACATGAAGCCTGCGTTTGTTGTCATTATATGTGTTTCGAGATCGGTGCTCATTTAGTAGTGGTCTGGTAGAAGAAACCTGACTTGCGGGGTCATGAGGCTGATAGGGGTCTGGTCCTGCTCAGTCAGCAATGTGTCGGTCATGCATACCCTTGGACGAACGCCTCGATACAACAGTGCGTAAGCACCATTGAACGGCTCTCGTAACGAGTGCCTACCTACTTAGGTAGTTCGCCATAAAAATATAAGCGATGTTGGCCGTACAAGCCGGTACCGACGCCTGCCAACCATTGCTGCGATCTTGATTAACTTCAGACTCGATGTGTGCGTGCTGTTTAAAGGCAGAGGGAGAGATAGTCAGTTAGGAGTCGTTTGGTGTCGTTTTTGGAAGCCACCTGCGTGAACTTCGAAAAAGCTTGTCAATCATCCTACTAGAAACTCAGACGACACAGCTGCTCAAGTCCTTGCTTGGTCTCACGCTGAGCGAAGTGCCCTCGGTTCTATGGCGATAGGTACCGTCTCAGAGGTCGGTGTCTGCATATCGTTGTAGATGAGACCGTAGGACTCTCTTGAGCGGTCAAATTGATGTCTAAATACATTCTGGGCGGGAATGTGTAATAAGTTCATCTGCAGTCAGTGCAGGACGAGGGAAAGGGGCCCACGTCCTGGGGCCAGGCCACAGTGGACCTGGACTGGCGGACGGGCCGCCCACAAGCGCCGGAGTTTCTGCCGGTCCGACCATCAAAGGTCCCACCCGAAATTTATCGATCGCGATGGGAACATCGGATGGCTTCAACTCGCGATTGGTACCTTAACCACTTTGAACGTCACAGCGAGCGTAGAAGCTCGCAAGCGGTCAAGATGGTCAACCCAGGAAAGCGGATGCACGTATTACAAGCCGTAAGCTCCATATCCCAAGAGTTTCCGCAATTGACCCGCTAACACCTTCCTGTCTAGAAGGTAACCGGCCGCGCATCTCCTTTCATAAGTTAGTGAAGCAGAAACTGACGAACCCGAATCGTAGCTGTTGGCATTACGGCATGGCCCTGGCGCAGCGATACTACCGCCCGAGATCACGCGGATACACATGGACTTTGCGTTGAAGTGGAATGACGGACACTTGGGGCCCAGGTACGCTGCCATATCCGTCGCCCTCTTGTCCTAGGGGTCTTCCGCACGAACGCATATCACGAAGTGCCGCGAAGTCACCGATATCTGCTACAGCGAGCTGCCCGACTAACCCGTCTTTTCCTTATAGGAAATTTTGGAAGACCTGCCTACCACGGCTGAAATTCTGGAACCCAGCGATCCCAATGCTCGTGAACCGGTCCGACCAGCAAGCCGGACCAGCCACAATGTCCATCTACTTCCGGCAAACCTCGCTCGACCCAACCTCCCCATCCTCCTCCTCCACCTCCAGCAGCACGTCCCCCTCCTCCGTCGCCGCCGCAGCGCGCAACATGCTGCCCCTAGCCCAACAGCCCAAGTCCAGCACCGAGAACGAGCACCCGGCGCCCCCGCCCGAGGCGGGCGAGCGCGTCGTGACCATCGACATGAAGAACGTGCACTCGGACGCCATCTTCAGCGAGTTCATGGCCAAGACGGGCGCGACGCCCGTGCACCCGAGCCCCGACGAGGAGGTCGAGATGCGCCAGGTCGAGGAGCGCGAGGAGCGCGCCACTGTCGACCGCGCTATCGTCAAGAAGTACATCGATGACAAGCGCCGCGAGGAGCGCATGCTGGCGCTCGCGAGGCACGAGGCCGAGGCTATCAAGTTGGCGAACCAGTGAGGAGCAACGCGGAGGGAAATCGAACAGAGGAGAGCTGGTGGAAAACGGGTGGGTGTCTGCTAACGCTGCCTACCGGCCGCCTCGCTGGCCTGGCCTGGCTTGTACGAGATGTGTATTGTATAAACAGCATATACGGGTGGACTGACTGAAAGACACTGCAAGACAGTCTAATGTACATGGAATATACCAAAGCCCAAGACCAGGCTTTCTACTTACCTAGCATATTCCTACGAATAGGGCACACCGTGAAGACCTTTGAGGATATCACAGGAAAGCATCTCAGACCAGGTAAGTTCCCCAATTTCTCAATCACAAATGCAGCAGGAGCTAAACCGTACCAACAGCTCTTTTACCCCCAAAACCATCCCCATTGTTGTGAAGTCCCCTCCTCAGCACAACCAATTCGCAACCAACCCCAACCGCAAACCCCAAACCCCTTGCATACACTCTGAGATTGTGCCTGATTTCCACCATGGCCTCTTTCAATTTTACGTCAAGGAAGAACAACGTTTCTACACATCTACCGGTAAAGGTACCAACAGGCACCCAGCTTTTGCTGCTCATATGGTGTCTGCGGTCATCTCTTTTGGTCAACATACCTACCTTCTCATGCAACCCACTCAATGGATCTGGTATGTATTGATGGGTGAAGTCGAAGGATAACTCACCCTACAGTTATATAGTATATGTGACTTGTTGGCATTGTATAGCTGTAATCTTTACATCCACTTGGGATCACATCAATACTCGTGGCCGTGTGCGTAGCATGATTCAGTTTCTCATTTCATAGCTCATTCTGCGTCAATAACAATTACTATACAGATTACAACAACCAACTCCAAGAGAACTCGACTTCGGCTCCCCGAAAACTACTTTTGTCCTCATGACTCATCGACATATCCCTTGATTTCCAACCGCGTGGTTGGTTTACACCTCAGTCTCAACATCCGGCTGTCGTCCGCTCAACGAGCCGACCTTCGTGACGCGGCGTATAGCGTACTTGGCCTCGTCCTTGGCGAACTGGACGTTGCGCATCGGCCGCCACTGCATGAGGCCGCGGTGCTGGCGGTGCAGGTCACGGCTCTTGCTCTTGTAATCCTTGTACTGCGTGATCGGGTTCTTGCTGCTGCTGCTCTTTACAGAAGCGCCTGAGGTCGAGGCGGCAGTGCCGTTGGTCCTGGCTGTAGTGAGCGAGCTGCCGGGCTCGCCACCGTCTTCTTCATACTCTGCGTTGGTCGCGTCTTGGATTCCGAGGTCCGTATCCTCGTGTTTGATACCCTGCGTTGGCGAGTCGGCGGGTTCGGAATCGCTATCCGAGTCGTAATGGTCGGTGCTATCATCGTCATTGTTGACGAAGTCAGCCGGGTCCTTTCCGAAAGCACCCGACCAGTCCGTGCCATCCTTCGACAACCACTTCTTTTTGTCTGCCTCGGAAGCCGTAGCGAGGACGTCCCGACCATGAGTGAGCGATTCTTCGTGCAGCTTTTGCACAGTCGGTGGCAATTCCTTAGTGACCTCCTCCTTACGGACGCCCTCGGCGAAGCACGCTTCCCATGTCTCAATAGTTTCACGAGAGTTATTGTCGCTCACAAATCGGAGATGGTCGCGGTCCGTGCCTGCCTTGAATCTGCCCCTGAACCTCAACCTGCCAACCTCCTCCAACTTGATGTCGGGGATAGTACTGAAATTCTCTGGCGTGATGTAATTCTGAGATAATCGCATAGGTTTGTCGCATTTCCACACAGGGATATCGAAGTCTTTCTCTTCGTTGTCAACCAGCTCCAGCAACCAGAGAGCAGCGAAGTGTTCCGCATGGCGCTTATTGGGAAGGTGAAATTCGAAGAACACCGGAGACCTGAATCGGTATCTGACAGGTAAGCGAGGTCTTGCATGGTTGGTTGCCTCGCTGATGTCCCAACGCACGACGTCGTTCTCCACCGTGCATTTATCTCGCCTGATCGTGTCGGAGCTACCACCGGTCCTCATCTTGATCTTGATCTTGCTCTTGCCATGACCAGAGTCTGTCAAGGTTGCGGAGATTTGATCAGACGTGAACTCGAATGTACCAACGTCCCAACCAAGTTGTGGTGGGGGTAGCTTCAGTTCGACTGAACGGAAAAGGAGTGAAATACGGATGCGGCCGAACCCGATCCCACCGTCGAGTGGATACCATCTGGAGGCCTGGAGTAGAGTCAATACGGCACGCCATGCTGCATGATAAGTTGACTTACCTGGCTGCTTGTTTGCATGATGTCCGAAAGCTTCAAGGGAACAACGCCTATTAAAGGATCGTGCTGCCTGTTTCTTGAGTCACGCACAGCGACAGTGACGATGGTGGATCTCCAGTCCCGCACAAAACGTTCTGTACCAGCGTTGAAGATGGGCTTCGAGGACACAACCTTCGTCCGAGTCTTGTACACCTGTAAAGAGTCAGCGAAAGATGACCACAGCGGTAGTGGCACAACGTACAAGTTCATCATTCAGCAAAATGGCACAGTAAGCACTTGGTAGCTTCTTGCTCTGTTCCTCCTTGATCTCGCCAGCGTCACGGGCAGGCTCATACTCCTTACCTCCCTTGCGCTTACCACCCTCTGAGCCCTGGGTGTCTGCCAATTCGAGGCTGACAATCTGATGGACGACGATACTGAGAATGCCAGAAGGCCATAGTGGGTCAGGGGGAGTATGAGTGACGGCGTCCTCTTGTTCGTTCTCCACAGCGCCTTTGTCGTCTTGCAGTTCCTTCCTGTCCCGTAGCTCCGGTGGGAGACTGAGGTCCTTACCATCGGTCCTCAGAGCAGAACGGAACTGAGTCTTGCCAAAGAAACCAACTTCCCAGTGTAATTCGCCCGGCATATTGCTCTCGGCTTTGACGCCCCGAAGCTTCGAGACTTGCTGGTACATCTTTCCAGGATGCTGGATGAGCTTCTGAAGAGAGAGCTCAACTTTGCCAACGACGTCATCAGCGCTTGACCGATCGCTGTCCCAAAGCTCCATTGACAGTTGCTCATCCACCTTGATGAGGTCGGCAGTGACGGATAGAGCGCACGTTTCCTCAAAGACCGGGTTGAGGTCGTCTTGAATGACACGGGTACAGTACATAGGCTTGCCGAATTTGGAGAAGCTGACGGTGATGTATGGGTCGGAACCGCCGCCTTCGGATCCTCGTCGGTCCTGCTTGGAAAGGCCAGTGGCTTTGTGGATTCGGATGAACAAGATGCCCAGGGCAACAGTCTCCTTTTGTATATCATCGCCTTGTAGCATCTTGCCGAGGTCGAGTGTCATGGATTTTGGCGCAACATACATGCCGGCGGCGGTCGCGATAGCCCAGTTGACGAAGTTGGAAATGAGTGGCAGGTTGAGGATGTTGACACCATGTTCAATCATAGGTGTGCATCCGGCTGCGACCTTGGGGACACCCATCAACGTGAATGTAACCGCCTTCAGGAAAGGCGGCTCCGGAGACATTTGCAGTCGAATCCGTACAGTACCGACGAGCCCCGACAGTTCGACCCCTAAGAGTGGTAAGCTGACCGGTAATCCTCCACCGGGTGGTATCCGGTGACTTACAGATAGGTAGTGGAACGCCAAATAGTCCCTTGACACCCAAGTAGAAAACCAACTGCATGCCCATGTTCGCGGCCTTACCGGACACGGACCCTGAAGATGGCTTCGCATGGTAGGCAAACGATGCTTCCAGATTGTAGTAATCACCACCTTCTTCGTCAGCGGCGAGCTCTTGGGGGTCTTTGGTTTTCTTATTCTCCTCGTGCATCTTCTCCTTGACGTCCTTCATGTGGGCGTCTGGAAGAGCACGGAGACTCAGGATCCGAATGGGGTTGTTGCCCTGGGATATATCGGCAACCTTCACATTCTCAATTATGCCGGGCACTGAAGCTTGCATAACATCCTAACTTTGGTTAAGGCATAGTTCATAGTGACACATAGCGGAAACATACCTCAAGGGTGTCTGCTACGGCAGAGAACATGTCCGGATTGACTAATCCCCAGACGATGCCGAGGAGGGTGTTCATCCACTCGACGGACTCGGGAAGGAGATTTATAGTGGCGGTCTCGCCTCGTTTCTGTTCACTCGACCACTCGATGTCTCGGCCCTGTCGTACCAAGTCCTTCATCCACAAGAAGATACCAGAGCCAACGCAGATGGCCAAGGGAATCAGACCAACGAGTCTACCTCCGAACATCTTGCCTACGAATATGATGGCCAAGAAGACGCCAACGCATAATATCGTTGCCCTCTGTTCGATGATAGCATACATGGGCTCGTAGCTGACCGAGGGGGTCGGGTGGAACAAGACATTTGTCTTCTCGCCGTGGATGGGGACATCCGACGTGGAGCCATTAGCGACGGGATCAGGTGGTGCGGTCACGTCCTGAGCCTCCCGATACTCCTCACCCGATTGCGTCGCCTCGGTCTTGATAGGTGTGTCCTTGCCCAGGTTCGCATTCGGTATGCTAAGCTACTCACAGATGACGGTCAGCGACTCGGGCGCAACTACGACAATGTCGAGAACAGGACGGGTGTCTGGCTTACGTGGGGATTCTCGACAGCGCTCTCGAAGTCGGGTTGGACGTCGTCAATCTCAATCTCCTTGCCAGTAACGGGGTCGGTCACCACTCTACCTTTCCCTGCCCTGTGCTGGTTAGTGTTCTTATGGTCCTGGATGCCGCCGTCACCCCTCTTGTTCGCCTTCAACTCGGCATCGATCTTGGCATCGCGCTCCCTCTTGTCCCTGTCAAGGGAAGCAGCGAACTCCTTGATGTTTGGAATACGATTGCGGCCAGAATAGGGTGCGCTGCCCGGGACCTTATGGTTCTGCTCGGCAGACATGATGGAAGCTGCGCCAGTCGCGTAGGTTGGCAGACAGACAGACAGCTGGGGTAGTATAGGGAGACTCGTCTGAAGTTATAAAAGGTGACTACACCTCACATGTGCAGGAGTATACACTTGACTCTGCCTCGTGTGGAATTATAGGTAAGGTATTGGGTGGTATTGCGGCGTGGAGGAAAAGAGACGCAGCAGGGCGGCGGGACGGGAGATGGGAAGGTTGCAGACAGATGATGGATGCATCCAGACCACCGGGACAGACGCGTTTATTACCTTAGCTGGCACCTCAAGCGCTGGCTTGTTGTGACACTTCTGACGGGGAAACCCGTTTTGTCATGACTCCATGTTCAGGGTGTCTGTTGTGTCAACCTCGAGTGTCGAGCCTTGATTCCACAAGAACGGAGGGAGGGAGGAGGCATGTATGACGTCGGTGGAAGGCGCTGAAAGGCGCTGAAATGGCCAAGATCTGAGATCGTCCAAGCTCTCCGCGGCGCCAAGATCTCTAGCCCCTCCCTAGCTCGTCCCTAGCTGGCCAGAACAGGGTGACTTGAGTGGCTGCAAGAGCACCTACGGGGCTTTACAGGGGGGGACCTACTCTCAGCTACTGCAAACCTGCCAACTTCATCAATATAACATGCAGGCGCTCCCATGTCGTGATCCATCCCGGTGGTTCAAAGGCAAGCATGGCAAGGGCTCGTACGACTTGACAGAAACAAACCGAAACTGGTGTCCTGTCCTGCCCTTATTACCAGCCTGCTGTGGTCGGTAACGGGAGGGAGGACACGACTCTATCTCATACGAGTCGCATGCTAGTTGCCGGCTGTATGGTACCACTCAACCACTTACATATTAGCGATGGTGGGATCTGGCATGAGAGCGCACACAAGTTTACAATACATAAACTGCATGAGGTTTCCAATATTGAATATACCCATGTAGATCTAGATAGATCGTAAACGGAATCGAGCCCTTCCGCTCAGCTGAAGTGGGAGAAGCAATAATTGACAGATCTACAGCAAGGGTAGAAAGCCTGCGTCATGGCTCTGGCTCCTGGGTCGACTATCCGCCGGCCCGCCGACCTGGTTTTCAGGAGTTATCGAGCGCGCAAAGGCCGCGTGTTTATCGAAGATGAGGCGTGCTACTGCCGTACACCAAACAGTCACTTCAGTCGAGGCGTGCCCCACGTTGTGTATGACAAGCCCCAAGTCACGTGGATGCCTAAGCTGCAATTCTGGCACACGGTCCATTTTTTATCGTCGGAAGCTGGGACCCGATCGGTCCGGGATACCCATCTGACATCCGTTGCAGGTGGACCAGCCCCCCTATGTCCCCTTTCCCCCTATTTCCCCTTCCCCCCATTTCCCCTTCCCCCCATGTCTCTTGGCCGTATGGCGCAATGGTCAAATGCGCCTGGTTGTGTTCTCGTTTGTGCGGTGGGCGACGAGAACAAGTGGGTTCGAATCCTGCTATGGCCCCCTTCTGACCCGGCTTGTGCGAGTCGATAACCAGCACACGACAATAGAGAGGCCCCATTATCGCAGAGCCCGATAGCCAAGCAGCTTGTCTCCATAATACCCACTCCTGCGAGGTTTTTCCCCTTGTGGTTTCCCTCGCCAGCAGATAACAAACACCTATTCCACCCACCAATGTGACATATATCGAACGGCTACTGGAACGATGTGTACACCAAAGGACTGAGGTTCACTGGGTCGTTTTGTCACTAGACAGGAGGTTTTTCTGACAAAATCGTGCTTAGGTATTGACTAAAACCATCTGGACACTCCAGATTGGCACCGCTACAGCGAGGATAGGCTCGTGCGCGGATCTGAATGTATCTAGACTGACACCTCTACAACCTTGCGATGCAATGGCTCTGGGAGGCGTGGTTTGCCCTGTTGAGGGACTGCACCCACGATAAATACAATCAATCAATCAAACCCCCATGTCCCTTGCGCCCCCGGCCGCAGCGAGCAGCGCTATGCTCTGCTTGAACATGGGATCTCATGTTCGACCGCCTTGGGAAACTTTCACCTCGGGTTTCGGCGTCTCAACGTCGCGGCTCCCTACCACAATCATTTCAGCCCGAATGACAACTCTGTACTCGCATAATGAGGGCAAATTCCGGACGTCACGTGTGCGTAGTGACGACCTTTAATATACAAATACATGCAAATGGAAGTAAGACCAATAGATACTGGTAAGAAGCCGAAAGCCTCTTTTAGGGTCATGGACAACAATGTTTTGTTTTATTGAGACCGACTAACTAGGGGGTGCAACGTACACATCCCAGTATCAGCGGTCAAGATGAACGAGTGGCTGAGGTTATTCCAGATCCTCCAAACTGTATGAAATCCAAAATAACTGAATGTGTGTGTGCCCACGAATTGCCACCTGCGGCTTAACGTCGACGGTGTGAAATGGGGGCAAAATCGAAGGAAGGAAAGTGATGACGGTGAAACCCCTGTGTCCTTGCGCGTACTCTGATTACATCCCACGAAGCAGCGTAAAGTCGGCCTCGGGCATTGAGTATGGCCCCCTTGGTCGAGCAGGCATAGACTATCGATAACTGGTTCCGTATCTGGGTAGTAAGGTTGGCCACCCCGTAGAAGCCTGGGAACCGAGGTGGTCGCTGGTTGTGGATGATAGGAGACTATAGAATGAGGTTGTCGTAAAACGGGTTGGCGAAGAACATAAATCCAAAAATCGGAAAAAAATGTTGCAGTGCGGGTTGCTGGACAGTGGAGAGAATAGAAAGATTATGAGAAAGCGTTTACTCTAGAAGCAAGACGATATGGCAGGTGGTCTGTTCATGCTGGTGTTGGTTGGGGATGTCGATTGTCTGGCCGGTACTGTAGCAATAGGTCGGGTGTTGTCAGGGACCAAGTCGAGTACTGTGTTCTTGTAGACGTCGTAGTGATTTCCGTGGTACCAGGTGGCCTGATGATGGAAGTCAGGCTCCGAACTGCTTGCCTAAGCCCGTAAGTTGCTCTTGAGTATCCGCTGCTATATCCTCATCTTCTTCTTTCATGCAATTTTCACATAAGTCGTCCTCTCCCGCATCTTGATCTATCGCACCTTCCTCAAGGTGACTGGTCTCGTCGGTTTCTTGGCAAAACTCCCTATTTGGGCGTGCCTCAGCCACTTCGCATCGTGTGTCGCCAACCTGGTGAGCAACGACCTCTTTGCAATCCGGCCCCGCGCACATGAGCTTGTAATATACGCACATCTCGTATCAAGTTGTGCGTTGTTGTCGTAGAGAACTCAGACAAGACAGGTGGGTGAGTGAGTCGGTGAGTCGGTGAGTCCTAGTATCAAGTGCTGTGGTGTTGCCGAGGAAAGCTCAAGCAAGACAAGTTGGGGATTGACTGGATGAGTCCGAAGGGAAGCGGATATGGTTGAGGCAAGATAAGTTGCGGGTTGAGTAGATGAGTCCGAAGGTAAGTGGCTATGGTTGAGGCAACACAAGTTGCGGGTTGAGTAGGTGAGTGCAAAGAGAAGTTGCTGTGGTTGAAGAAATTATTGGGGCCATACGAGACAGTCCTTTGTCTGCTGCAGTGTGTGTTGTGTGTGATATTGGAACTCATGACCCAACAATCATTAGGGAATGATACGCAGGAATATAGAGTAGCCCGAAATCGTGAAATACCATCACGGTGAATGAAGAGCTAGCGAGAAGTACTGCGATGAGATGCGAACCACATGTAACCCAGTTTGCTCAATACCAGAACGGTTGTGACATTCGATGTTGGCTGGACCCAACATTTGGTGCAGGGCCAAAGCGAAGACTTAGCGCAAGTATTCTCCTGCAAACGGCCGATCAAGGCTGTTGTGTTGGCTACCGTAGCTTCCTTGCTGTAACGAAGGACCAGTTGACCTCATCTTCATCTGATCATTGAGTTCAAGGTCACGTTCCAGGTGACGAAAGCCTCCGCCTTGGAGCAAACATTGGCTCATCACGAGACAACCTTTGTGGTGAATTCAAGGGACATGTGGCGGCGTGTCATTCATCTTCGGCCGTTTTCGAAGGAATGTTCGCATGGTATTGGCCATGTCTACCAGGGTTTCCCTGATGTACAGGTGTCTTGACAAAGAGCAAGCGACTGTACGACACAGTCTAGCTCTACGTCAGCCCGGACTAGTATCTAGGTGACTGGTGGAAGAGAGCGACAATCAACTGTTCCAGCTATTTGAGGAACTCCAGTGTTTGGCCTTGGTGGATTGGGCCGAATGCGAAAGAATGGTCACCAGGAGAAGTAGCGAATTGCCACCTGTATCACCCAAATCGGCATGCCCCAAACTCTAAGGTGCCAACCAATGGTCGCGAGTGTCCCCTGGTGTGCTTCGTGGCCATATTTCGAGGTGAATAGTAAACCCTGGTGAGTTCCGGGTATTCAAGCGTCCAAGTATTGCTACAGCCCAACTTAATCTCGGCAACATTATCGGTGTAAGCTGGGGTATCCAAGCACTGGCAGCAGAGATAAAGTGAACAAGCCGCCCTTTTAAAGTCCTGGTCACTTTCTACAGCGAGTATTTGGCGTTCATACATCCCCGCGGCCCATAAGAAATTGTCGAGTGGTTTCCATTTGGCATTAGGTGACGAGCGAAGGGGTTCTCAGGACCTGCGAACTATCCCTTGAGTCCGCATCTCGGAGCCATTGTCCGTAGCTTCCGACGTGTGAAAAGGCTAACTATTTTAGGTGGGGGAAGCAGTACGATCAGGTGCGGAAGTATATGTACACGAATGGTCCCCTTGTCCCTTGCATGCTTCCAGGCACGACGTACTCGCCCAGTTTTCCAGGATCCTATGCGAGACTGGTTTTGATCCTCAGGGGCTGTCGCCTTATAGTTACAAGCAGGCGATGTAGCCGGGCTGCATAAGAACCAGCATGCAGACCAACAGCATGTATCAAGGACTGCCCCCGAATTCTCCGTCAATATGGGGCAGTAGAGTGATGTCGCAATATCCAGTCGAGGCTTTGCATGGAATATCGGGCCGTGATCCCATCCCCCCTTTCACAAGTTCCACGAGATTGGCGAGGGCCGACAATCCAATCAGTCATGGTATAAACGTATCCCAGTCCAGTGGGCACACATCCGTTGTTTACGTTACACGATCCAAGCGGTCGGTATGCGTGGTGGCATGCTTGGTTTAAAAACAGGTCTATGGGTTTTCCTTCCCTTGGTCCAGCCTTTGTGAAATGTTCGCCGCCAAATCACTTTTCGCCTTCAGAGTGCATCTTCACGACAGAAAGCTGCCACTACATTGATGAGAATCCTGCAATGACCGGAATATGGGTCGGATGGCATGCTTTCGTCTTCACGACTACTTGACACCCCAGGGAAGTTCGACAACCACTGACTTGACTCGCTCGGTCTTCTGGCACGATTGTGCCAGACTTCCCGGTCATGCCTTCCTCCGGCCCACTGCTGGCGAGGAAGCCGCCCCTCAGTACATAACTCAGTAATTACTACTTGAGTGCCTGGCTATTGCCACAAGCCTCGCGGAAGGCGCCTCCGGAATATCAGAGGGAATTACACCTGCAGCCAACCTTGGACCGATCATGCCCGGGCATCATGACGTTTCGCTCACCGTCGCCGCGCAGCGACACTCCCCCCACAGCCCTCAAGTAAACACATGCAGTTGACCGCAATCTGCAGTCTCCAGGTCACTCGAGGACACCCTACCTAGCAGACGAGAATGGCCACCCCTACCCTTCTGGGTCTGCCGTTCGAGACGCTCTCCCAAATCCTGGACGACGGGAGTCTGTCGCGGGACGACTGGAAAAGAGTTCGAAAAACATGCCGTGGCTTTGACCGTGTCGCCGCATCCCTTCTCTTTCGCCGGGTCCAGATGTCTCGCCTGAAGGAGGACATAGATACCCTCGAGAACATCGCCGCGCACCAACACCTTGCAGAACACGTGAAGCAGCTGATATGGTACGAGCTGAGCCTCGAATCATGGAGCATGGCCAAGGTGCTGGAAGCGCGGGTGGGAGTACCCAACGAAACGTTGGAAATGCTGCCGGATGATGAGCACGCAGCGATCACGCAGCTGATGAACGAGGCCGCCGCCGACGCGGCCTTGTTCTGGATCCCGCGATACGAACCGTCCCCAGCCCTGCCCGATCCAGACGGCCCCGATCCAGACGGCTCTGATTCAGTCGGCTCCGATCAAGACTATCGCCAAACCATCGACGCCCTACGGCCGCGGTTCGAGTCGGCTCTTGACCGGATGCCCGAACTCAGCACCTTCTTGTCTTCTCCTATGGCCGAGGATCGCACCTTTATGTACAAGGGCTATGGACTACGGGCGGAACTGTATCGCACCAACGATGACTCTAGCGTTGCCTACGTGAACCAAGGTCTCTTCAAGTTCATGCTACCGGCAATGAGCCGTCCCGAATCTGACCTATCGGATACTGTCAAACGTGAGTGGCATCCCGTTAGGGACGTGAAGAGGCATTTTCAGCCCTGTGTTTGTCCCTCTATAGGATATCACGAGCGACGAGTTTCTTAGTCAAATCATCAGAGACGATAAGCTCACATTCATTGCGCTTCTAGGTCCCAAGATTCTTAACCTGTGCTGGGCCGATGAGAGAAGCCACACGGCCACCACGACGCGTCTCAGTCCAACCGCGTTCAATGCTTTCAAGGCTCTGACATCCATCAATCTGTGCCTCAGTCTATTCGAGCACGTACCAGGCGTTAAAGCTGAAGATACTCTATCTCGCCTCGTCGAGTGTTTGAATGCAGCGACCAAGCTGCAACACCTCGGATTATGTCTTGAAAGGGAGGATTACGGCTCGCGCCCATCGCTGATACTGCCGCAAGCCATCCTGCGTTGGTGTCGATGGCCCAAACTCACTTCCATGCAGATAGCCAGCATCTGCTTACGGGGTATGCCATGCTTCTTGAATTTTCTGCAATACCACGCTGAGGGCCTGACAAGTCTGACCCTGCACGATTGCAGCACGAACGTTCAGCTGGTTCACGGAATGAGAGACCTCGAGTGCCTCCATCTCCACTCCTTTCGTGTAATGGTTCCCTTGGACGCCCCCGGCAGGGTCATGGGGGTGCCCGAGAGAGACATGCTTGCCTTCGTCAACAGGCATGAGTCTGACCGCCCATTCCCACTCTTCCACCACGAAGAAATGCGGACTCTGGTAGCAACCAAAATGTACAGTGTACTACCACAGAAATGGTGCATAGGTTCTTGCTTCGATGCGAAGCTCAACCCTCTTAAATACGAACGGTTAGTGGGTAGGGCGGACGACACGAGCGACGACGTCATGAGCGACGCGGACATGGACGACACGGACACGAGCGACGCGGACATGAACGACGACTACATTGACGACGACGACACGTCCGATAAAGTACGGAATAGCAGCCTATGGAGGGATGGTCTGGCGACTACGTACTGGGCCTGGGACCATTTTGAAGACGGCACGTACTACTGGGAAATGGCTGCAGAAGACGCCGCCTACGCTATGGCCAAGTCGTCAACCTGGGCTTTCACGAGGCGCGACGGCGCAACCGTCGAGGGCGACGATCCCCTTGAGTTTTTCTCTGACTGGGACAGCGACGCTGGCGACGACGCCACACCGGCACCGAAATTGCCTATCGACACATACGCGGAAGAGCGGGAAATAAACAGAGGAACGCCGCCGCAGGGAGCCGTCTTCTATTCATGCCGCCCCCCGAATTTCTTGGAATTTTGGGGGCGGCATGGCAGGTGAGCCCGCGATCCTCGCCTGAGGGATCAGAACCAAGTAGTCCCGCGGGACGCAACATGGTCACGCGGTCGAGTGGACATTACTGTGGAAGTTACGAGGGAGGCCTTGAGGAGAGGATGGTAGATGCCCTTGTACAGGGGATGAATAGCAGCGTGGCCGGTGCTGAGGGTTCCAGAGTAGGCCAGAGGCATGAGTGACCTGGGCCAGGAAAGCAACAGCAGCAGCAGCCATGGTACCCGATAAAGCGGCAAGGGAATGTGTGAGTCTAGTCTGGTCATACGAGATGGAAGGCAGATAATTGGTTATCGAACAAGTGTACAAACTTTCATAATGACGGTCGAGGGAAACGACGCACTGGTTGGTGGGTGATGGAGAGCCAGGAGGGGATAGGACGTGGTACACTCAAGAAAAGGAGTCACAGCCCCTGAGATCAACACAGATATACAGTGACGAACTTGGTTCGAAATCAGTTCCTGAAAGGTTTGCTCTCATGTTTGCCAGGCTCGATCTTCGGTCACCCGCCATGGAAATATGCTACTAGTAACGTCACCGACCCTAGGCTCATCATCTTGGTAGTATGTTTGATTACATATATGTGGTGTGATGCGGTGAACAGGTACACACGATCTCGGCTGTCGTTGAGCACACTGTGCTTATTAGAACGACTGTCACTCTCGTCGGAACTTCATTGGCAGAGCATGTTGGGATGGGAAACTGACTACCATCAGCTATGACCACAAGCCATCGTGGGCCACCTAATCCACTTCACCGAACGCGGTGACCGACGACCGGAGTAACATAACAAAGATCATCGTCGACATAGGAGTGAGAGGTCTAGTTGGTACACGAACCTTCTGCCCATTTGAGTAAGAGCCATCGCGCAAGTATGTGCAGACTCGTAAAGTGGCGGCTGTTGGTCATCTGGGCCGCCGTCCATCACCTTCCTCCGGGGCCACCGGAAATGACCCTCAGAGGCAAGAGGTCGTGTGGGCAATTGCAACTTCACCTGTTGGCTCAGATACGAGAGCCCCAGCCCTTGGTGGGCACATCTCGTGTTGTCTTCACTGGATACTGCAGGAATAGCCTGCCAAGTTGGTGATCAACTCGTCTATTCCAATGCTGGTCGTAGACGGCAACTCTTCTAAGGAAGCAGCTCCAGAACACATGTTACGGCACGAAATATCGTGAACGGCGCGCCTGGAAGACAGACAGCCTGGGCCCTGGTGTAGTGAAGCCTCAGAACAAGACCTTGCGAGCGTGAAGCTTTCCACCGCGCTCGTTTTCCAAATCATTAGTGACCAACTCTGCGCCATCAGAACACCACTTGGTGTCGTCGTTTGGGGCGAGGCCGTCATCGGGAAGAGCAGCAGAGTAGATGGTCGCTGACCCAGCGGCGTAGGCCAGGGAAGTGAATAGTAGGAAATAGCATTTGCCCAGAGTTGTCCGGGTTCTAGACAGTCATCACCCGGTCGTAGTTCCTGCAGGCCACATGTAGATGTTATCTCGTGGCATCCATCTCGTTGCGTACCGCGAGCGTGCGATTGAGCGTTCAGACGGCCCACGACGGTGTGGTCCATTCAAGACGAGGACAAGACTCATGCGTGCTGGCTTAGAGCCGAACGGCTTAGATTGATGCCGTGAGTTGAACGGACGGCAGCTCCGTAGTGTTTCCGCCGGCCTGCGGGGCGACTGGCTGAATACCGACCTGCGCGCTAGATCGGGTTTCCATCCTTTGGTATTTCACGACGGTGTCGTCATGTGGAAAGTTCCAACCGGGAGACGCTTGATCCTCGACAAGACAAAAGGGGGTAGAACTCGCCTCGAAGACCCGCACGATCTCCTCTTTCATCCCCGACAGTCGCATCGCTAGAGCTGGTAGGTTCCGGTGCTGACACATCGGCGCCCGGCACAAAGGGGCTTGTCGATCAGCGTGGGAACTGCGGATTGAGGCCATGACGAAGACCGGGCGAGCATGACATTGAAGCCGGCGGCCGTGTTACCAGTCGGTCTGTTTAGTAGTCCTTACGAGCTTCCAAAGTTCCAAACGAAGAAACCTCGGCTTATTGGACGTTGATTGCTGACAATCCCAGGACGTGGATCATCTTGAAATAGAGTCACTGACGTTGGTGTTGATATTCTCGGTATGAACAACGGGTCAGCACCGCGCCTCTGGGATGCTCCTTGAGCGCCACAGCTGCGGCGCAGTGTTATGATGACTACACCTGCCAAAAACGTACCTACGTCAAGATCTCCCAAGATCAGTAGAAAGCTGAAGCTCATCAGCCTCGGTAGCTTTGAGCGCAGTGTTTTCCGTCGAGCAATCTCTCACGTAGATCATTCCGCTGCGTACACCCCAGGGCCCACAGTCGGTCGGTTATCTGTGAGAGGAGTACTGATCTATTATAATCGTTAGTTCACCGCTTTGGTGTGGTTTGGTATCAACAGAGTCCGAAGGATCGGGGTCCACGGGTTAGTTGGAACTTATTAGACTGATGAGGAGGTCTCTCTACTTGGCGCGGCTGAGTTTATGCTCGGTATGCCGACACGAGAGTGATCCCGGTCCAGCTATTTTTCCCAATTAGGACGGGCGGAGCTGCTGTTTTCTAAAAACGCGTCCAGAATATCTCATGTGGCCCGGGAGGATGGTTCTTGGAGACTCCCGGTGTGCCAGCTGGCTTGTGCAAAAGTGTTGGCTGGCGGCGGCGGGCGAACCCCTGCAATGTGGGAGGCAGAGGCGAGAGAAGGATTCGCACCAACAAACAAAACGCGCCTAACGTGACAGAATCAGTCAATCAGTCAATCAGTCAATCAGTCAATCACCACCCTGCTGATCTCCAGGCAGACACGGGAAACCCAGCAGTATCTCCACTGCTGCCACGTCGAAAGCCTGGAATAGCATCCTTCATCGACCTTCGACCTTGGTGACCGACACTACTAGGTATGGCATTCTCGAATGTGGGGAAGATAGTGATCTCGGAAGAAACATGTCTGACTTTTGGGTTAGGGGTTTGTCGGTAAGGTAAGGTAGTCAGTCAGTCGCCCCAGCAAAATAGACGCCGTCAAGCAGAGATAGGCTGATAGCAGACCGACTCAAGTGGCCGTACGCGCGGAGAGGGTCGATAGCCGACGTCGCCGTGCTGACTGCCACGGACCATTGGCCATAGCCGACCAGGGGGGCGACAGAGGGCTCAGGGATTAGTTGGCGCTTGCGCCTGCTCGTTCCATCCCTTGAACCCGAATAACCCTCCCCAAGCCCCCGTCACCTTTTTATAGCCAACCAACACCAAGCCTACACATGCCCACATTCCGCCAGACAGGTCACAGCAGTCAGACAGTTTTGACAGTCAGACAAATCCACCTCGTCAGGGTGTTGATGATTTCCAATGGCCGCATCCTTCCGGACACTTTCCCTGGACACCCCCTCCCCATGGGTCATGGGCCATGATAGGTACTTTTCCCACTTCGCACATCGCGCCCAGGCTGTTGGAACTTGTGACATGCCTTCACGCTGCAGCTCGCATTAGTTCCGTTCGCCCAGGCGCTTGCCCTGCTCGCTGACCGGGGTCCGGCGTTGCTCTTATGACTTCTATCCCTTCCCTGCTTATCGGGATCGCTCCCCCTTCAGCCTAATCGCCTAGGTAGTGATATTATATAGCCGCTGTCCCCCTCTTTTCAGCCGTTCTCATGGTCTCACTTGCAAGAATTCGCTACTCTCGACACATCCCGGCCGGCTGGGAGGTTGCTTGAAAGGACCTGGTCTGCTAGCAGGTTGCAAGGGCTAGGACACACATTCAACATCCTATCCTGACATCCCTGCTCCATCTCACTCACCCACTCTCAACTATACGAGCTTGGATCGTGGCGAGCAGCGCTGCCGACTTCATGATGGATATGGCGGGACCCGTACTACCAAGGAGACCAAGGCTGTCTCTCCAGACAGTACCTGGACCAAACATAAGATCGTCGAGGGGTTCTCTGTCCCATGTCGACCCCAAATCCCCGACGGCATTCAACACGCTCTCAAATGTCTATGTCACCGCCATCGAGAGATCGACGCCAGTCCAGTCGACACCCGTAACGGCGATACATCTCACCCAACCACTCAAACTCCAGACCGACCCCGAGTCGCTGCTCAAGGGCCAGCACCACAGAGTGCACACCCCTTTTACCGCCACACTACCCGACACGCCGCTCTCCGCCAACCCGCTATCGCCGGCGCAGCAGCATATGGACATATTATTCCCCAGTTCCATGACGGCGACGCCGCCGCTCTCGGCCGGACCAACGGACTCCCACGACTCCAGGATGTTCACATTCGCGCCCTCCGACACGCACAGCAGACAGGCCGTCGCGCCCACATCGCCAGCGCAGACGCGGCGCCGGCTGATGTACGGCCCCTTCGGCGGCTCGTCCCGGGCGCCGTATAGCCACAACCGCGGCTTGCACAGCATACTACGCAACTCGCCTCTCCCACCACCCAGCGCCATCTCGCCCGTCTCGGAACGGCGGCAGTCGGCGCGCCTGCAGGAGAAGGCCGCCCGGCGCGTGGGTTACGAGTCGCCCCTCACGCAGACCATCACGACGGAGCGCTACATCAAGTCGCACATCGACCTACTAGCCGAGGAGGCGTCGCCCTACACGACGTCGCCCATCGGCGAGGACATCAACTCAGACCCTAACTATACTACCAGCGACAGCATGGTCCTGGACCTCGCCATGGCCTACTCGGGCGACGAGACGCGCGACGGCGGCCAGACGCCGGGGCCGTTCGAGGAGATGCGGCGACGCATGAACGGCCTCGCGACGACGGACTCTATGGGCACTACCCCGATCCTGTCGCCGCGGTCCGACGGCGGCGTCCGCAAGCGCACTAAGCGCAGGGAGAAGCGGCGCAGATGGGTGTGGACCATCGGCCAGGAGGACGGCGAAGACGCACAGCACGGCGAGGCCGGCGGTTCCGCACTGGCTGTGACGCCGCGGCCGAGAGCGAGGTCCGCGCCAGCTCCAGTGTCTGCTTCGGTTTCGTCGCGCAACAAGGCGACTACGCCGGAGCCGCTGACGGCGGTGCAGATCAGCGTCGAGTCGGCGGGGTCGTCGGAGTCCGACGACTCGGCTGACAGGATGATGGACGTCGAGATATCGGACTCGAGCAGCATGCTTTCGAGCAGGGCGACGACGCCGTCGTTTATAGGTATGGATCTGGATGCCAAGACGCCGACGGTGTATGTTGCGCCTAGTAGTGGTGTTGGTGGCTCTACAGTCTCAGCGGTTTCGGGTTTGCCAGGAGGCAAGGCGCTGGCGATGGAGCGGCTTGGGTCTGTCGACTGGATTAATCCTGAGACGGGGAGTCGGCGGGATACGCCTATACCCCCGGATTTGGTGAATGAGTGATGAGCGATGAGGAACGAGTGATGAGGGACGAGTGATGAGTGCACTTGATGACCAAGAACATCAGGAGCTGAGGTTGAAATCGAGAACCAGATTGAGCATGAGACTCTTACACGCATACCGCGAGGCTAAAAGGTGCATTGGCGGTTGATTGAGTTGATTGATGCGATGCCTCCTGGTGTTTTTACTGGGGGCCAGCGGGCGTTTGGTCTATACCTACCATTGCTGTATTATCTTACCTTATTGCTCTCTTTGAGTATATGAACCCCATGACGGTACGATGAATATGAACATAATCTCAACACTGACTTGGGTTTTAGCGATTTGACTTTCGAGATGTTGATGAGCTTGTGCTATGGCTCCTTCTCCCTGATGACGTGCGACCGGTCTGTTATAGACACCGTCGAGTCTTGTGGACTTGCCTCACCTGCACCACAAAGTAGATTGATATATGCGAGGATGTTATTATTGAGTCCAATATAAGAGATCTGTCACATCGTGAACGCAGACTAATGGTGTCCATTAAAGTCGAGTGTCACCGTCGCAGTTGAGCCGGAATGGGGAGGCCGATCGATCATGGATACGGTAGGAAGGCGCACAAAAAACTTTTGCCCACGTCAATCCATAATGCTCTTCCCAAGGACAAACACTTACAGAAAAATAGATATCGTCTTGTCATGAAATGTCACCGTCCTCCAGAATGTTTTGTCATGATGAAAAACTGTAGGCGGCCAAGGAAAAAGTAGGAAAAAGCAAAAAGAAAATCTCCTATTTAATAGGAGGCATCGGGAATTGAGCCCAATGCGGGGGTCGAACCCGCAGCCTTGAGATTACTTATGGTAAGAGTCTCACGCTCTACCGATTGAGCTAACCGGGCTGTGGTTCTTTGGATGAATGACTTTTCCATTTTAGGTATATATCACTCGGGGGCTGCGTGTGTGTTGTGCTGCTGTTTGCTCTCTTAGCTGAGGAAAAGACTTGCCGGGATGCTAGTCTAGAAAATTTGTTGCTCAATTTACTTTGGTACGAAAATGTAAAGAAAGTAGCTGTAAGACTACTAGTAATACCTCGGCTAGCAACCTTAAGTGTTCAAGTTATAAATATAAACGGGGGCATTTTACTCCGGGCCTAGGGCCAGTCTACGGCTGTTAAAAAAACTTGGTTTTTTAAAAATAGAAATTAAAATTAACATTAGATTTTTTTTAGGGGGAAAATTAAGAATTTTAAATTTTAAATTTTAAATTAAATTAAAATGGGTGGATAGTAGTATTTAATATCCAAAAGTGCAAATTGCAGTCTACTCTGTATCATCCCTCGTCAGGTGTCAGATACCAGCGCACTATTTGGGCTATGCACTGACCATGTCACGTGGATGACAGCGCACTAGACTGCGACCAGCCACCAGGGCAAAAACTAGTACTGAAAACTCGTACACAGATAGACAGTGCTCGACCACAACATCACAATACACTCAATCAATTGACCCTCGTATTCAACATCAGGCGTCAGGCGCGAAGGATCAATAACTCAAACCCGACAGTGTGGATGTTGACCACGTCAACCAAGTGTTGATCAATGGCGTGTCAGACTCTATTTGCGTACGCGTATGCTGTAGTCATGAGTGACTTGTCGTCGCACCTGTAGAAGCCTGAGAGATGGGTACTGTACGATGCAAAAATAGCATACACCTAACCGTGCGAACACATGATATATCTTACGCGGTTCTTACTGTGCGGGATGTAGCCACGCGACACGAACATCGAACATCTCGCGACACCTACAATGTACATCCCGGCTTACTATTCCATGTCATCCAGGCAGCAATGAAATGAGGCCAGCAGGATTCTCAATTTAAGTTTGATTGCCAAGTCAACTGTCAGACTTCTATTTCCATCCATGCATGCAGACGGACTCAATTCCGCCCGCCATCTCCATGCACCTGCAGCAGCAGCGGATCAGATGCGCATCCAAGGCCGGTCATCAAACATCTAAACATGGAACAACATGAGGACGACAACGCTTATGTCCGCCACACCGAGGGCCGTCAAGCCCCCTAGGAGGAACGACGACCGCGTCATCCTGCATTTTGTATGTGAGAAGTCATCCATACACGTTGCCATTATGAGTAACATTGCCAATTGTCATATGTTGTCGCGCCAGTATGCGTGGACGCGTGACATATAAGTGTTGCCTGACAAGGCCTGCCCGACCTGACAACATGATCATCTCCATATCCGACACCCACCGAGGTTCCTCCGATCATTGATGACGCACCCCGCTGACAGCACGAACAGGACTACGACTGCTTCTACGCCAGCGTCTTCGAGAACGAGAACCCATCCCTCAAATCGCAGCCCCTGGGCATCAAGCAGAAGAGCATCCTCGCGACATGCAACTACGTGGCGCGGGCGCGCGGCGTCCGCAAATTAATGCTGATCTCGGACGCCTTAACCAAATGTCCCGACCTCGTGCTCATGAACGGCGAGGACCTGACGCGCTTCCGCGACGCCTCCAAAAAGCTGTGGTCCTTCCTGCGGGCGCACTCCTGGAACGACCGCATCGAGCGCCTGGGCCTCGACGAGGTCTGGATGGACGTCACCGATGTCGTCGCCTACAACCGCGAGATGCTCAATCCGCACGCGCTGGAGGGCTCGTTCTTCCAGCTGGACCGCCGGGATCCGGAGAAGGGGTTTGCGTTTGATGGGACGCGGTTCTCGGGGTGTGTGCAACCACCGCCTCCCGCTGGTGCGGTGAAAACTGTAGATATGGATGATCCGCTCTGCGTGCGACTGATGCTGGCATCCCATCTAGCAGGCTATCTGCGCCACAAGCTCGATGAGGACTTCGGATACACGTCGAGCGGCGGGATCTCGACGAACAAGGTGCTCGCCAAGCTGGCCGGCTGCGTGAACAAGCCCAACGGGCAGACAACGCTGCTCAGTAGCACGGCAGGGGACGTAGACGCCGTGCAGGACTTCATGGACTCCCACACCCTCCGCAAAGTCCCCGGTATCGGCTCGCGCATCGCACACCTAGTCCAAGAGCACATGGAAGCCTTCCCCTCAGCCGCAACACCTGACGCCTCTGCCAAAGAAGGCGATCCCACCGTCCGCACCATCCGCCAGTATTCATCCCTCACCCCGGAGCTCCTCGAGCAGATCCTAACCCGCCGGCCCGGCGCCGAGCGCGGCAGCGGCGAGAAGCTCTGGAACTTGTTGCACGGCGTGGACCTGTCCGAGGTCAAGCAGGCCACCGACGTGCCGACGCAGATTAGCATCGAGGACACGTACATGACGCGGCCGCTGCAGACGCCGGCCGAGCTGGGACGCGAGCTGCGCGCTCTGGCGGCTTCGCTCGTGCGGCGGATGCGCGTTGACCTCGTGGAGGCTGATCCGAATGCAGCAGCTATGAATGGCTCCAATACCGACAGTCAGGTTGCTGAAAAGCAACAGCGCTGGCTCGCGTACCCGAAGACGTTGCGTTTGTCTACGCGGACGCGCTCAAAACCAGATTCCACTCCTATCCCTACTTCTGCTACCTCCTCCACCGCCACCCACACCCACACCACCACCCGCGACAACGCAGCCTTCTCCCGCACCTCCCGCAGCCAGCCCCTCCCCACCTTCATTTTCAGCCTACACGACGACATCGCCGCGCTGGCCGAGCGTCTGGTATCCGAAGCCCTGCTCCCGCTCTTCCGCCGCCTGCACACCAACCAACAAAACGGATGGAACCTTGCCTTGATCAATATCTGCGTCACGAACATGGTGGTGGTTGCTACGGATGCGGAAGATGGGAGGGGTGGTGGTGGAAGTAGTGGTGGGAAAGGGGGAGGTAGGGATATCAGCCGCATGTTCAAGACCCAGGAGGACAAGCTGAGGGAGTTCACTGTTTATGATACCTCATCGGGCGTATCTGAGGCTGTACCGGGACCTCCCCCGGTACCTGTACACGAAAGCAAGTCCGAGCCTGCAGTGGTGCCCACATGGCACTCTGATACCGCCCGTCATGGAACAGCATACGACAACGACAACAACACAAAATTCACGGCCAACTCCGGAACACCAGAACGCCTCGCGGATAGAGTGGCAGACGAGACGGAGATGGCAGATGCCGTGCCGAGGCCAATGGCCAACGAGCAGCCGCCAACCCCTATGCTGTTAGACAACGAGGCCGACACAGATGCATGGGACGACAACGACGAAGGGGAAGACGACTCGCAGCGCTGTCCACAATGCGGCCACGCAATCCCCGTCTTTGCCATGGCGGCACACAAGAGGTTCCATGGCCTGGGCGACTGACTGACTGAGAAAGGGGGGTAGGTAGGTAGCTTGATATATATGCCCGCCTCTAGTTATCTATCGTCAAGTTGTCACTCTATCGTCCAACTTAGTTGTTGGTACCTGAAAACACCACCATGACACCCATCATATAAATGAAAGGTTGCCTGGCAATTTGGAAGTGCGCTGCAACGGGGTACATACAGCACGTAGGCTTGAGGCTATGTGTGTGGCCATCTGAACATATCTACCCCATTTCCCCCGCCAGCCAATCCGGGGCGTTCGGTCCTCCTCTCTCTTAATGATTGTTGAACACCCGACGCGGTTATAAACGAACAGAACTCGAATATTCCCAATGAACCAAGATGAAGAGCCCAGAGTATTATGCCCCGAGGTTGCCATGTATGTGTGTACGCTCTCCACGTAATGATTGTGTCACAATATTCAAGTAAGATGGTACCCCCATCAGCTATCCCTCTTCCCTCCCAATACAGACCATTCCTAAATTTCACAAATTGTCAAATGGTATATTAGTACTTATGTAGCGAAGCGACAGTAAAGGTACCTACCGTAACAAACCTCATTGTAATCATCGCGTCCCCCTTGCAACCCCAGCTGACACTCTGCCCCCAACTCCGACAATTCCACTTGGTATCACTAAAATAAACAGGATTGCGCCTGATTGCGCCTGCAGCGTTCGATCCTTCGAACCAGATCAGCCTCCCCGTTTTCTCTTGATCACTGTGACCCACCCGTAACCCTATTCGACTCCGGCCAAATTGCAAAATGCTCGGGGAATGTCCGAGCTTGGTACCCCATGAATCAGTACGCACGCAATTCGGCATTGAACTCCGCGGGATACGATATCTCACAACAGCTGGCGGAGTTCTTCATTGCCCCTGATTAGCTCCTCCAGCCACTGTCCCGTTAGCACCAGCACCTGGCTCTTGCTGCCGCCACCACCATCCTTTAGAGCCGGAACCATCTTGTTGAGGTCTTCAAAGCCCTCACTGATGGCCGCTCTCCTCTTCTTTTCACTCTTGATATGGTTCTCCCGTTTCTGAGCTTCACTCAAGTTTTCTCGCGCTGCCTTCGCCGCGGTCACTGAAGATTTTCTTCGCTTACCCGCCGTCTCCTGAGCAGCTGGAAAGAGTTCTGAAGACCCGTTCAAGTCTGTTTTCGATTTTCGCTTTTTGGTCGCAGCTCTAGGCGGTATCGAAGTCAAGTCGGCGCCTCCTTCCTCGACCTCCTTCTTTGCCGTGCCCTTCCGGCATTTCCGAGGCGGTGCTACAGGCTCATCGTCAACGTTGACATGTCTATTCGTAGTGTCACATAGCCCGTTGGAGGAGCCTCCCCCATTGCTGAAAGGACTCAGAGTTTGGGTTGTATCAGCACTTCCATTTATGTGCAGAGCCTTCATGACAGCCGTACGTTGCTGCTCGAGGACCTCTCTGGACTCATGCACAGGTGGAATGAACCCCTGATCTCTCGCAAACGCCGCGTCGGATCCCCACTGCAACTCGGTCGTTTCCGGTAGCCTATTTGGACCCTGGCTTCCAAACACCATGTCGGTTAGTGTATCAGAGTCGTTGGAGCGAAATGGCCTGACAGGATTGCCTGGCCCCGGGCTAATTTGGTGCCGTGGCACTGGTGTAGTCTGGCTGAAGTTGCTCGTGCTAATCGTGCGCTGCGGTTGAGCATTATAGGGGCCGTTGTTGTGGCCGTTGTAGCGGCCGTTGCGGCGGTCGTTGTGAAGTGCCGTCAAGACAACAGCACCGGCATGCGCGTTGTGTTCTATTGGTGTATGGGGAGCGGGGAGACCATGTTGCGGCTGGTGTTGTTGGAACTGGGGCGCAATCGGCGGTTGCGGCGGCGGCGGAGGCATCGGGGGCTGCCCCAAATTATACATGTCTTGGAGCGCAGCTGCTGACATTTCGTCCATCAGGGAGCTATTCGGTGGCGGTCCTGGCCCAAGGAACGTGTAAGCACCCAAATAGTCGGGTATCCATTGGTCATCATGGTGCAGACCTTCGCCGTATGAAAGCGGGTATGCATCCGTCGCCATGTTGTCGAAGAAGTTGTATAATGTTCGGCCGTCTTCGTGTGAGAGTATAGGGGCCCCCGGTGGTGGTGGTGGCGGTGGTGGCGGCGGCGGTCCGGAATACATGAGATCTTGGTCGGGAGGAAAGTTATCTGTGCAGAACGAGAGGTTAGCGTCTGGGTTTTGCATGCTGTTCATGACAGCAAAGACTCGAGATACGTACAGCCAAATGGCAGGTTGCCATCAGGTGGCTGTGACGAACCCATTCTAAACCGTTGTATAACCGCGGCGCTCATAGTGCTTCGATATTGGTCTGTTGCAAAATACGGAAAAAGATGCTTGGAAAGTGAATTCGTTGTCTGATGGGCCATGGGCGGAGGCACAGCACAAGTATCGTTCTATGCTCTCGAAATACCGGCGGCAATCGAGTTGAAACCCCCCGCAAGAAATGGGTATTGCCCTTGGTTCCGTGTAGGTGACATCTAATCCCGCTCTCGATCAGAGTGGTAGCAGGTCGTGATATCGACACAGGATCCTGACAATCCTGACGAGCTGTCGTGACAGTGGGCAGTGGGGGCGTCCAGGATGTGGTGGGATATTGGCATGTGCTTCCTGCCGTGGGGATGGTCGATGTGTAGTAGTATAGGTTCGTTCGAGACGGGCCGGCGGTTACGACGGGGTGGCTCGGGTGCGTGGTAAGGCTGTCATGCCGTCGGAAGGATGGACGGACGGCAGCATTATACCATTACCAACCCTGAACCCCTGGAGGTTGGGCCAAGGATGGCACCGAATCGTGTGCCGCAGGTCCCAGGAGGGAGACACGGAGAGTATGCGAAGGCGATGTACGGCAGGTGTGAAGGATGATCACTGATCAGGTGTCAGGCACAGGCAGAACACTGAACAGGGTCGATTGATCAATGGTTGGTGTGGTCCCTGCACCCTGGCAGCCCCTCTGCCCCTTCCGCTGGCCAGTCACAGTGGTGGTCAGACTGGGCAGTGTCGGCATCGGACTTGTACTTGTATTGGGTCGAGGGTCGAGCGAGGATGGAGGGTGGGGGGTGGATTCAGCGGACGGATATGTGTGGAGACACTGGAGAGCAGGATAAAGGTCTTTATTAACATATGCAGGTGCCTGGTACTTAAGTATGTAATGTAGAAAATGCTGATTGTAGGATGGACGTGGTGAGGAGGCCGGTCGGGTTGTTGATGGTTACTACCCGAGGATATCGACTACTCGACGACTCGACGACTGACAACAAGCAAGCGACAACCTGATTATTTAGGTAATAAAAGAAAAGAGATGGCGGGATACTTGGGCTACGCTCTACTAGACCCTCTCCGCGATGGGTCCTCCCGAGTCTACAGCTCACAACAAAGTGCAAGCCGCCGACAACCTGGGTAGCCTGGATGGCTCGATGCTTAGAACCTGTTCGCGGCCAGATAATCAGATTATGATTATAGATGGGTATACCGTACCAGGCCCCTGCAAGTACCTTGGCCGGTAGGCTCGGAATATCTTAGGTGCTAAGTGGGCTGTGGTGGGTACGTTGTGTAGTAAAATTCCAGTAATCATAGAAAAGCTAATTACCTGACTGACCGACATCTCGAAAAAATCGCGTGATTTGAATGGGTATATCGCTCGGGCCCATAAGTTGTCCAGAAAATGCCCGTGGTCGTGGTAAAAGTACTTGCGATACTTGCCCCACGCATACTTTGTCGGGTTAACCAGAGGTAGCGCTAGTAATACCCAGCCACAACCAGGGTGGCACGCACCACAATTATAATCCTGATTAACGACCCGAACACCTTCTTAGTATTGTTATTGTTCCCTCTCCAGGACTGATCCTGATGAGGGGTGCAATCCGTAATGAGGTGGTTGGTGTAGGAGAACAGGAAGTGTAAACAGGTAGGTTAGGTATGCAGTAGCCGGGGTCTTAAAACGTCAAGAGGTGTAAGTGACAGCGTGTAGACATGCGCACACTTCATTTTGTGCCTGTTCTAATAACTTCTGAGCGCTGAGGCCTTCGTGAAGATTCCATGAATGGTATCGCTTGCTTCAGCTTGCTTCAGCGTGCTCCTGAGCCTGATCTGTCGGGGCTTGCTGGCCAGTCTGCCTACCTTATTAGTTGTCAGTCGATGTGTTGGTGTCGCAGCGGATACTTACAAAGTCAAGTCCAGCTGGAGGTGTTAAGAGGACTGACTGACATTAATCCGATATAACGATAACTCTACTTAAGTTGAATTAAGCGACCCCCCCACCCCACCCCCACACGAAACAGTAGCTACTAGGTAAGGTAGCGGGGAAAGCTCCCGAGGCACAGTCACATGCCAACAAGACCGTACCTAACAAATCTGGTCCAGATCTAGATCTGCCATCATCACCAAACTACCTCCCAGCCTCCCTTCTACCTTGGGTACAGTTTACCCGTTACGAAAGTTCGCGTTGCTGGGCAAAGCGATATGCCAAACTGTCAAGCTTTTCGACCTCTCCTCTCTCATATCTCATATTCCCTCTTTCGTCCTCGTCGCGATGCCCGCTGCCATCGGCTGCCGCTGAACTCATGACAGCATCGACGCACCAACCTCCAGCTACCTCTATTACTACCTTACCTTAGCGGCCCACCATTGGAAGCTGGGCACCTGGGGTTCGTTTCACCGAAGCTACATTCGAACCTTACCTCATGAACACGATGCTCGCCATACGGCTTTGAGCTTCGCGTCGGCAGAGCTGCAGAGGTCACTGTCAGTCTGTCAGGTTTCAAAGGAAGAATCTCGTCCGAAGTCACCAGACTCGTCACTCATCCATCTCGTCGCCAGTTCCTGGGGCTGCCGGGGTCTGGCATTTCGGTCATCGGCTTCCTTATTTTTCGAAGGCCGCGTTCAATCGGCCGCATACTCAGGTGGCAGTTCATGCCTACCTATGCCAGGGGTTCTTCATTGGTTATATAGCCGTGCGGATCAGATTCCTTTGCCTGGGCTGCCATCAGTAGGCTTGGTAGCACCGGAGTTGCAATGATGACATCTCGCATGCCTGCCCAGCGGCCAAAGGGCCGCCTCAGAGTTGACGAGTCTATACCTCCTATACTCCGGCCTCTCATTCGGGCCTATGTTCTAGGGTATGCTTCCAGCGTTGCACCGCGTCTCCTCACGTTGGTCCCCCAGCATGCAACCAAGCGGACGAGAAACAGGGGTCAATCGAGCGTCACACAACCCCACGATTCCTTCGTCACATCCCTGCAACGTATCCTTCGAGGGGGCCTAGAATTGCAGAGGTTCCCAACCTTTTGTGCCGCGCTTGTAGGCGGCACCACTTTGTTCGAGGTAGGCCATCTCGGGCTGGTGATGCTCCGCTTTCATACAAAGCTGACCTTGCTGTAAAAGGCGCTTGTCGATATTTGTATATTCCGCTTGAGAGGTCGGTGGTCAGACTTGGCCCGGAGGAGGTAAGCAAGGTGCTTGGCGACGACATGGCCGTTTTTTATACTTTGGACCATTGCTGAAGCTGATCTAACGTAAGTGTAGACTTTCAAGATGGATTGCATCGTTTGTTGCAGCCTGGCTCAGTCTGCGCCTACTGCAGTCTAAAAAGACAGACAGTTTCGCCGAGACAAAGACCCCCGACGCCGATTTGCCATTGAGCCGTATACAGAAGCCAAGCAGATATGCTGGGCGGACTCTAGACCTGACACTGTTTGCCGCAACTCGAGCCGCTGATGTAATAGTGGGCGAACTTTGGGCGAGAAGACGGCAGCGCAAGCTCGCCGCGGGTCAATGGACCTGGGTACGTATGGTCAAGTCCAAGTCCAGTATGCATCGAAGCTGACCCTGTCAGTTTGATTCGTCTATATCCAAGATGACTGACCCGTCCGTCTTTGCCACGTCTTGTGCGTTCATCATGTGGGCGTGGTTCTACACGCCTTCTGCGCTGCCTCGAGCCTACACGAAATGGGTCAGTTCCGCAGCCGCCGTAGATGCCCGGCTCATCGAAGCGCTACGGCGGTGTCGGGAAGGTGACCTCCGGTATGGCGAAGAGACCGGTCAGGCGGGCCTCTTGCAGTCGATGTGTTTGGATTTCAAGTGGCCGCCCGACTGGGGCGACCCCGCCGTATCGATACCGTTCCCTTGTGAGATAGTTCACATGGGCTGCGGGCCAAATTGCGAGTACCACGCCCTGTCCCGATTCTATCGGTCCTTCAAATGGTCCATGGCTACGTACCTACCTCTAAACCTCGTCGCGCGAAAAAAGAACCTGCGAGGTGTGCGTGCCGCTCTCCTATCCGCGGCCCGCTCCTCCTCGTTCCTGGCTGCCTTCATCACGCTCTTCTACTACGGCGTGTGTCTTGCGCGCACTCGAGTCGGCCCCTATGTTCTCGGCAAACACAGGGCTGCGAGACAGATCATCGACGCGGGGGTGTGTGTCGGATCGGGCTGCTTCATGTGCGGATGGAGCATCCTGCTGGAGAATCCTGCTCGGAGGAAGGACATGGCGCTCTTTGTCGCGCCCCGGGCTTTGGCTACGCTGCTACCAAGACGGTACTCGTGCGATAAGCAGTGGAGGGAGACCTTCGTGTTCGCCTTTAGCACTGCCGTCATCTTCACCTGTGTGCGCGAGAACCGGCGCAGGGTGCGGGGCGTGCTGGGGAACGTTCTGGGTTCGGTCCTCGAGGCTTAGCCGAGGGCCCCGTACGAACCATCCAGTCGAAATGTTGTATGACTTGTACCACGTATGTTGTAAATCAGACTTGTACTTGCCGAATATCTGGAGGCTGGTCATGGCATCCCACGAGAGGCAATGCGGTGGGTCCATAGCGCTTCTGGAGTTCTTGCTGCGACCATGTTGTCACGAAGGCTGCTCCAGCCTGGCTTGATGATTCGTATCGCAAATACAGGCATTATGCTTCAGGTCATGGATCAGTCATCTCTAAGGCTTTGTTGGTACCTGTTGTTGCCCTCGGTAGCGGCCCAGACCGCCCTCTACGAGTTCAGCTTACCTTAGTGCCAAGTAGCCTTTACGCCCGCATGTACCACGACAGCAGACTACCTCTCTGGAACAATAACACATCTATTGAGAAAGGGCGCACAGAGTACTTAGGCGCTTATGACGCTGCTGAGGAACTATCTACGCGGTTAGTCGCCGCTCTATGACAAACTCAGGGGAATATGTTAAGATTTTAGCTGGCTATCTGATAATAGACCTCCGCGATGGACGAAAGAGGTAATTTCTCGACCAACACTGTCGATTAACAAGGTACTACCAACTGAACCAGCCACTCACACCTACTTCTGGCAAGCTCCCCTTCCTCGCCCTACTGCTTGGCGTGATCACCTCCAGCCTGCTATCATTATAATTCAACAAGACTCCTGCGCGCCTGGTCTAGAACCCTCTTTCAGCGTGTCCATGCATCCCATCAGTGAGCGAGCCAACGACTTCTCTCACTATACGATTAGTAGCCTACTGGATAGTAGGGTGAGCTCCAAAAGAGTGATGCCATCCAGTTTCCCTCAACAGTTCGGTGCGGATGCAATGCTTAGTTAACGAGACCCGAGAAGAATAGGCTAAGTGATGCGCTTAGCTTTGCCAGACACTCTAATAACAAGATAGGGGGGTTTCTTGGAGTGATATTGGTGGCTTCCTTCTCCCAGGCTGCACTGAGATGGCTCCTTGCAGATAAGCGCTCCCCAAGTAACCTTTGTGTCACTCATGATACATTCATTAACGAGGATTCCTCTATTTCACGAGTCAATGGTACCCCAGTTCCTCAGGTTGTGGGCGGGGCAACAGTCAGCATGCTGAATGTGACGCTTTGGACGCTCTCGGTGTAGTTGAAGAAAATATATAAGTAATCAAGAGGCTGGTCATCTGAGCTTGTGTAGCTGAAGAAAGTATATAAATAACCAAAAGGCTGGTTACCTGAGTTTTCGTTTAATTGAGTTCATGTCATCGGATTGATTAAACTCTACATAATGGCGCCCAAATTCGAAGAGCTGCGCTAAGCCATAGCCGCGGGCGAGGTCCTCCTGCCTGGCGACGCCGGCTACGACGATAGCCTCGAGCGCTGGGGCAACACGTGTGTCAATCCAGCTGCAATGTTTTCTTTTCAGAATACCACTATCGGGGCTTTTTTTTTTTTTACTTTCTTTACTAACTACCCCGATCCAGGCAGCAGTCGTCAGGCCCACAACCGCACCCGAGACCTCGGCTGTCGTTCGCTTCGTGACCGCCAACTCGGTCCCTTTGGCTGTACGTGGGGGCAGCCATAATCCCTCCAGAGAATCGGCGGCGCAGACGAATACCGTCGTTCTGGACCTGGCGAATATGCGGTCTGTTGTGGTTGACACAGCTGCGCAAACTGTAACTTATGGCGGCGGCTGCACGGTGAGTCGCCTATTGAGTTTTGATCTCACCGAATTCTTCTTCTGGATGTTGAGACCGAGAAATGCTAGTCTTAGCCAGACTCTCGTATACTCCCAGATACTTCGGTAGCTCCCGACTAGACTCACTTGTTGAATGACTTCACTAACTCGGCAATGACAGTGGGCCGATGTAAACAACGAGGCATGGAAGCACGGTCTCGCCACCGTCGGCGGCACAGTCTCGCACACAGGCGTAGGCGCTCTAGTTCTCGGAGGCGGGTAAGGCATGCTAACGGGCCGGCACGGCATGGCCGTGGACCAGCTAGTCTCCTGCGAGGTCGTGCTCGCAAGCGGGCGTCGTCAAGGCCTCCGAGTCGGAAACCGAGGACCTGTTCTGGGCGCTCCGCGGTGCCGGGCCCAGCTTCGGCATCGTGACGTCGTTCGCGTCGAAGGTGTTTCCACAAGGAAAGGTATGGGGCGGCCTGCTGATGTGGCCGTTCGACGACGTGTTCGACAAGGTGGTCGATTTTGTGAATGAGCACCACGAGAAGACGGACGGCGCCAGTGGTTCATGCCCATGCTGCTCGCGGACCCCGCCACCGGGATGAGGTTGAGGGGCGCGAACGTGTTTTATATTGGGACGGCCGAGGAGGCGGAGGAGTTCTACGCGCCGTTGTTGGCGCTCGCGCCCTCTGCCATGGACACCACGGCCAGGATCCCGTATTCCGCTGCAAATACTGCCACGGATGCCATATCCACGCCGGGAAGGTGGTACATGTCTGGCGGGGCCAATTTCTCTTGTCCGCTTGACAGGGAGTTGACGAGGGAAGCGGCCGAGGAATACTACGCCGGACTGGACAAGCCGGGCAATGCGGAGATCCGCACGAGTGCCTTTGCGCTGGAGCTTATCCCTCAGCAGAAGGTCACGGAACTGGGTAAACTTGGCAAGAAGTCCTTTGCCGGACGCGACGGCAAGTACAACGTCGTCATGTTGATGTCTTGGGATGCCGAGGAGAGAGATGCGGAAGTCAAGAAGATCGTCACGAAGCTCACTTCTGCCTTCAAGGCCAAGTACGGCACGAAGGATACCGAGACCGGTGGCGCGGATGCCTACTACAACTACTTGAGTCAGTAACGTTACCTCAACATTGAAAAGGGGGCACCACCTCGCAGCTCCTGAATGAGGAGCCCAGACCTGACTGACATTGATATAACAGGCCCCGATATCCCAGCCGACAGAGCTCTGATGAAGACCTGGAGGCTTTTTGGCGCAAATGCACCCAGGCTGAGGGCACTGAAGGTGATATACGACCCGACGAATGTGTTCAGGAAGAACGTCAACTTGATGTCTTCGGCTAAGTGACCATTCTTTGCTGTCAACCGGTGTTAGGCAACTACTGATGTAGTCCCAGGCTGAGCGTACACACGATAAGAGAATGAGTGGGAGCTTGAGAGATCACTCACGGCGTGTCCCGATGCTCATATACACTTGGAATCTGTCTATTCCATCACACATTTCTGTTGCGGCGTGGTGCCTGTATCACTTCAACCTCTCAGAGATCTCTAGGTCCCAAGAGACTCTCGCGTATGTCGACTTGTAAGCCTTCATGACGAAGGGCAGGACGCTCGTCGACTTCAGACAACTGCGTAGCAGCTTCTCTTGTGTTTTCTAGATCTTGGAATGATGATTAGGGGTCATGACATGAGCACAACCGCCTCAATTCAAGGTGAGGCGTATACTCTGACACTTGTGGCTGTTGCGCTCATGGACACCGCCGGTGGGACACCAACTGAGGAGGTGGTGGAGGCGGATATGTATGTCTAGACTGGTGATGCGCGCGCGCTGACGGGAGAGCCGCGGTCGTTGGAGGATTTGTGAGGGAGAGGTTGGAGGACTGGTTGGACTTTTCGAGGGTATGGAACTTGTGGATTAAGACGAATGGTAGTCAGGCTTGAGGGGAGGGTTGCGAGCATTGGGTACGGACAGTCACGCCGGATCCAGGGGTAGGTAGTGTTCTAGGAACACCAGAGACCTATACATCCAAGTTTCACATCCACTAGAAAGAAGTCAAGATATAACTTCTTCTTGTAGCGAGGTAGCGTGTTCGTGTACCTAGCAATGAGTCTCTAGTATCGCTTGTTGGATTTCTACCATGTAAGGGGTATACGCTAGAACTACAAAATATTCCGTGTAGCCTTTTTGGTTTCGCTGTCAGTGCATATACGGCCACGTACCCTTCACAGGGTGCCACTATCACAGCGACTATCCTCGGCCATGAGTGGTCAAACTAGGTCCTCGAATGTTGGGACAGCTCGCCGACCGCTTCCGTAGTCCATGGCGCCTCGCGTAAATCGCGACTCGACCAAAACCGAAAGCCTCAAAAGGGAAATCCTCAGTTTGCTGGCATTCCTCGTAATCCTCCATCATCCGACGGGTTCTGGGAGAATCACTGTCGGCGAATGCCCTGTTGTTGGGTAGTCAGTTATCTCGGTTTAGTCGCTGATGGTTTCGTTGTGGTAGGTCGTGTGTATACTTACCTGTTATATTCCCTCTCATCCATTATATCGATGCCAAAACATTCCAGCGGGTCTTGCCAGGTCCGCGACGATCTGCCGGATGGGAATCTCCGGGAACACCGTGAAGACAAAGGTGCGACTGTCGATATCCAAGAAAGCTTTACCTCCAACCCCATCGACGGGCTTCATGCCGTGATCCGTCAAGACGGCTTTTCCCACAGTACTATAAACCGGATCTTGGACGATAATCTCAATGGGCGCTCCGAGTTTTCTTTTCAGCACGCCCGCAATAGTCAGAGCCGCAGCATGTTGTTCCCGAGAGCTGTGCTGCTAATCAACTGCTCCGGTGAAGGGATCCCCGAGCGCTAGACATACGAGGCGGCAAGTATTGGGAGGAAGATCAAGCTTGCTGATGTAGGACTCGAGAGCGGCGCATTTCGCGTTCTGGCGCCAGTTGTCCAAAGAGTCTCTGAATGCTTGAGCGGCTGTGTCGTAATTGTAGTCCAATTCATCGCGAACTTCCTCTAGGTTCACAAACAAAGGGGCTTCCGTCAACGCGGATCCGGGGTGGTTTTGGGGACGGCGGTGCTCCGAGGTGACGGTGCGATAGTCCTCGAGGCCGATAGTGAGTCTGTTTTGATGCGTTAACTGTGAGGTATGCGCACAGCACGGAGGCGAAAGAGTACGTACTTCTTGTTTTGGTGACGACGTTTATCGGCATTTGTATAAACGATATTTATAGCTTCAATGACCCCGTTGTCAATAGTTTGATATTTGAAAGTAGGGTCGTTGCGATTGATCTGGTCTTCAAGATCCTGGATATTATCTCTAGTGAAGAGTGGGCTGCCGGCATGGTAGTACCGGTATGCCGTACCGGGGGGGGGGTTGAGCGAAGCCATCGTGACCATGGGTCGTTTCTCAAAGAATGATGGCCCAAAAGTGAGTGACCTTGTGTCGTTTCTCAAAGAATGATGGCCTGAAAGTGAATGGTACAGTAGAGCGAGGTGCGGGTTGGGCTGCCAGCCCTCAGACGACTGTACATCTATCGTCGCTGGTTATACGGCAGTTACGCCTGGACTCCTACCTGCCTCGTACAGTCGTGACCTATGCTCCCCACCTGCCTCGTGTAGTCGTGACCTATGCTCCCACCTGCCTCGTTGTCTATATAAGAGGAAACAACGCAGTCGCTCTTGTCTTTCTCGCACAACTAAATAGCCTAGAGCTAGGAGAGAGAAGTCACGAGAAGACAGTGTTAGGCGGTGATGGTTCTGGCATCCACTTGGAATTGAGCGCATATTCACGAGAGACATTGGAAAGGGCCTGACTAAAGACGACGGTTGAATGGCTGATGGGAACAGTAGGTTCCAAGCCTAGAGATAGGATTATGTGAGCTCGAGGAAGTATTGCAACGGCCCGACGTGGCATATGGTTTTCCTGCTGTCGAGGCCGTAACTGGTCTCAGTATCCCGCGGAGGAATTTTCGCCCCTTTACTGCCGAGACAATCCGGAAGATATTGTTGAGTCTGCCGCGCTTGGCCGAGCTTCGTCTCAAGCCGTGGCATCATCGCATAAGGATGGAGAACTTCCTGATCCACGATGCTACGTTATATATCCCACACTTCTACAAGATCTCGAAAAAAACAAGCTTGGAATGAGCACGCTGTTTTTTTTTCATCTCAGTGTAAACTAACGCTGTCCCAGCCCTGACCGAAGGGTCCCTGTTGCTGCCACAAAACGCTCAAGCGCATCAGCATATTTCAGCATTGCGATGCTGTCAATATCGAGAAAGACGCCTGGGGAACAAAGAGGAAATGGGGACAACTCGGGTACAACTTGACCCAAGCCAGCTGCACGCTGAAGTCGCTAGAGCAGCTGAGCCGCTGCAATGTGATCAATGCTTGACGAGATCATTGGCATGCCATCCTCATCCACCTCGGGCGGCGGCTTCTCCTTCGCCACGGCCACGGCCACCAACGCAGGCGCCTCGCCCATCTCGAAATCCGAGTCGCACTCCTCGCCCCCATCATCAACGCCATCATCCGAGTCGACGTCATCCCGCTCGGCTTCCTGGAATTTCTTCGCGACTTCGTCTTACCCGTCGACTGGCCCACACCGATGACATCCTGATCGACGTCGGACCGTAGAATGTGCGGCAAGCTCGCCGATCTCTTCCGTTCATACTTCCTCGCGTAGAATGCCATCTGGCCGAACTCGAAGTTGGAGGCCGGCGCCAGTCGATACTCCTCATACTCCTGCATCATTCTGCGCGTTCGGGGCGAATCCGCATCTATAAAGACATGTCTGTATTGAACCGTCAGCATCCCCCTGGGCTTTTGGTGGAAGATAGTGGCTAGACTGAACTTACGAACGCGGCCAAACGTAATCTTCATCCTCATCCGATATTTAGCGATTCCACAACATTCCCGCTGGCCTTGCTATGTCGGCAACAATCTGGCGCACTGGGATGCTCGGACATATTGTGAACACGAATGTTCGGCTGTTAATGGCTAGGAAGGCCTTGGCTCCGTGACCAGCAATCGGTTCGATGCCCTGCTCACGTAGAATGGTCTTGCTCACCGTACTGTAACAAGGGTCCTGGGCCAGTATCTCGATCAGACCTCCGAACCGTTGCTGTAGGATTTCTGCGATGGTGAGCGCAGCGGCATGTTGGTCCCTCGACCTATATTGATGAGACTTCGTGCCGCTGAAGGGGTCACCAAGTGCTAGGCAGACAACTCGATTGGTATTCCGCGGCAACCGCAGCCTGGCCTGGTGTTCTCGTAGAAGCGCACACTTCCCGTCCTCATGCCAATCGCGCAAGGATTTATTGAAAGCCTGACGTGCCTCCTTAAGGCGATAGCGAGATTGGTTAAACTCATTCGAGGACATGACTATCATAGAACAAGCCATGAATGCTGGCCAGTTAGAGAGTTGAGAGTGCCAGATTGTTGCAAGTAGCTCATAATAGTTGGAGAAGTCGATGCTGTTGGCGAGCAAATATTAGACCAAATTCTTATAAGAAGTATGATAACAGCGTACTGATACATCTTCCCGTGAACGTTAATGTTGTTCGCTTGGAGAGAATTTCGTTGTTCGGCAATTCCGTCGTTGATCGTCCGTAGAGAAAAGGCGTGATCGTCGCGGGTTAACTGATCCTCAATGGCCTGGAGGGAGTCCCTGGTGAAGAGCGGACACCCTGCATCATAATAGCGACTGGCCATTACAAATGGGCAAAGCGAGGCCATGTTTGTTCGTGCGATGTGTCCTGGAGGAGAAACTAAAATGTGTGAGATTTCTGAATGGTCTGCATTGAAAGAGGAATAAGGGGTAGCCGATGGGGATATGAAGCAATTGGTAGTGGTAAGGATGCTGGAGAACAGATTCTCCATGTATGCAGCAGAGATGATACAGTGGGTTCCCAGCACTGTGATTCGCACCTTCCAACAGATACCTTCCTACCTACCTAGATAGGTAGGAAAGGTACGGTTTATTTTATTATTAAGCTCTCCGACCGGAAGGGAGGAGCGAAACCCAAATACCCCAAAAGACAACAAAAAGCAGAAAGCACGGATGGCGTCCACAGGCTCAGGCCTTGGTAAAGGTCGATCCTCTGACAATTCAGGAGTCAGTCTACTGCCGGTTACGATGGGCGTGAGTATACCATTCACCCGTCATCTTCCTATAGGCTCCAAAGAGGGCCGCCATGAGAAGTGCACTACCTGCCATTGCTCCAAGATAGGTTGCAGCCGCCGTCGTGCCTGGACCAGTGCCGCCTAACACGGAGCCAACTCCTGCGGCGAGCAGAGTCGCAGCTAGCCCGCGTGTCAGCCGGATGATATGATGGTGGCACCAGCAGCTGCTCCAACGCCGACCTTCCACCGTCTGGAGACTGTCTTGCTGGGGCCCTCTTCTTCGTCTCCTCGGTCGCAGTCATGTCGGTCTCCGCTACATTGACCAAGCCCTGCGATACCTGCTTTTCGTCCTGTACCAGAGCGCCATAACTGAGCTCGAGAGACTGTGTGACAATCAGGACTGCAGCTGCGCTGGTCAGGGCTGATGGGATGAAATATATAGATTCAACGATATCTAAGGAAGAAGAGGCAAGGTCAGAAGAGAAAGGGGAAGCTAGAGGTATTTATGTACATAAATATGTGGAGGTATTATGTAATACCGTAACAGACTGTGCCAAGCGTGTGAGGAGGACGAGGGAGAAGCAGGAGGCAGCTATGCAGAACGAGGGTGCGCTCTGGCTCTGACACTTCGCTCACTTGCTTCGCGTTGCTGCTATCTGGGCGCACGATCCGTTCTCCATCGTGCATCTCGCGTTCAACCTCTCTCGCGATCCTCTCTGGCGCGGCCTGGGACCAGACGTCGAAGTAGATGTATAGCTTCGCGCTTCAGAGCTTGAACGTCATCCGAGCGAAGTTCTTTCGCCACAGCCTCTCGTGACTTCTTCCCTTGCTTCGAGCCATCGTCTGGCTGCTGAGCATCAACGCTACTATGATCGACGATTTGTTGCACGACGTCAACTACCACGATCTCGCTTGTTTGCAAAGCGTCGAACGTCTTCTCGGTGATGTCCTCCCGCATGTGACTCACGCATTGCTGAAGGGTTGCAATGAATTGCTTCTGAGCTTCCGAGGTCGCCAGCAGACTGGCCATGTTACCACTGCCATTGTGACCACCAAAGCCGCTGCACTCATTGGCGAAGAGGCCCAAAGCTGACGATTGGGCAGTATATAGCTGTACCTGTTCTTGTATTGGAGGCGAGCCCTCCATAGAAGGTAGCTATACCGAGCCCTAGAGCTACGGCTGTCGGGAGCTCCTGTTCCGAGCCGCTAGGGGCAACATCGCGAAAGCGTGACGGCAAGGACGTCTATCTCAGTGCCTGAAGCCAGAGACTGGCCATTCAGGGGCTAATTGTGGCTGGCTTGGCTTGATTTTGGGGATAGCCTCTGCTTTTTGTTGTCTTTAGGGTATGTATTTGGGTTTGGCTCCTCCCTTCCGGTCGACGAGCTTAATAATAAATACAAATCGTAAATCAAGTCCGCATCGGCACGAAGTCTGCGTGTAGCAATCGGCGTCTTCGGCTGGCTAGCAGAACCCTTGGAGACCACAAGGTCGACTTGGACGGCGAAGCGCAGCGGCTGGAGGAGTCAATCACAGCCGAAAGGCACAAGACCACTCAGGAGAAGATGAATGCCGGCGTCTCGAGTGTGAAGAACAAGTTCAGCAAACTCTCTACGAAGGGTGACAAGGATGGTCTTCAGCCAAAGACACCCACCAGAAGCGACGACGAGTACCAACCCAAAGACTTCGCAGACTCTGAGGAAGAGCAGGGCGCCGCCAAAAACCTGGGAAGTCGTTGAAGACCATTGGATCTACTCTTGGTGGGCTTGTGGCCGGTCGGTAAGCGCTCTAGATAGCATTAGCTCCGTTATGCCAGAATTCCAGCCTCTGGCAAGGGTCCTCGACAAGTACTATATAGTCCCCCAAAAAGCTCAGGAACTTCACATACGACCATAGGATCATGAGAACTTGGCATCCCGTCCGCTCTGCCTTAAATAAGCCTGATACCGCCGGATTAGTAGTTGGGTCGGTGACGACCAGCGAATCCCCGGTGTTGTATGTATTGTATTTTTGGCATTGCCTCTTCATTTTTGTTCCAAATGCTTTGATTTCATACGAGGCTTCCGTCTCGCTGGGTAGCGGACAACAGTTCTGTTGGAAATACCGATCATGAAAGTGTGGCAGATAAACGTTGCGGAAGAAGACTAACAAGGTCGGGATTGTCCAACGCTGGCAGGGATAAAAGATAGACATTAACTTACCGTCAATGTGCTAGAAGAGTTCAACGTCGTTGGCGATGATCTGAGCCTCATAATCTCGTGTCGTGCGGGACCTGTGTTGGCCGACGGGACGGTGCCCATCTGTGCGCTGCTAGGAAGGCGGGAGCCAGCTTATCTCAGCACAGACCACGTGGGAGCCAATTAGTGACTGTGGCTGGTGGGTGAATATTGGGTGGTGGAATGGTACAGAAGAAGAAAGAGAAGGATTTTGTCAGCTGGATTAAAGAGTGGGAGTTGGTTATGGCCAGGGCTATGAAAGCCAGGGTCCCTGAGGCTCTATTTCCAGCAACCTGGTTTAATGACTTCATAGTTGCTGTCGCCTCGATAAACTCCAATTGGTCTTCTCAAGCCAGGGCAAACAAGAAGGAAAGAGTGCTTGACAGCGGTATTTTGTACTCCCAGATAGCCTCTGACCTCTACGACGACTGGATAACAACGCGAGTCATTACCAATCCTTCAAAGGGATAGAAAGCGGGTTTCCCAGCCCTTCATGGAGAACAGCCTGACAATACAGGAAACTTGATTAGAGACAAGAGAGAAAAGAAGCATCCTCAAGAGCGATCAGACGCAAGAGGCAGAGGCCGCGTGAAGGAAACAACAACCAGAGACAGCAAGGGCGCTCAAGAGGTGGATCAAGAGGAGATTTCAAAGAAGGAAGTCAGGGAGCTGCTGACAAAAGGGGTTGAAATAACGAAAAAGCTCCCTCAACCACTCAAGCATGCAAGGGATGCTATTGTAAAGGGCACCACTTTACAGAGTGCTTTTACCTCTTCTCAAACAAGCGACCAAATGGATAGAAAGTCCACCACAGTGTAGAGCGAATGGTCAAAATACTGCTTAAAACGGACAACATTTTATCTAAGAAAGTGGCACAAATTTCTAAGAGACAGACACTACGCGATTGACTCGCGGAAAGGGGCGAGAGAGTACAAAATATACCAATACACGCAAAAAAGGCCGCAGCATCTTATCTAGCAAATAACACGGAGTCCTCCTACGCAACCGCCCCTTACCCTTTACTCAACTCGTCAATCTTTGACTCCAGCACAACCTTACATATCTTCAACGTTATCACTCGCTTCAATAACTTTCACAGAGCCCCAACATGTAATAGAGTGTACGTAGAAGACACCTTCATACCAATCCTAGGATACGGAGAAGTAGACCTCACTGCTTATGACTCACTAGGACTATTCATCTTGATGCTACGGAATGTCGCCTTTTGTGAAGGATTCGCGACAAATCTCGTATCTTTATAACAACTAAAGAAGCTTGGATATTATTGAGACAACAAACCTCTTAACAACTGCGTCAGACGAAAGGATGATTCAGTGATGTTTAAATTCACAGATAAGTTTAGACAATGGGTCATGGAGGACATACCCCTAGACAAAACCAAAGCGTCCTTTGCCATACGGAGGAGGATGATCAACTTTAGAACAGAAAGAGCTCCAAATAAGGGTAACAAGAACCTCTAGCACTGGCGACTAGGGCATCCTGGCCCCGAAGTAATTATTCAGATCACAAAGCATGCTAAAGGAGTGAGAATCAATGGTCCCTCTACTGCTCAGTGTGATGGGTGTGGCAAGGCCAAAATCAAGAAACAGACACACAGAATACCTAGGCGACCGCCAACCAAGCCAGGTAGTATCTTGTCTATTGACTTCCTTGACCTTGAGAAGGACTCAGATGGCTATTAGAGTATTATGTTTGTCACTTACAGATACTCTGGATACGTGTGGACATACTTCCTGAAAAAGGAGAACTACAGAACACATTGGCACCCTCCAAAGCATCGTTGGTATACTGAAGATACAGTTCCAGATCGAGGTTGAGGCCATAGAAGCAAACAACGAGTTCACTAAGTCAAAAGATATTAAGGACTTCGTCAAAGACAACCACATCCGAATCGAGCCCTCTGCACCTCACACCCAAGACCAAAATGGAGGCGCTGAACGCTCAGGGAGTGTAATCAAAGTGAAAGCTCTTGCCATTCGCAGCAGAGCCAAGCTTCTAATATATCTCTGGCGTCACATCTACACTGTAGCAGTGTATCTCCACAACTAAACACTATCCTGGCACCACAACTAGAAGACCCCATACGAGATGTTCTTCTAATATCTGTCATTTTGAGACGGCCTAGTTACCCCTGACTGCAGGCCAATACATGCACACCTACAAGCGTATGGCTGTAAAATATTTGCAATGACTGCCGCTGCACAAGAGAAGAAGGACCGCCTCAAGAAGCTGAACCCGAAAGCCTGGGTTGACTATCTTGTGGAATATAACTCAACCAACATCTATCTGGTCTGAAACCAATTAACCAGCAAGGTCCACGCTATACGTGATGTGATAGTAGATGAGGACCAGATGTTCTCAGGAGACTTGAGCGACCTCAAGGACGACCTCTTACATGTCAGTAAGGACAACTAACATTATTTCTAAATAGACACAAGATGCCATCAAAAACCTTAGAGGACATTCCAATGTACTAAGAAGATGAAGATCTTAACAGATTAATATAGGAGCACCCAGATAGAGATAAAATATACCTGAGTAGTAATGATACAAAAGGTACCCAGGACAAAGCCAACACAAATAGTAGCAAAGAGACTGATCACCCCTATACATCTGCCGTATTTGAGCCATACCTGATCCCAGAACCCACTCCTCCACCTGCAGCAGCACTGCTGGCCGCTATTATCAGAAAGCCTGTGAAGGGCCAGGTCAGAGCATCATGTTCCCGACGAGCAGAAGAAGGGTTAAATACCCGCTCGTTACCTTCAACTAGGGACGCCCAGGCCATACAAAATCGCCACGGGAATTGAGAAGCAGCGTTCAATGCTGGACGCGTTGCCAATTATGTTGGTTTGATAGATGGCAGGCCAGTGAACAAAGCCAAATATAACAAGTACAGAACCTATGGTTCTCGCACTGGTGGGAGACCATCACACTAAGGCAATCATCACGGCCCAGCCTCAATACCTACAAAAATAAGAAAGATACATCAATGATCATTACCATTAAAGCCAAAGAACTAACAAGGTGTCAAGAACCATCTCTACAAGGCTGAGTGGCGTCAAGCCGAGATTGACCACATCAGCAGCCACAATGAGATATAATCATAGATAATCACTGACAAGTCAGCAGCAAATAGACACCAAATCCTGGACTGTATGTGGGTATACAAGTACAAGTTCGACAAGCACGGCTTTTTGAACAAGTGCAAAGCACGCTTCGTGGTTCGCGGTGACCAGAAGAATAAGAACATCTATGAGGATACTTACGCATCTACTCTTACAGGCAGATCTTTTAGAGCCCTCATAGCAATTACAGCCCGCTTCAATCTTGAGCTCATTCAATACGATACCGTCAACGCTTTTATTAACGCGGACCTAGAAAAGGAAGTCTTCATGAAAATACTATAAGGGCATCATGAACAAAGAAAGGTCCTCTTACTAAAGAAGGCTCTATACGGACTATAGCAATCTCTTTTGTTATAGCAAAAGCATTTCATTAAAACTCTTATAGACCTTAGCTTCAAACCAGTCGCTCACAAACCCTGTTGCTTCACAAAGAATGGCATGATTATCTTCTTCTATGTGGATGATATCGTGATAGCCTTTAAAGAACACCATCAGAATACTATAAAAGCGGTCACAAAGAAGCTCAAAGCTATCTATAATCTGACAAGAGGAGAGCCACTACAGTGGTTCTTAGGGATAGAGATCATTAGGGCACAAAAATAGTGGCTCATCTGGCTGTCTCAAGCCTCATATATCGACAAGATTACAAGCCATATTGATCATAACAAGAAGTGCCCAGAAATCCCTATAAAGCCTCAAGAACTTCTCCCAAGCGACGAGCTTGCCTCGCCAGCCACAATCAACAGATACCAAAAGAAGATCGGATCGATCCTGTACGCAGCGGTGATCATACAACTCGATATCTTCTTCGCTGTCTCTTGGCTTTCACGCTTTAACACTAACCCAAATAATTTACATGCTGCTGCCGCAGAGTACCTATTAGAGTACCCGAAGGGTACCAGGTCTTTTGCTTTTCAATTGGAGGGTGAAGATCTGCTTGAAACATAGAGCGGTGCGTTATTTGCTGACAACTGCCTCGACCAAAAGAGCTCATAAGCATATATGATGAAGCTATTTAAAGGCATTATTGGCTAAAGAGCGAACAAACGGGACACAGTGACAACCTCAATAACAGAGGCAGAACTGTTATCACTTGCTCAAACAGCTAAAGAAGTGATATTTGTTTTACGCCTCTTTAGAGAAATTAGCGTATCCTTGGACTGTCCAACTCTCCGGATCTGGTATGACAACCAACAGACCATCAAGTTGGTACAGTAGGACCTCCAAACACTTCAAACAAAGCTTAAGCATGTTGATATCTATAACCACTGGCTAAGAGAAGCTCAACACAACAGGAAGATAGACGTCGAGTACATCCGGGATGAAATGATGCTTGCAGACGGCCTGATCAAGACGCTGCCGGCACCAAAGTTCAAGACATTCAAGGAGCAAGTGAGGCTGACAGATATCTATGAGAGACTTGCAGCCCGCAAGCTACAAGAACTTAAAGATGACTTCGAACAGGAAGAGCAACAGACTGAATGCTCAGGAACAACCTCAATGGAAGGAGTTATTCCTGGGGGGGTGTGGGGGGGTATTGAATGGGAGCCAGAGATAGACACCGGAAGATCTCCAGTGGGGCAGAGACGCACAGGGCATCTGACCTACCAAGAAGACAGATGATCAATCTCTGCACGCAGAGCAGAACAATTGATAGTATCAATCAACATCAGTGTATTCAATAGGTGCATCTCCAGATCTTTCTTTTCCTTCAACCAGAGTTCGTTATACGTCGATAGTTAAGAAGGGTCCCTGTATCCTTGCAATATATTTACGGAATTATGACACTAGGGCATGGATCAACCTGCCGTCCGATCAGTCACGTGCTCAGTGGCGTGACCCGGGGACCATGGGGACCATTGCTAGACCTGATGGATGGTAGAACCATCACAGTAATAGCATTAATACGCTTATTATTAAGCTTTGAATATATTTTTAGTTTATTTTCTTAGTGCTAGCAAAGAAAGTTTTGTATATCATAGCTTTTTAAATGATTTAATTTTTTTAAAAATTGAAATTTTAGCAGATAATAAACTTAACATTGCTATAAATTAACGCATAGCCGGCTTTTTTTTTAATATAAAATCTTTAAAACTAATTTTTTTTAAAGGGCTTAACTTTTAAGTATGAAAATGCTCTTCTTATACTATATTAATTGAACGCATCGTAATGCCGTTTACTTTTTAATAATAATAAGTCTTTGTGAAATTCTAGAAGGGTCATAAGCCTTAGGGGTGTGAGCGGTCGCTGCAAACGTTGTTATCATTCTCAAGTATGCTCGGCAGGGCTAATCTACAGCTAAATACTATACTGCACCATGCCAGGGTAGATCCACTGTTCCTTGACAGCCCCTTAGTGGGTACTGCACCTAAGGGCACCATATCTGGTATCTAACATCTGACAGTCTTATAAAAAACAAGCTATCGTTTATAATAGCTATTACTTTTATAAGGTTTTTTTATATATATAAAAGAAGCATTTTATCGTATCAAACCCGCTATTATTTATATAAAAAACCAGCAAGTGTGATAGATCAACTATCTATCAGGTAGTTGGTAGGGCAGACATGTTGCCGCCGCACAGAAAGCTAGATAATTGTGGGTCGGGATTTAGGATCTATCCCACCACCAGATTGAGCTGGTGCTGCAGATCTTTCTTCCACTCCTCACCAAAGTATTTTTGTTCAACAGAGGTCATTGCTGGGCATCTTCGTCCAAACCTTCTCCTTGCCCCGTGACAGCAAGACTTTTATTAAATAGGAAATAATAAAGAGCACGGGTCTTATCACCCTTTAAATTAAACCCAGAAGTACCAACTTTTGACCCTTTCCACGGACTATCTCGCAGCAGCAGACTTAATAAAATTTACTTTAAAAAAAACCCCCAAAAAACCCGATTTTATTACCGTACTTACGGTATCTAGGGCTTTGTTGCCGATAGAGATGTATATAAGTAAACATTGTAATATTAGGTGTAAAATGTGTCCCACTTAGGGGCTGTCCCACTTGGGGGTCCCCGCCGTTATTTATCAGCCAGCAACAATCAAGAAGGATAACTTCAACGTTCTTATCTATGGTGACGATGGCCATGACAAGGGTTGCGATGGCGCAGATGGCTTCCTCAAACTCAACCTTGCCGGGTCGATGAGCAATGCCATGCGATTTGGGTTTACCCTCATGGGCAAAATCCAGCCATACGGGTTGGAAGAAGCGTACGGATACTTTGATTCGGATCTCTATATGTCAGCCCAGCTTTCCTTCGATGGCAGGGGGACATTGGATATTAACAACGGCGATGGCGTCTTAAGGGACCTGCTCTCCAGCCCTTTTACGGCCTATGAAGCTTCACACCCCGGCATTGTCTCCTTCTCCCCACAGCTCAACGCCGAAGTGTCACTCGTCGGCCGGGTGTGATCGATGGAAAATTTGACGTCAGCTTTGAGCCAGGGTCGTCCAAGACCTTGAAGACCAATGTTCCGCCGGGCCTGGGTGCCTTCATAGGGGACATCCTCGATAACAAGCTTGACAAGGCAGTCGATGGAAAGTTTTCAGTTCAGAATGCCTCGCTCGACACTGTGTTCGCCGTGAACCTCAACCTAGAAGCGACTATGCAATTGAAGATATTTGGGTACGAGACCTCAATTCAGGATGCAGGTGCCGAGATAACTACGCGGGTACCCCACTCGATCCGTCTGGTGGGCGACATGGGCACTGGGTCACCAGGAATCATGAACGCTCCTCAACATGCCTCGGCCGACATTATACAAAGAGGCACAGTGAAAGACGGCTGGGATGACGGCGCGACGCATCTTCTCGGTTCTCGGCCCAGCCAGTCCCTTTTATTTACGGGTGGGGACGAACCAGACGAGAGGGAGGCCCCCGATATCAATGGCTATGCAGTTTTCGGTGTTAGGAACTTCATGACATGCTCTAGTGCATCCTTCACTGGCGAACTGGTTTGCTACTACGACATTTACAATGGAACAGATGACGAAGATCCAGGTGACGAAGACCCCGACGGCGGCCCGATTACACATTTAGGCGTGAGTATCTGGAGCCATTCAGCGAGGAAGAGATCAAGACATATCAATTTCTTGCAAAGCGAGCCGCCGGTCCGACTGGTGGCAATGCTGATACATATCCCATCCCCGGATATGTACCAAACGTGAATCCCAACACCGCAGTTGACGAGTTCGAGTTCCACACACCTACGTACCCAGCCGGCAACAATTGGGACGCACTCGACGAGTCAACAGGTCAGTCAAGACAAGCATTTGACCTTTTTATTCTGACAAAGACTATGCAGGCCGAAACGAGCGATACGCTCCTGCCAACCCAGCCAATTGCTTGGACACGACAGTGACGGCCAATGGAGTCCAAGGAGTCAACTATGATCGAATGAATTCCGATCACGTGGATGATAGATCCATTTTCCCGGGCGATGAGGCAGTCTTTTTTCAAAGCGGCAAGTTCATGACATGCATTAAACCTGGTTGTGACTCCGTTCCTAGCTTGGCTGATCTGTTGTCTCTCAGGTATGCTCGATATGGCAAATGGAATCACTCACACAAGCACAAATGATCTGATGACATTCGAAAACTTGCTCAACTACTTCGCCGCTGACTACAGGGCGTGGGTTCCGACACATGTCGAGCCCAACGCCCCTCCAGGGTCTGCATCCGGCAACGTAGCAGATGCGATGGGTTCCACTACCAATCCAAGCTCAATGGTGAACCTGGAAGAGTCCCTGAACGTGAGTACTTTGAGACAATGCACCATTCCCACCCTGCCATAAACGACGTGCCGGCTGACACCTTCTGCCGACTACAGCAGCTCAAAGGACGCATGTACACAACACAAGGCCGAGCCGCGGCTCAAAGCGTATGGGACAGTTGGATGGAGAATCCAAGCCAAACGAATGCCGAGGCAGCCTTCTCCAGCGTACGAGAGATTCTCTACATGTTTAATTACATGAACCAAATTCAAAACTTCCGGCAAAAGGTTTTTGATGATAGGCAAGCTGCGTTGGTAGAGTTCGACGACTTATACTCAAGGGCATGTACATTCTTTTCCCCCTTATTGCGTGTTGGCTTTCATCAGCATTTGTTATCATTCTTTCGGCTCAGATGTTTGTGGACAGCTTCGCAAGCAGCAGATATAGCAAAGTGCGCAGAGCAACTTGATTTCGCGGCGATTAGTGCGCTTGCCCTCTCACGCATATACACAGAGTGTTCCCACCCCCGCCATCTTCCATACTGTTCCTCGGAATCGTATACCCAGCCCAAAAGCAAGAGGGCTCATAACAGAAGCAGACGTTCCCCCAGCGACCCGAGCGACTGGCAACACTCGACGCGGAGTTCCGTACCCTTTTGGACCAACGAGTCGTCAACTTCGCGACGGAGTATGTTACACGCAGTTTGGATGATATGGACAACTCGTATGGACCGCTAGCGCAGAATCCGCGTTTGGCGAAGTTCGTCGTCGACGGGGTAGCGACTCTGAGGGCGAAGATAGCCACGGAGATTGTGTTATAAGAAGGTTATCGAGGCTATGCAGAAACTCGTATATGGAGCCAGCATGTATCGTATCACTACTTATTGATTATGGGAGCTAACTCAGTTATACCGCGCACTCAAAACAAATAACTGCATGTGAGGCTGTTCCCCGTGAGTTTTGAGAAGATCACATTGTTCTTTGGTTTTTGTTTATATTGCACAAGTGACTCACGCAATGAGATCATTGTCTTTACCTATCGTATGTGTGGGACGGCGCTGAACATGCAACGAACAGGTCACTGCTTGTTACGCAGACACTGTTCGCGCCAGCCGCGCTCGGCTGCCTCGTTGAGATCGAGAGACGGGTGTCTGGACGATCTCGAGGCCGCCGTACCCAGCGTGGTCGTTGAATGTGTACACATCGAAGTAGTCGGGATCGCGCAATGAACCGAGCAGGTTCTAGGTGAAGAACTTCAGGTAGTTAGCCAACTTGGCTTATGAGCCACGCATATAACCTGGGTTGCCGGCGAGGGGTCCGTCGCGGCTCGTAGTCGAGGCGTTATCGTCACCGCTGGTAACCATCGCCGTCCTCGTCGCCTTCTTCGTCGTCTTCCAATCTTCCCCATCTTCGGTTCATCTTCATCTTCCTCAACGCGCAAACTGCGGGGTGGGCAGTTGGTGATATAACAATATCACTTGTCGGGGTCCTTCCAGGTGGTCTTACAAACAGTATCGGCGTTGGCTGAGGCGCACACGGCCGCCCACCGCTTACTTCGTGGTGGCCTGTCGGTTGACGAGGTCTTGCTGGCTACGCAGTCGCGGGGTGCAGCGGCGCGTTTGGGGGGCATTGCGACGATATGAATCTGTTCAGTTGGCACTAATTGGCATTCGAAAAGAAGCTGGTGTCCAAGGCAAGTCAAGTAGACCAGCAGGTAAGACTTAGAAGTACCTAGGGAGGGCGATAACTACGCGCCTTCGACCTTCGTCATGGCCGCCTTCTATTGAGTCCTGGCGGGGCAGCAAATCCGTCCTGAGAATCGAGTGGTAGCGCAACCACTCTCGAACATCGGCAAAAGGATGAGGATGCCAGAACTTCTTGTCGAATCCAGCCGCGCCAGCCATGGACCAGTCGTCGAACAGTGCAATGATGTGCGAGCCTCCGGCCAGCAAAGGGCCAAAGTGAAGGTACTCGTGCTGATGGTGATACAGCAGCCGTCGAGGGCCCTTACGAGGAAACGCCCGGTATCCCAGCGCAAATGCGATCCTGTGCGCATCATACAACTTAACAAGATCCTTGGCCCAGACCGCCAGGATGACAACCTCCGCGCCGCCGTTGGCCATGATCCACTTCCGCCGACGCACGGCGACGTTCCAGTCGCTGAAGAAGGATATGAACGGGGACGAATACTGGCTGTCCCAAGCCATGTGCCGGTCGAGGCCTCGCAAGCCGACGAGCTTTCTGGGCGTGAGGCTGCCGTCCTCGAAGTTCCAGTTTGGGGCTTCCTGGTCCGGAGCGAGGGCCGTGTTTGTTCATGACGCGGAAGAGAACATTGGGTCTTTCCGACTCACCGAGCAGCTGAGACGCTTCGGCCTTGGAGAGGTTAGGGCGCACGTTCGCGTGTTGGAGTTTCTTCGTCGGTGCCATCATTTGTTCAGCAAGGTACAGGTGAGGTCAGACGTCCCGTAGAGGGAGTTGATGGGGCTAGATTCGGTCTGTTGAAGGGAGAAGAAGTGGCAAGTTGTTCCCAAGAAGTTGATTTTACTAAGAAGGTGATCAAGACGAAGGCAGTTGTGTGCAACGAGTCACTGGGCAGAGACCTCCTAAGTTGCGAGCCGTTTGTCAGCAGCCATGTCGAAATACGTGTTCACGAACGCATGGGGGTATGATAAACCCCACGCAGCTCAGTTCGAGAACAGGCAGCCAGGAAAGGACGCCTCTTGGTATTGTAGCCCAGGGATATACCTAGTAGATGTGAGCTGGTACCCCTGAAAGTGAGGCCTCTGCATATCACCTGCCCCAAATGGGCTGTTTGCTTTTTCGCAGCCGTTGGAGGATTTCGTCTGCAGAAGCATAAGCATGCACATGCACAAGGATAGAGAGATAGGGAAGAGGTAGAATGCGAGAGACAGTCTCAATTTCGCCATGTGACTACCATATTCATGGATACTATTGGCCTGCAGCCATCACAGCCGTATCTATGATCTCAACAAGCAGCAAACGCCCAGCACAAAGATGCAGACCAACGCATCATTGCGCACAGTACTGAGGATTTGCCCGTATCGCAATGAATGGCGCGCGTATCCTCCAACCGCACCTGGCAGGAAACCACTGATAGTCCACAGCCAGCCACTGGGCGGTGATTTATTCTTGTCCAAGAAGTACCGCGACGTGAGCAACACCGCCTCGACAGTGGTGAACACGTAGAAAAAGTATGCTCGTGTCTGCTCGATGCTGTTCTCTCCGAACATGCCCGTGCTCTCGATGGCGGCGGTCTCCCGTTCAATCTTGGTGCCCGTGAATGTCGTCGCAAAGGCTGCGTAGAGCCCGAGTCCCAAGGCGAAGATTGCGTGCAGGATCCGCCAGAGGTTGGCCGTCTTGTTCGATGCTGCTTGCTGTGCTTGCTGCATGGGATTGGCGCCGCCGCCGCCTCCGCCGAATAGTGACTCCAAAGGCGTACCTGCGAAGGGGTTCGCGCCGCCCGCTCCGCCCGGCATACCTCCTGCCATCATCTTTGACATCATCTGCATCATCGGGTCTTGGTCCATACCCTCCATTCCTGCCATGCCCTCCATTCCCGGCATGGGCGAGCCGCCCATGAAGGGATCGCGGCCTGGTGGAGTGCCTGCTGGGGACGGACGGTTCAGACCCAGCATCATTTGTCGGAGCTGCCCTTCTGTGATATTGGCTGGATCGCCGGGTTGATCACGGGAGGCCGTCTGGGGTTTGTAGAAATGCTCAGATATATCCATCTCTTCCGGGTCGTCAGACGGGTCGCGTTGAATTGGCTGCTGCGTTGTGGCCGGTTCCGACGGTGGCTGCGGTGCCGGGTCTAGGCAAGATGATCAGTTCAAGGCCACAAACGAACCAAGATGTGAGCGTTCTCACCTCTCTGGATGCCGCCTCCAAGACCCGTAATCTTGTTCAGGCGTGCTGCCCCTCCGGCTCTGATCTTGGCCTCTCGTCGCTCCTTGCGCAAGCGCGCCTGTTCGGTGGCTCGTGTAGATGCTGCATCTTCGGTCGACTGGACACCCTCCGTCATGGTTACAGGTGAGTCGTCTGGTGCGTAGAATGCGTGAAGGGTTTTGGTTGTGGTGGTGGTCAAGTAGTCGTACCAAGGTACAACTTGGAAGATGGATGACCTGGCGGCGGCGGCTGAGGGCAGCTTTCGGAGTTATGGCTTATCGATAGGGGACAACTCCAATCAACATCACTGCGCCAGAAATTTCTGGGAGAGCTCCCGACCTTTCTTTGGTCTCCCCAAAATCTCACCTCTCTCTTTATCAAAAGGGACAATGCACCGCGCGCTGGCTTCGAGATGGCTCAACAATGCGTTGAACATCGCCGAACGGCCCCGGCAGCTGGAGCTGCCTCTCTTCCTGTGCCCATCGGCCAGCTCGACACGGCGCATGTCAGCCCAGTGTGCAGTCGCATACTCGTCGAGAGTTCGCGCTTTACCGTGGAGGACGCCTAGGCGGTGCTTGCATTCGCATACGGCTGATCCGACGACGACAACAACCGCGTCACCGGTGCCGAGTAGTAACATACTCGAAACACCTATTCAAAGACGCAGACTACCGAAGCAATGCAGCGGCTGCGGTACCCTGTCGCAAACTTCACAACCCGATCAGCCTGGCTACTTCGACCTCGGTCGCAAAGCGGTTCGAAGCTACATAGGCGCCGACCAGACCACCGATCGTTCCCGTGCCGAGGACAAGATCTATGAGGATGCGCTGAAGCACTTTGACCATAAGGAGCTGGAACATAAAGGGGTAGACGTGGAGGCACTGGCCATGAGTGTGGTTCCCTCCGAGACACGCCCACAGCAAACCCCGAAGAAGCCGCTCTGCGATAGATGTCATTTCTTGCTGCACAACCATACTGGGCAGTCAATATACCATCCAAGCATGGATTCAATCAGAGATACCCTCATGGAGTCTCCCTACAAATATAACCATGTCTATCATGTCCTCGACGCTGCCGATTTCCCCATGTCCATTCTTCCGCAGATCTCGCAGCTGCTGGATACCATGCCCTTGCGAACCAAAAATCGTAGGTCCAGAGCCGGCAAGTTCTACCATGGTCAGCAGACCGAGGTGAGCTTCATTATAACCCGGTCCGACCTCCTCGCCCCGACGAAGCCTCAGGTGGACACTCTGTTCCCGTATTTGCAAGACGTTCTCCGTGATGTGCTCGGTCGCTCGGGGAGAAACGTTCGCCTTGGAAACGTGAGAGCTGTCAGTGCCAAGAGAAGCTGGTGGACAAAAGAGCTCAAGGAAGACATCTGGAAACGCGGTGGGGCTGGCTGGATGGTTGGCAAGGCCAATGTTGGAAAGAGTCAGCTCTTCGAAGCTGTCTTTCCTAAGGGCAGGATGGACTGGGAACCGTCCAAACACCAAATCACGGTCGACATGCAAGCACGCACCGCGAGAGAGAACGCTCTGTCACCCCCAGAGACGGAGTCGGAAACGACCCCTGAGCCCGAAGAGGATGCTGAAGCCGAAGAGATGGACCCAAACGACAATACTGCAATGGACGAGTTCTCGCTCTTGCCCCCTGCACCGAAGGAGACACAATATCCGGAAATGCCGCTGGTCTCTGATCTGCCAGGAACGACAGCGTCCCCTATCCGAGTACCCTTTGGAAATGGACGGGGCGAGCTGATCGATCTACCTGGATTGGAGCGTACCGGCCTAGAACAGCACGTTAAGGAGGAGCATCGTCTGTCTCTAGTCATGCAGTCGCGCATCGTACCAGAGCAGTTGACCCTTAGACCGAGCCAGTCCCTGCTTCTGGGCGGTTTTATCCGCATCACTCCACGAGACCCTGCCCCCATCATGTTGACGTATTCTTTCACACCTATTCAGCCTCACATATCGCGGACCGACAAGGCAATTGGTATCCAGGAGCAGACAGGCGAGGTCAATATCGACAACATTGCTGTACCGGGCACAGGGGAGAAGACCAAGCTGGCCGGCTCGTTTGAGCTCAAGTGGGATGTGACGAAGCAGCGGACCGGTCCTCTGACTAGAAAGGACGCCGTCGGTCTGAAAGTGGAACGGTTACCATATCGTGTTCTCTCGACCGATATTCTGATTGAAGGAGTGGGATGGGTCGAGATCGTGGCTCAAATGCGCACCAAGGACTTCTTCGCACCAAAGCCAGACGCAGAAGCAGTCCACAGGGCAAAACCTGAACCCGAAAGGAAACTGTCCTCTCTCGAACGGCTCGAGGCTCTCGCTGAAGTTCCACAGAGGCATAAAGCCCCGCCCGTGGAAGAGAAAGCACAGGGCGAGCCCAACTGGCCCATTGTGGATGTCTACAGTCCCGAGGGCAAGTTCATCTCGTGCCGCAGACCCATGAACGGCTGGATGCTGAACAAGCCGAGAGTGTCGGCTGCGTCGCAGAGGCAGAGGCCGCGGAAGAGCATGAAAGGGATGAAGAAGCTCGAGAAGCAGCGCAGGCGCGAGCGGGAGGCTGTCTCCGCTTCAACTGTATAGAATAATTGTACGTTGGTATAACATACTGTAATGAAGGTCCATGGATTTCTGGACTTATATTGTATTCTATTTGTGTTAACAAGCTCTCAGTCAAACCCGACGGGGCAGCTCAGATTGTATGAGTATGTGAAGGCGGCCATGCAAGTCCGGCCATGCAAGTCTATCCCGCACATCCCACCGGTCTCAGAACGTCTCGAGCCGTTCCACAGTCCAAGGAAGCTTCATCGAAGAAGCGCAAGCAGTGTAGTACCATACAATGATAGGCCGGCTGAAAACCTCGTAGCTAAGCCCAGGTCAAGCCCCCCTCCCACGCTTCAATCCGTCGAGTTATTTAGTTGATCGTGGCCTGGCTCAAGTCCGTGATAATTGTCCTGCCGTCCGCCGCGGTGCATGCATGTGCTTCGCCAATTTCCCTATAGTTCCAAGTCAAATTCACATGCTCTGAAGGCGACGACTATGCCCCGCAATCGGTAAGCATGTCGGGCAACTCAAAGACAGCTCCCTGCAATGGAGACCATACTGATTGCTCGAGAGCACTTTGACTCGGTCTCAACGATGCAATGTCTTCATTTGTTTGAGTGTAACTCTCAGTCTACTTCAAGGTCAGTACTGCAAGCATTCCTTCTTCACCATGACTGGACTCTACGCCCATCTCAGCGCGTCAGACCTCGAGCAACTCCAGCGCGATGCAGACAGCTCACTCCTGCACTACGGCACATCCTTCCACCCAGACATCATCACCCGGGCCCATGGCAATTCCATCTTCACCAGCTCAGGCCACACAATGCTGGACTGGACATCCGGGCAGATGTCGACCCTCATCAGCCACGGCAACCCCGAGATCGTCGAGACCATCACGAAACACGCGCGGTCGCTCGACCACCTGTTCAGCGGCATGCTGTCCCCGCCGGTGATCAACCTGGGGAAGAAGCCAACCTGGGGAAGAAGCTTACCGGTCTACTGCCCGAGGGTCTCGACAAGGCGCTGTTCTTGTCCACCGGCGGGGAGAGCAACGAATATGCCATCCGGCTTGCCAAGCTGTACACCGGCAAGCACGAGATTGTCGGTCTCTCTTCAAGTTGGCACGGCATTACTTCCGGCGCCAATGGTGCGCACTATCACAGTCGAAATGCCGGGTATGGACCGACGATGCCGGGGAACTTGATGATCTCTTCACCCAACGCGTACCGCTCCATATTCCGCCATGCCGATGGCAGCCACGACTGGCAAACAGAGCTGGACTACGGCTTTAGCCTGGTCGATCAACAGTCGTCTGGTTCTCTGGCCGCTATCCTCGTCGAGCCCATCCTTTCCTCGGGAGGCATGCATCCCCTGCCTCCAGGCTATCTCAGGGCCTTGAAGCAGCACTGTGAGAAGAGGGACATGCTCCTGATAGTCGACGAGGCCCAGACTAGCATCGGCAGGGCGGGCGACTTGTTCGCATTCACCCACGATGGCGACGGTGTCGTGCCGGAAATTCTCACGCTCAGCAAGACGCTCGGCAACGGCCCGCCTCTCAGTGCCGTGGTGACGAGCAATACGATCGCGCAAGTGACGAGGCAGCGCGGTTTCTCTTCTACACTACCCACGTCAACGATCCCATCCCGGCAGCCGTAGGGGAGAAAGTTCTCGATATTGTCGTTCGCGACAACCTCGTGGAGCACGCACGGTCGCTGGGGCTTAAGCTCCAGGCTGGGCTCCGCCGCCTGCAGTCGCGCTACGGGTGTATCGGCGATGTCCGCGGTCGGGGTCTCATGGCTGGCGTCGAGATCGTCGCCGGGCCGACCTCGAAGACGCCTGCGCCGGAGGTGGGTGCTAGGGTCGCCGGGAGGATGTACGAGCTCGGCTTGTGGGCGCAGCTGGCTACCATGGCCAGCTTTGGGGGTGTGTTTAGGATAGCCCCGCCGCTGACCACGACGGAGGAGGAGCTTGAGAGAGGACTGGCCATCATGGAGGAGGCGCTGAGAGTGAGTGAGGGCACGCTGCCGTTGTATTTGGACGATGGGATCGTAGAGAGCACGGCGGTCCGACCTGAGAGCGGACGGTGAGAATATGTGAGGTGTAGCTTGCCATGCGGTGTAACATGTTTAGCATTAGAACGCCAATTACGAGACCAATGCAGATATCTTGATGAGAGCAGGCTGGTGCAGCCCCTACAGGTAAATATACACAGTGCCCTGGGGCCTTCAAGGTCCATTCATGCCCAGCGCTGTCACAATGTCAGTCTTGAGGCACTTGGGTAGCGTTACCGAAGGGATAGGCAGATACAGCGGACGGTGATCAAGGTCTCCGCAAGAGATGCTTGAAAAGGGCCATACGCAGCCTCCATAAGTTACGAAGTTGCTTAAATAGCCTTGGATCCTGAAAGATGTCTGGGAGCCGGCAGCTCTCCCTAACTCCCGCTGCTTGATGGGCGGCACTAACACAACTAAGGGGTGACCATGTTTGGTATTGAGGCGAGCATTCGTGACTCAAAGGGAGGAAAGCTAAACCGTGAAATGCAAGTTTGTGGAAATGGTCGCGCAAATTGCCTACGAGACAAACCACGCTGTCCTCGTTATCTCTGAAGAGAGAGAGCTGCTCTACGAAGTCTACCAGGATCTTGGATTCAGAAGACACAGCACGCCGCCATCCAAATGTCATTAAATAGAGATCCGGCGTAGCACATGGGACTAAGCACATGGGACTAGGTTTGCCGTATAGTGAAGGCCACAACCTCCCAGACGTGAGCAAACGAATATACCCACAGGGCTGCCGTACGGCGCCCAGCCTGAATATCCTTACTATCTCAAGCTGCGAGACGGCTTTCGATACTTCATGATTTTCTAATTCTATTGCTGTACTTCAGAGGCGTTCGATCCTCGTTTGATACATCATATATGGCCCGTGGGATCGTTGTTTTACTCTCTTTTCGTAGTCTTTATCAACTTAACCACAGCCTATCCACCATTAAAAAACACCACCGGCAAGTAGTCTCTAAATTTCAGGCAAGTGGACGAAGTGTTTTAGAACTTATGCCAACAAAAGGCCACTCTCGAGAAGCTGATGGCAGCACTCGTCAGTATGCGAACGGCGGTCGAATCGGAAGCCAGTGGCATAAACGAGTTTCGACGAGATCACAGCCGATGAAGATATCAGGAGAGCCTCAAATTAGACTGTCCCTTCAACTGTTCGGGTTGCCCTTGATAGAGCGGTATGCACCATCGTAGATGGCATGCTTCTTATTGAATCACATTAAGTCTTTTCGCCCCCAGCTCGCACCACCACTCACCGCGAATCCAGTCCGTGTGGAAGCTGCGGTCACTTTGGCCATTCGAAAACCTCAGGCACCAACTTCGCACCGATATCGTATGACAGCACTGCACAGCACTACACGCCGAATAAACTCTTTCACCCAATCCAACCACCACGCGCCACGAAACCGTTTTTTAGTGTAGCCCGTGGACTTCTGGATCTTTCTGACATCCAAGTCAAGAACTCAGCACCAATTCCGACATCCCAGCACCAAACACCCGACAACGTGCATGCACCATGGATGGCGCCACGCTCCCCAACATGCACCCCGAGAGCGTTGTCGATCTCATCGTAGGCATCGCTGCACTGCAGCGAATTGCAGAGAGCCCCGAAGAACCCACCGAAGACGACATTGAGACGTGCACTCACCTCATCAGTAAGTCAAACGTTACTGAAATCTTTGGGGGCAATTGTCGACGCTAATCAATCTACCCAAATAGCTCGCATTCAGGAAATGATCCTCGGCCTGCAGGTGTGCAAGGACTTTATCGACGAGTCACTCGAGGAGAAGCAGCAGCAACAGCTGATGACCGCCGCTAGAGATCGAGGAACCGGGGTCCAGGAAGACGACGAGCTAGGCAGTCTGCACCAAAAGAAGGACACCGTGGAAGGGTTGATCAAGGAACTGTACAAGATGAGAACAGCCGCCATTGCAGCAGCTGGTGACGCAGATGACGTGGATGATGCAGACGACGAGGATGGTGGAGACGACAACGCCGCAGTTGTCTTCGCTTGCACTCGCTGCAACGCGCGCCACGGCAGACTGGCAACACACCGTCAGCATCTGCGAATGCGTCACCCGGGTTTGAGCTGCCGTCACCCCATGTGTGGCACGTCTTTTGCCACCGAGGCAGAGATGTTGACCCAGCTGAACTCAGCCCACATTCGACCCATCCCCGTCTCCATCGACGAAGAGAACCGATTCGCTTGCTCTTGGCAGGGATGTGACAAGACCTTCACACGCTTCTCAAGCGTCCAACGGTGCGTGATGTATCATCAGACAGCTGCATAGGGGTGCCAGACAGAGTTCCTTTGCAATAAATTTCCATGCATGGCAAGGAATTAATATTGCGAGTTTCCATGAATAAACGACGGGCGTGCCCGCTTCTGACAGGAAAGATTGTTCTCGATAAGTGAAGTCTAATGTGAACCCTGAGCCGACATTCCCGGGCGATGCAAACATTATAGAGGTCGTACGTAGTATCAGACAAACCATCATGCTGTAGCAACCGCCTGGTGACACCAGGGTAACAGTGCTTGGCTGGGTGAGAAGTAGGCAGCAAGCTCTTGCAGTCTTGATCACCACCGCAGCCAGGCAAACATGGTTCTTGGGTCGGGAGAGACTGACCAGGGGTGATGTCTTCTTAGACAATATGGAGCTGTTTCAAGGCGAGTCATGTGTCCAGTGTCCGATAAACTTAACCGTAGCCCAGGCAAGAAGGGGCGTGGTACGGGTACGAGTCAGGGGCGGTTAGATTCAAGCAATGGACCGTCCGGTGAACACGTCACCCTCCCTAACACATTCATCTGAATAGAGTAGGGCGTAGACTGGAATTGTCTTAGGGCTCTGCTAGGTATTAGTATGCAGTTTTCGCGGCGGGTTTCAACTTCGGGCGTCCGCCAAGGCTCAAGACTGCGAGAGTGAAACGTGGGGAAGATGCCGCCGCTAAGATGGTTGCACTTACACTTCGGACGATGAACGTGAACGTACAGTTGAGTTGTGTTGAATAGGTAGGAATAGCGATGATGTGAAGTCTCAACTCGCCGCCTGCGTATGAAGTGCACAGTTCACCGGCTGATGTGGGCTGAGGTGGCATGCGAGCGTGATAGCTATCGTGATGGCAAGGCGGCTTATAGACTGCCGTCTTTGTAAGCGCATGCAATACTCAAATTGACAAATTTCAATCACAGCGATCAGCTTGTCTACCAACCCGGCAGGCTGGTCGGGCAAGAAGAGCCGACATCAGTTGTGGTGGCCTCGGCTCAGTGACTCCAAGTTGCCTGGCGTGTTCGGCTTGCGGAGCACAAGGACGTAAGAGGCTTTAATTAGTAAGAGGGCGCCCCGGGTGGATTCTGTTTGATAATGATGATTTTCGTGTTTTCGGCGTCGTCAGCCCGAAGTGGTATAACGAAGCACAATTTTCTCTACAGTACGAGCAGGACGGACGGAAAGCTTGATAGCCGTGTAGATCGGTACTTACCGAATCCCCAGTCCCACCGTATTGGGCGAAGATTGCCTGAGATCCCTGAACGCAGGGTGTGACGTCGTCTGCAAGCAGGTAGGTAGGTGGCTTCCAACTGCGAGATGTTGCGAGTCTGTCCTGTATTGACGGTGGTGGTTGATCTCAAGTTACATTCTTCGTGGTAGATCAGATCTCGCATGACCAGACCCGGACATTGAGGATGACGCAGGGGGTGTTGCTCGCTTCGGTACAACGTGAAACAAGGGAAACAGGAGATGGAGGTGGGGCATCGAGAAGGCCTTTCTCAGTGGCTGACACGGCTCCGAGACACGAGCGCTTATCCTTCCTTGGCCGGGTAGTGGGGCCATTTATAGCTACGCTGCCACGTCCGACCCCTGAATTATAACACGTCTGGCTGGAGCTTGACGTAACCGGGATTTGCCAGCCGCTTGGGCGGGAACTCGGCTTCCAATGGCAGCTTGGAGGAGACCCCTGATTTCTGATTGGTCGGGTCCGAATTGAATCCAGGTACAGCCCGCCGCTCATTGGGCCACCCCTTGAAGTGGCCCAGCTCTAAACAGCCACCGCGTTGATGGCTTTGTCCGTATCACCAACCAACCTTGAATGCTGAGAATGCAGGTATCACCAACCAACGCTGAGAATGCAGTGTCGAAAGAGAGGATTCAGGATGTGAAGATCCATAGATCCGTCGGAGCTCCCTCAGTACAAGAATAGCACTTGTCTAGATCGAACTTCTATTGTGGATACAGTGGACCCCTGGCGGACAGTGGGACCCCTTTCGATTGTACCTCGCATGTACCTTAGTTACCTTAGGTATTCTACGAATAACATCCTCCTCCGCCTCATCCATCTGCATGCTGTAGCTAGCCTACACAGGCAACCGTCTTTTTATCTTCTTCTCTCCTCCCTCCGACCACCTGTTCGCCCTCTCCCTCGTCTCCTCCTTTCCTACATCCTTTCCGACCAGTCCTTCGTTCATCTGGGCGTCTACCTCTGTCCTGCAGCGTTCTACCGTCGTATCTTTGTCCGCAGTTTGGCATTGTCTCCGAGCACGCCCCCTTTTCATTCCACCGTTTCCACCTCCAATTGATCGCCTGGTGCTTTCTAGAGGAAACCTATTGTATCATTCGTTCGTTTATTTCGAGTCTCTCGGTCCGACACCACCACTTCCCTCGCTGCCGTCTTCGACAACGTCGGCCCACGACGACGACCACCACCACCACCACCACCCTACTACGCACGTCCAATCCAGCGCCATGTCCCTTCGATCGCCGAGGGGCTTCGTGCCCCTGGGAACTTCTCGCTCCAATGGGGGTGAAACCGACATTCCGTTGACCCAAATACGAAGCAATGCCAGCTCTACTGGTGCTCGAAAACCCAGCCAAGGCATCGCCACAAGCTTCGACGACCGCAACCAATCGCCCGACAACGAAAACGAAAACGAGAACGAGAAGCAAGGCTTCTTTCGTAGGGGCCGAAGAAGAGCCAAGAGGAATGAGCCGCCCCCACGAAGCGATACTCTGGCCTCGCACGAGACCTCTCTGAATGCCATGGGAAGACTCTACAACAAGGTCATCCATGCCTCCGTCGTCACGCGATACCTCGTCTATATCGTCCCTGTCGGCCTTCTGTTGGCAATCCCCCTAATTGTCCTTCCAGCTATCGGCAAGTCTGACGTCCCGGTCGGGGGTACCGAAAAAAATCCAGGACCTCCAATTAATCAACTTTTCCTGTGGATCGAGTGCGCCTGGCTGTGCTTGTGGGCTGGAAAACTTGTCGCCTGGGCCTTGTCACCCATCTTCATGTTTTTCACTGGAGTAGTCAGTGCCGGGACTCGCAAATATGCCACTGTTCTCCATTCCCTCCAGGTTCCCATGTCCCTCTTTCTCTGGGCTCTGAGCTCCTGGCTGATCTTCACAAACCTCATCCAAGCCCGATACGATTCTGTTCAATGGGTTAACACGCTCAAAACGATACTGGGAGCCACGTTTGTCTCTTCGGCCGTGTTTCTCGGAGAAAAGGCCATTGTGCAACTCATTAGTATCACGTACCACCAACGTTCTTTCGCCAACCGCATCAAAGACTCGAAGCGAGATGTCTTCCTTCTTGGCCTCATGTACGATGCGTCCCGCAAGCTGTTCCCCATGTACTGCCCAGAGTTTCTCGAAGAGGATGAAATCATCAACGATAGTATCGAGTTGCTCCTCGGCGGCGGAAAGAAGGCCAGGAGGGGAAAGAACGGAGCCGCCACTCCGATGAAGCTGATTGGCAACGTCAGCCGGTTTGGCAACAAAGTCACGTCGGCCTTTGGAAATATGGCCTCCGAGATCACTGGCAAGGAGGTGTTCAACCCAAATTCCGCGCACTCCATTGTTGTCGAAGCTTTAGAAAAAGCCCGAACCTCGGAGGCTCTTGCAAAACGTATCTGGATGTCCTTCGTCGTTGAGGGCAAGGAGTCCTTGTTTGTGGATGATATAGTCGAAGTTCTTGGTCCCGCTCATCACGATGAAGCCGAGGAATGTTTCGGAGCAGTGGACGCGGATGGCAATGGGGATATTAGCCTTGATGAGATGATCAGGAAGGTTGTCGAGGCTGGCAAGGAGAGAAAAGCGATTGCAAACAGCATGAAGGACATCAGCCAGGCTTTGGCTGTCTTCGATAAGGTCCTCCTCTTTATCGTGCTCCTGATCGTCATCTTCATCTTCCGTAAGCTGCCTTCTCTTACACCTACCTACCTTGTGCTGGAAACAACTGACCGATTTTCCTAGTTGCCTTCTTTCAAAGCTCGTTTGTCACTACTCTTGCAACTGCGGGGACGGCATTGCTCTCGCTATCCTTCGTATTCGCCGTGACGACCCAGGAGTTCCTCGGCTCCTGTATCTTCTTGTTTGTCAAGCACCCATACGATGTGGGCGACCGCGTCGATATTACCGGTTCCGAGAAAGAGCAGCTTGTGGTCGAGAAAATCTCACTGCTCTACACGGTATTCAACCGCATCGATAAAATGCAGGTCGTTCAGGTACCCAATATTATTCTCAACAATCTTTGGATCGAGAACGTTACTCGCAGCAAGGCTATGAAGGAGGTTATTGACCTCAATGTTTCGTTCGACACTTCCTTCGAAGATATTGAGCTGTTGCGTCAAGAGATGGAGAATTTTGTCCGGGCGCCGGAGAATTCCAGAGACTTTCTGCAGGATATTGTCATCGGCGTCTCAGGTGTCGGCGATTTGGATAAGCTGCAGCTTAAGGTTGCTATCAAGCACAAGTCCAACTGGCACAACGAGGCCGTCCGAGCCACTCGAAGATCCAAGTTCATGTGCGCGCTCATACTTGCACTGAAGAAAGTGCCGGTCAACGCACCTGGGGGAGGAGGAGATGCGTTAGGCGGTCCGGCAAATCCGACGTACTCCGTGAGCGTTTCTGACGCGGAAGCTGCTGCTGCTCGCGACAAATCTGGCCAGGATAAGAATGCCAAACGCCTCGTGCCAGCACCGCCACCTGCTCGGAACCCTTCGACCTCGAGTAGAGCCAACATGTCGCAATCTAGAGAGGAAAAAGCTGCACAGGGCTTCAATACGCTCGACCCCATGCGAGCGGCGGAGGATGACTGGGGTTACAACCGTGACGACACCGACCCGGACGACGACGCACGCGATGAGGCGGTAGAACGAAAACGCTCGAGTGACATCGAAACTCTGCGATTGGATCTCCATAAGCGAGAGAGTCAGCGTAGTGGCAGTCAGCGTATTGGCCGTCGCCGGGCCGGCGACACTGTGCCCATTGAACCAATCGGAAGCAATGGACCTGGCCTCCAGGTGACGCAGCACATGGCACCCTTCGACGAAGAAGCTCAGATGGGTGGACCGGGCCCGTATACGAACCCGTATAGTGCATATAGTTCAGGCACACAATCGGGCACTCTCTACCCACAATCAAGCAGAACGCCACTGACTGGTGGCCAGGCTGCTTCAAGCAGCAGAACCCAAGAACCTAACGCGCCCCCGCCAGCAGCACAACCTAGACTCCAGCGTTAGAGTCGGTAGGAGACGGGTCTGGACCACCAATCAACCACCATTTATTGTGCATCACCTCTCCAGGGGCGGAGTAAGGCTGGCTAACGGCGTTCAAAAAGAAAGGATTAGAGGCACACTGGATTGTGGGCTATCAGGCTTGAAAAGCGGTGACTCGGACGAATTCATATTTCTGATGACTTGATGACAAAGCATAGGGGCTGGCAGAACATCTTGCGAACAAAACCGGTAGTTGGTACCTCAACATAGAAGCATCGCCAAACGCGACAGCGGCGGGAGCAGTCGCGCAGACCATTGATTTCAGATTAGGCTTTGTACAATAGCAGCAGCTTGAGGCTCGCTCCAATTTGCATGATGTTTCAGTGAAATGAACTATATTATGTGCATTCATGCAAAAACAGTGCCTACCACCGCATAAAAGTACAGCTTTTGACGACTGGCCGAGCTGAGCCCCAGTTGGGGAACGACGGGGCCGCCATTATGTCTGCTCGATGTAGGTCTTGCATAGACTAAAAAGAATATTTTGAGCCCAACGTCTGACTGCACTCCCCTATCAAGCTTGCGGTCTTCTGCCTCGAAAGAAGGCTACTCGTCGTCTAACGAATAACCTTGCGGGATTCGTGCAAGGTCACCCACCCACCCACCCACCCGCCCGCCGGTTTTGCGAATCGCAAGGGCCTTGGTCTTGGCCACCGTACTTCAAGCGTCGATTCTGGTAAGGATTTCTAGATGAGCAACGAGGACACCCGAGTGCGACTCTTGCTATAAGACAAGCCGCCGTGGAAGCCGAGGAAATCAGGGGGAATATTTTTATGGGTACCCTCGATTCCTCCTCTCGTGGAGATGAGATTAACCTCTACTTTGGTAGTGTCGGGTATCGAGGAAGGCGGATGTTTGTATTCGTAAGCTTGCTGTTGGTTCGTAGTGAGCTTGGGCCGGTCCGGGGCGGAAGCGACAACGGGAATCTCTGTGTATCCGGCGATACAGTGCATCATCGAGACCATTCGTGAGACCAACTATTGCAACGCAACAAGCCAACGCAGACTAAGAATGAGGAAAAGGAGAGAGAAGGAGGGCATGCGTATGCAGAGTTGCCGCCCAGTTGATTTGGGAATCTATCAGATGACAGCAAGAACCCCTTCGAGATCCCCAGGAGTCCGCAATGAGAGAATGAAAACATGTCACATATAATAAATACAAGATTTGCCCATGAGGAAGGTTGAGAACGATGGGCAGCAAGCATGATCGCGAGTCATCTCGAGTCCCTGCCAGGCCATAGTTGGATCTTAGACAATTACGTGACATCAACTCCATAGAGGAACTGGCACAGCCACTACAAAGCATGTGGGAGTCTTGATACCTAGGTACTGTAACTAAGTGACCTACCGCAGAGCCCAAGTCTGCGACCGTCCGTTCCACACAGCCCAAATATCCAGCGCTCGGGCATTACCCTCGGGCGCCGAAAAGGTGATCTCGCCACGAATCTCCTGCTGCCCCTGCTCTTCCTTCTTTTCGACCACCTCAGCACCCTCGTCCTTCTTTTCCTCGTCCTCAGCGTCCGCCTTGCCATCATTATCCCCCTTCTTAGCAGCCTTGTCCTTGTCCTCCTTATCGAGCCCGAACAGTAGAAGCGCCTGCTTCCAGTGCGTCTCCGTGCCCCACGGCCCCGTCGTGAACGCCACGCGGTCCTGGTCCTTCTTCCCGTCCGCGCCCAGACACCACTCCAGCGCCTTCGCATCGGCCGCGAGCGGCACGCCCTGCATGCGGTCCGCCGGCGCCTGCGGCGAGAAGAATGTGTCGAACCAGACGAGGAAGCCGTCAACGGGATCTTTGTTCTTCTCATTCTTGCCTTGTTCTAGCGTCACGGAAAACGGCGCCGTGAACTGCAAGTCCGCGGCCGTGGTGGTATACAAGTCGAGCATCTTGAAGGCGGCGGCGGCAGTACCACAAATCTTGTCCGTGGGCCAGTGCAGCACGCGCGCGTCGTCGAAGATGCCGGCGCTCATGGCGCGCATGTCGAAGCCGTAGACGTCGGCCCAGAAGTCGGGCCCGTTGTCGGCGACCCAGACGGGGTCGGCGACGGGCGCGAGCCAGAGCGAGGTGTGCGAGGGCACCATGAGGCCCTGGGGCGTGAGGTACCGGTCGCGCGCCCACAGCACCGAGGGCAGCATGGCTTCGAAGAGGAGGCCGTAGCCCATCCACTCCGACACGATGATGTCGACTTGCGGGACGGGAAGGGTCACTTCTTCGATACGGCCCGAGAGGCACGTTATGGTGCTGGAGAGGTTGTTGTGGTAGATGTTCTCCCGCGCTTTGTGGATGATGGCGCTTGCGTCTACGGCGAGGACTTTGGAGGCCCCTGCGCGAGCGCAGAACATGCTTAGGATGCCTGCGTGGGCTATCAGTTTGATGGCAGGAAGAAGACGCGATGGCTGTAGGGAGGGCAAAGAAAGGTAAGGGGAGTAAGGGCGCGGGTTTGAGGGATGAATAGGAAGTGGAGATCGGGGTTCAGCGGAGGACAAGACGATAGACTAACCTGTGCCGCAGCCGATATCCAGGACAGTCTTGCCTGCGAAGAGGTGCTTGTTGTTGTAGATGAAGTCGCGGTACGCATCCGTGCGGACGGCGTCCTTGAGCATAGTCTCGTGAATGTCTTTGATGCGTGTTAGCTGGTGTTTACCATAAACAGGCCCCTGGGTAGAATTGCAGATACAGATATTAGAAATCATAGTACTTACCAACTCCAGCATACGACTCCCAGTAAGACTTAGAATCATCTTCTTTCTTCACCTCTCCATTCCCCTCGCCCCCCATCCCCTTCGCCTTCTCCTTCTCCGGTGCACCACCAGCCTTGCTCGACTCGGCCGGCTCGGCGACATCGCCCCAGCGCTCGTCGAGCGTCTGCGACACCGTAGCGCGATAGTTTTCGTACTGGGCCGAGACGCGGGCCAGCTCCTCCTGGAGCTCGCTGTTGCGCTTCAGCAGGTCGTTGACCAGCGCCTCGTTTTCGCCACCACCGCCACCGACTTGCGCGTCGGGCGGTGTGAGCTCGGGCAGGTCGAAGAGGCCGATGATGACGGCGTCGTCGTCCAGCACGGGCTTGAGGTACTGCTCGTGGTCGAGGTCGCTGCTGCTGATGTCTTCGCTGACGGGCAGGCCTTCGTGCGCCCGTTGACGGACTGGGTGTGGGTGTCAGCAAGCAAGTGACGAAGGGTACACTTTCGTATATAGTTGAGGGGTCAGGGCCAATTGTTATGTGAATACCGACGGTTGGTGTGTTTGTGGGCACTGTGACTGATTCACGATGTCGTATCACGATCTCAGAAGCTTCTCAAACGCATGACTTCCCAGCCTGGGCCAGAATGAGGCTTATTACACAGCACCACCCATGCAGTGAACTAATGCCAGGGAAAGAGAGTAGTAATAGACCTACTAAAGTTGACCAGCCTGACACAGCCGTGGAAATCAAGCTGCAGGTGCTGCCGCACGCCTAGGAAGTCGAAGCCATGCTTCTCGCGGCAGTGCACGAGCATGGACATGACGTCCGGGAAGACACGGTCGTCGAGCAGCGAGATCACCTGCTGGGTCTCGCCGTCGTCATCGTCGCCGTCCTCTTCGACGTCCTCTTCGACGTCGTTCCAGCCCTCGTCGTCATCCGCCGCTGACGATGCCGAGTCGCCGAGCGGATCATTGTCCTCGGGCACCTTGGCGGGCTGTGTTGAGGAGGATGCCATGTTGGTCGCGGTGTGTCTTCTCCACGTACACTTGTTAGCTGTGGGCTCAAAGTTTGGGGATTCGCTTGGTCTGAGATGGTCTAGATGAGCTGATTGGTGGTTGGCTCAAGTGAGGAGTACCGCCAGAGAGAAAACTCACTACTGAATGTTCCAAGGGCCGACAACAAGATGAGTCGCGACGCAGCTTTATGGCAAGGTCCTCGATCGTCTGAGCTTGAAACGAGGACTAGACGGGCTCCTAATAATACCGGTGTCGACAAAGTATGCCAGAAATCCGTCGATATAGCTGGTGCTTCAATATCACGAATGCCTGAGAATTTCTTACTACGATGTGGATTTTGTGGATGGTGCTTAGATGCACTTATGCATTATATGCACAAAACAGCTACTTCACGAGTCGGCCCCCTATGTTTTGCAATCGCTAGCTCCTGGATGAAATGGGTATCGAACAGCTCCAGTGGCTTTTGTCAAATGGTCTACTGTACCCTTTGGGATCTCGATCAGTCCACTGCATCATCCTCATCATCATCCTCATCATCTTCGTCTCCGTCCTCGTCGTCGTCCTCGTCGTCGTCCTCTTCGTCGTCTGAGACGTTTTCACCGAGATCAGTGAGACGTTTCTAGATCAAGTCAGTCGGACATCCAAGCATGGAAGGTAGAGTGGTGCGATCTCACCTTGTACTTTTCGACTTTTTCTTCTAGGTCGCCATATACCATGAGAAGATCGTCGAGCTCGGTCTGAGTGGCTGATTTCTGCTCTTCCTTCTCCTTCAAACCCGTTTGAGTCTAAATTAAAACGTTAGTACATGATCAATCTGATGGTCGAGGATGTTGGGCATACTTGTAGTATTTCCTCGTCTCTCTTGGACAGCTGCTTCTCCAGTTCTATCGCCTGTTCTTCAGCAGACCGTGTCTTCGACTCCTCGGCTTCTAACTTCGAGCCGAGTTCCTCCCTTACAGCATGGAGTTCTTGAGTCTTCGCTTTGTTGGCCTGGATGAGGGTGAGCAAGAAGGCGCACAAGACGTGAAAGTGAATTGACATACCTTCATCAAATCGACCTCGAGGCGGCTAATCGTAGCTCGAAGGTCTGCCATTTCTGCATCGGATCTTCGCTGGACGCGTGCCGTTTCAGCCTCGGAAGTCTTACGGAGGTATTCGAGCTGCCTCTGTAGCTCGGTTTCCTTTGCGCGATGCTCGGAATGGATAGCCTCTGCAGCGGCAGCCGCCTGTTTCTGCACCTCTTGGAGCTGTCGCAGGTGGGCTGAGTCATTGGATTGTTGTTGGGACTCAATTTTCCTGATTATGTTAGTAAGCAAGTGTGTCTGTTGGGGATATGGTGACTTACCTGATCTCGTCTTCATGATGTCGCTGAATAGCTTCATTGACATTCTTGATGCGAGCCAGTTCAGAAGCAGAAGCTTCTCTTGAGCGGCTATGATCCGCTTGTTCCTGGCCAAGTTTTCCGTTGAGTAAAGCCACCTCAGCAAGAGCTGCCTGCAATGACTGCTCTTTCTCTTCCACTTGCGAACGCAGGGAGTCAACTAGCTCGCGAGATATGCCCTTTTGTACGCCATTTGTTACCACAGATACTTCCATACCAGGATCCCGATCGATGGCTCTCGCAATGCGACTATAGTTGTCCTTAAAGAAATCGACAAAGGAGGCGTCAAAGTAGACATCAGGTAGATTTCCTGAGCCGTCCGCCTTCTGGGGAGTGACCTCGAAATTTCTCATGAGCGGATGGCTCCGGAGCCTGTTCAGGGCATCGATATACTTCTCTCGGCCGACCCGAGACATCAGAACAGAGTGTAGGGTAGCTCGAGGAATCGGTGAGTCTTTTGTAGAAAACTCGTAAATGACGCCCAATATCATGGCGCACAAGCCTTGCACGAGAACGCTGTTCGAGGGATGCCGTACGATCTCTTGGGCCAGAGCCTGGATGTTGCTGCCTTCGCCCAGGAAGTCATTGACACCATCAAGATCTTCGAAAAGCCACCCGATCAGTAGCATCAGATAGCCAACCGACACACGATCGTCATCGCCCCTTGCTATTGCGGTGACCAGATGGGCGGCCACCGTTTGAATGCATGTAACAACCTCTTCGCCGCTCTCGGCGTCGCCCTCTGTGACCGACATGGCAAGTGACTTTCCCTCAGCGTTTTCAAAGATGAGGTGGAACATTATAGATGCTGCGAACCAATGTCGGTACGGATCTACTGAAACTGTGGTATCGATGGGCCGTAGTAAGGTTGTTAATACGTTGGCGGTCTCGTCTACACCGGATGCATGACCCTCAATAGCTCGCCGAAGGAAATGCATCCGTACGTCGGGGTGATTGAAGAAATAGGCTTTGATGCATTGGCATGCCGCTACCCGGAGATCAAAAGCCTGGATGGCAGGTAGGCTCAGGCTGAGGTCGAGGAGACCATCGATCACGTAGACGACTGAGACACCTTTTGCCTTGCCGGTCTGACCATTCGTTGGTGGCGGACTCGTATCAAATACCGACGGGACCTGTAGCTGTGCAAAACTTTCTTGGAGCTTCGCGTTCCCTCGGATGGTCTCGGCACACGTTATTAGAGCCTACGACACGGTATCAATCTCTGCGCCATTCTGGAGAACTTGGGGAGGAGCTCGAACCTCTGCTCTTATAGACATTTCTGTACCGTGACTAAAAGCGAGCTGCAATGAATGGTAAAGAACTCCATGCTGCCAGAATGCCGCCTGATTCTGTGCGGTGCCTACAGCCCCTGATATCAAGAAAAGGCGTACTACCGAGAGCAGTGCATATATGTTCCTATTGCGCTGTTCCTGAGCCCACTCGGCTACTTCTCCATCCTCTTTCCCAGTGTGATATGTGCTTTCCAAAAGGCTGGCTAGCTGTGGCACACACCCGCTCTCCCGAAACAAGGACTGATTCGAAGGGTTCAGGCGCAATAGGTTCGCAAGGAGAATCAGGCAGTCCTCGACTATCCTATCGCCCTCCGAGAGCGATCCTTCGGCTGCTATGATAGCAAACACACGCTCGAATGCATTCTGGTATGCCACGGACTGTTGTATAAGCGGAGAAGATGGTGTGAGATAGGTGAGGAATGTCAGAGCTTCGTTACGGACGGCCTCTCTTCGTTCGTCCAGTACAGCAACCAACCTCGGAATGCCGAGCGGTGCTAATGATACACATTCCTCTGTTCGTTCGGTTCGGGCGGATAGGATGGCGCCAAGCAGCTGTAGGGAGTAGAGTCTCGAGTAGAAATCGGTGGTTTCGAGGAAGTTGAGTAGCAGGGTGATGTTTTCCTGGCGCTGGGTAAACTCGTCGGCGAGCCACAGGGCGATCTCTTCTGAAGCTTCAGGACTATCCTGGTTTGGGCTAAATAACATCAGCAAGGTCTCAAGCACGACCTTGACGGTGTCGACATCTTCCCCATCGTTGGACAAGCTGCCAATCAGACTCCTGAGGGCGCCAGACGCGACAGAGGCAGGGTAGTCTTTTGCGAAACTTCGTAGGCCTAGAATGGCAGCACGGCGGTCCTCGAGAAGAGTGGCAGAGCTGAGACGACCGCTGAGAACGGTTATGGTGTCACCGACGGACTGCTTCGCCGGGGCAGAAGCGATGTTGGAGAACATGATTCGTGCCGTTCATTCACGCGGAGGCATATCAAGGCCATCGGCAATGGAAGTATCAAGGCCTCGTACAGTGCATCGTACTATCGAAGCCCGCGGCAGTGTGGCCAAGGAGTGCAGACGTTGATGGTGGTGGCAGCTGTGGCGGGTTCTATGTTCAGACGGACAGGCCTCGTGAACTTCAATTGAACTTCATCTTTCTGGCCAGAACGCTGGTCAGAAGTTGGAACACACTGCAGGTCAGACCTACTGCATAGATGAATACACTAGCCGATAAGCGCATGCATCACACCAATATGCCAACAGAAGCCTCTACTCATATAAAGAGGTGCTTGACACTAGCGTGAGTTTGACAACCAACTCGAAGAAGTGGGGCCGCCGTAGCTGGCCTGTGCGTGCAGCCGCTGCGAACTACAAGCTACAAGCGTCAAGGCCAAGGATGGACATGTTACTTTTCACAAAGCTGCCTGGCTGACGTGCAGAGAACAGCATCTCTGCCTCTTTAACACCGCCGTCACATTCCTCTTTTTTTTTCGTTTGCCGCATCCTTTGCTGATGCGCAGGCGAGATAGTCCACTATCCGACTCCTGATACCTTTCCCTCGAGAAGAAAGCGCAACGCGCAACAACCACCAGCAGCGGTCCGATTACGAGCCGAGCAACTCACTCTCTGACGGCTTGCACTCTTTGAGCGTTGTCTCCCATTGTCGCTTGCCTCAACTCCAACCCGAACAGGAACGCGGTCGCTGTACTCGACGCAATCGGATATCCTGCGATTTCGACTGCCCAATCCCCACCTCACTCCTCATTCGGCTCTTCGAAGCAACCGTGCTGCCTCTCGATATATAGACCGTCCTGGTCAGCATCTCACCCTTCCCGCCTTCCACAGAACCCATAATACCGCGTCGCAAATTCTACCAACGCCACCATGGGTATCCCCGCCGCCTTCCGATGGCTTTCCACCAAGTACCCCAAGATTATCTCGCCTGTAGTCGAGGACAAGCCGATTGTAATGGACGATGGCTCCGTCATTCCTGTTGACACTACCCGTCCCAATCCAAATGGCGAGGAGTTTGACAACCTCTACTTGGATATGAACGGCATTGTGCACCCTTGTTCTCATCCCGAGGACCGTCCTGCTCCCGCAGATGAGGAGGAGATGATGCTGGAGATCTTCAAGTACACCGACCGCGTCGTCAACATGGTCCGGCCGAGGAAGCTGTTGATGATTGCCATTGGTAAGCCACTGTCTTGAGCTGAACGCATACCCCGTCTTCGCTGTTGCTAATGTTGTCAATGCAGACGGTGTCGCCCCGCGTGCGAAGATGAACCAGCAGCGATCACGACGTTTTCGTTCTGCCCAGGAGGCGGAGGAGAAGGCCGCCGACAAGGAGGAACTGTTGAAGATGATCAAGCAGCAGAACGGCGGCATATTGCCGCCCGAGACGCTCGAGTCGCTGACGAAGAAGGCTTTCGATTCAAATTCTATTACGCCTGGCACTCCTTTCATGGATATACTGGCATTAAGTTTGAGGTATTGGTGTGCATATAAGCTGAACACTGATCCTGGTTGGGCCAATATGAAAATCATCATATCTGATGCTACAGTGCCTGGCGAGGGCGAACACAAAATCATGAATTTTGTCCGATCTCAGAGAAGTTCCCCTGACCACGACCCCAATACGAGACACGTCATCTATGGATTGGATGCCGACCTGATCATGCTGGGTCTTGCCACTCATGAGCCTCACTTCCGTGTTCTTCGAGAAGATGTATTTGCCCAAGACAGCAGGGCCAGAACTTGCAAGATCTGTGGCCAGAAGGGCCATGAGGCAAGAAACTGCCGCGGAGAAGCGAAAGTGAAAGATGGTGAGTTCGATGAGAAGGACAAAGCTGTCCCTCTAAAACCATTTATCTGGCTCCATGTCTCGGTTCTGCGGGAATATCTCGCCGTGGAGCTTGATGTCCCAGGCCTTCCATTCCGCTTCGACCTCGAGCGGGCACTTGACGACTGGGTCTTCATGTGCTTCTTTGTCGGAAACGATTTCCTCCCCCATCTTCCCGCTCTTGAAATTCGCGAAAATGGTATCGATACGTTGACTGCCATCTGGAGAGACAATCTACCCTTTATGGGAGGATATGTCACTAAAGATGGACATGTCGACCTCGAGAGAGCACAGTACATATTCGACGGACTCGCTAAACAAGAGAATGCAATCTTCAAGCGACGCAAGGAATCCGAAGACCGACGAGAAGCAGGTTTCAAACGGCGTAAGTTACAAGAGCAGCAACGGTACGGCCATGCACAGGGCGGCCGGGGTCGCGGAGGTGGATTCGATAGTGGACTTCCCAGCGGCCTGCCAAAGGCTCTCACGCACGACATGGTTGTCAACCGCGCTCCAACCACAACCGATGCTAATGTGGCGAACAAGAGTGCTGCTGCTGTTCTCAAAAGTCAAATCCAGGGACTGATGCCGACCCCAGAGGCTGAGTCAACGGCAACTAACGGCAGTGCTGAAAAGGTCGCACCGGAGGCGGGAACCCCACCTTCAGCCCTAGGCAAACGAAAAGCGTCCATGATCGACGCGGATGCCGCAAGTACCCCTGGAAACTCCTCCGCCTCTGGCGACGCACCAGAAGCCGAAGACAGCGTCCGGTTGTGGGAAGATGGCTATGCAGATAGGTACTACGAGCGGAAATTCCATGTCGACCCGAAAGACTTGGACTTCAGGCGCAAGGTCGCTTGGGCTTATGTGGAAGGACTGGCCTGGGTGTTGAGATACTACTTCCAAGGATGCCCTTCCTGGGAATGGTTCTACCCATACCACTACGCACCATTCGCCGAAGATTTCAAGGACATTGCGAAGATGGAAATCAACTTCGAGAAGGGTAGGATCGCGCGGCCATTCGAGCAGCTCATGAGTGTGCAGCCTGCCGCTTCGCGTCATGTGCTCCCTTCCGTTTTCCACGACTTGATGACTAGTCCCGAAAGTCCTATCATCGACTTCTACCCAGAGGAATTTGAGGTCGATCTCAACGGCAAGAAAATGGCTTGGCAAGGTGTAGCTCTGCTGCCTTTCATCGATATGCCGCGACTCCTTGCCGCGATTAAGGATAGGTACCCAAAGCTCAGCCCTGAAGATGCTGCACGCAATGATCGCGGAACAGAGGTTCTCATACTCTCCGAGGCTAATCATGATCTCTACGACGATATCATTAGTCACTTCTACTCGAAGAAACAGGGAGATCCGAAGTACAAACTCGACCCACGGGTGAGCCAAGGTCTCTCCGGGAAAATCGAGAAGTTGCTCGAGTATCTTCCCCATGGGACTTTAGAGTATCCCTTGGAACGAAAGGGCATGCCTAACCTAGATGATGATCGATCGCTGACGTAAGTTGCCACATACCCAACAGTTCTTCATCTTGACGCACGTGCTAATATCATGCAGAGTCAACTACGAGATCCCAGCCAGCTCACACAACCACAAGTCGATGCTTCTACGAGGTCTCCAACCCCCCGTAGCTGCCTTGAATCGTAGCGATATTGAGGAGCTGAAAGGCAAGCTGCGAAACTCGGGACGAAGTCATGGGGGCGCGCCTCTTGGGCGGGGCGGTTTTGACGGGAACAGAAGAGGGAGTCGTATAAACTACGGACCAGACTCGCGACAGAATAGGAACGATCAACAGCCTCCATACCAGAACAGTGGCAACAACTTTCAGAATCCGTTCCCCGTCCCGCCTCCCGGATGGGTACCACCGCCTCCCGGACTCGCGGGCTTTGGCAATGGAGTACCACCCCCGCCGCCTACGGCCTACACAGGGGGTGGCCGAGATACATACGGAAACGGCTATCGAGGCAACCACGGAGGTGGTTATGGTGGAAATCAGGGGTACGCGCCTCCGCCTCCTCACAATGGGTATGGCGGACACCATAACCCAGGTGATGGACGCGACAGACGTGATCCCCGACCCTTTAACGGTGGCCGTGGCGGCGGCGGCGGCGGTAACGGTGACCCCCGACACTTTATTCCTGGCGGTGGAGGTGGCTACCGAGGTGGTCGTGGCCGTGGCTACAGATAGGGAAAAGGCGAAACAGGTTTTCAAGCCGGGGCCAAGCGCTTTGCTGACATTGCTGGTGTTTGTCAGGAGAACAGCAGCAACGCATGAGCAGTAAGTAGACTGTCTGTACGATTAGTTGCTAGAGAGTTTCTTGACTTAAGACCTGAATCTCGAATGAACGGAAAATAGCTAGCCGCGTGCTTCGACCCAACTTTCCAGTCTCAAGTTTCCTGAATGGGCAACACGTGTGTTTGCTTGTTTTTGCGCGCATCCTGTGAAGTGGTCAGTTTTCGAAAGAGTTAAAAGCCAGGTAGCAGCCCGTTTACATGCATGTAACAAGACAATCCTCGTGTGTACATTAAGGGGCAGGCGGCTTCAACGTTTGGCAGACCTTTCCTTCTAAGCAGAGGGCACCGAAATCCCATGTGGCGGTAAGTGCAGTCTGCAGACATGGGCTGGACAATCTTAGCCGCCACGGAGCACTTGGCATATTTGCTTCGAGCACACATCAGAGCTCACTTCATCAAGAACCCCTTCCTCGGCCAGGAGCAGACACGCCCCTAGCGCGTCCATGCATGAGTGGTTCTTTGCCACGCTCGCTATCCCCTATAGTCAAGAGATCACGTGAACACCTGCACAACAGCTCCTGCTTACCTAAGGATCGAAATAGATTCGCAGAGAGTCAGCAATGCATGTTGATCTGGATATGCATAACGTTTCCATTGCTAGCATTTCTTGGGGTGAAAAGAGGAAGAAACGCTAGAAGCTGGGTCGAATCGTCGAGTCGGGTGAATTGGGAGAGTCAGGTGAATCTGAGGCATCTGGCAGTACTATCACAATCAAGAGAAGCAAAACAAAACGGCGAACTGCAACATCGCCGGCAGTCTTCGGTCGTCTTCGCCTATATTAATCAACTCCTTAAACCGCCGTCTAGTGATAGAAAACATACCGCCGAACACTCGAAAACTATTTGAATGTCTTATCGCAACCCGCCCACGTACAAACGAAGCGCTGCTATCCGTTGATTACGACGGTGGTAAAGTTGACATGCGATGCTTCGATGTGTCCTTACATGACTGTCTCTATCGCAGTAGTAATGCCGTAGTTGGGATGTCTACAACTAATACTTGTATGACGCATTCGGGGATGTTGCCGATACCACGCTCAGGGGAAGCAAAACGGCGAGCCGTACCATCGTAAGTTATCCCTCTTAGTTTCGTCGAAATTCATCCATTTCTTATTACTAAACTACGCAACTATTTATTCCCGGAGCACGAAAAACGATTCTCGCAACTGACTGCCCATGCTACCGAGGTCGACTAGGTTGACAGTCTTGGATGCCGTTTCCGCAAGTCGATCAACGCTTTCAAGTGGCCGTCTGGTGGTAGAAGACGGATCTTTTAACACTTGAGAAGTGTTTAAAAGTTCGGCCACAACCGGCCCACGAACAAACAAAGCGTTCTTGTCCATTGACAACGACGATCGTAGAGTTGATATGGGAGGTTTCGATGTGGCCTCTCATCTGTTCCTCTGTCGCAGTAGTGCTTCCACAGTTTGGATATATGCAGGTCAAGCCCACATGGCGCATCCGATGATGCTGCCGGTGCGTCGCGAGTCTGGCATGGGTTGCACCACAGAGCGCGCACGTGAATACGGCAGTTTCGTCGGCGTCTTCGTCTTCGTCTTCCGCGGTGTCTTCCTCGGTGTCTGTGTCTGAGTCTTCCTCGGCGTCTTCGTCTTCGTGTTCCTCGGTGTCTTCCTCGGTGTCTGTGTCTGAGTCTTCCTCGGTGTCTGCGTCTGAGTCTTCGGCTGAGTCTTCGGCTGCGTCCTCGTCTGCCTGGCCGGCTGCGTCTCGGTGGCGGGATGCTTGCTCACTGACTTCTCCTTCAACGTCGCTTCGCATCTTGTCCAAGGCCTCCATCAGGTTCTCCAGTATGGTCTTACGCTCTCTTAGATTAACGAGCACTTGGTACCCTGCGACATCCTGTAACTTCTCCGCTGCCTCCTTGATCGACTCGTCAACCATAGCCATTCGTATGTCGATCACTTAGGAGGGCCCGGAGGCGGGCTGTTGGGTAAATCTATTAGCGTTGACAACCCTAAAGCTTCCCAATATTGTTTGGCCTACTTGCGATCTGGTTGCACATCTCTAGATCATCGTTGGCATTCATACCAGTGGCTTGGATCCGTTGGAAGGTGGCGATGTCAATGGTCAGAGCAACGACTCGCTCTGGCGCCATGTTGGGTAGGTTCATGATAGTTGCGTCCATGGCGTCAGTCAACCTGTAACGCTGTGTCGTTGTAGGGACCGAGGTGGTCGTGTTTTGGATCAAGTTCAAACTCCTGGTAGACATGCGGATGGCGGGCCATCCTCGTTCTTGTTACTGAGGCAGCAACTTGTAGTATCCGCTTTTGGGGGAATGTTGCTTAGCAACCTCATTCAATGGCATTGGGTTCGTCGACTTGATGGTTCTCCTGCACATTGATCATGTTTATATAGCAGTTCAATAAGTACCATTATATAACAGCACTTATACATTTACAGCAGTCTTCGGAATTCATCGATAACGACATAAGGAATTTCCGTATGAAAATGAGGAATGGCCACCACTGTCCCTATTTGGTTTCAAAGACCTCTATTTATGCGGTTAGTAGATATCTCGTAGCCTCTGTGCAAGCGAAGTCATGTTGTTACTCTTTATGATAGCAATATACGTTCACAATCATGCCCGGGATACAGGTCGCAAATATAGAAGCATAGTAGCTGGGTAGAGACCACGGATCAGTCACTGGTCACATGCGCAGCACGATTCTTGTTGGTCGTCCATATTGGGCGGTTGAGAGGACTAGGTAGTACTCCCATCCGAACGTGAGGTGCGGGAAGCATCAGATCTAGGCTTTGTTTACTTACGCTTCGTCCTTCATCTGTGACAGAGATCAACACGATTGCCACTGGTATCGAGAGCTCGATGGCCTAGACGGATGATGCCAGCCATGCGTCTTGAGGTATCCAGCCCGTCGTCTACCCCGTATATAACCCCTGAGCTCACATTCGAACGACGTGCTGTTTACAATGACCGTGATTTAGGGAACCTTGCTGTCTGTGACATGGAAGGCCAACTTACAGGTGCTTTGAGGTCGAGTTGACCCGTGGCGCAGTCTCTGCTAAAAGCAAGGGAGCTGGCAGGTTTCAATATGTTACGACGCCGTCTACTGATAGGATCGTAATGCTCTAACTTTATGTACCACCTGATCTGTTTCGGCCCTGTGTGATAGACCGAAGACTTATGATGGACTTAGGCATCGGCCACCACTGATGTTAGGTGTCGTAAGCGCGATTGGACCGCAATCTCGGCGGGTGTGATAGCGCAATGTAACTTGCCATCTACAACAACAGCAAATTATCACGGATTTGCTGGTTTCATCCTTTACCGCCTGCCACCATCTTTTCTGAAAAGGGGCAACCGGGGCCCTCTTTTGGTTATTTAGAGGAATAGGGGGGAAGGATGAGGGAAAAGTGCTCTCACTCCCAATCAAGCATGCTTCACCCATATCCGCATTCGTCCGTTTCTGTGCCCGCATGTATGTGCCACGTAGATACGCCGGTAGAAGAGCAGCAGCAAGAGCTTGATGAAGCCGAATGCCCGGGGCTACAGGATCGAGTTACACCAAGCACACGCATGGGAGCACGAGCAGCTCTGCTGGACATCAGGACGCTCCGATGTCGCTACTCCGCACCGCGACCCCGTCCAACTTCGGGAGACACTTGACAAGATCGCACCACAATGGGCTCGTCGTCTTCATCATCCGGCTTATCAGACCCCTCCTCGTCCCCATCGTCAACAACCACCCGTTTGTCTAATTCTTCTGAATCATTATATTCAGAGGAGAGGGAGTCTTCAGAGAGTGATCTCTTTGATTCATCAGTGTACAAGTTCTGCAATTCACGCAAAATTCGTTATCTCTCTGTCTGTTGTTCAGTAGCAGCTCGTGCGGCTTCTGTATGCTCAATTTGCTCAGCAATAACATCCCCAATCTTCCATAGCCGTTGATTAGGCTCTTCCTGAGGGGCCTTACGGCGTTTCTTTGGCTGTAGACACTCGATTTTGTCGTCTTTTGCCTTTATCTGTTACTTTAGAAGGGCTATCTCAATCACCATCTCATTGTATGCCTTCGCAACCGAGCGGACTCCTGCTCGCTGTTCAGGGGTCTCAACCACTGTTGATAGCATCAGGGCTATGTCCTGCCCTGATTTAGGGGCTTCTAGTGCTTTGGGAGTGGTTTCTGGGTCCATTATAGCTGCTACTGCTGTTTGTATCTCCCCTGCCTTCACTATATGCTCGTTTTCCAGTGTTTTCTGTCAATTCATAGGCCAAAGGCCAGCAGCACGCTATCCCAAATGCACGATAGCTGGTATGACTTTATCGCGAGCTTTCGCTAGACAACTGAGGAATTTAATCTTGCTAATAGGGGCCAAATCGTTGAGCTGACCGAGCTGGTTGATAAGGCGGCGATAGGCGGCCTTCACCACAGAGAAAACGGTCAAATCTAGCGACTAGAAGATATGAGACTACCTCTATTAGCAGAATAATTACTAATTGACCAAATAACCTATCATATAGGCAGGAAAAAAGCACCTATACACGTTATTTATGTAGCAAGATACATAAACTCATCCGAGCAGTGGCTACCATGACCATCTAATATTAGGAGGCAAAAATCATCAGAATATTTAGGAGCTATATTAGGTAGATAGATCTAGGGCTTAATTAGCATATGTTTAACATAATTAAATAAAATAAAAAATACCTTTTCAAGCCATTGCAACGAAATCTTGTTCAAGGACTAGCCGTTAGCAGAGTACGTTATAAACCACTCTGCTATCACAGGATGCTCCTTAACAAGCTGTTCTTTAAACCACTGCGTTTGTATCGATTTTGCCTTAAAGATAACGAGCGGCTGGAGCTTCTTCCTAGTAGTGGTGATCAATTTTATCACTGTAGTCCACATGCGGTTGTTGTTGGACTTGACGTTGGCCCCCTTTGAGCCAGAACTGCCTATTACAAGGCCATCAGACCTATAATTTCCCGGTCAGCCGTCCAAAAACCACTTGGAATTGATAATTCATGTACTGCCGGCCCTGCATAATGCCGTATTTATCGATATTTGCCCGGTTCTCGGATTTGATGAAGGCGAATTCCTCATAGAGATCGTGGAACGAATTCACGTTCTCAGGCGTGGCAGCGTTGATACGCTTGTAGTCAAGCTTTCGGCCCATCTTGGTCTTGATCTCCTGGTGCCGGCGGATGAAGTTTCGTATGTAATGGCTCCTTAAATGATCTGATTTTCCCCCAGATTTTATGATCTGGCAGATGATGAACTTGACGTTGCTGTGAGTTGGCGCATGGCCGGCCTTTTCTTGATACAGAATCCACGAAACCACCTTCTTTTCTTGAACAGGGCTTGACTTCTGAGCATGAGAATGCTCTTCTTGTACTGCGCTAGTTGGGCGCATCGTGGTGCTGTCTACCTTGCGAGAGAGAGTCGATTTGGGTACTCCCAGCGATGATAGGCCTTGTGGAGGGATAGGCCATTATTTATAGCGGCTATTGCCTCTATAAGGTCTTCTTTAGTGTACGAAGGAGGCATTTCGTCGTACCGAAGCCGCTATTACTTACATAAAAAGAGAAAAAAAAAGAACAGCAAGACTTCTGCTGGATAGGAGGTAATAGGGGGTACGGGTCTTATTACCCCTCAGATTAGGCCCGGAAGTACTAACTTCTGATCCCCACCATGGGCCACCCCGCAGCGGCAGACCTAATAAAATTTATTTTGGAAGAAATACCAAGAAAAGACGATTATATTGCCGTACTTACGGTATCTAGGGCTCTATTGCCGATAGAGATGTGTATAAGTGAACATTGTGATGTTGGGTGTGAAAAGTGTTCCACTTGGGGGGCTGTCCCACTTGGGGGCCTCCGCCGTTAGAACGCTGACATTGACGAGAGGGGTCCTGGCTTCCTTTGCCTCGACAGACTCCAAGGCGAAGTGATTATCGATGAGAATGTACTTACGGCTATACGACCTATGAGCAAATATCATCCCACTGGTTCAGTCGATTGCAGGATGCTCCCAGATTCACTCTCTTCAAGCTACGAGCGGTACAAGGCAGACTCGGATAATGTCGCAAACTGGCTAGCTACCACCGCCAGACTATGTGGCTATGCGCCGATTGACTGTTCTTCGGCAGCGGTGACTGCTCCCACCCAGCCCACCTCGCGCCTGAAAGGTAAGGCACGAAAGCTTGCGCGTGAAGCCAGTAGAGAATCAGTCGCAGCAGAAACGCGCCCTTCACGTGCTTATCGCGTGCAGACGAAGGAGTACGTGCCTCTTGCACAGTGTATCACCACGTCTACCAAACCACGTATCATAGTCCCGGCGTCTTTTGGCTATGCATTGCAACGAGCTATCAAGGACCGAAGGCGACATCAAGACTGGCATAGCAAGCAAGCCTCGAATGCAGTCCTTCCCGAAAACCAAGATGGCCACGGCTATTTCATTGACGTTCTGGAACGTGTGCAAGAAATTCTACGGCCCAAGTTCGCCTCCGGTGTCACACCGAAAAGTACAGATTCTCAGGACAACCCTGGAGACAGGCATATTGCAAACAAGTTCGCAAGTCTTTTACTGGAAGACACGACCGATGCCCTTACCGAGGACGAAATGATCGGCAGACCCAGTCCTGGAGGCGAGGTACAGTTCGTGAGTGACCTTGGTACGAAGAGCGAAGAGGCGTTCACGGCATCGGCATATCTGTGGATGGATGTCCACAGCATCCGTTCACTCATTCGCAATCTTTGGGTGGCATATGGAGACGGGAAGATAGACTCGGTAGCCGCATCTGTAACCACCAATACCGCAATCGACTTCGTCCGGAACCTCCAAGAGGACTTTGATAGTACCTTTGAAGGCCACGACTAGTTGAACGGGAAGATCTGTCTTAGTTGCGCCTACCAACTCGATACAGCCGCCGACAAGGACGCCAGTATTCAAGACGCTGATGTGCCGTGTTTGGCGTCCGCTCACAAGATCGTGTCGGTCTTGTCAAAGTTTCTTGCAGTCGATCCTTCGAGCTACGTGCCCCCCGCGGTGCCGGCGTATGTGGAAGCTTACGACAAAGAGACGAATCGTATGTCCATGACAAGCGAAGGGTGATTCCACCAAGACTTGAAGCTGGTCATGGGAGTGCTTCCCGATTATCAGGTCTTGATGCGACACTTTGCTCGGATCCAGGCAGAGCACGAGGTCATCCGAGGGCTCCGAGAGTTCATCCAACACAAGCAACCGACGTTCTCGCTTTCCTTTGCGATACAGGTCTCCATCGACATACGCCACGTTCTTCGCGAGTAGGTGACTTTGGCCTTCGCCGAGCTTCGCCATGGAGCTACTTGTATTCGGGACAGCATCACACGGGTGCTAGACTTCCACGAAAAGTCGCATCCCGATAAACCCTCTGGTCTTAAGGACGTGTTAGAACTTATGGCTCGATGGACAGAAAAAGATACAGTCGGCGACATCAGACGTGGCATGCAAGCAGACCCTACGTCGTCGGGTCACATTCCGGAATACTACCTACTCCAAAGTGATCCTTTCTGGTGTGGACTTCTCCTGTACAACTTCAGAATGGTCACATACGAGGGCGCTATCGTAACAGAAAACTCCTACCCATCCATTCTGGCCACTGCTCATCTCTACAACTGCCTGGGGCTCGATAGCGCACTGAACCGCCAATGGACTGACATGGAGAATGTTCTCTCCGCACAAGGTATCAACAAGATGTTTGTTGGCGATCTTCCGACTTCATACCAAGATTGTGCCAAGCGCCATGGCCTCGCCATTGGTATGTCAGCGGTCAATTTCGCGCGCAACCCACGCAAGCTCCGGGAATCATTGCTCCGGGAATCGGTTCCCAAACGGCCGCACAACAAGATCAGGGAGTTAGAAAGAGTGACACCCGTATCTTGGGTCTTCAAAGCCCGGTACTGCGATAACAGTGGCCGCGTAGGGTTTGAGCCGAGTGATGTAGCGACGGTCTTGCGCAACAATACCGCGGGAGAAGATGGGACAAAAGGCACCAAGGCCACAGGGAAGACGGACATATGCAAGCTGCTGGTCCATTTGGTCGGTGCACTCCACCAAGAGGTGCTGGAGGCCACCTTCGATTACTTTCAGATGCACATGACCTGCTGGGACTTGCTACGGCGGGTAGACAACGTTCTTGGATCGAGGATAACAGAGTGGCCGAGCCTCCGTCACGATGAAAATCTCCTGCCATCTCTAGTGTTATTCTTACTGGCAGATATAGCGCAGACTCCAAGGCTAGACAGAGTGGCAGAGGGTGGACTTCTTCGTGACGCCAGGCAGGTTTTAGATGAGGTGATCACCCAGGAGGGAGCGCTGGTAACGACGAAACGCAATCGACAGTTAACTGAGTCTTTCATGACACGCATAGTGGGCAGGACTTGAAGCTGTGATGGAAGAAGGGCTGAGAATGTCCACCACTTGCTGTCAAGGGCGCTGCTCTGCATCCTGGTCTCACGATCTTCATAGATACCCCTTCAACATAGCCGCCTCGGCATTGAGCAAACTACTGCCCGCCGCTCCAATGATAGTATTGTGACTCAACGCCACGAACTTGGTGTCGAAGACACCCCCCTCATCCTCTCTCACACGATCCTTTATCTGTCCCTCAATCCAGTCGCGGCTGCAGCCGATCCGGCTCCTCCATGACCGCGATTGCCATAGGCCAACTTGATATAACTAGAATGGACGTTAGTAACCTGAATTGAATCACACCACCAGGCCAACAAGAAGAAGAGAAGGAAGAAATAAAGGCGGGTGGGATGTAGGTTTGGTTGCGAGGCAAGCCACTCGTGATTCTCAGCAGATGGCCTGAGTTGATGAGGGTGCTTCCTGGGTAGGGCAGAGAGAGCAGGATAACGTTGGGTTGCTACTAGACCCCTTACACTGTGAGGTCGCCTCCTAGGGAGGAATTCATGCCCAACCGTGGCGTGGGTGTGAGGATCATTAGGTGCTACCGTTCCTCCGCGTGAAAGATCCTGGCAGGCCTCAGACGAGGGCTACCTAAGCCACTAACGATGGTTGTTGTTGGTTGAGAGTGGATTTGTAGAGCTGCGGTTGGGTGCTGACTGCATGTCGCCGACCACAACATCCGTACCAGCGAGCCTTCCAACAAAGCTCAACCAACATGTGAGCTGTAACAATGGAGCGAAGTGAAGTACGGACCTGGGGGTAATTCACCAGCGTCGTCACTCATCTCTTGCTTCTTCACTTCTACACCCGGTACTGCTGGCAGCCATTTTCTGCACACTCACATTTCCTCGCAACCAATTCCATATATAAGCGCTTCGCCCGAGTACGGCCAACATCTCTTATATCCCCTAATTTCTTCTCACCAATCACCTCTCAACTATGGAAGAGCAGATCGCCGATTACGTTGTCGTGGGCGGCGGCCTTGCGGGATGCGTTGTGGCGTCGCGTCTCAGCCAGAACGACAAGAGCGTCATCCTGCTTGAGGCAGGACCCGACGCATCCAGCAACCCTACGACTGCCTTCTTTCTGACCGGGCTATCGCTTCAGGGTGGTGAGCTTGACTACGCCTACTCAAGTGAGCCTGTCCCGACTACAGCCGATCGCGTGCACCACCTCAGCGCCAAAAAAGCCCTGGGTGGAGGTACTGTCATTAACTTCGGAGGCTGGCTTTGAGGAGACGCTGCCGACTACGACGAGTGGGCCGAGCTGGCCGCCGATGAGCGCTGGAGCTAGTAAGACCTCAAGCCCTGGTTTGTCAAGTCAGAGAAGTTCTATGACTCTGATGCAGACCTGCAGGAACATGGCTTCGACGGACCTATGTATGTCACTTCGATCGCTGGCGCCGAGGGCGGACAACGCAAGTACCCTCATCGAGAAACCGTCTTGAAGGCATGGGCCGAGCTTGGCGTCTCTCACAACGTCGACATGAAGGATGGTGCCAGCGTGGGTGTGAATGAGATACATGAGAACTGCGACAGCGAGGGCAAGCGACAGCCGTCCAACGTGGTCTATCCGCTTGATAAAGCCAATGTTCTCACCAATTTGCCTGTACATAGAGTCATCTTCGATGGTACCAACAGAGCGACAGGGGTTGAGCTTGTCGACGGCCGCAAGGTTACTGCCCGAAAGGAGGTCATCCTCTCGGCCGGCGCTTACCAGACTCCCAAAATCCTCATGCTCTCAGGTGTCGGCCCATCAGCCCAGCTTGCTGAGCACGGCATCCATCTCGTACACGAATCCCCGTACGTCGGTCAAAATCTCCACGACCATTATGCCATCCACCTCGCCTATCGTCTGCGCGATCCTTCACTCGGGTACGCCTTTGGGGGCACCGGTTTTCAACACCCTGCCTTCTTCAAGGGTCTCCCGTGGGACTGGATCGCCAACCATCCTCTCCCAGAGGACATCCTCACCAAGAACAAGAATGAGACCAGAGCTGGCTGGGAGAAACGAAATGTCTACAAGGTCGGCACTGCTTATGTAGTGCCAGGCATCCCGGGTATCCCCGTCGATGGCACTCATATTTCCACGTCGACAATGTTGCTCCTGCCGACATCACGGGGTACGGTCACGATCCGATCTAGCTCACCGGCAGATCTCCCGCGCATCCAGCCCAACTATCTCTCGACCCAGCATGACCGCGATGCTCTGGTTCATGGTACCCGCACAGCCATGAGGCTCCTGACGGCAACTGAAAACCTGAAGGCCGTCGTCGAGGGCGAATCGCCACCTGTCAAGGAAGGCCTGGAATGGCTGGAGCCCCTGACTGTCGATGCGAGTGACGAGGTGATATTGGACAGGCTCCAGCGCACCGGGGAGCAGCACCAGCACTCCGGCGGTACTGCGGCCATGGGCAAGGTGGTTGACGCGGAAGGCAAAGTGTTTGGTGTCACGGGGCTGAGGGTTGCCGATGCAAGCATCGTGCCAGTCCCCCTGGGCGGTCATCCTCAGGCTTCGCTGTACGCCATGGCCGAGCAGCTCGCCAATATGATTCTTGCAGATTCATGATGTAGGAGAGTCAAGTCAGGCGGACGACGACCTAATACCTAAACCCTTTATGTTTCATTCGTCATTCGATAGCTCGTACTGAGATGATAAGACGCCATCAGCACCTGAACTCTTGCCCACAGAAGCAGGCTTAGAAGCATGGCAAACCCCTATTCAATCCTTCTGCTTCCGCATCCACTCGTCGGTGATGTCCTCGTAATCCGCCGGGCCATACACCTGCGTCATCTCGGCGAACCAGCCGCCTTTGCGGTATTGGTTGAGCCCAAGGTCCCTCTGCAGCAGGTCGAAGCAGGGCACGGCGTCGAACACGAAGTTCGGCCGCTTGGTTCCCCAGTCCGTCGGGTAGCGCCACTTGCCCCAGCGGTTGAACAACACGGTTTCGTACTGCAGTCTTCTGATCCTCCTCTCTATGTTCCCGTCTTCCGGCGACTCCGAGGCCGAGGCCGAGGCCGGGGCGCCTGGGTCGGTGTCAGTGTCAGTGTCGATGGCCAGCTTCCCGGAGAAGAAGGCGCTGATCCACTGCAGGAACGAGAGTCAGCAAGTACTTCGCTTGAGATCACTAGAAGGGGTAAGAAATGACTCCTAATTAAACTGACCAGCCCGCAAATATGCGCCCTGAGCGCGTTGCTGAGATTCGACATCATGCCCGCGAATGCAATATCGCGCGTACGCAGGAATCGGGCCGACGCAGGCACCATGAAGCGGTACAGCATGTATGGCGTCAGCGGAGTATACGGCGTCACCTCGTCGGCGGTGTCGGTGCTGATGCCTTTCTGCTCCGTTATTGGCTTGTAGTGCGCATTCCACACCGGCTGGCGCCTCAGCTGGGGAAACCGCTGCAGGATTTCTCTGTCGGCGGCTTCGACTAGGGCATGTTGGTTTGCAAGGTCTTGCGGCGGTGCGGACCCAGACTCTGTCGGCTGGTGTGGGATACCAAGCTCGGCCTCGATGCCTTCGGGTAGGAATTTGATGCTCGGCACGTGCTTCCAGCCCGTGTTGGCGACGAGAACATCCGATTCGAACTCGGTACCGTCTGCAAGGTGTACCTTGCTGGCGCTGAGTTGATCCAGCTCTCCAACATGGACGTTTACCAGACCGCTTTTTATAAGCGAGTAGATATCTCGGTCATATTTCAGGATGCTGAAACTGTCGCCTGTAAACATCATCTCCGTCCACGGCTTGAGTTTTGCTATGTCTGGATGTGCGTCGTAATTATTTTGCGCCATGACGTCGCTGGTTACTGCTTTCTAAAGTGTGTCTACGATGATCCGCCCGGTGGCCGTGCCGTGTAAAAAGCGCCTTACCCAGCTGTAACCATCGGATTCACCCCAGATGCATGGGCTGAACTAGGTCAGAAGCCGTGTGTCTGTGATGCCAAGTCAGGAATTATGACCCCGTTAGACACGATGCCTCTCAATAAGAGACCCCAGTTGGCAGATCTAGAGGTTGATCTCGAGCATGCCAATTCTTCAGGTGTCATACGTACTGGCGAGTTTCTCTATCCACAACTTTAGAGGTGTCACATAAGGGCTAGACATCCAACATGGGCCGTGACCGCTAGCTGTCACCCCCAGTCAGTGTTGCAAACCTCACATAAAAATCAAGACGAGGCCAAATAAAAGCAAGAGCGAACTATACCTCGAACAACCCAATTCACCATCACACCAGCAGTAGCATGTGCGTACGCAGCATCCCAGGAAGACTTGGTAGCCCCGAGTATCGTAACAGCCTTTGCTGTGTTCAAGGTATCGCTGTTCTGTCGAAAATGCTTCCCATGGAAAACCCTGCCTCAGAAGTCTTCTTGTCCGTCGAAGTACGGGAGAAATTCATTCGAAGTCAGTCCAATTGTGATTATCACGTGGCGAGCAAAGGCCGTCTTCTCCCCCTCCTCGACCGCAATAGTCAAAACCCAACCTCCGACGTCCATGTCCTGGTGTTTGGCAGACAGCACCTTGTAATTGAAGCGTATGAGATCAGCTATCTCGTGATGCTCTGTATATGCTTTCAGGTAAGAGTTGAGAGCTGCTGCTTTGACATGCTGTCCGGGTTTGACGTCGAACTTGTCATTGCTCATTGGGAACCCAGGGTACTCGTAGGTCCCAAGGAGATTATTGCTCTTCAAGGTAGGGTACAGACGTTCTTCTGCCCATGTTCCACCTAGAGATCCCTGAGCATTGAGGATGACCACCGAGCTGTCAAGCTGAGTGTAATGGAACTGTTGGGCAGCAGCTAGCCCGTGACATCCTGTCACGCAAGGTCAGATATGCACATAATTGTTTTGTCCGTGGTCCACGATCATTTCCAAGCTGGGACGGAGAGCGGATGGTAATGGAATCATGGGAAGGACGTCCTACCAGCACCAACAATCACGCAGTCAAACTCCTCCATAATGGCAAAACGAACCCGATGCCGCTGACCAGTACACTCTTCCCGTGAGTGCGTTTCGATATTCTAATACTCTAGTAGAATGACCAGCAACGGACACGAGTTGTAGCACTTTTATGCACGAGGAGAAGCCGACTTATCCATGCCACCATTCAAAAGAGTATCATAAGTCAAAGCCTCAGATCAAACATGACCGACGATGTCACATTTTTCTTGCGTGTTGAATATGGCCATACTTATAGCCCTACTTACCTAAGGTGAAAGCACAGCAGGTCCTTTACTACACCGACTTAGGTATGCTGTCCGGAGCCATCGTGCCGCAATACTACGTTGAACGCCGTCGTATTGGATGGATAAACTTGCAGAAGGCTAAATTCCGAGTCAGCGCTACCACACCGCATGCGCGCTTTATCGTTCTCGCTTTCGCGCTCGCGTATGAGCAGTGAATCGCGCATGGTTTCAGTGCCAGACGAGTGAATCATGACGGACGAGCAGAACACGATGACAACAGAGTTGAGGTAGTACGCCGAATCCGGCGGCTTCGACTGTCCAAGGTCCCCGTCGAGGAATACTTACTGCCTCTGTGGGAGCCTCAAAGAGCGGATCGGATGAAAAGTACCTGGCTATGTATGTCTCGTGGGGATAGACCGAGAAGAGCTTTGTTAACAGCACATGAGTTGACATGCTTCAAGCTCTGGACGGCCGTTGCGATATCTGGTTGTGCTAACAGTGGGGCATTGGGCTCTGACAGCCTTGATGGGCATGGGGAGAGGTACGTGGTTGTTGGCCCTGAACGTGACGTACCTTGACTTGACTTTGCTATTCTGATATTTGTAAATGGGCTGATTTGAGGAGGCTAAGATGTGATTAGTTGATCTTGCCGACTAGGTCCGACTGAATAAGAACCCCATTGACCTGGATTGGTATCATGCATACATACAGCCAGCCAGCTAGGTAAAAGAAGCAGCACTCGATTAGCTGAAGCCCCTTTGACTACCTAAGAGAAACACTCACTCGTCGTAGTGTCTCCAAACACCACCAGGACGACACTGAATACATAGATATGCAGCTAGTAACTTAGTAGACATATGTCAGCACTAGTTAGTATGCAGGCAGTCAGGTGGCTGGCTGCCAGTGTTGCTTACATCCACCGGGTACCTGTTCGCAGTAAGGATCCGACTGATCGAAAGATAAGCCGATCAAAGGAAAGCCCAGTAAACCATTTACTGAGCCGGGGAAAGGCGTCACCAATCGCTCGGGAGCATCTCATGGTATTGACGTCCCCCCGTCAGGTCTGGTCGCAAGGACAGGTACACAAATCTCATCGGGTCCTCCACGACGTCTAGTTGAATACGAGGTAGCTAGATACAGAGAAAGATTGCGACCGCACACGATCAGAAGGGTATCCCAGGTACAGGCGCTCGACAGCCGATAATCGCTGACGTGAAAAAAACAAACATATATGATGTTCCAACATGCTATGCCAAATGCCATGCGCTGGTGATAATACAAATCAGAAGCCCGGGACAGAACCTCCTACTCGTCATGAGCAAGGGACTCGGTGTCCACTATCTCCTTGATAAGCTGTATCGCGGTTTTCTTCAGACCACCTTGGTTGACGAGCCCCAGTTTCGACCTGGAGACGAGCTCGCCATACTTCTTCTGCCAGTACGCGGCAGCGGCCGCCGGTTCTGTCGGCACCTGCTTGTTGGATAGCGGTTCCTCCGGCTTCTGGTGACCCTTCTTCCAGAGGGAGTGGGGAACCACCTGCGTCATCGTGAAGTCGCCAATGATACTGCCGTATCTCAGGTTCCAAGTAATAAGATACTTGGTGTAGTCGGGACCGATCTCCTCTAGCTTCACTGTCCGTGTTGAGCTCCTGTACATGAAGGACCCGCCGGCGAGTGCTGATACGTTGATCAAGAAGGCTTCTTTGGTCAGGGCTCTATCCGCTATATCCTGTATCATGGTCTTGCCCAAGGCCAACATCTCATCGATGCCGCCAGGTGGGCAAGCCACTCCGTTCTTGTCATACCACTGAGTCTCGAGCAGTACCGCAACGAAAAGAGCTTCGATCACGGCGTGATTGGTCTTATCTTCATCATGAATATTAACCCCCGTCTTCGGCTGAGGGTTGCCATTGTGTCCAACAAAGAGTGCCGTACTTCGATCAGTGTAATCTTTGAACTCGTTCTTCGTGGGGTATCCTCCCTCTGTGGTAGCATTCTCGACGCTGGTCCCGTTGGTGGTGTCGTGGGCACTGACGTTGAGAGCCTCGTTTCTAGTCCCGTTGGTGGTGCCGTGGGCGGTGTCGTTGAGAGCCTCATCGTTCGTCTCGTTGGTCGTGTGCTTTCCATTCACCATGACAACTGGAGGTGGCGGTGTCGCCAGTCGCACAGGCCCACCAGCTCTTTCAGGTACTTGGAGAGAGAGCCGACCCGGCCGAGATGGCCGTGTACTCTGTGCAGACGTGGGCTCGGATATCCTTGCCACTGGCTCTGATTCTGGGGCCGGCTCTTGCGGATATGTCAATTGCGGTGTTGCGGTCGAACGGGGAATTTGCTCCGGATCAATAACTTGAAATCCCATCGTGTCATGCGGATACGCTGAAAGCGGACTCTCGGTGATGCGGTTGATTGGGGGTCTTCCGCGAGCTTTGCCGCTCGCGGAACCGTTACTATTTCTCCAAGCAGACGACACCGCCTTGGCACCATGACGGCGACCGTGGAGTCTGTTTTTAGGTGGACTGATGGCGGATAGGGGTTCAGTAAGGTCTGGCCAGAAGGCTCCTCTCGTAGAAGGTGTAATGGCAGACTGTGGGTATGCCGACGTGTGTCCTCGAGGGATATCGCGATGCCAAGGGAATGCCGACTCAGGTGTTGGTAGTACACTAGATCTCGGATCGATGGGTGAATAGGCATAAGAAAGCCTGGCGTCAGGATGAGCTGTCCACGGTTCGAGAGTGTCTGGTCGAGACTGGCGGACATCTCCATTGGATACCAGAGACCCGAGCCTTGGTCTTTGTGATGGTGATTTGTTTAGCCCATCCTCTTCCGGACGCTTCCGACCTCTACGGGGCCGGATATGAGGCAACAAGGCCCGTAGAGCCATATCGTCCTCAGCAGCAACTCCATCACGACCATCTCCACAGACAGGATTTGGATTCGTTGGAATGTTTGTCCAATACGGGTGGAAATTATTCAGCAGATAATCAAAGAAAGCATCGACGTGCATTGAATGCATCCATCGCTGCCAAAGTGTGAGTCATGCTGGCACCAGAAGGGGAGTCAATCCAGGGCCAACGGAGGCGTACCTTCAATCGAACGGCATATTGCTGGATCTTTTGGGAGCTTTGGCCCTTGTCCTGGTCCGGCGGCTCGACACCTAACCTCAGGGCTAGTTCGGCCCAAGTTTTGATTTCTTTGTGATGCAGTTTCATGATGAGTTCGAAGAGGGTGAATGTGCTGAAGCTTTTGCCCTCACTCTTCGGGGGTGTCCGGAACGCTTCCCTCAGCCCAGCATCATCTACGTCCATGGGCACTGCCGGGTTGCAATAGAGGATGAAGCTCACGTATGCATCATCGATGGTTTCGCTCGTCACGCCCCTATGAGGCAAGGTTGGTCGTACTCCTGGCGGCGTAGGGGTATTACTCTCATTGAGGATTGCCGGAGTCACTTGGGGAGCGCCGCTGCCGCCAGCGTGAGGAGGGAAGGCCATAGTCTCACCAAGAAACTTGCAAGACAGAGACGAGGACCATGAGCGGTAGAGCTGCGGTTGATATGGTGCTGTGGTGTTTTCGAACTTGTGGTGGTTCTATCCCATCTTCTTAATTGACAGGGGGATTTCAGCTTGATATGGCGGGTATAGCGAGGATTCGTCTCATTCCGTATGATTGAGTCATAAGCAGCGAATGCGTAGTGGTGTAAGCTGGGCGCGTTGAGATGGCAGCCTGCTGATACCGTTCGCCAAGGAGAAAGCCGAGCTGGTCGAGTATAATGATTCGCCAACTGTGAATTCTTAAGAGCGAGGTGTGACGTGACGGCTGCGTGCCCACCTGGTGTCGCAGAGAGGGGCCGGGAATGAGAGATCTGCAGTTGGTTTCGACGATGAGCCTTGGAGCCTTGGAGCCTGCGGGTGAGCTTTCCGATGCTATTTTGAGATGGGAGGCTGGTGCTACGACCCTGTCGAGGCGTGCCATTGGGGGTTGTCTATTTTGGGAACAGCCATATCACGTGACAGGAGCCCCCTGCCAGCATGTAGACTTGCTCGGACAGATTCAATTGCTTCGAACACACGGTAGGAACGAGAGGAAACGGTTCCGGGTAGTTGTAAGATAGGGACAAGACGGGAGTCAACAGCTTGTTGAACTCTGTATATCCCATCTGGCGCGGCTGGCCCAGCCAACGAGATGCAGTGCGTACCTCGCCGCCCACAAAAGAACTTTATATAGCCTGGGTTGCAACGCCCTGGTCAAAGTCACGGTTGTAGCTGTGAAAGGTAGGTGGCTGTGTATACCTTATACATGTATGCAGTGAATGTGGCGGTTTGTTCCATCGTCTGACCTGCAACAACCTGAAGTGAAGGCATAGGACAGAAGCCGGCAACGCACATACCAGATATTCTGTTGCCTCCCCTTCAGGCTTTGGCTCAAGAACCAACGAAAAAGCATCGACCAGTGCAGACGTAAGCTGACATTGCAGTCCCGAATTCCGCGTCACTTGACGCGATATGCCATCAAGAAGGGTCTGTGTTCGGCACCACGAAGTTCGGGTCACACGCGTTGAGACGGTCTTGCATGTGAAAAGCCGCCTGGCCGGCCGGCATAGAATAGTACATAGGCACCTATAACTTTTAAGGGGTTGCCCCCCTGCCCAACGATGCGGGGAAGTAAGGGGGGGCAGAAATATGGGTCTCTGGCAGGTGCTCGGCAGCGGCCACCGGCCAGTCGGCGAGGTCGGCCAGCCGGCCATTCGCAGTGATGTACTGAATCCCCGGGCCTCGGCTTCGAAGACGTTTAGGAGGTAGGAAACAACCCACCTGCCACCATACCACATGTATCGTTAGGTCCGGTATCTTCAGCCTATCTTGAACGTCCCGGTTCGCAGTATGAAACGGCGAGCTCGTCCGCTTCCTGCTCTTTACCATCAAACAGACGAATCCATCTTTCGCTGAACCCACGATTCTTCCCCGTTGCTCAGAGAAAACAACACAATGGTTTCGAAACCCATCATCCCGCAGAACGACAACGTCGCGCACGCCCTCGCTGGCGCCGGAGGGGGTATATTGTCTATGGTCCTGACGTACGTCTGTCACCTAACTCCGTTCCCGTCGCAGGATAGCGCTCTTTCCATCCAGTCAGTCGTCTTGGGGAACAGCGACACCAAGCTAACGATGGCCTCCCCCCCTTCAGATACCCCCTCATAACGCTCTCGACGCGCGCCCAAGTCGAGTCCAAGCGCGCCGAGACGGGCTTCCTGGCCGCCGTGCAGCGCATCGTGGCGCGCGAGGGCGTGTCGGGCCTGTACGCCGGCCTCGACAGCGCCGTCTTTGGCATCAGCGTCACCAACTTCGTCTACTACTACTGGTACGAATGGACGCGCGCCTTCTTCGAGCAGGCCGCCACCCGGGCGGGGCGCGCCTCCAAGAAGCTGACGACGGTCGAGTCCATGATGGCGGGCGCCCTCGCCGGGTCCGCCACCGTCATCCTGACGAACCCCATCTGGGTCGTAAACACGCGCATGACGACGCGCAAGGAGCACCAGGAGGAGATCAAGGGGGCCGTCAGCGGCACATCCAAACAGAAGTCACCGACGACTATCGGCACGCTCATGGCCCTGCTCAAGGAGGAGGGCCCGCAGGCGCTGTTCCGCGGCGTCATCCCGGCCCTCGTGCTCGTCATCAACCCCATCCTGCAGTACACGCTGTTCGAGCAGCTCAAGAACCGCCTGGAGAGGCGGCGCGGGGGCCGCAACATCACGCCCACAATGGCTTTCTTGCTGGGCGCCCTGGGCAAGCTGTTCGCCACGTCCATCACGTACCCCTACATCACCGTCAAGAGCCAGATGCACGTCGCTGACAACAAGGCCGGCCGCCGCGAGGGCATGGCGCAAGCCATCAGCCGCGTCGTCAAGGAGGAGGGGTACGCCGGGCTTTACAAGGGTGAGTCGGCCTAGTGTTTTCTTCCTTTCTCTCGAGCCAGGCTGCGTTCGCGAGGTGCCGAGTCTCAATGCTTCCCCCTTCGCTGTCCCTATTCCGAACAGGAAAATGTTTTACAATGGTGTGCTGACTCCACTCACCGCTAGGCATTGGCCCCAAGGTCACCCAGAGCGTCATGACCGCAGCCTTCCTCTTCGCGTTCAAGGACGTGCTGTACGAGCAGACCGTCAAGCTGCGCGGCACCATGGCCCGGAAGGCCGCCCTCAAGGCATAGACGAACAGAGAGGGTTGGTGAGAAACTTCTCAGCTATAAGAGAGATCGAAACCTTGCATACCAGGGTCACTGTTTCCAATACTTAACCTTCCTCCGCTTCGTATTTGTACATATTGAATGCAGTCGGGTGGATGAAAGCACTCCTATGCGCGGACTTCTTGCAATTGTGATGATGGATAGATCGGGGCTATCACTGGGTGAAGGTGATGATTGAAGCTTGCATATCTATCTAGCGAGGATCTTAAAGATTGTAGAGGCCTGTAAGATGGTTGTATGTCATTGGTGTGGTGGGCTGGCTGGCAGAATCTCCGCCCGGAAAATAAGGGGCATCATGAATGATATATCGCAGTTGACGTATGATCCAACTCAAAAGACATCGCGAAGAAGCGCGAGCTCGAATCTTTCAAGATACCTTACATGGTAGCCAAATACAATAATGATGAAACAACATTGGAACCAAGCAGTCGCAATATCAGACAGACCACTATTGGCTGTACATCTCATCCTCTAGTCTACACTCAACAGATGTACCCACCCGTCTACCTCATTCTACACAAGACAACACCACCTAACCGAAGGCACACTCATTCTAATTCTGGCACATTGCTCATTGCTCGAAATGGCCACGCTCAGCCAAAGGCAAGTCCGGCTTTTCGACCATCCCCCATCCCGAGCCTGAGCCCCCGGCTCACGCAATAGGAATGAGCTTCGGCACGACCCACCAGTCATGATACCCCTTACCCGGTTCCGGCATCTCAAGCTTCAACTTGATTCTGCCCTGATCCATACCCCCAGCCCCAGCGTTTTCCTTGGCCTTGCCCTTACTCTCACTACCACCCTCACTCTGACCCTCAACCATCTCCGTCTCCTTCTCCATACCCTTCCCCCCAGGAACACCCTCCCCGCCCGGGGCCTTCTCAGCCTCCATCCTCGCCCAAGCCTTCTGCACCGTCGAGATAGCCACGCCAGCCGCGATCGCCGCCCTGAGACAGGCCTTCACATTAGCGACCCAAGGCCCATGCGAGCCGACAGCAAACGCCTGCGCATCACTAAACTTGCTCAGCGCCTCGTAGCCCTTGCGCGCGCCGCCGACGGCGCCCTCGGCGTAGCGCATGAGGTCCGCGACGCTAGTCTCGGGCTGTCCCGTGGCGCGCGTGAGCTCGTCGAACGTGGGGAGGGGCGGCAGCGCGATGTGCGCGAACGGCTTCATGCGCATGTCGTAGCGCAGCGCGTCCGAGCTGTAGGGCCGCGGCCCGGGCGGCCTGATGAGCCCCAGCCGCTGCAGCACCGTGTACAGGCAGCACAGGCCGTCGGCGAACTCCCACGTGCAGGCCGCGTCGAGCATGGTGACGCGGATGTAGGCCTGCGACCGGAGATGCTCGCGGTCGCGCGCCGGGGTCTCCTTCTTGCCCTTCGGCACAGATTCGCGCGCCCTCTGCGTGAACGACTTGATGCGGTCGCCGTGCTGTGCGCGCGTCTTGGCTAGGTAGTTCAGGTACCAGTACATGCCCGCCAGTTCGTCGGGCTGGTACACCGAGAGCTCGAACCCGAGCTGCACGATCCACTCCATCTGCCGAAGCTTGTAGAGGTAAGCCCACGACGACAGCGGGAGCGCGAATCCGATCTCGCCCCGCTCGGTCTGCAGTGGCTTCTCGTCGAGGTTGACTTGCAAGAGCTGGTCGATCTGCTCGACGTCGGCTTGAAGCATGTCCCATTCCTGTATGTGGTGGCACAGCGTCCGTCGTACGCGGCATCGGTTCTGACAGAATATCCTGAAGATATCGAGATACGACTCAGCCACCCGTTGGCGGAAGATTTCCATCTGCGCCGCGGTCTGGTGGCGCGGGTCAGTTACCAGCTCGATGTTGTCGTACGAGGGATCTATTTGAGGACCGCACGGTACGACAACAAGAGAGAGATCATGATCTATAATCTGTCGAATGCTGTAATTTCCCAGAACAACCATCTCCTTGAACAATAAGCTCTGAAGCAGTGTTCGGATGAAGGTTAGGGGCTGTGGCTTCCTCGTTTGGAACATCAAGACGTAATTCTGCAAAGTTTGTTAGTTGGGCCAGCTTCAGATGAATGTGAAGACCCACCAATAGACTTTGGGGATCTGAATATTTCAGCACGTCTGTCACTTCGATACCATCCTGGAACAATAGCTTGAAGTGCCCGTAGCACTCTTCGAAGCTGAGTTCTACTATGGGACGAGGAGGCATGGTACTTGCTAGACGTCGCTGCAGTTTTGTACTGAATGCCTCAGGGACTGGCTTTCCAAGAGAGTGTCGCTTTTCGATATGATCGATGAGTCCCCTCATTTGAATCCATGGCATCTTCAAAGAGTCCGGGTTGGCCTTTCTCAGGTTCGCCAAATCGAGAGCCCTCAAGAAGGCAATTCGTAGCTCTAGACGGAAATCGAGGGCCATGGAAATTTCTTTGGGTACGTCGTTGCTGATGGCGCGAAGCTCAGTCCTGGCCGTCATCATCAGATTGGTCACATGTTTCGCTGGTATGTCGTATAGAAGGCTGCGATCATATGTGTTTGTGACGAAATCTTCCTCCTGCACATTGTCAGCTCACAACTACCCTGGTCCAACCCAGCCTTATCACCGACCTCGTAGAAGAGTTCGTCCTTGACCACTTCGTTGACTAGACAGCATGCCTTCAACATGCCAACACAGTACGCCCGCAAGATGAAGAGGAGCTTTGGCTGCTTGCTGCGGCGGGTGGGGTCTCTGATGAAGTCTGCCTCCTCGATGGTTGTCGAAAGAGGGTTCATGAGCGCCTCCACATACACACTTGTTAAGAGAGTCTGGGACAGCGGATAGCCAAGATGCCATGCCATCTATACGTCGTCAGTAGACTGATGACAGTGGAAAGAAGTGGGTATCGCAATTCAAGAGCATACCTCGAGACAGAGCAGTTGGTCGATAATGCCAAGGATCTCTTCGGGGAGCAGATCTCGGGAGACGTCGTATTCCTCGTCAAGCGACTCTCCCTCAGCCAAGAGGCCACTATCCATCTTGGGGTCCATGATCTAAGGTCATCCGTCAGCACCTGCGCCGTTCTGAAGCCTCGGCAATCCGGGATGGTTGGACACGAACCTCGAGAGCCGAGACGGCTTCAAAAAGCGTGAAGTGCTCATTTTTGATGATTTCACCAGGTGCTAAGGCTATGTTGATTCACTCGAGTCAGGAAACGCATGCCGAGATGTGAGGTGGCGCAAGGCCAGGGGTAGAAACACACTCTTCACGGCTGCGGCGAATCGGTCTGTGATATCGGTAGACACTACCCCGGGATTTGAGATGTCCGGAGCGGGTGGCGGAGGAGACTCAAATGGCAGCATTTCGACGCCGACGCAAAGCAAAAGTTAGAGGCCGGTCGTGCGTTCGGTGAGGTAAGATACGCACGACCTCTGATGTCGAGCCTGTGGTACCTGCTGAGCCGGACCAAGATCAATAGAGTCGTCGGGGCTTCGCCGGAAGTGTTGGCCGACAGAGAAAGTGGGTGGATTTTATGAATATGACCAATCAAGCGGAAAACACGTCCTCGGATTTAATGTGGAAACGCAGATGGAATGTATCCCGTGCACAGTTGGAGTTTCGTGATATGGAAGTGCGCAAGAGGACGTGGCCCGGTGGCTTTGAAGAGTGTGGAAGAAGGGGCAATTATGCTGGGTGTTGGCTTGTTTGTGACCGTCGTTGCGGCACTGGCAGCACGACCTCCCGAGGTCAATTCTTAGCGGCGAAACTGCAGAACAGCCAGACAGCCACACGTAATTACCTCAGACCAGTGGCTCAAGACGCCATGCTTCTGCGAAGTAACAACTGACAAATATGTGCTGAAGTAGTCCCGATTTGAAGAATAATGAATCTACATGCCGTCTATTTCACAGCGTGCTGGCATTGAACGTGGTCGACTGTAAGGTACAACGCATCCGAAGCACACATCAATCACTGATCACAGACACGCGTGAAATGGGTATGAGGATGATTTTATGTGTTATACAGCTGTACACGAAGGTCGTCCAGAGGATTTTCTGCAACCAATCACATGTCTATCGCACCCAACTCTCGTGTGAAGCCCACAGTCCACTCCCCGTGCCATCTTCTCACCACCAACGTCCTATGTCATCTGTAGGCCGGTAGTCGTTCGTTTACGAGGAACCGCCGCTTTCGGCAGCTTTGGCCATCGAGGCAGCGTTGGCATCGGCCAGGTTCTTGGGTTCGCCCATCTTGCCGTTCTGTAGTTTGCGGGATAAACACACATCAGCACTCCGGTCTCGTCTCCCCTCCGTCCCTAGCCTAGCATTTGCCCATCAGTTCGTCGGGGTGCACTCACCTCCCACTTGGCGAATCTCAGGTCCATCTCTCCGCGTCGCTCGGCGATCAGTCTCTTGTCGTCCTTCAGGCTTCGGCGCACGACGCGGGATGCGACGGCTAGGTAGCGGTTGTAGCTGTACGGTCGGGGGAGCTATGTTAGCAATGCCAATGCCAATGCCAATGCCATCTCTCTGCATCCGCAGAGGTCCAATTGAGTGCACGAGACTGGGGGACTGGACGTCTACATACGTGAGACCTGCGGCTTTCCACGCGAACACCATCTTGACGGTCGCTTGTGGTTGAATATGGGGCTGAGGTTGTTGAAGTTGTTGCTTTAGTTGGGTTGAAGCAATTTCAAGAGACGGGGAGCCGCTGCACCTGCAACGAAAGCCCGAGATTCCGTCCCCGGCCCAGAATAGTCAATGCACGTGACCCAGGCTTGGTACTACTGTACGTAACTTGTCAACCCCTTCAAATATTTTCATAATGTTCCAACCCAAGCAGTTGAAATACAATTCGCATAATCACCTGGCATAAGGAGTTATTTGAAAACAGTATTGACTGAAATGACATTGTATTTGTTGCTCGTCAGACTCGCAACCGATCGCTGAACAGCTTCTGGTATGTCTCAATTGAGTGTACCTTTATATCATGCTGAGCGAAGAGCAGCATACAGGGATGCACGCGTAAGTGCTGGTGACTACTTAACACACGAAGTAACGAGAGAAATAGTCGGCATACCCAGGTTGGTATAGTGAAGGAAACTCTAAGAGATTTACTATATGCACAGGTACTAGGCTCGAGTCTACAGCAGTGGGCTGGTATGTTGGTACAATTCCATTCTCGTCCCCCGTCTATACCTTCAGGCCAAGCTCCTCAGCGTACGGCAATACGTGGAGGTCACCAACTGCAGCCACCGTGGCCTTTCCATCGGTCAGACCCTTGGCAGCCTGTGAGACACGTTAGTGATTGAGCAGTAAACAGAAAAGGCTGATATGGACTTACCGTCTTCAGCTTGTCTGCCGTAACACCGTCAAGCAACTTGACAGTCTCGGCAATCTGGAAAGGCTTGCCAGTGTGGATGATGCCCGAACCAGCCGAAAGGAGTGTAGAGATGCCGGACTGGCTAGCTTCCAGAGCGTCAAACTTGGCCTTGGCAATAGCCTTGGTCAAGTCCTCTTTGCTGACCGTACCTTCCGAGATACTCTTGAGGGCCTTCACTGACTCCTCAGCAGCCTTGCGGACAGACGCGGCGGCGCCGTTGACTTGAATGGTAAGGAGACCAGCATCCGAGTACGCCAGGTTAGTCGCTGTAGCTGTCGCACCAGGAGCAGCAGCTGCGGCCTTGGATAACAAAGTGAAACCGGCCGACCACTTAACATTGGGCTGCCCTCCCAGCAATGCGGCCAGAACCGCGATCTCCGGCTTGAAGGTGCCAAAGCTGGAGCCGGGGAAGGCAATAACCAACGAGTTTCCACCGGTGTGGGCTGTACGCTGCTCACCACCGTAGTATGTCGTAGCCTTCAAGTTCAGGGCTGTGGAGCTAGATGAAGAAGCTGGGACAGCCTTGAAGAATTGCTCCGTCCACTTGCCAAGAGCATTTGACGTGGTTCCATCTCCGACCAATGCGATGTTCGACTTGGCATAGACAGCTCCAGCATAGTCGGCGATCGCGAACTCGTTCAGGTAGGATTTGGTAAGGGCCGAAGGTGTCGGGTATAGAGGGGCGCCGAGACCAGTGTGGAATGCGACGGAATGCGCGGAGTCGAGAGCAAGGGCGGACACATCGCGAGCCAGTCTGACCTGCTTCAGTTGTATCACTCTATCGACCTCCTCGTGGAACTCATGTGCTAGATATATGAATGAGCCAGTGGACCTGGGTCAATGGCTCGCGAACTTACAGGAGTACCTGGTTTGCGAGATGACCTCAGCCAGCAACTCGGTAAAGTACGGAAGATGCTCCCGCAGGAAGCTGGCCTCGAGCACCAATGCCTCTCGAGTGTGGTATGAGACCAATTGACCTCCCAGGAGCTCGGATTCTCGGATGATACGGAGGGCGGTTCGCTTCTCGGTGTTCTACGGGGGTTGCAGCTAATTAGCTCATGACCAAAACAACAAGACAGTCGGTCACAGTGATGCTCTGCTGGCTTACCTTGAAGGCGAACTCTTCCAGTCCCGCGGTCAGGCCGGGGACAGGCTGGTATCTCGATCCTCCCTTGGCGACGATAGCCAGCTTCGTGGTCGGAGAGTCGAAATTGCGAGCAGCAATCTTTACGCTGGATTGCTCAGAGGTCTCGTAGGTGAAGGAGGCGGGCGCAGAGGAGCCGGCGGCATAACCCCGGCGCTGGGCAACGAGCGAACAGCCCTGCCGAAGCTGTGCGCCTCTCGAGAGAGCCGTTCGGGAGAACATATCAAAGGAAAATGCCGTAGACGATTGGCAATTGAAGGTCTTCGACAGCACGGCACTTTGGTTGATGAGGTGATTCGGGAGCTTGAGTAAAATCAAGCCGGCCGGCAGATTATCGGCTACAATCCATGCACTAGCCTGGCTCCAGTCTGAAGCGTGAAGGACCTCCCAGCTGGCAGACGGCTGGCAGACAGACAGACCGTGAGAGGCCGTGACTCTTCGTGCAAACCTGTAGGATGGTGGGGCACGGAGCTTGGTGAGCTCTTTCGTCTCCCGTCTCCCCCACCTCTATCGAGAAAAAACTCGCCATTGAGATTCACGCTGTCCACTGCCTTTTGCGACAACTTCTCCCAAGGATTGCACAACTTCCAGGTTCGCTCATACTCCCTGGAGCATCATCTTCCACAATCTATCAATGAAACTGCGGTAGCAATTGTGGCAGCTCTAGAGATAGTGAGAGGATCTCTAGAAGCAATCCCCTCTGCCGATCTGCCGCATATCCATATCCCACTTACACGATCGCATCGCAATCACCTCGCCGCAGAGTCACACATCACCCACCTCGGTAGCCTGTCATGTTGGGGGTGAGTCAAGTTCCAAGTCTTGCGCCTGGGTCGCTTCCGTTCCGCACAACTTGTTTTTGCATTCTTACTAATCTTACTTTCAATGCAACAGACTAAGAGCGCTGCGGAGCTGTGCGTCCTGCTGATCGACGAGCTGTACGGCCAACTCCCGTCGGTATGCTTCCCATGCACCATGACTTCCCTAACCCCCCTCCAAACGACTGCCAGGTTCGTATTCTAATACGTTGCAGCGCGTTTTTGCCGCTCTCCTAGCAAGGGGCAGATCGAACGTCGGAAAGCTGGTGCAACAGTCCTCGCTGAACCCTAAACAAGTCCGGCATGGCCTTGTAGTCCTGATCCAACAAAACCTCATCTTCTACCACACCGACCCAGATGCACCCCATAGTCTCTACGAAGCGAACCCCAGTGCTGCCTACAATCTCGTAAGAGTTGGAAAGATCCTAGATATGGTCGAAAACCAATATGGGCGCACGGCAAAGCTACTCGTCCACGACGTTATCCTGCTCGGCCAGATCGAGATCGCGGAGCTTGTTAGACACTACAAGCACGAACATTGCGCCCAGAAGAAGGATAGTGATGGTGAGGTCGAGGCTGGTCACAATGGCATCAACGGGGATGACCATACCAACCCAAACCACATCAATGGTAACGGTACAGCTAGTTCCGCGACAGAGGACGAGTATGCCGAGCCAGAGGACGAAGAAGTCTATGATATCCTGGCCCAGCTAATCGCCTCCGGATTCATCGAGTCAGTCACGGCGTCGACGTTCCAGTCACCTGAAGACTTGAGGACTGGAGTTGAGCAAGAGGTCATGAAGGATTTCCCGAACGGTCTCCGAGGAGCAAAGCAGACGAATGAGTTTGACACAATGGTCATGGATGAGCTGAAGTCCATTCATGGGGAACGCACAGCTTTGAAGAGAAAGTTACAGGACAGACTGGACTACGAACCCAACATCAAACGTCGGAAGTTGACGAACTGCGGTTGGGCTAACGGGTTCGTCGCTACGGGCGGAGGTTCTCTCCTCGACGAAGAAGTAGGTGCCATAGCAGGGGATGCTCCTGTTGAAGGTCTCTTACTGACCCTTTTCTAGTTCGATACTATGATCCGATTGAACCATGACAAGTGCATAGTGGAGCTTCGCAATCAGAAACTTGCCGAGCATGTCGAGGACATCATCGGAGATACCACAGCCCAAGTCTACGGAGCACTGCTCAGAGCCCTCAGCAAGAAGATATCCCGTTGCCGGGTATCTGGAATCCTGTCGAATGAAGAGGCCGACTTCTTGGAGCCTCGTGTCTCGACCGATGATGTCTTTGAACATCTGAGCCCATCTGTCGATGTATCCTTTGGAATAGGAACTGCATCTGAGGATACCATCGACATTCGATATGCAGAAAAGATTCGCAGGGATCCACCCCAGCTTCAAGACCCGAGCTTTCAGGATGGCCTCCAAGAAGGAGACGTCGTCGTGGCCTCCGACGATGAGTATGACGAGACTGGGGAGCTCACCAATGGTGCCGCCGTCAATGGATCTCGCAGAGGCTCCAAACCGGGTCAGAATGGGACCAAAGTCAAAGGCGAGGATGGAGGACCCCTGAGCTCTCAACGACTGCGCCAGATGCGCCAACATCTTCTCATACTAGCCGAGAGCAAACAGCAGTTCGTGCGTCACTGTGGAGCTGGCCAGTGGACAGTCGATTTCGGACCCCTCTTGCAGCGTGTGCGCTTCATTGAGCTTGACACGATGATTGAAGAGTCATTCGGTCGACAGGGCCTGCGACTCACCCGAATCCTACGAGAGAAGGGCAAAATCGACGACAAGACGTTACCGACCATGGCGCTCATGAGAAAGCCCGACGTGCATGTCAAGATGGCAGAGATGGAAATGGCAGGGTTTCTCGACGTGCAAGAAGTGCCCCGCGACAACAACCGAGCGGCGAACCGCACCATGTTCTTCTGGTTCTTCGATGAGGAGAGAACACTCAGGCGAATATTGGACAGCACGTATAAATCGATGGTGCGATGTCTGGAGCGACTCGAGGTAGAGCGCCGTAGAAGGAAGAACGTGTTATCGGTGACTGAGCGCAGAGACGTTCAGGGGAAGGAAAAAGATATGCTTAGATCTGACGTGTACAGTGAATGGCTCGAGTTCCTGGAAGTTGAGAAGAAACTTCTTGGGCAAATAGGGCGGATGGACGATCTCGTTGCGATCCTCCGCGACTACTGATTCGATCGATTGGCGTCGGGACTGGTCTAGAGTGAATACTTGCATTGCATGGCGGCGTTGGTTCTTTCGGCTGACCAGATGGTTCATGGTCATTGCGCAGAGAAAGGTCTTGGCTAATCGGCGGGTTGTCTTTGCCCGAGGCGTATATTATACCTAGGTACAGGCTGAGAGCCAGCTTGCCTGCGAATACAGTCTCTATCATGTCTTACTCTCCTCCCTATATATCAGTCCACACCCTACGTAATGCGTCTGGGAATGGTGATCATGTCTCATATGTAGCAGATAGTGCATGCAGAGGTACCTAAAGCTGCAGGCTGGAAAGCGAGCATTCTCGATTTTCCAGTAAACCGTCAGTTCTTTCTAATGCTGCTCATTTATTATATGCAAACAAAGGAAATTGTACGGAATTAAATTGATAATTGAATACATCTTCACCATCTTCAGTTCATACCTCAGACAGCAACCTGGAAGGTTCAATAGGATGGCCCGTAAGATGGTCCGTGCATTGCCTAGTCCAGACTCCACGGTTGTTACCCTTGCTCCGACTTCCAAGCTACCGGACCCCGTTTATGATTTGCGGCGCATCTATGAAATTTTTAATAGCTTCCATCTGTCGTGTGAGCTTGCTCCCTCCGAACCCGCAGTCGTCCGATACCTTCACCACTTCCTTTCCGTTCTCTTCTTCCTTTCCCATTGCCGCCTTCTTTTCAGTGTATTCGTTCAGTATACCAGTACCTTCATAATCCAGTTAGTAGCTTTAGTGCCACTGCAATCTCGAAGCTGTCGTAATGGCGCCCATGGTAGCTGGCAAGGAGCGCGAGTCCAATCTTGCACGACTCTTGGGTTCTGGTGCGTCAGCCAAGCATCACAAGCCCAGTTGCAGTCGCTAATCATTGATATAGGCTCTGCTGGTATCTCTGAGCTGGCTGTCTTCCACCCGGTGCGTAGCGACGCTTCCCGACAGCACTGATCCCAACTAACGAGCCGAAGGTCGATACCATTGCGAAGCGATTGATGAGCAACCAGACGAAGGTACGGGCGAGCTGCTTGGCTGCAACAATTGGATCGCGCTGATTGGTGTCCAGATTGCAAACAGAGCCCAGTTGACTACAGTCATCTTCAAGGACAAGGCAGCGGCACCGCTTGGTCAGAAATTCGTCTCGCTGTTCCCAGGTCTAGGATATGCCGCAGGATACAAGGTTAGACATGTCGGAGCACTGGATAGCATGCGCGGACGGCTGACAGTCCAACGCAGGTCCTGCAAAGAATATACAAGTATGGTGGTCAGCCGATAGCTCGCGACTACTTAGCAGCGCACTACGGCAAGGACTTCGAGAGCGCATTCGGAAAGAAGACAGGCAAGGCCATCATGCACTCAACAGCCGGAAGGTAAGTGTCAAGTGCTGAGCCAGGAAATCAAGCATGATTGCTGACAGAATGCCAGTCTGATCGGTATCGGCGAGATCGTCCTGCTCCCCTTAGATGTCCTGAAGATCAAGCGTCAGACGAACCCAGAGGCCTTCCGAGGACGAGGTGTCTTGAAGATCGTTGCCGATGAGGGATTCGGACTATACAGAGGTTGGGGGTGGACAGCTGCCCGGAATGCCCCCGGATCATTCGCGGTACGTAGACGCCACTGAGGCTCCAGGGGTTTGTTTCAATGTGACCATGTCTAACAAGTAACAGCTCTTTGGTGGCTCGGCCTTCACCAAGGAATACCTGTTCAAGCTGAACGACTACAACAAGGCGACTTGGTTCCAGAACTTCATTGCTTCGATTGGTGGTGCCACAGCCTCTCTCATTGTCTCTGCGCCATTGGACGTCATCAAGACTCGTATCCAGAACCGCAACTTTGAGAACCCAGAGAGCGGCTTCCGCATCCTGTCCAACATGGCAAAGAACGAAGGATTCTCTAGTTTCTTCAAGGGATTGGTCCCCAAGGTAAGAACCCACCTATCGAACCACTTTCCTCCTGTGCTTTGCTAACCGACATGTTCCTCTTATAGCTTCTCATGACTGGACCCAAGCTTGTTTTCTCCTTCTGGCTTGCCCAGACACTCATCCCGGCATTTGACGGCATGTTGAAATAGATGGACGATTAGATACTACTTAGACTAATCAGTGGATGCCGGGGAAATCATAGTAGATGACGGTGCAAATGGACCATCTAGGTACTGCATGTATATAGAAGAGAGCCGGCGTTTTTGGGGGTAGGCATGCGCGCTGTAGCACTACGGGATGGATTTGCTAGGGCGGTTCTCCTCGGACTAGGGAATCGGCCATCAGGGTCATGGCCAATATAGAAAGACTCGACTCACATAGACAAATAATCTCAAGATGTGCTAATAATAATACCGCGTTCACGGATAGCATAGGGACATACTCAACTACGATACAGTCATGCCATCAAACACTAGCTAGGTAAGGTAGTAAGCAGTACCTAGCATTGATGAGACTTTCATGTCCACGCAGATAAGAACTTAATGATCAGCCTATGCACCTTATCTTAGGTGGGCAGACATGGTGCTTGGGGTCGGTTGTCACAAGGAGCACCCAACTTAGGGGTGGCCCGAGCTCTCGTTGCTGGGGCAGCGGCGGCCCACCCTGCAGGGAAGCTGTTGTTTGTCTACATGGGGGACGTCCCGCGCTTGCATTCGCTCCCGCCTGGTCAATAACTTGAAGGTGATCATTTATTACCAGGGCTGTCTTAGATGGACCTTGCACCGTCTTTCTCTAAGCTACCCTTTTACGTGATGAGCGCAAGCGATTAACTTTCAGCCCTTCCAACCTGTTTCCTGTGAATCCTGTCACATCTGCTTGACTCCAATCCTCTTCAATTCCCGGCTTCGGGAGGCTTGCGCCAGCAAACGCCAATTGTTGTTGAAGTTGCCCAGGTGCAACCCAGCAAGAAAGTTCAACTGCTTGCCGAGTCAGACAGTCAGACACAGCATTCCATCGCGACCTACACACAACCGTCGTCACCCCGGTTTTGCTCGATATGCCATCGGTTGAACGTGACGCGCCGGACCCCCGGTATCTAAGACACTCACATTCGTCCTCGATCGGTGCTCTGATCCCAATGTAAGCTTAACCCTACAACCAAACATGTCGCTTTTGCACCGACTGACGGTGAATCGCAGGTGGGACAGCGCTGACCCGGAGCGGGCGCCTCCTCCTTTGCCATTGAACCCGCAGTCGCCCAGCGTAGGCCCCTCACGCGCCGGCACGTCGCTGGCCATCCAGTCGGCACATGCAGCTCTGACCGAGAAGGCGCGGGAGACGGCCCTCGTCCCAACCCTCACGAAACGAGCCACGACCGACATATCCCCTGAGCGGGCTTTGGTGCAACGGCCCAGTCCACACAAGCGCATGCAGTCAATGCAGCCGGGAAGCGTGCGCGACCTGAGCCTCTTCCTCGAAGGCTCCCGAGACTCGGCAAACTCAACACCCCGAGCATCGCCCGAAAAGGAGAGGTATACCAGGCCATCGACGCCGAGTCGCGCCTGGGACCACGACAGAGACAGAGACGCAAAGTCCACTGAGAAGGAGAACACCGCTCCCGGCACACCTACACCATTGTCTTCCAGCCTCGGCTCCTCTGTGCGACCTTCAATGCGGAGGCCACAGCACAGTATTCTAGGCGAGAACACGCCACCACAATCTGCTACAATGCTAGCTCTAAACAATATGCCTGCGTCGTCGGTGCCACGCGGGCCTGAAGCACCCCTAGCCAATGTCACCAACAACTCGACGGCCCTGAACTCATCAGCCCTGGTGAGGTCGCCTGCTGCTCAAGATCAACTGTCTGAGCAGTTGTTGACCCTGACAAATATTTGCGCTGCCGTACAAAAGGAGATGTCGCAACTCAGCCGGAGGAGTCGTGACAATGCGACTGACCTGATGAGTCTCAAAGAGGCTACACACGCCCGAGATGAAGACATCCGCAAAAGCCTGCGAGAGCTTGCTCTGGGCGTAGATGGCCCCAGACACCACCGCGATACTTACACAGGCGGTCTATACCTCGACAACAAAGCTTTCAATAGCTCGACCATCTCCAAGACTTCGGCTTCGAGGCCTTTCTCGCTACCACGAATACCATCGCCAACCAGCTTTGCTGCCTCAATTGATCGGGAGTCTTCCCTGAGCACCCCATCGTTGATAGGAGGGGACTCACCTGCTACGCTTGCCTTGCTGGAGAAGATCATCCGGGATATGGGAACCAAAGATGGACAAGAGCTGGTTATGGGCCGCCTGTCTGAACTGGCGGATAGGCTGTCCGGCATGGCTTCTGCTGTTAAGGTGGAGGAACTCATCGGTCATCTGAACGCAGCAAGAGAACAGCACGCGATGGTATCCGCGGCAGATGGTGGCTCCAACCGGCCCCGGAACTTCAGCTTCGATGACGACGACGAGCCCAGGATGAGGGAAGTGGACTACAGTCGGCGCAACGGTGCCATTTTGCTGCACGACCAAGACAGCCGTCTCTCTTCAGCCTCGCCGTTTCAAGCAAACGCCCTTGTCACCGAGGACATCATGAAGATCATCCGCTCCGTCAAAGACAGTGTATCTCAAGGGGGTGGAATGACCGCTGAGGTTAAGGCCCTTGTTCGTGAATTGCGTGGTGAAGTCCTGGGTATGGGCAGGGAGATCGGCAGGAAACTTGACGAATCCAATGTGATGAAGGGTCACAGTAAGAGTGAGACGAAAAGCAGAGAGGATGTGGCGACAATCGTCGAAGAGGGCCTGGAGCAGATGAAGGTCTATATGTACCAACGTCTTCGCGATGCCAGACGCGAATCGACCGAATCGACAAAATCCGCGGTCGACTACCAGGACGTGTACAACGCCGTGAAAGCAGCTCTCACGGATGCGGAAGCCAACAAGAGCGAAGAGCCCCAGATCAGCCGCGACGATGTCCTCCTGGCGATCAAGGAGGCCTGGGAGAACTACAAACCCGACATCCAGGTAGAGCAGCTTGGCCTGGAGCGTGACGAGGTCCTTGCGTGTCTCAAGGAAGGTTTGCAGGAATACGCACCTCCCCAGGATGCTCCCCAGGGTGCAACACGGGAAGAGGTCTTCGTGGCGGTCGTCGAGGGCCTGAAGCATTTCACCCCTCCCAAGGTCGATACCCCGGCCACTCTGTCCCGAGACGAAATCCTCGAGGCCGTTCGTGAGTGTCTCGAAGAGTTCGAGTTTCCTCTTGCTCCGTCTGCTATGGGCAATGACCTCACACGCGATGACATGTTGGATGCCGTCAAAGAGGGGCTTAACACATTCGAATTCCCTAGCCAGGATGCTCCTCTGGTTCCCACGCGCGATGACATGTTGGACGCCGTCAGAGAGGGGCTTAACACATTCGAATTCCCCAGCAATGATGCTGCCCTGATTCCCTCCGGCGGTGACAACTCCGAGCTCGTCGAAAGACTTCACGACATCATGCAGTACATGCAGGACGAGTTCAAGGCTGTCTCCGAGGAAGCCAAGCAGAACGTTGCCGCCAACGGAAGAGACACCGAACAAGTCCTAGACGCGACCAAAGATGGCTTCGAAACCCTACGGGTCCACATGGAGGGATACGTTGAAAGGGTTTCCGGCGCATCGGGCCAGGAAGAGGTCATGGCCAACATCATCAACAGTCTGGACAACTTCCGCGATGAGGTCTCTGAACTCGTCGCAAAGGCCGCGGATGGGTCCAAGGATGTGTTGAAGGAAGAGATCGAGACACTCAGGGAAACTATGAACTCCTCATTGGTTCCCCACGTGCCACCAGCCGTTGATCACAAGGAAGCCCTGGAGGCCATCCGTGATGGTCTTGAGCGTGTACGGAGTGAACTCCTTCGCCCGCATGCAGGAATTACCGACATCTTGGATGCTCTCCACGACGGCTTCATTGAAGTGCAGCACAGCATCGAACGGATGAACAACAAGCCCGTCGATCTAACAGCTAACGACGAGATCCTCGACGCCCTCAAGTCTGGCCTGGATGGTGTCCGCACTGATATCGACTCGCTTCGAGAAACCAACCAGAACGACCGGGCGGTTGCGGCAGTCACTGAGACTCCTACAGATGCCTTGATCCCTACCGATCTCGTCAAACAAGATGACATCAGAAATCTCGAAGTGATGATGACTCAGCTGAGAATTAAGATGGAAGCCATGGAGGCCGCCCAGCCTGCACCAGCGCCAGAGGGGAACCTGTCCAAGGACGACTTGGTTGAGATGGAAGAGATGCTTCGCAAGGGTGTGTCTAAAGACGACTTGAACGACATGGAAGAGATGCTTCGCAAGGGGGTGTCTAAAGACGACCTGAATGGCATGGAAGAACTGCTTCGATACATGCAACAAACAATGGCAGCCATGTCGGCGAGTAAAGATCCTGAAGCGCCCATCGATCCCGACGCTGCTGCGACCAAGGAGGACATCATAGCCATCGAGACAATTCTCCGCAACACGAAGGGCCGTCTAGATGATCTCATGGATGGCGAACAAGCAGTACGGAAAGATCACGTCGATGCTGTCGAAGCTCTTGTGCTTGAGACCAAGGACTCACTGGGGTCTCTTGCAGGTCAACTTGAGACGATGACTCGCAAAGATGATCTCCTCGCAATCGAGTCACTGGTTACCCAGGCCACCCTGGCACTTGACGAGATGAAAGAACGTGCTGAGAAATCACTAGAAGACCCCGAAAAGGTTACCAAGACTGATGTCGATGCACTCGAGGCTTTGGTGTTGGATGTCAAGACTGTCGTCGAGCAGATGGTAAAGTCTGACATCGCTGCTCTTCCTTCGAAAGAGGACATCAAGAACCTGGAAGATCTCGTCAAGGAGATCAAAGACTACAACACGGCACAGACCGAATCGAATTCGCAAGCCTTGGAACTACGGAATGCTGAGAACGCCACCGTCAGTGAGCGAGTAGCCGAAGTCAAGACTTTCTTGGAGGAGTTTCAGGACATGGTCAAGGAGAGGCTCGAAGCTGGTGGCACTAACGTTGAAACCCTTGGAACGCTCCTCACCAGCGTCAGTGAGACTATTGGTAACAATGCCACTGTTGGTGACGACTTGAAGGAGATGCTCGAGACGATGAAAGTGGAGTTTGAAGAGTCCAGGGCTGGAGTGGTGGGTGCGAAGCTCGACACTGATGAGAAGTTCAAAGAGACGACAGACTCTCTCGGCGCCAAGATCGATGAGAAGATTGGTGAGCTGATTACGAAATATGACGAATTTGCACTTGTTATGGATGATCGAACCAAAGCGGAAGAGGAAAAGGACCTTGCGAGGGAAGCTGCCATGGGCGACACAAAAGCCGTCGCAGAAGAGTTGAAGGTCCTAGTTGATACTCTCGGCTCGAGTGTCACCGACTCCCTCGAGAAGATGGAGGAAGCCTCCAAGACTGTCTTCGAGAAGGTCGAAGTGCTGTACAGCAAAGCCGAAGACAACCACTCAGATGACAGGAACGAGCACCAGGTGACTCGTGACCAAGTCAAAGACGCCATCACAAAGGTCGAGGGTCTCCAAGGGCATGTGTCTGAATACCAGCCGCAAATCCTTGAGTCAGTCAAAGATGTGCTGTTGATCGTTGGACAACACTATGAGCACTCAAAAAGCTCTGCGTCCGAACTTCAACAGAGGATCGAAGATTCCAAACCACCTGAGAAGGAAGAGCCCCCACTGTTGCCGCCACCCGAGCCGTATGACGACACCGAAGTGCACGCAAAACTCGACAAGATTGATAGCGAGGTTCACACGAAGCTAGACAAGCTGGTCGATCATACCCACGCTGCCGGAAAGGCCTACTCTCAACTCGACACCCTGGACAAGGTCCATCAACAGGTCGTACAAACTGCCGCCGACATATCCGAATTCCTGTCTTCCCAGAAGCAGCGCGTTGAGGATGATCACGAAGACCGCGAGAAGACACTCCAGGAGACTACTATCGCGCTGGAGCGTCAAAAGGCCGAGCAAGAACATGTCGAAGCCAACGTGGCCTATCTCCGAGACGAGGAGGCTCAGCTCAGGGAATCAGTCCTTGCTCTCCGAACCGAACAAGAGTTCTTGGCTCGCCAGAAGACGAGACTCACTGCCGATCTCTCGTCGTTAGAGACTGCCCTGCATCTACGCCGAGAAGAACTCCATGCTATGGACACTCGGGCCGAGGGCTTGGAGCGCAGGATCCTCGAGGGCGTGCTGGACCACTCCCGGGCTCTTTTGATGACTAAATCTAGTGCTAAGGGCCGAGATGCGATGAGTCGCAAACGCGTTCCTGGTGCTAGAACCAGCCTCGGACCCGTTGAAGCCCCCAATGCCGTTGTTAGGCAGACCTCGAAGCCCCGATCCGCTGTCAACCTCGCAGTCAATGGTAATCGAGCCAGTCTGATTCCGCCCAATCCCGCCGGCGCCAGCCGAAGGATCCTCAGTCTGAGCCAGATCACGAACAATATGCCAACAGGCGGGCTCAAGCGGAGTCAGAGCGTTCGTACGGCTGCCGCACTCCGGAAGAGCAGTTGGGCCCCGGGCAGAGTCGGTGCTGGTAAAGGGTACGGCGACCTCGACAAGGAGAACGTCGACCTGGTTAGGGAAAGCGACGAAGAAGTTCGTGATACACCCGAGCCCGAAGCTGAGACGCCTACACCGATGGAGCACGATGATGTGCCGACGCCTGGGGACGAGACGCCCACACAACTCGAGACACCCACACCCCTCGACGAAGGTGACAACGCCACGGAACTCACAGCCGGCGGCACTGACGACTTAGAGAAGGAGGAAGAGGAAGAAGAGGAATACGCTGCCGAAGAAAGCGACGCCGGCACCCTGCGGCGGTCCAGCCTCGGCACCACGGTCATCACCAGCACCGAGACCGAGGGCGGCTACACGGACTACACGGGTGCCGACGAGGACGACGACGCCCAGAGCGAGTGGACCGAGAGCCACTTCGGCCCCGCCAGCTCGGGGTCGGGCTCGGGCTCGCGCGGGGATGATCATAGCATGATCTCCGAGAGCCTGGCTGATACGGATAGTATCGCTGGTGAGGGCGAGGTCGTTGTGTATGCCGCCTAGGCCTAGGGATGTGCGGGTGTGCGGGGTGTGCGTGGTGTGTGGTGTGTGGTGTGTGTTGGTGTGTGTGTGGTGTGTGTGTGGTGTGTGGTGTTGTGTTGGTCGATAGATATCCGATGGTCGTGTTGGTTGATTCCTGGGATACATACCCTAGTTGTTGCGAGCCTACATGCTTTCGATACATTGTTTCCCCAGTACTAGGCCTGACTGGACGGATGGATGGATGGATGGATGGATGGATGGATGGAGCAGCTGGGATTGACGAGTGAGGTGTTTTCTCTGTTATTTGAACTTGTCAGACTGAATTCCCCCCCTACTTTTCTGTTTTTACTCTCACTACATACATACTTGTCGAGGCAGATACATGTAGGGTGCATGCGTGGTGATGGATGGCTGGCTGGATGGGGAGGGAGTAGCTGGCCGGCCTTGTTTCATAGTTTTCAGTATTCAATGATGATGATGAGAATGAGAATGCCAATTCCAATGTTATACATATATATTTGGTTACAGACTTGCTTTCCTGCCCGTGAATGAAGTATGCATGCATCGTACAGTCGAGATGAGGTTTTCTTCCATCAAACCAGAGCCAGAGCCGTTTGTGGTCATGACTTAATTGCCTGGTTAAGTACGCATCCTCACTCACTCCTCGCTTTCAATCGTACAATCTGCCTTGTCATATAGTCAGTCTTACGCAATCACAATCACAACCGCCGATGTTTCAACCCGATCTTCTCCCGGCCACCCATCCACGGCCGCAAGACCTCCGGTATCGTGACAGCCATCTCGTTCTCGTCCCACCCATTTTCGAGGACCGCAGCCAGCACGCGCGGCACCGCCAGCGCCGTCCCGTTGACCGTCCAGGGGTAGACCATCTTGCCGCCCACGGTCCGCAGTCTCGTCGCCAGCCGGCGGGTCTGGTAATCGGTACAAATACTCGCGCTCGTGACTTCGCCCCAGCCTCCGTCCTCATCAACCTCCCCTTCCCCCTCCTTTTTGGTTGTGGCCCGCCGCCGACGGCTGGGGAAGAAAGCCTCGATATCAATCTTGCGCACAGCCGAAGCGCCCAGGTCGGCCGACGGCATCTCCAGCACGCGGCAGTGCAGACCCAGCCCCTGCAAGATCTCGGTCTGCAGGTCGACCATCTCGTCAAAGACGTCTAGCGTCTCGTCCATGGACGGCGGCGTCCACGCGAACATCTCCACCTTGGTGAACTCGTGCACGCGGTACAGGCCCTTGGTGTCGACGCCGCGCGCGCCGGCCTCGGCGCGGTAGCACCGCGAGGCGGCCACCGTCTTCAGGGGCATGGCGTTTCTCGTATCGTTATCTTCCAAAAGCACGCAGTCAGCCTTCAGCCCCGCGAGCGGGATCTCAGCCGTGGCCGCGAGGCTGAGCTCCGGCCGGCCGCGCGCGGCGTCCGAGGCCGACTGCGCCAGGGTATAAACCTGCTGCTCGCCGTGCTGGTCGCGCGGCTGGAACCCGCACGCGCCGGCAATGTGGCTGTACACGATGCTCGGGGGCGCGACCTGGCGCCAGCCGGGCGAGCGCGTCACGCCGGCCAGCGCGTACGCGATCAGCGCCTGCTCGAGCGCCGCGCCCTCGTCTACTAGGTAGTACCACCCCCAGCCGGAGCTCGTGGCCGCTCCCGCGAAGTCGAGGATGCCGAGCTCGGACCCGATGTGCACGTGTGAGCGCCACACGCGGTCCGAGGCCGAGGGGGCGGGTTCCGGGTGCTCGTTGATGTAGCTTAGGACGCGCGGGACGGCGCCGCGAGGGGTGGTGGCGGAGGTCAGGTTCGGGATTGCGAGCGCGAGGGCGGACATCTCGGATGTGAGGCGCGCCTCGTCTTCTTCGATGGCGGAGAGCTGCGTCTTGAGCTGGCGCGCTTCCTCGAGGAGTTCGGGCTTCGTCATGGTTCTGATGTCTTTCACATCTGGGGTTGTAGTAGCTGTAGCCGTATTATTACTATCGTCGGGTTTCGTCTCGTCCTCGTGCTGGAGGGTGGCCGGGTTCGCGATCTGGCGGCGCAGGGCGTTGCTGCGCTCGCGCAGGCTGCGGCCGTCGTGCTGGCGGGCCTGCCATTGCGCGAACAGGGCGTTGATGTGCGCCGGGTACGTCGACTGCGTCTTGTAGTTGCGCTCGAGGCAGTTCTGCTCGTGAAGCGCGGCGTTCTGGCGGATGTGCTTGATGTCAATGTTGGGCCGGGGTGCCGTTGTCGGCCGCTGTTGTTGTTGCTGTGCTGGAGGGGAGTTCGAAGGAGAGGAGGCTTCGGTGTTGGAGTGAGAGCTCGAGCTCGAGCGGTTAGAGCTCCATCTTGTCGGACGGGAGGAGGAGAGGCGTGCTGGTGGGTTCCGGAGGCATGGTACTGATCTAGGCCGGACGAGGCGGCATTGCAGGCATACAAACGGCGTCCGTGGAGCCCTCATCGTCGGAAGGTGTGGGATTGGGGTTGCTGAGCAGTCATAGACGAGGCTGCAATGGCACGATGGAAGTGAGAGCAGGCCAACTTTTCTCAGGTAGGGACTTGTCAAGCTTCCCCCGCATTTTACAGGGGCAGCTTCGTAGTGCACATTTGACATTCAGCCTCATCGACGGCGCTTATGATGATCACAACAGGACTATGCGATAGCCTTGGAGGTGTTACCAAATTACCATCAAACTCAGTTGGTTCTGTTGGCAGGTCTCATACAGGCAGCGGGAAGCAGGCATCCATGGCATTGTTGATGATTGGTATCAAGTTCATTCTGCTTCGTCACACCTCTTTAGAAGCGGAAGCCATATTTGGAAGGGTATCACAGGTATCTACCAGCTGAGTAATTCCAGCCAGCAGTCTCGTAATGGCAAACAGCAATGTCATCGACATCTTGTCTTTCTCTTCAGACTGATCCCCACACACCCAATGTCCAATTGTTCGTCTGGGAGGACGCCTGGCCTCTCATCAGACCACTAGGCCCCATACTCTGTCTCTGCGCCGACTTGACATCCACCTCGCTGGGCCGAGAAGCCCCTAGCACGCCATGTTGTAGCCACAGCTCGCGGTCCACCGTCGCCAGTGCCGGCACCTTAAGCTGCGTCGTCATACTCGCTCCGCACCAGGCACCGAGTGAATCGATTGCTCGCAACGTTCCTTGAGCCGGAGGCTTGTAGTTGCTCTCCTTTCTGATTAGCTTCTCTACCAGATCAGGTTCTTGAGGCAGATGCGCTGCGCGGACTGGGGCGGTATTTGCTTCCGCTTCGCTTCCGTCTGAGGCTTGTTGTACAATCACGGGCATAGGCCCATCGCCAGCTTGTCGGCCGCCGTTGCGCTTTAGCTTCGGGTTTGCCTTGTACTGCTCGACTCCCTTTCCTCGCACAGGGTCCCAGCCCCGTTCCTGGGCGAGCAGCAAGACCTCGTCGAAGATGCGACCTCGGAGTCCAATGATGTTGGAGCAGCCTCCGGTGAAAATGATGCGGGACATGCAAATAGCCCGTACATCTAGCGGCAGCTGTAGGAGAGCTCGGTACACTAGCAGGTGCACGGGAAGCTCGTGGTCGTCAAAGCACGATGGTGAAAGCCGGGTCTCGAAGAAGATCGCTTCACAGGGCTCGGCTAGTTCTGAAAAGGGGATTTTCAATGTTTTTGGTGGCTTGCATGATTTCAGTGGTATGGCCATGGGCGTCTGGTCCTCCGCCGGAGGTGTCGTCTCAATCTCTTCGTGCTCGTGAACGGTCGCAAGGCCCTCAGTGGTCTCTGGGTCAGGTTCCTTCGCGGCTCTCTTACACCAGAGCATACGGCTGGCGACCTCTTCGCATTCCTCGAAGCTCACAGCATCCTTTTCGCTCCTGTTCTCCGTACGTTCTGTTCGTGCCGTAGCTGGGCGACCCTGTATACCTTGCGACAAGAAGTCGTACGTCTCCTCCACCAGTAGCTTTCCCGCTCTTATCGTCCTCCAGCTTTGTACCTCTCTGTATTCGTAGACGGCCGTGACTGTGGTCTCGTGCCAGCCCATGTCGATTATGAGGGCGGATCGCGTGCCCGCCGCCATCGTGGCCATGACGGGCGACGAGAGGAGCGACACGGTAGGAGCTTGGAACTGGTTGAAGATGGTGTCGAGGACGGTAGAGAGCAAGGGCAAAGGCATGGTCGGCGGCAGCACCAATGTGAACTTTTTCGGTCTGGAATCAATGAGCAGGTACCTATGAACATCGACGTCAGTTGGGCAAGGCAGGAAGCAGAGCTTCTGCTGGGGGGAATGCGCACTTGTAAAAGGCATCCCTCAACTCCCGCTCCAGCTTGTCCGCGACCAAGCCAAGATCCTGCCCGCGAACATCCAGCTGCCACAGCTCATGGTCGGCTCCACAGGGCTTCCCCGCCGCGCGCTTCCTCCAGTCCTGCTCGAACCCGGCCTCCCAAGCCCTGAAGTCGCCCGCGCGCCGCTGCTGCTCTGGACTGAACGACACGGTCCTCTTAGGAGCCGACTCCCCAGCAAAGCCAATGCGCATCCGGCGGGAACCCAGCTCTATGATGACTACGTCGTCGTCGGCACGCGAGCTCGAGGGCGATCCGAGCGCGGACGAAAGGGGTCGCGTGGGCGTGTGAGGGCTGCCCGGTGTCCCCTGGCTCGCTGCATGGCCTCCGGTGCCACGCAGGCTCGAGAGGGCGCGGTGTGGAAGGCTTGCGCCTGTGCTCGATGCCATTGTGGTCTATTCGTGCCTTGTCATCGATCCCTCACTTCCCGCATCCAAAGCAAAGAGGAAGGGGAGGTCCAGCTGCTGGCGTGTTCGATCTGTTCGTCGCGTTTGCTTGCATGTACAAACAAGTGGTTCAATTAAACCGTTAACTCCGAGACCCCCAATTACCAGGTACCTAGGTAGCTAATGCTACGACAGCTCGGGGCTAGCCTACGGTACTTGCCGCCCTGCTGGGGCTTGGCCGGATAATTGCATATGGAACAGCCCCTTTAAACATGATTACTAATACTAACAACACTGGTAGTAAATAGGGGGGGGGGTTGCTATCATTAGCGGGGGTGGAAAGCAGTTTACAAAATTCAAAGTCGAGCACAGGTGCCATTTTTAACTCCAGACCTCTAGAGAGCATGATAGCAAAAAGAACAGTCCTTCGCCAAGATCAGCTCGTACTGTCTTACCCCTATTGCCTTCTTGATTGAGCCGCTGCCTGCCTGGTCTGGAACGCGACTTTCACTGCGCACGCCAATGCTTGCTCTGGCCTCCCCAACAGCATTGCCCACTGCTGATGTTTAGCATTGCCTGCAAGCATAGAGCCCTTGGTATTTACGAAGTCACATGCTAAGAAAAGGATGGCATCTTAAAATCACTTTTTTTTTCTTCCAATCCTTCAATATGGCCCAGAACCTTACATCACGGAGGATCGAAGAATAATTAGGTCTTATGGAAGAAACGTGTTCACTTTTCGCGCATCAGAGAGATACCGTCGGGACGACACATTTGCACGCAGCAGGTCCCCTTAACCCATTTTGCATGGAATCTCGTCTCGGCTTCTTTCGGGCCTGGCACCACATCACGCATGAAGCCAAAGTGCGGACTGTAAGTTAACCGTCATAATCGATGCCATGTATCAGGCCAAAGGCCCGGATGATCCGATATTTGCTCATATTCTCGAGGTTCCATGCGACCCTGCCAGCACGCAATATGGAACGCAAGGATTCAGGCTACCTTCCCATGAAAAAACCCTTCAAAGACGTGCTATACACAACGAAACGGGAAACAAAGACAACCTGGTTTGATTCATTTACATGTCAGTCTGAACAATCATGAATGCAAGCCGATACCATACGAAAGCAGAGCCTTTCTTGCGGCAATACTAGCTAGCTTACTGAATAATCCATCGGAAACCGTTCAGCGACTGCCTTTGGCTAGGAGTTCCCCCAATGGTAGTAGAGTGACCGCATGCTGAATCGAGGTAGACCGACCTCTCCAAGCGGCAAGATAAGCTAAGATCACATGAGACCACTAACTACTCCTCCTGGGTAAAGGACTTCTTCCCAAGTCCCTCGACTTGCATGGCCCAGACAGGCGAAGCCATCTCGACAAAATGCTCCCCAAACTCCGCCAAAACCGCATCCACATCCGGCGTGCCAGACCTGACAGCCTCATCGTACACCTCATCACTGCCAAACGTGGCCGCATGCCACTCCCTCTTCCACTGCCTGACCATATTCGCAGCCTCCTCGCTCTGGCTCTGGATCTCCATGGCGATCATGTAGAAGGAAGAGCGGTGCTGGTGCTGGACGTCGGGCTTGAACAGGGTGACCTTGGCAAACTTGCTGAAGTTGTGGAAGAGACAGATGTTGCGGAAGCTCTCGGCGTGGTGCAGGAGCACGAGCATGCTGCCGCCAGGCTTGACGCGTTCGAGAGCCAGGGCCAGCTGCGCGGCGCGCAGACGATGCGCCTCGCGAGACTCACGGTACTCGGCGCGTGCGTGGGTTCGTAGGACGCCGCCCTCGCAGGTGGCGAGGTCGAAATGGGCTCGCGGACGGATGAGGCGCGTTCGGAACTTCGTGGTATCGGGGTGGTCGGCAGGGACGTCTGACATGGGAAACCCTAGATCCGTGATCATCATGGTGAGGTCGGCGTAAGACAGCTTCATGCGGTTGCGGAGATCCTTTCGGACCAGGACCTTGATGCCGTTGTCCTCGACGCCGAGAGTGATTCCGGAGACTTGGGTGTTTTTGTTGATGTCCATAGCTGTCTCGATCTTGCCGCCGGGAGCGAAACCCAGAGCCAGAATGTTGGGGCGCTTGCCGGGGAGGGTGAAGACGCCGGTGGCCTCTTGCGCCTTGCGGCCAACAGCACGCATCATCTTCATGAATATCGTAGTGGTATTTCCATCGGCGTTGTCGGAGATGTAGCGCTGTCTCTCGAAGTAATCGTCGCCTTTGGGGTTCTTCCAGCCCTATGTGTCATTGTCAGTCAAAGATCTTGGGACCACGCGTGGGCTTATGGCATGGTAAGGGTCTTTTTCGTCTAGACTTCGAGCAGAGCAAGACATGATTGGCGGGATACTTGCCTTCATCCTGAGCTCCCGCAGCCGAGCGAAGATCGGGACTTTACTGCACAGGTACTCGGTGACAACTGGCTGTTGCTGACCGCCGGTGTCTCCATCATCAGCTTGCTTGAGGCCAAGATCAAGCAGCAGCGACGGAGGTAGATTATCCTGTAGCGACAAATTATCCTGGAACAACGCGATGACATCCTCGATGGGATTGCTCGGGAGCTCAGTGCTTGCGTTGTCATCGGTGGCAGGTCCGGTACTGACATCCGTTGCAATATCGTTGCCGGTGACGCTGTCAAGGTCTGCCATCGCGATGAGGGTTCGGGGGTCCGAATTATTGGATGATAGGACTTGGAAGGAGGAATTGGGCACGCAAAAGAAGAATGGTGGAAGTGCAAGCTTGATTCTAAATCTACATGTATCTGGGTACCTAGAGCTACCTAGATACTTGGTACAGAACCACGCGGGCTGAGGTATCTCTATGGCAATGAGATTGCCTCAGTAGCAACCAGACTTCCCAGGCAACCAGAGCCCCAGTCTACCAACCAACTTGTAACAAGTATTTCGAGGTGGGGTGATGGAAAGATGCTGCTTGTGGGAAACTCAGCAGAAACCTCAGGCAACAAACACAGAGGCTGGCAGTGTGTCCTGGAATCTGTCAACTCTCCGTCAAACAACAAAGAAGCTGGCAGGGTGCCTTTAGATCTGTCAAATTCAACTCCTGAGTCTTCGTTCTGCAATTTGTAACAATTATCTCAGACTTCAAAAATTGCATCGTTTCCAAAGAACCAAAACCAGCTACTTCGCAACTCGGGTTGTCCTGTTCGCCATGTCTTCCCTTGTCACAAGTAAGGCGGAAACCATCGCAAGGCCGGCCAGCGAGAACACGCCTCTACTTCACCCGACCCAAGAGAACGACAGCCCTAGCAGGCCCGACAGTATTGCACATTACAACATTGTGCGTATTTTCTGCGAGGTCCCGCTTGTATCATGCATGGTCATGACGAGGTCAAGTACAGAAGAGCATGTAAACTCGCCTAGCAATACACGGAAGGCACCTCTTTGATATGCATCTCACACGGTTCTACTGGCCGTTAGGGATCTGGCGTGTTATGGCAGTACATGAAGCCTGCTCCTTCTAGCGGTTGAAGGCAGAAGGGATATCGGTGAGCACTCACCTTGAGCTCGAGTATCCCTCTCGCCACACGTACGACAAGATTCAGGAGCGCCACCACACGTTCTCAGGGCGTCCAGGAGGCAACATTGTATCGCGACGGAGAGCCTCATTCGGTCACGTTCGCTCTGAGTATCGTCAAGATAGGTCATCGCAACCATCCCCCATGATCTCAATATCCCGGCGGTGATGGCATATATGGGGACCGCAACACCTTGTCCTCCGTCGTCTGCGCCTTCGCATACTCCTCATCCCAGCTGCGTTTTGCCGGATATGCAAACCATCCACACAAACCAAAGGATCTCACTTGCGACTCTTACCATCACCATTTCCGAAGCTGGCTCATCAACCCTAACCCTAACCCTAAGTAAAGTGATGCCCAGGCTCATAGGAGACGACCACATCAACAACGGGGAGGGCGTAACACCAGTGGTCATTCATGGCGATCTCTGGTCTGGCAATGCATCAGTGATCAAATCGCGCGGCATCAGCGAGCCGGAGGACATCATTTTCGTCTCTTCAGCTTGCTACGCACAGTCAGAATTCGAGTTAGGCATCATGAAGATGTTCGGCGGTTTCGGTGGAGGGTTCCTGAAAGAGTACCACTCCCTGGTGCCGAAGACAGAGCCGGTTGATGAGTATGAGGATCGAGTGGCGTTATACGAACTGTAGACCATCTGAATCATCATGCGTTGTTCGGAGGGGTTTACAGAAGCGGCGCCGTTAGCACCATAAAGAATCTGATAAGCAAGTACGGGAGAGATGGCGGCTGCAGTGGGAAGGGAGAGATATAAGCCTCTCCTCCAATGATCCTTCTATTGTGCGAACAGCTGCACGATACATCTACGGCCCAAGCACGACTCGCAGAATACACGCATCTCCGTTGTCCGGACAGACATCCGTCCGATTCAGCTGCTTGTCCTCCGGTCCCGTCGGTCCACCGGTGTACTTCTGCGTCCCGTCAATACCAAAGATGTCACTCTGTCTTGGATCGTTCTCTGGATACTCGTCGTCGCCCCAGTGGCCGGTGAAGTACAGCCAGTTGACCGGCGTACTATCGTCGTACGCGGCAAAAGTTGATGTGTCAGCGTCGTAGGTGTAGTAATATGCCGACAACGTCGGATCCCAGATCGGTCCTTCGTCGGTATAATCCTCTATCGGCCCCTCTGGCAGATTGACGTCCGGAATGGTGTGGTCGTGCGTCCCGCTGATGGCATAGTTGGCGTGGCTACCGTTGGCACTGAAGACAATGGGCTTGCCGGGACATCAGCTTGGTTTGATCAACGCAGTCAGTTATACATGCTCGGACTTACTCGGACACCACTCTTTTGCACGGTCTCGTACGTGAACGCCTCACCGTTCGAATGCTGACTGTACCACACAGCCGTCGGCGTCCCGTCCTGGAAGCGCACCATATTGTGCTCCCAGTCGCCGACATGATCGCCGACGATGAACGAGAAGTAATCGCCGCCGTAGTTGAAGGCATAGAAGTACATGTAGAAGACGTCTACAAGCCCGGAGCCATGGTCGTTGACAATGACGGCGGTGGATACTACGCCCTCCGTTTCATTGTCGGTTGGACCTACGCCATACAGATATGACGGGTTGGTTGTGATGTCTACTATCGAGGTGAGGTAGACGTCTGGTCCGCCGAGAGCGTTTAGAGAATTGAGGTTGTCGAGGGTTAGTGGCGAAGGAGCGTCGCTGATGAGGGTGGTATTGACTTGTGGCCTGAGAGAGTAGCGTTAGCACATGGCTGCCAATCTCACTCTCACCGTCGCCTAACAACGTACTGAGTGTTTGAGAGCTGAGCACCGATATCCGACGGACGGTAGGGATCGGCTGAGTAGAGGTAGACTATAGGTGCGTACTCGGTGACATAGCTCGGAACGCCAGACGGAGCTTGTCTTTTCGTCAATGGTACCGCCTTCGCGGCTGCAGCGAACAGCAAGATAATGAAGAGCATCGTCACCCTTAAGGAGGTATGACTTTCACGGCGGATCTGAGGGAGAGACAGGCAGGACAGAAACCACAGGAAGCCAGCGAAGGTCACCCGACCTCTTATATCGTTCTTACCTTAGCTACGCTGCCAGACAGCCAGAGTGCTCATGCTGCACAGGAGGCAACATAGGACGGCGACTCTGCGCGTGGTTTCAATTTGGAATGTGATTGGTGTTCCTGGCCTGTCTGCTGGTCCGGGACGTATCAGGTAATCAGCTCCGTTGTTGCGCCCCCGGCCATTGACGACAGCTTCCCTTTTCGGCCAAGCATATGCATGCATGACCATGCGCAATTAAGCAGACCGCAGAAGCGCCGTGGGGTCGGCGAAGCTTGTTTTGAGCGCACATGTTCACCAGCGCTGGGGATGAGGGTGAGTAGACGCCTGAGGTAACGTCACCAGCGTGAGTGCTTTGCCGCGGCGACAACACCATCCTCAAGTGACTAGTAAGTCGATTGCAGCAGGTAAAAAGGCTGTGACGTTGCCGAGATGAGTTGCTGCGCCTTGACATGGGACTGGCATCCTTGGATGGTGTTATTTGAGTTATTCCTTCTCTGGGACTCAGAGTATCTCCGTGTTCAGTGCACTGCCACCTCCCTGAACGCCACGGTGGCTTGCGCGCCATTCAACATGTTGGCGATCAGATAGTCCATTTCCAAGCCGCGGAAATCCTTCCTCGGCTTCGCTCGTTTCATGACCTCATGTACCAGATGCTCCTCTCATTGAGTCTCCAGCAAGCCCCGATCGTGCCGCATTGGTCGGTATGATCCCTGTCGGTGATGCCGGCTGGACTCGCCACGACCTCAAAGTTACCATCACCTTGTTCTCTTGCGAGCTGCTTGACGTGCTGAATAGTTATGTTCATTGACAGCACCAGGCGTACCAGAAGACTTGAAGAACAGCGTTGGCGCCTCTTTCCATGTCCTTTTCGTAGCATCAGTCCCTCACTGGTGATGGGAGGTAGCCCGTTCGTCCATCACTCGCTCGGCAGCGCCACCATTCGCTTGGTTTGCCCATGGGGTCGGTTTTAGAGAGGAAGGCAACAAGGTTGACTTTCTTGACGCTGAGGTCGATGCCTTCGTTCAACCGCTGGCCGGGTTGCGGTTGGGGGGTGTAGTCGTATATCACTCGGCAGAAGTCGAGCTTGCTTGGATCCGAAGGCTGTTGTTGGCCATCGCCGTACGGCGCATGCCCTAGCTGTCGCTGCCGTTCAGCTTCTTACGAAGCTGCTAGTGCTCGTATGAGCTTGGCCATAAGGTGCGGCAGGCCGAAAACGGCTATGGTGAAGAAGACGAACGGCTTCCTGCTCGGTTACGGCGGCGCTGCCGGGCCGTCAGGAGACATGGAGCAATTGTGGAAAGACGAGACCAAAATTCAGATCAGCGTGCATGTACGTATCCTTTTCTCCCAGGGGTCGACTCGTATTTGAATCAGGCACCTGTGTGGTGCCTGCATTGCTCACCCTTCTCCTAAGTGCTCCAGGAAGGACGGGGAAGACAGATATACGGTAACAGGTTCGAATCCTGTCAGCGTTTGCTTTGTGCACACATAGCTACTGTCCGCCCATTCGTCCGTTTGTCCGTTTGCTTCGACTTCTGCTCCCATCTCCGATCGTCTCTTGCGTGCCGCCAACAACGACTCGGTGAATCGCGTGTTTCCAATCCGTGAACGTATCATGTACCCAGACAATCAGTTCTCATCTGATACATGATGTGTTGCCTCCGCCAGTCCAGTCACCGAGTAAATACAATGATGAAAACACAAACTTCGTGATTCAATGTCTTGACCTTTAGCTCACCCGGGGATCGCTCAGAAACATCAGCTGGCCAAGGAATCACTTCTTTCGCCATGGTAAACAAACAAAGGAACCGAACATTCATCTCGTCTGAGCCTCTCGAGTCGGGCAAACAGTGAATCACCACCATTAGAATGCCAAACAAATATCACAGATCTTGTAGCAAACTCGACCTGTGACAGGAGACTATGGGAAGCCATCAAAGAAAACTATTCCATCCAACATTCCCGTGTCGAGGCAATCTGTGTTGACGACGGCAGTGACACTGATGCACCATGTTGGGCAACTTGGGACCAACCCTGTGTATCCCATCAGCGGACGAGTATAACCATAAATTGCCACGATTTTCGCATCATAGGAGCACTGCTTCACTCACAGATCCTCACCATTCTTCCAGCACCTCGTCCTTCAACTCAGCCCGACCGTTGCAGATTCCTTGGCTCCTCCGCATCACTGCTTCACCATGAGTGCGGGACCGTCAGCGGAGGCGCCGGAGGAATACGAGGGGCCCTACAAGGCTGAGCTCGAGGCGCCATTACTCGAGATCTTCGTGCAGCCTCCCACGAAAGTGCATTACGACGAGGCCTTCCCTTGGCCGCTCGTCGTCGGCAGCGAGTACGCCGAACACGAGGGCTTGGAGATCAAGGCTTTCCTGCACTATATCCGTCACGACAAGGCTGGCATCCCACGGCCGGATTTGCCAGATTTCTGCTCGATCGGTGTGCACATTTCCAGCACTCTCCAACTCCCAGAGACCGACGGCAAGAAGTTGTGGTCAGGCGATTATGGCTATGCAGTGATCCCTGTCACGTTTGCTCATGGCCCCAACCAGAGCTATGGATGGTTCAAGATCTGTCTCATCCGCCAGACAATAGGTTCTACCAATGAGCTCGGTGAAAAAGACTATGGCAGTTTGGAAGAGTTTTACGAGTTGTGCAAGAACAAGAAGCACGTCTTGGCGGAAACGGCCGAGTTCGAAGTAGTACCGACACCTCTTGGCGTGAGATATGCGGACTCGAAGCCATGTGAGTCTCGTGTCCAACCCATAATACTGCGTTCTGACTCTGTTAGTCCCAGACGATATGTGGGCGGTGGGAGAATTGAAGAAAGCCGACAACTTTAAGTCTATGCTGCCCGAGCTGAAGACCGTACCGGGCGACTTAGGGCTACCTACATTGGTACCGATGCCATCGCTCCACTTCCCGGTGTATTCCTACGTCAAGAATGTGATCGAATGCGGTCAAGCATTCCACCCGCCGCTCGTCGTTCAAGTGAGAAGCTTACCGCGAAACGAGGTTTTCTCTCCCGTAATCACCATATCGCCCCTCGCTCCAAGACTGAACGGCAACTACATCGACGAGGAGCAGACCGACGAGGAGCAGACCGACAATGAATACACCAAAGAGGAATACACCAAAGAGGAATACATGCTCAAAGGCCAGGTTCAACACATCGCAAGAATGTTGCCCGATGCCGTGACGGACGAGAGCTACGCTGAACCCTATCGCTATGCGATTTTCGACGGCATGACCTTTGCAACAAGCTCGAAAGACGGCGAAGGTTATAGATTCCGGGCAACGCTCCAAAAGGAGAAGGGGGTCCCGTCGTGACCTGGGCTGATTCAAAGACCTACAAGCTGTCCCACGACAAAAACGCGCGCAAGCTGCCACGTGACAGACTCCCACGTACGTTGATACTCTGCTGGCACCGATGTGATACTAAAGCAAGACCAGAATATCGGGGAAGTAATGATTATAAGTGGGAACAAAAGATCCAACTGGGTCTCATCAGGATGATCACCGAGGACCCAGATTCTGACTATCGAAGGTCGGAATCTCAAATGTCGACTGGACAACAGCCAGACCTCCCTGATATTGTTACAATAAAGGCGCGCTGGCTCGGTCAGGTCCAGAAACGCCCACCACGGGACTGGCAAGCCGCGGCACTCGCATCCGGAACGAGCGGGTCATCCAGAACGAGCAGACCTGCTGGACCAAGAGCATCACAGCACAGTATTAACGAGTCCGACGAGTAGTCTGATGATGAAAATGAGGACGAATCCTCCGACGAGGGAACTGTTGTTGGTGAAGATAAGAAGTCTGTTCATAAAGATGAGAAGGCTGCTGATGAAGATGAGACGTCTGCCGATGAAGATGCGTCTGTCGCTGAATCTGAGTCTGTCGCTGAATCTGAGTCTGCCGATGACTCTGCGTCAGAATACTACACCGAGGAAGAAAGGGGCAACTAAACACGAATTCCATGAGTGCGTCTGGGGTTGGAGCAGGGTGATAGGTTATCTTGGGGACCTGTGGTCCATTGACACTCGTTTGAACGTTGATAGTGCTTACCGCAAGGTGATACCATGACTGTCCAGTCGCTCGCTATATGGACGTATGACCGTGTCGGGGAGGAGGATTATTTTGGGGATCTTACACCCATCAACACTCGTTTGAACGACATCGGTACTCGCAGTCGGGGGATAGTAGGAGCAGGCGATCACTGCATCTTCAGCTCACAGACCTGCTGTTCACCAAAAAAAAATTAAAAATTATCTTATTGGATTCTCTTGTGTTTCGCTTTTGGTTCCTATACACGTGACAGAGGCGCCTTTTCCTGGGAACTGGGAAGATTGACTTGCCCGTGTGATGCTGAACAAGGAAGTCAGCCGAAAACTTGATCACATAGCGGATATAACTAGATCTGAGCAACCGCAGACTAGGGTATGTAGGGCACGCTCTGGAGAAGAAGACCGTGGTAGGACGTTGCCAAGGATATAGGACTCCAGGATTGGCCGGGCGCTTCAGAATCCAGGGTGATCAGTATGACAGAGACCGCCGTGAACACGTCCGAGTGAACTCAACCAAAGCCCTCCTATGGCCTGGCACGACGCATTTCCAAAAGCCATGCCCAGCCACGACAATCGAAAATGGGTTATCCAGGTCGGAAAAGAAAGTTGAGGACTAACGGTGACGATTTTCGATCAGCTCGTGGCTCCTGACGAGGTATCACATGAGGAGGTCCTTCGGGTCGGGAGTGGTCGTTGGTTCCAGATTGTAATTGGTAAAGTGCACCGTTATGAAAGTGCCTGCGATATGTAATCACAGAACTGCTTCTCGAAGTCATGCAACTAAGCAGGGTTGCTTATCGCCGGCTCTAACTTGAAACGGCGGCGGACACTGACCACCCCTGACCCCCTGTCCGCTCATGAATGGTTGCTAGTGATACCGCCACCTGCAGAAAGTCAATATTGAACTTAAAGTGGCAATCGGTTCCTTGTCCAGGTCCGTCAAGTCCGTCCCATTCATGAATCGGGTACGTAATTCACGCCTTTGAGCTTCACCATTTGCACCATGAGCAATTCCTAGCCAGCTTCTTCGCAAATCCATTCTTCTTGGCTACCCTCAAACCCGGCCGCTACACCAACAACCCATGGACCGGTAACCGCTAGAAGTCGATCACCTGGGGCTTCGAAGTTCGAGATGGGTATCAAAGGGTCGGTTGGATCGCCATCGTCGGCGAGTAGTACGCATACTAATGGTGCAACAGGATATATAAAGAGATTGGAACCGGCAAGCGCATATCGCTGACAAAACTTGCCGTCGAACACCTCGAAGCAACCGGCCGACCCTTACGTCTCGCTATAGACATATCCATATGGCAGTTCCAAGTCCAAGCTGCTCGAGGTAAGCATGCCCGATCCGATATCCTAAAAAGCAAGTGTATTAATGAGTCTCAGGTGGTTCGAATCCCGCCATACGAACGTTATTCTACCGATTGCTACGCCTCCTCAGCTTATCGATACAGCCGATCTTTGTCTTCGACGGTCCGAACAAGCCGGTCTTCAAACGAAATAAGCGCTCGGGTCGAGGTGATGGAGTGGCTACTGCCATGGCTAAGCGGCTGATCAGGCTGTTTGGATTCCAAGTACATGATTCGCCTGGAGAGGCCGAGGCCGAGTGTGCGCTATTGCAACAGCATGGTATAGTGGATGCGGTGCTGAGCGAAGATGTCGATACCATCATGTTTGGCTGTAAACGTACACTACGAAACTGGACCTCCGAGGGCACCAAAGGGAGCAAGGCGCCTACACATGTCTCCATGTACGACACGGAACAGCTGATCAAAGGCACCTCGGGTTTGGACCGTGAAGGAATGGTCCTGGTTGCCTTGATGAGTGGTGGCGATTACCTCCCAGAGGGCATTCCGGGCGCCGGCGTCAAATTGGCATGCGAAGCTGCAAGGGCCGGCTTTGGCACATCCTTGTGCAGACTGAAGAGGTCTGACACCTCGGAAATGGCGAGTTGGAGGGAATGGTTGACTTACGAATTACGGCATAACGAGAGTGGTTTCTTCAGGACAAGGCACAAAGCCCTGAGCGTCCCTGAGGACTTTCCCAATATGGATATCTTGAGATATTATACTCATCCAGTGGTATCGCCCGCAGCCACCCTCGATCGACTGAAAACCCAGAGCTGGGATCGGCCGATTGACATACTCGGACTCCGCGACTTTACACGAGAAACATTCGATTGGAACTATCGAATAGGGGCCATCAAGTTCATCAGGGTTTTGGCACCCTGTCTGCTGGTCCGAAAGCTTATGCAGCGTAGTAGCGAGCGCAATCACAGGTCCGAAAACCTTGAAGTGATAGCCAAAGAGGAATCTGAGCTTGTCAAGTCGATCACAACCACGCGAGCGCATTTCAGTACCGACGCAACGCCGGAACTGCGCATCTCTTTCATACCAACAAACATCGTTGGCTATGACTTCCAGGAAGAGCCTGACGAGGTGATCGAATTTGGGCGCGATGGCCTCGCGCTCAACAGCGACGACGAGGTCGAGGTATTGGCAGAAGAGGACGGAGCAAAAGCTGGGAGCAAAAAGCCCTTCAGTCCTACCGAGCCGGACCTGTTTTGGATACCGGAAACCGTGGCCAAGCTTGGAATACCACTCATGGTCGAAAACTGGGAAGAAGCAAAGCGTTCAAAGGCGGTCGCTCGCCCTAAAGCTAAAGCCAAGACATCAAAGCAAAAGTCCAAGACAGGCGGGATGGCAACCGGAGCATTGGACAAATTTGTCAAGGTCACGAAGAGCACGGCACAACGTGCAGACACTGGCAAGGCGTATACGCCACCTTTAACCTCACCTCCATCGCCCGACCGGACTCGCAGTCCCCTAGGTACCCTCCCAACCCCTTCGCAGAGCCTCCCACAACTACTAGCATCAAGCCAAGGATCGCAAAAAGCCCGGCCCACAGCAAGATCCAGTAAGCTTCCCAAGCCCAAGCCCAACAACTCCAGCCAGAACGCCTCCTCGCAAGTTCAACCCAGGCCAGGCTCGAACACCAACCCCTGGACGCTCGCGGGCTCACAACTCAGTCCCAGGGTTTCCAAGTCCAATTCCACCAGATCCTCAGTCAAAGCTCCTGAGGCAATTCTTATATCCTCGAGCCCACCTGCATCGCCTACCGCGGATCGTCGGCCCGCTCTCGGCCGGGCTGAGAGCAGCTATGTGGAAGGCAACGCAGCTGCTTTTCCGACGCAGCCCACCAGCCCCCAAAAGCGGCGTTCCATCACGCCGCCGCGGGCGTCCTTCTGGGACGGAGTCGCGACAGCACCAACCCGCCGAGGGGTGAGAGATCTGAGTCCGACACCGAATTCCAGTGAGAAGCCACGGCGAAAGCTGGCTCGCACGGAATCGCTACCGGTCAAATTGACTCCACAGAAACTCCCGGTTGGACCCAGGAGTACTCGCGCTCGCGGGCTGGCGCGGGCAAAGACAGTTGCCGTTGAGGCCCTACTACCCCTGGACTCGGAAGACGACGACGATGACGACTTCGACCTGCCGCCCGTGAGCAGTCTGTTCGGTCGGATTCCTAAGGGGAAGCCCTCCAGCTCCAGCCCCAGCTCGAATGCCACAACCCGGCCGCAACCACCTCCCTTCAGCTCGATATACAGTTCCGCAACTACGACCAGCAAGCAGAGACCGAAACAGCAACAGCGGCATAACAAACAGGCAGCACTCGAAACGGCCTTCGGCGGCGGCGCTCGTATGACGAAGCTCTACGTGCCGCGGAAGAGCGAGCCGGGCTTCTTCAAGGAGATCGACATTAGCGTCGACGAGGTCGAGGCCGTGCAGGTGCGGTATGCGCAGGACGGCGGTGGCGGGGGCACGGGAAGGAGGATAGGGGGGGCGGCGGTTTGGCGACGTAGTGATATCACTTGTATCGACTTGACGGGCGACTAGAATGCCCTGTCTGAGTACCCAATGGAGATGCCAGACAAAGGGATGCTATTTCAGTCATGACAGGAGTCCAGTGAGGCATGTTGGATTGTATTACTGGCTTGGAAGAAGTCGCCCTGTGTATCTGACTACCTGAGTAGATGGCGAGAGCCTCGTGGCTGGGTAGGGTCTGTGTATTGTATACTCTGCATTGGTTTGGTTGCGTTGCGTTGCATTCACGGCGGCGTATGGGGATGGCATTATAAATCATGATCGTTGGCAAATGCAAAGCTACGGGCCCTACAGCGGAACTCAGTTCATTGTTTGTATCGTATGCTTTCTTCCGTCATGTTAATTTTCCTGTACAGCTCTATATCTTAAGGTCGCATACGACATGAAGCAGAGCCAGCCCGGCACGCGCAAGGAAGCAAGGCAGGTATTACTTGAGCAATAAACAGTCTTCAAGACTTGAATCCATTCTTCATCTGACGTTCAGTTCACAGCGAATGAGTCGGTCAAGTCAAACGAGGCTATAATTCGTAAACAATTGTAAATATGGGTATGGGTATGGGTATCCTGCAGTATGTAGAAGTATGCGAAACAAGACCAAACAAACAAAACAAGACAAAGGCCCCAGGACAAGATGTGTCAACAACTCCATATACACGCCCGATAAGTAGTTCCGCCCCAAACCGCCGCCGTCCCAGACCTCATGGGCGGCAAGGTGCTGGAAGGGCGTAATGGTATGTTTCGTCAGTCCCATACACATGGTCAGATCATCACTGACCTCCAAGCGAGTGTCCGCGAGACGGACAAAAGAAGGTGGCGATTTCATCCATCTCGTCCGTCTGATCTCGCCGTCATCCTCGGTATCGTCGAGGTTCTCTCCATCTTCTCCATCATCCTCGACCCATTCTGCCACCGAATCATAGTCGCAGGTCAGCGGTAGGACTTTGCCCTTGAGGTTGCGGCAGAGGTCTCGAAGCTGTTTCACCGAAATAGGTATCGTCATCGTTCCGGAATACGGTGAGCGGGCATCTTCGTAGCTGTCGTTTCGTCGTCGCTTGTGGGCGCACCCACGTCGCATCTCGTCATCTTCAGGTCCTGTCGCAACTGTGTTCCAGCACAAAAGCGTCCATCACTCCGCAGACATCACTGAAGAGCCCCTTCTCTATATACCCTACTCCGAGATGCGCCCCTTTCGCCAGGAAGGTGCCTCAACCCTCAACCTCCCACGGTAAATCCCGCTCCAATACCCGAACGCAAGTCAAATAACTCATCATGCCACCCACCACCACACTGCCCGCATTCCCGCCTCCAACACCCTCATTGCTCCCAGCACCACCAGCCCCAACCCCAACCGACCCCCTCTCCAGCTCGAGTTCCAATCCGCTCCCCATCAGCGGCCGTACAACGTCCCGCGCAGCACCCTTGAGCTCTTCGATCCGTTTCTCGAATCGGCGCAGGTTGTCGCGCGAGTACAGGTCGGGCGTCAGCTTGAGGAAGCGCTTGCATTCGTCGTGGCCGAGGTACCCCGAGACGCCGCCGAGTGTGCGGTACGTGCGACCCACGTTGGCGAGCGTGGGCGGCGGTATTACTGCTGCAGCCGTGTTTGAATTGGAATTTGAGCCGCCGGCAGAGCAGGAGGAATGGTCGCGTGAGGAATGGTGGTGGTGATGCCGGGACGAGGATGTGGGTGGTGGCGGAGGAGGGGGCTGCGGCGCCGGCGCCGTGTTGTCAGCCAGCCACTGCCGGAAGAGGGACACGGCGAGCCAGTCTAGGTACGACGACTGGGGCGTCACACGCTCGCCGCGCGAGTTGGTCAGGCTCAACCTGAAAAGCCGGCCCTCAATCCGACTGACCGTCTCCTCGAGCTCGTCAACCTTGTCCTCGATGATGTCGAGCACGATCTCAGGGAATGAGTGGCGAATGCTACGCTCCCCAGCAGGCCACTGGCCCACGACGTGGATCAGCGCTTCCTGGAATATGACCTTGCTGCGGCTGAGATAACCCAGTCGTAGGTAGGATATCGGGTATTTGGCGATCTGCTTCCAAAGACGGCTCTGAAACTGCAGCAGGTGGTGGTCGACGCGCGGACCCGCGACTGCCAGCGCGTCGTACTGGTCCGCCAGTGTTAGTAGTGATTTGCACTGCACGTACGCGTCCGCGATGCTGATCCCGTCCAGTACGGGCGGGTAGTTGTAAAATATGCGGAAGAGGTTGTCGTAGTCGCGCAGCAGGTCGGCGTCGGCCTGTGAAAGCGGCTGGCTGTCCAGGTCCGCCGCAGCCGCTGCTCTGGACGTCGGCGCGAGCGAGAGATTCGCTACGGATCGGAAGAAGGAGCTTGTTGAGTGCGTGTGCGAATGGCCTCCTCCCTTGCTGGTACGTGAAACCGGGGTATTCGCCGTTGCGCTGCCGCCGCCGAAGATGGAATTCGGATTCGCTGGTGCGCCGCTGCTGCCCCCACTGCTGCTGTTGGCCTCCTTCTGCACCAGCATCGGTATATCGTCGCCGCCCGTCCCAGGGTCCAATTCGTACCGCCACCGTCTCCTGAGCGTAGGCGACGTCATGCCCGGCCGCGCGACCTCGGCCCCGCCATTACTGATGCTGCTTCCGTTCTCTTCGCCTATCCTCGCGAGCTCCCTCGACTGCAGTTCCGGTAGCGGCGGCAGCACGCTCGCCTTGGACCACTCCTGGCTCATGCTCGCCTCGAAAAACCCTGAGCACCTCGTCAGGGTGTGCCTGTGCAGAAGGTACCGGTTCTCCTTGCCGCCGGCGCTGATGAGGATCTCGACGTCGCCCGAGTGGCTGAAGACGGGGAACTCGTTCTGGGCGATGTAGGAGGTGCCGCCGGCGTGCGAGCGGTTGTACCGCTTGCTGCGCGACGAGACATGCTGGCGGGACGAGGAGCGGGCGGAGACGACAGACGCGGGGCCGCGGAGGGCGAGGGAGGAATGGTTGTAGTCGGGTTGCGAGACCATGAATACGGCGGGCGCAGCAAGCAAGTGAGCTACCGTAGTGTGAGGTAGGTTGGAGAGCTGTCTGGAAGAAGCAGCGTCTCGTTCCGAACAGACGAAGTCAGAATGGAGTCAGGTACATAAAACAGTGCAATGTTGTGGTGTCAACACCGTCGCCGCACGACCAGCGTGGATGGACCCTGACTGCCCTGGTGGTGACTCGCGCGCGCCCCAAAGCCGGTGGTTGGCGGTGCGACTGGGTTCTCCTCCAGCTCCGAGGCTCGTGAGCGTACGATGATTAATGAGGCGTGAGGGTGAGGGGCAATCGAATGTGGCTTGTACTAGATATTGACGCCCTTCTCAGGCAGCGACAAAGCAGCGATGGAAGCTGGAGAAACTCAGTTGTCTCGTCACCCCAGGCTGATGTGTCGAGTCCCAAAAACACAGAGAAAGACAAAAAGTTGCGACGAAGTCAATTCTTCCTTGCTTTAGTGTTCCCGCTTCGTCGAGCAGCGGCAGCGGCAGCTTTCAACCAAGAGCTCGTGACTGACTGATTGATGATTGAGACCTTGTCGAGGCTGTGCAGGGCAGGGTGCATGCATTAGCCACAAAAACCGCTTGGTCTGATGGGGTAGGCGCCGAGGCAGGTAATAAAGGGAAAGGCAGACTGGTTGGGCTGCTACTGTCCACCTGCAGTGAGGTAACCGAGAGTAGACGGAAAAAAGAATCGATGATAATAAGAAGGTAGTTCTGCGAGTTGTCAAATGGAGAAAATGAAGAGGTATCCAGTGATGACCTCGGGCGAAGACAGAAGACACGACGAATTAGTTACGCACAGACTCGGTAGAGTTTACAGTCTCGACGACGGTGTCGCGCCTTGCCGCGTTCTTGTTTATTATATTGGTCCGCGGTGCACCACAGGACAAGCCTTCCTGTCATCGAGTCAGTTGCCTCGTTTGCTACCTTGCTGCTAATGCAATGCATTGCCGTGTCGTGCCGTGAAGTATGCTCTGTCATTGCTCTGGCGTGTGGTGGCCGGATTCAGCAGTCCTCGATTCTTCGGCCTCCCGTACTACCTTGCCCTCGCAGCCCCCCAGTTGCAGGCTTGCAGCAGATAGACAGCCAGACAGCAGGAAAGAGGCGAGTCGCATGATGTCCGGATGCAGCGATCGGCGCGCAGCCAGCGACGAACGGAAGGACATGGACCTATCGATGAATCTACCGCGCGCCCACCATTCAGCTTGGATTGCAACTCTCTGGACCAGGCTTGGGCCAAGATGCCGTGCTCACTGGTCAGGGCAACGTCAGGGCATTGGCTGCGAGTGCGGCTGCAGGGCCTGCTGGCCACTCGATCGCTGGGACCACCTCTATGTATTTTCTTGGCAGGCTAAGGAACTGAGCCGGCTTCACATGGGAACGACCAGATGCAGTCGTAGAAGTGAACTATGAGGAATGTGTCATGTTTCCATGTTGACGGGTTCGCAACATACCTGTTTGAAGGCATGTCTGCTTTCGGTTTTCTAATGGCTGATACTGGCCGGATTTGGTGGCTACACTCTTGGCACTGGCACTGCACGAAATCTTGCACCCAGTCATCAGCATGTCAGGCTTGCGTTCCGTTCTGTGTTCTGCCATTTTACTTATTATTACACCATGTGAAGCTTCTTCCAATCGAAACCTGCTTTTGACGGCTAGAATGGCATCGAAACTTGACTGAACTATTGACCCCTGAAGTGTACCATCGTTCTGACTGGCTTGATCCCTTGCTGGTGGGAGATGTGCCCAATTGTTGCCCAACTTCCCACATGCAGCGTGGCAAACTTTCCGAGTATAATAGACTCGATGTGCCCCGATGGATTCACATCACTTCATCCGCACATTGATACGTTTTAGTTGGAAAAGCAGGAGAGAAATTTCTCTATCGTACAGGCTATGCATACACACTCGATTCAATGCCCCCAATTGACTCAATGAAGTTTTTCGGCGCCATCCCCGACGCGAAAAGATGGAGCGCCGTTGAGTCGTTAAGTAACGGGCACTCGTGTTCCCCAGTCCGGCCAGCCAGACCAATACGCCGCTCACCAAGCCACGCCCGCACGTCCTTGCCCAATAACAACCAGAGACCCTCTATCAATCGTTCAGCTCATGTCCATCTCGACCATCGCCATTTCTGGGGGTGTGGCGACCTCGAAAGGTTTCGGCGACTCCGCAGCGGACATGACCTCAAGTCCCTCAAAGACTGGAGGGGACATCTTCAGATTCGCGAGTGTCTGGTTGACGTCCTTGCTAACAAGCTGACCTTGACGTAGGTTTTCGGCAAACAGGAAGAAACCTTCCGAGGCTTCGACGAGATATGATTGGAGACCCCTGCTCTCTAGCTGAATTCGAACGTCGGAGACGGGGAAGTGGTTCTCGATGTATCGTGCCCAGCCGCGTGCTGCGGCTTGAATGTGCTCGTCCTCGCTGATTCGGCTCCATCCTATGCCCAGGTGGAGGGTGAAGTTGTCGATGATGGGCTGACCGCTCGTGCCGACTGACAGACCCGGGGTGGCGGCCGCAGGATCGATGTCGCGGACAGGGCTGACTCGGCTCGGTAAGGCTTCATTGCTGGGAATTGTGACTGCGTTCAGGTCTAGACGCTGAGACTTGTTGCTTCGGAGTGACGGGCGGTTCTGTTGATTGAGTGCTCGTGCCTCTTCGTTCATGCGGATGTTGTCGGCCGCGACTTTGTCTTCCAGCCAGGTGCCAGATTGACTGCCGGCTTCTGAGATGTAGGAGGAAGGTGACTTGATGAGGACCATCCCTTCGCCGTAGACCCATTCGTCTTCGGGTTCCTTGACAGGTTCAATGGTTTCGAGCTTGGCTTCTTCGACGTCAAGGTTTATGCCAGCTTCGTCTCTGGAACGCTTGCGGCCTTTCGATGAGGAGGTTGCGAAGGCCTTTTGGGACCACGAGGACGGAGCACCAAAGGGCTGAACGCGGCTGAATGGAGAGAACTGGTGCGGAAAGGAAGGCATGCCAAACGCGCCATGGTGAGCAGCGGTTGGGGGCATGGTGAGGACTGGGGACGACGTGCGATCGAATGAAGACATGATGGTCTGTTAGCACTAGATGTCAAGTGAGATATCAATAAATGTGGTTAGATCCAGTTTCGTGTTGCTGGTGACGATACTATGTTGTCGTTCTGGAGGTTTTAACGAGTTAAAAGATTCTGGTGAGACTGGTAGAGGACGCGAGGTGTTGTCCGAGGAGGGAAAGGCAATTGAACTGGGAGAAGTGAGTAGGGTCTCGCAGGGAAGAGATACGGCTTGATCAGGTTTGGGTAGGTGATGGTCTCAAGTGTGGATGGATTAGTATGTAGGTAGTCTAGAGCAGAGTGATAAAGATGCCTGAGATGGAGGCGGGAGTGAGATATTGATGAGTGAGGACCCCAAGGCTGGGAGTATCTTGATGCGTGGTGGGTGTGACAGTTAGGAACGACGAGATGGGAGGAGATAGAAGAGTAAGGGGATATGTATGAAGTAGTGTGGGAGCAGTCAAGGACGCGGGAGAGTACGTGATGTGGATGAAATACAATGAGGACGCGAAGGGGTTAGATTCATGTAGGAAGTGGGAAAAAGAGAAGAGAAGGCAGGAAGCAAGCAAGCAGCCGCAGCAGCAGGAGCTATGCATGTGTGGTGGTGCAGGAGAGGCAGCAGAGGGTCACCATGAGAAAGACGAAAGACGGAAGACGGAAGACAAGGATGTGGCTTGGTGGAAGACTGCTACGGTCCGCTACGACAGGGAGACGGTAGGATCGGCTACTGCGGTTCTCTTTCTTCGGGGCAGACGGTCCCGTCTGACGCGAGAGAGAGGCACGCGAGAGCAAGCGCAAAGGTGAGAGGGCTCTGTCGCATGCGCCAGGCCGGCCGTCGCAAAAGCATCCAGTCGCACACCTCACGCATCTGCAGGTCAGCGAGTGCACGAACCACCAAGACTAGCCCACCAAAGACGGGATCGGGCAATTCGCCATTGGCTGTCGGGGCAGGCAGAGGTAGATGGAAACCATACATAGCCACTAGCCACTAGCCACCCCTCCACCGACAATTGTTGGTAGGATTTTACTACCTTTGTTTTTTTACACCTTATAACTAGATAAAAGAAAATTAGATAAATATCAACACGTACATTTAATTATAGAGAATTGCTTGCTCATTTAATTAGTGTCAATAGTTAGCGACGTATCGATGTTATGTGCTGAGGCATCCAGATTGTAGGCTATGTGTGGTTTCTATCTACCTCTACCTGCGGGGGCCATGCAGACCATCGGCAGGGTAACCAGGGCAAGTGCCAACCGACAGGGTCTGGGTGAGGAAGGATCGGCTGATGGTCGCCGTGATTGGTCCGGCCGTTGCTATGGCTGCTTCTGGGGTGAACCCTAGAGCTTGGCATCTGGGGCCGGAGTCCCTCAGGCGATAACTGCTTCTGATTGGCTCAAAGCTTTTTTTCTCTTTTCTGGTTAGTTCGCTCCACTCTGTCTTGACTCTTGCGCCCATCGGCTATTCCCGATTAACTCGCAAAATTCGCACCTCACTAGCCCCGCTCATCGTGTCTCAGGTCCCACCAATCATCACTGCCTGCGGGAGTGGACCTCCTGGCCTCTGCGCTTTGACCACCTTGACTGATGGACTGTACTGTAATTGGAAGTCGGAACGCGTCCGCGATCAGTCCTTCCGGCTGCAGCTTCTTGAATCCCGTGAAGTTACAGTAGCATCGGCTGCTTCTGCTGTGACGAAAATAGACCAGCTGAAGATGGCGACTCTCTTCCCACTTCAAATGCATCCGACACACACTGCCTACTACCGTAGTACTCGTCCGGGCTTGATGTCCTAGAAGGAATGGTGATGGTGATCGCCTTGCCTATTCAACATGCTAAACAGTCAAGGCAAGTAAACTGGTGGATAACGCGTAGTTTTCAACACATCTATTCATATCAGGCGTGCTTGCATAGTAGGTATTAGAGTCTTGATAATCTTTCTTTCTTCGTCTATAAGGTAACAACCACCTGTGCACCATCGATGTGACCACACTCACTAGGGAGCTGGAGTGTGATACCGTCTTCAAATCCAACTCAGAAAGCCTCGCGAGGAAAGCCCTGCTGCTAGGATAGATCTATGGTGTCGGACGAAGCTTGCGGCACCGCCGAAGCGGCATCCCTAGCATCGCTGGTGTCTCCAGCACATGTTCTGTCAAGAAGGCGATAGCATCATCCACGCCAGCCGGCGCGTTGAACCAATGTCCTCCGCTGGGATACTCTCGCCACTCAACCTGAGCCCCGAATCCGCGCAGCGTCTCCCGCATGCCGTGACCATTCCGCAGCAAGACCAACGGGTCATCGACGCAGTGCTCAAGCAGCACGGGCGTCCGGCAGACGACCTCGCTGTGCTCCGGCACCCCGTCCGCGATGCCGAGCACCTGCCTCATCTCCTCCAGGCTGCGCCCGACAAACGGGCATCGACACGAGAACCCCAGAAAAGCACCGAGCCTCCTCCCACCCTGAGCCGGCACGTCCAGGTTGAGTAGCACGTGTGCGCCCGTCGCAGCGCCCATGCTGATGCCCGCCAGCACGACGCGATCCCAGCGCCCGCCGAGCCGAGCTGCCTCGGCGGCCAGGATGTCGCGCACGAGTGGCACGCTTTCGCGCAGTCCGGGGGCCTGTAACGCTTCGTTGTCGCTGGAGTCGCGCGTGTTCCATACGTCGAACCACTGCGGCCAGCTGGTGCGCGGGTCCGCGGCAAGTGACCGTGTCGGCGCCTGCGGGAACACCCACCGGAAGGTCGGGAAGACGTTGCCTAGCCTGCGGCCCCGTGAGTCGGGCAGGGAGCCCACGGTGGCGGCGAAGTCCCGTGCCGTGTCGCCGCGGCCGTGCAGGAAGACGACGGTGTGGGTGTGCTGGTGCGGCGCCGTGGGGTCGATGGAGAGGGAGGGGAGGCTGTTCGGGGTCGGTGACGCCATCATGAGAGCTGCGGTGTACACCTTTAGGTCGACCGATGGTGTTGGGGATGCTTGATTGTCAAGAGATGGGCATGCTTCGCAATTATGTAAATTTGCTTGGGCTTGGACGGCCTGTACTACTGCTGCCTACAAGGCTACAGTGCAACAGTACCCTCCACATGGGACATCTGTTAAGCGCCCGTCTATTTTCGTCTGACCAACTGCAGCACCAACGGGCATGTGTACTCGGATATGTTCATCACTGCTCTCTCCACACGGCCGAAGCTCGTCACTGCTTTTACGTATCACTGGTTTGGAATGTACCATGCTGCTTGTGCTCTGCAAACTATCTCGCCTCGCTTGGGCTTTAATCGCAAAGCCCCCACCTCCAAACTCATTTGGAACAAAAGTATCCATTCAATAGGGACTCGATTGTCGTTGTCGACATCAAATTTTGTTTCAAAGCGGACGGCCCTCACTCGATCGAAACGAGGTTGGGCACATACGCCGCCGCCGCCGTCCTGGGCATGGCTCAACAGACGAGGGTAGAGGAGATGGAGGGCGACTTTCCCATAGATGACGCCGTCATCGCGTGTGAGAGACCCCTATAATTCAACTACATCCAGAGGCTGCCTTGCGCCAGCTTGATCCTCAAAGATGCTAACTCAAAGACGCCTCACCCAGTACTTCCGCCGGGTGCACTTGTTATCTCAGCCAGGCCGCATGACTCGTCAGCATGGACTCAGACCGGCTGCGTAACAGTCAAGCTGGCAGACGGTGAGCTAAAGAAATACTTCCTGTAGGTTCGACCGCCCCGGTTAGATTGATTATTCACACAGCCATATGCCAACTCTGACTTACCTACGTAGCAATGTCAAGCTGGCCTCCGGAGACCACGGCAAAACATGCTCCATGGCGAATTCACCGCCATCACCACCATCGACAGGCTCTCTCCGGGCTTAGTCCCCAAGCCCCTAGGCTGGGGCAAGTTCCAGCAGCAACGTACTGAAACCCCCGAGACGTACTTCCTCCTCGAGGACTTCCTAACCCTTCACCCCGACCCGCCCAACCCAGCCAAGCTCGCCCGCCGCCTCGCAGACCTCCACCGCCACAACTCGCCCAACGGCTAGTTCGGCTTCGCCGTGCCGACCTACGACGGCAAGGTCGCCCACACCACGGCCTGGGAGCCCAGCTGGAGCGCCTTCTTCACACGACTCCTCCGGCGCACCCTCGCAACCGACGAGGAAGCCAACGGCCCGTGGCCCGCCTTGCGCGCCGCCGCGGACCGGATCCTCGCTGCCCTCGCGCCGCGGCTGCTCGAGCCGCTGGCGATCATCCCATGCCTCATCCACGGCGACCTCTGGGCCGGCAACACGGGTACCGACGCGGCGACCGGCGATGTCGTCTTCTACGACGCCGCGTCGTACTACGCGCACAGCGAGATGGAGCTCGGGATGTGGCGGCGCGGGGCGCCCGCGTACCTGGGCCGGCGGTATATGCGGGAATACCTGGACTTGGTTGGTCCTGCGGAGCCGAGGGACGAGTTTGAGGATCGGAATAGGCTTTATTGTCTACAGTATCTGCTGAGCTACTCTGTTGGGCATCCCGGGCCGGTCGAGAGGCGGACGTGAGTTACCTAAGCTGATTCCGGGTGGTTGGGTTGAGCGCGGCTGACGTGAACAGTGCTCTTAATGATATGTTGTTTCTTTGCGAGAAGTACGCCCCTTTTGGACACGCTCCCGAAATATGACGCACGGAAGGATCCAGTGGCCCGGCTGGTGGAGGACTCGGTGTAGACGTTTGATAGGAGTCGCATCATACGTCACAATGTTGAGGTGACAAGCTCTCTCCTTGACCATTCTCCATAGCATTTCTAGGTCTCTGAAGCGTCCATGAGAATTGGAGAGTACACGCGGCAAAAGACACTTTAGTGTCTATCATCGGATAAGTCAATTATGTTATTCCTCTGTCATGGATATCTATGCGAGCCGACTTCACACTATTAGCCAACGCAGTGAGTTGTGCAGACCGGAAGGTACCTACTGTAGGTATGCAAGCTGTCAACCAGAAAGCTTTCCGATGCCCTTCACCACCGGCCGTCATCATTATTGCGTCCGGGTAGACCGTCCACCCTCTATGCCTATGTTAAAATCATGATAAATAAGTGCGGGTTGAGCGCAAAGAATACTGTTGTCTAGGTTAATTGTAGCGGTCGCATTTACCCATATTACCCCCTTTACTCGGGATCGGGCTCTTGAGATCCTTCTTCGCGTAATCTAGACGCCTCATCGTACAGCCTCGAGTCTTCAGAGTTCTCCATGCCGCCGTATAGACCATGAAAACCAGGGGTGTTTAGTCCATTCGGGCTACGGCCGTTGTCTGGCCGTCCTCGGATCGCACCAGTCCGACGCATAGATCGCGTCACCATGCGCGGGACAGGTGCGGTGTACGCTCCTGAGATACGGCTCTGATGACGTGCTTCAGGAAGATTCTGTGGTGTCTGCGGCTGTGACGATGCAGGAAGAGCGTCGTTGTAGATTGTGAGTCGGGGATCACCCACCAACGTGCGGTCTGATGCATCTTCTCCTATCGGCGACCCAGATTCGGAGCGTGTTGCTCGCGTTGACGATGGTGAGTCAGCTCTAGGGCGGCGGATAATCGACTCAACAAATCTTGCTGCTGAGCTGAACACTCTTATTGCTCCCCCGCTGGGCTGTAATGGAGTCAGCTCCGGTCTCAAGGAAAAAGAAGCTCGCTTTATTCTACTGACCAGAGGGCTCGTGCTACCCGCGGGGCGATTGTTTTGGAGAGATGATCGTCTGGGGGGAGTGGCTGGCGGCTCCTGCCTAGTATCTTCGCGGAGTGAACGCGTTGAAGGTAGGGAGTGCTCATCGGAAACTCGGCGTGTTTCCGTTGAGAACGGCGGAGGAAGTGCCCGTCGCATCGGTAGACCGAAGCCGGCTGGTCGTTGTGACAAGGTCGATGAATTCGAATCCTTGCTCTGTGAAGAGCTCGAGGGGCCTTGCGTATTACTGTTACTCGCGCTAGAACCGCTGGACTTTGGAGGACGACGCGGCGGATTCGCCAACAGTTTCGTCGGACTTTCCTGTGAGTTTGTCCTCGAGTGTTGTTTCGAATCAGTCTCGTGCTCGGACTGCTTCGAATCACCACGCGGCTCGGATTCAGGGGCCTTCTGAGCATCCGGAGCCGGAGGTCCAGGTCGTATTGGGAGTTCAAAAGTAGCGTCCTTGGCAAGGTAGTTTCTGAACCTACGATGGCGCTCAAACTCCTTGACCTCGGTCATGGTCAAGGAGAGCGTGGTTGATTGCAGGCGCAGCATGTCGCTTGGATACACACCTCTGAGCAGTGGTTCGGTTCCGCAGAAGTGAGAAGTGAAGAGGACATGCATGTGTACAGCTGGGAGCAGACGGGAAGCCTTCAGTGTTCATCAGGCCGGCCCCCTGGCTTCCAGTTGGAAGCTGCAGCGAGCAAAACATGGTGACTTCTTGTACCTCCGTGAGGAAGGAACGTATCTAATCTGACCTCCATCTTTCTGTCTAAGAAAGAGCTGAGCAGATTGAGTAAAGGTACCTAGCGAACTGTGCAAGCTGTCTGAGAATTTGAACCAGGCCACCACGTCAGAGGTATGAGGAGTTTCCAAACTGAGTCGTGCATACAAAGAAGTTGAATCAATCGGAAGCTTCAATAGCGTCAGTCACCGTTTCGACAGGTTTGTCCTCCTCGTAGGTGATGTGGACTGTTGAGAACATGGGGAAACGTGTATCATTTTGTGCCTGCCCTGCGTAGGCTGTCGTGAGAAGACTGCCCCTGTATATGGTATACCTTCTTGAGGGTGGCTCTCATAATGGCATACAGCCCTATTCCGGCTTTTTCCGGACTGCCCTCTACAGGGTCAACATCACGAGATGTCAGATGATGGCCATGTACCCTGTCAATTTGATGACTCAAATTCGAAATGGCAGATGGCTAGAATCCATGTGCGCTAGGACAAGAACGGGATGGGGAAAGAGATGACGTGACGTGGTGCCTTTGTAAGGGAAAGAATCTGATAACTTCAGGTTATACGGTAGCTTGCAATTATCACGCATCTGCGAAAGGTAACAATAAGGCTCTTGGAAGAGGCGTTCATTGTTTTCAAGACCGCCTGCAGTGCAACGAAGTGGAAGTTGAAACTTGAAGGGCGCCTCTGACAGTTGGGAGTCCCTAGCAGCCTGGATTGATACCTAAGCTGCGAGCCGGAAGGGGGGCGATGCCATATGGGGGGTAGGGTATCCACCTGCACTAAGCAGCAGCTGGCAACCACCAATCACAGCCGGCTTTTGGCCTGCAGCCGTCCGTTCGGGCTGGCTGCCAGGCCTGCCACTTCTGCCACTTGCCCTGACTGTCCAAGTGCGGCTGTGCGGAGATATGGCTGCACCCACTCGACCACTTGTCGACAACCGCACGCTGTTGCGTAAATTACTTTAGCATCGACCATCTCAATAGTCAATACCTCCCGTCTCTACCTACTGCACCGGTACATTGTCCTCCAGTCCTTTTGGCCGGGTCCGTTGTCCACATGTGCGTTGTATGCGTCTGCCTTTGCGTTCTCGATTCGATTCTGTTGCTGATTGCTTGTCTTGTCCCAGTCCACGGCTATCGTGCCGTAGCTATCAACCAAAGATTACATGCGGAACGGACGCCACACCAATCCATACCCCTTCTTCCTCCTGCACGCCCAACACGACGAGCCTCCTTCCAGCCCCGATGCTCTGGCCTGCGCAATCGTCGACACGATATCACACTGCACTAGCATCCTCCTCGCCGCTAGCCATCGGGCTCTGCCAGCGTCAGACTCATCATCAAAGGACACCGCCTCCTTTGAAGCTTTCCAACGAAACGCCCCGGGTGTCTGGTGGAAACGACTTCGAGAGACCGCCCACATCCGTGGTCTTTGACCACTATCGATCGATGGTCTCACCCCTGGACCCTCAGCCGCCTGCAGCAGCACTGCGTAATACCAGATTACGCCCATCCCGATTGCCATACCGCAGCAAGCCTACGCGGCCTGACATTCACTATTTCCTGTCTACGTCAACAAAGGACCGATCGAGTTAAAGTGTGCGGGCCACTCTTGGGAGTCAGCACTCTGCTCCTCCCACAGTCACCATGAATAATGACCTCAGCCTGTCAAGGGCTCTAGGCGGTCTACGCATAGCAAACCCGGACGATGCCAATTCCAGTCCTTCTCAAGAACCTCACACCGAAACCGATGCGCCCATAACACCTCAATTAAGCTCCGATCCCACCTCCGGGCCCGACTCACATACGAGGCTAGCCAGATCACAAACCGCCGAGTCGGCGTTAAGCATAGCTGGCTTGCAAGCGGAATCCCAGAGCCAACTCTCTGCGTATGCACAGAACGGAGCTTTGCCGTATTCGAACCCGTCTTCGCGCCCTACGTCAGCCATGTATAATGCAACAACAGCGGCAGGACGTGACCAGGCCGCGAACTCATATCACATACTGAGAACCGAACCGTCGAGAACCCCTGCGTATAACACACCGAACAAAAGCGACACGACAAGGTCACCTCTAGAATACTCTCCTAATGTTCCCACCCGTGAATCGAGCCATAGAGAGCGAGCCTACAATCAAAACCGCCAAATGCCCACAGCAGCCGGAACCGGTCCACTACCTCCTAGAAGGAGCTCAAAAGGTAAAGGTATGGCTGGTGGTTACGCCCAAATTGCTGGTGTTCCCATGGCACCTGAACCTCGTGGACTTGGACCAGACATGCAGATATCACAAGGCAGTGAAGAATGGAAGGATCGGGGGGCTGCAGTGTCTATGCGCAAAGAGGTCGACGCCAACGGGAAGACTATCATGAAGCCTGTGAAGAAAGGAGTACGCGATTTCTCCTTTGGCCGGGTTCTGGGGGAGGGCTCATACAGCACTGTATACCTTGCAACGGATCGGCAAACCCTCAAAGAATACGCGATAAAGGTCCTCGAAAAGAAGCACATTATCAAGGAGAGAAAGATCAAATACGTCAATATCGAGAAGGACACGCTTAACCGACTTACAGAACATCCCGGCATTGTACGACTCTACTATACCTTCCAAGACGAGAATTCCTTGTATTACGTTCTGGATCTATGCAATGGGGGCGAGCTTCTGGGGGTCCTGAAAAAGACGGGCACCTTCGACGTAGAGTGTTCGAGGTTCTTTGGAGCTCAGATATTGGACTCTATCGAGTACATGCACTCTCGCGGCGTGATCCACCGAGATTTGAAACCCGAGAACGTGCTGTTGGACGATCAGTTGCATGTCAAGATTACGGATTTCGGGACGGCAAGGTTGTTGAATGATCCAAGAGCGCCGCAAGCCCCTCCGAGGATCGAGGATACCGGTACTAGCTCTGGAGGGAAGGGCCAGGATGACAATCGAGCAGCTTCATTTGTTGGGACCGCCGAGTATGTCAGTCCGGAACTGCTCACCAACAAGAATGCCTGCAAGGCCAGCGACTTGTGGGCCTTTGGTTGTATTATCTATCAGCTGTTGGCAGGCCGGCCACCATTCAAAGGTGGCTCCGAGTATCTGACTTTCCAAAAGATCGTCGGTCTCGAATACGACTTCCCTGCGGGCTTCCCACCAGCAGCCCGCGATCTCGTGGAGCGGTGCCTAGTGTTAGATCCGGCTCGAAGGATTACAATCGAGCATATCAAGAATCACGAATTCTTCGATGGCCAACAATTTGGCAAGATGCTGTGGAGGTCAAAGGCGCCCCGCTTACGTCCCTATGTTCCACCATCCCAAGAACCCAAAGTCATCAACCTTAATGGGATGTCTGGCATTTCACAATCCACGTCAGCATCCAGACCTCATACGGGAGGGAACGGTCCCAACGGCGGCTCGCGAGCACCGGGGAGGATCATCACTGATATTCCCCCGCCGTCCCAGTTAGATATCGAATGGTCCCCGGTATTGACAAAGACGAACGAAAGAATACTACGGCTTGGCGACCTTATGGTTATGTCTTCACCAATACCCAACAGCCCACACGTCAAGGGCGAAGAAGGGCACCGGAAGTTCGCACGTTTCTTTGGTGGCAGCACAACCAAGAAGAGGCAAAGGCTTGTCATGATAACATCTAGCGGAAGGATCGTGCTCGCTCCAGCAGGCGGTGAAGAAAAGAAGGCGAAACAGGAGATCTCGCTTCTGGCCCCTGACTGCTCATGGAAAACCCAGATCGATGCCAAAGGACAGGCGATCTGGAGTGTCGATTCGGTAAGACCCTTTCATGTTCTTTCTGTGCTCCGACACTTACGAGGCGCAGGGTGGTTATCATTACACATTTGAGGATGCCAAAGCGCCTTCATCTCTCGATCCACCACGACCTTGTCCCGATGACTGGCTCGAATCTATGCAGCAAGCCAAGGACTTTGCGCTTTCAATGAACCATTCCGGGTCTTACGCTGGTGACAATGGGTTTGGAGACATGTCATCGTCAATGTCCAGTCCGGCCAGCACCTTTGATCCAGACAACTACGGTATTAGCGATAGGTACCACCATCGCAGTCATGCGAGCAAAAGCCAAATGAGCCTGGACGAGACGACGAGCACGAAACGCAACCGTTTCAGCAAGCGACAATCCAAGCAAGGACTGGGTTCGGCTTTCTAGTGGTGCCTCCACATTTGTCAATTGGTCCTTGGGCCAAAAGTACGCTTCGAAGCCATGGCATAGTCCAGTGTCCACCCTCGCACATAGAGCCCGTTGAGGCCAACTCGGTTTTGTCATTTTTTCCCATATGCGGCATGTTCTAGCGAGGCGTCGGCTTTGGTAGCCTTTGGTGGTCTTTGAGGAGAAACCAAGTCATGACAAAACATATGCATTCCAGGGGCGCTTTCCCCCCTGTTCCTAAGCAGCACTGGCATGGAATTTAGGCATGCATGCGTCAATGGTCATACCCTAGATGGAATAGAGGGATTACACATGCACGAACTACTATATTACATTCCCTAATATACCTCTGCGACAGATCTTGCTGTCAATTTCCAGTAAGCCTGCGCGTACCAGTTTCATGTTGTTGTGACCTTGGAAAGCATACCGAGCAATCCGCGATGGAGACAACAGGAGGGCTGTAGCAGGCGGTTAAGTAGACATATGCTTGTAGCAATTTGTTTGTATTGAGCCGCGGGTAAAAGAACGAGCACAACATGCGTTGTATAAAGTGAGTTTACGACGCAGCATTTATTACCTGCCTCTGTCTGTAGCCTGCATCAAGATGTATTGTGCACATGCACGTGAATGATGTGCCTGTGTGTGTGGTCAGTGGTGATGTGACGCACCACGCACCAGCCACCACCCACCAGCCACCAGCCATGCCAGCCTGAGCTGCCAGAACCGACCGTTGACTGGAGTCACTGGACTGGACTGGCCCCAATTCTTCTCGTCGACCTTGCCAGACGCGACGACTCAAGAGGCGGACGCGATTCACGACAACCAGCAATTTGCGACGAAAGCACTCGGGCCAGCGACCAGCGACCCCATCGGCATCATCCCCATCGGCCCCTCCCTGCGCACCTCCGATCCGTACTGTATCGATCCATTCATTGGCATTCGCGTTCGCATTCCGCGGCGTCGTACCTGCTGTACTCGAGCTGCGCGACCGGGTGGTAATACAGGATACCAGACATCTGACAGACAGCCAACAGGCAGAGTCAAGATGCAGCCCGGCTACCGCCCCTTCCCGCCGCAGCAGATGGTGCCGCAGCGCACCCCCCATTCGGGTGGCCAACGCCGGGGAGGCATTGGTATGTAACTTTGTTTGTGCTGCCTCATGTCATTCTATTTACGGGATACCTTATGCTTTGATCCCGTCGCCATGACCTTTTTAGCTACCCTTCACGATCCAGCAAACCCCACACTGGAGCTCCACAGATCATTAGCTCTTGTCACTTGTGCCAACCCTTCTCGAAATTCAGACTCGAATCTCTACCTCGACCGCCCTCTGCCCCTACCCCTACTGCCACTGCCCATCGCATGCTGCCTCCATACCCTATCTCTTCCCATCGTGTCTCGTGCTGCCCCGCGTCCAGCAGTCGTCCTCCTTGCCCATCTCAGATATCTGACCTAGCATGACATAGGGCCCATGATGTCTTCCGGTCCGCACCCCCAGGTTCCTCTGACCCAGGCTCAGATCGCACAGCAACAGCAACAAGCCGCCATGCAAGTCGAGATGGCCAAGCGCCGGAGTAAGAAGCCGACGGACAAGAACCTCCCCGAGGGCATCGATGAGTGTGTGATTGGCGACATGGCCCAGAGATACCGCGATCTCCGCGACTTTGAGAGGAGGCTCGACGCGACCATGACGAGGAAGCGCCTAGACATAGTAGACTCGGTCAATCGCAGTGTCAAGGTAACATCTAGCTGTCGCCGAGGATGGGATCGGAAGTTGCTGACTCGACACGTTCTAGCGGTGGAAGACGCTTCGAATCTGGATAACCAACACGGCCGAGGATCAGGTCTGGCAAGGCAATGCTCTCAATGCCGACACCTTCGACTTCAGCTCGAATCTCGAACCCACATACCGCGTCAAGATTGAGGGCCGACTCCTAGATGACGATGACGATCTCGATGACGATAGCGAAGAGAGCAAGGAGAAGTCTGACGACCCTGACCGAATGGACGAAGACGGCGCATCCGACTCCAAGTCCAAGCCTACCAAAAACCCCAGATACAGATTTTCGCATTTCTTCAAGGCTCTGCACGTCGACTTCCCCGCCAATAGGAAAGGCGGTGACCAGGGCGTTGAATGGAAGAAGCCCGAGCGAAGCGGCGCCGGGACTAACTTGCCCGCTGCGGCCGACTTCGACGAGTTGACGTTCAAGCGCAGTGGTGACGAGAATCTGAACATTACCATCAACCTCGTCCGGCACGAGGAGCATGAGCGTTACGCGGTCAGCCAAGAGCTTGAAGACATCATCGATATGCCCGAAGCCACCCGACAGGAGATTGTGATGGGGATCTGGGAGTATATCAAGTTGATGGGACTGTCCGAGGATGAAGAGAAGCGTAATTTTCGATGTGATGATCTGCTGAGAACTGTGGGTGATCATGCTACGAGCTTTAGTTGCAAGTACACTGACAACGATCCTAGGCCTTCAAGATGGAAACGGGTGCCATTCCCAAACTACATGAATACATCACGCCCCACCTGAGCCCGCTCCCGGCAGTCCAGCTCCCGTATACTATCCGCTTGGACGAAGAGTTCCAAAAGGATCCCCAGGCTACTGTCTACGATGTTCGTGTCGCTGTTGATGACGCGTTACGGGAGAAGATGACTTCATTCCTGAACAATGCTGGCTATGCCAAAATGCTCAAGGAAGTTGCAGCTCTGGACGACCAACTGGCCACTGTCATTAACGCGATTCATGTATCCAAAGCCAAGCACGCATTCCTGACATCTACAGCGAAGGATCCCGCTACCTTTGTGAAGAACTGGCTCAGCTCTCAGAAAAGGGACCTGGAGGTGGTGATGGGAGAAGCGATGAGGGGCGGCGACGACACAACCGGCGACGAGTGGAGAAAGGGAGGCAGAGATAGTGTCTGGTCTACCGTCAACGCTCGCGAAAGTGTCAACGTCTTCCTCTCGAAGAACCCTGCCCAGCCACGATGACTAGTTATACCCCGAGGCTTTGGTGGTTTCCCGGTCACTGGTAAGTGCACATTTTCTCGCTTCTCTCCTCCCATGCTCAAAGTCACACAACGTGGGCGCCGCATCCAACAATTACAAACCTAAATATATAACTTTCGTTGCACCGTATAGACAGCAATGTCATGGGGGAAAATCATGCTCTTTATGAAGATGCCAATCTCACCTGTTTCTTGTCACTCACTATGGCGTGGAACCTTTAGACTGATTATTGTTTGCAGAGTCCGGCAAGCTTAACTCCAAGCTCCTCGGTATCATCACGAACCGCGACCTCCGAATCCTGCAGGAGAGCCAGTATGGCTTGGGCGGGACTTCGATATGGCGTATGGCGAATTGGTCTGTTCGGGAGGCATCTGGCCGGATTTGCCCGTTTCTGAATTGAGAGGTCAGATGAAAATAGGCGTAACTCCTGTATTTCTAGCAGAAGTATGAAGATATCCCATGTTGACACGGTTGGGGCCAAATAGGCCTTTGGCGTCGGGTCTTTTCTTTATGGAGAGGAGTTGCTCCCTCAGACACCAGAAGCCAGACGCTATCGTAGTCGGAATAATACTATGAGATGATGTATTAATGTTGCAAGATATGATGATCTGCCCCATACGTCATGCATGCATTAATATTGCCGATGGCTTTAAGCCCCTAACCCCGGCGTCTCCAATGATGGAACTTGCACGGCTCCAAACACAACCTCAAGCTCATACGCACCCAGCATTTCGATTCTATACCCGTCTTCTTACCACTTGCTAATCGACAGATTCGGCAACCTCACACCCTCATTCACACGAGTCTGGTATCACCCCTCGTCGTAAAATCATGTCTGCAATCTTTAAGGAAAAGAACACGGCCGTCATCACGGGCGCAGCCTCGGGCATCGGCCTCGCCCTGGCCAAGAAGTGCGTCGGGTACGGCATGAGGGTGCTCGTCGCCGACTGGGACGCCGACAGCCTCGAGAAGGCGGCGTCCAGCCTCGGACAGGGCGCTGGTACCATCCGTGTGGATGTCGGCAAGATCGAGGACTGGGCCCGAATAAAGGAGAAGGTCGTGCAGGATTTCGGAGGTGCGTGACTGGGCTGTTTATTCCCTGTTTTAATGTTTCTCTTGGGTTTTTGCATGTTGGACTTGTTGCTTTTACCTGTGATCAGTCTGTTTGCCTCTCATCGTGGCATATCCCTCCCTACACCATACTCAACTCATACCCAACAAGCAAACCCTCCTTGGATGCAATGACCAGGTGTTGACCAACTACAGGCCAAATCAACCTCTTAGCCCTCAACGCCGGCGTGGGCCCCAAGACGTCCTTCGACGACGCGGACCCGGCGGCCTTCCACAAGATCATGGACACGAACCTCTTTGGCGTCATCAACGGCATCACCACGCTCCTGCCGCTCATCAAGGAGAAGTTCTCCTCTTCTTCCTCTTCTGATGGTGGCGCGAGCGCCATCGTCATCACGGGCTCCAAACAGGGCATCACGAACCCGCCCGGCAACCCGGCCTACAACGCCAGCAAGGCGGCCGTCAAGACGCTGGCCGAGCACCTGTCGTTCGACCTGCGCGCCGCGGCGCCCGCCGTGGGCGTGCACCTGCTGGTTCCGGGGTGGACGTGGACGGGGCTGGCGGGGGCGGCGGGCGGGGGGGAGAAGCCGGCTGCGGCGTGGTGGCCGGAGCAGGTTGTTGATTTCCTGGAGACGAAGGTGGCTGAGGGCCAGTTCTGGGTCCTGTGCCCGGATAATGATGTTACGGAGGAGGTGGATTGCAAGAGGATGCGCTGGGGGGCTGAGGATGCGGTGCTGGGACGCAAGCCGCTTAGTCGGTGGAGGGGGGAGTATGAGGGTGAGTTTGGGGCGTGGATGGGGAAATGAGGTATGAGTTGTGATTTGGGGGAGGTTAAGGGGGTCTAGGGGGCGACAAGGAGGCTCAAGGAGAATCATGGAGGGGAGGGGAGGGCATGAAGAATGGAAGCGTGATACGTGATCGAGGGGCTACATACCTACGGAGCTAGCTTACCTTACTGATGGCTTCAGTCAAGGTGCTCATACATCGTTGATACATTCACGAACTGATCGAACATGCACGACGTTTGAGATCAGGGGGTTTCGTCACTTGCTAAGGAGTCGAGCTGGATGGAATAGACGCCCCTATCGAGTATAGGGGATGCAAGGTGATATTTAACGCTCTGGGCAGATAGGCCGATGAGTAGTCGCTGCTCTGGCCGCCATTCAGGGGGTGAGGGAGGAGAAATATCTGTGAAGTCACCGCAGTACCTTGAGTCTTTTTCAGCGATACTGGTCCTTCTCCCCTTGATCGTTCCTTTCCAACTCATCAGGCCGTATATTCCTGTCTTGCCTGCCTAGGATCTCGGTTGCTTGGTTGGCATCTCGTCGTTGTACCTGTTGCCGGTACTTGTAGTCAATGTCCTACTTTGGCAGCGTTGGTGGTGAGTACCGTGTCTTGCCACAGCAGGGAACAAGCAGCGACACATTGGCATTTGAGATCCGGGGTTGAGGTTCTCGGATATGTTGTCGCAGTAGTGACGTGAGCATTTAGACTTCGCCAACTACGCAAGCTATACAGCCCCCAAGAGAAGCGAGTCAGGAAGACAACGTCACATATTGCAGTGCCAAGATGCGGGCATCAACTGTTCCGGAAACGCGACCAGGTTGAGATGGAATCGTCACACCATCATGAGGTGGCAATGTACGTGACATTGCCCGGTGTTGGACGTCGAACGTAGGTAGTCAGCGCAGATATATAATACATACCTAAGTAACATGCCCCCTTGACCTGGCGAACTAAACTTCTGTCGATTAAATATATATCCCCTCGAGTGTTCGATGGCAATGCATCTCACCACCGCGAAGACGTCCTTCCAGGCCGTCTTCGCCCTCGACGTCGTCACAGCCGGCATCGCCCTCCTCTTCCTAGGCATCGCCACGCGTCCAACGCTACAGCGCCTGAAAGAACACCGCTTCTCCATCAGAGACACGAGCAACGACGGTCGCGCGCCCGTGAAGACAACTCTCGGCACCTAACTCTTCCTCTGGCCCGGCCTCTTCCGTCTCTTCGCCGCCTACACATTCCAATTCGTCGCCGACATCCTCGAGACCAACGGCGGCCACAACAGCAGCAGCAGCAGCATCAACTACAACGGCGACATGGGCCTGCACGGCCGCCGGCCTTACACGAGTAGTAGTACTAGTAACGGCTACGCCGTCGCCGCGCTCTCGTTCGCCACAGCGCTGTCGACGATCCTGTTCACGACGGCGATCAATGGTGCCGTGTGGATACACTGGAGCCACGTGCTGAACAATGGCGTGCGGATCGGGTCGCCGGGCACGAAGAGCAAGCTGTGGAATGCGCTGATCCTGCTTGCGATTCTGGGGACGGGGCTCGCGGCTTGGGGAAGGGCGATGAAGGTGACGGGGGGTGGGGGGATGAGTTATCCTATGGCTGTGCAGGGTGAGCGCGTGACGAGGATTATTTATGTTGTTTATCGGTGTGTTGTTGTTGCTGCTACTTTTAGTGTGTCGGTTGGGACGGCGAGGAGCTATTTTATGGTGAGGAGGAGCTGAGGGAGGGATGTGAGTTTCCCCTATTCTCAATACACTTTTTTTTACTCACGCCTTACCCCCTTACCCATTTCCCTTCCCCCTATCTTGCACATTTTGTTTGTTCGCGGCACGTACACTCGACACCAAACAAATAATCCCTGACACCACCAACCCAACCACAGATCTCCGAGCGTCCCCAACTAGCCCGCTTCGCCCTGATCGTCGTACCTCTCCTCTGGCTGCGCAACTTCTTCATGATCTACGACATCGTGCTGCTGTACGTCGACACGACCGGCTGGTCGACGGCGTCCCGTCTGGCCACGGTTTTCCTGCTGATCGTCTTTGGGCAAATTACGAACCTCACTATCTTGGGCATGGTGCTCTGGGGCGCGTGGAGAATCGGCAGGACGGTGCCCTTGTTTGGTGGGAGTGAGAGTGGGAGTCGGGATAAGGATAAGGACTCTGAGAGGGGTCTGAACCATGGTTATTACTGAGGTGGTGAAGTTGAATATCTTGGTTGGGGTCACATATAGAGAGGGCATAGTTGGTAGCATTTGGGTTGTTCGTAGGTATTTTCAGCGCACGGAGTCTCTCGCCCATATTCGGCATGAATGGTACATTGACTACATGCCTTGTTTTGCGGCAGAACTGTTCCCTCCCTAAAAGTCTGAATAGCGGTTCCGGCTGCAACCTCCTGATGTACTCGTACGACAGTCCTAATCTGATGCAACGCTGCTCTCCCGTTTGTGCGGACTCCTGCTGTTCAGCCCAGACCATGCGTTGCTTCAATGGCCGTTTTAATAATGGCACTCAGCTCCTCGCGACAGCCGTCCAGTTTCTCATGCACTACCGTGTAATTCTCCGAGTCAGTGCCATATGCGAGCTTCGCCTGGGTCGATGCCAACTCCAGTAATTTGAGCTCTCGAATCTTGTTCTTGATATCGCCTGTGATGAGACACAGGCGACTGCATAGCATGGTTGACGTGAAATACCTGTTTTGCCTTGTGGTTAGGAAAAAGGCCTCCGCTCTTTGACGGGGTAGTATATAAGTTGAGGGTCTTGGTCTTACTCGGTTGCTAGCTGCGCAGGCGATGACAACAATTTTTGATGGAGTTCGATACGCCGACTAGATCGCTCGAGCGCCGCGCTTAGTTCCTCGCGAGACGCTTCACTGCCTGGGGTCGGGTCATTCTCCAGCGACTGCAGGTCGCGGATATCGCGCTCGTGCGCCGCGGAGTCAATTGCGGGATCATTCGGATCGCAGGCCGGACAAGCGCAGGTGAAGTGCCACACCCGCCGCGTCTTCTCCTGGCGCTCGGCTACAGGCAGGAGGGCATCGGCATAGGTCAGCGTGATCTCTTCATCGGCCTTGATGTCGCGCGTAGCCCTGATGGTAATGTACCTAGGGTCATTTTTCTCGAAGTAGCGGGCAGTGTTGGCAACGCAGGAATGGTTGATCCGGCTCGCCTTCAAGAAGAGACACGTCCCGGTCCTCTCATCGCTGGTGAGGAAGCCGTTGGTCAACCAGACGCCGACGATTCTCTGGCACGTCTCAACGGCCCGCTCGCCCATTGGCGGCACACCGGCGTGTCTATCGGCCGCCGTGATCAAGTTGCGCACGTCCGCGTCCCGATGTGGCATGGGCGTCGCGTGGAGCTGCAGGAGTTCGGCGCGGGTGTCCTGGGACAAGTTGTTGTACTGGAGTGTCAGCTTCACGATCGCGTCGAGGTCTAACCGGCTGTATCCGCCATTGTTCTTGCCTGGGACGGACAGGGTGAACTTCTCGCGCAGGACAACGGTGCCGGCTTTGATGTCGCGCGTGGCGAAGAGGCCCATTCCTTTGCCTGGAGATTGTGATACTCGGAAGAGAGGGGGGCCATCGCCAGCCGGACTGGCGAGTTCTCCGCCGGGCTGATTGGCAGCTCCCTGAAACGACATTGAGGCTGCTTTCGTTCGTACCAGACTTCCAACTCTTCGGGTACCGGTAGAAGGACGACGAACGAGCGTCTTCGCATGCAAGTACAGCCTGTCAATGGCAGGGCTGTAATCCTGTCAGTACTTGTGATCCAAGGTGAGAAGGCAGTCGAAATAAGAGGACAGCCCACAGCTTGCACAGAAGCACTGCGAGATAAAGGAAGAAAACAAACACCGTGCTGTTGTTGCCTGAGCGTTGCTAACCAAAGAGGAGTGACTGGAGGCAGCCACGAACTGGAATTCGGCCTAAGTCGATACTCACATGTGGGCAGGCAGGTGGGTGTGCCTTAGATACTTGCAATCGAAGGAGGAGGACAGCCCAGAGCTTGCACGAACGCACCGGGAGAGGAAGGAACAGTGGCTGGAGGCGGCCTAAGTTCATACTCACATGTAGGCGCCTGAGGCAGGTGGGTATGCCTACTTGCAAGCGGTAATCAAACACATGGCTATACGTCCGCAGGATGGATGAGTTATCTGCCTGCTGCGGTTCAACTGGTGGAAGTTTGACTTGCCTCCTTAGCGATCCCTGAATCCTTGTATTTGGATGACCTGCCTTAACACTCATGATCATAGTACATACATCAAACAATGCTCCTCTATTTGGCTGGGCAGGCAAGCGACGCAACTCAAGCCGCTGTCTGCTCTCATCTCGTCATGCGTAAACCTCGTGTGTCTTGCCTAACCACGGCCCCCTGAACGCCAAGCTACATGCATGTGATCTTCGCCACGATGACTGGTTTTCGGGGTTTCTTGGTAAACCCTCATGTCGTTTATGAACCACGTCCAACAGTGCTCACTATTGGAGTCACTGTTGACATGACCTCTTCTGATACTGTCCCGTGTCAAGTCAACTAGACCCCTTGAGACATTAGTCGAGCCGGCGGGACTGGATTCGGAGGCATATTTCGGATTTGCTTGATGAGGAACTCGCGCTCGTCGATAAACTGTTCGTCATCCGTGCGATCCTCCAAAAAGTGCGAGAGAAAGTCCAGCAGTTTATCTCGATTCATAAGCAAGATCTTCTGGACGGCGACCGACTTGTGAGGGTTTGCGACGAAAACCTTGAACACATGGAAGCCCTCGTACTGCACCATCTTGCGGTCGCTGCGCAAGAGGTTCATGCAGATCTTCAGATGCTCCCCTCGGTCGACATAGGCGGTCATTACGTTGTAGTTTGATCGGTCTAGTAATATCTCGCCAAGCAGCTTGATGGACTGTCGCTTTGTGACATAGCTATTAGACTGGACCAGAACGTGGTTATACCTTTCGAAAAAGAGGTCGAAATTCACAGCCAGATATCGCGGAACGAGTTCTTTATGTTTGGTCAACAGTTCCTACATCAGCACAAGTTAGCAACTTGTCACACCTGGGTGATGAACTTGGCGCGACTCTCTTACCCGAAAAGTGGTGAAAGCATCGGCAGCGACCTCGAACGAGCTCTTGTCGATCCAGTCGAAGAACCGCCAGAAAACGCCATTGCCGCTCTGGGGTCGCTCCCTGTCAATTGCGGTAACGCCCTTCAAACTGGATCCGGGCTGTTCGCCATCGTCGTAGAGGATGATGGCCGCCGCTTGCTCGCTCTTCAAGATCTCCCGCAGGACTGACCCTGCCGGTGTGGCGCTCTCCTTATGTTCGTAGCCTCGACATAACTCCAGCAGCACCTGGGGCTTATTATTCACCACGTAACTCAGTGCGACAGGGTCTGTCTTGGGCGAGGCCGTCGAGGGGCGGAACCGGAAGACATAAGAGAATATGACTTGGGTATCTTTGCGGGCTTCGAAGGGCAGTCGGTGCAGGTTCTGAGCAAGTAGAAGCAGTAGGTCCTCCTCTATCAGGCCTGTAACTAGCTGGTATACTTGTTCGGGGGTGCTCTCGGAATCTGTAGTCCCACGGTCAGTTCAGACGATCTGTACAGGGATGCGCCGCTGTTGCGCGAGACTCGAAAGGGGTCGTCGCACCTGGTGTTCCTTGAAGTATGAGCTTCATCTGGTTCAGGACTCTGGCCAGCTCGTCGGCCTGCAGACAGAATGACCCCTAGTCAGCACATCATCTCGACTCGTGTGACGGCGCAATGGGCGTACTGACCTTGCCGGCAACGTCGAGTTTGAGGACATGTTCCTTTGCTTGCTTGGACAGGTCGGTTGTGTTTGTCCTGGTCCTGGCCCTTCCGAAGAGAAAAGACATGGTGACGATGATGGAGCTGTGGTAGCCGAGTTACCACCAGTCAGGGTCGACAATGGTTTCGGTATATCGATGTATGTATGTCCTTCTTTGTATGCGCACTGGCATGCTTTCCACTGTCTTGGGTCTTGGGTCTTGGATCGTGGTAGCGGATGTTCAGTCTCCGTACGTCATAGTCTTGCAAGAGGCCGTTGAAACCTAACGATAGGGGTAAAGACTAGGCGACTATCGTCGGGGCAATTGAACGGTATACCTTAAGCCCGGAAGTAATGGAAAGTTGTTCGTCACTGGACTGTGGCCAACAGCAGCAGCAGAACAGGTTGGCTGTAGATAAACTGTTGCTGCTATTGCTTTGTTCTCAGGCTCGTGCTCTCTCGTTGCTGTTTACATCCCGATCCTCTCTGTCGGCCCCTCAGCCCCTAGGTACAATGTTACATTACTCTGCCTGCCAATCAATGCGGAATGTTTATTTACGGGGTTACCTGGGGCGCTGAGTTGCCCCTGCTAACCCTTGTAAACCACATCTGACCCGCTAGCAGGGATCAGGAGTTACCTAGTGTCCACGAGGCTACCGCAGGGTTCGGGACAGATACCCCGCCAGCCTAAAGCCAATTGGTCGTCTTGCTGTGCGGTACTTGGAGTGGGATGACTCAATTGTCACACCCCGCCATAAATTTGGAGGGGTTCAACCCGGCCACGCAGCCACGCTCGAGTTGCAGTCAGTCAGTCACACACCAACTTGAGTCTGTCGCGAGATATCCATCCCTAATTTGAGAGCAACGACGCCAGATAGACAGACCATTGTTACTTCGACTTGTCTTCTGCCATCGCTCTCAACATGTCCATCGACTTCCCGAAGGCCGAGATCGCCGTCATTGAGAAGTGGCGGGAGATCAAGGCTTTCGAGCGTCAGGTACGAAGGCGTGGAAACTTCACCTTGCTTCCTCTACGAGTAGTTCACTGACAACCCCGAATAGGTCGAGCTCTCCGAAGGTAAACCGCGATACACCTTCTACGATGGCCCTCCCTTTGCGACGGGTCTGCCCCATTACGGCCACCTGCTCGCCAGCACCATAAAGGATATCATCCCGAGATATTGGTCCATGAAGGGATACCACGTGGAGCGAAGGTTCGGCTGGGATACCCATGGAATCCCCATCGAGCACGAGATCGACAAGAAGTTTGGAATTTCCGGCAAGCAAGCTGTCATGGAGTTTGGCCTGGCCAAGTACAACGAGGAATGCCGATCTATCGTCATGCGATTTCGCGGCGAATGGCGACACACCATCGAGCGCTTGGGTCGATGGATCGATTTCGACAACGACTACAAGGTTTGCCTACAGCTGCCATGCGAGTCCAGGTTGTTTGCTGACACTGCAGCAGACGATGGACCCTACCTTCATGGAGTCTGAATGGTGGGCTTTCAAGCAGTTGTTCGACAAGGGTATGGTATATCAGGGACACCGAGTCATGCCTTACTCGACAGTCCTCACCACGGCTCTGAGTAACTTCGAGGCGAACCAGAACTATCAGGATGTCACGGATCCCGCCGTCGTGGTTTCCTTCCCGTTAGTGACGGACCCGAAGACCCATCTCTTGGCATGGACCACGACACCTTGGACTCTGCCGTCCAACCTGGGGCTCGCTATGCATCCCGAATTCGAGTACGTCAAGATCTTCGATGAGAAGTCTGGTAACAACTATATCCTGCTGGAGAAGTTGTTAACTACCCTTTACAAGGACCCAAAGAAGGCCAAGTTCAAGATATTGAAGAAAATAAAGGGCAAGGACATGCTAGGATGGAAGTACGAGCCGCTGTTCGACTACTTCAAGGAGGACTTCAAGGAGGTCGCCTACAAAGTCCTTAACGCTACGTATGTCACTGACGACAGCGGTACCGGCATTGTACACCAAGCGCCCGCGTTCGGTGAGGATGATTACAACGTCGCTCTGGAGGCTGGCATCGTCAACGAGAATCGGCCTCCTCCCGACCCAGTAGACGACCGAGGCATATTCACTGCGAAGGTCCGCGACTTTGCTGGCCTCCACGTCAAAGAGGCTGATAAGCAGATCATCAAATTCCTCAAGGGTACTGGCAGACTGGTGGCCGACACGCAACTGCGACATTCGTACCCCATGTGCCCCAGATCCGATACGCCACTTATCTACCGAGCTGTACCATCATGGTTCATCCGCATAACGGATATCGTGCCGCAGATGTTGAAGAATATTGAGGGTACACATTGGACACCAAGCTTTGTGAAGGAGAACCGCTTTGCCAACTGGATCGCCAATGCGCGCGACGTAAGCCCGAGCTTTCCTCATTTCCTTGCCATCCCGAATATCTTGAACTTCAACTATTTGTCAACGCCCCTTTTCTTGTTTGCCTACCTCTTGGCTGTACTGACTCGGTATAACGTAGTGGAACGTCTCGAGGAACCGATATTGGGGAACCCCTATTCCCCTGTGGGTCAGCGATGACTTGACCGAGCGAGTCTGCATTGGCAGTGTGGCAGAGCTCAAAGAGCTGAGTGGATACACGGGCGAACTGACGGATTTACATCGCGACAAGGTCGATCACATCACTATTCCCAGCAAGAAGGGCAATGGAGTTTTGAGACGTGTGGAGGAGGTCTTCGACTGCTGGTTCGAGTCGGGCAGTATGCCCTACGCCAGTCAGCATTACCCGTTCGAGAACAAGGAGAAGTTCGCCGAGTCCTTCCCTGGTGAATTCATCGCTGAAGGTCTGGATCAAACGCGAGGATGGTTCTACACCATGCTTGTGATGGGGACCCATCTCTTCGGTGTTTCGCCATTCAAGAACTGTGTTGTGAATGGTATTGTTCTTGCTGAAGATGGCAAGAAGATGTCCAAGAGGTTGAAGAACTACCCCGATCCAGCCATCGTCATGGAAAAGTACGGTTCAGACGCACTCCGGCTTTATATGATCAATTCACCTGTCGTCAGAGCGGAGCCCCTGCGTTTCAAAGAGGCCGGTGTCAAAGAGGTTGTTCAGAAGGTGCTTCTTCCTCTCTGGAACAGTTACAAGTTCTTCGAGGGCCAGGTTGCGTTGCTCAAGAAGGTCGAAGATAAGGACTACTTTTTCGATCCCAAGATGGAAAGTTCGAACTCGAACGTGATGGATCGATGGATTCTTGCGAGTTGTCAGAGCCTTCTACAATTCGTCAACCAAGAGATGGCTGGTGGGCTTCCCTATCTCTGCTTCTTTCAGCACAACTGCAGTAGTGATACTAACCATTTTTAGGCTACCGATTGTACACCGTCGTTCCCAGGCTACTCGGTCTTATAGACGATACGACGAATTGGTACATCCGATTCAACCGGAAACGGCTGAAGGGCGAACATGGTATAGACGACACCATCCACGCGCTGAACACGCTCTTCGAGGTTCTCTTCACCCTTTGCAAAGGGCTGGCCCCATTCACCCCGTTCATAACAGAAACCATCTACTCGAAGCTCCTACCTCACATCCCCAAGGAGATGCAGGCCGAGGATCCTCGAAGTGTACACTTCCTCCCCTACCCCGATGTTCGACAGGAGCTCTTCGACACCGAAATCGAGCGAAGAGTTGGCCGCATGCAGAAAGTCATCGAGTTGGCCAGAGTATCTCGGGAACGCCGGACCATTGGATTGAAGACGCCACTCAAGACACTGGTTGTACTTCATCACGACCAAACTTACTTGGACGATGTCAAATCTTTGGAGACATATATCCTAGAGGAACTCAATGTCCGCGACCTCGTGCTGACATCCGATGAGGAGAAATACAACGTCCAATATTCTGTCACGGCAGACTGGCCTGTCCTCGGAAAGAAGCTGAAGAAAGACATGGCAAAGGTCAAGAAGGCATTGCCAAATGTCACGAGTGATGAGGTCAAGCAATACAAAGAGTCAAAGTCCATTGTCGTCGATGGCATACGGCTTGAGGAAGGCGACCTAAGGGTGAAACGCGATCTGAAGCAGGGCGAGTCGCAAACCCTCGAGACCAACACAGACGACGACGTGCTCACCATTCTGGACACCGAGATGTATGCGGATCTTGCTCACGAAGGTGTTGCCAGAGAGATTCTCAATCGAGTGCAACGTCTTCGTAAGAAGGCCGGCCTCCAGAGCACCGACGATGTGAAGATGGAGTACCATGTTCTCTCGGACCCGGAGAACATCGGTATCGAGGAGGTTTTCGTGACTCAAAGCCCTTCTCTTGAGAAAGCGTTGCGAAGGCCAATCGACAAGCATGTGGTCACGCATGTTGATGGTGAGATACCCAAGGGAAAGCAGGATGGCATGATTGCAGAGGAAGAGCAAGAGGTGCAAAAGGCAACCTTTATGATCAGACTACTCAAACTATGAGGTAGATACTGTGGACTGATGACTACACAGAGATTGTAATGTCAATGAGCGATCTGGGCGTAAATGGAGTCATAGACTTGCAATGACATGACGTTATTTACGTTTTGCGGAGGGTCCACGGGCAACAAGATAATGCCTTCAATTCTGATAGCTCCCGGATGCTGATAGTCGTACAATTGCTTTCAAACGCGGCTCGTCTCTGTGATCAAGTGCAGTGTCGATATCACATGTCCTGCCGAATGCGCGTTCACGACCAACCTCTAGAAAGGTGCGGCTGAGTTGCGGTGGGTGCGGGCGGCTGGTGCATGAGAGGCTGGTTGCCATGTTGGGAACCAGAGACGGTGCAGTTATATATCCTAATGTGAGCAAAAGCCAGCATCAATGATGTTTCCTTGCCGGTTTTCCGGGTGGTAAATTAGTCGGCAGGACAAACTTGAGCTTGCTCGATTTCCGGCAGTACTCAAGAGCCCAGGCTTTAAAATGAACCTCACTATAGTTCTTTTTGCTATTCAGCACACTTTCTAAAGGTCGGCAGTTCAAACGGCATATCTGCAAGGTTTTTTTCTTTTCTTTTCTTTTCCCCTTTTAATAATAAAAGGGCTTCGAGTCTTGCTGTGACCCCGTTACCATCTTCGTTTCCCTCACCGCGACTTCTTCGCTTGTTTCTGTTGGAACACGTAAGCCAAGAGGCCAGCCAGTAAGGTTGGGAATAGGAGATTGCGGCATCACCTACCAGATAGCAGTCCTTCAGCCTCCGGAACTCGTCGACGCACTTGTCCTTGTGCACCGAGTTGTAGTCGACGACGATGCACTTGCCGTAGACGGTCGCCTGTTTTGTATGGGGGTCAGCTTTCTAATTCGGGTGATTGCTCTTCTCTTGGAGATGAGATGAGAGGGGATGGTGGATTGGAGCAGGAGAATGGAACGGAATGGGTCGGGGGCGGAAAAGGGGGATGTGGATGTGGAAGGGGGGAACTTGGTGGTGGGTGTCGGTACAGTACCTCAGCGGAGCATTGCGACACGGCTGCGGCGAACTTCTGGATGGGCCTTTGACGCGGTTGCATTTTGGATTGGGATGGATGGTTAAGCGTTCATTGATGGCTTGTGGTCTGGTAGGTACTTGGTAGGCTTGGAGGAATTGTTTTGAGAAGAAGTCTAGATGCCGTGACTATGATGAGTTGAGTTGAGGTGATGAGGGTGAGGTGAGTGAGGCCAATCGTGGGCTTTAGATCGGCCCCACAGCCAGCTGTCATAAGCTGCTGGGCAGTGGCAAGTTGACTGCCCGATGGAGGGAACCTTGCAAAAGACCCTGTCGGCGAGAACCTCATGTCTACCACCTTACTTTAAGAACTCTCGAAGCGCGAGTCCATCACTACCGGCATATGCGGCAGTATGGGCGAGCTGATTGATCGAATAACCTCGGCCCGGCATGCTCAATCACTCAGGCTGGCGGCGCGTTTCTCTGTTCTTCCACCCAGAAACATGGGCGACCAGTTGAAATCTTGGTCTTGTACGGTGGCCTCGCTCACAACGGAAGTATCGTTTATTTCGCGCAGACAAACTTCATTCATTTCAGGGAGGATTAGACGAGCGGTGACGGGTGGACGCCTTGCGCTTGCTACCTAAGGCTTGCTTCCGCCTCCGCTTTCAGCCCGTGACCATTGCGACAAGGCTCTGGGGGAGGGCATCATCGCACGTGGTGTTGATTCGTCATGCACTACATCCTCCTCCGCCTCTTACTACTACGATATGAACAGGTAGACACCTGGTGGCTATCAGGCTCTCCCTGGCGAGGATCACTCATCGAGAAGGGCATGAGTTGCTTCAACCCTTAGCATCATGACTTGGACTCAGGGGTTAGGGTCTTCGCCCCCTAAATGGTACTATAACCAGGTTGTCTAGACACATGATGACACTGCTTCAACACAAAGTGATGGCCTGACCAAGCGGGACACAACGCTTAAAGACTGACTGCTAATCGGAAAGATGGGTCTTGCACGGTGGGTGCCCTCCACAGAAACACGAATGTTTATGCCACAAAAACCTTCAGCATCCCAAGCCGTTAGGTGGACGCCGGTGCAGAAAGGTAAAGTACCTGTATCAGGCACGAAGGCTCGGGCACGTCCACTCATCAGTCTCCTACCTAGATAGGTCAAACATTCTGGCGGTAGGAAGTAACTAGTTCCCAAATCCGCCAAGAAACACCACATCGGACCAGAGAGAATGGCTTCGGATTTGGCAAACTTCGACATCCATCGCAACTCGAAGAAGCTCGAGACGTACGTTCATATATGTTCCGAGTGTCTTGAATGTCGGACGGACAGGAAGCGTTTGTTCGGCGAACTGCAACCTGTCGACGAGCCGATGATTCCGTTCCAGCTAATGGGGCTTCCTCATGGTCATCTTCTCCGCTCATAGCGTCGTTCTCTGGCTGAGTCTTGGTCTTTCTTGTGGGGGTATCGTCAAGCTGATCTTGTAACTGGTCCTCTGAGAACAGGTTCCGCTCTAGAGTCTAGACGTCGGTTCTCCAGATGTTGGTCTTCAGAAGTTGGTTCTTCTCAGTGCTGCGGGACTCGGGGTACTCGAAGCGTTTAGCAAGATTCTGAAGACCGCGACCGGACTGCGTCTGGAGATATCCGGGCACGTCTTCCACATATACCAGGTGATCGCCCAGTCCGTCCAGCTGTTGTTGCACCGTCATCCCTCTGGTCTCGTCGGCCTCATAGTATAGCTCGCCGTGTATTCCTTCTTCAGGAAGACGGCGTGGCTCGTTGTCATGCACACTGTCTTGGTGCCAGCCACTGCCAGCCACCGGTCTGTGTCATCGCATTCCAGATCACACCAGGTTGCGAATATCAACTAACGGCGGAGGCCCCCAAGTGGGACAGCCCCCCAAGTGGGACACTTTTCACACCCAACATCACAATGTTCACTTATACACATCTCTATCGGCAATAAAGCCCTAGATACCGTAAGTACGGCAATAGAATTGTCTTTTCTTGGTGTTTCTTCCAAAATAGATTTTATTAGGTCTGCCGCTGCGGGGTGGTGGGGTCGGAAGTTAGCACTTCCGGGCCTAATCTGACGGGTAATAAGACCCGTGCCCCCTATTACCTCCTATCCAGCAGAAATCTTGTTGTTCTTTTTTTTTCTCTTTTTATATACGTAATAGCGGCTTCAGTACGACGAAATGCCTCCTTTGTACACTGAAGAAGACCTCATAGAGGCAATAACCGCTGTAAACGATGGCCTATCCCTCTGCAAGGCCTATCATCGCTGGGGAGTACACAAATCGACTCTCTCTCGCAAGGTAGACAGCACCACGATACACCTAACTGGCACAATGCAAAAAAGACATTCTTATGCTTCTGTGAGGATTGTGGTGGCAGTATGGTGGCAGTCAGGGAGGCTGCCAGCTGACAAGGGGTCAGGCAGGCACCTTGGCAGAATAAAGGGATGGAAGCACCAGGAAAGGTAGCTTTCATTGGTGATAGACAAGGGATCTTTGGCTGGAGGATCAATGGATGGGTACATCTTTGTATTTTGGTGTGTATTTAGTACTAGATTGGTCCCCCATACCCATGGATAAAACGCAACGTACTAGACCGATCATCACCCCCATGTTCTGACTCTGATGATCCGATAGCTTTGAAGTTAAGCCCTATTTAAGAAAAGAAGGTGATTTCGTAGATTCTGTATCAAGAAAAGGCCGGCCATGCGCCAACTCACAGCAACGTCAAGGTCATTATCCGCCAGGATCATAAAATCTGATGGAAAATCAGATCATTTAAGGAACTATTATATACAAAACTTCATCTGCCGACACCAGGAGATCAAGACCAAGATAGGCCGAAAGCTTGACTACAAGCATATCAACGCTGCCACGTCTAAGAACGTGAATTTGTTTCACGATCTCCATGAGGAGTTCGCCTTCATCAAATCCAAGAACCGGGCAAATGTCGATAAGTGCGGCATTATATAGGGCTAGTAATACGTGAATTATCAATTCTAAGTGGTTTTTGAATGGCTAACCGGGAAATTATAGGTCTGATGGCCTTGTAATAGGCAGTTCTGGCTCAAAAGGGGCTAATGTCAAGTCCAACGACAACCGCACGTGGACTACAGTGGTAGAATCGATCACCGCTACTTAGAAGAAGCTCCAGCTGCTCATTATTTTTAAGGCAAATTTGATACAAACACAGTGTCACGGCGAGCGTACTGAGGAGCTGGGACATGGCCGGCAGCAAGCAGCTATTACTCTATTGACGAGAATATCAAGACTAGAGAGGAAAGGAAGAGAGAGAGAGAGATAGGTACAGTGGGAGGTTGCCTCTTTAAGGGGATCCTCTGGTCAGATCCTTCCCCTATTGGGAGGTATCCACTTGCCATGTGGGAAGGTCTGTGCAGGCCGCCACAGCCGTCACACACAGTGGTTTGAAGAACAGCTTGTTAAAGAGCATCCTTCAATAACAAAATGGTTTATAACGTACTCTGCTAACGGCAGGTCCTTAAACAAGATTGCGTTGCAATGGCTTGAGAAGGTTTTTTTTCTCTTATTTAATTGCGTTAACTATATGCTAAATAAGCCCTAAATCTATCTACCTAACACAGCTCCTAAAGATCCTGATGATTTTTGCCTCTTAATACTAGATGACTATGACAGCCACTGCTCGGACGAGTTTATGTATCTCTGCTACATAAATAATGTATATATGTGCTTTTTTCCTGCCCATATAGTAGGTTATTTGGTCTATTAATAATTATTCTGCTAATAGAGGTAGTCTTATATCTTCTAGCCGCTAGATTTGACCGTTTTCTCTGTGGTAAAGGCCGCCTATCGCCACTTCATTAACCAGCTCAGTCAGCTCAACGATTCGGTCCCTATTGGCAAGGTTAAGTTCCTTAATTGTCTAACAAAAGCTCGCAATAAAGTCACGCCAGTTATTGTGTATTCGGGATGGCGTACTACTGGCCTTTGGCTTGTGAATCGGCAGAAAACGCTGGCAAACAAGCATATAGTGAAGACAGAGAAGATACAAGTAGCAGCAGCAGCTATAATGAACCCAGAAACCACTCCTAAAGCACTAGAAGCCCCTAAGTCAGGGCAGGACACAGCCCTGATACTATCAACAGTGGTTAAGACCCCTGAACAGCGAGCAGGAGTCCGCTCGGTTGCAAAGGCGTACAATGAGATGGTGGTTGAGATAGCCCTTCTAAAGCAACAGATAAAGGCAAAAGACGACAAAATCGAGTATCAACAGCCAAAGAAACACCGTAAGGCCCCTCAGGAAAAGCCTAATCAACGGCTATGGAAGGTTGGAGATGTTATTGCTGAATAAATCGAGCATACAGAAGCCGCACAAGCTGCTATTAAACAACGGGCAGAGAGATAACGAGTTTTACGTGAATTACAGAACTTGTATACTGACGAATCAGAGAGATCACTCTCTGAAGACTCCCTCTCCTCCGAATTTAACGATTCAGAAGGATTAGACAAAGGGGTAAGTTGTTGACAATAGGGACGAGGAGGGGTCTGATAAGCCGGATAATGAAGACGACAAGCACATTGTGGTGCGATCTTCGCGCCGCGCAATCTGCCAGCCTGCACGGTACCGGGTGAACAATTAATATTGCTGAAAATCCAAAGGGAATGCGGTTCTAACATATTTATTATATAATTAATAGCTTCAATTCGGATGGAGTTGTCCGTGGGTGCAAGTGTGGCCTTTTGGTGTGAAAACTGTCCCACTTGAGGGACCCGCCGTTATATAAAAACTCATCAAGCGATGAAGACCCCTAAAAAGCATACGCATCATCAAAGACTTGCCTTTTCCCAGCAAGGAGCTGATATCCAAGCGTTCATATTGATACAGTCACCCTTCATGCCTCTTGTCACTGCCGCTCGGGTCTTTTTCATTGTGAAAATGCGAGCCATAGAATAAGCACACTGGCATAAACATTGCAAGTACCATATAACATCAAAGATGCTTATTCCAGAGCGCTTATGCCGAATTAAAAAATTCACCCTTATTAAGGACATATACCGCATTTTCTGTGCAACCCTTTTAAGTTAACCACGGTTTATCATGTATTAATGCGCCTTGTTGAGCTATAAATAGTTAACCTTACCTCTTATTATTATTATTATTATTATTATTATTATTATTATTATTATTATTATTATTATTATTATTATTATTATTATTATTATTATTATTATTATTATTATTATTATTATTATTATTATTATTATTATTATTATTATTATTATTATTATTATTATTATTATTATTATTATTATTATTATTATTATTATTATTATTATTATTATTATTATTATTATTATTATTATTATTATTATTATTATTATTATTATTATTATTATTATTATTATTATTATTATTATTATTATTATTATTATTATTATTATTATTATTATTATTATTATTATTATTATTATTATTATTATTATTATTATTATTATTATTATTATTATTATTCTCACACCCATAAGGCTTGTGACCCTTCTAGAATCTCACACACGGTTATAAATATAAAGTGTCACGGGTTCCGGTACGGGCAGTATAGGCGATCGTATGACAGTCTATTCTCTATGGTTCTGGCAGGGTTACAGGTAACTCTATTGACAGGACATAGCTCGAAGAGCTACAATTCAGGTTCGGACGGGAACAGTGAAGATATCGTCAGTTCTCAGGTCCACATTGGTCCACCCGGGCCGCCGACAGCTGGCGCCCGGGGTCCCTCCACTTCCTGCCCATAGGCAGGGTCCAGCGCCGTGACATAAAGCTAGGTAAAATCGTAACCATTTATATATAGGCTTTTTTTATGTAGTTAAATGTTTTTAGCTCGTTTTTAAGCTTTTTATTATTAATTACACTTAATAAACGTTACGTACAAATTTAAGCCTTTTTACTACTTTATAATAAAAAATGCCTAAATTTTTATCTTTTCAACCTTTTTTATGTTAAATAAGCCTTAAAATATTTATCTAATTACTTATATATATATATATATATATATACATTATAACTACTTTTTTTAAAGCGATTAAAAGCTATCATTTATAAGGTTATATAAAAATACAAACGATAATAAAAGAATAACTTTTATATTAATATTATAAAAAAGGAATAATTATATATTAATATATATTACTTCTTCATCACAATATAGTTGTCTTTCATAAATTTATACGAGTTTAAAGTATTAAAAATAAATCAATTTAGTCGGTTAATAACTTTTGAATTATATAACTTTTTATTAGTATCTTTGTTGGATCTATGTGATTCTACAGTCAAACCATCCATACAGAACCTACATGTATGATTAGATAAGAGATTAGATACCAGATTGTGAGGTCACTTAGCCAGACCTTCAGGTCCAGCTAGACTTCACAATCCAAACCATCAGCAACATCATGACCTTGACCCCATACTCGAGTATTATGATTGATCGTTCAAGCCTATTCCCACACATTCAACGTGGTTTTTTAATATTATAAAACAATAATTGAATAATAAATTTATTTTTATTAATATTATTATAACGATATCTTTATGAGTTAAAAATAGAATAGAATAAAAACACATTTAATCGAATAAATTTTTAACCTTGAACTTTTACTACTATTTTATCATTTTAAATAAATATAATTATAATAGATTACAAATAATACATAAAAATAAAAATAAAAATAAATGATAATTAAACGTTTTATATGAAAAATCTAATATATATATATATATATATATATACAAACGGTATTAATAAATATTAATATAAAAACCATTATTTAAAAAGTAAGCGTTACGTATTATATTCTTGATAATAAATATCAAAATCTGGTTTATATTTTTTTTACTTCATATATTCTTTTGCCCGATTAAGCTTGACAAAATTATATTAAAATTTTAAATTTTGATTCTTCAAAAGTTTTATTTTACGTTATAATTATTTAATAATAAACATTATAAGTTTATTGTAACACGTTAAAAAAATTATTTTTTTTAAAAACCTTTATATATAATTTAGCTTTTATTACGTTTTTTATAACGTTTATATTTGCGCGGTATATTTATCCCTTTTTTAAAAATAATAAAGCGTCGTTTAAAATATCGGCTTTTACAATACATTTATTTGGTAATTTTTCTTTTTTTATCGTTATATATATACTTAAAAAAAATTAAAGTTAAAACTTTTATATGTAGCTATTTAAACCTTTATTTTTGTATTTTTAGGTTTTAACGTAAATATAGTAAAATAAAGGGCTTTTAAAGCTTGAACGTTTTTTTTAATAACGCTATCATTTTTAAAAATAAATAAAGGTTATATATGATTAGTGTAGCCGGTAGCTGCTTTTTAAAGCTTTTTTTGTTATTTTTATATTGTTATGTTTACTTCTCAAAGCTGTTTTGTATTATACATAATATTTACGTAAAAATTTATTATTTATATAAAATATTAAAGCATATCAATCATAGTTAGCCCTTATAACTATTTATAAAAAGCTTGATTATAAACTTATAATTATATAATTATAACTCATTGCTATTGTTTTAAATAAATTAGCAAGTTAATGCTTTAAAGCTTTGTTTTTAGCCGCTTGCAAATTTTTTCTCTTTAAACGAAAAATTTTTAATTTTTTTTTTTCCAAATTAAAGCCAATGTCTTTTTTTTATATAACAATGTTTTTTTAAAACTTTCATAAGCAGCTATTTAAGTCTTTATTTTTATGCCCTTAGCTTTTAATGCAGGCACGGCAAAATAAGGGGCTTTCAAAGCTTTAACGTGCCCCTTAATAGCGCCGTTGCTTCTAGAGGCAGATAAAGGTCACGTATAGTCGGCATAACCGGCAGTTGCCCTTTAAAGCCCTTTCTGCTAACCACACACTGTTATATTTACTCTCTAAAGCTCTCATTTGCCATATATAGTGTTCACGTAGATCGGATATCCTAGTCCCTAGCCCGACCCTCCGGGCCAGGCCCTCCGGAAGCTCTGGGGGGTGGTGAACACTCAATGTAACATCTCCCACCCCCCTGCGGACCACCCCCCCGCGGACCAGTGCGTTCTGACCCACAAACGCGTAATTCACCAACCACCAGGATTATGGTGATCCACCATCTACACCATCACTTTTGCATCTTTTTTTTCACAAAGCACACTATTTGAATCCTTATCCACTGCTGAATCTCATAATGTCATTTTACAACCGTCAAATAAAAGCTGAAGCCGCCATTTTGGCCATCCAACGCGGAGCTCCAGTCCGCTCGTCAGCCCTCGAATGGCAAATCAGTCGCTCGTACGTCAACCGACGAATCTCTGGCACCCCAACGCAGAATGAGACCAGCGCTCTCCAACAGGCTCTCTCACCGTATCTCGAACATAAGCTGGCAAGCTGGGCCCTGGGGCAAGCACGGCTAGGGTATTCTCTGGCGGTCTCTAAGTTCCGTCTCATGGCCCAGCGGATGCTCCATGCCACCGGGGATGCTCGAGAATTAGGGAAAAATTAGGCATCCAAGTTCCTATCTCGAAACCCGGAAGTCAAGATAATGAAGTCTCGTGTTATCGACTACAACCGAGTGAATGGTGCTACAGCGGCAAATATCAACATTTTTTTCGATCAGTGTGACGCCCCTGACGTGGTTAACCTCATGCCAGCACGCTGGTACAATGTCGACGAAATGGGAATTGCCCAGGGGGTTGGGGACTCCCATTGGGTGGTCTCCGAGGCCTTTGGCAACGTGGCTATGAAGAAAGGGGTCGAGAAGGGTGAATGGATAACTGCCCTATAGTGAGTGAGCGGATCTGGTGAGACCTTGCCGTCGCTGGTGATTCTCAAGGGGGTTAACGTACAAGCCCAGTGGTTTAGCAACCAAAATGAGGGCAAATTCACCAACTGGAGGTTTATTACGTCGCCAAATGGATGGACCTCGAATCCCATTGCGTTAGAATGGCTTCAACGTATCTTTATTCCTCACATTCAGGAGGTCCACGGCAACACATGGGTGGTTTTGGTGTGTGATGGCCACGACTCCCACACGAATGACGAGTTCCTAGCCACCTGCTTGAGAAACAAAGTATGGTTGATCTTTTATAAACCTCACTGTTCACATGTAGTCCAGGTGTTAAATGTGGGAGTCTTCAATTTGGTAAAGAAGAGGTTGAAGACCTTACTCCAGGAGACGCCCAGCGGCCGTCTGGGACTCAGGCCATCTAAGGAGGAGGTTTTGGAGTGCTACGAGCAGGCCCGGAAGGACACAATGACGCTCCTCAACATCAGAATTGCCTGGAAAAAGACTGGGATTATTCCTCGCAACAGAGCGGAGGCGTTGAAGTCGAAATATGTGATTCTGGAGGACAAGGGGGTAACCAGGGCACGCCAGAGGGACCCTAAGGCTTCCGAGCGAGCCACAACACCAGATTTTCTCGAGATGGTAGCTAAAACCATTATAACAACCCCCTCTGGAAGCCGGGCTTTGCAGGAGAGTGCTTAAAAGCTCGAAAGAAAGGACCCTTCCTTTGGGGGGCCCTCTGAGCGCTTATTGGTACGGAAGGCTGGCAAGGCCATGGATGTTCAGGCTGCTACCATTGCAAATCTACGGGCTAAATGTGAGCTGCTTGAGGCTCAAGTGGCTAAAAAGGCTAATACCACTCGAAAAGCAGTCAAACCAACACCAGGGGAACGATTCGTCACAATGGCTAACATAAGGGAGGCCAAAATGGAGCTGAGGAACAGGAGGGTTTATAGGGACTCCGCTGCAGGCGAAGAGGTCCCACAAGAGGTCCCTGGTGAAAATTTAGGGTCGGAATCGGATTCTGGGAGCTGTATTATGGTTAGAACACCACGACCTTAGTGTATTTAGCAACTGTGGTGGTTGTAGATGGCTTCATCTGAATGAGAGTGGTGTGGTGTGGAGTGGTCCGTGGGGGGGTGGTCCGCAGGGGGGGGTGAGATGTTATTGTCTACTTCACCGCGATCCGGTGACCCTCTTGACACGACAAGCCTGGAAGAACACTGGCCTCTTGTCAGCTCCCTCTATGACATGAAACACGAGTAATTTTTGATCCGACTTTAATCAAAACCTCCGTTTCAGTGGTCCGATTCATGCAGTTTCATCCTTCATTCCCTCCCAATCCTCTTTGCTGAACCTGTATTCGACCTCTTTTCCGTTACTCTTCACCTGCTTCCACGTCGCCATCCCCATGCCATCAGCCAGGCCCTGAAACGGCGTATTCACCGCCAATGTCTCAAAAAAGGCCTCGTGGCATCCGGCGCCCTCCGCGTCCACCTTCCGGAATGCAAAGTCCAACGTAGCCTGCAACGCTTCCCGCCCGTAGCCCTTCCTCCACTCGGAGCTGTCGATCAGCACCCCCAGATCCGCAGTTCGCTTACCCCGCGCGTCCGTAGAGATGGCGTTGATGCCGCCGAAGCCGATGACATTATCCGCAGATGGTGAGGCTGATCCCGTCTCTGTTGTTGGGCGGCGGCAAATGACGAGAAAGTAGGCTTGCCCCCGAGCGCGTAGGTCCTCCCCTTTGGCGATTCGGCGCTGATACTCTTCTGCTGTTGGGTTGCTTGGCTTGTGCGGTTCATGCAGGGTGTTGAGGGGGTTGGCAAAAAGGGCTGCGAGGGGGGCGGCATCGGAGGAAGCGGCGGAACGAAGGACAAGATGTTCAGTGCGAATGTTGGGACTTGGAGAAGACATCTTGCGACAAGAAATGTTGGTTGCTATCCGTAACTCGGGTCGTAAGATGACGCGTCATTGGGAGATAGCACACTCGAGAGTACGTGGACGGTGTAGGTAATTACGGGTTGTGTTGTCTCTAATGATCAAGAAGCTAAGAGCTGAGAAAGAGGAGAGAGGGGAGAGGGGAGGGGGGAGGGACTTATGTACTGGGAGACGGGGAGGATGCCTCATTGATTAGTCATCACGATACAGAGATAGATGACATAAATCCTGTCAAATGCGAGAGGTACGTATGGTTTTTAATCTCTGTACGGAGTACCTCATAACATAGATGGAGAATAATATAGGCAAACCACCGTATATAGCTGCAGTGCCCGAAGTCGAAGGAGTCAGTGCGTTGTAAGGAATGGGCGCGTTGATTTAAATTCTTCGGCAGGCTTTGCACTGTTTAACGACAAGGCCGAGGGTATACTGTTAAGCTACCTCCCTCTTCTCACGCATGCAGAGAACCTTTTTCTTTTCCCAATCACCAATTCATCGCAATTCAGCAGGCTATATTTGGGTCAAGTCGGAAGGGGACTGGAAGCATGTGAGCTACTCGAAACCAAGTCTCGTTCATGGAGCCTATCGACACGGCCTGAATCCTTTGCTAAGTACCTACATGGGCATGCGGCCGTGTGCTCCCAACTACTTGATGGCATGCCCGGAGGTTCTCTGTAGTTGATGAATTTACGTCGCCGAACCACTTGGCCAACACCACTCATCGATCAAACCAAAGGCTGCAAAGTCTTCACAGCACGTTCCCATACTTGTCTACTCGAGGCTCATCCCATTGCGCAACACGGTCGACTACTCTGACCAAATGAGCGTCATTAGGAGCCTCCCAGACAAAGCCCTCTGGCTCACGAAACTTGTGCTCGTGTGTCCAGTCCAAGATCTTGTCCAACTTAAGGCATTTCTTGGGGTTCGAAAAAAAAAAGGGAATGGCTCGCCGATTTCGACAAGCCAATTGAAAGTCGCGAAGCTGGTGCTGCAAGTGTGTTAGTCCATGTTTTGCTCAGAGCAATGGTTGGAGGAAGGCGAGCTCACTCAAAATGACAGGTCAGGCTCTGCCGTACGAGGTCGACACAGTGTTCGTAATGTGCTTCGTAGTGTCGTGAATTCTCTAGCTTGGACTTCTTGGTCTCCGAGATCTCCTCGGAGTGGTGATCAAACCAGAGCACGCGGAGGCAATGCAGGGCGTGGAATCCGTCGAGCTGAGCTAGGTAGCCGCCTCCGGCAGATTCAGGCACTCGTACCGAGTCCAAGGCAGCACCAGCGTTGAGCATATCTGCCTCGGACACAGTGATGACGTTTAAACGTTGTTATTATATTGAAACACCCTCGCTTTATAATTTTATTTTTACTATACAAGTAAATACCTTAAATCTAGTCGGCTATTTGATATACGACTTTATATTTATATAACTTTACGTTTTAACAAATTAATATATTTTATATAAGTTAAAATAACTTCAAGTGAAAATTAGAAGCTAAGCGGCGTTTATTTACTTTATAATAAGGTGTAAGTTTTAACTTGCGAAGTAGTACGACTTATTAATTGTAAAATTCTAAATGAGATTTTTTAATACTAATTTGTTATTACTTAAACAATATTAACGTTTTTAGAAATTACGTTTAAATAAATCAAAGTCGATATTCCTTTTTTCCCAATAACCTTTCAAAGATAATTCATAGTAAGTTTATAATTTAACAATGATTTTCTTTATAATATATTTAGTGATTAAACTATATTATATATCCGGTTTTATTTAACACTTAAACGATGTAAATATATAGCTTACATCCAAGGTTTTAATTATGCCTTTTTTTAATCATAAAAATCCAATTTTCAATTTTATTTAAAACCCGATTTTTTATTCAGCTATCAACAGTTATATTACCAAAGCTTTATATCGTTTCGAAACTATTTAATCAATTACTAAAAAGTAATTATAAATTGTTACATTTTTTTCCTTTTTTAACGAATTTTTTTTTCTTCAAATTTATTTAATAATATTTCGACAAAAAACCTTAATATCTTCGTTTTTAACGCTTTCCTTCGTCTAATATAAAGCTAATTAGTAATTATATAAATAATTTAACTAACCGTTATTATTTTTACCGTAATAAAACTTATTATAATAATCGTCGCTTAATTAATTATCGTTATTATTATATCGATATTTTTATTTATTGTGTTGGTTATCGTAATTATCCGCGCGAAAAATTTAATAACCTTAATATCGTTTGTCTCGACCGTAATCCGATCGGTTATTATTATTGATCGAGTTAGTGTTATTGGTAAGTTAGCACGCGTTATAAACCCTTTAATTAATATATTAAAGAACTCTACTATAATATATCTAATTTAATCTAATTAATTAGATCTTTTTTCTCAAAGGTTTTTATCTTTATTATACAAGTTCGTATATTATAGCTAGTATTGTTGGAACAGGCTTGAACGATCAATCATAATACTCGAGTATGGGGTCAAGGTCATGATGTTGCTGATGGTTGGATTGAGAGGAATCTAGCTGGACTCGAAGGTCTGGCCAAGTGCCCTCTCAATCTACTATCTTATCTTATCTAATCATACATGTGGGTCCTGGTATAGATGGTTTGCAGTCTGGAATCGCATGCATCCAACAAGTATTATTATTAACGCTATACCGTTGCTTACGCGCTGCCGCCTTTTTTAAAATGACGACTACTGTGATAGTTGCTACGTCGCTACCACCGGTGATGGTCCTGGGATCACGTAACAGCACGTGACCTCCTGGACGACTGGTTGTCCCAGACCAATAGAGCTCTGAATTGTGGGGCGGACATACTTATCTAGTTGCCCACCAGATTTGGCTGTGCCGTTTAATCTTCTTTTTTCTCTTTAGCCAGAGATAGTTATACGTACATAGTAAACAAGGGCTTCTATATTCTATTCACATATATGGAACTTCACAACTATCTTTACTTATTTTCTGTCTTACTAGCTTAGGACCATCCTTTACAGCTTATAAACCTACTGCGTTTTTAACAAAAAGTACTCCTTTTTTATTAAACGTTTGTTTTTTATCTTCTAACTTTTACTTGGTAGGTAATTAGCCTCTTTTAGCTTATAAACTTGAGAGTTGATTAAAGCGACCTTCTATATAAAACCGTACGTAGCTTTTAAAAACGAGTTTAATGCCTTAATAATTAATATAAGTAGCTTTTTAATAGTTTTTAATTTAGTTTTTAATAGGAACTAACTAACTTAACGCTTTATTAATAGTAGTAAGCGTTTTTAAAGTTTAAATAAAAAGTGGTAAATTAAGGTTTAACAACGGTATTTATACGATAATAATAGCATCTAGCTTTAAAATGACATCTTTTAAGTTAAAAAGACTAAGGCTAGTAGTATTAAACCCTGCTTAAACGTTTCTTAACGTTATAACAACGTTATATACTTTATAAAACGCTGCGAGAAAGTCCTTTGCAAAACGTAGGTCATATAACGCTAAATAAGATCTTTAATTAAGCGATTGTAATCTCGTTTGAACGGGTTAAAATAACTAACATTTAAAGGTTAAAGCTTATATAACGAGTAAGTAGGCATATAAAGGGTAATAATACCGTAATTTTGATAATAATAATTAAAACACTAGGAATAATAGCTTTTATAACCATTCAAAATAAAGAGGCGTTTACCGGCAGTTATACACAGTTTAATATACTTGTTAAAATGCCAAATTTATTTTAAACTAACCTTAATCATAGTTTACCCGTTATTAAATATGGCCACTTTTTAATTACGTGGTAATATCGTTTTACGATACTATAATAAGTTTTACCTTATAATAAAATTAATTGTAAAACAACTTAATTATTAGTATTGATAGTAAAGATTGTTATAAACTTTTTTCAAAGCTTTATTAAGCTTATTTAAGCCTATTATATCTTTTTACGCTTATACAACTATGCTAGACTTAATAATACCTATTATAAACCTAGTTTTATTAAATTTGTAAATATCCGCGTTCTAAATACTATATTCTACAACTATTACTACAACTTAGTGAAACTACGCGCAATACAAGTTTAAATGTTTGTTTAAACCCTTTGAGTAGTTTATTTTATAATAAAAGCGCATTTAAAAGCTTAATAAAGTTTAATAAAATTTTACATCTAGTTCTTTTTAACACATCTAGTCTTACGCGCTGCTGATAATTAATTTACTACATCTTCAATATAACTATACCGGTGCGGAAATGCTTGCACATTTAAATCGTATTAACATTCAGACTTTGGTGGTTCAGGTCATCATGTTGCTTGCATTCAGGGTACAGATCTATCCATAGGCTCTGGGACCTGTTCTGGTACTAAATACACATACAAACGATAAAGCAAGGCTTATCCTTTGATTTGGAGGGTAAAGATCCCTTGTCCCAGATACACTAAGCCACAAAGCCTCCTTCCAGGCTGTTCCTTCCTTTCTGTGCTGCTGTCAGCCTTGTCAGCCTTGTCAGCCGGCCTTGCAGGCAGCCTTGCTAGGCCTGACACCCCTAACACCCTTGTAAGCGTGTTACAGCACACCCGTGAGCCACCTGACTGCTCACAAATCGAGAATAAAAGAAAGAATAACATTCTTTTTGAAAACTATAAGTTTCAAAGTATTAGATATGCTATCGCGTTGTAATAGCATTTCTTTAATTCTATTACTCAAGGTAAAAAGAACGGTTGAAAAGTTTTACAAGTTAAAATATAAAAATATAAAAGTTACGTCGTTTAGCTTGAACAACTAGCTATACGTTTAATTTATCATAACGCGGTGCTATTATTATTAATAAAGATATAATAGTTTAAATAGTATTGGTTAAAAAGTTTATAACAAGTGTTAACTTATTTATAATATTAACTCGCTTATTAACTACATTTTTTATTAATTAAATATTACTATAATTTTAAAAATAGCAGTAAAGCGATAACGTAGATGACAAGCGAGCTACGACGTAGGTTTTCCATACCAAGAAAGTCGGTGCGTAACCGTGCGTCTACCTTTTAAAAACATCGGAAAAATCCCGGACCTGCTGCATTTAATGTAGCCTTTTCTGTTGATAATAATGATAGATAGTAATTATTTTTCACTGATTTAATAGCCTGTGCACCCTAGAAAAGCTTTTTTACAAGGGTAGTTTTAGCGTATTTTAAACTAAATCTTGGAATAAAATAGTTATAAACCTAGAAAAAGTGATATTGATATATTTTTCAAGTTATAAACCTATAAAAAAAGGTCTGAGATCTTTCCGATTTTTTTCGTCAAGTTAAAAATTAGCGCACCGACGTTTTTTGTATGAAAGCCCCACCTCATAGCTCGCTTGTTATCTACGTTATATTATTAAGATTATTATAATATTAGCTTAATTAAGCCTTTTCCGCTTATAGTTTAACTAGGTAGTAGCGTAGCCGTTAATACTTAGTGGACCGTGACCGACTTAAAAAGGTTGCACGGAAAATGCGGTATGAGGTATTGCAAAATCCAGTACAGATAACAGCCGCCTGCCGGCTGTCGGAGACCTGCCAGCTGTCGCATGGTCTGTGCACCGCGCGTCACCTATCACTCAACGCGCCTCTTCCACGAGTCCTCTCTCCTTCCTTCTCCCAACTTCATCACACACACACCGTGACTGCAGACACAGCTTGACTTGTACCTACTGTACCTTGCCAATTGCACTTGAGACACACATTCAAAAGACACCTTCCAATCGAATTGAATACCTCACAATGCGCCTTCCGCCGCTGTTCCTCACCACCGGGTCTGCTTGCGACTAGAGTTCGCAACAGTTTCTGAATCTGAGCAACAACGAACCCTCATCTCCATCATGCGCATCCATTCACGACTCGAGCTACACTTTCTCGACTATGGGTCACGAAGGATCTGCGCAGCAGCCGACTGTTGCCTTCTCCGACCTCTCCGAAGATGAAGATGAATACTCTCCACCGCCCCGACCAGCGGGCCGCCCTACGTTTGGCGACACTACCGGACCAGCCACCATTGCTGCGCGCATCCAATCCACGGATTACTCTGACGATGGTATGTTTGCGACGCGCATTGATCGCTTTCATTGCTAACCCTACCTAGACATCCGACTCCTCTACCAGATTGTCGTCGTGGCCGAACAAATCTGGACCAACGAGCTCACACCCTCTACTCGCGTCCCTTTCCACGCCTTGTTTCAAGCCTACCACCGAGTCCTCCCTGAGCATGGTATCAACCCCGATCACGACGACCATATCTCCAAGCTCATCTTCTTGGTCGGCGGCATCCAGGAGAAGGAGTCGTTAATGGGGAAGTATGAGGCGGCTATGACGCGCATTGGTATCAGCCTCGCTATCGATGGCCCCATGTCAGCCGAATCCGAATCCGACGCCGACGATGAGGATGGTGACGATGATGACGATCCTAAAATGGCGCAAATGGCAGCGGCTTTCCGCCAGAAGCAGCTAGCCAAGTCCGCCCTCGCGGTGCTTACGGCGCCTGCGGCCCCTCCGGCGACCCAGACACAGTCGCAAGATGAAGCCGACGATGGGGATGACAATAATGAAGCAAAAATGGCCAATATGTGTGCCCAATTCGACGCTGCCCGTCAGGCTGATTTGGAAGAAGGCCTCGTGGACCATCTGGAGGCGTGGAGGGAGAACGCGGCCCAAGCCAAGCGAATGGAAGCCCTAGCTGAGCGTACACGCAAGAACCTTCTTCTGTCACGAGCCTTGGCAACATGGTCGAATCAAGCCGAAGATGCAGCGGCGAAGGAGCAGCAGGCTACGAAGGCATACGAGATGGCATTGAAGGCCAGAGCCTTGGGACTGCGCCGCCCGACCCCAAATGCTAAAAACGTTGTCAGCACCGGGATAAGCGCAGTTGACAGTACTCCCACTGCATATCCCACTGGCGCACCAGCTGCTTATGCCACGAACGAAAATGTCGCCGTCCAGGAAAAGGTCGCTGTCCAGGAGAAGGCCGCTGTCCAGGAGAAGGCCGCTGTCCAGGAGAAGGTCGCCGCCCCGGAGAAGGTCGCCGCCCCGGAGAAGGTCGTCGCCCCTGTTAAGAAACTATCGCCTACGCAAGCGGCATTGGATGCGTACGATACGTTTGATCCTGAAAAAGACGAGCGTACGCAACTGGCGAGACGACATATTCTTCGCATGCGGTTCTTTGGTGCTTGGGAGAGCTACACAGCTGATAACATCAAGAAGGCCAAGGAGTTCGAGGCAGAGGCACAGAACCAGAGACTTGCCCAGTCCATCCCTACCTGGCGAGAAGAGGCTGCCTCCCAGACACGGCAGGAGGAGCAGGTTCTTGCGCGCAATGCCGAGCGCGCGAACTTCTACCAGAAGACGACCAAAGCGCTGCCGATATGGAGAGAGAAGGCTCGAAAGGCGGCTGAACACAAAGAAGGGGTCCTCGAGTACTACGCTGAGCGAGCCGACTACTACTACAAAACCACCAAAGCGTTGCCTGTACTGAGGCAAAAGGCCGAGCAGGAGGAACAACGGGAAGACCTTCTCGCGCACTACGCGGAACGTGCCAACTTCTTCACCAGCACCACAAAGGCACTGGGTACATGGCGGACGAAAGCAAAAGAGTCCGCGGAGAAGCAACAGCTCCAGGAACATTACGGCGAACGCGCCGACTACTACTACTCGACTCGAAACACCATCGTCGAGTGGCGAGAAATCGCCAAACAGACACGCAGTAAGAGACTGAAAGAAGCTTATTTCGAGACTCGCCGACGAGTGAAGAAGGCCATGGGTGCGCGTCACGTCAAGCAATGGCGCGAGAAGACACAGCTGATCAATGAGCGCTATGAAGTGATGGAAGCCAACCTGGTATATGCCACTGCCAATCGGGAATGGCGACAGGTTGGGCAAGCATTCGATACTTGGCGCAACCGTGCTCGCGAGAAGGAAGAGCAGGCTTTCGAAAGGGAAGAAGAAGCAAAGCGGGTTTCCGTCGACCAGTGGCGAAAGCAATCGGCAGTCCATATGGAGGTCCAAGCCGAAGCGGAAGAACACTGGGAGGAAAGGGCAAAGTCCAGGGCCTTGAAGACGTGGAATCTCAGCTCCATCCAGGGCGCGAATCGACCAGAAATGGTGGCGAACGCGCTGGAGAAGAAGGATCGAAGGCTACTGCGACAGGGATTCGAAGGGTGGTACGGTCAAACTGCCGACAAGCTCGTACCCGTTGAGCTTCCAGATGGCAGGTTCAAGAGCGTTGATCGGATCGTGGAGGACCATCGTCAGCAGGCCTCACAAAGCCAATCTCGAGGACTTCTCAGTGCCTGGAGAGCAGCGGCGAGCAAGAAGGCCAAAGCTGCTGCACCTGTTGAAGAGGAGCGATATGCGCCAACTCCTGGAAGGCCACAGATTTTGCTTGGCCCTCTCGGCAGGAGGGAAACCACAACGCCTTTGGCACCTGTGCCCAGCCGGGCGCCGTGGCGAGCTCGAGATCCTGTTCGAGGCGGATCGGAGGTGCCTGGAAGGGCTGTTCGAGATCCCGTTATGAGCAAATCTGAGATGGCAGGAAGGGCTACTCGAGATTCCGTCATGGGCGGATCTGCGATGGCAGAGAGGGCTGCTCGGGATTCCGTTATGGGCGGATCTGAGATGGGAGTCAGGGCTGGCCGAGCCACCAGCTCAAGGAGAAACCTCAGAGTTTCCTGGGCAGCATGAACTCATGGCGTTTGGTTGAGAGCACCACAGAGGCATCTGATGGTCGGTATGAGACTTGGTTCAAAGCCTTATAGGCGTTTTTGGATACTGGGATGCTGGCTGCATTGCATGGACGACGCATGACATATCGATACCCTTTCTACATTGTTTAGGATTCCCAGATGGGAGAGCATGCGCAAGGGAGTCTGGAGTTTTAGCTTTTGCATACAACAAGCCCATTGGAACGTAGCTGGAATTCTATGATTACAAAGGAAATCGAACCTACAACAGCCACTTCGTCGTGAAAAAGGTGATAATGCGATGTATTTTGCGTGTAGTCCACTATGAGAGGGTGGCAAGTGAAAGGGGTGGAACGAGGCAGCTGAGACCCACGTCATCCTGCAGTCGGTTCCAGGCCGCGCCAGACAAGCATTCGCGAGCTACTATGTACCTCCAGCTGTGTCCCATCATTCCTTCAAAGTCTCAACTGTAGCTTCATTAAACCATTAAACCTAACTCCCGCTATTCTCAGCTCTCTCGAACGACCCGGCTCTATACCATTTGCAAACAAGTGTCAGCAGTGACGAGTGACGAGCCACGGCAGCATCTCCTTTGAACACGAAAAGAGGCCTCCTTTGTACTGCAGCGGAACGCGCCTCTTCCACTAACGCGCAAGTCTCGCCGACATCGCACCCTGTCCAGAAATGTCCTCCTCGAACCATTTGCGCCGATAGTATGAAGGCAGTCCTTCCCGGCAAGCCAGAAGCTAGTCTTCAAGCCGTGTCCACAGGCTTTTGGGATGGCAAGCGCATTGTCGTCTACATCAGCGGAAACGCTCTGGCCATCCTCTCCGATCCCGAAAACATCCTACAGACCATATACGATGACGACGAGCGGACGCTGGAGGCTGTTTCCTTTGATGAGTGCTCGGGGAAGATAGCAGCATGCACAGATACAACCATACGGGTATACCGGCCACTAGGGCATGCCGACGATTCGCTGAAGGTGATTTCCCCCGAGCATGGGACGGCGCAACTATCTACAGCTGGCTAACAGCTTACAGTGGGCTTTACAATCTTCGTTCGAGGTCGACAAAGGTCCAACACCCGCGACACTCTCCTGGGGTAGCTCGGAGGAGCTCCTTGTTGGCCGATCTTCCCTCTGGCTCTACGACACATCCTCGACACCTCCTTCCTGCCATTGGCGACAAGCGCTAGCGAACCCCGTGAAAGCAGCAAACCTCTCCTACGACTCGTCCTACATCGCATCCGTCGGCCATCACGATCGCTTGGTCAAGGTGTGGCGGAGACTGAACTTTGGCTCCGAGGAGGTACACTTCGACTTTGGCTATCTGCCGCACCCACGAGCTGTCACGAGTATACAATGGCGTAAACCATCCCACGTTGACCAGACCATCGAGAACGTCCTCTATACGTTTTGCGCCGACAATGTCATGCGCGTGTGGACAGGAGCAGATGGGCACGGTTGCCAGACTCTCCGGCTATGGGGAAAGCTGGATCTCGCGGGGGCCATAAAGAAAGAACCAACAAGTGACAAACACGACTTGAGATGGGCCTTCATCATTGCCCAGCGAGACCTTGTCAATGCGACGGAGAGGGCTGTCCAGGAAAGAGGAGATGGTCAAGAAAAGGACGTCGCCCTTCAGTACCTGCTCTCCATTGCCAACAGGGACACAGAAATATGCGTGGTCTTTGACGGCTATGGAAGCATGTCATCTTGGGCATTGGAGAATGTTAGTAGCAAGTCGCGTGGGGCCAACAACGTGGACAATGTCGCGTATGTAAAGTCAAAGGACTTTGAGTTTCTCGGTCCCTCGACGGCGGTCCCGCACGTTGAGGTCCTCAGCTATTGCAACAAGAGCTCGGGCAATCTGCATATGCTGTTCCACCACTTCGATGGCAACGTAGAGGTGTTTGAGAGCAATATCGCAGACTTTCTAGACCCTACCCCAAAGACGGGACGGTTGACACACCGAGCAACGTGGTCTGGACACTCCGCTTCGATCAAGAAGATTGTCCGTAATGTCAGTGGGCGAGCTATTGTGTCGAGGACCGAGAAAGGAGAGAGCATTGTTTGGAATCATTCGGCTCATCCACGACGAAATAAACTATTACGGCACAACATCATACCAGAAGTGCGGCACATTCTTCGAATATGCCTATTAAGGGGTGGACGGTTTGTGGTGTTTCTGCATCACGAAAGCATCTCAGTATGGGACTGTAGGACCTCGAAGCACCAACTGTTAGGCGACTGCAAGTATCATGTCCCCGGTAAACCTCTCTGCATACTGGTTCTACCTCCCCAGAAAGCTGAGAACGTATCCGTCGCGCATGTAGCGACCGTCACATCTGAACAGCGGGGAGTGGTATGGGAGGTCCATCTACCTTTAGACGCACGCAATGGTGATGGCTCGAAGGTCAATGGCCATTCAGCGCCTATCCGAGAGTTCTGCACATTCAATCTGGATGGAGCGGGAGATCTTGCCTACGTCTTGCCAGTTGATCCCGCTGGTGCTTCACCTGTCCACTCCGGATTCCTGGACGTCTTTGCTCGTGATGTTGCGGTCTCCTATACTCACAGTGGACGTGTCGAGTTCTGGACTGCCAGAGTTGACCCAAAGCGAAACCGGGTCGAGTGGTTGTCTACGTCTTCCATGGAAACGGGTGTAACAGAACCTGCCTTGCTCAGTGGCAGCACCATGAAGAAAGTTGCGCTCGTGAATCAGAATCGGTCCGAGATCACTATATGGGACATCCGGGGTGCTCGCCTGGAATACGGACAGGACTTCGAAAGCAATAATACTGTGCAAGATCTCGACTGGACTTCCACGCCGGACTCTCAGTCCATACTCGCCGTCGGGTTTCCATTCCGAGTCGTGCTTCTCTCACAGATGCGCTTTGACTATCTGAATAAGGGCCCGGCTTGGGCGTCAATTTGCGAGATCAACATTCGAGATTTCACTCCTCATCCCATCGGAGACTCGACGTGGTTGAGTGATGGCAACCTGATAATTGGCGCAGGCAACCAGCTGTTTCTCTACGACAGGAGATTCGAGACCACCAATCGGCTGGTTTCTGATGCCCGGATACCACATAGCAAAGATGGTACGCGAGACATGTTCGAAGTGGTCCAGAAACTCAATGGACCTTTGGCTGTATTCCATCCTCAGTTCCTTAGCCAGTGTATGCTGTCAGGGAAGAATAGGGCGGTACATCGTGTACTTCTGTCATTGAACCACACCCTGAAGTATCATGTTGAAGGCAATGTGATTGATGACTACTTGGGACTCGACCTGGCCGAGTTCTACATGGGCGATGTAAGTGCGAGACGATCACTGCTGAAGCTATTTGCTAACAGCTGTAGGCAACGAGCGGCAACGGGAACGACCCTTCGTACCTTGTCAGCCGGATGTCATTCGACGACAACGAGGAGAGTTTCACGGAAGATGTCGCCTTGGCCATCTGCGAGAAGCTTCAGAATATCGCTTTGCCACAGTTATCAGGCCATGAACAGATCCAGCTGCTGGATATTGTTGAGTGCGCCGGTGTTGTGGAGAAGCAGCGGCGCTCCATGGATGAGAACGGTGCGAGGTTTATGCTCTTTTTCAGGCAACACGCATTGCGGAAGGGCAGGACCAACGAGATTCACATGTCATGGAGAGAAATCAACTGGGCCTACCATTCAACTAGTCAGGACATACTGGTGGATTTCGTATCTCGCCAATACCACGGGACGATGCTGTGGGAGAAGGCCAGAGAGAGCGGCATGTTCATGTGGCTCACTGATCCGGCTGCAGTGGTAAGTGTGCCCCTTTCAATCAATACCAAAGTGTGGCTTGAGTCAAGTCTAATCGCCTCACAGAAAGCACAATTCGAGATAGTGGCTCGAAATGAATACACCAAGAGCGAGTACAAGAACCCGGTCGACTGCAGTCTATTCTACCTTGCCCTCAAGAAGAAGACCGTGCTTCGAGGTCTATGGCGCATGGCGAGCTGGAACAAGGAGCAACAAGCAACCCAGCGGCTTCTGGCAAACAACTTTGAAGATCCCAAGTGGAAGACGTCGGCATTGAAGAACGCATACGCTCTGCTCAGCAAGCGTCGGTTCGGTACGTGAACTGGTAGGGTCAGCTGGTCGGTGCTAATTGTATGCAGAATACGCGGCCGCTTTCTTCCTCCTGGCAGACCACCTGCAAGACGCCGTAAACGTTTGTATGAATCAAATCAAGGACATCCAGCTTGCCATTGCTATTGCACGAGTTTACGAAGGCGACTCTGGTCCTGTCCTGAGGCGACTACTGGAAAACGAAGTCCTAGCCGTAGCCGCCCAGGAAGGCAACAGATGGCTTGCCTCGTGGGCGTTCTGGATGTTGAAACGAAGGGACATGGCTGTTAGAGCGCTCATTGTAAGTTTACCGCATGGGGAATATACAGCATACATGCCCGTGCTCGGAAACTGACCAAGAGCAGACACCCGTCTTCACACTGCTGGAAACGCCAGCATCGCCGGACATGAAGGCGAAGTCGTTCCTGACTGACGACCCGGCGCTGGTGGTTCTGTACTCGCAACTTCGACAGAAGACGCTGCAGACGCTCAGGGGCGCGTCCAAGGTCACGCCCAGGGTAGAGTGGGAGTTTGTGATCCACAACGCGGGTCTGTATGACCGCATGGGCTGTGATCTCCTCGGTCTCGATCTCGGTACGTCATCTCATTGACCCAAGTCCTTATCTTTCTTTGCCTTCTATGCCCATCAGATGGATGCTAACAGTTTCATATCACAGTCCGCAATTGGGAGTTCCTCCGTATCCAGCCGACGATCACGCCGGACCTCGGCGGCGACATCGATCCGAGGCAGCTGCTCCGCCGCCGCAGCTCGCTCGTCGTGCAGGATATGCCGGTCTCGCCCGTGGCGCCTGGGGATATGCAGACGGGCGGCCACCACCATGGCAGTGCTGTGAAGCCGCCGCCCAGCGTGTTTGAGGAGCCTGACTCGAGCTCGCTGCTGGATAGCTTTGGGTTCTAGTAGGCGCCTGGGCATGTATGGTGCATAGTGAGAGTTTGGTGTTTTGCGCTGGTGTTGTGCCTTTTGCACCGGTGTTGTTGGGTGTTGTCGGGGTATTAGTCGAGGTGTCAATTGTACGTTATACGCATGCTCCGGCAATGGTAGTTGTTTTGGTACATGGCAGGTAACGTTACATGATACATCATAGCATGGATTATATTCATTACCTCGGTTGGTCATCGAAAGGTGTTATATTGTTACTCCCTCCCCTGTGTGGCTTCTACGATGTGCTATGCGTTCGTCATGACTCGCTTTTGTAGTTGTACATACCTACATCAAAATTCCGTAACTGCTTATATTTCAGACGCCGAGCAATATTCGCAATCATGCTTACGCTAAGCCTGCACTGCGTACATACTGTAAACCCCGACAGCACTCGGAGCTGTGGTCAGCTGAGGCTGACGCGACTGGCTCGTTTGCGTTCCTTGGTCCCGGCCGACGTCGGGGTTTACTGTAGATGGAGAGGAAATATTGCCTGTTTCGCCGGACTATAGAGCAGTTTGCGTACGTCCCAAGGGGCGGCGTGGTCGGCCTGGGTTTCGGATATGCGATGCTCGGTAAGCTCACAGAGGCAGGCAGCTTGTCTGCGTGTATACATATAAATGCCCATATCCCACCACGGCTGGTATTGAGTTCTGACTGACTCTACTTCCAACCAACTCATTCTCATCAATCTCGATCTCGATCTCGATCCTCAATATTGGAATTATCACAAGTATTAAACCATCCATCCACCATGTCAACACAGCCAGAACAACTCTCCCCCTTCCCACCCCTACCCAAGAGCGGCATAGCCTTCCCCGACTCCCCCGTCATCACCGCCGCCTTTTTGTATATAAAGCAGCACACCCACGCGGCGACGTACAACCATTGTGTGCGTAGCGCGTATTGGGCTCTCATTCTTGCGCAGAGGCTGCCTAGGTACACCGAAACCCAGACCAACACCAACACCACCGACACCTCCTCCGCGTCGCGGCTCCCGAACCTGGAGACTGTGGTCCTAGCCTGCGTCCTGCACGACATGGGCTGGGCCACGACCGAGGGCCTGAGGTCGAAGGACAGGCGCTTCGAGGTCGACGGGGCGAACTTGGCGCGTGGGTTTTTGCGGCGCTGGGCGGAGGACCGTGAAAGCGAGGGCGAGAGTGAGAGTGAGAGTGCGTGGGACGCGCACCGCGCGCAGCTTGTTTGGGGTATGTGCTTTCGCCTTCAGTGGTCGTTTCATTTCATCCACATCCCGGTTCACTTATGGTTTATGTCGCGTTCTGAGAGTGGGCTTACTTCCTGAGCTCTTTGCTCCCGCGACATGCATTTGAAGCCACCCTACTCCTCGCTCACAGGATGTTCTGTACAGCTTGATACCTACTGACTCCTGGTCTCCTCAGACATCATCGCGCTGCACTCCACGCCGAGCATCGCGCTGCACGCAGCGCCCGAAGTCTCGCTCGCGGCTCTAGGCATCATGGCGGATTTCGCGGGCCCGGCGTTCCCGGCTGATCCGAACAACAACCACGACAATAATCCGTCAGCGTCTGGGGACCGAAATCGGAATCACCAGAACAAAAACGGAACTGGAGAGGAGCAGGAGCTGGGACAAGTGATCACCGTAGAGGAATACAAGGAGGTCGTGCGCCTGTTCCCCCTCGCGGGCTTCGGGCGCGAGTTCTCGAAGGAGATCATATGTGGCCTCTGTCGCGACAAGCCGGCTACTACCTACGATAACTTCCAGGCGGGCTTTGGGCTGCATTTCGGGCTTGATGGGCTGGGTGGGGGCAGGGAGGAGTATCGGAGGGGGTGGGAGAAGGCGATGAGTCCTGAGGGCGTCTTGGGGGGTTTTGAGTTTCTGGAGGAGTTGGTTGGGGACGTTTAGGGGTCGGGGAGGTGGAAAGGGCGAAGGGGAATATGGAGTTGTCTGCTCCTTTTCCTTCTGTCTGTCTCCTGGGGAGGAACACCATGGTTGTTGAACTGTGAGGTTCACATGCGCGAAGGTAGTTTGCGATGCCCATTCGCTTCGGCCTTATCTTTGTAAGGCTCAGTGCACCCCGAGCAACACATTTGATTCTGAGAATTGCATCGCTCGACAGTCTGACTGGATGCTAATAGCACCTTAATGTCCTCGTGGTGCAATGTAAGGTAGAATGTCGATCACGTTCAGGTTGTAGATGTAGCCATGTGATGATGAAAGTGACGATGGATGGCCTGGCGCTTGTTTACTTAAGGAATGTGGAGAAGCCGCGTGCGGAAGAGACGGCGACATCTCCGGCTTGGTCATACACCACATCGCGCCATCGCTACCTATAGGCTATCATCCTGCCAGCCATTCGTCCCACTCACTCTCTTGCCCAGCCCTTCAATGTTCATGTATAAATTCAAAATGGTAGTCTCGTAATCAAGAGTCTTTCCTAGACAGACCCACTGGCCTACGAACTCGCCACCATCAATCCCGTCCGTCCCGGCGCCAGCAGAATGGCTCCCGACAGAGGAGACGTCGCTCCGCACACGGCAGCGGACGACGATGCCGGGGACGCCGACCGCGTCAGGTACCTCCCGGAAGGCCGCCACTTCACCGTCCGCGGAATCGCCGCCGGCCTGCTCGTCGGTCTGGTCATCTGCTTCTCGAACATGTACTTTGGCCTGCAGACCGGATGGGTGAGCATGATGACCATGCCCGCCAGTCTGCTCGGCTTCGGCATCTTCAAGACCCTGTCGCGGCATCTGACCTTCCCGTTTTCGCCCGTGGAGAACGTGCTGGTGCAGTCGGTTGCGGGCGGTATGGCTATCATGCCGCTGGGCTGTGGGTTTGTTGGTGTGGTAAGTGGTCCTGGGGATAGGGTGTAAGGAGTAAGAGACAGACGGGCTGACACTGTGCGCTTCAGATGCCGGCTATGGAGTACTTGTTGAAACCTTCGGAGCAAGGGCCGCTGCGGCTTGAGATGTGGAAGTTGATTGTGTGGTCACTGGGTCTCTGCTACTTTGGCGTCGTCTTTGCCGTTCCTCTGTGAGTAACTTGCCAGCCTATGACCGGCTTACCGGAAAGTGAGGGCTGACTTCAGCAGGCGACGGCAAGTCATCATCAGAGAGCAGCTCAAGTTCCCAAGCGGGTTCAGTACCGCAGTCCTCATCGGAGTGCTGCACGGCAAGGGAGACACTCAGAACGGTGGCGCTTTAGACCCTTCCAAGACCGCAACCTTTGGGAGTCTGGCACTGGAGAATCGCCCGCTTGTGGAAGCACGGGATGCAAACGATGAAGATGATGGGGTCAATGCAGTCGACGGACCGTCACGGATTGAAACGGCACAGAAGTACAGCTGGGGCTCCAATATCAGACTGCTCCTGATAACATTCGGCGTCTCTGGCTTCTATACCCTATGCACGTATTTCTTCCCCGTGCTTCGCAATCTTCCCATCTTCGGGTTTGCTGCGGCAGACACTTGGCTATGGACGATGAATCCAAGTTTCGCATATGTCGGTCAGGGTATCATCATGGGCCCATCGACAACCATCCATATGCTCCTAGGCGCTGTGATCGGCTGGGGCGTCCTCTCACCCCTTGCCAAGTATCGAGGCTGGGCGCCTGGCTCGATTAACGACTGGGAAACCGGGAGCAAGGGATGGATTGTGTGGACATCTCTGGCCATCATGCTTGCGGATGCCGTGATAAGTCTAGGCTACATTGCCCTCCGTCCTCTGTTCGAACGCGGTCCGGCCTACCTCGCTGCAGCCAGGCGCAATTACAACCGTGGCGGCATCAAGAGCTTGTTTCAGCGGCAACCAGATGGCTATGTTCCTGTCCAGGGAGACGAATCCGATCCAAGGCCGTCGATCACTGCCAGGAGCTCGACTTCCATGGTCACGGACTCGGATAGTCTCGCCAGCCCAGCCTTTGAGCGTCGGGACCCGTTCGACACACAATCGTTCCCATCTCCCACCCGAAGAGCGTGGGACCACGACGACGCACCTCCCGAGCAACTCGTCGGAGGCAGGACCGTCAGCATCGGACTCGTCTTCTCGGTCCTCTTCTGCATCGCCAGCATCCACATCACCTTTGGCGACCTCGTCCCGCTCTACGCGACCGTCATAGCCGTCCTGATGGCCATGCTCCTGAGCATCATGGGGGTCCGCGCGCTCGGCGAGACGGACCTCAACCCGGTTTCGGGCATCAGCAAGCTGGCGCAGCTCTTCTTCGCGCTCATCATCCCGCAGTCGCACAAGTCGAGCGTGCTCATCAACCTCGTCGCGGGCGCCGTGTCCGAGGCCGGCGCGCTGCAGGCGGGGGACCTGATGCAGGACCTCAAGACGGGCCATTTGTTGGGTGCGGCGCCGAAGGCCCAGTTCTGGGGCCAGATTATTGGGGTTACTGTTGGTGCTGTCGTCAGCGCGTTTATATACAGGCTGTACACGGCTGTTTATGATGTGCCCGGCGACCTGTTCCAGGTCCCGACGGCGTTTGTGTGGATCTTCACCGCGCGGCTGGTTACGGGGGAGGGGCTGCCGCATATGGCGCGCGAGTTTGCGGTTGGCGCTGCGGTTGTGTTTGCGGTGCTGACGGTGCTGCGGATGAGGGCGGTGGGGAGGTGGTGGCATGCTTATGTCCCGGGGGGGATTGCTGTTGCTGTTGGTAAGTGGCACCTTGGTGTCGATGCTGACATACTATTGCTGACGACTGACTCGATGCAGGCATGTACAATGTCCCGTCGTTTACGCTGGCGAGGACTATTGGGGGTCTGATGAGTTGGTATTGGAGGGTGTATCTTGGGAAGGGGGACACGCCGCTTATTGTTTTGGCTTCGGTGAGTACTATCCTGCGTTCTGCTAGCTGGGGGGTTCGATCGAGACTGATACTGATGTTCCATCTAGGGGTTTATCTTGGGAGAGGGCTTTTTGAGCATTGTGAACTTGATGTTGCAGAGTGCTCAGGTGCCGCACTTGTAGATGGATAGTATGGGAAGAGACTGGTACCTCGCTGTGCGTCTTATACGAGAGATGTAGCAGATGTTATAATTAGGATTTTCGCATACCAGCATTCAGCAGAGTCACCCTCCGTAAGTCTCTCTTCGGCATGCCGAGTTCATCGTTGGATATCGAAGAAAATATCCATATATATATGGACTAAGCACAATGGAATAAGTAGCTTATATCTTTAAAGTTATCCTTGATGCTTATTCCCGCGTGCTTATTCTATTTTCAATGAACATACCTTTCGCCTGGTGAACGAGAGGTCTACGAAGTCTTCTGAAGGTTCAGTGTACCATACTAGAAACGCCTGTTGGTGTACAATGTGGGAACCACCCCCTCGGGTCAGCAGGCGACGCTTCCCGTAGAATCATCCAGTAGTTACTGATGTAGGTACGACCCGGATGGACTACATCAAGCCATGCTGAGAGTCGAAAGACGATCCAAGCCGGTAGGCATCATTGACCAAGTGATGAGCCTACGGACTTGTGAGTCATGCGAGCAATATAACCAACCTTGCGCATTCATGTTGACTGCAACTTTAAAGAGCCAGACCTTGCACTCTCTGCAGCCACCCCTTCCTATTGAGAATGAGTCAGCTTGGTTAAACGATGACTGTGTGCATGTATCTCTCATGTGCCTGTCCGCGTTTATTGACCAAGCTGCTGGCATTCGAACAAGGGGCCGTGTACTCCGAAGGGCGTCGCCATATCTTCCCTCTACTAGAGCAGCTTTTTAAAGGAGCGTAGCAAGCTTTATCCTGGACCCTTTGGTCATAAGTAGATAGGGAACAACCCCGGATAACTTCTCAACATCGACACCGTCCTGATCCCAGTCAACGTCGGCGCTCATTGGACTCTCCTTGTCATAAGACCGTCCCGTAAGATAGTGTCAGATTTCAGCATAGTCTGTATTGGAAGAGGAAGAAAGGTAGCTGAAGGGGGTACGTTCCGACTTCCACCGTCTCCATCTGCGAGGGCCAGGGCGACTGTTATAGTTCCGGTAACCATAACTGCCGCGTCGATCGTTGTAGCCTTGGTTGCGGTATCGGTCGCGGTCTTTCTTTCTGTCGGCATCGTTCGGTCGATCATTGTACGGTCGTCGATAGCCTCGTTGGCCTCTGGACTGATAATGTCCTCGGTTGGCGCCTCTGCCTCGCTGGACCAGTAAGCGTCGGGGTCATTCTGATCTTCGATATCGAACTCTTCGGTCCAGCTATCAGGTGATTCCACAGGATGACGAATATGCTGCTCAGAATACGCCACTGAGCACGTTGAGCACGTATTATGACAGGTAGTCGCTTACGTCGACTGTCAACGGTTGGCAAAACACTTGTAGGACGAAGCTGATTAGCCGTGCTGATTAGCCGCGCTGGATTACCAGGCATACTTCTTCGATGCGGATGATAATATCCTTTGCCAACAACGATTCTCCGTTACGAGGGCTGTTAGACTCGGTCATCCAGTTCTTACGTGGTTTGAAAACGTTGAAGGACATGAATGATACGTTGCAAGATGTCCGCCAAACCCTGGGAGAGAAGCTGGACACGGTCAACGATACATACCAGGACATGAGGAGGCTCAGGAAACGAAGTTGTCCAAATCAAATCGGATCTGCTGACCCAATCCGGAACCACAGTTCAGCCACCCGGCAGCCCAAGGATATAGTCTTCGGGATCATCACCAAACAGTCCGTTCTACTACGCGCAACCAGCCCAGCCCGCCGGCATAACGCCGCCCTTCAAACCGGGCGAAGCCAGACCAGCCGCATTGGAGAGAATGTGGTACCCCACGCCCCTGATGATGACGCCCGGTAGCCCACTCTCCTTCAACACCCCGGAATATCGCGGCGTGCGTTATCAATTGCCTGTTTAAGGTGGTACCCTCGAGCGTCATTCCAGAGCTTGTTGACCTGTACTGTGGCGAGCCAAGGCGTTGGCGTCTTGCCAAGTATTGACACTCTGGGTGGGTTTTAGAATGGAATACTGGCTTTGCCAGCGTTCGAACTCTTTACTTCGTAGGCGCAGCTGTCTGGGGGCGTCTTGGAACGTCGCCTCGTGCTTGAGGATCTCGATGCCGAGTTAATTGCATAGCTTTTTCTCGTGGAGGGTGAGGATGGCGTGATCATCGGCTTCTTGTTTGCGCAGGAGGGGGCAGTCTCGGTTACATCATTTTCGTCACAAGTGCATAGTCTCACACTCTTTGATGCTGCCAGCAAGAGGTTGACGGCATAATCACTTGCAATGAGCAATTATAGGGGCAGTTGATTGTAATGAAGCCCATGATCTTGCTTATCACACTGCAATATTGCCGATGGCTCGCAACTACACTTTGAGTACGCCGGGGGGGAATAAGGGTATAATCTGGAAGAGGTAGGTAGGTACAAGCATCTAACCTAGCAGACATGCTCAAGCTTCTCAGGTGCTCCCTCTCGCGGTCCCAAATCCGTCTTCAGCACGCGTCCAAACATCTCCAGCAGGACCTCGAAGCAGATCTTGGTGACGGCGGGGTCGTAGCGACCCTTGCTTAACTCGTCGCGGATGAAGGCATGCTGGGCCCAGGCGAACTCGTAGAAGCTGAAGACGACGCCGGCGTCGCGCAGCTTCTGGCGGATTAGGTCGCGGCCGGCGTCGGGCACGTGCGTGTCCTTGATGCCGAAGATCATGGCCGTCTCGCCCTTGATCTGGTGCAGCTTGTCGAGCGTGTGGTTGCTGCCCTCGGGCGCCGTGGCCGACGTGTTGGCGCCGCTGTTGGGGCCCAGCGTGCGGCTGTGCACGTCGGTTGCGAAATAGGCCACGCAGGCGCTGATCCGGGGGTCGAGCTATTACACCAATTTAGAATGCCTTGGGTCCAACCGGATAGGAAGGGAGACAGCCTTACGCTAGCCCGTAGAGCGAGATGGCCGCCTAGACACATGCCGGTTGTGCCTATCAGCCCCGTGCACGTCGGCAGGCTGAGCAGGTAATCGACGCTCTTGTAGGAGTCCTCATCGTATGATTGGAGGGTCTGTTGTCACACCACTTTATTAGCGAACGGGCCGTTGGGGCGGCACAGCCGGTTTGCCTCACCTTCTCTACCTTCCATGCGTTTCCCTTGTCCGTACCCGGGACGTCGTAGGCCAGCGCATCTGGGCCGGTGAAGTCGTGGTATGACGAGGGCGCCGCTACGATGTAGCCTTGTCCTGCGATCTGGCGCGCGAACCGAGCCACGGGGCCCGTCACTGCGAAGTGTCAGGCTTCCATTACACAAGTGGTGCTTCTGAGCTGGCGCTGGGTATGAGGAGGTTTGTTACCTTGGTAGATCTCGCTGTACAAGACTACTCCGGGAAATCGGCTGCATTTCGTCAGACACCATATTCTCACACGTGCTCATGGACAGCAGACTCACGCTTTCGGATATTGCGGGATGGTGGGGTGGAAGACGAAGATTCCTGGGCTGCTCATCAGCAAAATGCATCGTGAACACTTGGGTGTCGACATTACTCATGGAAGTCTCCTTTCCATCCACCTTCGTATGCACATCGGCATGGCTCTCCTTGATCAGCATCTTGCCTCAATTTCGCTCAGTTCGAAATTCAATGTTGTTGATGCTCTCGAAGCTCCAATTCAGAGGACCCCGCCATCCCCGCCATCGCAACAAGTCCCAGTTTAGAGCGACTTGTGGCTTACTAAGCTTAGATACCTACCTAGTCTTCTCATGAAGGAAGTCAAGTGGGAAGCAGCATCTATTTGACTATGAGATGTGTTCGGATTTTCCTCTTCACGACGTCTGCGGAACGGGCGCGGACACCTGTATCGATTGTAGGACCGAGAGCTCATATAGGAGTTCAGTAACAGGATCGGCACGCTTTCATCGTTGCCTCATAAGTTCTTCAGAATGTGCCGCTGAAGTGTCGGGTGACCTACATATGACGGATGACTGATGAACGCCGTACAGGCACAGCTACGTATCGTATCACTCGATGCAGTCGTACAGATGGACCTCAAGAAGTCTCCGGACACCCCTCGTCCACCAAGCGAAAGGTATATTTATGATGACTGGAATAAGCAGTCTGGAATAAGCAGTCTGGAATAAGCAGTCTGGAATAAGCATCATATATGGCTAATTAGATTATACCTGCTTATCCCACGCTGCTTATTCCATTCGCACGCATGTAGCATTAATATCTAAGAGTTGACAGGAGTATGACAGAGGGGTGACTATCATGGAAGCTAGTGGCAATCTAGACTTCTGCTAGACTTCAATTCAATGGTCGATCTAGAATGCCCAGTCTATGATCATTGCGTAGGTACGAACGACTGGAATGTTCGAGGATTGACCGGAAGCATGTAGTTGCAACGATGGTCGCCCAGAGAAGGCTGTATGTAACCTGGCAGAGTGGTCGGAAAAATTGCATAATCACCTGGACAACCTGGTTATCCAGGCCTGTGCGCCACAGCCCACAGCGGACAGAAGTGGGTCTAGAATTCGAGAATGACATCAAGGGCGGGGTGCAACAAGATAGACATACTCGTCTCTACGTAGAGAAACACCATTTAAGGAGATAACAAATACAGTTTGAAGGTACTAGAGTGTTCTGTGATGGAATAAAAAAATTAGAAAAAATTACAGGCAGAATCGGCCCAGATTTGGTACGGGTCGCCTGAGGCAGGTGCGACTTCCAGTACCTTCCCCAATCTTCCACCCAGCCTGCCACCCCGATTTTCCCAGCGGTCATAAAGCACCTCGCAGCCCGGAACTCCCACACAATCCAACTTTCCAAAACATTCATCAAATCCTCCCTCTCGACCCCCACGACTGTTACATCTTCGACGCAAAGTTCTCACACATCTTCACTCTCAATCCATCAACATCTGCACATTGCCCAACATGGTTGCCGCCGTCGGTATCGACTTGGGCACGACCTACTCGTGTGTCGGTGTCTACCGAGATGACCGCATCGAGATCATTGGTTAGTACTCCCAGCTCTCCCAGCTTTCGCATCCTGCATTTGATCTTGACACTGACTGTTTTGCAGCCAACGACCAGGGTAACCGAACCACACCTTCGTTCGTTGCCTTCACCGACACGGAGCGTCTGATCGGAGATGCCGCCAAGAACCAGGTCGCCATGAACCCGGCCAACACCGTCTTCGATGCGAAGCGTCTCATCGGTCGCAAGTTTGCCGATGCTGAGGTCCAGGCCGACATGAAGCACTTCCCCTTCAAGGTCATTGACAAGAGCAGCAAGCCTGTCATCGAGGTCGAGTACAAGGGCGAGACCAAGACCTTCACACCTGAGGAGATCTCCTCCATGGTCCTCATCAAGATGCGCGAGACTGCTGAGGCATACCTCGGTGGCAATGTCACTAACGCAGTCATCACCGTACCTGCCTACTTCAACGACTCGCAACGTCAGGCCACCAAGGATGCCGGTCTGATCTCTGGCCTCAACGTCCTCCGAATCATCAACGAGCCCACTGCTGCTGCCATTGCCTATGGTCTTGACAAGAAGATCGAGGGCGAGCGCAACGTTCTCATCTTCGACCTTGGTGGCGGTACCTTCGATGTATCGCTCCTTACCATTGAGGAGGGTATCTTCGAGGTGAAGTCCACCGCTGGTGACACTCACTTGGGTGGCGAGGACTTCGACAACCGCCTTGTCAACCACTTCGTACAGGAGTTCAAACGCAAGCATAAAAAAGCGAGTTAAACCCCCTTCCTTTCCCTGAGCAAGCTGCTTGAATTCTGGCCATTTTGGTCATATCTTAAGGATTTTGGCTAACTTTTTGTAGGACCTGTCTTCCAACGCCCGTGCACTCCGACGTCTTCGCACCGCTTGCGAGCGGGCCAAGCGCACTCTTTCCTCGTCTGCCCAGACCTCCATCGAGATCGACTCCCTGTTCGAGGGTGTCGACTTCTACACGTCTATCACCCGTGCCAGATTCGAAGAGCTCTGCCAGGACCTGTTCCGATCCACCATTCAGCCCGTTGACCGAGTCCTGACCGATGCCAAGATCGACAAGTCTCAGGTCCACGAGATCGTCCTTGTTGGCGGGTCCACTCGCATTCCCCGCGTCCAGAAGCTGATCACGGACTACTTCAACGGCAAGGAGCCCAACAAGTCGATCAACCCCGACGAGGCTGTTGCCTACGGTGCTGCTGTCCAGGCTGCCATCCTGTCTGGTGACACCAGCTCCAAGTCGACCAACGAGATCCTCCTTCTCGACGTCGCCCCTCTGTCTCTCGGTATCGAGACCGCTGGCGGTATGATGACCAAGCTCATCCCTCGCAACACCACCATCCCCACCAAGAAGTCCGAGGTCTTCTCCACCTTCTCTGACAACCAGCCTGGTGTCCTCATCCAGGTCTACGAGGGTGAGCGCCAGCGCACCAAGGACAACAACCTAATGGGCAAGTTCGAGCTTACTGGAATCCCGCCTGCCCCTCGTGGTGTTCCCCAGATCGAGGTCACCTTCGACCTTGATGCCAACGGTATCATGAACGTCTCCGCTGTTGAGAAGGGTACTGGCAAGTCCAACAAGATTGTCATCACCAACGACAAGGGTCGCCTCTCGAAGGAGGAGATCGAGCGCATGCTTTCGGAGGCCGAGAAGTACAAGGAGGAGGATGAGGCCGAGGGCAAACGCATCGGTGCCAAGAACGGCCTCGAGTCCTACGCTTACTCGCTCCGCAACACCCTCTCCGACCCTAAGGTCGACGAGAAGCTTGACGCTGCCGACAAGGAGAAGCTGAAGGCTGAGATCGACACTGTCGTCGCTTGGCTGGACGAGAGCCAGCAGGCTAGCCGCGAGGAGTACGAAGAGAAGCAGAAGGAGCTTGAGGGTATCGCTAACCCCATCATGATGAAGTTCTACGGTGGAGCTGGCGGTGAGGGTGGCATGCCCGGTGGTATGCCTGGAGGTCCTGGTGGCCCCGGCGGCTTCCCTGGTGCTGGCGGCCCCGCTGGTGGTGCCGGTGGTGACGATGGTCCCACCGTCGAGGAGGTCGACTAAGCGATTCCCCATTGATACCTCTGATTTTCTTTGGCGTTTACCTCTGGTGTGCCTTGGCATCATGGGCGGCGGTCTGGGACGTTCGGTTTTCTAGATTTCCACGGTAATGACGATACAGGGACAAAAGTTGAGATTTCACGACTTGCATGGATGTACTCTAGCATACACATCCGAATGAGCAATGAATAATTCCTAAACATCTTTGACATGTCTTGATGAGTGATCTAAAACTGAAAAAATGTCAATAAGCGCCCTGTAATAAGCAGTTGTCGTGGAATGACGGATACCTGCTGCTTATTCCGGAATGCTTATTGCTATATTTGTAAGGGCTCTGCCCAAGTGCCTTTACGCAATCATAGGATTTGAAAACCTGCTTTTCGGTATAAGAGCCCTGGCATAAGCAGATGTAATGACATGATGGACACAGGCTGCTTATTCCAGCATGCTTATTCTACATGTAGAGAACCCGGTGATCTCATACATAGTCAGTTCGCTCGAAGAGTCGCGCGAACCTTGGTACAATTCTAGAATACAGAAATCTGCTTTTCGGTATAAGAGGCCTGGCATAAGCAGCATGTGTCGTTAAATGAACGACACATGCTGCTTATTCTGGGGCGCTTACTCGACATGTACAGAGAACAAGTCTATTCGGGTGATCTCATAGTCAGTTCGGACATGTGGCGAGGCGATGTTCCATTCATTCTATACCACGCTGTGGCTCCTCAACCCATTTTCCAGCCACAATGACGGATGGGTCACGGACCAGGGTACAAGGTACCTTGGAGCCCAACTGGTACCCGTTTATACCAGATTCGTACCCAACTGGGATGATAGCTACTTCTGGCCTTCTTTCAATCAAGCAACTTCCAGAATACAGACCAATAGCCACCATTCGTGACCCTGGTCCTTATTCTGGATACCGCTACCACAAGGCACAACGCTCTAGACTACGGAAATATGCATTTCGGTATAAGCCCTGTCATAAGCAGCTGTGACGAAATATAGACACATATTGCTTATCCCAGCATGTTTATTCCCCCTATCGATCGAGCTGTATTATTTTGGGGCCACGAGTCGTTCGGTCATGGTAGGACCAGGTCTTTTGGTTCCATCTCTTCGTCGCGCGGGAGATTACCTGCCCGCTGTCCAAGGCGGTGATGATTCGAAGTGGGACATGATCCCTCATCGTCCACCCCAAGTCCCTTGCGCTCACTCACGCCACCCATTGCACATGTCAGTGTCCCGTGTGTCGGTTCGAAGGTCAAGTCGGCTCCCTCAATCTTCGATCCGCTTAATGCTGGCTTGCAGATCGTCTTCCAGGGCATCGTCCCGACCAGATAGCTTGGTGGCGAGCGTTTGTGCCCTCTGTTGTTACGTAAACGGTGGGGAGTGTTGGAAGTGAGCTTTCTCGCAAGGAATTAAAGGATAAACATCGAAGTGCACTACGTGTGAATGATCGTGTAGATTTGAGCCGCAGGTTGCGGGCATTAAAATGCTGTCAAGGTTCGAATGAAAGAGGCATGATCGAATTGCTTCTTGGTCCTTGAGAACCTGAGGTGGAAGGAGATCAATAGGAGAGCCTGGCAGCTGAGGAGCTTGAGAATTTGACAGCTGGGAGAAAATCAGTTTGCAGCGTAACTGAGGTGATTCAGTACATTGGTTAATACCTGGAGCTAAAGTGTTAACCGACCAGGCATCTAGCAGAAATACACATTGGTAAACACACATATATATATATATATATGAGCGATTAAGTGACTAATAAAGGATTTGTGTCGCTTCTGATAATAATAAGACGTATAGTACGCATTGTATGGGATTGTATTTAAGTATATAGGCACGTAAGATATACATCCACACTTATGAGATCAGTGCCGTCTAGGCGCAAACACCACTCATCTCTATGCCTACGGCTAGGTTTTCGAGTCATGATGCGTTTCTAGAATTCAAGACTATTGTTGAATACACGGATGTTGATTGATTCTATGATTGTGGTCTTTTTCTGCGTGCAGAGATTGATCATCTGTCTTCTTAGTGGGACAGATGCCCTGTGCGTCTCTTCCCCACTTGAGATCTTCCAGTGTCTATCTCCGGCTCCCATTCAACAACCATCACCTTGCTTCAGCATTCAGCTACCTTAACCCTTACTGTGAGAATTCGTCATCCGGAATATTCGGTTCATACGTGCTTGTTTGCTTGGTTGTTCTGAGTCTACCTGGTTCGGACGGATTCACACCTAAATACTGCTGCAGCGCATCTATCCGCGGTGGTAACGGAGCTGTGGGGCAACCATCCCACCTACAGCGCACAGACCACCTGGTGACACACCCTGAGCCACCACCACATCCGACACTTACATATAATAACGGTGGTTATAACGGTGGTTATAGTAGTAAAATAAATCGATAATAGTTTAAATAATAGTTGTAAAGGAGGAGGTAAATGGTCGGTAGCTATCAAGGTTAATAAGTCTTTTAACGTAACTTAAAGAGTTATAATCTTCATTTAGTTGAAAGTTAAGCCGGTGGCCTTAATGAAATAAGACGCTGATACTTTTAGAATCGGATTGGGGTCCTTACGGGCGAGGCTCCGAGTCTGGACTGCTTTTTGTGTATGAGCATAATAGGAGTCCCGCTTCTGGCGCGTGATAAGCATAGTATGTAGGACAGCGCTTAGAAGGAGGGTGATTGTATAAGTGAGAGTGACAGGAAAGGTATTAGGTGAGCGAGCGAGGCAGCGCGACAGCATGAGTAAAGACTCGGCAAGACATAATGCCATTTGTCTTGTATTGAAGACATCCTCTATGAGATGCTCACTGCGGCTTCTTGCTTTCTTATAGCTCCTTGTGATGAGACGCCAACCTGTGTCCCGGCTGTTAGCCACAGCCTACCTGTTTGCCTTACGTTGCCATATTTCCGCTGGTAATTACCCCCATCTCACTTGACCACTTCCCCCATGGCCATAAGTATGTAGAAAGCAGTGAAAGCCATCACATCGTGGCAAGCTGTCAATCCACTATCACAACATCCGGCGTAGTTCGAAGGTGAGATCTGTATGTATTGTTACATCCGGCGTAATTCGAAGACGAGATTCGTATGTATTGGTACACCCGGCGTAGTTCGAAGGTGAGATTTGTATGCATTGCTACTGCGCTATATTCTAACGTGAAGAAGCCCTCTCCTCCTCCGCCCTCAACATCTGCTGCACCCGCCGCCGGCGCTCGATCTCGAGGCGGCGCCACTCCTCGTCGCTGACGTCGGGCATCTCGTAGCGCACGCCGAACGCGGCCCCCGGCGGCAGGCGCTCGGTGCGCGGTTCCCAGACGTCGGTACTGCTGGGCTGTCCCGGCCCGTACTTCTTGAGCTCCTTCTGCCGGTAGTGGTCGCGGATGGCTTCCTCCTTGATGGCGCCCGTGTAGGCGCGCGTGCGCATGCAGAACCAGAAGTCGTCCCACTGCTCGCTGCAGGACCGCACGGCGCCCTCGCGGTACACGGACGTCCACTGCCCGCCTAGCCCGTTGCAGTGGTAGGCGTGGTCGAAGGCCTGCCGGCAGGACATGGTGGTTGGGAGGAGGGACTCGGAGAGCGGGTCGAGGCGCGTTGGGGGTTGTTGGTCGGAGTGGGATTGGGCGTCTTCCCAGAGGGATGAGAAGGAGGCTGATTCGCGTTGGGTGATCATAGGGGCTGAGGCTGGAAGTCGAGAGGAGGAGGCTTGGGTTGGTGGTGGTGGTTGTTCTTGTTGTTGCGCCGAGCTCCAGAGCGAGGACCAGGATGAGGAAGAGTTTGAAGAGGAGGTCGCGGGATTTGGAGCTGCTGCCGGCCTTGTCTCTGGCTTTGATTCTTGAACTGCAGCTGGTCGGGCTGGTTGCGCTTGTTGTGCTGTCGCTTGGCTGCTGCTGCTGCTGCTGCTGCTGCTGTTACCACCCCCAAACTCTGCCTGGATCTGGGCCATGAACTTTGCGATCTCCGGGTCGCTGTACTCGGGCTCGGATGCCTTGGCCGGTGCTTGAGCGGGTTTGCTCTGGCCTGCGTCTACTGGGCCGTCATTGCCTTTCGGCGTCGAGGGAGAAGATGACCACATCCACCCCATGTTGTGAACGATTCCTTGTAGAGTATAGATATGGCATAGAGATACAGACGAGTTTGGCGTCGTCACTTGGGCATAGAACAGAAGAAAAACAACGGGGAAACTGAGGAGTCGAGGACAGAGCAGTGATTATATATACGAACGAATACACTTCGATCTCGACGTGCGGGGGATTTGGGGGTTTGGCGCTGGCACGTGGGGTGCTGCCGTGTTACCTCAGCCTGCGTGTATTTCGTGATTGCTCGTCTTGGAGGATGTCCTGGATGTCTTCGGCCAATGGCATGAGTTGTTCCGCGGTACTGTGCTTTGATTTGGGTGTTCTTGTTGTAATGGCATCAACCGAAAATATATTTACTAGGCCCGAGTCGTTGAGATGCAGTGATATACAGACAGATAGATACCTTTCCACTGTCCAGCTCAAGCTCCAGTCTCTTCAAGAGCTTGCGAATCGCCCTTGGCTTCGAAGCTCTCAATCGTCTATCAAGCCTACTTGTGGCTTATGATGTTGTGGCTGAAGCACAGGGTGTGGCTTGACCGGCTCTCATTGATGGCGCCGCCAATGAGGTCATTGGAGTTCGCGAGCTTGGAAGCTTAGGTGAGCTAGTCGCAGTGCCAAACCAGAAGCCATCTCCATCCTCCAGTGTCTTTCTTGCTGGATATCTCTCCAGCTTCCAAATGGTGTGAATATGAACGCCAGATCCTCCAGACGATGATCCCACGAAACATTGGGCTCGGCCCCAGGGCCATGCCTGGTTTGAGAGCCCGAAGCAGCGCGCTCAATCGACCGTTACTCGTCTCACTATGGAAGACACGATGGACGCCGATAGCTTGGGAGAGCACCACCACCACCGCAGGTGTCGACAAGAGCGGCCACATAGACGCGGCACCCAACGAGTCCATCCTGTGGTTCGACAGTAAGGAAACCACTTGCCCAAACCATTGAGACACCCGAATGCTGACGTTAGTCCCACCAGACCTATTTCCCCTGAAGCTGTCTGGCTTGATGCGAATGCCGTGGAAGAGCCCCGAACGAGACCTTGGCGAGCTCATGAGACGTTTCGAGAACTCAAGCTTGGGAATAATGGACCCCATCAACATGGTCAAGCGTGCTCTGCCCAAAGACGTCCCGGTCAAAGTCACAGAGATCCTCCCTCGACTCAAGGATGGCGGCGCGTTTGTCAAGTTCACACATCCAACAGACATGTCGGCGAAAGAGATCGAAGGGACGGTGTCCAAGGTCCTGGAAGAGAAGCCTGTGAGGCCGTTCTTCAACCCCTTCAGAGGGGTCCAGGCAGGCCTGGTCAAGGGTGTGCCTTGGCTTGAGGATTTGCACAGATTCCCCAAGCAACGGCTGCGCGTCGAGTTCGTCCCCAAGAACCCCGGAGAGGAAGCGGTCGAGCTATCGCAAGAAACACTATTCAGCCTCTTCCGTCGATACGGAAAGATTGCCGAGATCACATCGCAGCCTTGGGATTCCAAGGTTCTCCCCAAGTTCGCCTACGTCGATTTTACTTCCGTGAGAGACGCCATCATGGCTCGGAATTGCTTGCATGGCTTCGTCGTCACCGAGGCATTGGGAGGCGGCAAGTCGGGGACAAGGTTCCGCATGTCCTACGAACAGAAGGTGAAAACTCATCGGTACTGGGACTGGATCCAAAATCACCCCAGAATTGTCATTCCTGTTCTCGTCGCACTACTTACAGGTCTCACTGTTGTCATCTTCGACCCCATCCGAGCATTCTTCGTGAAGGCTCATGTATCCGGCAGGTACCGTTTGAGAAACAACAGACTGTACAGATGGCTTCGGAAGCAGACATCCGATATCTTTGCGTTTAGAAGACACAAGGCGGAGCAGGCAGGCCTCAATGAAGTTTGGACCGAACGAAAGGACCTCATCGACCAGGTCCAAAGGTGGCTGATGGAGACGGCCGAGACCTTCATTGTCATTCAAGGGCCTCGTGGTTCTGGAAAGAAGGAACTTGTTTTAGACCAAGCTCTGAAGGGACGAAGCAACGTATTGGTCCTCGACTGTAAGCCCATAGTCGAGGCCAGAGGAGAATCAGCGACAATCAAGAAGATGGCAGCTGGCGTTGGCTATCGCCCTATCTTCTCGTGGGCAAATAGCATCAGCAGCATGGTAGACCTAGCCGTGCAAAGCACCACCGGTGTCAAAGCAGGTTTCTCGGAGACACTGGAGTCTCAGCTCCAGAAGATACTGGAGACGACTGCTGGTGCCCTTCAGGAGATCGACGTATCGCATCGTCACAAGACAGACAGCGATGCATCTCTTCCCGTCGACGCATACCTGGAAGCACATCCGGAGAAGCGAGCTGTTGTTGTCATTGACAACTTCTTGCATAAGGGTGATGGTAATGCCATCGTCTACGACAAGATTGCCGAATGGGCTGCCGCACTCGTGCAGTCCAATGTCGCCCACGTCATTTTCCTTACCAACGATTCCTCCTACTCCAAATCTCTCTCGAAAGCTCTTCCAGACCGCGTCTTGCGGCAGGCTGCTCTCGGCGACCTGTCGCCTGAAGTTGCCAAGCGGTTCATTTTGAGTCACATTGCTAGCGACAATGATCTCGCGGAGACAAATGACTCAGATGATTCGGACGATTCTAAAGAGAAGAAATCGGAATCTAAATCACTGCCGGACCTATCTGAGCTCGACAGCTGCATCGGTACTCTTGGTGGACGTCTTACGGACATTGAGTTTCTTGCACGCCGCCTCAAGACAGGCCAGCCGCCCAAGCAGGCCGTGGCCGAGATCACCGAGCAGTCGGCGTCAGAAATCCTCAAGATGTTCCTCCTGCCCGGGAAGAATTCTGGTGATGGCGACCACAAGTGGTCTGTCGAGCAGGCGTGGTACCTGGTCAAGGCGCTCGCATCTAACGACAGCCTCCGTTACAACGAAGTCCTTCTCTCCAACACTTTCGCATCCTCCACCAGCGCACCCGATGGCGAATCGGCGCTTGAGGGCCTCGCCAACACAGAATTGATCACGGTGAAGAACCACAAGGGCCGTCCGCAGAAGATCGTCGTCGGCAAGCCCGTGTACCAGGCAGCATTCCGACAGCTGACCCGCGACCACGCGCTCGCCGCCAAGATGGACCTCGCGGTGCTAACAGAGCTGACAAAGATCGAGGGCAAGAACATCGACAAGGCCGAGAACGAGCTGTCGCTTTTAGGAAGCCTGCCTAGACAGCCGGCGCAGGCGTCTCCTCGTGTCTCGTACCTCCTCGCAAAGCTCGAGACCGCGCAGAGCAAGGTTGAGAGTTACGAGAAGGAGATGGCGGTTTTGAAGAAGGTGCTGGGTAAGGAGTACTAGATTAGATCCGTACAGCTTGAGGTGTGTACGAGCGTGGGTGGGTGTACGATGCTGAAACGATGGCCGGGTATGAGTCTGGAATGTCAGCAAGCGTGCTTGCTTGCTTAAAGAAAAGAGGGGGATAGTATGAATTCGTGTATATAGGGATAGGGAAAGGTCGGGTGGAAAGGATTCCTGGCAGGCAGGGAAGATGGCGGTATATACGGGCGTCGATACCCATCTCATTCAAATCAGCAATCAACTTCAGTGCTTCTCGACGTATGACAATGTTCCATAATCATGCGTGTGTCTGACATTAGTGCAACATACGGCCATGAACCGTCACCCGAATCGCCGCTCCTGACTGTACGTACCTCCTTATGCAGCAGGCGGGTCCCTCAGACGTTGTGAGTTACAGTGAACTTCTAAAAGTCTCCGCGCAGCCCTCGTTCAGCAAGCGTTGGGTGTATTCAGTATAATGGAATAAGCACTCTGGAATGAACATTGAATATGGCTTCTGGGGTAACGCTGCTTATTACAGGGTGCTTATTCTATTAAAGTAAATACAGCCTTGATATTCACGATTGACCGAGTGATGCCGGACCGAGACTTATGGGGGGTGACTGTATGTGTTGTCTTGTTTGTTCTACGTGGTTCACAGAAGGACGAGTCGCCACTGACACATAACTTAGATGGCCATCATGACAAGACGGAAGGAGCTCTTAATTTGGTATCATAACACTAGAAGACAAGTGAGAATCAGAGGCAGCAATGCCTAGGTAGATATGCGGGCCAAGAGACGCTCTATGGTGATGCAACACAACACATTCCCTGTCCACATTCGACCAAATTCATACATCCGTCCAAGAACCTTCATAACATGCTTATGACTTCTTAATCCGTCGTACTCCTCCTATAGAGACTGACTGACTATGATTGCTGCATCTGGGGCGTCAATTCGCATCCCTGCGAGAAGAAGACGCGTGCCGGTTTGTCGGATAGGTTCGCTATGCTATAGTGATTTCCTGCTCGCAAGGTTAGCTTCTTTTTCTCGTGCGGTATAGCAAGCAACACCAAAATTAAAGGTGTCGAACTGACCTCTCGGGACAAACCACTGGCCGCCCTCGGCAATCTTAAAGGTGGTCTGGGCCACCGTAACCTCGACACACCCGGTGTGCACGAAGAAGACCATCTGCATCTTCCTGGAATTCTTAGGTCTCTTCTCGGCACCGGGCGGCAGGTCTACTATGCCAGCGCCAAAGAACGGGAGCGTGAGCGTCTTCGCGAATTTGAAAGTGGCGTCCTTGATGTCCTTCAACTGGATCGCGTACTTGGAAATGGCGAGCTCTTCCTCGACCACGTCAACCTGGTCTTCATCCTGCGGCGGCTCGTTCTCGTAGCCCGGCTGCCACATGATGCACTCCCCTCCTATACGACCTGGGTCCTCTTCCCACTCTTCACGCTCGACCTCTTCTTCCGGTATGATTGAGCTACGGGACCGACGTCCCGCCTTGGCTTTCGGTCGACCGCGTCGCTTGGGCTTTCTCTCGTAGACAGGCTCGGCACGTACAACACCCTTGACCGCCGCCATCTTGAAAACCCGCCCGCCTTTGTCTTCGTAGACCTCCTCGTCGTCATACAGTACATGTTCGTTTTTCCAGAACTCCAGTGGCTTAAACGAGGCCCGACCGGAGCGTGTGGTCCTCATATCGCCTGGTCCTTCGCGTCGCATCGTTACAAGTCCAGGACCTCTTGGAAGAGGAGGACCCTGTCGCACAACGGGTGAGTCCACACCTATACCAGAAGATTTTCGTTTGCGACCAGGTTTGCCCTTTTCCTTTGTCGCGGTCGGTTTCGACAAGGTGTTCTTGTCTGCTTTCTCCTCAGGTCGTGGGCGCTTTGTCTCTCTCGACTCGGGATTGTTTTCGTCAACTTCGGCATTGTCGATAGAAGTTCGTGCAGGCCTTCCACGTTTCTTTGATGTTTTGGCGGGCGGCGTTGGCTCCTTGGGTGGTGATGGCTCTTCCACTTCCTGCTTCGGCGATGCCTTCGGGCGCCCTCGCCTTTTCTTAACTGGCTCTTCTTGGGTATCCTCAGCAGGCGCAGACACATCCTCGACAATCGATACTTCTTCCTGTTCGGCATCTTCAACCGGAGCAGCTGCTTTGGGTTTGCGACCTCTACGTTTCGGTTCCTTGGCATGCTGTACTATGGGTGATACGTCCTGGTCCTCGTCCTCTTCCTGTTGCTGCTCAGGCTCGTCGTCTTCCACAGCCCCTCCATCCTCACCGGCGGCGTCCAACATGTCGAGAGGCTCCTCATCGTCATCTTCGACGTCTTCCAGTTCTGGCAGCTCTGACTCGCCGTGTAGACTGGCCTCTTCTTCGGAATCGTCAGAAGGGGCATGACCGTTTGGGAGCTTTCCGTTGCTTTTTTTCGTGGCGTTCGCCTTGGAGTGGCCATTGGTCAAATTCTGGCTCATTGAGAAGTTCAATTTGCGGGCGACGCCCTGCTTCGGACTGCGGTCGCGCGAGGTGACGATAGAACCGCGGACAGGTGAAGATCCCGGCACCAGGTGTGGGTTTTGTCTTGCGGGAGATTGTAGATGTGTCTTGATTGGCGATCGAGCACGTGGTATGGACGGTCGACCTTGGCCTTGACGCTGAAGCTTTCGGGTTGTAGCCGGACCCATCTCGGAGCCTGCAATGCCCTGTCAGTCAGGTTGAACATAGGAGTATTTGCGTTATGCACCGTTACCATCGTCTATCTCCATGTCCTCTCCGTCTGAGGTGGCAGCGTCGCCATTTGTCTCCTTCACGGGTGAAGAGAACAGTTGGCTCATGTCCTCGAAGCCATGCTCGTCGCGTTTATCGTTCTCGGGTACGGTGACACCCGTTCTCCTGCGATAGCACAGTTAGCATTCCGTATCCAAGCCCCAAGATTGGATGGCTGCTGAGTATGGTCAAAGTACCTTCCAGCTTTACCCAGCGCGTAGACATGCTCGTTTTGCGACGAGGTCTGACGTCGCGCCGGCTGTGATTTTGGCGGCATGGCGCCGGGAATGGTGATGACGAATAAATAAGCTTTGCCAACGTGGTCTCTCGGAAGAAATCGCCAATCAACTAAGTAGGGTATAAGAAAAGCTCATGAATTGAGACGGACTCGAATCCAGCGACGCGCAGGAAGCGTTGCGGCGGGGGAGACGGAGAGCTGCCTGCGTGTTTACTAGAAGCTCGATCGGGGTTTAATTGATTTCTTGCACCTGCACCCTTGGGGAGGGATATGTGGGGCTCGTGCTCTGAACCTGGCAGCTGGACGCGCTTTCCTCAGACCCAAAGACGCGCCTGCCCGAGACCATCTTTCGCATGCATACCTGTGTTCCTACTACAAGTCCCCCTGTTCGAAATATTCTCAACTTCCAAGGCTGTTATTGGAAACAGCTACACGTTGACTCACTAGATCAATTGACAATGGTAATTGGCAACAACCGAAAGTTGATTATTTGAGAGAAGCTGCGAGCCGCGAACACACATATCACGAACCACCCCAACGCCTCTGATCGACCACTACCGTACTGGCCATGGAAGACACGCCGATGGACGAGGGCAACCTCGCCCTCGAGACGCCCGCCTCCAACGTCTTCGTCCCGCCCTCCATCCACCGCGCCGCCACCCTCCGAGGCGAGACCTACACACACTTCTCACCCGTGCCGCCCTCCCTCCGCGCCACCACACCAACATCTACATCCAACACCACCGACTCCCAACAACCCGCCGGCGTCCCCTGCGCCCTCGGCGTCGACGAAGCCGGCCGCGGCCCGGTCCTAGGCCCGATGGTCTACGGCATATTCTACCTGCCCTTGCCACTCTCGGACCCTCTCCTCAAGACCACACACCACTTCGACGACAGCAAAGTGCTCAAGCCCGAAGTGCGCTCCAGCCTAATGCAGACGCTCTGCACCCCATCCACGGACCTGCACGCCTCCTGCGGGTGGGCCATATCCTCACTATCAGCGCGCGACATCGGCGCGCATATGCTCAAGCCCGCCAACACGGGCTCTTATAATTTGAACGCGCAGGCCATGGACGCCACGATCGAGCTGATCAGGGGCGTCTTCGCGCGCGGCGTCAACGTGAAGGAGATTTATGTTGACACCATCGGCCAGCCGGCCGCGTACCAGAAGAGGCTTGAGAGGGTGTTTCCGACGGCCCAGGTCACCGTCGCCAAGAAGGCCGATAGCCTGTACCCGTGCGTCAGCGCCGCCAGCGTGTGCGCCAAGGTGACGCGCGACGCCGCGCTCGAGGTGCTGTACGAGGCGCGCGCGGCGAGTGGGACGAAGGGGGCTGGTGGTGGAGACGGTGCGGAGGGCGATGAGGAGGAGGTCGACGAGGAGCAGAGTTGGGGCTCGGGATACCCGGCTGATCCCAAGTGTTCGGCGTGGTTAAGAAGAAATATGCACCCCGTCTTCGGCTGGGGTCCGGAGTGCAGGTTTAGTTGGGGTACAGCAAAGGACATGCTCGAGTCCAAGGGCGGCGTCAAGGTCGAATGGCCCGTCGACGAGGATGAAAGCAATAGCCGCCTGACCGACTTCTTCATGAGTAGTGACAGGGAGCAGGACGCGGATGAGCTTGGAACCTGGTTTGGTACCCCAGCTGGTCTGGAGGCTTTCTGAATGGGCACATTTTACAGGTAGCATAGACATGGCGTTTTGGGGTCAATCAGGTCGGTCAGCCAACTGTTAGAGTTAGGTCTTGATCATGACATAAGTTGTATTTTACTATATCCTGCACCATACCATCGTATCGTATCATATCCATTCCTGCGTGCTCGCGTGCTCTCAAATATTGTCGTCATCATCAGCCGTCTTGCGCGACTGCTTCTTCCCACGGCTGTCCAAACTGTCCATGCTGATCGAGTCGCTATCCCGTGCTGGCATCGCGATCGCCTGCCTTGCCGTCTCATTGTTCTCAAGGAAGTCTCGAAGACGCGCCTTGCCAATGTCAACAGCTTGACCCCAAGCTGCGTTGCTCATCTGCATCATGGGTCCGAGAAGGTTCAAGTGGTACGCCACGTATGTTCCACCAGCCATGATGATGAGAAGCAAGAACAGGATGGGGTTGCGCAGCACTAATAAGAGAGTCAGTGGATGACAATCTGAAGTCGAGGGACTTAACTTACCGGTCACAATCTCATTCCATCCAAGTGCCAATAGCAGTCCGTAGAAATATAGGGGGACTTGCGCAACACCGCCAATGGCACTTCGCTTGGCTTCGACGTAGACGCCATCGGCCGTCTTCTTGAACCTGACCACTAGGTCTTGTCGCTTGCCCTCACTCAAGACAGTCATCTCTTCCTCGAGGCTCTTGCCGTCTTCTTCGTCGACGCCTCCAATCGGTGTCAAATCGTCCTCATCTTCCGGTTCGACCCCCGAAGGTTGGGTTCCGATGAAGTCGGGCAGATCTGGTGGAGCATATGTCGCCGCAAGTCTGAATCTTGAAAGAAGTGGGATAAGGGTTAGAGTCGACTCTCGCGCTCGGGTATAGATTCCCTCGATGTCGTCAGCTGGCCGCCATATTCGCGGCACGCCAGCCTCATCATATCGGAACTTATCCTCAAAGTTTTCCCGTAGCTTCAGCAGGATGTTTCCCTCCATCACTTCCTCGTCGATCCTTTCTCTCAAAGCAACCCAGCTTTTGCGTCTCAAGCGCCATAGTCCGACCTCGACTTCGTCCTCACTGGCCTCGAAGCTCTTCGCCCTCTCGACGAAGCGTCCCTCAGCTTCCTTGACAACTGAAACAAAGACGTTCCAGATACGGTCCCACAAATCCTTTTCAGTCTCTGGCTTCTCTCCTGTCTCCGGAGCCCCGTTGCCTCCTCTACCAGATCCAAGTTTGTTGAATTCCAACCCAATAGAGTCTGCCAATCGAGACTTAACCCACCGTTCGACTCGTATGGCTAACCTGCGCATCTCTTCCTTTCGCAAACGGGAGCTGACCTCGTCAAGTTCCTTCTCAAAGAGCGCATACTGTGACTTGAAATTGGACCATGCTACACCTGGGATCGCCAGACCCTGCGCCTCCTTCTTGAATCTTTCCAATGTCTTCGTTTTCTCTGATTCCACAATCTCGGCAAATTCGTACGCACCTCCAGATTTCTGCCCTGTTTTTACAGCACCAGATACAGCATCGCTGAAGGTCGTTACTCCAGACTTATGAGCAGCAATCAGCTGACCATGGTATAGTGTTTTCAGTCGCTGATCGATCTTGCCTTCAAGCTCGGTTCGTTTCCGAGCATAGACTGCCTTGTGGTATCGGCTAGCTTGAGTTTCGAATGCCTTGACGCACTTCTCTCTGGTGGTTCTACCTGTGTTGCCGAGGTCGGCCAGGACAAGGGGCTTCCCAACACGACTGGCCTCGGCTTGCTTTTCCTCTAGTGGGCCAATTGCTTCGTCGAAACCGACCAATACTTCTCGCGCTATCTCGTCGCAACGGAACTGTGCTAGTAGCTCCTGTTGTGTAGGCAAGTCGAGGTCTTTGTTGTTGACGATCTGGTCCCACACGCCTTGGGCATAGACAGAGAAACCATCGGCCGGGATGCGCCTGTGGTACTCGGGTAAGAAGACTCCACCATCCAGCTCCTGTTGCCCGTGCTCATTTTTGTTGTTGGAGCTTCGGCTCCCCGACACGAACCTCTTTCCTAGATTGCCGACTTCGGAGACGAACTTGTCTGGTTGTAATATCTTATGGGGCAGTGCGGCGAAAGCAAAGTCGAAGTAGTCTTCGATCCGGGATCCATCGAGGCCTTGAGGCTTAGAGATGGAGGACCAGATCTTGGTAAGATCCTGGATCAGCGTATTCCGAAGGTTGGCTAGAGGGGTGTGGCCGATGTGGTCGCGGATAACGAAGAATAAGAGGGACCTAGGGGTAGACCTAGACGGACATGTCAGCGCTGCATCAGAGGAAGCCGTAGACTCGCCCAGCACTTACTGCTTGTCCTTCAAGAATAGCTGTAGGTTGACCTCGAAGACAGTCTTCAACAGACCCATATTGGCTCCTTGATACAATCCGACCTGGTGCTCCCATATGTTCACGATGAGGACCTCGCTGGTTGCCAAGGCGAACAGGGCGCTCTTTCTCTCGAAGTCTTGGTCTTCGCCACGTTCCCGACCGTCGGTACCCTCAACATCCATGACGAGGATGTTGTCTGCCATCGACCCCCTCTTGTTCTTGGACATCCATATTCCCTTCGTGGTCTGCCGCCGTTCGGCCTCTGACATGACATTGAACTCGGTGCCAAAGAGGTGGTTGAGCAGGGTGGACTTCCCGGTGGACTGCGAGCCGAAAACGGATATGAGGTGGTAGTTGAAGCCAGCTTCAGCGACGTCGGTTACTTGGAGATAGGAGGTGATCTTGGAGCTGCAGTCGCGAGGGTTAGCGAAGATGGCTGGTGTGGCATGGGGTTGCGGTTACGGACTTGAACTCCTTGTCCTCGTCGACTACTTGGACGCCGTGCTCGTATTGAGCTTGGGTGGGCGCATCGCCCTTAGTAGCAAAGTGGCCGTTCATGATGACGGCTGGACGGTCGGTTGGAAAAATGCGAAATTCAGTAGATTGCAGCGAGAAGGGTTGCCTTTGCCATCACCAGGGAGGTCGTGGCCGAGTCGCGAAAGCAATAGGGATTGGGAGAGCTCCGGGAGGAACAGATTACAGGTACTCAATCGGCAATAAAGGGTGTAATGACAATTGATGCGGCAAGGACATCCTTGTTCCAGGTTGTGGTGAAAGTCGAAAGTTGGCCAGCTGCCCAGCTGACCCGACTGGCGGGTGTCACTGCCAACTGTCAACTGTCAATTGTCACATGTCATAACAATGATGTCAGCTGGTTGCCCCTTTTGGCTCCCCTGATTCACGACACTTCCAATCGTTCACCCACCCATTACATCTATACACCAGGCGACGTTGTCATTCCCATCCATTGCAGACCAACAGGTGGTATTGTCATCAACCTCGAGCTGCAACCAGTCTCTACGCAAGACACTGCCCATTCTCGGGCTATTAGACATGCATCCGTGTCTCACCTGCAACCGGCCGAGACCTAGCTGGCTGCAAATGGCATAGATGCTGCTGCGAGGCTCATCGATCCTGCAGAGTTATGAGGTACCATGGATTCGTCTGCCTTGTTATCTAACTTTTAGCTGTGCAGCTTATCAAGTAGCGCCTCGCTGCCAACTTTCTGGTCGTATCAAGGGCTAAAGGGGCTAATGGCTTAAGGAATAAAGGAGCTGGCAGTCAAAGTCATACTGGGTTCTCTAAGAAGCTTTGGGCACACCGTTTCAACATTTATTCTTCAAATGCCACTGAGTCATGCACGCGTGTAATACGTTACTAGGTACAGACAAACCATCAGGGGATCAATAGGTTCGTACAGGTAGGATGTTTTGGTGATTATGATATTGTATAACCAAAGCTTCCCAATAGATAGATACTCTTGATTTGAAACAAGACATGCCATTTCTTCCATGATCGTAACGTTCAGTACCAGCAACAAGGAAAGGCTGACCTAACGACTTATCTTGAGAGCAAGGCAATGCGAGGTAGTCCTGGGATTCACGATACGGAGACCACACACAGAGTACTTGAGATGAACGAGCGATAGGTTTGCAACGCATTGCTCAGGGGCGGCTGATAGAGCGGCTGCGCGAGACAGCTTCAGCCTTTCAAGCTACCTAGTTTCTGATGGGTATTGGTTAACTGAAGGTCTTGATTGAACAACTACTCGAACCAAACAACGACAAGACCGAAGAAGAGGCTCGCCACTGTGCGAGAGACCTTGGCGATGAGGCCTTAGCATTCCAATGGCTTCTGTAGCCACACATTCGGCTGCTTCAGCGGTTGTGCTTACTTGCCACCTGATCCTGCCAGATTTGATGTCATCAGGGCTGGCCAGCTTGGGACATGAAGCTGATTGACAAGCAAGAACATGCCTGGCCTCCGCCTTGTTGGGGTGGTCTTCGTCGACGCGGCTTTGCCAACTTCGCGCGTTCATTGTCACACACGGACACACCTGGACCTTCGGAAACATGGGTTGCGCCAGAGTTCAGCTACCACCAGTGAAGGCCCGACACCACGCTCCGCCCAACAGTCGGCTGAGCCACGGTGGTTGAGCTCGCCCAGCCGATAACTTTTGCAATGTGCACAGTACTGGCTCTGTGAACTCCCATAGCAAAGATGAACAAGTCGATATCAAGATCACCACCAACATCGATGCCGAAGCAACCCTGATATGCTTCCTTCGCCTGTCGTCCAACTACTCTTTCTTCGCGAATCTTGCCAAGGCAGGACCAAGCTCGACTTGCTTCTCCTTATGCTTCTCATTCCGTTGCTGCTGCTGCTCATTCCAGATCTCATCCACTTTGAGTCTCTTTTCGTCGATGACGTTCTTCGACCTTTGCTTTCGGAGATATCTGCGGAGGGCACTATTTTTGCCTCGTGCCTTGTTTCTGATCTCGGTCTCGACGTCCACGGGTTTGACATCCAGATCCTTCTCATCCTGACGCTGCTTCTCGGATCGAAGGTCGAGGTTTCCAACAAAGTTGGGGTCCAACGCGATCATGTCGGGTGGTAACTTATTCAGAAGTGTTTTGACTTCAGTCTCCTGCCGTTGCTTGGCGGTCTCGAATGGATTCACTTCAAGGGCATCGAAGTTAGGTTCACCCGCGCCAGGGATGATGATCGAACTGTTTCAATTAGCACATGTTCAGATTTCGGTCTCATCAAGACATACCTGAATCCTTCATCTGACCCGATACCCAGAACATCCTCGAACGCACACCATTTCACCCGTTCTATCCTCTTCCCTTCTCCACCCCATGTCATATAAGGACTTTGGACCTTCTTCTGATCAGTAGCATGCTTCGAGAAAAGCCCCTGCCACATTGTTGTCGATGTGCCCCATCCCACTGCCGTCACGTCGCGGTCACTAATTGAGATACTCGAAGCGGGCTGGTGCGTGAAATAGCTCTGAACTTCTCGAAACATTCGAATGTCCCAGACAGCCATCTTATTATCGGCGCCACCACTCACCATGTAGTGGCCCGATCTGTCAACAGACAAAGCCCTTGTGGGGCCTCTGTGAGCCAATAGCTTTACCAAAGGACCCTCGGCGGAGGAACAATTCGGCGACCACAGCGTCACAGTCCCGTTGTTGTGGCCGACATGGGATATGCCATTGTAGGGATTTTGAGCGAGGGATACTGGCGCTCCAAGTTTTGTCGCTATCTCAGAGACGATTTGCCCAGTTGAGGTATCTTGCCATTTGATGAACCCAGTCAACCCTAAGGTGACCAATAAGAAATGATAAGGCATGAATTCGAGGTGTGTGACATCCTGATGTTTCCTGAGGGAGTGCAGCTCAACACCTTGCGAATCGTATATGTATACATGTTTCCGTTGCGCGACGGCAAAGTATTGATTGTTGTGTAGCCACCGAACGTCCCGAACAGTTTCGTTTAACTGTAGCTCGCAGTTGAGCTTGCCCGATCTCCAATCGAATGAGGCGACGTGACCCTTTCTACCACCGATCAGCAGTTCACGGCCGTTCCTCGAATAGTCGAACACGTAAGGACCAAGCTGATCAAGCTTCAGCTCGAACCGCTTCTTCGCTGTCTCGACGGAGACGTTCTGTTGAATCTCGTCCTGTCGGGTTCTGTACGTTCTTTCCAACTCGTGTTCGGGCTCGAGGAAGCCGCTCGTGTTCTCCAAGAGGATCTCGGCATCCTTCGCCTTCAGAGTAGCCTCCTTGTATTTGTGCTCGAGGGCCTTGAGATTGCTGCGCAATTTCTTGTCTTTGATTCCCTTCACATTGACCTTGCGCCCGCGGCCATAGTCCCTTTGCGATTCTCTGGCTCGACGCTGCTTCTCTCGTTCGTGCTTCGGGACGAGCTCGGTTCTGGCTCGTTTGACGACGCGCGCGCCGTTGTCGGTCTCCATGATGGGCGAGTAGGAAACACCGGCCTGTTTTCAGAGCTCTGCGCAGTCGAATATGGGAAGGCCGAATCCGAGGGGTTTGGTAACGTCGAAGCCAAAGGGAAGTTGAGGGCGAAAGAGAATCTGAACCGTCCCTCAGTACATGTACGGTACCACCTACAGTGGGAGATCCCAAAAAATTCCCAGCATGGAAGACGATAAGCATGGCGGCCCCGCTAAAAAGTTGCTATCTAATCTTATCGGGAGATCAGCGCCCGCACAGGACTCCAAGTTTTAACTTTCGCCCCTCTGCCCCTCCAAAAACGGTGAATAGCTGGAGGGTATCGAAATTCCCAAACTGTCGTCACTCTCTCAGACCATAGGTAGGTAGTTGACCAAACCAGCTGCCTACAAAGATTTATCTGGAATACGTAGAGACCGATCGCGCGGTCTTTCTACTACGAAATCTTCGCGTTCTCAGATTGCGATTACACTTCGTACCTGCCTCGAACACTGGCTTCGGAAGGCACTTCCATTCACCGTGGCTTCTTTACCATTTCGATTCAAAGCCGGAGGCGACGGAAATAAGATGCCGTCAGCAGTCGGTGGGCATTCGCATCGGCCGACTACCAAAGTCGTGCACAAGGCCTTCAAATCCAAGAAAGCGACGAAAGGCGCATTGAGAGAACAGGCGAAAGGTACGAGAACTGGGGTCCTTCCAATCTAACGGCTGTGTTCCCTTCATACTGACTGTTATTTGTATAGGCAAAGTTCCCAACGAAAAGGGGCTGCGAAAGACGCCCCATCAGCAAGTCATGTCCAAGTTCGACCGTCGAAACCAGGCCAAGCAGCGCCAAATGACCAAGCACAAGGAGCACCAGAAAGAGACGTCAGTTTTCGCCGGACGGGACGGGGCGCCGAGGATTGTTGCTGTGATTCCACTATGCGCGGATGGCGACGTACCTACAGCTATTCAGCGCCTCAACAACAGCCTCGATATCGAATCTGAGCTCTCCGATACCAGCTTCCGGGTCTCTGTCGATCGGTTCAAGCAGAAGCTACAATATGTACCTGTCAAGAGAGACCTCACGGTATGCATGGACGCCGCGCGCGTCGCAGACTACGTGGTCTTTGTGTTGTCTGCCGGAGTCGAAGTCGACACCCTGGGCGAAATTATAATCCGGAGTGTCGAGAACCAGGGTATGTCGACCTTGTTCACGGTTGTTCAGGACCTAGACAAGGTCCAACCCGCAAAAGCGAGACCAGACGTGGTGAAGTCCCTGGCTTCTTTCATGACACACTTCCACCCGGGCCAGGAGAAGGTGTACAGTCTGGACTCGAGACAGGAGTGCTCGAATTTGATGAGGTCGCTTTGTAGTACGACACCAAAGGGTATCAATTGGAGGGACCAAAGATCCTGGATGCTCGTAGATGAAGTCCGGTGGCCATCAGCAGATAGCGAGTCGACTGTGCTGACGGGTGTCGTCCGTGGGAAAGGCCTCAAAGCTGATCGACTGGTTCATGTGGGAGATTGGGGCACATATCAAATCGAAAAGATCACGGCCGCACCGCTACCGACTAAGAAACGGAAAGACGAAGGCATGGCTGTGGATGACTCGGAAGGAGAGAATGTTTTGGAAGCCCCGGATGAGGACCAAGATGAGCTCGCTGAGTTGGCACCTGAAGAAGCAGTCATGGACGACGTCCCTGAATCTGTTGCGACGTCTGACAAGAGGGGTGTCTTGTTGGACGACCATCATTACTTCTCAGATGATGAGCCAGAGATGTATACTGCACCAATAAAGGTGCCTAAAGGAACTTCGTCTTACCAGGCAGCCTGGTACTTGGATGATGTTTCTGACTCGGAGTCGGATTTGGACGATGAGGAGATGCAGGATGTAGTTGAAGAAACTGCCCCAGTGGCCCCTGAGGACGGGATGGAAGGTATCGCTGCCAAAGAGCCTACCGAGGCGGCCATGTCTGAATACCCTCAATCCGAAGCGTTTGTCGAGCCGGACGAGGACGACGATGCCGAAGAACTTGCAGCATATCGGTCGAGGAAGCGCGATGAGGTTGAGGAAGACAAAGAATTCCCCGATGAGATCGAGTTGCAGCCGAATGTGCTTGCTCGAGAAAGGTTGGCGAAGTACAGAGGCCTGAAAAGTCTGCGGACAAGCCCGTGGAACAAGGAGGAAGACCGGCCATACCAACCTGAGGAGTGGCCAAGGTTGCTACAGGTTTCCGACTACCAATCGTCTCGAAATCGGTCCATACGTGAAGCCTTGGTAGGCGGGGTTGCTCCGGGCACGCGGGTCCACGTCCATCTAAAAGGGGTTCCCGCTGAGTTTGAGAAATCGTACACTCCTTCCCGCCCAGTCACACTGTTCTCTCTGTTGCGGCACGAGAATAAGAAGACATCGGTCAACTTCGAAGTCACCCACAAGGAAGACTACGAAAAGTCCATCAAAGCAAAGGAAGAGCTCATTGTTCAATGTGGCCCCCGAAGATTCGTCGTCAACCCCTTATTTTCATTGGGCGGCAACACTGAGAATGACGTACACAAGTACTGCCGGTATCTTCACCCTGGGCAATCGGCAATTGCGACTTTCATGGGACCTATCACCTGGGGATCTGTGCCGACATTGTTCTTCAAGCGGACCATTCCCGTCGAGGGCGATGAAGGTTCAAGTGTATCGCTGCAACTAGTAGCGACAGGGACTGCTCGCCCTCCCTCCACTTCAAGAGTCGTGGCGAAGCGCGTCATCTTGACCGGTCACCCCTACCACATTCACAAAAAGATTGTGACCATCCGGTACATGTTCTTCAACCGAGAGGACGTGGAATGGTTCAAGGCATTGCCGCTCTGGACGAAGAGGGGAAGAAGCGGTTATGTCAAAGAGCCACTGGGTACCCATGGCTACTTCAAGGCCAATTTCGATGGGAGAATCAACCCTCAGGACGCTGTCGGTGTCAGTCTATACAAGCGAGTATGGCCTCGGAGCTCAAGACCGCTCACGGGACCCTTGCTGGAGGAGGGGCCCTTGGTTGTCCCTCAGGACGAGGCCATGGACGAGGATATCCAATAGTACGGCATGCACTTATAGTATTGACTATTTCCGCTCTTGCGCGAGCGTATAGCAAGGATAGAGACCTAGTTTCACTTTCTGAATTCTGTTCAATTCGATCATCGTGCAATTACATGCTGTAGCAGTACTTTATGAATGATAGCCTCCTGAGCTTATGGTACACAAGTAAGGTCGAAGGGCAGCATCATAATACAGCCCAGAACCTTCCTACCCCAATGTCTCCAGGCCCTCCGTCGGTTTGGGTCCTCCCCTCGCCCTGCAGACATCCTCGGCACCACTCGCCTTCCACGCACTCGTGATCAAATTCACAATGTGATCAACACCAACCCCCTTCTTGACCTGCGCGAACACCGTCGGGCCGCCCTCCCGCATCTTCCGCGCATCGCGCTCCATGACGCCCAGATCAGCCCCCACAGCCTCCGCCAAATCTGTCTTATTAACGACCAACAAATCGCTCTGCGTGATGCCCGGGCCGCCCTTGCGCGGGATCTTGTCGCCGCCGCTCACATCGATGACATACACGATAAAATCCGCAAGCTCGCGGCTGTAGTTGGCGGCCAGGTTGTCGCCGCCCGACTCGATTAGTAGGATGTCCGAGGCGAACTCGGCGTGCAGGTCCTCGAGCGCGGCCAGGTTGGCGCTGATGTCCTCGCGCACGGCGGCGTGCGGACACCCGCCCGTCTCGATGGCGCGGATGCGGGGGGCTGGCAAAGCCCGGTGCCGTGTTAGGAATTCGGCGTCCTCGCGCGTGAAGATGTCGTTGGTCACAGCCGCGATGCTGTACCGGGACCGCAGGGCTAGGCAGAGGGCTAGCATGAGGGCCGTCTTGCCGGAGCCGACGGGGCTGGAATGGGTTAGTTAGCTACGTGTGCTTAAACATTACGTATGAGGCGGGTGTGTATGGGTGTGAGTGTGAGTGGGAGCGTGCTGGGACTGGCATCAGGGCTCTCGGATTCCGTATATGCAAACAGACCCTCCCTCCGTCTCATAGGACTGACTGTTCACCAAATACAAGATGCCTTCAACTTACCCGCCTATCCCAATCGTAAAAGCCCGCTCGTTCCAGTTGCGGCCCTCGGCAATGGGCATCTCGCGGCCGAGGAAGCTGCCCGGCCCGTCGAGGATCTCGTGTGAGTGCCCGTGCTCGGCGGCCGAGAAGCCGTCGTGAGAGTGGCCGCCGCCGCCGCCGCCGCCGACACCGTCGTGGGAGTGGGTGTGAGACATTTCTTCGCGCTGGATTATAGCTGGTGGATGGGTGATAGATGCACCTTGTGTACAGCACGGGTGGGTATATCCGGTGGTGTCACCTGCAAGAGCCACTTTGTTGCAGTGCGCAGTTGTGCTATGCTATGCTTCGGGGTGAGGCTTGCGAATGTGTGGCCAGCGTCGGCTTTCAGGTGAGGGGCAAGGTTCAATGTTGCTGTGGGGGAGGGGTTGCGACCTAGGTTAAGGTAGATACTTCCCACTTGCCATTCCACTAGAGCTTTTGGAACGAGATTTGGGAAAAGGTTAAATTAATGCCGAATAAAAACACAGCATGGCCACCTGCTGCTTTTCTCTAGAGAGGCCATGCAATACCTTAGCACGATTGACGAAACCGATGCTTTCAACTACCGAAACGTCCATGCCCATGTGTAGATTCATACATACCGGAGCCGTCATGCTGAGAAAAGTTACAATACACCATTTGAGCGGCCTCCCTAAGTTGTCCACCACGACTCTGTGTTTAGGCATGTATGTGCGCTTTTTAAAAGTGTCATTTTCCCGAGCGATGTTTGGAGTGAAACTCCATTCTCGTCAGGGCTTTAATGACCTTTTGCTCGACTTTGATGGCAGGAGAAGGAACGAACGAGGGTAAGAGAGGGCCGTGGATAGTGGGTATATAAACTTTGATAAGAGGCATGTTCTTCATGAGTCTCGATTGGTCTAGTGGTGAGGATATCCGCTTGTCATAGACAAGTCCAAAACGCGGATGGCCGGGGTTCGATTCCCCGATCGAGAGGATTAACTTTTTTTGTCTGTATTTGCCTCATCTCCAACAGTTTTATCCCTGTTCATGGTTTGGTTTTACTTTTTGTGTTGATTTTGGTAGGCTGATCTGCTTTTTATTAGCAGTTGATGTCGCACTCCGCTTGCTCTCTGTATTTTGCCAACTTTTGTTGCAAACGAAGCGTGTCTGCCCCGAATATGTGCTTCATCTCCTTCCCCGGAACGGCTACCACCCGTCACTACTGTACGTCTATTTGACGCCGGCAATCTGCGGATTGGATCCTCTAAAACTGTCAGTCATTAAACTTCTTTGAAGCTAGATCAATAGCTGAGCAGCCGGTGTTCTATGTTATATGAGGAAACCTTCCAGAATTAACCGATGTATCATGTAGCTCGTCCGGCACGACCAACGGAATTCCGAATTCGTCAAAGTGCCTCGACTGCAACGGACCGGGCTTCCCGGGGTCCCCGACGGACCACCTCTCCTCAGGGCTGGATCATACTCTTGCGTCTCCAGTCCTCGTATTAGTGCAGTCTGCAATCAACAACGGGAGGCGGCGAGGCCTTCCAGAGTTATTAAGCGAGACCAACCAAGAAGGCAGTTCCTGAACCGTTTGGAGAACAATCAAGTTGTAAGACGGGTGAGAGAGAGAGAACCGGGAACCCTGCTCTCTGCTGCAGCGGGACGACGTCCGTATGCACTCGGTGGAAACAAATCCAAACATCCCACCATTCACCATCCATACTCCTATGCTGCCTCACCAACGCAGGCGCCCGACGGGATCTATTCGCCGAACGTGAGACCGACGACATCGTGTGTATCCAAACCATCAGACCACTGCACTGCAGGGAGACAGACCTATGCCAGGCTCCCCCCGCCTCCAGCTTCCTGATAATCGCGGGGCACCCCGCCCTTTCGTGAGGGTTCCATCGCGTGGCGTCGTCGTGGCTGCATTTTCGTACACGGTAACCACAAGACCAGGTCGGATGTCCAGTCTCGTTCGTCTTACAACCTGCACCGAAGCAGTCCGCGACAGCGAGGTGGCCGTCCAAGTGGCGACCTCGGGACGACAGTCTAGTATTCTCTCGCAAACATATGCGCCGCAGCTGATAGCCGCTTCATCAGGTTCAACTTCTCAAGGTTCTGCGAAGTTGCAATGGGCTGGGGATCTACAGTACCCTACCCTGGAGCTGCTTAACTGCCAACTGGTGATCGTGAATGGAGACCAGGTTCTCATGCCCAATGTGGGTTCCCCCCAATATCACTGCCGTATCCAATCACGTTACTCAGCGGCTGCAGTGCAGATTTGATGAGCATCCAGACGTATGCAGTCTGTCTGTCTCACAGCAGGTTTTCGTGGCCATCACACTGCCGCAAGGAACGAGCATCAATCTCGTCGCACAGCAGCCAGGCAAGTCGGAGGTCATCAGTGTTACCTATTAAAATTTAAACTTCTCCTTGAGGAAGTATCCGCCAGGGCTGTCCAGCCCTGGACTAGCCCCGCGTACGGATAGAGCCTAGGGCGCTGGCAGATGCTCTCTGGGGAAATGACATGCAGGCTATGGCAGGGATGCGCCGAGCAGGCGAGGTCAGGGGACTCGGCAAACAAACAGCCGTTGGTTTCTCCTCTTTCCAACCTCGTGATCAGTGCCACTGCTCACACCGTTTCTTCGTCCTGCTAGTCGCAACGCCCTCGCAGCTGCATGCGACATCCCTTGCCCCATACACCGTCACCGTCAGGCATGGCCTCGTATGTATGGGATGCATCATGCCAGAGGACGTCGCATCGCAGGGTTGACGCCATCTTCCCAAGGCCGGGTAATTAACCTAGGTATCAAGAGCCGTCCCCAATGCAACCCGGAGGACATCTGGGTGTATCAGAAACATACCTACCTGTGAAGAAGACAATCTCTTCTCGAAATCGGTTATATCATGAACCGGTTACATCACTATTGAAGGCTGCTAGGCTCTAGGGGTCCCGTCCGTGCCGTCGATCAACAAACTTGTCCAACTTGTCAGAGTTTGTCCACTTAGCACCACACGCGTCTTCCCTTTTCAAGACCATGGCGCCTGGCCTCATCTCCCTCATCTCACGGGTTCACGAGAATCGGGAATCGGGATCACTCTCAGATCCCTGGGCCCTGGCGTGTCTATTGGTGGCTGGCTAAGATGTAAGGTAGGGTTGCAATGTCGCATGTGACGTTGAACTTCTCCTATCCCTGATCATCATGATCGATGTCCTTGCCCCGTATTGAAATGATCGAAATCCTCTTGCCGTGCCTCTCGCTTGCCTGCGGTTAAATAAATAAGATACCTTCTGGTCCTTGACTACCCCGATGCGGCATCTCATATAAACCTTCAATTTGCGCACCTACTAGTCTGAAGTCTGTGTGTCTCCTGGGACCTGAACGACTGATCTCGGATCTCCGTCGCACCCGCCTTTTGCCTTCTACTTACTCGAAACCCAACACGGCCTAGGAGAGCTTCAAGGAGCAGTCTCGATCAGATCCGGGAAATCAAGATCAACATCCCCGGCCTCTTGACAGCGCCTTCTCCGTAAGGTAGACAGAAGGATCCATTGCCCCGCGAAGCAGGTCACCCTTGCCCTCGTGACATGGGCACATGGGACACCTGCATGCTCCAATCGCCACCCCTTATAAGTACCACCTCGACCCTGGCTGCTCGCTGTCCCTAGCCGCACATACGCGGCATCTGGACCGAATCTACGTTCACCGTCCTCTGTGTTCCCTTACTACAGACCTCGTGCCCACTATAGGGCACAGGGACATTCACATCTCATAACAGTATTGGTATTCTCGACGAGTACACCATGCAACTCACTATGGGCCAACCCAAAAACAACCCCGTGCTGGTGCCAGCCCACAAAGGCAACCTCCCACTCAGACAGACCACCACGACGCAACGCCGGTCTCCCAGGTCGCAGCCGGCTTTCGAGGCCGAGGACCTGCGTCGGAGGCTATACGTGGTGCTCGCCGAGCAGGAGGCACGAAGGGCGATGCGGAAACGCGAGGTCAGGCCAGAAAGCACAGCGGCAAAGAAAGAGGCAGACGACGACAAGACACAAAGCCCATCGGACTCTGCCATAGACACCACAGAGACGGCGAAGCCAGAAGCAGCACCAGCACAGCAAGTACGCAGGGGAAAGAGCTTGGCGGCCCGAGCGACTAAGGAGTCGAACAAGGACAAGACAGACATCATCAAGCCCTCCCCAGATGCGAAGCTCCGGCGGTCAATCGACATCGTCAAGCCTTCTCCAGATGCGAATAATCTCCGGCGGTCCAGATCCCTGCATGACAGGCTGCGGCGCAAGCCCTCCTCCAGGGCCGCCACCACGGCAGAAGCCATACCTCACATGCCGACAACGCCCTATCACCACGTGCCCCAGGAAGCGGCGGCGCAGTTCGCGCGCACGGCAACAGCCGGCAGCATGCGCGATAAGCAAGTCGTGCACAGCTTGTCGCAGTCGGCCATGAAGTTCTACCTAGAGGGCAGCCCCTCGGAGCGAGCCGACCTCGATTCCAGCATCACGCCCGCGGCCCAGCAGCAGGCGCTGCGGAGCGCCCAGAGCCACCGCGAGAAGCTGCACGTGCGCAACCAGTTCCAGAACCCGGGCCGCATTGCCGAGACCGAGGAGAGCGAGCACAAACGACACTCGATCCCGGCACGCAAGTCGGCGCCGGGCCCTAGGCCGTCGAACAGGAAGAGCATATACGGCGCGGGTGTGGATATGGCGGATGATGAGGATTTCGGTAGATTGCACCATCTCCATCATCACCACGGCATGAACGACTTTCGCGTAAACGACGTGTCGTCTGACGAGACGCTGGTGGTCGACACGACGCTTGTCAACATGCACCGCGTCGACTGGACGCAGAGCGACGAGATGCACCACACCCACTTCCACACGCGCCACAACCACGAGAAGCCGCAGGGCCCGTCGCTGAGGAAGGCAGATTCGATCTGGACGCTGAAGGGGCGGCTAACCAGCCTCGCGAGACTTGGCCATGCTGCGGGTAGCATTGGGAGGCCTGAGGAGGTGATCCGCGAGAAGGACGGCGACTTTGTCGGCTCGCCCAAGGCTCCTAAGTCGGGATTTCTGGCTCGGTTCCGGCGGCAAGCGGTGGTGTAGTCAACTGTGAAACGGAGAGAGGGCTCTTAATGATACACGTAGTAATGATAATTGAAGCGATTTATCTACATCAGCAGAACAAGTCTTGGCCTGTTACGCAGGGCACATCTCATTGATCATACCGTTATACTCTTTGATTGTGACTTGTGACTGTATATGGGGTCGAACTGATTTTCGGTATAAGCAGGGTGTAATAAGCAGTAGGTAGCGGTCTTGAGAGTGGGATAAGAGTCTATTAGATTGCTTATACCACTTTCCAACCGGAAACGACTTGTTGTCTGCCTAACCTACAATCTGTGAAAATCGACTTTCGGTATAAGCAGGGTGTAATAAGCATTTGGCAATGGGATGGGCGTGGAATAATCGTTTCTAGGGCTGCTTATTCCACCACTACTAAGGAAACGCGGATATTCGGAATCAGTTACCTACTCTTGCGCGTCTGTAGCTGTGTCTCGTAAGTAAGATAGGCAATATGCCACCCTTTGTGCGTTTCTGTTCTGCTTCTCTGTTCTCTTGAGGCAACCAAGTAGGTTTGCAACGCGTATCAAGCAATCCAACCAACGCGACGCAACCAACCACAAGCTTACCAGCCTACCTAGGTACCTAACTAGATATCCTCCCACTCACACACACACCTACCGTCTCCGCCGGGTATGTGATACGCAACTCGTACATTCTCGAAATCGTAGAGGGCACAATCCCGAAGAGCGACCTAATGTAGCCGGCCTTTGATTCGAACCCCAAGTCCGTGTTTCTTCTTTTTTAATAGAAGTGGGTAGAGTAGCCCGTGGGCCGCTGTACATCTGTTAGGAGATCAGAATCTTTTTCTCCCGGAGTGACGCCACTCATGGCCCTGGGGATAATACGTCTAGGTGAGGGAGGACATTGGCGGGCTCGTAGCTAGGTCGACAATGGCGCGGCCTGTTTCGTGAGTCCAATAACCAACCGGTGCCGCGACACAGGAGGCTGTGAACGTGCCAGTGTGAAGGGTCGCCGGTGAATCGCCTTTGAATGGGAACAAAGAGACCAAGGGGTGCAAAGGGGTTAGGGGCTCTGTTACACTTAGCCCTCATAACTCTCAGTGAGCAGCATGTTAAGAGAAATTTAAATCATACTTGGAAAAATAGAAGTAATGGCATAAGCAGACAGGAATAAGCAGCTCTGGTTTAATACGCCACTTCCAATGCTTATTCTATCGTGCTTATGTTGATTTAATCAATGTACTGTTGTTTCCTGGACGGGCGGTGTACGGGGACTTATGAGGGTTCGGTGTAATTTAAGTAGTCTAGCATCTCGGCACCATGGAGAATGTCCCCCCTTGATTCTGCCCTGGTCCGGGGGAGTCTTCGTCATCTTGACATGGAGACGAAGGAGAACACTCTCGAGAGAGAGATGTATATTCTTGAAGACCAAGCAACATTCTGATACTAGTTTCGTTCATTCACTGAATTGAAGATTGCCATCAACCTCTCATTGTCCAAATGCGGCACAGTGCATTTGGACCATGTGGCTCATGGAAATCAGTCGTATTCACTGTGGTATCTAATCTATTGACGTATGTGTGCCATCTAGCAAGAGATGCCTGAATCATTGATAGCCACGGCGAGTCGACGTATGTCCCCATCACAAATTGCCTTGGATATCTTTGTCGAGAACCATGGACAATTGCTTACCAGTTGATCTCTATGACAAGAGAAGAGGCCAAGCTCAACCATCTGGATGGTTTGGCCAGGAACTGTCTGTCATCATTGTTGGTATCTCATGCGAAAATGAAGCATTGTCTGATAATGTTGAACTACAATGGGCATAGAGCAATTGTGGTGTCAACGCTGTGGCTCATATTGATCCCCCCGATGGAACAACTCGCTCGCAATTTGCGCACGCCGCAGAGACTAGTCGCTCGATGGCGTAAAACCAGAGAAAAATCGGGTCCATGTCATCGCTCGTGAGCGGGACGAGGTTTGCGTATTCGTATGTCCCAGCCTGGAATAGAACGATATGCCTGGGGAGGAAGGGTCCATGCATGATGAGAACTGCAATGATGAAATCAGTACAGCTAGTGAAGAGCGGGAACTCCGTAGAGTGAGAAACTTCGTACCCTTGCGAATGAGGTATATGCCCCATGTGGTCACAGGATCGTCGTGATGATTGTACGCGGGCTCAGTCGTATTCTCAGGGTGTGTCGTATCCCAAGGTCTGGCGAGGACAAATTTTGTCTTGGAGTGGCGCCTTCACCAGTGTGGAGGTACATAGCCTTTACAGCCATCAAGATCTCGTGGGCTTGATAGACCGCAACCTCAAAGATCTGGTTAGACAGTTCGGTGGAGCGAGAAACTTCAAACCGAAGGCATAGCTACTGCAGATTGGGCAGGTAATCGGATCGGAACATCGTGGTAGGGTCGCTCTCGAAGCGCAAGCACACCAGATCACGCGCGTAGTTAGGGCCTTGGGATGAGGGTTCGGTTGCCAAGTACTGGAAGGTCGCTCAAAGGAAAATATCCGCAGCTGTGGAAGAAGGACTGGAGTTGGGATCTCAAGACTCCTTCAGGGGCTCACAGCACCGATATCTGTCTCGAGGTTGATGTCATGGAGAACTTCCTTTGCAAGGCTGACCAAAAAGGTATACACCTGGGCTTGGATCTTCAGATCTATCTGAGCTTTCTCGATGGACAAAGCGCCGACCAGATCGTCGCAGCATACTCATTCTCCCGATGAAGGACGCCATCGACACGCCACGATTCGTAGAACTCTAGTTTGATCGATCAGTATGTTATCCGAAATGCGCCGATCATTACTTACCAGCGGATGCTGTTAGTCTCACAGGTGGTAATAATGTATACAACAAACATGGCTTGTTCAAAGCCTACAATAAGGACATTTCCGGTCAGAAGAGCTTAAGCCGCATCTTCCTCCTTCATCAGCCGGCTGATGATCTTGGCATCAGCTTGCAGAAGCTGCTTTCGGAAGTCGTCCTCGTCCTTCTTTCTGGATTTGAACATCGAGACTAGGTCACAGAATTCCCGTATGGCGTCTCTAGCGGCAGTCGGAGAATGCTTGGCTTGTTGCAGTGCGTCGAGGCCGTGCTCCATGCCGACATCCTTCGTCCAGGGCTGGTTGTTCTTACGGTAAGCAGGTCTGGGCCCCGGTAGCCCCACGTTACTAAGACCACCTCCATGCCCGTCGGATACAGGGGGGTCAGTGGCCACTGCAATATCCCAAAGAAGCTGCTTGAGCACGGGGTATCTCTGAACAAGGTCTTGATATTCCGGCATGTCGGCGACGCTGTTCAGTTCGACATTAGCAGTAGTAGAGTTACTCTGCTCCGAAGGAGCGAGAAAGCTCTGCGCCGAGTTGGACATAGTTGACGATCGGGCAGTAGTATCTGCAGCCTCGACATCGGGATGGTTATCGCGATGCTCCCGAGAACATGCGACAGAACACCTATGGAAGACTAGTGAGCAAGTGTTGACACATTGAGTAAATAGACGACGACTTACGTGTACTCGTTGCAGCGAGGGCATTTGTATTTGCCTTCGATTGCTTCGCAGATGAGGCATAAGGGTCGGGTTGCTGCCATCGTAAATCCACAATCGACAATTGCGGTACTGAGGAATGGCGGCGCTTCTATTGTGACTTAAAGGAGGTTTCGCTGAAGCTTGGTCGATGTCTGCGGCTGCTGAAAAGACGACTCTCAATGAACATCTATGGGACAACCAGTCTTGAGAACTTGTCGGTATGATATTGAGCCCAAATCCTCTACAGAAGTATCGGGTCTGGGTGATGGGGGTAGTGAATGTGGTTGCCCTGGCAGTGAGGGTCGTGGTCGGGTTTCTTTTGGGACCGCGTAATCTGGTGAATATCCAGGATACGATCTTCTGAACGCTATGTTTGAAGACCCAGGGACAACTCCAAATATGGTCTGTGATGTTTCAGGGATTGTGCTGAAGTCTGAACCAAGCCGCTGAGGGTGATTGAGCTGCGATCGTGAGTCTGTGGTTGGGAGGTATAAATGAGTGCTCCTTCAGGTCCCAATGAGACTGCGGGAAGAGCACCTGCAGTGACGACAGTGTGCTAGGCAGTGAAATGACCCTGCCGGTACCACTTTGTCGGTTTCAGAGCTGGGACTGCTCTAGAAGACGGTCGGCTCCTCGTCGTGTCCAGAAGCGGACCTTTGCTGCCGAGGTGTTGGATCGTGCAAGCACCCGGCTAGAGTTCGCTCGAGCAGCCGAGGTCGAGTCTGATATCGAGACGGGATGGTTCGCGCGGCTGAAGCCTTGGTCCGGATGGATGTACGCGCGGCTGAAGAAACCGAGTTTGTGGGGGAAGGGGGGGGGGGGGGGGGTGGGAGGAAACGAGTCCCGTGGTTGGTTGCAATGTTTCAGGTTGGTTGACCGTTGACCGTTGACCCGTTGAGATTTTTGCGTCATTTTGCTTTATAAGCGGCGATAAGAAGTCTTATCGGCTTCGTCACTAATACGCTGAAGATGTAAACACCAACCAACAACATCAACTCGGTATTGAGCACAAACACCTAGATACCTGTTATTACACACGGTCGAATATACCAATTTTCTGCACGTTATATTTGTCATTGTTCATTGAATTTGGCTTAAACGGTCACACCGCCGTAGTCACAGCAGGGAGACGATGGTGACGATGTCTTCGACCCGACTACTCAGACCAGCAGCAGGCCTGCTATCAACAACGAGCCGAAGGGCACACCCAGCACAATGTAGCCGCGTATACGAAGCCGCCCGGCAGGCACACACAACCTCGAGGGCCCTCAGCATCGCATCGAGATCCCCCAGACCGACAATACCATCCGCTGCCTCCGCCTTCGGCCCCCCCGGCAACAGCAACGGCGGCGCCCGGCGCAGTATCTTCATCCAGACCGAGAGCACGCCCAACGCAGACGCGCTCAAGTTCCTGCCGAACCACCGTGTGGTGCCGCCCGAGGTGGCGACGCCGTTCATCGAGTACCTGTCGCCGCGGTCGACGATCGCGCCGCCCCACCCGTCGCCGCTGGCCGCACAGCTGATGAACATCGACGGCGTGACGGCCGTCTTCTACGGCGCCGACTTCATCACCGTGACCAAGGCCGCCGACGCCAACTGGGCGCACATCCGGCCCGAGATTTTCAGCCTGATCACCGAGGCCATCACGGCCGGCCAGCCGCTCGTGAATGTTGTTGTCAGGAAGGAGGGCGACGACGGCCCGCCCGTCGAGGAGGACAGCCTGAGCTACAATGAGAACGACAGCGAGGTCGTGGGCATGATCAAGGAGCTGCTCGAGACTCGCATACGGCCTGCTATCCAGGAGGACGGCGGCGATATCGAGTTCCGTGGGTTCGAGGATGGCTTTGTGAACCTGAAGCTCAGGGGCGCTTGCCGGACTTGCGATTCCAGCACTGTCACGTTGAAAAACGGCATTGAGGGCATGTTGATGCACTATGTGAGTACCCCTGCCTGCACCATCTCTACGTCCACGAGCTGTCTCGCCAGCGTTCTACTTCGGGCTCTACTTCGTGTTCTACCATCAAAGTGCTCGTACTCTCACGGTGAGATGACGGGACACCTTCGAAGCAAACCTGGCAGAAGTCTGATATCCTGATTTCTCTCCCAATGGAGCAAACCTACTTTGTTTTCTCGGATTGCGCTGACCAACGTCACAGATTGAGGAGGTCAAGGGCGTGCACCAAGTGATGGACCAGGAGGAGGAGATCGCCATACAGGAGTTTGCCAAGTTTGAGGAGAAGCTCCGAGCACAGAAGGGTCCAGATGCGGCACCGACCACGCCGGGGAAGGGCTCGCTAGACTCGGTTCCCGGTTAGAGCGGCGGAAACGTTCCTCGACAACCACCACACCATCTGTGTAACTACAAGCTACGAAAGTGTAATGCCTGTCGTCTAATAAGAATACCCTATCTTCCATGCCATCCGCTTCCAAGGTCTTGTGAGTGTAAATCTAAAGACTGGCAATCTATACTTCCGGCAAGGTTGGCAAACCCGCACCTAACCAACGTGGGCAAATGCTAAATGGGTGTGGCAGAGGTGCATCGTCTCATCAGCGTTAAGGTTCAAAAACGAAAAGTTGAATAAGCAGTGGTTTCGACGATTATTCTACTGGGAAACTGCCTGCAATAAGCACTGAACAGCTGCTTATCCCACTCGGGCTGCCAACATGTGTCAACTTCGAGCCGAACAACTTTGGAACGAGATCGTTCCATTGGGATCAATTCGAGATTGACAGTCCTGTAGGTTCCCATGAACGGCTTGGCGAGAGAGGAGATCGGCCGACGGCAGCATGCCTCCCTGCCCAAAAACCCCGAGCCTCATCGACATCCGCACTTGGTCTAGTTCCCCGGCAGTATGCAATAGCCCAGATCGCGACCCTGGGATGGTCGTCAGCAGTGGTCAGGGGTCAGTGGTCACCGGTCTGATCGGGGTCGCATCGCCCGGGGGACGAAAAAACCTGGGGAGTAGCATTCATCGTCCTGCATCGAGCAACCGGTGTGGTCATGGTGTGGTGATCCATTGGTGGCGATATGAGACGAGGGCGTTGGTCACATGGGTAACGTGCAGGTCAACCTGCTCAAGCGTGCATCTTAAAATCCCCCCAATGGTCATCTTCCCCTCAACCCCGCAAAACGAACCGGAACCGGCACAGTACGTCAAGTTGGATTAATTGACGATGCCTGGACGCTACTCAGGTGGTAATCCTGCTTTACTAGTAGCGACTACCTACGGTGTATGCTGCCAATATGATGGTAGCCTGCGTAATTGTAGCAGTTTTCGTTCAGGTTATGTCCGCGGATGGGAGATGAAGTACCTAGGTACACTGAACCCTCATAAGTCTCCGTACACGACCCTTCCAGCAAGCAACGGTATATTCATCACTCGGAATAAGCATACCGGAATAAGCAGTTTGATCTTTATTTACCAGGCTTGACGCTTGTTCCAGGGCGCTTATCCCAGTATTTCCAACCCTCCTAATGGTGGTCTGGAACCTTGCCAACATGCGCGTACGGAGACTTATGAGGTCTCAGTGTATGCGAAGATTTAAAATTCCCAAGACGGGAACTTGTGGCTGATGGTGGACTTGTATGCTGGCCTTTCACGATGATGGAAAAGATCCAACTCAGTCTCAGTCTAGCGACCTTTCTCGAGTATGGTGAGCCTGTGAGGGTCGTCGTATTTGGTATCGGGTTCGCTCACCCTATCAGACGCGAGTGTGCAGGGGTTTGGATGGACAGCGAATGAGAACAGCAAGAGAATGAAATCCGGGGTAGAGCCCCTGGATCTGCCAGTGCACGGTAATGTCCATAAAGCTTCTTGGGGTCGAGACCCCTAACACAGCTTTCGAAGCCATCCAGCCAGCTAGCTAGCTTTGCGCCACGTTGGCAGGTTCGAACTTTGCGCTCAGCGCCTTGCGGCCTGCTGTCTGATGACATGATTAGCAAGGTCGTCATAGTGCAACAGTGTTAATAGGGGTCATTCCAAGTACAGAGTCAGACAAGACAAGACAAGGCGACTTCGAAACCCGTCCGAGTGTTTGTACCATGCATGTCAAATAAAGGGGCTGATGAAGCCTGTGGACTTTCCCTTTAGGCCCAGGCTTGCAGAACTGGGGGATGCATCTGTTCCTCCTCCAACCCCCTCGCGGAGATGTGTACACCATGCATAAGTGTGCAGTGAGCGATGTGCAGATGTGTACCGGGAACCCGACAGCTCACCTCCAGTGCCACCTAAGAAGAGAGCATAAAATGGCAAAGGCAAAACCACATTCGGGTCTTGTGCGGTACTCCAATATGTGAGAGACGGGGAAGCTTTCTCTGTAGCATATTCCGGATTGATGGCGCGTGGACAGTCGCCTGTCTGTCCAGCGTAGTGCAGGGAGGGGTTGTGATTCGTTACAGCTGTTGATTGTGCTGAGCAAAGACTGAAAGTTCATCTCGACGCTGATCCGTCCTACCGTACCTGTCAGTGGCCACCCATGAAGCCCACCATCCGACTTGGGTCCAGGAGATTCTGAAAGAATAGGGACCAGTCCTCAGAGTGAATCTCAGAGTCGAGTGTCGTATAGGGCAGGTAGCCACCATTTGACGTACATGCATCAGCAGCTGCAGGAGAACCGATGCAGCTTCATTAGTCACCGTTTCCAAGATGGTCTGATTATTCAGTCGCCAGCTAACACGGGCATTGCAAACCTGATCCAGGGACTTCATCACAGGGTGCAGTCGATGGTCATGCAAGGGTAACACTCCTACATCCGTACTCAATCAGGAGAAGGGAGGTAGTAATAGTCAGTGACCCCATCTGCCCAATACCAGACGATGGAAGTTTGCTTGCTGGGACGATCTTGGACATCGGGCTGAAGTGCAGGGTGGGAACAACGTCTCGTATGTCGATTGCTGATTGGCACAACTTGTATATAAATTGAGCAAAGATAGTCCAAGTGGTAGTTGACTGTTCGCGAAGGTACTGGCTTATTGCCAGCTGTGTCATTCATGTAAGAGACCCGTTCGGGAAACACGAGCGAGTTGCTTCCAGCTGTCTCCTGTGCCGGTGAGGCGTTGGGGGGGTTGTCAGGTCGTCACACTCCAACTCATGCACGGCCGTTGAAGACGCGAGTTGATACAAGGAGCGACACAGGGTGTATACAAACCGAGTGGGAATGTGAGATATGGGCGTGTGACTAACTGTCAATGTCCTGTGTAGCACTTGAATAGACATAGACACTGGCGTGTGGTGGAAGCTGTCGATGGCCTCGAACAGGGTCTCATGGACCTGTCAAGAAACGACGGCCTAGAAAGAGGGTGGACGTAGGCGGATAGAGATTCATACGAATATGGAAAGTTAATCTCCAGGGTCGCAGCTTGCATTGCTTCTAGTTCAACTCACGTCCCAGAAGAAGCTTCCCGGTGAGACGCGTGAAGTGGTCTCTGGTTCAAGTGGCCACATCGAACCTGTCGGCACGTCATTGGGTCGTCTCGAGGAGCGAAGAGGAAGAGATCGGCAGGTCGAAGGAACGAACTGGTGCAAGCATGCTGTTGGGAAAAGATCCCCTCGCTTCCGTCTGCAGAAGCACCCGGATTAATGCATCGAACACGAGAAGCGGCGGGGACATTCGAGGTGCGTGCCTATTGCAGCACCGGGAATTGCTCTCAGAGGAGACTGAGACAGGAACAGACGGCCTCACGGAAACGTGTAGCTTTGACAGCATTCAGATTCGCCGACAGCATTGGCGACAGGAGAGGAGGGAGGAGGGAGGTGGGATCTGGAGGATGAGGCCCGAGGGGAGCTCGGGCTTTGGTCAATCTGATGAGGTCCCCAGACCTGCTGGAGCCTGGCGATGCCCGCGGCGTACCGTACCGTGCCGTAGGTAGTTTGTAGAGAGCCGGTTGCAGCGGGGTACCCCGCTGAGGCGTGCTCGCTGAGGCCAGTCTGGCCAGAGCTTACAGCGGCTGTCCTCTGCTAATTATACTGCACGGTGACGGGTTACGATTGGCCAGCTCCTGTCGTCTGCATTCATCCTTGATCCAGGCGGGCATCCACCCACATGCATCCAGTGGCATCCACCCACCCTCCAACCCAAAAGCACCTCCCAAGCCAAGCCTTCGTTCTCACCAGACTACCAGTGACTTCAATATTCTCACCAGACACCCCACAGTAGGTAGGATCATGCCAAAGTTCGATTCTTTGCCCGCTGAACATATAGATGTGTCTTTTATTAGAAACCTGATCATCGTCGACGAGCATCAACTCATGGATCCGTGTCTTCTTGCATCTCTCCATCATCATCAACCAGCAGATCATCATCGACAAGCTCACTGACAAGTTGTTACTCCTCGTGGTTCTCATGTACCGTGGACCCCTATCTCGGGAACTTCTCCTTCCCATTTCAACAAGCAGATTGCCCTGCCGGCTGTGCCCCCCCTTGGTCTGCATAATAACCCGTTGACTATTATTACTGTCAGCACTCAGCAGCTGAGCAGCTGAGCAGCACAGCACAGCACAGCACAGTATTGTTGGAGCCTTGAACCACGCCATCGACACGTACCGCCATACGGTCTGACGGTCGATTGCCGCGACCCTTGTCACTGCTACCAGCGTGCCAGCTCAACTCTAATAACGTAAAGCTATCTCCATTCGTCTCCACCGGCCACTCTGCCACTTTCCCGCCGCCCGCCAGCCCTCGCGCGAACCTCGAAGGTCGGAAGGTCTCGTGTCGCAACACCCGCAACCCGCAACGTCCTGGACAGTGGAGGCTGGAGCCAGAGCCAGAGCTAGACCTAGAGCCAGACCTCAGCCAGCTTGAGCCAGTGCCAGCTGCTGCCTTCCACCTTTCTTCCCCGCTCCCGCTCCTCGACTAACCAATAACCACCTGCAACCTCGACCTCCTCCTCCACCGACTTCCACCACTTCCACTTCTGGGACCCTTTTCTCCAGCCATTGCCAGCCTCAACACCTCGACGACAACCCACACGGCTCGACGGCCACCCGCGTCCGCGTCTAGTGCATCTGTACCTGCGCAGACCAGCTTGCGACGAACGGAACCACCACCCTTTCAACAATGGGCTGCTGCGCGTAGCTGCGCGTCGCAATCCATCAAGGTCGTACATCTAGAGAGACAAAGAGTGTGCGAGAGTGGCAGAAAGAAAAGGAAGACAGCGCAGTTCACGCCGGGTCGCCCCTACAATACGACTGTTGTACCAGATTCGCCGCTACTAGACCTTCCTGTTAACATACACATACTCAGCAATACATACGAAACAAATAACTGCGGCTGTGGTACCGCCACTTCGTCGGTCTTTACAGCCTAGAGACAGGCTCTTTTTTGCGGCGTTGCTGGGGATTCGACCAATACCAAGGCTTCTTTTGACCTTCCTTCTTCCACACAACAGTTACCCAACTTTTCCTCTTTTTCAGCTGCTAGACTCGGATTCTTCGATACCCTGTGAATAGACGTATTAATATCTCCCCGACCTTGGTCAGTATATTCTAGTCTTCAGTTTCCCACCCTTCCCTCCTAGTGGCTTACGCCCTCACTGCGTGTACAAGCTGAAGTCGGGGTCGCGAACCTTGTTGGTCTTCGATTTCGGGTCAGCAGTCCCACCTTCTTCATAGCGAGTTGCTCTGTTCTGTTTTAGCTGTCTGTTCAAGTGGGATGTCCTGTCCAGCTTTCTTCTTCCTCTTAGGAGTTACTCATTCTGGTGGAGCAGCACTGACGTACCTTCAGCTTCTACGACTCCAAAGGTCGCGACCGCATCTCGTTCCAATAAACGCTCTCAACACTGGCGTTATCCTACTAATAGCTCTATGCTCAAGGCCCTGGTGGACTATTGCTTGTATCCCACCGTCGTCCACAATCAGGGGCGGAAGAGTGTGATTGAGTGCGTGTATGAGTGTGCGTCTTTGTGTGTTGAGTGGGGATAGCCATCCAGGTTGAAGGAAACTCGGCCATACACGAATAATCATGAGCGCCGGCAACATCAAGTCTGGTTCAACGACCAAGCAAGGCCAAGTCGGCTACTCAGCGATTACGCCTAGTAATCAGTCCAAACTCCTGGACAAGCTCAACGGGCGAAGGTCCACGCCTGATTCGGAGGCTCTAGCTAGTTCTGACGAGGAACCTGATTCTCATCGGCAGGACGTCTCCCAATCTTCAGCGCAGCCTCACAGACCTGCACGGCGGGCGTCGTGGTTGAACGACACGTCTCAGGTCGTTATGCCTCATCCTAGGAAGGGGTCGTTTGCAAGCAGTTCAATGTCACCGACTGCCTCACATCCAACCACCCCTGCGGCTGAAACGGGTGCTGGTGCATGGGGATCCCATCCGGCATCATCTAGCGCTATGAATCGAGGGCATCAGGCTCCCCCTGCCTTCCCATGGGGAACGGGTATATGGAACACAGAGCGCAAGGAGCCGCCGTCGCGGTTGACGGAAGTACTCCCTTCGCCGACCTCGACTATGCCTCCCGGCCAAAGCTTCTTCGGCAATGATAACTCATTCTCGCAGACATCTCCTACTCTAAGAGAGCAAGGTTCCAACCCACAGATCCCCTTTGCCATTCCATTGCATCCTACGCCCAAGACGTATCGTTCTCAATCATACTCGGTCGGACAGTTGGATCCCGATTCCACCGTGCCGATTCCTCCGACTACGGGGTTGCCCGGCCGGACACGCCCAATGGGGCATTCGGGTCTCCAACATCGGCCCTCTCGTCCCAGTATGCTGAGTGAGATGTCAAATGAAGGCGGGATGTTGGGGAAGGTGAAAGAAGTCGAGGATGATGATGACGAAAGCACTAGCGATTCGACCCACGGTGCTCATCAGCAGCAGCAAAGCGCCGATGCGAAGACAATTGAAATTCTCACTCGTGAGAATGCCATGTTGCGGCAGCAGCAGCAGTATCAGAGCTCCCGACTGAGACCACGCGCAACGACGGCTGCCACTTATGGGCTAGGGAATGGGTACAGCGTCCGCGACCCAGTGCCAGAAGCATCCGACTACGCCATCGATGAGCTGGACGAAGGAAATGATGGCCAGGATGCCGCAATCAAACGAGGCGTTGGCAGGCGCATGAGTGAATATGCCGCCGGTTCCCATCGTTCCCCCTACCCTGTGGAGAACAGGAAACTGGAAAATGTCAAAAAGGCGTTTTGGCAAAGCTCTCTCGGATTTGGTGGTATGTCGGACATTCCTCAGAGTCGCAGGCACTCCTTTGCAGATGTGCCTACGCGCCAGGCTTCGATAGGCTCCATTGGCGAGGCCGTTTCCATGCACGAAGCAAGCACGCCCGATGCGTCGCAGGGCCAAGATTATGGCGGATTTTCGGAGGGTGCTGGCTTCAACACCACGAGTCCTGGTAAGTCCATCGAATTCCAACTGGAGCGTCGCAAGACTGACTTAGCCCGCACCAAGTATCGTATTTTGCTTCCGGTAATATGCCTCATGCTCACCAGGCTATTGCCTCTTCGGCTTATGGCAACGCCTACCAGCCAACTTATGGACTTCCTCCGGCCTATGCCAACCGCCCTCCATCGCCGCACAGAAACATGTACGGGATGAGTCAACCAAGACACAACCAGCTATTGCACATTGTGCTGTTCAAATGTTCCAGGGCCGACGTCTTCTACATCCAGGAGGGTACGGGCCTCACGGTGAAACCAGGCGACCTGGTCATCGTCGAGGCAGACCGAGGGACAGATCTCGGCACGGTGGCTCGCGATAATGTGGACTGGCAGACGGCCAAGGACCTGAAGGAACACTACTCAGAAGAACACTACAAATGGCTAATGATGTACTCCCAGAACGCCGCCGCTGCCCAGGAGGGAACCGGCGCCGGTTTGATGGCAGCATCGAACGGTTTACAGGGAAGCGCTATTGGAGGCATGGGACCACCCACTCAGCACCACATGCAAGAGCCGAATGCTGGCGAATTGAAGCCGAAACTCATCAAGCGCCTTGCGCAAAGCCACGAGATACACAACCTTCGCGACAAGGAGGGCAACGAAGCCAAAGCGAAGCGGATGTGTATGCAAAAGGTCAAGGAGCATGGTCTGAATATGGAGATTCTTGATGCCGAGTTCCAGATGTAAGTGTCCTCTAATACACCCGTGATACTGCGTCGCTAACGGTCCACAGGGACTGGAAGAAGTTGACATTCTACTATTTCGCCGACGCTTACATCAACTTCAACTCGCTTGTTACGGATCTGTTCAAGATCTACAAAACGAGGATCTGGATGTCTGCCATCAACCCGGCTTCGTTCGCTAGCCCAACCCTCGGCTTGCAGGCACCCAGCGGCGTTGGTCCCGGTGCTGTCGGACTCGGCAGAGGCGGAGGGGCTAATAACAATGAGCGACGGTCTAATCCACCACCGGAACCACAAGGCGCCTTTGCCGGTGGCAACCCTGCGAGTCGATCATTCCAGCCATCTTTTACTCAACCATTCGGTGCGGCAGATGGCTCCTCCGCTGTCGGCTCCGCGTTCCCTTCGTCCGGCTTTCCATACTCTGCCTATGGGGCCTATGGCAGTATGCCTGGCATGGTGCCCGCCATGGATTACACTACCTCAGCCTACCCTCAGAACGGCGAATTCCCACCCTCCATGGCAGTACGGTTCCCCAGCCCACACGGCGCACCGTCCCCCCGCGATCAGACCGTATCCGGTTTACCGGGTCATCAGAATGAGTGGGTTGGGGCCTTCCAGGGACTGTCTCTCAATTCTCGTTGAGCCGCCTGATGCCAAGGGAAACGCATCATAACACCTTCGCTTCTCGTATTCTACTTGATGCCATGTCAGGCGTATTCTTAACACTTAACACAGCCCAAGCAAGGGCGCATTCGCACGCAGGCTTTTCGGAAGCCATTCAAGATAAAGGGACAGATAAAGATGGTGATGATCAGACTTTGGCGTTGGCCGGCACCTGCTTTGTTTTATAAAAACTGTGTTGCTGATTTTAATGCAAGGAAAACGGGTGGAATAGTGTTTTCCTTTTTCCGAACATCATACGACTCATTTGATGATGACGACGTCACAAGAGGGACATCAAGAGAAAACTTGTGCGCAAGGGAGATCGACATAGACTTAAGATGGCTGCACGGCATCAGTGTAACTTGACTTTTAAAAGGGAGGGTTGTACTTTCGTTGGCTATTGAATGAGACATTCATGTGCGATCAACAAGAATTCATTTCAGGCATCCCTGTCACAGTTTGCCTTTTCGGTTGCATTCATAGGGACCTCATGCTAGGTAGCTTGTGGGTTACAGGACAAAATTGAGGAGCATGATATTCTTGTCTTTCTCGGCACTGTTGGCTGTTCATGGGTTTGCCACTCGTGATTATTTCAAGTTGGATACCATGGGCTGTTTGCCTGCTGCTCGCTGCGTGCCGTGTCTTGCCGTATGTCGGATGTCTGCTTACCCCTTTATCCCCCTGAGGTCGGAAGGTGGCCGTTGTCCAAGCGCCCTGTTCACTTTTCCCATGCTGTCACTCTCGCTGCCCGTTTGCTACACTGAACGTCCAAATGTCTCCGTACATCCCTTATTCAATAAACGAGGGATATACCCATTATAATGGAATAAGCACACTATAATAAGCGTCAAAGATGGCTTTTTATATTACCGCTGCTTATTCCGGGGTACTTATTCCATTAAACTTAAGACTTATAGGGGGGTGACCGTACCTCAAGCCATGTATTTCATCCGTAATCAACGCGTATATCTATCACATCGTGGCTGACCATTTATACCGAAATTTAGCAGCGGAATAAGCCTGCTTCTAGTCTGAAGCGCTCGTAGGGCGCTTGGACAATGGTCACCTTCCGATCTCAAAGGGCTCTATAAGGCTGCGATATCACCCAGTAACGATCTTGTTGGGGGAAGGTATTGTAATTGTGGTACATGTTTCAGACATACACGTTGCCCTGACCAGTGTGTAGAAAGAGTGCTGTATGTATTGAAGCTGCAGTTCAGTCGGCAGCCGTACTTGCAAACGAAGGAGGTCCGCTTGGTGGACAGGCAGGAAGGACAAAGGACTATGAGTACGACTCGCTTCAGGAGAGGGGAATTGAGACAGTAGGTTGGCCTGCTGCTCTTGTCTCTAGGCACCCACGTCGGTGGAGATGCCTGGCCGTCAATCGTTTCATTTGCATGTTGGTTTATAACGGAGCAGCTCCCACTTCCTATGTATCTATCCGGCCAAGTTGCCCCCTGCCTCCTTTGCCATCTCCTCCATCAAAATCAGTGCTCGTCACGGCCTCCCAACTACAGCTCATTTGCTCGTCTTTGGCTGACAGAAACTTACAAGGAATCGAAGGCCATGATGGACGACGCGAAGCATTCGAAGACGCCCTCGCTTCCTGCAACAACGCCCACCCCTGAGTCGGCTGACAAGCCAACTGCTCGCTACGGCACCACAGTAGGCTCTGACGGGATGCGAAACATGATGGATCTCTGTCACACGTGGGTCCGTCGAAGCAAGGAACATAACGGGTTGCGTGATCCAATATACGCCGAGCTGTTGATGAGTATTCCGTACCAGGACACGACGGAGAAGGGTCAGGCCCTTGAGTCACCTTTCGTTGATAAACTCGTCAATCTCTTCCAAGCTGCGAAGGACGAGCTCTTGGCGCGGGAGAATGTCAGCGACGAGAAGAAGAAGTTGTGAGTTTGCCACCTAGACGTCTAACGTCTAGTTCGCCGTCATGGTGTGCTCTGGAAAAGACTGACTGGTGATCTTAGAGCCGATGTAGAACTCCCTTCCGTGAAAGACGTCCAGGGGGTCCTGGCACATTGGAAAAGAATGGTTACCCTCCCGAGATCGGCGCGAGGTGGCTACCACAAGCCTGTTCTTAACGGACAGCATACGGATTTCCTCGACACGATGAACAGCAACAGCTTACCAATGCTTCCAACGGATCCAGCTGCTTCTCGGAAACTGAGTGCTGGCTTCGACTACTCGCAAAGTCCCAAGCCCGTTCTCCGCCTTCGGGATCCCTTTCATCCGGTTGGGATCACTGCCCACTCGATAGATAACCCATCTCGAGAGGAGACTGCGACCATTAGGCAGGGCCAAGGTGGCTTTCTGTCACACACGCAGGCAATCCAAGCTGGCGAGGCATCTGCTGACGTTGACAAAACCGGACAGGACACTCAACCGACGATGTCCAAGCCCGATGGTTCTTTGAGGCCGGGAGTTGTCATCACGATTTCCTCTTCGAATTCCCAACAGGGCGGACCTAGCCAAGAGGCGCTCACCGTTGTCGTGGATCAGAACCTAATGGCAAAGGCCGGCGTGTGCATAAACATCTACAACTCGGGTTCGGTAACTCCGGGTCTGGAGGCCACTGCGGCGACGACTGGGACCACCCCGAAGGCTCCTGCGGTTGACCCCGTGGAAGCCGCAAAGATTGATGACACTGGTAGCAAGGGCACGGGGAGTGCTCAAGAGCAGCCGAGTACCGACGAGCGCATCACGCGTCTCGAGGCCCGCCTCGCACGTCTCGTGGAGGTGGTCGGGAAGAGCTGCGGCATTGGGTGGGTGCAAGGGTTGGAAAATGAAGGCCAGAGCTAAGTGATGCATTGATGGCGTGATATGAGCAGACTTTTCGAGAACATAAGCTCATTGTGCGTGGGATTTCGGAAGCTGTTCTTAGGTACCAGAGGAAGAAAGCATTGGAGATGTTCGGGAGTGCAACTCTGGGGCCGGGTGAGAAGTTGGCGTTTTGCTTTGTACAGGTGTCCGGACCAAGATGAACGGCCACCAAATGGAAATCTTCAAACGCGATGGACATTGTGATTTTGGATACCTACCTCTTTACCTTAGAGGCTGATACTAATGAGACCATTCCCGGGCATTTCTCAGGTCCGGGTTTGCCATTCGTCACCGTCGTGTGAGATGGAAGGTGCGACTGGGTTGCATTGACGTACCTGCCTCGACCAAGAAAATTGCATCTGGCACTCGCAGAAAATCCCCCCACAAGATTTACCACAAGATTTACCACAAGATTTACCCCCAAGGAACTTCAATTGAGAGCAGCTCCCGACTCAGACAGTTCCTTGGTCTTCTCTTATACTTCTCTCAACAGTTGCCAGTCTCCTGGCTGAATACCGCGCTGTATTGATATAGCGTTCGAGCCCTGGTAACCGCCGAGCCTGCCTGTGGCCATATTGTGTCGAATATCCTGCAACCCCAATTCAAAAGGCTATATCGCGTCTCTGATCGTAGCCACCATGTCGAAGAAAGGTACCAAGAGAAAGGCCGACTTCGACTGTGAGCTTCTCCCACAATTGGTCAGTGTCCTGCTATGTGCATGCTCACTAGACAACAGTGAACTCGGACGGTTCCGACGGCCTCTTCGTCAAGGACAGCACCCCCAAGGACAGCACCGCCAAGGGCAAGAAGCCTGCGAGTAACAGTAAGAAGAGGCGACTCTCCCGCCTCGAGGAGTATGATGAAGATAAGGGCCGAGATGGGAGCCGGTGCGTACACCCTTCTCCCCCTTCCCAGCACCACCTCTGCCCACAGTCATCTGACAACCTGTCGAGCAGCGGCTTCCAGAAATGGGCCAAGATCTTCAATGACACCACCGCGACCGAGGTCAAGGCATCCAAGGCTTTTCTGAAGGACTACAAGGCCAAAGTGAAGAAGCATGGCGAACAGATGCGCGACTTCATACAACAGCAGGAGCAGACACTGTAAGCAATCCTCTCCCGTCCGGCTTGAACTACATCATTGGGTCAGCGCTGATCTTCGTTCAGTACGGAGGTCCGGGAGAGAAACGCCGCTATCTTCGACAAGCTCTACTCAGCTGCAGTCCCTCACGCTGGAGCCGGCTCCACCGACAAAGAAGGCCACGTCCTGTTCGCAGAGGCCCAGTCCGTCTTTTCGAAGAGCAGTACCCTAGTTCGACAGTTCAAGAAGACCGACGAGAGACTCGAAAAGGACCAGCTTGAACTCCCCGTTGACCAGTGGAAGCAAGACAAGAAGATCCTTGCGGAGGTATTGGCTCTTGGCCGTAAGCAAGGAGAGGAGCTCATCGAGGGCGTACTGGCACCCGATGCATACCCGACACCAAAGCAAGACGAAAAACGCATGAGCGAGGCCGAGCAGATGGCATGCGAAATGTTCAATGGCAGCCGCAAGGCACTGGAGGGAAGCAACTGGGGTACAGCTGCCGCAGTACAGGTCAAGCTGTACAAGGCCCTGGCGATGACAGTCTCGCCATCTAAGGAGCCAGAGCGATCATGATGCTGAGATTTGAAGCCCTATACTTTGCTTCTCATCTTCGAGGGCCCGAGTCGACCACGTGTGGCCAATGCATGTCATTTGTTAGCTAGCTAGCTGGGACGGATGTGGAGGGAAAGGGACATGTCACGGGTTTGTCATTTTTGTAGCTCGGAACATACACGTATGTATTAGCTTCAAGATTTTGGCATCTACCCGTGTCCTTTTTCCAAGCTTAGTCGTTTTGCCGAGTCACGCAAAGGTTGCCGCCAGCTACGTTGGTGACACTGATACCGCAGATGAGCTTCAGGGGAGTTGTGATGCAGGAAGTGGCATACACAACGTGGTCTGTGCACAGTCCACCGGGCTAACTCCCAAGCAGACTAGAGCCCAATCGCTTAATCTTTCCATGCGAACCCACTGTCACCCACTCACGCAAAACCCACCCGCGCACACTTCTGCCAAATTTCTTGTCAATTGGAAATTTTCGCAGTCCTCTCAACGACCATCACGACACACGACCATCCGTTTTTGCAGGCCTCCATTCCCAACCTGGTATGTGAACTTCCTCTCCTGCTGTTCAGCCCGTTGTCCTTTTTCTTTCCCCTTTACTAACCTCTTCGTCACCGCCAACAGTCAAGATGGGTGCCCTCAAGTACGTCGAAGAGCTTCAGAAGAAGAAGCAGTCCGATGTCCTGCGATTCCTCCTCCGAGTCCGCTGCTGGGAGGTATGTTGAACCACTACGATCTCATACAAGCCTTCCCGATACGAAAGGCGCGACACGTACAAGAGCATCTACAATCAATACCCATGACGTGGATCATTATGTGGACGCTGCTTTCTCCTCCGGGAGAGCGTGTCTCTGCTATACACTCGTTGAACATTAGCTGAGAGTGCATCAATATAGCTCCGTCAGTTGAACATCATCCACCGCGCCTCCAAGCCTTCCCGCCCCGACAAGGCTCGCCGTCTCGGTTACAAGGCCAAGCAGGGCTATGTCATCTACCGTGTGCGCGTTCGCCGTGGAGGCCGCAAGCGACCTGTCCCCAAGGGTGCCACTTACGGTGAGTTGGAATTGAAAATCTGTAACCCAATTACAGAGGCAGACAGACCACTGACGCAGATCGAATTACAGGCAAGCCCACCAACCAGGGTGTCAACCAGCTGAAGTACCAGCGATCGCTCAAGTCCACCGCCGAGGAGCGTGTCGGCCGCCGATGCGCCAACTTGCGCGTCCTGAACTCGTACTGGATCAACCAGGACTCGACCTACAAGTACTACGAGGTCATCCTCGTCGACCCCCAGCACAAGGCCATCCGACAGGATCCCCGCATCAACTGGATCGTCAACCCCGTCCACAAGCACCGCGAGTCTCGTGGTCTCACCGCCACCGGCAAGAAGTCGCGTGGTCTCAACAAGGGTCACCGCTACAACAAGACCAAGGCTGGCCGCAGAAAGACCTGGAAGAGACACAACACCCTGTCTCTGTGGCGTTACCGTTAGACGGTGTCGTCGAGGTTGTGACTGGAGGACGAAGGACTTGGTCAATGATACGGGATGGCGTGAGGTCTTGCGTCTCGGTCTACAGGGCATACGACTGGTTCATGAATTCTGCATGGAGTTACTATATGTCGTTGAGAAAGGAACAAAAGTTTTCCGGCCCTGATACCTAATGAGTCTTCTGTCTGATCTGTGTTGAAAACTGTTGATCTTTCCGGCCGGTGCATTCAACATTCACAGCCCCAAGGACTATGACTAATGCTGACTAGATGGGCAATGTTGCACCTTGATTTCGAATTATTGGAATAAGCATACAGGAATAAGCAGCTCTAGTTTGATATGCTACCTGTAATGCTTATGCTAGTGTGCTTATTCCGATTCGAAAGCAGATAGGGTATACTGTTGATTTCTGGACGAATGGTGTACGGATACTGATGAGGGTTCGGTGTAGCAAGGTCGATTTGGTCATGCTAGGCGGCCTCTGCTCCTCGCCACGCGACTCGTGCTGTAAACGCCTCCTACATGGGAAGGACTCCCCATTCTACATATACGCTTCCTGTCAGTTTCAAAGCTTGTCCAAGCGATTGAGACGATATTTATATAAGCGTCCGGAGCAAGCGTTCATTCATGGGTCAATCGATTAACTGGCATAAGCGCTGAATAACTACTATTCCGCTGCAAATCACAACATAACCTTGGTAATAGTTGGTGACATATTGAAAGTCAAAGGCTTATCTCGTGTAGTTCCGATGTATTAGAGCTCTCTCAAGCTATGGCACGGTGGAATCTCTATAGTTTCTGATGAACAGCTGATCCCACCGGTGATGATAACCTGGACAGGCCCCGACGCCCTTCCGAAACGGCTTTCCTAGTCTGCTGAAAAGTAAAGGTTGTTGCCGCCCCGAGAAGTAGAGGGATTATAAGCCCAGAAAGGGGGGATGACGTCCAACCCCTAACACCAACCAATACCACAACACATCTGTCATCTGTCATCGTGGGCGTCCGAACCAGCTTCATCATCCCGACACGCACGGCGAGCACCTCGACCTGTCCAGTCTCGGCCCCGTCGACAACGCCATCCACTGCGGCGATGTAACCCAGTAGTGCTCCACGCTTGTCGAGTACCACACTGCGCTGCAGCTACTGCTCACCTCGATCAACGAGGCGCCCCTCACGCTCGTCGTGGCGGGAAACCACGACCTCACGCTCGACACGCCGTCGCGGACGGGCGCGGGCGCGGGCGCGTCCCAGTACCATCCTTCCCAAGACAAGTCACGAGATTCAAGATCGGGGACGGCGTCGCTGTCGACGTGGTCGTGACGCATGGGCCGCCGCAAAATAGAATATTCGCGACTGGGTCAGGCAGGGCTGGGCCGCGGATCGGCTGGGCGGACCTGTTCGAGGCGGTGGAGCGGGCGAGGCCGAGCATGCATTGTTTTTGGCATTTGCATGAGGGATGGGGGCCGGGTTGGAGTTGGTGCGGTGGCGGGAGATGTAAGCCCTCTTCTAGCGATTACTCCGCAGTGCTTGTCCATCTCCCAGAAGGTACCTACTTACAGTACCTCACCCCGACCAAGTCCAACGAAACAGCGAAACCTAGCCTGCGATGCCGTCCGCCAACAAACCACACCCTCAATAATTAAGAGACGAAAACATTCACATGCACGCGAAGACAAACAAGATTGTGTAAGCCTGATCAATTAGGCTACTCCTAAATAAAGGAGGGCAGATCTACCCGGCGAAACCTGAAGGCGACTAATCTTCACATCCCGCCAAATCCGCAGACATCTGCCAGAACCGTGATGTAGAAGACACCGCAAAGAAAATTCGTGAGAAGATGTATGGCCAGGATAAAGCACACGCAACGACTGCTGCGTGGGCTGCGTCATCCTTTCCACCATGCTGCAACGAGCTATACACCCCGCCACAAAGGACAACCACTTTCCCAAGTTCATCGACCTCCAATTCCCAGTAGTCCGTCCCGCCATTCCTGGATCAGTCATGAGGTGGCTAGAAATCCAGAGTTGTGTTATCCGGAAGGTGATAGCGATAAGTGAGCTAAGAGGTCATCAAGGTCGTGGAAAGTTCGTGTATCATCGATTACAAGCGTCATGACGGCCTAGAAAAAAGATCCTTCGCCGTTTCCCGAGTTGGGACCACCAGCATTGGGGTAGATGGGGTACCCCATCCGCGGGGGTTGCGGAGGAGGGTTGGGGGTTCCCTGGACAGTCAGGGTCGCCGTGTTGGGGTATGACAGCTGGGCTCGGGTGCCATTGAGGCCGTTGGTGAAGACGCCAGGCGCGAGGATCGACTGATTAGACATGCCACGGTTGTGGGAAGGGCGCATCGAGATCTGGCCCTGAGTCGGGTCGGAGGGGGTTGACTGTCCACTGGCGTTGTTGCTACCGTTACCGTTGCGAGCATCATGCTGCGTGATCTTTCCTGCCAGGCGGCGACCATGGGGAGTGCCTCTGATACCCGGAAGCATAGGGCGAATGGCCTCGACAAGTTGGTGCTTCATGATGTAGGTGGCATGGTCCAACGCGGTCTGGACCACGTAGTTGCCGAACGAGTCTCGCAGGAGACGCTCCATCTCGCCCTGGGTGAGTAGCTCGTTGACGATCATGTCCTTGGATTCATCCTGACCGCAGCGAAGGCACTTCTCGACGACGTTGGAGCTGAACTTGTGGCGTGAAAGCTGGCTAATCTTGCCAGAGAATTCGCGGACGAGGGGCTCCGTGAAGTTGGGCTCGTTGAGGTCAATGATGTATTGCACAACATAGTTGCCGAAGGGATCCTGAACAAGGCGGTAAGCATGCTCCGTAATCCGGGAGACAAGCCAAGCCTTCTGAGCACCGGTGGCGTGGTCAATGCATCGTTGGAGGACGCAACAACCGTGACGATGAGTGCCAACCTCGATGCAGTGGTTGCCGACAGCACTGAAGATGAATTCAGCGTCGGTGACCGATAGCTTGTTCAGGCACTTCTGAATGACGTGGTTGCCATTCAGATCCTGAATCAGCTCGACAACTCGGTAGCGCAAGGCCTCGATAATGATCTGGACATGAGTCTGAGTGGTGACAAACTCGATCATCTTCTGCAAGGCCCTCGTACCATGTTGATTCAGAGCAATGCGAACCATGTCAGTGGCAGCGTTCTGAATCAGAACGGTCCGCTCGTCATCTGTGCAATACTCCAGGAGCTTCTGGCACAAGTAATTGCCAAACGGATCTGTCATCAGCTCAACCACGTGCTGGTTCGTCTCCATCCAGATCATGTGGACCTGCTCGGGAAGCCGGTTCTCCAACTGCTTTTGGAGGTATCGGCAACCGTGCTGGTCCTTGCAGAGCTCGTAGATGGTACCTCCAACCTGCTCCAAAGGCAAGTTGGTATAGCGGTTCATAGCTTGAAAGGGTCAGCTTGATGCACATCTGGGAAGGAAGGAGAGTACTAACCTTCATTATCCTGAGCCCGACGCTGCTGCATCACACGCTGCTGCGAATCCCGGTGGGGCTGTATGGCAGCCTGGTAGACGGGGCTGTAGCCGGTGTAGTTCTGCGGAGAGTAGCCGTTGACATTCATGTTCTGCATGCCCATGGCTAGCATACCCACGTTGTAGCCATTGGGGGTGGCCGGGTTGTATCCGCCATAGAATTGCTGCTGGTAGGATCCAACAGAAGACGAGGGCGAAGTAGTGGAAGCCGCGCTGACAGACGTAGGAGACTGAAGCTGGCTGGGAGCACCCGGACCAAAGGCAGGGGCGTTAGCTTGCAACTGCGATTGGATTGAAGGAAAGTTTCCTCCAGCTTGGGTCACAGGAACTTGATTGTCACCCGAAAGCTCGCGGCTGTGTCGCTTGATGGCACTCGTGGGGATGCGGCCCATGCTAGCATTGTGGTTATGAAAGTGCTGCTGAGCGTGGGCATTAGCGTTAGAGACAGCCGATCCGGCACCGTTGACGTTCTTAGCGGTCGGGATGTCGTTGGAGGAGAATGAGGTCTGCAGCTTGGGGGGCGTGGACGTGACCTGGCTCGACGTGGGGGACATGGCAGCGACGGAAGCTGCATCCGCAGAAGTGTCGGCCTTGTACTGATGGTTCATGTCAAGGGAGAAGCGGTGCGGGCGACCTCCGAGGGTGTTGGCATTGACATCAGCAGTAGAGCTAGGCTGCGCAGAGCCCATGTGGTCGTTACCGTTCATCTGGGAGGAGCCAATGCTGGACAGGCTTTGCTGATGTCGGTGACGGGGGAGGTTGGCCCAGCCGCCGTTGGTAGGGGTGACTTCTCCGCTGGCAAGCTGAGAAGCCAGGTCAGCTGCACCAGAGGAAGCCGACAACTGTACAGCCATTGGAAATCAGTGCCCTGAAAATACCAGAAAAAGGAACAACTGTACTGCCAAAAGGAGGTTGGAAGGAGGTGTGCAGGTGGTGGAGAGAGCGTGCAGATGTGAGAAGTGTGCAGGTGCAGAGAGGGTGTAGATGCGAGGTAGAGTGCTCAAGATTGGGAGTGCAGATTGATTGGGTTGTGGTGTGTGGGCGCCAATGTTTTCGTTGTTTTTTTCTCGTAATTGATTTGGAGTGGCAGAATTTGGCGGCGAAACAGACTTGAACAGAAATCTGTGACCAATATCCTCGAAAAAGATGGCACGGGAAAGAAAGTCATAGGAATTGATTGGCGGGAAGGAAAAGGGTGAGGGGAAGGTGAGAAAGGCGGAAATCACGAAAGTGGTGGTGGTGCAGCAAATCAGTAGAGGCCTCAGGTTCGCACTTACCATGTTCAGATTGCCGTTCTGAGCATACAGCTGGGGGAAGGTATCCTCCTTGCCCTCGACACCGGCGTAGTTGCTCGAGTCCATTGTGGGATCGTCGTCGCGGAAGAGAAAACCAGCTGTGTTGGTCTGATCGATGTTGTCGTAGAGGTTACCACGACGGGTCACTGGCAGAGAGTACCGGTTAAGGCTAGGAAATGAGAGTCCCAAGTTAGTGATGCTAATCCTGCTGAGCTTCAATGCTTTGACAGGTGAAGCATCGAATGTAGTGAGGCAAAACGTTAAAGTGTGTATAGGGAGGAGAGAGAAGAATGTAAAGATGGAAGGTGCGAAGATCGTCAAAGGTGTGAAGATCGAAGGTGTGAAGATCAAAAGTGTGAAAGGTAAAGGTGTATGCGGAGGCGGGAGGAAGTACTCGAGATCGTTAAATAGAGTTATGGATGAATGGTGCTGGAGTGTGTGGAAAGAGTGGTTGCTGCAACAATGGCTAGTCGCCACAACAACGGGGACGAAGGTTGGGTTTGATCAGAGATGAATGTAAACCCATTGTTCTCAGGTTGTTCTGAGGCAGCAAGACGGCAAGGGAACTCTGTTGTTGACATTCTCCCAGGTGACCCACTCACTGCTTTCTGAACAGATAGTGAACCGTCTGGTGAAAATTCAATTACAGGAACAACAGCTTTCTCGCCCACCATCACACCACCGCCGCCAGAGTTGTGATAGAGGGCTGAACCAAAACAGAGCAAATAACAGGTGCATGAGACGGCGAACAATAACAGCACAGAGGGAACACAACGAGTAGTAACAACACAGCAAAGACTCACGCATTAGTCGACCGGTGGCTAGTCGGATCCTGGCGGAGAGCCTCCTCCTTCTCATCCTCGTCGCTGTTTCTTCGAGACGCGGGGACGGAGCGAGAAGGCATCTGGTCCTCAAAGAACCGAGATTGGGGGATGCCTGATTGGGGAGACGCGAGCTGTGAACCGGATCTTGCTCCACGAGTGGAAATCCCAGGAGGGGAAACAAGACTGGACATCGAGTACCGGTTGGGGCGAGAGAACATGGTAGGAAAGCCGTTGCTGCTCTCGCGAAACTCGGGCGGTGTAGTTGGCTCAGATAGGTGTCCTGTCAAGCCCATACCATTTCCTCGGCCAAGTTCGCCCTCCATCTGGCCAAGTTCGAGCTCACTCTGCCGTTGCTGCTGTTCCAACCTCTGCATCTCGGCCTCGAATCGGCGCTTCTGCTCGCGAAGTCTCTCATAGTCGAGCTTCTTCTTCTCCAACTATAATCAAATCAGCAGTGGATCCTGGATACCAATCGCGCGATCGCAAGTTTGACGTTGAGTACAGGCGGCAAGTGCGACTCGACGACGCTCTGGGCCGAACAATGGTAGGTCACCAGAATTTCCTGATGGGAGCCTTACCACTTGGAGTTTATACTGGGTCTGAGAGGGCAGTCGTCAGCCGCGAGTCTCACAACGGCAAGACATCTAATTAGGGGTTGAGACAAGCTCGGGGTGGTTCCAGCAGGGTTGGACAGCCATCATGGCTGTCGGATCCAGGCCAAGCTCGCACGAATTGGAAGAACAAAACTCACAGCCGTAGGGTATTCCTGAGATTCGGGCAACCGTTGCTGCGTGGATATAGTGGACAATGTTGGTACACGCCCCGAGTCGGTGGTGAATCGTCGAGGCAAGGTGGTTCGGAGGTCTTGCGAGACAGGCTGGGCCATGGGCCTGCCATTTCGCGGTGGTGAGACAAGAGAATTCATCGGCGCCTCGTTTCTTGGAGACTGCTGAGTGAGAAAACGGTAATCGTCCATTTTCACCTGTTGTTACAGAACCGAAGCTTTCGTACAGGCCGATTTGGCGGTGGTCGTTGTCTATAAGCTGTAGTTTGCGAAGGCAAGGTTAGCTTTCGGAACAGTACCCGACGCCCTGGACGACCTCGACGACCTCGACCGCCAGCAATCGCAAACGAGCACCTTGGCCGAACCTCGACTCGACCGGAAGAGCAATGTGGGGGTGGCAGCAACAGAGGCAGACAAAGCTTGAGACAGTGAGTTTTGCGCCGCCTTCCTGTCGTGCTGCCGCCACAGTGTACAGTCTCGTTCGTGGTCGTCGGCACTGGATTGCGCTGGCTGGGCGGCTGAGGTCGCTGAGGTCGCTGAGGTCGCAGACTGCCCAAAAGGGGGCGCGGCTTCGGCGCTGGACAGCCGACGACGCGGTCAGGGAGGATGGGGTGCGTGGCCATGCTCACCTTAGTTGAGAACAAGTATAACCACAGAATGCGAACGCGACCCTGGAGAGCCAGGAGCGGCAGCACAAGAAGGAAATGTTTGCAAATCACAGAGAGACAAAAGAGTGTGGAGTTGTGCGAAGTGGAAGAAGATCAATGTTTCAATGCTGGCGAGGACAGGAAGAGTGCGGCAGCTGGAGAGTGGATTGGATGGCGGCACAGGAACGGTTCAGCCACCGATTTGAAGGCGGGCCAGGCGGGCGGTGGATGTCGAACCTTGCTAGGAGGTACGAGTTTCGACGTTGTAGGGTACAGCACCGCTGGGGAGGTGGGAGGGCCCCCCCTGGTCCAAGCTGGAGATTGGGCGGTACACTGGAGGTGACCGTGCACTGCCAGCGCTGCAGGGTTCTGATGGGGCTACCTCCCCCTCCTACGAGCCTTCCTCTACATCCAGGTCTGCTAACGGCGTTACGGTATGCTAACAGACGATATGTTCTCTTCAGTATTGTAAAGTGCCCTGGCGAGTAATAATACGACATTGATCCATCAGTTGAATATATCGAGTAGCCCATTAGTTCCGTCGGTAGATTTCTGCATCTTCCAACCTCTCACGATGTACTCAAGTATTAGGAGTCACAAACTCTCTTCATGATAGGGGGCAGCTAGCTTCTTCAGGTCGCCATGATGAGTAATATTTCTTGCGCAACTCAAGGGACCTACCTACGTACCCAATTAGAGCACGAACTCGTCTTTGAAAGAGAGACGACCGTCGTCATTGCAGATGGGGTGCGACCGTTCCTGGAGAGGCAGATTTACTTCCCGCGACTTTCAGGGTCCAGCCAGGTGGCGTGTTAAGGAGAGTCGATAAACTCTATCAGAAGCCTCCACTGGGAGTCACAGACAAACCTCAGAAAGTATCTTCACGAAAGGAACATTGTACCTACAGGCTACAGTACTTAGGTAAGGCGCAAGTCCGCAGAGACAATTTTACATCTCTGCCGATATTATTAAACAACTGGACTGGTGCCGATGGTGGTGTACAAGCCCTCAACTTCCAAGAAGTCGATACATAATAGGCCGTCTGCCGTCAAGACTCAACACAAAAAACACAAACGACGTCGGATATTTTGAATACACGTATCGGCCACGCTCCACCACGTTACCCCGGTGCTGCTGGCGGCCAGGCTTGCCAGGGATTAGGTGACGGAGCTAATGAGAAGGCGCCAATCGTCAAAAATGATGCAAAGGAGGCGGTGAGCGCATTAATGTTCTCCAGACAGCCATGGCCGACATGCGGCTTGTCCACCACTTTTGACTTCTTATTAGCGCGGGGAGCTCCCGAACCGTCCTGCAAGAAATACATCTACCTTATCCCCCATGTGTATCGACAACAACATCCCAACTTCTGTTCACGTGTTGCAGTCAGCGCATCTTCTGCGGCAAGTTCAATGTTTCTGGCCACGTGTATAGGAATCTGTTGTCAGACGGGTAGCTTCTTCGAGACTCTGCCAGCTCGCTTACATGCAGGCGTACGGAGTTACAAAAATGGAAACATCAGATCGAATGGCTGTGGTTGGACGGGCTCTTGCCCATCATCGGAAGCGTCTTCCAACGGAATCGACTTTGATAGGCTGCCGAGCCGTTGCAACTTGACGAACAACCACACTGAACACTCGAGGGGCGTCTAGAACACCGGGATATGGATCTCTCGAGTCTCTCTTTGCTCTCTGCTGCGGCATTCCACGGCCCAGAAGCATTTTGGCCAGCAGAAGGGTGAAAAAGACGTATATTATCGGAGAAGCTCACGGCGACAGATATCAGTCTCGACCATCGAACGTGATCTTGAGACAACCAGCCCTGGCGAATACCTAGACATAGACATCCGATATATCTAGTATATTAAGTCGGTATGTCCTCTACCGGTACTATATCCCTTCCCGCTACTAGCATGACGCAACATCTTTCTAGCTCACTCACTCCTGTCGTCCATTCGGCGACTTCCGACAAGCTGCTAGCTATTATCACACTCGAGCGCGTTGGCGAGTGGTTGGCGATGGGTCATGCCCGGGCGATTACCACACCAGCCAAGCTACAACTACGGTACAGCGCAAGCGTACCTCATGTTGTGTAACAGCAAAGCCTCAGAAGCCTCAAAGTCAGGGTCTTCCCGCTAGTGGCCCCCAGGCCAGGTCTAACTTATTATTATAAAGTTAGATCTTGCCTTGAACTCAAAAAGCTTCTAGTGTGGTTTTGGCGAACATTGAAGGTCAGGACGGCCCGGGGGTCCATTCCCATCCCATTCGAGATGAACATTTCGTTGCTGAGCTAGTGGTTGTTTATAAATATAAATAAATAAATAAATAAATTTCCGTCACTGCTCACACATGCCGTCAAAGCCCTCACAAAAACACATCAAGAAGCTTTACCCATCGCTTCATTTGACACAAAATACTTTGGGACGCAAATAGACGCACAGAACAACCTTGAATGCATCCGTGGTCTGTAACAGTCGCTGCCGACGGCGCGGAAGGGGTACGAGATGGCGGATGGTTGAAGAGACCATCAAGGTCGCGCCACGCCGAAGACTAGTGGTCGACCAATGACCGTTACAGACCCCGTAATACACCCATCAAAAACACAGAATAGACACATGATGAGGCAGTTTTGAGCCATACCCAGGGCATTGGTTGTTTATAACAGACCGTTCTTTAGTCGTTGTGTTGTATACATCCGTTTCGTCCTCGCCTTGTCTCTTCACTCTCACGGGTAGGCTGTCCTTCGATTGCGGCTACTCACTGATCAAAAGCCCAAGCCGTGCTGGGCAGTTGGTCACCCTTCGGTTCTCGCCGACTCTGATCTCGACTGCGGCACCGATGGATCGATATCTTCCGCTCACCAACCCCTCGTGCCCCTCACACGTTCCCGATGATCGTCGACAACCCGGGATGTCCCTGATCCATGGCCTTTGATATTGAAAACCTACCACAAACGGCGCTTCAAAGTGGCAACATTAGACAAGAGCGTTAAGGAGGAGAAGCTATCATCTCATCTTACTGGTGCAGTGGTGCGTGGATAGTCGGCGAGCTAACTATTCTGGCTGAAGACGACCCCACCCCTGATCGGCTCACCGACTTTTGACCAGGCTTTGGAGGGTCTCTTTCCAGGTGAGCCTGCACGTCACCCAGCCAGCCGATTTGGAGACTTCCCCGGATGCCCTGGGTGCGACACGGCAGCAAGTGGCTGCATATGTATCCTGCCTGCAACGTCGCCCAACCGAGCCAGCATGTACAGTATCAAAGTGGCAACTTGTCACCAGCAGTGATACATACCCAGACAACTATTTTGACATATCTTTGCAACTGAGAACGGAAAGAGACACGCACACACTCTGACGACCTCACGTTGATACATTGAATGTTCTGAACTTGGATTGAAGCGCATTCCGACCTCCGCGATGGATCTCGGTCTGGAACTCGTTCGGGCTAGTAGAGGAGGAGGATACTACCGAGGAGCATATCAGGAAGGCCGTTAAAGATCCACGATTACCAGTTGCCCATCCAGACCATCGTACGCAATTTGTCGATCTTGGCTTCTGCTCCCCGCCCCATCGTCCAACCCCTCATCAAACCCCTCATCAGTCTCATCAGTCCTCTTCTTTGTCTTGTCGAGCAGTCGAGATATGACGAAGCGCTTTCTCTTACCGACTCCGCCTGACTCATTCCCAGACTGCCATGGATGGGAGAACTTCAGATGCGACGACATCAGAGGTCCAATATGAAATGCACCAGGATCGATCTCTGCCAACACAGCACAAGCCTCCTGCAGTGAAGCTGCAAGCTGCACGGTCGAGTTGCAAAAGAGGAGGGGTAGCCTACATCATGTACTCCGTGCTGGACGTTGGGTACAGTACGACCATGGAGGGGTAATAAAGAGGGGCAATAAAGAGGGGCTCTCGACACCGGGCAAGGTACCATACAGATGTAGAGATGTGGGTGGCTTTTTATATCCCTCGCAGAGGAGGGCATAAGCACGCACATAATAGTGACAGCTTGCGCAAACATCAGGAGCAAATATCAGAATATTAGAGCTACGTCAACAGAGTTTTGCCCAGAGGTGAACTAGCTATTACATGAGTGGAAGCATGTGCGGCCGAGGGTCGTGAGAGCTGTGGCCTGCCTGCCTAGAACGTATCTGACTGAACGGTACCGAATGCTAACGACATTGATATTAGAACTTGGTGGACGTGGTATGTATGTCAGATTCTGAGAGCCGTCCAAGCTCCTGATCCCTACTTGGAACTATGGGTTGGAATTTGTAGTAGTAAAAGTAGACTGAACGCGGTAGCATTATTAACGACACACGATCTTGGCTTTCATCGATTAGGCACAGCCAGTAGGAAATGGTATTCTGCACATCACAATTCGACCACAGAAGATGGTAGTCGGACATCAGCTCATTTTTAAACAGCCATTCAATATATCTCGTTACTCCTGACTGAATCTCATGTAAGGTGAGGTCAGGTCCTACATTTGGGCACCTGCACTTTGGTGAGCCCCCTTATCAGCAATAGCCCCTCCCCCGCCGTCTCATGGCGGTGCTTCGTAGTGGCGGTGCTGCACGTGGCGATTCTTCCCGTCACCCTGCAACATGAAATGGCTGACAGAAGAAAAAGTTACATAAGCACCCGGCACAAGCAGTTATGCAAGTGGCAATCGACTGGTAAAGCACAAAATGCATACTATTGCGGGGCAGACACCGTTTTGCACTTTGGTGGGGGACATTGAAGATTGAAGCATCTTGACGAGGCTGCACTTTGAGTCATCGCCTCATCGCCGCGCATCCCACCTCACATTTTCATACCCTTTCGAGCGACCTGAAGATGCGTCAAAATGCCGATCGTTGACGACGGATTCGAGGCTCTCCTCGAGCCATTCTACAATGGCAAGAAGCTGACTGACCCCATATCAACTGTGGAGGACAAGTTCCAGCTGCTGCCCGCCTTCCTGAAGGTCAAAGGCCTCGTCAAGCAGTAGGTTTTTCCTTCGTGGCCATCCTGCATCGCACCCGCTCCTCTACTGACCACATAATAGGCATATCGACTCATACAACTACTTTGTCGACCATGAGATCAAGGAAATCGTCAAAGCAAATAGAATCGTCCGAAGCGATGTCGACAGCAGCTTCTGGATCGAATTCCTGGACATCAGGGTCACGGCCCCTGACCGTGCCGACTTCAATGAAATGCGGATTGAGAACCACATTACCCCCATGGAGTGCCGCCTGCGGGATATGACCTACTCCGCCAAGATCCTCATTGACGTCGCCTACACCCGGGAGCGCCAGAAGATCATCCGCCGTAACGTTGAGCTGGCTCGCATGCCCGTTATGTTGCGGAGCAACAAATGCCATCTCTTCGGAGCAAATAACGCCAAGATGGAGCTCATGAATGAATGCCCCATTGATCCTGGAGGTTATTTCATCATTCGCGGAACGGAAAAAGTCATTCTGGTTCAGGAACAGCTGAGCAAGAACCGAATTATCGTCGAATCGGACGAGAAGAACAAGATCATCTCGGCATCTGTGACCAGTTCTACGCACGAGCGGAAGTCCAAGACGTACGTCACGCTCAAGAAGGACCGCATAAATCTCATACACAACGTTCTGGTCGAGCCAATCCCCATAGTAATCATCCTCAAAGCCCTCGGTGGTCTATCGGACTGGGAGATCATCCAGCTCGTCGCCGGCAGTGACGGAAGATATCAAGACGACTTTGTGATCAATTTTGACGAGGCAACAAAGGCCGGAGTCTTCACTCAGCAGCAGGCGCTCGAGTATATCGGCTCACGAGTCAAGATGGGTGGCAGGGCAAAGCCGTTTGGGGCTGGCCCTCCCCAACCACGCCGGAGCGGTATCGAGGAAGGCCTTGATGCCCTCGCCAATATCATCATTGCACATATATCAGTGGAGGGCTTGGACTTCTACCCCAAAGCTATATACGTCGCCCTGATGGTTCGTCGAGTCCTCATGGCCCACTACAACCCGAAGCTCGTCGATGATCGCGATTTCGTCGGAAATAAAAGATTGGAACTGGCTGGGCAGCTCCTGTCGTTGCTCTTCGAAGATCTCTTCAAGAAATTCCTAACGGATCTCAAGTTCAGCATCGAGAACAACCTCAAGAAGCAACATCGAGCCATACCAGTGGACCCCCTTATGCAGGTCGGCGCACAGGGCAAGCACATCACCGAAGGCATGAACCGTGCGATTCAAACCGGCAACTGGAGCGTCAAACGGTTCAAGATGGAGAGAGCCGGTGTGACCCACGTCCTGAGTCGACTCAGCTACATAGCCGCACTCGGCATGATGACGCGTATATCCAGTCAGTTTGAGAAGACACGGAAAGTCAGTGGTCCTCGTGCGCTTCAACCATCGCAGTGGGGTATGCTCTGTACTTCTGATACCCCAGAAGGAGAGGCCTGTGGCCTGGTCAAAAATCTGGCCTTGATGACCCATATCACAACTAATTTCGACGAGGAACCTGTACGAAGGTGGACATTCACCCTGGACTCTGGTGTAGAACCACTGGGGTGCTTCTCTGGGGCAGAGATGCACCGGAAGGGCACTTATATCGTTCACATCAACGGTACGCCGTTTGCCCTTACACGGTTCCCTAACCGCTTCGCAGCCAAGTTTCGCACCATGCGACGTCGAGGTTGGATCTCTCCTTTTGTGAGCATCAATGTCAACAGTAATCTGGCAGCTGTACACATCGCTACTGACGAAGGACGCATTTGCCGACCGTACATTATCGTTAAGAACGGTAAAGCTAAGATTAAGGAGAGTCATCTGAGGCTCTTACAAGCCGGAAAGGTCACCTTCGACGACTTCCTCAACCAAGGTGTGGTCGAGTATCTCGATGTCAATGAAGAGAACGATACCCTCATTGCTCTATACGAGAAAGACATAACGAGAGCAACTACCCACGTCGAGATTGAGCCGTTCACCATTCTAGGAGCTGTTGCAGGCCTCATTCCCTTCCCTCACCATAATCAGTCACCCAGAAACACATACCAATGCGCCATGGGTAAGCAAGCCATCGGTGCCATTGCGTATAATCAGTTCAACCGCATCGACACTCTCCTCTACACCCTGGTATATCCGCAACGACCCATGGTCATCTCCAAAACCATCGAGCTCATCCACTACGACAAACTACCAGCAGGACAGAATGCCACGGTTGTTGTCATGTCCTACTCTGGCTATGATATCGAGGACGCACTGGTGCTGAACAAAGCATCTTGCGACCGTGGGTTCGGTAGGTGTCAAGTCTTCAGGAAATATGCCGTGGAGCTGCAGAAGTACCCTAATGGGAGTAGGGAGCGAATCGGAGACAAAGATGCCACCAACATGGAAAAGAATAAGATCCTCACCAAGGATGGTCTGGCTGATGTTGGCCAACAGGTCACAGCTGGACAGATCATGGTCAAGAAACAAAGTCCCGTGGATGTTACGATGAGCGTCGGGCTGGAACGCAGGAGTGACGAATTCCGCGATTCTCCCATCAGCTATAAATTGCCGGACCCGGCATATATCGACAAAGTCATGGTCACTCAAACCGACAAGGAGACGCAACTCATCAAAGTCCAGACGCGGCAGACAAGACGCCCCGAGTTAGGGGATAAATTCTCGTCACGCCACGGTCAAAAGGGTGTGGTCGGAATCATCGTCGAACAGGAGGACATGCCCTTCTCCGACCAGGGGCTTTGCCCCGATATTATCATGAACCCCCATGGTTTCCCTTCTCGTATGACAGTTGGAAAGCTCCTCGAGTGTCTTACGGGGAAAGCCTCCATCGTCAAAGGGAGGAGAGATTACGGCTACGGAGATGCTTTCCGCTCGCATCCGCTCGAAGCGATGAGTGCCGAGCTGGTCGATGCCGGGTTCTCCTGGGAAGGAAAGGACTTTTTCACCTCGGGCATCACGGGCGAGCCGCTCCAGGCATACATCTTCAACGGCCCCATATACTACCAGCGTCTGAAGCACATGGTTCAGGACAAGATGCACTCTCGTTCACGTGGGCCGCGGGCGATCCTCACCCGCCAGCCTACAGAAGGAAGATCCAGAGACGGTGGACTCCGTCTGGGAGAAATGGAACGTGACTGTCTCATTGCTTACGGCGCCTCACAGCTCCTGCTTGAGCGTCTAATGACCAGTTCAGACGGCACGGATATTGATATCTGCCAACGTTGTGGCCTCTTCGGATACAAAGGCTACTGCGGCACCTGTAAGACCAGCCGAGAGGTTTCGAAGATGACGATGCCGTATGCTGCAAAGCTCCTGGTCCAGGAGCTGATTAGCATGAACGTGGGCGTCAGACTGCAGTTGGGCGATGAATTTCCTCATCCAAGATGAGCAATTGTAGACTACCATCAGCATCGGGCGGCGTACTGCGAGGGGTTCGGGAAAATCTGTAGAGTTTTACTGATAACGCTGAGATGAACAATCGGCATGATCACCTGTACCAAGCACTTCCTGTAAAATTAAGTGACTGGAATAATACCTAAATGGTTGCTTATGCCACTGCCGGTGATTTATGGTAGCCACCAAATCTTTCGAGTTTTCTTCCCTTGGCATAACCGCCTCGACTAAACGTTTATCTTACAGGCAGTCGACCGGAATAGCCCCTGAATAAATGCTTATATCACCGTCGATTTTCCATTAGTAGCGTCAAGTCAAGATGATCATCCACATAGTCGAGGGGAGGAATCTCTGATGAGGCATTTTCATAGTTGCTTTCTACGCTTGGCAACTCCTGAGAGCTCTCGTAAATAACCTCAGGCACCAGGTGATTATAGTTGTTCATGAACAACGACTGATGCTATATCTTGGCGATTCCAGTCGAACTAGGAAAGTCAACAGGTAGCCATAGCGAGGTATAGGTAGGTAGCTGGGCTTCACCACGGCCCTCCCCTCTCCTCCCTCGTCGTCGGCTCGAATGCCCTGAAGCTGCTGTTGCTGCTCTTACCAACGTCCTCGCGCTCGCTCGAGATGTTTCCCGTCGTGAACCGGCCTATCATTACTCAGACATCGCCTGCATCCGGGCGACAGGGGCCAATTGGATATCGCTCGGGTATCCGGACAAGGTAACGACCGGTTCAATGTCACGGGAGGCATCCGGCCAACTTGCTCCTCGGTCTGCGTTCAGCGACCAACTCATGATCTCCGAGAGACTTGGGAGGGACGACAGACAGCAGAAAGCAGGTCGGGATGTGGGCAAGACATGGAATACATTGACATGACATGACATGACGTGACGCCAATGGGTAGTAGTAGTACAAGAGCTCGGGAACGTCGGCAGCCACTTGGTGCAACACTCGGAGTATTCTTCGCCGCGGTTTTGGCTCGTGCCTGCCATCTACGGCAGGACAGTACGCGGATACGAGACGAGAGACGGGCATGTCTTGTGAAAGATACCGATGCTCGAGGGAAGGTGCTCGAGGGAGGGGGTGAGATGTTGCAACGCAGACTTCAATGGCTATAGCTTGACAACGACCGGAGATGGCCTTTGGTATGTACCACTCAGCCAGCTGCACAACCCACATGGTTCAGTACTCCATGAAACTATCATCAGATGAGCAACGGAGATCTTCATGGGCGATAGATAGGTAGTCATGGCATGGTGACCGGTGCTGGAATGTCAACCGGTGTGGGATCTCATCGAGGTCTTTTCGCAAGGACTCTCTCTGGTCGTCCAGTCCGATTAATCAGACATACATCGCTCGCTGCTTCATACCATCCGTCCATTTGCGAACCAGATCTCCAAGCGACCGATGTAGCTACCTGCTAGTCGATGATATCTTGTCAACGGCATAGCCACACGGGCCCTCATACTGCGCCGTAGCACGCGAACGCGTGGCAAGTCATATAAGCTAATGCTTCTGCCCGCAATCTTTTGCCCCTCCAAGGTCAGTAGTAGACAAGTAAGCAGAAGTCTCGTTGGTCACAATGGCATGGATCAAGCGATTGTCCAGGGGCGTTCTAAAGGGAAACACCCCTGAGGTGGGTGCCTATTCCAGTGGGTGATGATTTTGGACAACGGCCTAGTAGGATATAGATTCCTGTCGCTAGTGTAGACTGCTAGCATGCTCTCGCAGAACGAGACTTACGTAGTCGCCATCAGCCACGTTGACTAGCTGGGTTCTTTGGTGATGTACTGAGTCCTTGCGGATGGCAAGGGCAGCAGGAATGCGTAGTCACTAGCAGCACGAGTACGTACACTTCTTCGGTGAAGTTTATGTTTGGTCTGACTGATTTCATTGTGTATCGTTTCCCATGTATAGGCTTATGCCGCCTCGGACATCGTGTCTCTTTGTCTTATCTCAAGGTATCATCCTCCAAGACAAGCATTATCTCCTCGAAGGCTCCCACGAGCCCTCTCGTAACTCAGCTCAAGACTACACCTCCCTTTCCTTCGCCTTTCCCTTCTTCCCCCTCTCTACAGCCCGCAGCCCACCCATCGTGACCTCGAACTCGACCGCGCCCTCCAGCCCCGGCCCGGTGCCCGCCACATGCGGCGCAAACACGACCTTCATGCAGCGACGCCACGACCGGATCGTCGCGCTGCCGGTCTCCTCGTCCTCGATGACTTCCTTGCGTCCGTATGCGGGCCGGCGGAACAGCGCGATGCGTGTCGCGATCTGCGTCGACCACACGAGCCCCAGACTGGGCGTCTTGAGCTGCTGGTCCGCGTGAGGGTCGTCGCCCCACCCCGTGAACCACCGCTGCTGGTGATCGAGGAGCAGCGCGGGTGGCGCGAAGGAGTGCCCCACATCGTCGGGCGGCGGCTCCGGCATGCTGGAGCGCACGACGACGTCGGCCATGCTGCTCGTGGGCTCGGCAGTGATGTGCGAGGGCAGCTGTGGCTGTGTTGATCCTAGCCCCGATCCCAGTGCTAATTTGCGACTCCGCGACGCGAGCGGGCTTTCTTGCGAGACAGGTGGTGCGCGACCAGACAGTGGTAACGAGAATGGCAGGCCGCTGCTCTTAGGAACGGCCGGGCTGAAGTTCGTAAAACGGTCTGCGACCTGGTTCGCGACCACGACGGCGAGGTCGTGCTTGCGCGCCAGCTCGTGCAGCAGCTGACCCAGGCGCACGAGCTCGTTGCCGCGCGCGGCCATGTTAGAGCCGCCGCTGCTGCCGCCGGGCCCGCGCTCAAACTCGGCACGGTAGTTCGCTGCGACGGAATCGAGCACGATGAGCCCGATGTTGCGCCGCGAGACCTCGACGGGAACCTGGTAGGTGAGGATGTGGTCCTGGGATTCCAGGTCCGGCGTCACGGTGCTGATGATCTGGTCCAGCGAGGGCTTGGTGGAGGAGTCGAGGTCCTGGAAGAAGGGGTTGTTGGTCAGGATCTGTGAGAGCCGCTTGGTTGATAGGGGTGCTTCGGTCGATATGTAGAGGGCTGGCCGGCCGAGACCGTGTGGAGGCGGCAGTTGAGCCGAGAGGAGTAGAGTCAGGAGGAATTGCGTCTTGCCGGCGCCGCTCTCGCCCGTGATCTCGGTGATGTAGCCCGAAGGTATCCCGCCACCCAGTGCTTCGTCCAAGGACTTGTCCAAGGTGCTGATGGTATTCCATGGCTTGGCAACGAGCTCGGAGCCCGTGTGCCTCAGCGCGCTTCCACCAGACTGCTTCCCGGGTGCCGGGCTGTCTGCGACACCAAGATCTTTATGCAGAGCCTCGAGCACGGCATTGCAGAGGCGCTTGATGTCGAGCAGCGGCAGCTGGGTCCGCTTGCCGATGTCGGGGAACTCGAGGGTGAGCAGGTCAGTGATGGTCAGCTGGTGCTTCTCGATGGCCGGCAGCAGGCGCGCATACTGGGCGAGGGGAAACTCCGGCAGGATGCGCGACAGATCTGTCATGGGTGAGGCAGATGCAGCATTTGAGGGTGCGGTCTCCGAGCCCGTGCACGCCTCTGGAGTCTGGAGCTTGGCTGTCTTGGTATTTGATATGTGAGATCAGCTGCTGACTGCTGTTAGGTTTCACCAATTGAGAAAGAGGCCGAGGTTGTGGTCCTGTAAAAGGTGAGGCTCTGAGAGCATGGTGGGTCCAGTCGGGTCTCTGTTCGCCCGGTCTGACTGCTGCCAAGGCGTGGCCCCCCTGAGGGTTCTTTGGTGAGGCTGAACAGTGGCTGACTGCCCCTGGTAACTGCCCCGGCGACTCGCTTATCTGTGCCACTTTGATGCTAGCGTACAGCCTTCCAAGGTTGGCTTCCAGTCTTCCACGTTCAACACACATCTGGACTTCATGGTCATGATGGTCTTCCAGCCTCTCTTCCCGGTACAAGTTACAACCTATCAGGAAACCAGCTTGTACCATATTGCTGCTACGCGATGGTGAGGTCCGAATTCTGGATTGTTGTCATTGGTGTGTCTAGCAAGTGCAAGACCCCACACGGGCAGACAGGGTCCTTGTATCTGAGGAATGCTTCTTTGGGACAGTCGAACGAAGTGTCTCAGACAACGTCGACTCATCTTACCTCGTGTTCGTTCTGTACACCAGCTGCCAGATGGTTTCTGACTGGAATGTATACTACGCGACATCTCACTGATTCTGGATTCTGGAGTCTGGACAGCATCAACCTCGAGTCTCGACCTGACAGGGGAAGAGCTCGCCAGGTTTGTACAGAACCACCATCAGCACGCCATACGGACTGCCTGCTCTGGACCTGGGTTGATCGTGACAGAGGCTGCCAGAGTATTCAGCCGCAGTGCAACAGTCGCCGACCCGTCTGGCGTTGAAGTCATTTTACTTACTTGACAATGCAAGCGACCTTCAGACACTACAGACGTCCCGAATATGGGTATACTGTTCTTCATTGATCGGTGCTCTGATCCGTTATAATTCTCCAGACTACCCTTACTCTAGATACCTGGAAAGCACGGCAGCTTCCAGGGTCCCGTGGTAAGTCAATAGTTCCTTGGCGAGCATACCGAGAGACCCTTCGGGCTTTCAGCTCCTGCAAGCCACACATACGTGTATACTTTCCTATTGGATATTGCTGACCCTTGATGCCTCGTCTCCAATCTCCCCTCACTCGACTCTACAGAAAAAGGAAAGGCTCGAGGCTGCTTGGGCACTCCCGATGGACGTGAGAGATTACGCATTGCCAGAGATATGTGTGGAATGTGGACCTGTGCTACCTAAAGAGGATATATATGCTTGGGCTTCATAAAAGATGCTACAGTCCCTTCACCCGCAGCCGGGTGGTAGCTGTCCCCCTCTCTTTCTCTCCATTGCTATGGTCTCGACTACTCTCGTCACGCCCATCTAGTTGTGCGTCTCTCAGCCTTACACCAGTGAAACGGGGGCGTTTATACCCTGCGATCTTGAGCTATTACGAGTAGACACACACACAGTTATCACAATGGCGACTTTGTTTACTACCGCGGTCATCATCACCGCGGTACAAGGACTGGCCTTCGATGGCAAGCCGCCGAGGGCGACAAATGCTGTTGTGCCGGATCCGACGTATCAGCTGCCCGAAATCACAGAACCACCCAGCGTGCGTGATTTATTCAAGAGACAAAACGGACAGACGGTTCTCGTGGGACCAGATAACACCTGTGGATTCGTCGACGGCAGACCCGGCGCGGCCTACACTTGCGCCAGTGACTACACCTGCGCTCTGGTGACGACTTCGTCCGGCGGCGCCATTGCGTGCTGTGACAGCAGCGACTGTGGTCTCCGCGTGGACTGTCTCGATTATGTGGACATCTACTATAGTAGCTCGTGTAACAACGGCTGTCTTGCAGACACGTTTACGGCCAAATGGTAAGGCACTGAACCAGTGACTAATTCAGTGCTTCGCTAACATCTCTATAGCACAAATATAGATTACCCCTATTGCGGAACGGTCACACTCTTTGACGGGATCATCGACTATTACTGCAATTCACTCAGCATATCAACACCAGAGCAGCTCTACACTACCTATGACGGTGAAACCGACGGGCGAAGCTTCACCGAGGTTGTCGTCACGCTTTCCAGTGACACTTTCGCATCGGAAGCCACACAAAATTCGGGTAATGACGGCGACGATAACACACAGACCTCTCCTATAAACTCCCCAGCTGCGAGTCCCTCGTCTGGTGGCGGCACCAAGGGCGGTTCATCCAGCTCACCAAACTCATCAGGTTCGAACTCCGGCTCGTCCAAATCCTCAACACCCATCGGTCCCATCGTAGGAGGCGTAGTCGGCGGAGTCGCCGTCCTCGCCCTGGTCGGCCTCGGTCTCTTCTTCATCCTCCGCCGCAACAAGAAGAATAAGAACAAGGACCAACCAGCACAAGAAATGATGCACCAGGCACCCGGGCCCAACGGACCGACACCGCCCGTGGTGGCCGGTGGCTACCAGCAGCCCCCCTACAATAACAACGCGCCCTACGGCCAGCCGCAATACGCAACACCAACACCGCCGGCCCAGTCCCCACCACAGGGCTACTTTGCCGCCGACCAGAAGCCCAACGCCTTCGTCGGCCTCTCGCCCGCTTCGCCCGACAGGAACAACTCCACGAGCCCCGTGTCGCAGATCACGGACGCGAATCACAGCAGGCAGAACGTGCAGCCGACGAGCCCGACCAGCACGGTCAACTCGTGGGGGGCAGGGCAGGCGTCACAGACGGCGTTCCATGGCGCCCAGCCTAGTGTACCGCCTACGGTACATGAGGCCGGTGGCAACGTTGTCGGGGAGAGGGGTTATGATAATCACCGGGGGCAGTTCCATGAGCTGGGGCCGTAAGGGGGGGGGGGGGGGGGGGGGGGGGGGGGGGGGTTCGGCTACCTATCGGCCCCGGGCCTTGCGGGTGTTTGGAAGAGAGATGGTTAATGCTTGGTTTATGTCAGCCGTGCGTGTGGAATTTGTAATGCGTCTCTGCATTGTGATGGAGTTCTTGAAGGCTTCTGGGGAGCGCGCTGGATATGATAGATTGAGTAAGTATTCTCATAGATGTAATGCATGGCTTATATCCCCACGGTAGACTTGAATGCGCCTCCACGGCTATGTGGAAGGGGAACACCACTCGTTGTAAGACAATGTCACCAAGGGGTCAAGAGTCATCGTTTTCCAAGCAGTCACACTGCAAACCTTAAAAGCGCCTATCGCTCACACACGGACATGCCGTACAAGACATATATGGTAGTTTATCATGTTAACTTGGTAGCCGGGTTGGTAGGGCCTAGCGGAGTATTCTTACAGATTATCCTTATAGATCATTCTTAGGTACAGCGGTTCGATTCCTCTAGCGGCTGAAACATTTTCTTTTTGTTTCTGGCCATCCCCACCGGGACCTCGCAACCAGCACGCTCCCCAACGAGAACATGTCACTTCCACTTCCAGTCCCAGTGCCAGCATTCTCGTCCCATAAGAACCTGGCCAGCTTAATACCAATATGAGAGCCCAAAGAGAAGGGGATGATGCTCTAGGTACTTGCCTCGGTGGTCTTCCTTGCATGAGATGCTATAGGCCGGCAGGAAGTCACGATTATTTGTTCATGTATCGGCTCACCTAGCATGAGGTGAGTCAGGAGGCCGGTCTATTAATGGACATTGTAGTGTGTAGGTGAACCTGTGAGATATTGTAATACTAGAGTATCCCCGAGAAGGGGGTGGGGGGACGCGGACTTAGATACATAGACACCAGGAGGGACGCAGTAGTGAAGGCCACGAAATCAGTCATAAAACAAAGACCCAGTCTAGCCAGACCAGCACGAGCCCGCAGTATTCTCGTAATACAAACATGAAGCACAATCTTCTGCCATGCCATAATGCCAGGTACATCGCCGCCTCATGCCACGCCCCGCTTCATCACAACACCATCCTTACAAGCCACAGCCCTCCTCCTGACGCCTTGAGTCATCTCGTCACAATAGATATACACCACAGCCGCCCGCTGGCCATACCAACTCTCCACGATGGACTAACTCAATACTCGACAAGCCGCAACTTCTTGCCTACATCCCTCCTCCTCGCATTCGCAGCCGCCCTTTCAGATGCCTTCGACTCTCCCTGATCGAAGGCTTGGCCGCGCGCCTTCAGGGCTTGCAGGAGCATGCCAGCGTCGAAGAATCCATCTGCGAGTACAGTCAATATACATCCAGGCGCTGAACAGCCATCAGAAATGATTGAGACTTACAGCCGCCCAGCTCATCATCCTCGCTCATTGTGAGGCTCTCGTCGGTCGGCGACCGGGTCCCCGTCGACGACTTGTTGGCCTGGGCCCTCAGGCCCTCGGTGCCCGTGATCATGCGGCCGCGGGCCTTGAGCCGGCTGTTCGCCTTGACCTTGCTGATGTCGATCTCGCGCGCGCGGCTCTGCTTCGTGCTCGTCGACTTGCGGTTAGTGATGCGCAGCACGCGCCGGATCTCGAGCAGGTAGCTCTCGAGCGTGTCGACGAACCGCTTGGTCTGCCGGTGCTTGCTCGAGACGCAGATGTTGATGCTCTCGTCCTTGATGATGTAGCCGATGCCGAACCCGTCGGCCGACGTCGGCCCGAAACCGAATTGACGCAGGGACGGGTTGCCGCAGTTGGACGTCGACAGGATCGTCTGGTTCAGCTTGTCCCAGCCGTGGTCGGCGAAAATGTGCGGGACCGGGTGCGAGTCCCTTGCGCGGGAGTTGGTGCTGTCACCGCGGCCACGTGCCTTGATATCGGCGCCCATCGCCATCCCGGATTCGCTGCCCGGGCTTCCAACCACTGACCCATGCTCTGAGTTGCTCTCTAGTGGGCTCGAGTATCCTGTGCTGCTTGGAGAACGACTGTTTTCTTCGTCGAGGGACCGCTGCCACAAGCAGAAAAGCGCATACAGATGCCTGTCGCAACCTTCTGCCTTGGCGCACATCTTGGTGCTCGTGACATGCTGTTCGCATGCTTTTCGCAACGCCTCAACCTTTGCCTCGGCCGGGTGGTCAGCCCAGAATGTCTGGACAAAGTTCACCGAGTCCTCCGTCACGGGTCTGATAGCTTCCGTCCTGCCATGAAGGAAGACCTTGGTCATGGCTGGCTCGTAGCTACACTCGACTCGGCCGTATAAACCATAATAGGCGGCCTGGAAAGCCATCTGCACGAAAGCATCGGGCGAGAAGCCCATCGAGGTGATGAAGTTCTTGCCATAGCCGCTGAAGTCTAGACATTCAAACTCGTTCTGACTTATCAGATCCGCGAGTCTTGTCTCTGCGAATCGCACGGCGATTCTGAGCTCCGGTGACATATCCCATTCCAACTTGTGGGGGGTCGCGTTGACATCTCCGAAGCTCTCGGGGTCCCTCTTTGACGGATCTGGACTTGTGGTCTTCCAGAGACTCGGTGCCTTGCCGTTGATGGTCCTCGCGAAACGCAAAATCGTGTCTGTGTATAGATCGCTAGCAAATCGAAGCACAGTATGGCCGTCCACACCGGTATGCTCGAAGTTGATACCGGCACTGCCGTTTTTGCAGACGATAATCTGGAGTTTGTCATACCAGCGGTTAACGCATGTGCCGATTTGTATGCCTTTGACAACCTCGTTCGTGCCGCACAGCATATTTTGACATAACGCGGCCGCAGTCTCTGGTTCCGTGTAATCCAAATCGAGCATGAATAAGGCAGAGTCGACGATGCCCAGACAGTCTGCATTGTTAGACCCCTCTTCTCTGGTGAGTATATCTCTCAATCCGGACCACGTCTTCCTATTCTCCGTGCTCAAAATCCCTAGTGCACCCTTGGCGGCTTCTTGAATTGGCATTTGCGTAGCATCATCGACTATGGTTTGCAGATTGATCGAAATATCCTTTTCGCTCATGATAAGATCTGAGTTGTCATCAAGTACGTCAAACCAATAGAACTGGCCGTGACAAAGCACCACAATATGTTTGGACTCGGGATCTTGTTCGATCTGGCAGCCGTGATCTGTGGGGACCCGAGCAGTGCCAAACAGTCGAGAGTACTGATACATACACAAAGGTCGTCCCTTGATGGTGTCCGGAGGCAATTCTTCTCGACGGACCGCTCGTACGAACTCTAATGCCGACACAACGAGAGATGCCGCGCGGGTGACCTGATTGTTCCTCGCAGGGGTAGGATCATCCTCGAGTAGGAAGAACGGGTTCAGGTTGAGGACAACAGGGTTATCGAAGTTGAGATATGAGTCGTACCCTGTGCTTGGTTTAGTCCATGTGCCATCTGCTACTTGATTGAGAGAGACTCACAAAACTGCTCTATGTAGCTGGTTTTACCCACTGCATACTGCTGTAGCTTCTCTTGGAGATCCGGTCCGTCTGATTTCAAGAACTCCTGAACGGCCATCTTTGTTTCTGCATGTTCCCTCTGCCCTTGGAGCGGCTTCAAGGCAGCAAGGTACTTCTGGCAGGTACTCTCCAGGTCCGGGATGGGCAATTTGGCGAGTTCATCCTGGCCCGCAAATGTGATGCCGCCTTCTTTGGACTTGTCTGTAATCGCCATGATGGAGGAGCGAATTCTAGTCTTGGGGCTCGTTAGTTTGCCGTTGGTATAATCTGTATGACTTGACCGAGGTATAGAGGTGGGTGGGTTGGCAAGAGTCTCGTCAAGTGACTGTGGCATAGCAAAGATGCGAACTTGGGTAGGCATTTTGGCTGCTTGGTCGGAAATCAAGCGTATAGAGGCGAGACGGAGGTGCTGATATTCAAGCCGCGCAAAGCTGTGCGGTAGAAGTAATGGCAGTCTTGAAGGCAGTAGGGTGGCATCCCAGTAGGCTCATCCACTTGGGGAGTAACAAACAACGTGGTGGTACAGCGAGGTGAGACGAAAGCATCCAACTAAGACGGAGAAGACCAACTGAAAGTGTTAAAACATCAAAGACCGAGTATGAGGGAAGTCATATAAATAATAGACCGTGAGTGGAACCGCGGCTAGCATCCCGAGAAGTGAGGTATCGCCCGAAGTACATGCCAATGGCCACTATCACGTGTGCGAATGGAGAATCCCCCTGTGTCGCAAGCCAGAGACGTAATTGGCCATGGGAGACTGGAATAGGCTGGAGACTCATCCGCAGGACCGACGATATATAATGTGCATGCAGAAACCTGGCAATCTGCCGAGACTTCTGGATAATGCAACCAGATGCAGAGAGTATATCAAACAGCACGTACCTTCGGCAAGGGGAGCTCTTGCAGCCAACGGCCTGAGGTCCTCGCGCAGAGATAATGAGGTTACCCTGAGATGGCGAAATGCATGTGGCAGATAGTCAGCCAGACTGACGGGCTTCAATGAATGATGTTCGTCTAGGGAACAACATCAGTATTAGAGCTGTAGTATCACGGTAGTCGTTCGGGTCATATCGCTGCATTTCTTCCGCTCACCCGGAGAGTCACGAGGGGTGCTGGGCAGTGGGCGAAATGGTGACAGCTGCCTTGCCGTCGGCTAAGACAACTAGACACCATCTGGCAGGGCAGCTTGGCTGAAGCATGAAGCATGGAGCAATGAAGCGTGACTCGGACAACAGTACACGTAGCAGGGCAGTCTGGGGTGAGACCCACCAGGCAGGTTATATTGCGCGGGTGACGACGGGCAATTCACCAACCCCACGGGGAAGGGGGAAGGGGGAAGGGGGAAGCTTGTCGCGAGGAGTGACAGAGAGTTTCGTGGGGTTCGTGGCCTGCGTGGGTCGCCTTCGGGCAAGTGGACCGCTTCTGGTTGGGCAGCCGGGACTCGGGGACTCGGGGGAACGGCGCAATCAGAGCTCCAGGAATCGATCACCTCAACAGTCTGCCGGGGGCAGCACGCGTCTGTTTGCTTGTCGCGGATGTTCGTGTCGTCAGTGCAAGGTTTTGTCAGGCAGAGGACTTGGTATATTAACAAGAGTTGGTCTGGAAGAGAGCGTCCAGGTGATAATGTTCCGAACGAGCCGAGTGGGGTCAGAAGACGGGAACACGGCACTGGGACAACGGCGGCGGCGGCGGCTTGCGACCCCAGAATCCAGCCACATCTATTGGCCTGCATCGTGGGACAACAAGCAGGTGAGCAGTTGCCAGTTGGGGAGTGAGTGACTGCCATCAAATGTCAGCGTCGTACATGTCAGTCCATACATGGCTACCTACCTAGAAGAGGTAGGTAGTTACGATTAAGGGCTATCTAGCCATATATACGTTAACATGTATGCGACAACACGACGGCAATGACGACGTTAGAAAACGTAGGTACTTTTGTCGGGGGGCACACAGCTTCAAAAGGGGGCATAAACAGTCTGACGGCTACATAGACCATGCGCCTTCATGTGGCTTTTACTCTTCGATCCGCGCAGAATACGGGGAGGCTGTTCGGAATAGCTTCACATATCTTCTCACGTGTACTGTCCCAGCCTCAGGGCTGCGCTTATGCCCAGGCAACTATCGTGTGGTATCTTATGAACAGTGACTTTGCTTTGCGGCACTTTGAATACCAGGTATAAGAAGACCATCTGTTCACCCATACTCTCCAGAATTTCAGTCCATCAGCATACAACATCATTCAATCTCTCGTTCACGTTTTCATTCTTCAGATCTTTCAACTTTTCATTCTCATTTCTAATCTGAACACTCGTTCCTAATTTGAACACTCGTCTCTACGGTCCAAAACCCCAACTCACTCATAATGTCCGTCAAGAGCATCATCGCCTCGCCTACCCCCTTTGTTCGTGAACAGGGCCAGGGGCAGAAGGAGAAGCGCATCGCCAACGGCAAATGCGAAGCCCACATCTATGCCGACAGTACGTCAAGCCCTGCCATCCACAGTCCATCCCATCAGAAAAGGGGCTAACCTGATTTTCCAGCGTCCGTCTGGGGGACACTCCCTATCAACTATACCACAAAATGGAGAATTGACGTCACGGACAACAGCGGGAACACAGTCGGCCACTTCGATGGCACGAACCCAGAAGGCATCCGCATCGGCATGGGCACCGAGTACCAACTGTGGATCGACGGACAGCCCAACCTCCAAACAGCCGACGTGGCTGGCACGAAGAACTGGGCTCTCACCATTCAGTACGGCCTCAACGGGCAGAATTTTAACAGCCAGTCGTGCTACAGGTACCTTGACAAGGCCGCCAGGGAGAGCAATGTCGGTAACATGGGCATCTGGCTCGGAGCGGTAGCTGTTGCAGAATTATCCTCTCATAGCTTATCGGGGGTCCGTTGAACTCGGCTCGGTGTTTGGATGTACCCCTTAGACCACAGAGCCCGGAAATATCTCAAGGTCTCTTTTGACGGATTAGAGGAAGGAATAGGGGAAGCCCATTCTGGCAATCCTAGCACATTGTCACACCGTGGTTACATACCATGCACCCTCTAGGAGTAACTGAGCAAATGCATTTAAAGATGGTACCTAATAACGCCTTACGACTTCTTTTAGCTGTTCAAATAGAAGCAAAGTTCATGCGTGGCGGCATATCATCAAAGGAGGTCGGTGCAAGTGCTTCGAGAAACAAGGGACGAAATCGCCCCAATCCGCTGACCCCACCGGCCACTAAAACAACAGGGCCCCAAGTGAGCCCAGCAACTTCATCCCAAAACCTTACTCCTTGCCACATGAATCTCATACCTGTTGATGAGGCAGCCCACGACTCGAGACCGCTCAATTGAAAGCCTCTGAAGCTGGGATATCATCTGCCTTAACATTGCGCTTGTGGGAAATTGATTGCGCTTCAATCCTCACGAGTCCGCCTCGCGAGTGAGATGCATCGGCTAGACGCTCCGTGACCTCATCATACCGAGACTCGCATCTCACGTACGAAGGCACCGTACCACCCGCAATAATCTCTGGGTCACAGTTCTACTCCAAGAAGGCCCAAAGGGAATAGAACCACCAACCTACCAACTCACCAGGTCACCAAGTCACCACCAGCCCACTCACCCACCATGGCAGCCTCCCCACCCTCCAACTTCTGGCTAGAATTCCGCCTCCTAAACGACGGCCTCGACACCCCCGCCGCCAAGGTCCTCAACCGCGCACGCTGCCTACACCTGCAGTCCCGCGGCCGGGCAACGCATTTCCCGCAGTTCCCAGCCCTGCCAGCAGAGCTGCGGCTCAAGATCTGGGAGTTTCTACTCGCGCCGCGAATCGTGGGAGTCGCGTGCTTCGAGGCGGAGACGTTCTCGCCTGAGAGGAGGGAGGAGGTGTTTTACGGGGGGACGCGTTTTGGAGATCCGCGATTGGGGGAGACACCGGGGTGTGGTAATGGTATTGCTAACGGCCTCGTGCCGGTCCTGCTGCACATATGTCAAGAAACGCGCATTCTAGCCCTGAGCCGCTACGAGCGCGCGTTCGCGTGGAAGGTGCCGCTCGTGCTCTCGGGGATGGACATGTACCGGCCCTTCTCATCACTCTCCATCTCCTCCCCATCCTCCCCATCCTCCACCTCCACCTCATCTTCATCATCACAACCCCCACCACCGTCCTCCTCCTCCCACGCACCACCACCACCACCACCACAACCCCCCCAATGGTCCACCCCACAAGTCTACTTCGACTTCGCAACCGACGCCCTCTACCTCCTCGGCGCCCTCGAGCCCTCGGACCCGGACGGCACGCTCAGCAGTCCCATGACGTACTTCCTCGACAGGCGGGACACGCAGCGCGTGCGGCGCGCGGGCGTCGCCTTCGCCGCCCTGGGCTTCGGCGAGGCGGGGCCGCAGCAGATCTTCGGCGCCCTGTTCCACGTCGTCGACCGCTTTGCTGCGGTTCTGGGCGGCCGCGTGTACGTGGGCGTGCGGCCTGCGGACGAGATGACGAATGCGCTTATGGGAGGGCAGAGCCCGCTCGTGAGGCCCAGGGAGGGTGAGGGTGAGGAGGAGGTGTCGGGGGAAGAGGGCGAGCCGATTTTTCAGGGGGAGGTACAGCAGCGGAGGAGACGGCAGGGACGGGGACCCCAGGAGCCGAATGCTGTGCAGAAGATCTGGAGGGACTGGTATAGGGGCTCGGTGGTCACGTCGTCACTGGCCAATATGCAGTTTGTGCTGGTGGAGGAGTCTGAGTTGGAGAAGCATATCTTCGAGCCTGTTGTGGCTCCTGCACCCGCGGGCGTCCTGAGACGACACCAGAAAGCAGAACTTGACCGAGAATGAAGAATCTCATTGATGTCTCCGTGTTTGGGTACAAGGGTGACTTCATATGTGTACACGTCCTTCTCAGGAGTGAGTGGTGACTTATGGTACATTTCCCACCATCGTACAGAGCCTCTGGATGAGACCGGCCCTCGAAACGCAGGCCCTTGATTGAACGCCGGGATGCCAATATCCCACCCCATCTATCGTACCCCTTTTCCGCCGTCCTTGTCCGTGATCTCGAACACGGGCAAGGCTCCTCCCTCTGTGCGCCCTTTTATGCCGCCCAACAACCAGTCTGTCAGTCCGACCACTCTAGCGCCCACGCCCTTCTCCCACTCGCCATGCTCGTCCACATGCTCGATCGTATGGCTGATGATGCGCCCATCCTTGTCGAACTCGAAGATGAACAGACCCGTAAACGACTTCTTCTCGCCGGCCGTCTGCGAGCCCCGCAGGCTGTCATCCAGCTTCTGCTCGCCCTGCTCCGTCAAACTTAGATTCTTGTTGCTAGAGCCGTTGGCCGAGGCCGTCCTCCACTTGACGACCAGCTGCTCGCCGTAGGCGCCCGGCCGGCGCGGCGAGAAGTACAGCGGCTGGCTGGTCATGCGCTCGCTCAGGATCTGCAGCTTCACGTTGCCGATGATGGGCACGCGGTTCCACGCAATGGGCGACGACCACAGCGCCGCGATGTAGGCGACCCGGCCGGACACCGTCGGTAGGTAGGGGTGTGTCGAGGGGAAGAGGTGCAGCGAGATGTCGCGCGAGAGGATCTCTTGCGGTAGCGGCGACTGGAGGAGGCTTGGGAGCCGCTCTTGGATGACGCGGAGAGCTGCGGTTGACTGTGGTTAGTTTTGACGCGGTTGTACTCGTGGAAGTGAGGTATTCGAGGCGGACTCACTCTTCCCCAGCTTGACTTTCCGCTCATCGTCGGGCCTGTTACCGGGTGCAAGCAGGTCGAATCGAGGGAATGTGGAATTGAACCATATTGGCGCCAGCTCCTGGTGTGATACGACGGGGACTGCTGCAAGTATCCTCGGAGCTGCCGGCGGGATCGGTATCGGGAGAGGTGTGGTTGCTGGCCCTGTGGTGGAGGTTATGGAGGGAACTCGGGAGAGGGCAGCTCTCGAGCTCAGGACATGGGTGGGCGATCGGGCGAGGGTGTTGGTTAGGGACATGTGTCCAGGGCCTCGATGGCGGCGGCGACGAGCGCGTGCATGAATTTGTGTGGTTAATCAAGTAATATTGCGGAAGCTGGCTCTAGGGTTTGTCGTGCTGCTCGGCTGAGTACGTCGCAAAGAATGGAAGAACGGAAGATGTAGGATTTGTTTGCGATGATGTATAGTGGGTCAGCACAAATACCGAACACCCCACTCTTATAAAAGAACCCTCCTCATTATAACCACATTCAAAGCTTTACGCGAGAGAGAAAAATAAGGGATAAAGATAAAGATACAAAGTTTCAAAGGCGTAATAGAGCCAAAATTTAAAAAGTATTTTAACTTGAATAATTATAGAGATTTGTGAGATTCTAGAAGGGTCACAAGCCTTGGGGGTGTGAGCGGTCGCTGCAAATGTTGTTGTCATTCTCAAGTATGCTTAGCAGGGCTAATCTACAGCTAAATACTATACTGCACATGCCAGGGTGGATCCACTGTTCCCTTGACAGCCCCCTAGTAGGTACTGCACCTAAGGGCACCATATTCGGGATCCAACATCTGACAGATGTATTTAAATATCCTTTTAATAAAAATTTAAATATTCTATTTTTTAAAACATAGCTTAGTTGGTTTTTCTAAACTTATTTTTATAAAACTGTTATAAAAGGCTAAATTTATATAAATATATACCTGGTTTTTAAGCGGTGCTATTAATTGAAGAAAAACAGTTCATAAATGAAATAAAACTAGTAGTATAGAAATCCAGGGGTCAGAATGGGATGGATGATGGTCTGTGTCTTGACTATGGGTCCATAGGAGAGATTCCCACCTAAATACAGGTGTGACAGCCTTTTGATGCTCTGCTGCCTGACAGCGAACAACAAACCTGCCACTGGTCACTATAATAGACCTTTCACCCCTTTTAGGCACCTTTCATCCCTTTCACCTGGCGGACAGCTGCAGCCCATACCTGACAGCACCACAATGCTCACAAGTAGTTCAATATTTATATAGTAAAGTTAGTTTTGATATTTTTTCACTTATTTCTAATTAAGTAAAGTCTTTAACAAGCGTGTGTAAAAGTGCGAGAAGTAAAATTGAAAAATGTTCGGTTTTTTTGTCTACCCACTGTAAGTGAAGCTTTTACTTGCAGCTCGAGCTACCAGTAGCGTGATATTTCCCCAGCAGGGGTCGGCATAGCGCGGCAACCCCACTATACATCCCCTGTACATCCCCTGAAACATACGATGGGATGGCGGCATTCTTCAGCACGGCTTTGTGATATCATACGTGGTCGTGTTATTACAAGTTCTAGAAGACTGGAGAGGACGGGACATTTGGATCATCTTGTTTCGTTGCACTTGGACAGGAGTTCTTCTCATTCGTTGCACAAAGAGGCTTTAGCACAAAGAGGCTTTAGCTAACCTAGGGCATTTCCCATGAACTGGTCAGGTCATGACTGAAAGATCCTTCGTGGTTCACGGTCACAAAGCACCCCCTATTGTGTCAGGTGTCTCACAGCTTTGATAAAGGCAGAATGACAACACCAAATCCCCAATGCTTGGTATGACACAATCTTCACCGACACCCATGAGTAGAGGTTGTTCTAGATAATCACAACTTGGTAGGAATATAGACGTACGGGCTGCTCTCTGTTCCCCTATTGGGATACCCACCCAGTCCCAAACGTGTTTGAACCTGCAACAGGTGTATGACCTGACTATAACCCATGCTACAGTCCCAAGTCGAAGTCCAAGAAGTCGGTCTCTCTGTTGCACGGTACAAGTGCATCATGTGATGGGCCAACAGAACGTGCCGATATGGATTGATGATGACAGCCTTTGTCCTTGTTCCAGTTTGAAGAAGGATTCTAGCTGAGTGTCTTGTGACGAATGCTAGCGCTGATGGTATCTTTCAGTCATTGCCCAGGTGAAAGACGGAAGCAAGACAGAAACTGAGGTCATCAGTCTGGGTCATCTCAATGAACGAATGGCAGTGAGTGGACCACCTGCTGATTTCGGGCAACAGGTGGCACCTCATTGTCTTGCTGTTCCAACGGTTCATGGACAGCTGGTCGAGTCCATCGTTGGGTGCAGGTTGAGGTGTGGCTCATGCTCGGTATGGAATAACGTGTACACGACAAGGTACAATGATAACCTTGGTGGCACCTGCAGCACAGGGCAGATGGATCCACTGAAGGCTAGCACGGGACAGTGGCAGACCCCCATGCAGGTCCCCGATAGGTCCAAGTGGGGTTCTCCCCTTGTGCATTGCTGTGGCGTGTGTGGCCGACTGGACGGGAGTCGCCTTGACGTTCCTTGACACCGCAGCCTACACCTGTCCCAATTTCTCTTTCTACATCACCATCAACGACAACGCCAGCCGCCGTCCGCTTCTTTCACGTCATCCGAAGCCGTCGCCCATCCCGCTCCTCCTGCAGATACCAACTCATCGACATCTGTGAATCCAGCCTACGTCCTTGCGAGATCTGTGTATTGCTGTCTCCTTATCGCTACCTGTCCGCCTAGACTCCCCTTGTTGTGTGGTTCGAGCGCAACACCGCCGTCACCATGAATCCCGAGTAGTGAGTCTCAACGCCAGGGCCGGCCCCCCTCGCCGCTAAACCTGCCGCCATCTCGAGCTTCACACTGACATCGCCGACAGAGTTACCCCTCGCCTTGCCCCTCGTCTCAACTCCCATGGCTTCCCCTCGTCTCCGAGCCACGCCTTCAAGCCGCGATGCGAGCCACGCCTGCGAGCCACGCCTCCAGGCCAGCATAACATGTTTCCTCACGATGATTCCCTCCCACTTTCCTGGTGTTTCGTCACCCTCATTCTCCCCATCTCTCAATCCTCTGGTGTTGTCTCCCAACCCTCGCATCACCAACTACAAAGATGGACCGCAACAACGTCAAGGACAACGTGAAGGCCCTCGGTCTTCAACCCCGCAATGAAGCAATCCTTCGTGAGGTTCTCAATCAGCCTCGCAATCCTGACCGACCTATGCCTAGATACGACTACCTCTTCAAGCTCCTCCTGATCGGAGACTCCGGCGTCGGAAAGTCTTGCCTTCTCCTGCGATTCGCCGACGACACCTACACCGAATCCTACATCTCGACTATCGGAGTTGACTTCGTACGTGGTTACCTTGCTAGACTGCACTGGGGGCGTATTTGCTGACGAGAACCAGAAAATCCGAACCATCGAGCTTGACGGAAAGACGGTGAAGCTGCAGATCGTAAGGATGCTGTGCGCCGCGCAACGTTGGTTTTACTAATCAGGATACGTAGTGGGACACCGCTGGACAGGAGCGCTTCCGAACGATCACTTCCTCGTACTACCGCGGCGCTCACGGTATCTGCGTCGTCTACGATGTCACCGACATGGACAGCTTCAACAACGTGAAGCAGTGGCTCCAGGAGATCGATCGCTATGCCACCGAGGGTGTTAACAAGCTCCTCGTCGGTAACAAGAGCGATATGTCCGACAAGAAGGTCGTCGAGTACACAGTCGCAAAGGTATGAACCCCATCTATCCAGCATATCCTCATGGATCTCCAGAGAAAGAATCCGACGTAACTCCATTGTCCTTGGCGCATCGCTAACCAGTCTCCCAGGAATTTGCCGACAGCCTCGGTATCCCCTTCCTCGAGACCTCAGCCAAGAACGCATCCAACGTTGAGCAGGCTTTCTTGACCATGGCCCGGCAGATTAAGGAACGCATGGGCTCCCAGGCCACCACTAACACCAAGCCCGGTGTTCAGGTCGGCCCCGGTCACAGCGTGGCTAACTCGTCCAGCGGCGGCTGCTGCTAGATGGCAACTCATGATACCCTTACGAACATACGCGCACGCATTTGATTTCCCCGGAACGGACTGGCAATACAGGCATGCCGGTGGTCAGGAGGGCACAGGGAATATGTTGACTTTTCGTCACTCTGATTGCGGATAGATTCAATGATGATCATTTGGATCGTACCGAACCCCCACCTCGCCCGAAGGCCATCTTCTCGGGAGCGAACCGATTCTGGCATGTGGTAACGGCACTCTTGAATGTCTGGAGGGATTAACTCTCCTCAGTCTTCCCGCTTTCAATGCGATTTGTGATGGATGGGTGCCCAATTTGCTTGTATTAGACTTGTGTGGTTTTCCTTTGGTGGACAAGATCTCTGGCATTGTATCGGACGTTTCCTTTGTGTGTATTCCCGCGGTGGCCTGGGGCATTCGGGGTGACCTAGGACGAGCGGCGCTCAGCATACATCGACAAGCCCTCGCTCCCCTCGTCCCACCATCCGTGGTCGGCGTTCGCAGCAACTAGGGATACTTAATTACACGGATTCTTCACGCATCTGCCGTGTGCTCTGTGCCTGATTCGCCTGTGATGCCATGGATTTATTTTGCACGATGTCGACCTAGCACTTGGACTTTGGATACCTGAGGAATCCCTCTCAGGCAGCTAGATTCATGTCACCGCGTTCTGCGGCCTGCGATTGGGGTTTCGTTCCTGGCAGCCATGGTGGCGATGGTCGGGTGAGTGAGTGACCTTGCGCGGGTTGGGTTTCCTTTCGCCCACGCCCTGCTTCTTTTATCCTCAGTGGGACTTGGGTGTTTCCTGCTCCTTGCTCCTGTTAGTCAAGCCCGGCAGGGAGGTAGGTACCTAGGTATATGGTCTGATGAACCACCGTAGGTAGTTATCGTATCGTACTGACGAAGTCTTGAGTTTATGATACCTTAGGTACCTACTTACCTAGTATGTTTCTACTCGCTGCCTTGTCTTATCTCCCGGACCCTCGAGTCCTTCTCATCTACGCACCACGGCACTGGGGTTTCTCTCTGTGTGTATCTACAAGGTACAAGATGATGTTTTCACAACCAAAGCAGGTGCATGGGCTGGCTGGCTGTGTCCGTGGCAGCCAGTTAGCCTCTTGGTCGACACACAATGGCAAAAATAATATTAAACAGCCAGGCAAAAAGCGACTGTATCATGGAATAGTAGTTGACTCAAGATTATAACAAACTACAAAACTACATACCCTCCCGGAATACTCGCAAATGAACGGCCAAATGACCCGGATGACCACCTATCTTGCTATATTCGCTCTTTGCTACTATGCCTCGCAATCTCTGAAATACCGGCGAAACATAGTAGCTACGCTAGAATTGCCCTTCCTGCCTGCCTTCTATGTCGCGGAAAACTGGGGTGGATACAGGTGTATTAGGATATCGAAGAGAAAATATAGACGCAGGGATTATGATATGATATGGCGGGGACAATGCCAACTAACTCTCTGGGAGATAGGGGTAGGTAGTATCATATCGTAAGGTAAGGCAAACCAGCCGGCCATGACTTGTTCATCATCGCAGTCAATGTCAGCCCAACGCAAAGAACGCAGCGCGAAGCTCGGCAGAACAACAAAGCCACCGAATAAGTACCCAGGTTGGTAAAAAAAAACCCGTGCAAGCCAGGCGACAACAGCCAAACGGAACAAATCAAGTAGCAAGCCCAAGCCACTTGAGAGCCTTCCGACTATTTCCCTTGCGGAACGGCGCGTTCGGCTGCTGGTGTTGCTCGCGCCATAGTGGCATATACCGGCGCTCGTCGGCGGCGAAGCTCGTGCCGTCTTCGTCGTCGTCCTCCTCCTCAGAGATGTCGAAGTACGACACCGAGCGCCCGCTGCCGGGCCTCTGCCCTGCCGGCGTTGTCTGGTTCGTCGCTGTGTAAGTGGCATCGGTGTTGTTGCTGGAGCCGTCGATTTCGCGTCCGAGCTTGTATCGCAGCTTGTTGCGCTGGCTGTGCATCGTCTTGACCGTGCGGCTGCTCTTGATCGTCCCCGAGACGGACGGCGCCAGCGAGTAGCGCCTTGTGCTCGCGCCCGCGGGCGGCGCGGGGAAGGCCGGGATGCTGCTCGCGTCGGCGGCGTCGGTGCCGCTCGATACGTAGTTCGACGGCGGGCACGGTGCGAATGCCGCGCTCTCGAAGCCCAGCATAGCAGTCGCGCTGGCTAGCGGTGCGTTGGTGCTGTACCGCTGCTTGGTGTCGATGAGAGGCGTCTGTGTCAGCGGTCTGTCCCTCGAACCGCGATTGTACTTTCGCGTCGAGTTTCCGTCGATGGCCATGGCGGACCTTGGCGCGGCTCCCTCGGGAATGTAGAAGCTCGAGGTGTCGATCAGTATCTTCCATATTGCCGAAATCAGCGTTGCGATCTCGGATTCGGTAGCGCTAGATGTGAGCAGAAAATTCGCTTTGGAGAATGATGGTGGCTCTGGCGACTTCATGCCTGTCCTCGGGCTGTTCGCGGACAGCCCCGACATTGGCTTGGCCGCCGAGTGCGTGCTCGTTTGTGACTGGGGCTTGCTTTCCCGGCAGGCTTTCGGCTCTTTGGCTTCAGAGTCCAGAATTCCGGCGACCTTGAGCAGATCGAGTCCTACCAGTCGTTGCAAGGCCAAAACGGTCGTGAGGTGTTCAGGGGGGAATTCGAGCAGGAGAAACCGTGTTCCATTATGGGCCGCAACGTACATCTCGAGGTACGGTATGATCAGTGTTGCTAGCAGCAGCGGGTTCGAAAACGGATTGTCCTGGGTTTGGCTCGCGAGCGGTTGCGCGGTGAAAGCCTGCATGGCATTTGCGATGAGATATCTAGATCAAGTCAGTGGCATGAACAATATCATGTTTCGAATTCAGTCAACGCACCTCAGATCGAGCCTGCCGCTCCGCGTTATTCCGTTTGGCTTCGTTCCCAGTTTCTCTAGAGAGCCGCTGAGGGCGCCCAGGAACTCCCGATCAACACCCTTCTGGGCCCCAATGGCGAGGATGAGGTCGATCTTGCGCTTCTCGTTGCCCAGACCGTTCACCTCTGACTCCCGAAATACCGGCTTCCACAGACTGCTGAGTCCAGGTAATAGGGGGAAATTGAGGTGATAGTATCCTATGTCTTCTGGAGAGAAGTAAATGTTGAGGACTGACCTCAGTTTGTTCTGCACGCATACAGCTGTTTTGCAGTCCGTTGTTTTGAGCTCGTGGAAGCTCTTCCCCGACCTTGTTTCCCGAGGTGGAGGCGTCTGAGCGGGAGTTGGTGGACCTGATGCAACGGGTCTTGAAGCACGCAAGGCTGGTTTGGCTGAGAAAGCCGTCGGTGGTTGGAGATAGTCCCCGTGAGACGCAAAGGGGTCATACTCATTCGGGTCGGAATGGTATGTGGGCGTCGGCTCGCAGCGGTCTTCTTGGCCTGCTGATATCTTATTCCCCGCGACCGCTGTCGGCTCTATGGAGCTTGGATTGCTCTGTCTTTCGGGGTTCCCATTGCTCTCTGTCAGAACTGGTGGCATAGACACCGGGTAGGTACCCGTTTCGAAGGCTCGTATGGCAGCTTCCAGTCGTTGGTTGGCTTCCTCGCCTTTGAAATGTATGACCAAGTCTTCAACCATAGGTAGGGCTGTCCGAAAAGGCACATCCACATCAAGGTCAACATCTTCCTCCAGATCGAGAAACGCGCCCTGGTTCTTGCCATTGCAACCTCGACCCAGGTAGTTGGATTCTGTCGACGTACTCTGATGGACGTACACATGAATTGGACTCGTGCCCTGGTCGACGTAAGACGCCGGTCGTTTGGGTATCTTGACCTGAAGGTCAAGAGGAGGGGGTGGATCGCGCCTGATCATAGTCTTACTCGGCCTGGCAAGGGTTGCCCGTGGTGTCTTGCCGTAGCCTTTCGTGCAGGTAATCAACGTTTCCGAAGAGGCAGAGCTCCTCTTTTCAATTGTAGACCCCGAACGATCGACACTCCGTAGACGTGGTTCTGCTGACAGGGAATAGTTGCGAAGTGAGATGTCCTGGGCCCGAGGGGGGTTTTTGACAGGAGAAGAAGATCGAACATCAACGACGAGAGCTTCACCAATGCTAACAGGTGTACCTGGGATCGACCCAAAACCGGCAGACATTGGACTGCGTATGCTGAGCTGTGACGAGGACAGAGCGGGCTTCGGGTAAGCTTCCCCAATGCAACTTGGAGACCGCGGGATGGCATTTTGATCCCTGAGCTGATCTCTGCTCGCCATGCGTGCCCGCCATCTTTCCACTCGGGGGGCTGCACGGCCATGTCTGTCATGATCCAAAGGGAGGGGATCACTGTTTGTAACTTTTCGATTCAGCAGAATCGGGCGACGGGCACCTCCAGAAGCGCCAAAGACATAGAACGGAGCAACGTCTTCTGGGTCATCCGTTAAGGATTGAACTGGGACGCTCGTACTCCGCAACCTACCGCCAACCGTAAGGTCGAGCTCAGTGTTCGGCTGCAGTGAGGCTGTTTTGAGATCCAAAGCGTCAGCCGCTTTCATCGCCTCCCAAGCCGAATATTCATGTATTTCGTCATCTTCGTTGTTCCGCTCTCTGCAGATGTGATTGCTGTGGGCTGACTTGGAATCTGGTCCAACACTGCCCTGTCGCTTCAAGCCTGCAACGCCGTGTTGGACAAGGTCATGGAAGATGGCTTCCGCCTTGGTAACATCCCCACTCGTCACATGCTCACTGATGGCAGCGATAGAGTCCATCTGGGCACTGGCTGAGCCTCCATGCATGAACGCCAGTCGTTTGTTGTTTGGGGAAGAGTCGTGTAGAAATGAGCGGGCCGTTTCAGCTCGAGCATGGCACGCTTGATGAATCCTGAGAATATGCGAGTGTGCTTCGAATGGCCGATCAGCGGCCTCTGAGTTCATGAAGTGTTGAAGTGGTGGTATTATCAGGATCCTCGGGGAGCTTGGGAGTAGTCGCAGCTGTGTCGAGATGGTATCTGGTGGGCCTTCGAAGGCAACCAAGCTGCCATGATATCCAGGCGGACCGACCATTGTGTCGTGCATGGTGACAAGCGAAGGCATGCTGTAACCGAAACTGTCCCCCCACGCGGCTCAAGGAGTCACAAGGTAGTAATTATGGCTTGTCTGCAGGAGTCGCACGAGCGAAGGAGCACAAGCAATGTTTGTCGCTCGTGTCCCCTTCACTACTCTGCGGTATTTCGAAAATAGGCCTTGAAACCAGCAACACAACAAAGCCAGCTGGTTGGCAGAAAGTAGTAGCTATCGGAATCGAAGATTACAGTAGAGGAGAAGAGTTGAATGTCAAGTTTCGACGAGCAATCCGAAGGAATCAACAGTGGCGTCTAGCAAACGAGTGGTGGGGGGCTATGTAAGGTTTTGGGATATGATCACAAACGGGTAGAGTAGCTTGAAGAACTCTTATGTCCCGTGTCTCAAGAGACAAGAAGTTGAGTTGCAGAAACCGGCAATGACGCCATACTGATACAGCTAGAGATTGGATGGAAGAAGGAAAAGGGTTGGGATGAGAGCGGACCGAGGGAGAGAGGTTGGCGAGAAATACCTATCGTGTTTTGGTGCGATATTGGATGTACCTATATCGACACGTGCTGTTGGTATGCGGTGTACCGCTTCAGCGTGGCCCTACGGCCCCTACCCGTCGGCGAAGTCGTGCTTTATGTCCTTTTTTTCTTTTTCTCCAAGGCGACCGTCCGTCAGACGACGGGTAGCAGCATAGGAGTAGAACAGAAGAAGCGTCCTATATAGGGGCTTCAAACAAAAGGCAAGGTGCATTGCTCTGGGAGACTGGAGGATGTCTACACGTAGGTAAGGACAGAGTTGCATTGACGACGCGTCCTCAGCTTGGCTTGTGACGGCGCAAAGGCTCCCATATGCAAACGGAAGACGTCGATACGTCGGGGTGGACTACCGACGCGTGCATCTTGGTGTATAGGAGCCGGCTGGCCAAGGTTGGACGCCCGCATACCTAGGTAGGTAGGCATAACGGCACTGAGGGCACAAATGGGTGTCGTGCCAAACTCAATCAGTGCAAGCCGAGCGCCCTTGACGCCGCGTACTCGTGGCGGCAATTAGCATGCTCGTGTGGTCGTCGTCGACTTGATGGCCGGGGGCTGCTGTACCTCGGTAGGTTCCCGTCGACCCGATGCCATTTCCAGCATGCAAGCCACCACGCAAACCAACCACCCACATGCTTATTACTTCTCTCAGGCCTCAGCTCATGGGTACGACAAACGCAGCGACGGATGTGGAGAATTAGGTAGGCAGCAGTGCAAACGGGGTATCAGCGAACTGAGGACCACAAGGTAGTAGAATAGAAGAGAGTTTGGAGTCCCTAAGGTATGGGCTGGCTGCTGGATTGAAGCTTGAACTTTGAAGAAGGGCGAAGTCGGAGGACACCTCGGGGCCACCTGCCCACCTGATGAGTGAGTGCATCTACCCCGGCTGCCACATGTCCGGCAGCTGCCCGGCCCTGTCAATGACAACCCTTATTATCTTCTGTGGCTTGCAATGTGTGGGTCCAGGTACCTGCTCGTGCTTCCCGTGCTTTTCGTACATGTACCCCTGCATTTGAACCAATGAAGCACCACTAACTCAACTGTCTGTGGTGGCAAACCGTCGACAGGCAGGAAGCCGTTCCTTAATCACCACCCACTTCACAACCCGAGCTTTAATAATCACAACAACCCCTGGCGTCTTACATCAACTAGGTAGCCGGGCCAATAGGACATACCATTTGTGCCTGTGCAAGAGGCGCCGTTAGATGTTGGCAAGCTTCTTCCAAAACAAGACACGGTGAAAGTTAAGATCCCGCTAGGCAGAGAACAGAGAACTCGGTGTGTTCAATGAGGCCGTTCGGCCTCGTCGAGACGGCAACATCCCGTCCCGAGGGCTAGCCTTGCGCCTGGTAGGATGGACATTGGACGGCAGCGAGCAGAGGAAACCATGCTGTCTCCCGGTCCAGGCCTGCGAACCTATGCATGACATGACCTTGCTGGCTGTTGATCTACACCGGGAGGCTTCGTTCGTTGCTTCGCTTCTGCTGGTGGTCCAAGGCTTGCATGCTGTTGCATGGCAGATGCAGTCCAGGATCTGACAAAGCCGAGAAGGTTCCTTCTCTTCGTGGGGTGGAGTAGGTTCGAGCTCGACCGTCCCGTAATGCCCGTCTTCCAGGACAGCCCGGACGAAACTCAGGTGATTCAACTCCGTGGCTCTTCAATCGATCGATCAACTGTCGAGACGGTGGGGGCTTCACTGCAGTCAAAAGGTCACCGCATGATAGGTCATCCGCCGTTCGGCTTTGGAAGCATCTCCTCAGTCCTGCCTTTCAAGAACCGGTGAGCAATGCACCCCGTTAGAGCGTCTTTAGTTCAGACTGCTTCTGCATTTTGCACTGCTGTATGTCTCATCTGTCGCACTTAGAAAAATCAATCCGGTCAGAAACGGCGAGCACGCGATAGAGCTGGAAACCGGTTCGTGAACGACCCAAACAAATCTGGATATTCACCTTTCTTTTCGTCGTACCGAAACGTGCCGTTGCAGTATGATCACGCGAGGTGCCGCCACGCGCGCCGACAAGAGAGGCGTGGCCGTGGTCCAGAAGGCCAGTCGGTGCTGCCTTATCCTGCATCGACGGCCGCATTGGAGTGTCACAGGCATCTTTTAGAGATTGTCTGTCAGTTTGCCCCTCTAGTTCACTCATGACACCTCTATGTGACTTCTTTTGGAGACTTTTTGCTCTACATCAGACGAAGCGAGAGAAGTTCGGCTCATGTGGTGTCCTTCACTCGATCTTTATCTTGCGAATTAAGGCCTCTTGGACGTTGGAAACATCACATAACTATTTTCGACTCCTGTTGACCGGGGATTAGCCTCATCAATGCCGGTAGGGTATGTCGGCAAGCTGCCTATTAAGGAGTAGACCGAAGGCGCAACTGGCGAGGACATGCACACAGCTAATAACTGGAGTCATCAGTCAGACTTCAGCTGACCTACAGCATCGACTCAGCAAAAGTTCCGATGACTCCGCGAAAGATTGAGGTGGACATGTACGCTTTGGACCTACCGGGCTTTGGCGGACTTAACGACTGAAGTAGACGCGACTTGGCTGCAATTGATACTTGTTACTTATTCCCGTCGACAGAGACACGCTACATTTAGCCAAGTCGATATCAAGACGATATTGACGGCAGATACCTCCTAGATGAACGCGATCATGGTCCAGTACCTGTGACACTTTCTCGATGATCCTTTAGTACTCCACCAGATGGAGGGTTGTTTGCCCGTTAAACTGGGTACTCCAATGCCCCTATTCTCGCTCGGAGGAACACTCAATCTGCCCAGGCCGGCGGCTTCCTGAGTGGTCCCGGAGCCTCTCGTCGCGAGGTGACTGCAGGTGCAGCTATGTCCCCTTGATCCCGTCACGCAAGGAATGAACCGGGGTTAAGGGGATAAGGTGCTGGTCGTATTTATTACTTCTGAGCTTGGATGGGTACTTAGTAATCCTCTTCACCACCACCACCACCCAAACCACCAGATCATTTCACCCAAGTATGGCCTCCCAAACCGGCACCATTCTCGTCACGGGCGCAAACGGCGGCCTGGGGTCGGCTATCGTCGGCCACGTCATCGGCTCCAACTCCCTCGCGAGGGACCTCCACGGCCTGTACGCCGTTCGCAACACCCAGCGAGCCGACGCCGTCCAGAAGGAACTCCAGAAGGCTGGCCCTGCGGGACACAAGTACGACCTAGTGCCCCTGGACCTGTCCAGTCTCGCGAGCACGCGCAAAGCAGCCCAAGACATCAACAAGCGGGTCGCCGACGGCTCGATCCCGCCCATCCGGGCCCTCGTCCTGAGTGCGGCCTGGCAGGAGTACACGACGCACACCATCACCGACGATGGTTTCGACATGACCTTCCAGGCCACATATTTGTCCCACTTTCTCTTGACGCTTTTGTTGCTGCGCAGTATGGACAAGAAGCATGGCAGGGTCGTGGTCTTGGCCAGCTGGTCGCATGAGTACGTCGAGCCTTCCTCTTGCTAAAACAGCAATGGATTGAGTAGACTACTGGATATTGGCAGTGAGTGCTAAACAAGATATCTAGCACGGCGGACAAGAGGAACACCATGGGGCCTCCGGGCAATGCCTACTCGTACGAGAGGTACAACCAGATCTTCAAGGAGCCCATGGACACCGAGAGCCTCGCCCGAGGCAAATGGAGCTCGGCGGAGGAGCACCCTGACAACCTGGAGGCCGGCTACAGGCGCTACGGTGCCGCCAAATTGTGCGAGGTCATGTTCATGTCAGTAACTTAGCTCCAATGCTCCACGGCCCGAGATTATAAGTACTCACCATCAACAGGCGCGAACTGTCGAAGCGCATCACGAAGGACCCCGACCTCTCCTCCATAGCGGTCCTCGCGCTCGACCCGGGTGCCATGCCCACCTCTCTCGGCACGCGCGGCTCCTTCGGCATCCGGGCCCTCTTTGCCCTGATGAACGTGGTGAATCCGATCATGTCGTACATACAGCCCGATGGCGACATGCGCACGACGGCACTGTCGGCCAGCCACGTCATGCGAGCCTCCCTCGACACCGAGACCCTCGGCGAGCGCCCGAATGGTGTTTACTTGGACGGCACGAGGGCGAGGGAAGTCAGCGAAGAGGCGAAGGACGAGGCGAAGTGTCGGAAGCTGTGGGAGGATACTCTGGACTTTGCGCAGGTGCAGGAGGGCGATACCGTGCTGGTGGATTGGCGGTGACACCAGCCATCCTCATGAGATCGACCGATACCCAGCTAGAATTAGGAAGAGTCATCATCGCATTAACCACCATGCCTTCACATCTCACTCGAAGAAGCCGTGTCAGGTTGGGTGCCATCAAAGGTCTATGTCTATTGAAGGTCATATACCTACAAAGGCACTATTTTGACATGGAGCCGTTTTGCAACGAGGTACTACCCTTCTCAGACCCACAGACGCAACAATATCCTCTATACCAGGTACAGTATCATAAAGCGCAGGGAGCATGAAGAGGAACCCCGAATTCTGCCCGGTAGCTAGCGACCCACGACAACCATTAGGCACTAGAACAGCAATAGCAAGGAAAAGAGCCCCATACATGTCATCCCACCCATCCATTCACCCATCAGGGGAAAGTATATCCCAGACCTCGAGATACCTGACGACTGGTGGTGGTAGACTGGGGGGACGGCGGGCGGGCGGGCTGGGTCTAGACATCGAGGACGGTGTAGATGTCGATACGGTCGGGACCGCCGCAGGTCTGGTTCTCGTTGCCGGTACATTCGGTGAGGCAGCCGGTGGTGGGGCGGCCGAGGATCTTGTCAGACAGGTCGCCGCAGAAGCACTCGCCGCCGTATTCGAGGCCGGCCGCGTTGAAGCTGTCGTCGGCGTTGCGGCAGGCGTACTTGCATTTCACGACCGTCACTGCGGGGGGGTGGGGGGCGTTAGCGGGTTGGGGAGGGGAGGAAAGGTATCGAAGGGGCGCGGGTGCGTGGTGAGAGACTGTGTGTGTGTGTGTGTGTGTGTGTGTGTGTGTGAGTGAGAGAGGGGGGGGAGGGCGGGAGGGCGGGAGGGCGGGAGAGAGGGTCACTTACTCTTATCACCCGAGAGGGGCGACAAGAACTCTAGAAGACGGTCCTCGCGGCTATCCTTGTAACATCCGAGCGAGACCCAGTCTGCGGGACGCCAGGGATCAATCGCAGCGGCGTTGACGACGGGGAAGACGAGGGTGGCCAAGGCCGGCAGGATGGTTGTGAGCTGCATCTTGGTGTTGGGTATGGTCGGTATGTGGTGGGAGTGTGTGTGTGGGTGATGGATTGTGAGGAGGAGGTGAAGATGTAAGGTGAAGAAGATGTTGTTGTAGGAGGAAGAAAGGAACCTCTGTGACCCGAGGAGGGAGCTTGCTTTTTATCTTCGGGCTTCCTCGTCGTGAGGACCTTAGCGACCCGATGAAGACGACCTAACAACACAAGGCTCTCCGTCACTAGATGGGACGAGGCGAGAAACCTGCTCGTTCGCCCACGACGCGTTGCTGCAACGAGGCTAGGCAGAAACCCTCTCATTTGACTATGAATATGGCTTACTGCAACGAGGCTGCCTACGAATCATCACAGCCATGCGTTCTTCGTGTTATGAAGATATGTGGAATCTTTCGCTGTCTTCACCTTGGTAGCGGACGCCACCGTTGCCAACGGCGCGTGAAGCTGTGCCTCCGAACTTTTGAGACGTAATGATTACACAGTCATGGAGGAAATTATGCTGAGTCGTCGCAATGTCGGTTCTACTTCTCCCATAGGTTGAGCAGAATGTTTGGAAATACTAGGTAAGATCCTCACACGAGTGGTCATCTTGAAAGTATGGCATATGGTTGAGGCTGGTGTTGGGCCTCTTCTCTCCGGACCTTCTATCCCGTCGACCATGAGGCAATTGGCCCGAGAAACATAACTCTGACTTCACATCCACCTTCCCGTATATGTCCAAATTTCTGGGTAGGGCCGGGCTTGAATACTGGGTTGTTATGATTCAAGGCAGTGACTTGAGCTAGTCCGCGTAGAAGAATCGGTTATAGGTTCAGATAGGGTTCGACGCGTAGGCTGCCTGATTGGTTGCGGCCATTCTGTTGTTTTCTTCTGCAATTCATCCGGGTTCTCGTTAAAATCTTCGCCGCAGTCCACAGTACCTTGTTTTGTGGGAAATCTAGCTTCAGGAGCAGAAATCACAACATAGAGTACCGCAAAGCGGAGGAAGCCAGAGGAGGAACTTTCTTTGGCCTATTATCGTTATTACGTAGGTAGTTCGTCCACGATAGTGGATGGGCACCTACCTTAGGTAGTTACCGCTGGCCGAAGATGAGGTACCCAGGCCGACCAGCAGGCACAGCGTCTGGCACTTGACGGCCAGATGGGTTTCAAGATGGTGGCTCGACCATTGCGCTTTGTTGTGTCAAGAGCAACGTCAAGCTAGAGCCGACAGCGATCTTGGACTCCGTGAATGGCAGACCCTCAAGATACTCGATGTGTTGTGATGGCTGCTGTCCGCCCGCGCGGGGCTCTACGAGCCTCTTCAGCCTGTAAATGTCGTATCGCCTCCCGTAGTAAGTTAGGTCAATAAATCTATGTAAGAGAGGAACGGGAAGCGAGAAGGGTAAGCCATACGTCCAGCCACCAGATGATAATTGCCATATCACGTAGGTTGAGTATCAGGTGCAACAGGAAATCCGGTCGCCCTGCTCATTTGCGCCATCTTAGGTGGAAAAGAAAGTCACTTGGGCGTTCGGTGTCGGCGCTTCTCGTGATCTGCAGGTCGTCATCAGTGTCGTAGGGCTGGTGGTCAAGGTCGCATTGGCTGCACGAAAGTCGCCGTGCATGTTTTATCAGTGCCCCCGACGGTCATCATGTGCACGACCACGAGGAATCAGAACTTGGCATTTATCTAGTTGAAGATACTCGCTAATCATCATCCATCAATGCCGCAAGTTCGGCTTCCTCGTCTGCTGTCATAAGCCCCTCGGCCGACTCTGCCGGTGTTTCCTCCTCCTCCACCGCCTGAGCTGCATCTTCCTTCTCCTTGTTCACCTTGTCCAACTCAGTCTGGTGGAGCGGCCAGGTCCGTACAGTTCCGTCGATGGATACAGACACGACACGCTTGCCTCCATCAAGAACGACTAGGTCGGTAACCTCATCGTAATGCCCGTCTAGGGTGCAGTACAGCTTAGCCGATGTACGGTCCCAGACCTTGATATCCTCGTCTCGGCCTGCTGTTACTGCCCACTGATCAGTGACAGCCACGGCTCGTACATGGCCGCCGTGCTTGAAGGTATCGTCAGCGGCAAAACCCTTGGCCCGCGATAGACATTTGGCCAAGCCGTCGCCACTCGATGTCCACAGATCTACCTCTTCACCTTCGCTGTCAAACACCACCTTGTACACTGTGGTGTCGTGTTCCAGGATCGTGTGCTGCACCACACTAGGCTCGTTGGGGGTCGTTTCCTTGAGTTGCTCAAACCCATCGAGTCTGATACGCCACCGACGGACATGAGGATCGCTACTGGCGCTGACCAGAATGATGGCGTCGGGTTCCGACTGTAGAGGATCGATGGCGAAGTGTTGCACGGCCATCATGGAGATGGTCTGGTCCTGCAGCACGTGAAGCCGGGATCCTGTCTCGATATCCCAGACCATGATCTTCTTGTCTGCCCCTCCGCTGATGAGGCAGTCCTTCCCACCGATCTTGGTGCATACCACGGCCTTGATGAAATCCGAATGACCGCTGTACTTGCGGCCCGGAGCCTTGGATGCCAGATCCCATGACCAAACATCTTTATCCCAGGACCCGGCGAATACTGTGTGGTTCCCGGGACCGCCCACTGCAACGCATGTCACGGGTATTGTTGGGCCCCTGAATACATGTTTCGTATCTCCCGTCTAACGGGTAAGTGAGCACAGTCATCCTTCGGCGGTGATACTGTTGTTGCTGGGCGACTCACATCAACATTTACTCTGCGAACCGCACCTGCAGACTCTGCGACGAGAATTGACGATGGTGAAGTCGGGTGCGGTACCGCAGCCAGCAGTTTTGACTTCAAGGTAATGGGGTCGCCATTCTTGTTACTAGCCTTGGCCGCCCGCCTTTCCTTTTGCGCGTTGTCTGCACTGTTTGACCTCTGTTAGTATGCGTGCGAGTACATGGTGACAAGATAACATACTCGGTCTGGAAAAAGTGGTCTGATGATGTCCCTTTCTGCATGGTGTCAGTGGTGAGCGGACGGATGTGCGCGTCCTGGGATAGTCGTCGGGATGTGGGCGATACACCAATGTCCAGTGACAGCTTTATATGCAACTCTTATCGCAACTCCCAAGTACGAGTACCCACTCAACGAAAGATTTTATCGTTGCCTGAGCAGGCAGCCGTATTCTTGCTTGCTGGTCCGGACATGGTTATCAGTCTCACTGCACGCCTGTCATTTTAACGCCGATGCTGCAAAACTGATATGGGTGCTTGGACCACTCGGCATGGAGGGGCAGCAACCCCTGAGCGCTTCCAACTGGACCCAGGGTGCCCGGACCCTGCCTGGCCGGCCAAGACGCGGGACTGCGCGGGCGGGTTTAAGTGGTTTGTTTGATTGACTAAACGCGTCGACGCGTCTCTTGTAACATTGAACCTACCTCTATCTACACCCTCCATCCAAGACACCCGAGTAGTGAAGACTTGCGAGAGGCTCAATTGATGTCAAACACGCCTCGGTTTTCTTCAAGTCGAATTTGTTTCTTGTTCACGGTGTGATTGAGCAGAAACCCTTACCAACATGGCATCAACCGCACCTCCTCGCCCTCGAGCGCGACCTGCCCATACTCAGGGTTCAACCCATTGCGCCTACACGCCGAATGGATCAAAGCTGGTCACTGTTGGCTCCAACAACACGATTCGACTATACAAGACCGGTTTCGACGGCGAGCCTATCAACATCGACGATTGCCAGGAACAGAATGTCAGCGTAGCCGCCTCGGACGACTTCTTCGTCGTCGGTTCCGAAGACGGAACCGTCAGTCTATACTCGATTCCCAACGCCACCTTCGACAAGTACCTTCTTCGATCTTCCCTCCCCGTTCGAGACGTCGCATTGTCACCGGATCACAAATGGTGCGCCGTTGCTAGCGACGAGCTCACCGTGAAACTCGTTCGAGTCAACCAAAACACACAAATCCGCCATCTCAAGGAACATAACAAGCCCACGAAGCACTTGGTATTCGACACCAAAGGGGAGACGGTGGCACTCTCTTGCACCGACGGAGTTGTATATGTCTATGACTTGGCCTCTGAAGAGCCGGAATTGATCAGGAGAGTCGACAGCATCATCGGTGTAGTAGACACTGAGTCTGAGATCAGCACCAAGGTAGCCTGGCATCCCGATGGACGCGCCTTTGCCCTCCCGACCCCTACGAGGGATATCCAAGTCGTGTCAAAGGACGACTGGGAGAAACAACGAACCTTCTCAAACGGTCACACTGGAGACATAACTGCTCTGGCCTGGTCGCCAAATGGGGCAATGCTGGCCTCGGCTGGAAAGGACAAGAAGATCCTGATATGGGAGACAAAGAGCCAGGTTGTCATTGCAAAGCACGACTATTCAAACGTTATCGACATTGCGTGGCATCCTACCGACAACCTCGTGTCTTTCACAAACTCCGATGGAGAAGTGTACATCCACCCAGGCTTTGTACCTGAACAGTCTGTGCCGTTATTGGAGCTGTCCAAGCAGCCGGCTCCGTTCATCCACGACCCCCTATCCGAGATCTCAGCCAACATCAGACGACCAGAGGCCAATGGCTTGAAGCCAGGCCTTGCTACCAGACCCCGCAGAGATTCACTCGACAGCTATGACTCTCTCGTTGACGGCCCCCTTCAAGGGGATGACGAGTTCGTGGTTGACGATGATGGTGCTGGCTATGTGGTCAACGGGAACGGCAAGCGGGCGCATGACCGAATTGATGTATTCGGTGAGCCCCTGAGTAAGCGTCGCAACATTGAACCGGAGTATCATGAGGCATTCCAGCCGGGGTCAACACCATGGCGAGGAAACCGCAAGTACTTATGCCTGAACCTGACTGGGTTTATTTGGACTGTAGACCAGGATGGACACAACACCGTCACTGTTGAATTCTACGACCACGAGTTTCACAGAGATTTCCATTTCACCGACACCTTTCTTTACGACAAGGCTTGCCTGACTGAGAACGGTGCTCTATTCTCATGCCCACCCAATGATGATACGCCAGCAACCATTTTCTATCGGCCCCACGAGACGTGGACGCACCGGACTGACTGGAGGACACAACTGCCCAAAGGCGAGGCTGTCCTTGCGATGTCCCTGAGCGAGTCATTCGTGACTATCACAACAACAGCGAACTATGTTCGAGTCTACACACTGTTCGGCATACCCTACAAAGTATACAGGCCAAAGAGCTCTCCGATGGTAACATGTGCAAGCTGGAGAGACTATGTCATGACCATTGGCAACGGACCAGTTGGCGCAGGTGGTCATACGAAACTTCAGTACACCATCGAGAACATCAAGAGGGATGAGATCTGCCAGAATGAAGACACCGTAGCACTACCAGAAGGCGCAGTCTTGAAAAGCGTTTTCTTCTCCGACAGTGGCGTAAGTCGACCATCACCCCTTTATTACTACGAAGATACTAACTCGTCTGCAGGATCCATGCATTTATGACTCTACTGGGACATTGTTGACACTCCTGCACTGGCGTCAACCGTCCCGAGCATGCTGGATACCGCTACTTGACACCAAGCTTCTGCCACGTCTCGCATCGGGACGGAAGACGGAGAACTACTTTCCAATTGCAGTCGCGGACAACAAATTCCACTGCATCATCCTCAAAGGCGGAGACCAATATCCGTACTTCCCACGTCCACTCCTATCCGAGTTCGACTTCTCCATCCCACTAACCTCGGAGCCGCCAAAGGCAAAGAAGGTCAACGCAGATGCCATGGACGACGATGACACGCCCAAGGCTGACGAGGACGAGTCGGAGACCCGCAAGCTCGAACAGCAATACCTACTGAAGGGCATCGCTGCCGCACAGCTCCAGGATCTCGCGGACTCGAGAAGCGGCAGTCACACGCAGCGCTCGACGCTGGTCAGGCTGGAGCTGGAGATCGACAAGACGCTGCTCCAGTTCCTCGCGGTCGAGTGCCGCGAGGGCGAGGACCGGGGCATGCGCGCGCTGGAGCTGGTGGACCTCATGCGCGACCGCACGGGACGAATGGTCGAGGCGGCGGGCAAGGTGGCCGATCGGTACGGGCGGTCGATCCTCGGGGAGAAGATTCGCGAGGTCGGCGAGCGGAGGGCCAATGCTATGGTTGATGACGACTTTTAACGAGGATATCTTGGGAATGGTAATGGCACGATGCTACACTATGGTTGTCGTCGTCGATGAGACAAGCGAAGAGGGAGAGTCCCGAGAGTGGCAGGACGGTATGCGCGATATTAAATTGCAGCATCGCATTGGTCTCCAAATTCTGGTTGCAGTTCTGGTCTTACGAGCTTGGCTCCCCTGGAGTTAGTAATTCGAAGGGGCGTTTGATGGCGTTGTAGGCCTGTATGTCGTTTTTTCCCAGTATATTCCAAGAAATGGGCCTGTATGCAGTCAGCTGCCTCACATCTTTGGTCATACTATTGCCATGTCCTGTCAGTGTTGGAGCCTCCTTCTAGCCCATCACGTACGAGTGCATGTTTGAGTTTATGGGTTGGCAGCGCGCCGTCTGTCTCTTGGTTCAGCATTTGGGCTTATCATTGTTGCTCGGTGATGTCATTATCGTTATTATTACTGCTAGGTGCGAGCGGTGCCAGCCGAAACGGCAGATCGCTGATGATGTCGCGCGAGGTCGGCGCGTCTGGTGTCGTCGAGGCACCGCGCTTCGAAGTTCAAGCACTACTCACGGATAGTGTTCCCCCGGCCGGGACCGTAACAAGGCAAGGCCTAGCTGGGCTGGCTGGCGCCGGCATGTTCCCCGTAGCTACTACTTGTCTGGGTCTGATATCTTCTTCAGACTAAGCAACCAAGGTTTGACCCGGACTAAAGGATTGCCTCGGTCTCCCCAATCCGTTATAGTCTGAAGGTGGCCATGGCCCATCGTTACACCTAGACGGAGTACAGACACTACTATAGCTCTACCTACCTTAACCAGCAGATCATCACCGCATACAGACTTCACCTTTGCAAGTTTCAGGACTGGGCCAACAAGTGGGTGAGGTTGCTATGTACGGACGGCCATTTTCGGATCCGAAGATCGGTAAGTAAAAAGTCGGGTTTGAAATACTAAGGTAGAAGATCTACGGATCAGGTCGACCCTCTGAGCGCAAGCGCTCAACATTGAAGCGCTCAGAGGGTGCACCTGGCCCGAGCATCCTCTACTCGTCAGCGAGTATGTAGTAGTTGTTGACCGCCGCGAGCTAGGTACCTACTGTACGCCTCCTTGTTGTGATTTTCTAAACATAGCATGCCTCGTATACATGTACCCAGGGACTCGGAGGCGTCAAGAAAGTCAGCGCGACGTCAACTTCCAAGACGATATTAACGACAGAACTAGGTGGGTGATCAGCCGCTAACCCCGCTGTAATCGTCAGCTACCGAAACATCACTTTACCCAACTACGCACTCCTATAAAAAATGAACTAAAGATAATAGCAGCTTGCAATTAAAGTATATACTGCGCGACATGGTTGTCTATACGGATTAATTTTTGTCGTAATTTTATAATGTAAATTGACTGCGATGCGGCATGTTTTATGTTTGACTTCATATGTTGCGACCGTTTTAGCGCGTAGCGCCCGTTGGAATCTCTAAACGGGGCCCTAGCACGCCCTAACATCCCTTTAAAATGCCCTAAAAGGCCTTATAAAGCCTTATAAAGCCTTATGAAGTAAAACCCCCTTTTTTTTTTCTTTTTTTATATTTAAAGTTTAATTAAATCGTGAAAATTCAAGTATTAGCCGGAAATTTTATTAAAAAATAGTATTATTCAACTTAAAACATTAGTAAAATAATAAAAAAAAATTTTTATATTAATATAAGGTTTGAAAACTATTACAAACTATTTAAAATGAATAAATATATAGTTTAAAAATTTGAATTTTTTTTAATAATTTAGGTAAACATTAAAAATTTTCGGCATAAACGCAACTTTTTTTATAAAAAAGTTAAAAAATATCAAGTTTAAAAACGGGTTTATATAGTATTTTACTGGATTTTATTTATTAATTTTCGCTTAGTTACCATTAATTTTTAATTAAACTTACTCCAAAAAAATTTACGTCTTTAACATAATGTAGCTGACAAGCGAGTTGACATTACAAGCGAGCTGGTACTCGTCATGAACTCTCCAACTGCCATGTCAAATAACTTCACCACAACGCATTCAGTTCAATTCAATTAATCGGATTCCTCTTCCTCAGAGGTTTCTATCTCTATTGTACAAGTTCGCGCATTATGGCCAGTATTGCCGCAAACACCACACCGTCGCCCACGCGCTGCCGCCCGCTTTGGACGACGACTACCTTCACCCATTTCCTGTTTTGCCAGCTCAGTACTATCCTTTGCAGCCTGAAGATCTACTACATCTTTAACAGAAAGTACTCCTCCTTTCATTAGACGTTTGTTTTTTGTTTTCCGGCGTTTACTTAGTAGGTGATTGGCCTCTTCTAGTTCGCGGACCCGGGAATTAACCAAAGCGACCTTATGCATAAGACCGTATGTAGCCTTCAAAAACGAGCTCAATGCATTAACTATTGATGTAGATGAGCTTCCCTGGTGGTTTCTGACTCGGTTTTGGATATAAACCAATTGGTTTACCGCTTCGTTAATGGTGGTAGGCGTCTTCAAAGTCCAAGTAGTGGGTGGCAGATTGGGGTCTGGCGACGGTGTTCGTATGACAGCGACAACATCCAGCTTTGAAATGACACTTTCTGGGTCAAAAGGAACAAACCCAGTGGCACTGAAACCTGTTCGAATGTTTCCTGGCGTCATAGCAGCGTTGTGTGCTTCACAAAACGCTGCAAGGAAGTCCTCCTTCGAAACGTGGGTTATATGACGCCAGATGAGATCCTCAATCATGCGACCGTAAGCTCGTTTAAGTGGGCTAAAACAGCCGACATCTAGAGGCTGGAGCCTGTGTGACGAGTGGGCAGGCATACAAAGAGTGATAATGCCGTTGTTCTGACAATAATCCTCAAAGACCTGGGAATGGTGGCTTTCGTGACCATCTAGGATGAGGAGGCGTTTACCGGCAGTCATACGCGGTCTGATATACTTGTCAAAATGCTGAATCCATTCCAAACCAATCTCATTCGTGGTCCACCCGTTGTCGGACACGGCCACCTTCCAATCGCGTGGTAATATTGTGTCGCGATACCATGACGCGAGGTGGGTTTTGCCCTGTAGAATGATGAACGGCGGGACCACCCAACCATCAGCATTAACAGCAGAGATTGCTGTAGACCATTCCCTGTTGCCTTGCTGAGCTTGTCTAGGCCTGCCACGTCTTTCGGCACTTATAATGACCATGCCGGACCCAATAATGCCCATCATAAACCCAGTCTTGTCGAAGTTATAAATATCCGCGTCTTGGATACCATGTTTCGCGACTGCCGCTGCAACTTGGCAAAACCACGCGCGATACGCGTCTGGATCCTTGTTCAAGACCCTCTGGTAGTCTATCTTCCGATGAAAACGCGTCCAGAGGCCTGGTGTACGTTTGATGAAGTTCCGCGTCCAGTTCTTTCCAACGCGTCCAGCCCCACGCGCTGCCAACAATTGATTCGCCATATCTTCAACATAACTGTACCGAGGTGGAAATGCTCGCGCATCCAGGTCGAGAATGAAGGAACAAATGGCATTCTCTTCGGAAACCATAAGTTTCAAAGTATTGGGCATGCTGTCGCGTCGTGATGGCATTCCTTTGACTCTATTGCTCAAAGTGGAACGAGGGACGTTGAAGAGTTTCGCAAGCTGAAATATAGGAATATGAGGGTCACGTCGTTTAGCTTGAACAGCTAGCTGCAAGTCTGATTCGTTATAACGCGGTGCCATTGTTGTTGGTGGAGATATGATGGTTTGAATCGTATTGGTTAGAAAGTTCATGACGAGTGCCAACTCGCTTGTAATGTCAACTCGCTTGTCAGCTACGTTAACGTTTATAAATAAATTTATGAAATAAACGTTTTCTTTTTTAATATAGAAAAATAATTTACTGTTTACTTTTCTTCATTCAATTTGCGTTGATTTGTTATCAATATTAAAAGGTTTACTATTATATTTAGTGGTAGAATTACCGATGCACCGGTCGGCTACGACACTTTCATGAGCAATTCCTATGAGTAAATCTTTCGAAGCCTACCAAATGGGTGTCAGCTGTTAGATACTAGCACGAATGTGTTGAATGAGAGCCGGAGATAGACACCGGAAGATCTCCAGTGGGGCAGAGACGCACAGGGCATCTGACCCACCAAGAAGACAGATGATCAATCTCTGCACACGGAAGAAGCAGAGCACAACAATGAACAGAATCCATCAACATCCGTGTATTCAACACCTATCATGCCTATCGGCCCTACCACTGACCAGACCAGACCATCTGTTGGCGGCCGATAACCAACGCGGTTTATTACCATCTTAGGCTTGAACCTGAATATGTACTAGGCGCTATGCGGGCTAGACCGCGTAGGAAATGACACGGCATCCTGGTGGTTCCTGACTCCTCCCGTCACTATCACTGGTCGCAGAGGATTTGATAAAATACCATCCAGCTGGGTCCGGGCTCTATCGGGTAGAGGAACGGGAGATTGTTGGTTGGTTTCAACTTTCAATAACGTGGATCTGGGGGGACCCCGTCAGCCCGTCTGTCTTCTTTTACGGCCCAGCCACGCGAGAGGGAAGCTTGGCTGCTTGGAGTATCCCGGTACTGGCTGGCTGCCGCATACAGTAGGTGACGTTGGGCACGGCCTCGTCACGACGCTGCAGTACCAATACCACGTGGGCTGCGTGGTTCTTGCCACATGCAGTACCAGTACCGTTTACAGGTCGATCGGCAACTCCCTCTCGGTGTCACGACATCGCAGCCTGCAGCCTGCGGGCTGGCTATCTTCTTCTCTCGTTCTCCAAGTGGCTGTGTGATCAGTACTGCTCGCCATACTCCAGCCTCTTCGCGCAGCTCGGATACCTGCTGTCCGCTTGACTCGTAGGCAAATGTATGCAAATCAAGGTCAATGACTCGGAAGTCTGTCAGTTGACTTGAGTCTAGCATCATGCTAGATCAGTCTACGGTAATTAAGCCGGGAAAGACTGCCCCAGTGCTATGCTCTGCTAACAAGGCCCTAGCCCCCGTGCTTGGCTACTTCATCCGGCATACGATAGTCTCCAGACTCCAGAGGCGCCGTTGGTTTCTCGAAAGAGAAGGAGTTCTTTCTCGCCAACAAGTCATCACGATTCACCAGCGAGGATGCTTTCGCGTCCAAGGGTAGAAAAGGACAGGATCGACAACAGAACCACTGTAGTACAATTCTCTACCCCTGGTTGACCAGGGAGTCGCCCACGTGAGCGGCAAGAGGATCTACTCCTCGGTTCCGGGGTTGGGTACATTATTTTTATCTGCAAGCCGCCAACGACCTCGAATCCTCCATGCAGGTCGATATGCATCGAGACCAATCACGGCACTCCTGATGGACAGACGCCCAGGAATTTCAGAGTCCAGGACTCCAGAGTCTAGGTGCCGTGGAGATACGTCTTTAAGAGAGCCCCGCTTGCCGCCATCTGATGTTGCGTCGTTGCGAACCATCACTGGTCTATGCGACGGGCGGACACACCTTGGTCAATTCGGTTAAGAACTATATCATCGTCTTCATTGGTATCAGACCGTTGGCTCCTTGTCCCTCCTGGCTTGCTAGTAGTGGCGGGACGGAATGGCTTAGGACCACGATCCAGGGATTAATATTGCGAGCTAGGATAAGCGGCCCCCTGTGAAGCAGGGTGAAGAGTGCTTGTTCCTTACTATACTACATGGGTACAGGGGGCGAACTCGCGCGAAGCCTGGACCCCATCGCTACCTCTCTGTGAGCTCTAGACTCTAGAGTCCATCGGTAATGCTAGCATCCTCCACGAGTCCACCATCGTCGGGAACAGTTCAAGTACGAGCCGCCCCCAGAATTGGTGAGACTGCCAACCGAGCATCCACTCTGTACAATTTCCGGTGAAAAACGAAACAAGCGACTGCTGAATAGGTAACGGGTCTGCAACAGTCTGAAGGGAACAATTTGTTGGGAAGAGGGTGTATTCTGGGCGAATTACTCGAACCACGGAATGCCGAGTTGCAACCTACCGCGCGAGTCCTGCATCCTCAGCACACATCCCCCCTCGTTAAACATGTCATCCGCAGACGACCCGTCGGCGGCGATGATACAGCTTCTGACGTCTTACGACAACTCGCACGAACCAAAGCCAGCATGGAACAACAAATCAACCGCCTATGGCCTGATTATCTCTTCTATGGTGGGTGACATAGTTTGCGAGGCTACAAACGAGTAGTTCGCCGCTGACCCATCGCACAGGTCTTGTCGTGGATATGTGTCGCGCTGAGGCTATACACCCGTTTCTCATTACGTTGTCCTGGCTGGGATGACCTTCTCGTGGTACTATTTAGAGTAAGACCCTGGCTGCAAGTCCAACGGAAGTAGTCAAGGGACTGGCTGACCATATTGCAGGTTTCCGCGACAATTGGCACGATAACCATCTGCATGTGTAAGGCTCATGTATACCTGATGGACAACATGAATCTTAGGCTCACAATTACTTGCAGCATTTGAAAACGGGCTTGGTGAACACTTCCTCACCATAGGGCAGACGAACATGGTAGAGTTCCAGAGGGTGAGTAACAGTGCCATCAACGATAGACTGTTCGTCAGGCTTCCGTCGTGCTAACAACTCATCCTAGAAATTTTACATTGCCTTGACTACGTACAGCATCTCGACGACACTCACGAAACTATGTCTCCTAGCCCAATACCTGCGGGTTTTCGAAGCGGGGAGTGTGGCACGGAAAGTCTCCTATGGTCTGTTGGTCGTATCTGGTCTATGGGGCATCGCGTTCTCCATATGCGCCCTGGCGCCATGCTTTCCTCTGTCCGGCTTTTGGAACTGGACGATCAAAGCGAAGTGCTACGGCTTCGGCTCCAAGGTACCGGCGGAAATATCTGGAAGCTATGCTGCACATGCCGCCTCCAACGTCGTGCTCGATATCCTTATCCTCGCTATTCCCGTTCCCCTGTACTTCAGTAAGGCCACCATATGGAAACAAAGACTGGCCGTCTCTTGCATGGCAATGCTGGGTCTTGTGTACGTTGCGCCCCTAAACCCCGAACGGCAGCCCCTGCCGCTTGTTAGGGGTCCGTTTGCTAACCGTCCCCCGCGTCAACAGCATCAGTCTGCTCAGCGTGTGGCGCCTGCAGGGCATCGTCGAGCACAAGGCGGCGACATACCCAGTGATGGACCCGACGTGGTACGCCCCGCAGAGTCTCGTGCTGGCGGGGCTCGAGGTCGACCTTTGCAGCATCTGCGCGTCCATCCCCGTCTTCTGGCCCGTCATCACGGGAAATCTCGGCAAGATTTTTGTGACACAAGAGGTGCACATCACGCGCAAGCACCGCCGGCTCTCGGGCGGCGACGAGGAGGACGACGCCCGCTACGAGCTGCAGCCGAGCGCGTCGATGCAGTCGCAGCGCAGCGACGAGGATCTTCATCTTGTCATGACGGATACCATGACGTCCAAGGGGGCGCGGGAGCGCCAACAGACCGGCGGAGGCCACGGAAAGGGACGCAGTCACTACGACGACGACTTCGTCGCTAATAGCGTCATTCCCCTCGGCATGAACGAGGCGAAACCTATGTCTGCGGCGCAGATCGTGTCGGGCGGCCAGCGGGGGTTCGAGCACGAGCAGAGGGAGCGGTTCGGTATCACGCCCGACCGGATACGAGACGAGAAGACCACGAGGAAATACAGTCGGTAGCTTCCGTAGCAGGCAGGACGGACGATTGAATGAAATGTAATACCAAATAATCACGATGGATCGGATCATATCGGACAGTCACATCAAAGCTTACTGCGTGCGTGTTGCTGTGCGAACGTTTGGGTATGAAAGGAGTTGGTATTCATCATCCACCTAACCTAGGTGGCATACCGTATGCCAGAATCAAACCCATCCATCAGTGGAGGCTTTGACAGAGGATCCGACAAATGGCTCGACATAGAGCTCAACATTGGGTTTCACCCATCCGTCACTGTGGCTGGAAAATGGGTTGATGAGCCACAGCAGCATTGTACCGGTACTCAAATCTCCTCGACTTTGACTACAGCATTATTCTTAGCGTCCTCGATCTCGACAGCAGCGGCACTCTCAGGGTCCTCCTCCTCAGCCACCTGCTCAGTCTTGATGGCGGCATCGGAAGCGGCGGCATCGGAAGCGGCGGCATCTTGCTTCTGCTTCTTGGTCATGTGATCTGCCTCCGAGGGGGCCTTACGTTTGCGCTGCGTCTTGATCGGGGCCACGGTGTCACCGGAGGTGGTGGAGGGACGGGGGGCAGCAGTGCCAGCAAGAGCACGGTCGATCTCGACGTCGTCGGCGGACTTCATCTTCTCGTAGACCTTCGTGAAAGCATGGTTGGCGGCGTCGCGGCTTTGATAGTGGGTGATCCGTTGGAGCTTCTCGTAGTCGAGCTGCGATTTGGGGGAGGTAGGGGTTAGTGTGGGCTTTGGGGTTGTTGATGAGAGGGTTTGAGGAGTGAGTGAGGAAGGTGGGTGTGGGATGGGATGTGGTCGACGCGAGAACAGGGTGTGGTGTGCGAGTTTGTGGTGGTGGTGATGTTCACTTACACGAGGCTTCTCATTGTAGAAGTCATCGGAGCAGAGCCAGGCCTTGGCGAGGATCTCAAGCTCTCGGCTGTTCAGCATAACCTTGATACCCTGAGTACCCTCGGGCTGGGTGGGTGGAGCAGGGGCCATGGTCGACAGTGGATGAGTGCCCGGATGGCAGATCGCAGTAGCAAACGAGGTCGTCGAGGTAACAGCTTGAGAGTACACAATGTCGGCGAGCAAGGTCAGTGACAAAGTATATGTGTTGCTGAGGGAAGAAGTGAAGCAGAACGGCTGTGCGAGCTGTGCGGCGAGAATTCAACGTGAAACAGATTACCAGCCGGAAGCAGCGTGGGGCTCGCTTGCAATCAGAGAGAAGGGTCGTTGTCATTGCCCTTGCAAGGGGGTGATGGCATTGTTGCTTAGGGCTTCTTACCGAAGATTGATACACAAGAAGTATATCGGGGAAAAGGCAGACTTCTTCAAGCAGAAGTAATAGATGCTAAAGTCCATGGCGCTCTCCAAGGTCTTGCAGCAGCCAGGGCGATTGGACGCGGAAAACGGCTGTATGTCTGCCTGGACAACACGTCAGTGGTAGATGGGCTCAATGGGACTCCACCTGAGACATCACAGAACATTTTTCTACGATTCCAAGAACTTGCCACGGCACACACTCCTGGGATGACCGTCAAGTGGATTCCTGGGCACAGAGATATCAATGGTAACAAAGCTGCTGATACACTAACAAAAGAGGGTGCCATGCTAGAAACAGACACAACGAACCTTCCTACAATCTCTTGGGTAAAGAGAGACCTCAAAAAGAAGAACAAGAGAGAATTCAATTAATAATAAAAAGACCAATCAGAACCGAGGTATCAAGAAGTATACTCACATATAGTAACTAAAAGGGACCTTATATCTTTTGAAAGGAGCACTCTACACAGACTTCTAGCGGCCAGATCTGGACATGGCGACTTTGCTAGATATCACGAACGTTTTGGGCATACAGACTCGAATAACCACTGTAATTGTGGTAAGAAGAAAACACCACAACACATTTTCTTTTGTAAGAGGCTTGGGAAAAACTGACTGCTGCCCAGGTACTCGCCTAGGACAGCCTGTTTACAATACTTGGGGGAGAGGAGCGCGGAATGGGCAAGATTTGTTGAGAAGAGCAAGTTCTTTTCATCAATCTGTCCCTGATAGATAGCTTTTCTTGAAGGACCAGATGGATGACCCCAAAGTCATACAGCCACAACAACGGGAATGGGCTCAGGAGCGGGACTGACTGTACTTATTATCTTGATACCTCCACAACCCTGCGATGCAGAGGCTCTGGGAAGCGTGGTTTGCACTACTGAGGAGCGATCCCCCACGTTAAATACAATCAATCAATCAATCAATCAATCAATCAATACCGAGACTTGCTGGCTTTTGTTCTCCTTCTGGGCCCGCACGATCTTCTAGATGTCATTCGAGGTCAGGCCCAGGCGGAAAGCTCCTTCGCGAAGACGACGAGTGAACAGCATCCCCAACTCTCCTTTGGCGGAGACGCCACGCTTTGCCGATGCGGTCTGCATCACACCTGTACGCGATCCCCTGGCAAAGTTCGCCAGGGAACCTTTACAGGAAAGGGTAAACCGTCGAATGTATTCTTGGGAGGTACCGGTTTGAGCTTCCCCAACAATGAAAGCGTTCGTGCCCTGGATCCGCATGACAGTCTCCCGGGACTTCCAGCGTTCCTTGATCAGATGCTTGTCTATGCAAGCTTGGTATATGTGCACTATACTGAAACTATTCTACAGCACCATACTGACATCCTGAATCCTACCTCTGCCCACATGTAGCAGGATCCTACAGAACATAGGATGTCGCTTCATGAGGAAGAATGGCTCCTCAGTTTGCACCCCTGCACGGACTGCGCGCCGCTTGACCTCCCCGATCGTATCAGATTCCGAATCTGATAGTATCTCTAGAGTTGAACCGAGAGCCTTATCGTCTTCGGGGCCCCAGGCCCGATTCTTCGTCGTCGTTGTTGGAATCCAGTGCCTGACCATCTTCAGTTGTCTGGTGGTGGCTCCAGTGAAGCGCAGAAGGTCCTGCATGGGCTGCGATACCTTGCCCCTCAAGATGCGATGTATATCCAACATAACCTGCATCGCAAAGACATGCCAGCCACTTACTGCCCTTTGTTCCATCAGTCCCTTGATGCTCCCCGTAATCTCGTCCACGGCCGGAAGGTGTAAATAAAACAACTTAAGGGCAAATAATGCGGTTAGCGCGACTTGATTGTTCAAATAGCGTGTGTAAAGAGGCTCGACGTACCGAAGAACGATCTTCAGGCAGCTGATTCGGTCGCGAGGGCCAGATACGTTGGATGATCGGAGCCTCTCCTTGGCCTGCGACAGTGCCATGCGCAAACTTCTCTCGTCCCCCAGCAGCTCGTGGAACCTAGCCCGCTCGTTGTGTACGAGCGAAAGTTCCATTCCGATTAGTCCCTCTTCTTTGGTCAGATCCGCCAGCTCATTTAGCATCGATATGGCATCCTGCATGTCGACGTGCGTGAGGTCACTTTATCAAGGACGCCTGGCTGGACAAGTAGCTCTCCAGCTATGATCTTGTCTTCATTCCGCTTCTCACTGTCGCTGAGTGATGCCCAAGGAGTAGTGAGTTTTGCTGTACCGAACCTATCCTGGGGTATGACGATGACCTTGCCACTCTCGTTTTGCCGGACCATGCACTCGAAGAGGAAGGTAGACAGAAGTATGGCTGCTATGGTAAAGTGTGCATCGAGTGCTGCTCAAGGCTGTAATCATCCCACCGCGTCAGGATATCTTTGACATGAAATGTACCCTATATCTTCATAGGAAATGCCCTATGATATAGATGCCCTGCTCAACCCATCATGGTTGATTATAGGGGATGGATATTGTTTCTTCCCACCTTATGTATCAAAGTGGCACTATAACTAGAAGGCAAAAGGATCCGACAGCCACTGTGTAACGGCAAGCTTGTCTTACGTCAAGACCTTTACGTTATATAAGCCCCCTGGCTGTAGAGAACCAGGTGACTCAGTATCATTTGCTAATCTACCGTCAGTCATTCGGTTCTAGTTGGAGGTTATAAGATCACACAAAAGCGTTGTACAGTTTGCGTTGCAGAAACATGGCGGCGGCAACTAAGGTGCTTAAAGTGATGATACTACTCAGGAGAGGTCCGATCACCTGGAAATGCGATTCGACGCCCAGAAACCCCCAATACCCATACCCATACCCATACCCACCAAAATGCTTTACAACACCCCGGTCTCAAATGTGATATCATCTTGAATCTGCGGCAGTCACATAGCCCCACGCGTGATACATCATATTGCCTTCAACCCAACGCCAAGTTTATCCATTGAACAAATATATGGTGCATACAAACAGCACTCGCTACTCTCCATCGATCTATCGGATCCTCCCGCCCTTCCGCTGAAGAAAAATTCTGGAGATTGGGGTAGGTGCCATTCTACAGCGGTTCTGCATATGCGGTTGGTGGTTTAGTGTTGTAGTTCCCGCGAACGACGACGAGGCTGTGGCCGTTGCACTGGAGGGCGCGCTGCGACCTTATCTCCCATCCCCGCGGTCGTTGGTTTGGTAGATCCTTAGGGTTGTATAGGGCCAGTCTGGATCTATCTGAAACTGCAGATTTGTTGTCGAGCACAGGGTTTGTTCGCTCTTTGGGAGGTCTGCTGACCAGTTGATTTTAAGAACAGGGTGAAGTGTATTTCCGCAGGACTCAGAGCGTCGCCTCTAGTGTTACGGTACGGGCATCTACTCACCCAGGCCTACATGTCTAACTTCGTCACTTTGACCTCCATGTCGAGTGTATATGTCTGTCCACCTCGTCAAGGGCCACAGGGGCCTGGATACCACACCTGCAGCCTGACCGTGTCGAAGGTCCTGGCACTCCCGGTAACGGCTGCAGCAGTCATGGAGATGGTGCGCATCGCCCGCGACGATCGCCATAATCGCCAGACTGATCTTGCATACCTTACCGCAGCCGCTTCACAGCTAACCTAGGCCACATACGTCACGTTGGTGGCTGGCTGGCTGCCTTGCCCTTATCCAAAATGCAACACCATGGCCCGTGTGATCCCCGATTCCCACATCACCGTCCCCTCGGTTTCAGGTAGGGCATGATCCGTAATATGGGGTTTTCTGGACTGCCAGCGGCAGGCAGGCCGGCACGCAGGCAGGCAGGCTCGATGCGACCATACGTGGAGCAACTTGGGGGCCTCCAGGGAGGCGTAGTGCGTCGTCGTCACACTTCTTGGTATCGATCGCTTCCCAGACCCGGGCCAGAGATATGGGCTGTTCCTCTGCGGCATGGGGGTATCTTGCACATTGACCATCATCCGGGTTTGGTCCCCGAGTATGTGTTGGTTATCCAGATGCAGACGTGCTTGCTTATCAGTCTTGAGGTTACGGTAGTAGATTGTTGGAGGTCAAATATCTATTCGGATGTTCTCCTCCAAAAGTACACTGCGCTGTGTTGGGCCTGGGACGCAGATCCTGGACTTCTGGGAGCCTGGCAGTCTTGCTTCGACAGCGCCAGCGACCCCGATAAGCTTTTCTCTGATACTACACCGCCGGAGATGCGACGTCGGGAAGTTCGGTCAGTGCTAAGACAGCTGAAGATGCACTTCTCTCATCACGTATTTGTGATAACAAGCATACCTTACTTAGCTCACCACTGCCTCACGTAATCTCTATCAATATTATTGAGGCAACATCCGGCCCCTATCGGCCTAGATAGTCGTTCGACAAGATGTATGTATGGCTGGATGCGCAGGAGGAGAACACCGCCAACGATACGATGGATCTATTCTAGGTCAGTCAGAATGCTCCAGCCTGATCGCTGCCTAGACGCTGCCCCTTTAGTCTTATTGCTGAGAGGCCTGTGAGCTGTCCCGACATGACGCATGTCTCAGCAGCTCTCACCTGAGAGCCCAAACACAACACGCTGAGTACTCGATCGGGCTTTGGAAGATGCCGGATACGAGAGGCTGCAGTGGCACCGAAGACGTGAGAACTCAGCCCGAGAAGCGGTGCGGTGTAACCCTCGCCGTGATACCCGCGTTACTTAGCGCATCACATTGATATGCGCCTTACCAACACGCAGAGCTAGCGGTAGCAAAACATGCTACTTAGCCGAGAGACGCGCCAAGCGACATGTTGTGCCTCAATCCTGCCTTGTGTCACCTTCCAATACCAGAATGATCGTTACTGACGACCAAGAGCGAATCAAGGCCGCAGTGAGATCAACGAGAATAGTAGAGGGTGGCGTAGTGCTGCGCATCGTCGGGTTCTCTACCACATCTGGGCTGTGGTGGCGATGTGATCAGCTGCATCTGGTCGATGGTTCATCTCGTCCCTCACCAGGTCATTGGGGTATAATGTAACCAAATGCCAGGAGAAGCGACTGCGATCACTTTACACATGTAACGCACTCCCATAGAAGTACTCATACATAGCCTACCAAGGCTGTGTTGGTGCTGCACGCGTTGCCTGCAGGCGGATCCTGCAGGTCAGCGGCAAGGAACGCAGAGTTCCCCGAGGAGGGTAGAACAGGGGCCTCTACTTGTATATGGAAGCGGAAAGAATTTCTTCTGCAACGGGAATATCCCTTGTGCCGTGTTCTGTAGATTCCACGCCGACAGGCAGAGCTATGAATCGTCCAAACGAGTTGAAGCCATTGTCGTGACGGTGATTACGTTGTGTCTCTCACCGTGGTCGGCGTGACAGCTGCAGTTGGGATGTCGTTGAATTTAAGACGACCAATCAGGGTGATTACCAACAATTGGTAGAGGTGAGAGCACTATAAATAACCTTGGGTATTTTGTACCGTGGGTCCGTGTCATCGCGCCGTCTCGCGCAGGTGGTTGACCTAAGCATAAACAGGTGACCCGCCTTAGCATAACCTGTCAACGGTCAACAATCGTGATGTCGTTCCGCTGTGACTCTTGCTTGGGGGGATGAATCGATATCATAAGCTTTTGGGGGTCAGCACTTCGTTGGTAACCGCGGTGCTTATGTGGACATTGCATTCGCTGGTGTTTCTACCACTCACAGACTGTAGCCTCGGCAATACGCTGGAGAGGCGGCCAGAGTCCCAGGGCAGCTGAAGCCTGAAGTATAACTGAGTGCCTAGGCATGACCAAATCTTTCTAGCTTCAACAGTTCGGGATCTGGCGTGAACTGCGGCAGTGCTCAAACCCCCGTAACGGCGTTGAATGTCTGATTAGCACGTTTCGCTGATTGATGATACCCATGCCAAAGGTAGCTCCCTCCTCTGGCGCCGTTCCTATCGCAGGCTGCATTATGGTCCACATGTACATCGACAGAGATCAGACGATGGCAAGTCTTTGCCGAGACTGTCGCCCTGAAACGTGGGGTCCAAGTCCTAGAGCTGGCCTGGGCCGTGAGACCGGCCATGTAGCCAAACCAGGGACATTGCTGAGTGTATCACTCGCTTTCGGCAGCCGTAGTCCGTCCATTGGCTGGAAGCGCTCCCACGCACAGTCAATGACGCGAGAAGGTAGCTGAAGGATTTTGAGAAGGCTGCCAATCAGTAGGCCTCATTGGCCTGGTACCCTTGCTTTTTGTGCTGGAGGAGCTGACGCCGAGAACACAACGAGTAATGGTGGTGGTACGGTACCACCCCATCTGCATCGTACAGAATCGTTAGAGAGGGTTCGTATTTCATCGCCGAGGACTGGGAGACGCGTACGAGACCCGCCGGGTATGTGTGAGTCTGGAGTCTGCTTGGTCACACCTAGGACATCTGCGCTGAATGAAGCTTGCAAAGGAGAGATGTTCGAGGCAGCCAAGGTACCTTGGTTGTTCAGGTACGTAGATGACATATCGCACCGCACCAAGATGTCGGCACTCTAGGACCACGTGCCCAACTTCTACCCCCCTTCGTTTGGCACTTATAACTTGGTGAGGATGTAGAGCTTGACGACGGGCGAAGCATCCACGACACCAAGTGCTCGAAGGAGCGGGAGAGGTTCCATGATCCCATCACCACCCCTACCTCACTTCTCCAGACTCATGTGTCGCTTGCCCTGTCCCGAGGACGTATGGATCAAAGAGCCTGAGAGCACAAGCCGTATATGCAGGAGTATACTGTCGCGAGTGTGCGGGCAGATATTGCCTCGAAGCACGGCCAGCTGCCAGTCTACTCACCGAGAGCGCCGCTTGAGCTTGCTCTAGTAGGAAGCAGCTGTCGATACCTGTTCCAGCTATCCCTGACCGTATACCTAGGTATGGTGCTGTGTTACTCGCAAGAGCGTAGACCGAGACAGTGCCTATGACCACGATGTCTCTGGCTGCCGCGTAGGATCTGGACTGAGTTGCAGTGGGATTTCAAATCACACATTTCGAGTAGGTGACCCTCGCTGATCTGCCCGTACCGAAGGAACAAAGTGGATGATGACCAATGGCGCGGTAATACCGTGAAATTGGTACCTACATGGAGGATTCTTAATCCCTACAGCGCTTGTTCTCACAATGAAACACGTGTAGATGAGAAGTACCATGCATCTCCGCGAATGACTCCAGGGGACTGGTCAGGAACATGTCGTCATGCCACGAGGAAGCTGCACGAACGGCTGCAAGTCGCGTCTCCAAGGCCCAACTGACCAGTGGCAGAGGTACTGACGAGTCAAGCCGGGCGTGCTCTCGTGGCGAGATCTCGACGATCTTGGTGACTAGGCTGGAATCCTTCTTTGTGTTAGTAAGGGGTTGAGAGATGAGGTTGTTGAAAATAGTGACGGTGAGCAATATTGGCAGACAGGCAGACAGGCAGAGTGGTGGGGATCTGCACTTGTAGAGATCTGGATATCCGTGCGGGTGCTCTCCAGGGCTGGGCTTGGGCTTGGGCTACCCTTATTCCGACAGGGCAAAAACACGGGCCACAGGGAGGCCACAGGCCACCTGCACAGACACACTGTGCGCGACGCCTGTAGAACCCCTCTAAAGTTCGGGAGCAAGGGCACTCCAGGGGCCTAAAACTTAAAAGCTGTCGGTCCCGTGAGGTGCCCACTGCCCGCCGTGACCTCGACATCGAGACTGAGAAGACTAATGACTGCTGCATGCATCCTCCCATCCCCCACCAATCCTTTGATGTAAGGTATTTTTCGTTTTTTTGTTGACATGCCCATTGCTTGCTTCCCTTGTTCCAATGACACCGGCCGGGGTATTTCTCCCGGGGACGATGGTAAGGTATGTAGTGACTATCTCTGGCAGGTGTTCGCATCTGCATCGTCACTCCAGTCCTGGTAAGGTAACAAGAGTCTCGTGAGGGATGTGGGGGGGCCAACACTGACATTCCCCCGTCTCACTGATCAAACTCAACAGGATCACCAAGGCCCGGGAAAGAGAGGGAGGAAGGCCGGGACAACAGTCTAGAAGACCAGAAGAAGCAAAATTCGGCAGCATGTGCGCTCCGCGGCGTCCGCAGGGATGGCAGACTCCCGCCGTCTGCCACCACCACCACACCACCAGCCTGGTAGCCGCCAAATCCTTCTAGACAAAGCCGTCTAGGATTCTAGTCGGCCACCAGCTCCCGAATCTTGACTCTGAACCACGACTAGCTGTCAAGTGTCAGCAAGCCTCAAGGGCATACTCACCACATGGGGTTGCTTTGGGTGGACCGCCTGCATGGCAGCCAGGCTGTGAAGGAGTGATTCCAGACTGATGGTGGAGGACGCAGCTGCGTACCTACATCGGTAGCATTGGCACCACTCTTTCCCTCTTCCCTTCCTGCTGGGGGCGAGACATTGCATCTCCCGGGTCTGCGTCCAACGTCACCTGGTGTATGGGTGTAGCAGCATCGTGTCCTGGTATCCTCCTGCATGCGAGCATACATGGTCACTGGTCAGGCTATAGGGTCATTTCTATTTCCATAACGGCTGGGGCTTGATGCAGCGACCTGGGATGACTGTTGCCAAATCGGTCGTGGCTTGGAAAAGTTTCTGTCCAATTCCTGGATGGCACCGTCAAGTATGGCATACAGTTGAGTGCGTCTCCTAGTCGGCGGGCTCGGGAAGCTGCTCCCGGGTTGCCAGGTTAGGCTCTTTGGCTCCCTCACAATGAAGCATGTCTCGATCGCTCGCTCACGTAAGGCAAGGAGTACGAGAGCGCCACAGAGACCAGGCTTATTAACCTAGGTACATCCATCAAAACCCCAGGAGTCTTGTCAAGACTCCGATCAAGTACCTTGTGCAATCTTCGTACGGCAATGAGACGGCGCATACTGTACTGTACGGTGGATGCATCCAATCTTGCCTCCAGCTGCGATATGCAGTACACAGTAGTCCAGAGCCCCAGACCCCCAAAGTCCCCCTGTCCCTTGGCAAACTGGCTCCCGAGCACCCGAGGTCGTCGAAAGAGAGCCAACCTAAACCCTGCCATTACATAGGTTGATGTACCTTGCCTCCTTATCTGCGCTGCATGGTACACATGGCTGCACCGAATAGGTACCGCACCTACACCGTTCTGGACTGTCCAGGTTTGCCGATCCACAAATGAATATTGCCGAGCTTCTTCGTACTTCAAAGCACTGTGCCGTCTGTCTTGAGGTTGCCTGTCTATCTACGTCGAGGTATCTCTACCTTGCCTATGTAGGTCCAGCATCTATCTTTGCCTCTCCATCTCGACCCCCATCCCTTTCCCAACCTGCCTGCCTGCCGCCAGCTGTTCCAAAATACACAATTCTGCATCCAACGTCGTGCGTCTGCGTCGTGCGTCGCGCTTCACACCCTCGAGCTGCAGAACTCAGGAACGCCAGCAGCGCAGCAGCCGTCACTCAACATTGAACCGCAGTCTGCGAGGCTGACTGCCGTTACAATTCGCTCCAAGGGACCCCCCATGTCAGGGTGTGCGGGAGCCGGCAGCAGGCGAGAGTCAACCGTCAACCGCGAACAAAGGTGCTCAACCCTCGAGCGTGGCGATTGAGTCTACATATACCCCGTACCGATCCCAAATTCCCAATCGCAAGAAAAGGAGCAATGCGGTTCGTCATCTCGCGCTTTCTAGAAGTCTTGTCCAGTCCATCACCGCGGATCCCCCACTTCCTCCCTGCGACGCCGTCTTTGTCTAGACTCTCGTTTCCAGTCATGCTGATTACCTGTTCTGTCGCAGACCCAATGGCTACCGTCACTGAGAGTGCGCCGAGAAGCACGCCCAGCAAGAACCCAGACGGCGGCATGGGCGCACGTACTGTCCCTATTATTACCACCCCTACACCGACACCGACCATAAAGACGTCTGCGCCCTCTCCAGCTGGGGAACCAATGGATATCACCACACCTACCAACTCCTCCGCTCCACAAAGTGTTGGCAAGAGTTCCGAGGGGGAGGGAAGCGACTCGAATGACCGCCTAAACACGGCTCCTACGAGCGACCAGCACTCGGCCAGCAGTTCCAACAGTATGCCTGCGCCTGCCGCCGCCGCCGCCGCTGTTCACCAGCCCAAGATCGTCCAGACGGCATTTATCCATAAGCTATACAAGTACGTTTGCTCAGGCGCGGCGAGGACCCAGCGATTGACTCTTTTGCAGCATGTTGGAAGATCCGAACATACAGCACCTCATCAGCTGGTCAAGCTCCGCCGAAAGCTTTGTAATGTCACCTTCACACGACTTCTCCAAGGTCTTGGCGTATGTACCCGAACATGTGGAAGAGGATTCGCATGGAAGAGGATTCAGACTAATGATTGCCAGCCAATACTTCAAACACACCAACATCTCGTCATTCGTTCGACAGCTGAATATGTACGGATTCCACAAAGGTTTGTAGCATATCTGCAATGCCTGTTGCTACTAGATTAACGAGGGTTTCAGTGAGCGATGTCTTCCATACTGGCAGCCCTGAAACGGCGCTTTGGGAGTTCAAGCACGGCAATGGCAACTTCAAAAGAGGCGACCTGGTTGGATTGCGCGAAATCAAGCGTCGCGCTTCTCGCCATGCCCTCGTTCATCGAGAGTACAACAACCAAAAGCCGACACCGTCACAGCCAGGCACACCAGCAGAACCCATGCCATCAGTTCATGACGGTCTGGATCCTCGACATACAAATATCGAACACTCTTTATATGAGGCCACCGTCAGGCTGCAGCGTAGCGAGCACGAGGCGCACTACATGCAAGTGAAGCAGCAGACCATGGTCGAGACGATAAACCGCCTGCTGCAGTTCAACCATGAGCTGTCAAGAACAGTCCTGTCTTTGGTTCCGCCTGACAATCCAGCTCATAGGGATGGTAAGTGCGCGCTGATCATCTATGGACTGTGCTGGACGTCTAACGCTGTCTGTAGTTATGGCTTTGCAAGGAGAGATCCAACGCCAATCCGAGGCCTTTCGCATGATTGACGAACCACATGAGCCACCTGTCTCGGGTAGCCGTCAATACTTTGCTAACCTTGACAACCCACCTCTATCTCCTCGGCAGCTTGCCCAGGATGACCGAAAGTTAAGCGTACATCAAAGCAGAGGCCCAAATTTCCACCGACCACCAGTGCCATCGAATCTATCAATCAACTCACGCCGGCCCTATGGATCGATCAGTGGGACCACGACCCAATCTTCCCCTTCTCCTCTTCGATCCCAACCACCGCCACCACCACCTGGTCCTCACCCTCTGTCAGCGGTTGAGCCACCACCGAATAGCTTAGCCAGGCGGCACACCTCAGCTGACATCAGAGCTCATGGGTGGCAGGCCAATCCACCACCACCGCCACCACCTCCATATCTTAACTCGGGTCCGCCATCTTCTCACTGGCCATCTTCTCCAAGCCGAATGCCTGTGGAAGACTATCGGGGTCGTGAACCCCCTTCGCACTACTCTCTTTCGCGACCTGCCACTCCGCCGGCGCCCCCCTTTTCCAATGGCAACATTGGCAATGGTCTGGAAAGCCTGAACAACTGGTCTTGGAATTCGGCCGGCAGGGAGAATAGAAACCTCTCCATCAAGGACATGTCTGCACCACCTACCCGGAGAGGAAGCATGGCACACATACTGAACCCCACCGACACTGTGGAGCGAGATGATGAGGATGACCCAAGAGAAAATGATGATCGAAAGCGCAGGCGAATGTGATATTCTGATGTTCTTGGAACTACTTCAGGCTACACCATCGCCCATCCAACGTCGGAAGCCCTGGGCACATCATTCGTACAAAGCTGATTTGCATATTATACCACATTCGGCGGATGCCTTCATTTACACTTGCACGAAGAGACGTATTCTGGCATAGACGAGTCTTTCAGGATTCCCGGCCATCACGCGCCAACGTTACACGTCCATGTTCTACGACGATCAGCCATGCACTTATGAAGACGTCTTTGAGTTTTGTTCTCTGATTTAACGCATCTCCCTCTTTCTTACTTTACCTATATTTTCCTTTCATATACATTTCCCATCTTTGGCCATTCAAGATACCACAAGCTTTCTGGGTGTTGATACGATCTGTTTTGCGGTTGGAGGCGGTTTTTTCATGGGCGCAGCATCTTTGCCCAAGGCTAGATCCTCGAATGGGATATGGAGACTGTACACTGTGGATTTTGGAGAACGAACCCAGGTGTACACTCGACATGTTTGATGCGGGGAAGCTCTCGACCGACGTTTTCAACTACTATCTGGGATGTAGGAGTACTGGAGGCTTGCCTGGATCCCGAGTAGAATTGGAGTGGTGTGGCAGGATGCACATGCTAGTGCAAGGAAGAATGGCGGTCATTTTGACGTGTATTGGCACTCGTCAGGAGCCATAGTGTTGTATTCATATTGCGATCCTGGCTGGGGCAGCTACCCCCAGTCTTGCACGCAGGCTTGTTCAGGCCGTTTGAAAAGAGGTCGTTGCCGCCTACTGTCGCGAATCACCAATGTGGAACATCCAATGTGTGTGAAGCCCCCGTAGAACACATCATCTTAGAAGAGGCAATATCATCATAGTGAAATGTGTATGTATATTGTTTTGCTCTAGTCAGCCTTACTCTCCCCCTATGGCTTCGGTGTCTTCTTCTTGTTCTTCCGCTTCTTCTTCGCTTTTGCCGTATCTTCTGCGTTCTCAGCGCTCCCATCTGCGTCTCCACCGTCGATGGCAGCAGCATCTTTGTCGTCGCCTCCCCCAGCTTCCTCCTTCTGATCTGATACAGGCCCTTCTCTTATCATGCCCACTTCCCCAGGCGCCGCCGCGCCCACAGCAGAAGCAGTAGAAGCCGCAGGAGGAGCATCCGGTACCTCGACATCCTCTCTTTTTCTCTCTTTTCCCGCTCCCACCTCTGCTGCCTTCACATCATCAGCCTTCTTCACCTCCTCCTCCTCCTCCTCCCCCTCCCCTTCCGCTCCCTGTGGGAGTTCCCGCCGCGACCGCTTCTTCGCCCTCCCCAGCCCGCTCCGCCCCGGCTCGTCGTCGCTGCTCTCCTGCTCCTCCCTGCGCGCCCACCTCTTCTTGTTGTCCCCTACCCCTGCACCCGCCCCCTTCCCGTTCCGCTTCCCGAGCAGCTGTCGGCGCAAAGCCTGCGTCTGCGCGTCCTGACCGCCGCCGGAGCCGGGATCGGTTTTAGAGCTGGCGGTTCGGAACCCGAGTCCCGCGTTGGCGTCTAGGCCTAGCGCGAGTTCGGCTTCGAATTCGGCTTCTTCTTGGGTCGCGCGGGCTGGTGTGCGGGGGTTGTTGCGGGAGGTAGTGGTAGAGGTCGGGTTGGTGGTGGTAGTGGTGAGCGAGGAGAAGGCTTTGCTGGAGCTGGGTTTGGAGCTTGGTTGTGATGGTTGTGATGGTTGCGCTGGGGAGGACTGGCTGCGCAGCGCGCGCATGGCTTTCCGCGTCGCTTCGTATTGCGCTTGCACGCGGTTCATGGACTCGGTGTAGTTGGGCGCGGGGTTGGCGTTCACGCCCTTGGCGGGTCTGCTTGTTGGCGCCAGGGGTGGTGGTGGTCGGGGGAATGGTGCCGGTTGGGTTGTTATTGTCCGTTGCGTGGAGATGGAGAAGCGTGGGCGGCGTGTTGGTTCTTTGGATGCCATACTTGCGCGACGGCGGGAGCTCAAGGGCTGGAGGAGTTCAAAGGGTGTCGTGCGATGGTACGGACCACTGTCCCTTCGAATTCGGACTTGCGATCACAGGACGGAGCTCGAGGTACAAAGTGCGACATAAATTAAATCGCAGACATATGAAGATCGGCGATAAGATAAGATCTGGGTGTGAGCTGGAGGCGCTAGTACGGGGGATTTGTCTACGCTTCTCATTTGATCGAAATTCATTCATGGGTTGGTTGATGTTCAGCTGGAGGGATGAAGTATTTCAACTGCCCATTATTCCGTAATTCAGTGTTCCAGTCTCGCCATACCTACATGTCGCCTTCATTCCACAGTACCTAAACAAAATCCCGTCTCTGCCTATGTGGTAGGTGCTTGGAAGAGTAGTTGGAAAGTGACATGTTACTATGTGGGAACTTGAGGCATATGGCAGCGCACTACTACTACTCCTTTGCCTCGTACAATGCTACGGGCGCGCCGAAGGCTGGTCGGGTGATGACATCGGTCTTGTCCTGCTGCGCAGGCCAATCGCCGCGATATTCGAACCTGTCGTACTTCTGCAGGATCCGCACCACTGGTGAAAGTTATTAGATGTGTCCCCTTCCTGATACACTATGACAGGAACTCACTGCAGTACGCCATTTCGGTCATAGCAAAGTTCTGACCAGGACACTGTGTATATGTCAGAACGTCACATGAATCCAGGATACAAGTGCTGCATGGAGAGGAACGTACGATTCTTGGGCCTCCGTTGAAGGGAATGTATTCCCACGGCCTCGGCTGCCAGGTATACCATCATTCAGGACTGAACTGTGCCGGATCGGCGAAATTCTCAGAAACGTTGGGGTACAGGTCCCTCCGGGCGTGCAGAGTCATTGGGGCGTAGCATACGAAGTCCCCCTTGCAGACGCCAATGTCTGGCATGCCGTTCACCCCAGGAAGCGTGGTGTCATTGAGTGCCTCTTTGACATTCATCGGCACGGCCGGGTGGAGACGAAGAGTCTCCTGGAGCGTGTAGCGAAGATACTTCATGTTCTTCAGCGCTTCATACGTTGGGGTCTCGTCTCTGCCTACGGCCTCGAGCACTTCGGCACGAAGTCTCTCGACCTTGTCGGGACACACTGCGAGTTCGTAGAAAGCCCACGAGAGCGTGGCCGCCGTGGTGTCCCGTCCCGCTAGAAGGACCGCTATCAGCTGGTCTCGGATGACCTTGGGGTCTTGGGTGAATCGTGCTAGATTGTGCAGGAAGGTGAAATTGGTATCCGATTTGGTGAGCTTTTCGAGCTCGTCAGGTGGTATAGCCAGGGTACGGTGGATGAAAGGTGTGACGAAATCCTCTATCGTCTTGATATGGCGATTGTACTCGGCGTGAGAAATGAGTCTGTCGAATGGGCTTTGGCTAAGTCAGCCATATATTCCACAGTGATCGCTGTTACTCGACTACTGCATACCTAAAAACCCTTAACACAGAGAATCGGAGCTGATGGGTCAATACGTCGTTAAAAGCAAGCTCGAAGTCGCCATTCGGGCTTCTAGTTGTCAGCAAGGCGCAGGTTACCGTGCTCTGTTGTTAGGTATGCATTGCAGCTGAGACTAAATGTACGATATGAATAAGCACTTGGACAAAGGATTATATCAGGGTCAGGATCATTGGGTGCTCCACCGAGGACTGCTTCTCATTCCACTGCAAGTTGTTCCATCTATAGCCCGCCAAAGGTGATGGTCAGAGCTTGAGATGTACATGAAGACTGGAAGCTGGCACGTTGGCAGAGATGTTAACAATTAGGAGGAGGACCTCGTTGGTTCGTTGAAGAAGCGGGTATAGTTACAGTGGGTCGCTTTGTAGTGCAGGTCAGGTGGCTCCTGCCCGGGCGAGCGACCTCGAGGAACGGGTCGGGCTAGACCGGCCGGGTTTTCCCGTTCTGTCGGAATTCCAGATTCGAAAAGAGCTCAAACGGCCCGGCCAGCTGATTTTCGTGTTGACAGTACTCCCTATCAGTATCAACCGCCTGTACGACAACACCTCGTCGTCCTACCTAATAACTCCACCACCCCCGGTGCCCTATCCTCCTGCGCCGTCGTCGATTCATTGCCAATTGTCCATTGGCTACCGTCGTCGTCTCCAGAATGTTCAACATCGCTCGCAGCCGGGTTGCGGCCTCGGCTCTGCGCTCGTCCAAGGTGATCCAAAATCAGCATCGCGCCGCCCTCTCCTATGGTACTGTGTGCTGACTTGCCTCTCATCCTCCTAGACAGCGCTTGCCCCCTCTACCAGATTCCCGGGTGTTGCCCAACAACAGCGGAGAAACCTAAGTATCCACGAATATCTCTCAGCCGACCTCCTGCGACAGGTACGACCCATCTTCCAGCCCTGACATCGACGGGCCCCCTAACCAGCGTTGACAGTATGGCATTGGTGCACCCAAAGGTTCCAATGCGTCCACCGCCGCCGAGGCCGAGAAGATCGCAAAGGAGATTGGCGGCGAAGACATGGTCATCAAGGCCCAGGTGCTGGCTGGTGGCCGAGGAAAGGGCAGCTTCGACAACGGCCTGAAGGGAGGTGTGCGCGTTATCTACTCGCCCACCGAGGCCAAGATGTTCGCCAACCAGATGATCGGACACAAGCTCATGACCAAGCAGACTGGTGCGGCTGGCCGCCTCTGCAACTCCGTCTACATCTGCGAGCGCAAGTTCGCCCGCCGCGAATTCTACCTCGCCATTCTGATGGACCGCGGGTCGCAGGGCCCCGTCATCGTCTCCTCGTCTCAGGGTGGTATGGACATTGAAGGCGTCGCCAAGGAGAACCCCGATGCTATCAACACCACATACATCGATATAAACACGGGTGTGACGGACGATATCGCTCGTGACATTGCGACAAAGCTTGGTTTCAGCGAACAGTGCATCGAGGACGCCAAAGACACAATCCAGAAGCTGTACAAGATCTTCCGGGAGAAGGACGCCACCCAAATCGAGATCAACCCTCTGTCCGAGACCTCAGACCACCAGGTTCTGTGCATGGACGCCAAGTTCGGGTTCGACGACAATGCTGAGTACCGACAGAAGGAGGTCTTCTCGTGGCGCGATACCACGCAAGAGGACGCCGAGGAGGTCCGGGCTGCCGAGTCTGGCCTCAACTTCATCAAGCTGGACGGTGACATTGGCTGCCTCGTCAACGGTGCCGGTCTTGCCATGGCCACCATGGACATTATCAAGCTGAACGGCGGCCAACCCGCCAACTTCCTCGACGTCGGTGGCGGTGCTACCCCTGCCGCCATCAAGGAGGCCTTCGAGCTTATCACCAGTGATCCCAAGGTTACTGCTATCTTTGTCAACATCTTCGGTGGTATCGTGCGATGCGATGCCATTGCTCACGGTCTCGTTAACACCGTCAAGGCTCTGAACCTCAAGGTGCCCATCATCGCTCGTCTGCAAGGAACCAACATGGAGATGGCCCACGAGATCATCAACGAATCTGGAATGAAGATCTTCTCCATTGACGACCTGCAAAGCGCCGCCGAGAGATCGGTGCAACTTTCCAAGGTGGTGAAGATGGGTGAGTCACGAGTCCAAATGCTTACTCCGAACCGCGTAAAGAAATAGCAGCTAACCCTTGTACAGCTCGGGATATCGATGTCGGTGTAGAATTCAGCTTGGGTATCTAAGGATGGCACAGACACTGGTCGACTTGATTGTACTAACTTTGTCAGGGGTGGGCTCCTCGGATGTGCGATAGGGAGGTCATGAATAGAGACAGAAGACAGGCTTGTGTTTTTGCATGCATTCATCTTATATTGGTCCCCTGCGAGCCTGTCTTAATCCAGTTGCATTGCTTAGTATGAAACTACCCCCTTTTCCTGCTTGTGATGGTTGACAACGTGTATGGCGAGTCGTGCGACAGGAGCCAGTCAACACGTCGTCCGGCCTATGAAGCCGGCAGACTGCTATGCTGACCAGTCAAATGGACAATCTCTCCAACCCTCCAGCACCATTTCCAGAAGTTCCCAAGCACGAAGCAGACAACGCCGATCCGAACCTCCTTCGCGGTGTCCTGAACGACCCAAACTTGGAAATCTCAGGAGCCGCAAATGCCACGTCAAGCGATCTCGCCATGCCACACCCAAGACACCGCGGAACAAACAGCAGTATCGACCGATCAGCAGCGCTGCGGCTGCGCGACACTCCAGCTCTTGAAGTCAGGCACCAGCACATAACCGAGCTCGCCCTTCAACTTGCCGTCGTCCTCCTCCAACAGCGCCTCCGCCGCGTACAAGACTCCCATGCCGAGCACCCAGATGGTCGCGACGACCAGGAGTGCGAGCTTGATGGGCCGCAGCCGCTGCGACGACGCGATCGATGACGCGAGCTGCTGGACGTGCTGGAGGAAGAGGAGGAGCGATCGCTGCCCGCCTCGGGATACCTCGGCGCGGAAGGCGTGGTACAGGAGCTGTTTTAGCGGGACTGAGGTTGTCGTTGTCGTCATGCCTCGCGCTCCATCGCTCTCTGCTTCACTTCCTTCCTCTCCTCCATCATCATCCTCCTCTTCCTCTTCCTGACGGGTGCCATCCCGCGACACCCACGCCGCGCCCGGCATCGCATACAGCTCCAGCTGGCGCGCGACCCACTCGTCGTTTTTTCTCTTGCGTTCCGCCTCCTCGGGCGGGATGCAGAAGCGCGCGCTCAGAGGCGGCGGGATGGGCGCGTGGCACGACGCGAAGGCGCCGAAGGGCCGGCGGGAAGGGTTGTTGTACCTGACGGCACCCCAGGGAAGCTGGTCTTGGTTGGTGCGGGTTTTGTCGGGGAGGAGGGTTAGGGTGTTGCTGTTGGTGTGGGAGTAGGAGTAGGCCATTGTTGCGTCTTTTGTGGTTTCTTGTGATGGTGTGGTCTTGGGTTGCTGGTGGTTTCCGGGTCATGATTGTGCTGGTGCGGTAATGGCAGTGCGTTGGATGGGTTCGTCGGACGGTCGGTTTCCTGGGTGTCAGATGGTTGGCGACGGATGCTTGTGCACAGCAAGTGGTTGATTGAGTGCGTAGGTATCTTAGATTAGGCGGTTGTTTTCGTGTTGATGGGAGCGTGATCTTGATTTCTTTCTTCGGTGGGCAGCTAGAAGCCCTGCACGGTATTGGCGCGCGGTGTTGGACAACAGACGTGGTGAGCTGTGGTGAATTGTGGTGAGATGACCAAGGGCCGCTGCCAGAGATAGGTGGTGCAGGAGATCAGAGGATGGATGATCGGTACGCACACCCGCGATGGAGGCGGAGGTATGACTGTCTTTCGTCCGCGGTTGAAGGTACTCGTCTGTGAAGAATCCAAAAGAGATTGGGGCAGACAGACTGTTGGCTGTCACCTTGCGCCGGTCCTCTTGCGTGGTTGTGGGAGTTGAGGTGCACTGCGGTGCACTCGCGACTGTGCCTCCGACGAGTTGGTGGGCAGGGTGGAAGGTGGTCAGACGGTGCGGCAGAGGCCAATGGGTGGGCGAGTGGCATGGATGAAGGGAGACGGACGGCTACTAATCAATGAGATGGTCAATTTGTGGCAATCGTTGATGTGCACACTCCGGGGCTGGCAGGTGTTGTGTGCACTCCAGGGCTGGCAGGCAATGGTGTTATGCCGGTCCGATAATAGAGGAATTTCATGGCAGCGCATGGGGCTGGGCTGTCTTGACTCCAATCTGAACTTGAAAGCTCCTACGAAAGACATCATCAACGTCGACCGATTCGTGGTGGGCTGGCTTATCGGTTTGGGCCTGCTGCTGCCTGGTCAGTTGATTGTTTATTACACAGCGCTGGAAGATGATGGCAGACTCTTTGTTGCGTTTTATCTCATTCTTCCTTCATTCTATCTTGGAATCTGGACTCAGATTGTCGCGATGTCCTTTTGAGGCTATCAACGGTGTCTCTGACGCGCATATAAGGACTCGAGACATGGGTTTGGAAAACCACCCACTTATTGCTGTGTGGTGCGGAAGGCCTTCGAGCCGGATCGAATATCTGTAGGTCTGGGACTGTTTTGGATTTCTCATGCAGTTTGGATATTCTAGAAGCACTTTCAGAACATGCATTGCATTGGTTTATCTTTGGCACTTGCTGGCTGCGACTCGGATGAAGCCCACATCGATACTTTTGCTTGAGAGGTCACATGATGCCATCGTCTAGCAACGAAATGGAGGTTGTAGTGGAAATTTATGTGTGTTGAATTGCCTGTATACATCTCATGAGGCTCTCTACACTCCTAGGTACACTTTCAATATCTTTCACCATTGTTTAAAAGCCAGGGAGTGGAGGCAGAGCGGACCCCTATTCCACCCACCTCCTGTTCCACCGGCATTGAACTCAGCCATCGGCTCTGTCGATGCCAGAAGTCTAACAAGGCCGAATGAATAGGATATAGTTGGATACGTCTCTGGATGCCGAGGAGTCTATCGAAACACAGTCACGATGAGGATAAAATCGAAATATAGGTACATGTATGCTCGACCTAATTTCTACGGTGGTTGACGCGCCTAGATCAAGGTCTTGCAGTCTTAATTTTCACTACTGGATTTGCAACCTTTCGGGTGATTCAGTGACATACGCGCAAGCCTGGACACCTCATAGGCACTTCAATTAATCCTCAACAGTGTACATGAGAATAAATACAGCCCTATGTACAGCATAGGAAGGACGTCGGTCCTTGTGTCACCTCCCCTGTCAAGTACGGGTTATCTGGTAGACCTGGGTGCACATGACAGCCTGATCACCAGGGCCGGATCACCAAGAGACAATGCACATGATGGAACCGTAGCTCCATGCTGATTTCATCTTGCAGCCTCGTCGCGGAGGGGCGGTGGGAGGACATTCATCCGAAGGATAGAACGGGTCCAGATCATCCTTCATGTCAACGACCGGAATTGCAACCACACGTCACACGAAGCCTTCCACCTGCGCAAGGACACAATTATCACACAAACGGCAGATGACATCGGCAACCTCGTCCGCGGTATGCAGTGGAGCGGCGGCTGCCGTATCATCTGTCAGAAGTCTGTCATCCCATCCCCTTTTCCGCCGTTGCACCAGCAAGGCCAGGCTGAGGTACGCACACGCCAGCTGTAGTACTGTTTGCTACATAAATACCAATCTGCAGCAAGGCTACAGCCTGCCTTGCCGGCCGGCCCGTACGACGTTGGGGTCACCGCACGAGTGTAACCCTATGTACAGACGTGCAGTTCTGCAGTACTGTGCCCGCACATTGCTCGCCGCCCCATCGGCACATGCATGTCATGTAACGGCGGGGGCCACATGCGGCCGGGACGAGCCGTGACTCCTGTGATATGCAGGCTGCAGCATGCCCAGCACACGGATGTGTTTCGAGAGTGAGGTTGTGCGTACTTTATGTATGCGACGTCGGTGTAGCACAGTTTGTCCGTACGACTCGGCGCATACCAGTACGATCCACCCCAACCTGGCTGTAAGCGGGCAATAGACGATGTCTCCTTCGAGTAACATTACCTATTTATATGCTGATTCGACTGGGAGGATGATGCGGAAGGATGTGCATGCAGCTGAACCGCCCCGGACTGCGCCTGCTCACCAGCTTCTGCAGGCAACCTATCCATGTAATACGCCGTGGTAGTAGCCTTGCCTAGGACTCGTCCTTGATTTGCGAAGAAAAGTCCTCGCAGGAGGCACCTGTTACCGTAGATTGGACAATCACTCGGCCATGCGACTAGAGGCTTAGGTATGTCTGCGCTACATTAAAGATTAGAATTAGTACGGCAATGATGTGCCTTGCCTTGTTGTAGTCAAGCCCGGCTAGGCTTCCCGTCGGATGCCGAGATGAACCCTCTCGGCGCTAGCCTGAGAGCCTTCAACTTGGGGTCCGACAGTCGGACAGAAACACCTATAAGATGGCATCCCGCTGATTCCTGAGAGAGTACTTATCAGTATATGCTGTCGACTTCGAAGCGTTTTTTTCAACGTACTGTTTGCTACCTAGGTTTCCACCCCTCCGAGTCTGACCCAGTGCCTCTCAAGTCTGGTGTTATCATAACGGCTTGCACATTCACCTGTGTTGAGCTGTCAGCCTTTATACATAAATAAAGATTTGCTCTACCTACTTTCGAAAGCCCACCAGAACTACGCCACCACATCACGAGGAGATAGGCCAGCCATCTCGCTTTCCTCATCATGTCGAGATACGGCTTCCAGGTCTGGTTCCAAAGCCAGTGCGCTCAACCATCTCAGCGTTCAGTTTCGGCTGCTATATGTCCTTGTTCATCTTGCTTCAACGCGTCGGGACATAATGATGTGAGCGACAACCCCTCTGGTGGTGACCCAAACAAGCGGCAAAGTTTGCTAACCAGGCTCTTGCAAAGGTTCGCAAAGCATCTCTTCAAACATCCGGCAGGCGGCCCGACTTCTTGGCACGACGCGGTAGTTGGGAGAGCATCGACTCGGACGTCGTTCCGCTCTGTTCCCCTGCAGCTGTAGAGCAGTTGACGCCCCGATCGAGTTGCGAAACCCTGGTTTGATTCGAGGTCGGCGAATGATACGACTATGTGATATTGCCACTGAGAATCTCTGAGGAGCAAGATGGAGTTCGTGAGTTCGGGATGCTTCGAATGCGGCCAGGGTTATAATCGGTTTGCTGGCATTGAAGAAAAGGGCAGAGATAAGCTTCCTGGCTTCCTGGCGGGTCTCAACGCTAAGGTTTGGGTCCGGCAGCTTAGGGGCTTGGGGTGGTCCATGCGGGGCGTCCCCGGGCGTTTCAGCACGGCAGAACGGGATTCGGCCTGTATTACAGGGTATTTAAATAGCCGCTTATCGATACCTACCTAGGTACCTAGGTACTGAGCTTGGGTCACGTCTAACGTCATTGGGATGTAACTGACGGGACTGATTGGACCGACACTGAAGTCTGAAGCTCTGCCGTCTTTCTGATTCTGGCCGACTTCAACGAAATAATATCAGCTTGGTTTATACAATACCTCTTACTAATTGCCTTTCTTGTGGCAGACTGGCAGTTGATCTTCTTCTATTCGTTCCAAACATTCAAGAACTGGTTTGCCGACTCGAGCAAGGCTTCAAAAATCCGGCACGTCACGAGCAATCCTTATAGAGGTTGAAGGCTCGCGTGCATGCCCGGCGTAGTCCGCCTCAAGCACATCGCCAACATCCTAAGCCGTCCAATGCTCGCTAAACACCTGACTACAATGTCTCCGAAGGTCGATCAGGCAATCATCGAGTCATTGGGCCTCGACCCTGACGTTACTCAGATTGCTTCCCATGGCGGGTCCGGCTTTGCGTCGACATTCAAGCTGAGCTCAGGCCTGGATGGCAAGGACGTAAACTACTTCGTCAAGACGGGGACAGGTTCCGATTCAGAACTCATGTTCAAAGGTTGGCCAAGGTTCAATCGAAAAATAAAAACAAATCGGGAAGGCTGATTCTTCTGCTATAGGAGAGCACGCATCTCTCAACGCCATTCACAGTGCAGTTCCCAACTTCTGCCCAAACTCCTACGCCAACGGGGTGTTTCAAGATGAATCCAACAAATTCTTCATGGTGACCGATTTCCTGGACCTTGGATCATCAGCGCCAGGTGGCTCAGGGGATTCACTGGCCAAGAAGCTGGCCAAACTACATACGACACCTGCCCCTATCCCTGAAGGCTTCGACAAGCCCATGTACGGCTTCCCAGTCACTACGTGCTGCGGCTCTTCACCGCAGGACAACTCATGGAAAGCGTCGTGGGCCGACTTTTATGCCAACAACAGACTGCGTACCATTTTACGAGACGGGATCAACAATCACGGCGGCGACCCAGAGCTCTCCAAGGCGGTAGAGAAAACCGCGAGCACCGTGGTGCCACGACTACTAGGAGACGATCACATCAAAGGCATACAGCCGGTAGTTATCCACGGCGACTTGTGGAGCGGTAACCACGGCCGAGGAAGGATTGCGGGCCAGGGCGGTGTCGAAGAGGTGGTATTCGACCCTTCCTGCGTATACGGCCACTCGGAGTATGAGTTGGGTATCATGCGCATGTTTGGAGGGTTTGAAGGCAGCTTTTGGAAAGAGTATGAGAGTCTCGTACCCAAGGCCGAGCCCAAGGAGGAATGGGCAGATCGTGTCGCACTATACGAGCTGTGAGTCTCGAAGTTCTCCATGGCTCCTAAAAGTGATAGAGACAGAGGCCGGAGTTGAATCAGGCTGACAACTTCGCAGATATCACCATCTGAATCACTGGGCGTTGTTCGGAGGAAGTTACAAAAGCGGCGCAATGTCGATTATGAGGAAGCTCAATTCCAAGTATGGTTGAGAGGTAGGCTATACATGGCATAGACCTACTCTGGACTGATGAGTTTGGATGCCTGTTCTTCGTAAGGATAGAGAACTCGATGTGCTTCGTAACCGGAATGTGGCCCGCTGTGATTACTAACAGTTTCTAGTTGCCGAGAATCTAGCAACTCAGAAACAGCATTTAGAAGAGTACCTACGTATGAACCGGTAGACAGATTGAGACAAAGCAGCAAATTATCTTGGCAGCGTTTTCTCGCCGCCAAAGAACAAATCGACGGAATCAGTTCTCATATAGCGCTACATACCGGCCTGTTATCCGGGCGGGTCCGATCCGCGCCCCATTCCCGTCGTGGAGCAAGCCTCGACTCTCTAGATTCAACACCCGGTCTTCAACTTCATTACCTACCTTAGTCACGCGACTTGTGCCGCGTTTCACCAAAGTCTTGCCTCCCTTGAGTGCCCTGCTGTGTTTTGGGTTCTTTGCCACCTAGGTTTCACTTAGAACGACAAGCATGACGCACGACGGCCGCAAGGCGGTCATCGTCGGCATCAGCGGGGCATCGTCGAGCGGCAAAACGACGCTGGCGCGGCTGTTGCGCGACATCTTCTCAAACACCTTCATCCTGCACGAGGACGACTTCTACCGGCCCGAAGCCGAGTAAGTCGTTCCGGACTGCCCATCTCTGGGTCTCTGTTGTGGACTCACCGTCACATCGCAGACGACTTTTGAGCTTGCTTTTGAGAGATTGATTAACCTTCCTCACAGACTCCCCACCAAAGATGGCTTCCTCGATTGGGACTGCGCCGAGGCGCTCAACGTACCCTGTATGGTGCGGGCGCTGGAGCACATCAGCGCTGAGGGCACATGTCCCGTAGGTTGCTAGCCAGGAACCGATTACGCATTGGCTGCGGAAATCTTCCGCCTCTCTACCGAGTAGACGACAGACACTGACTGACTGACTGACTGCGCACAGCCCTTTGTCAATTCCAAGGAGGACAAGAACTCCGTCGGCGCGTGCCCGGTCTCGGACACCAAGATCGGCGCCATGAAGCAGAAAGTGCAGTCGTGGCTCGCGCCGGGCCAGCCGGGGCACAGCCTCTTCACGGCCTCCTCCCCGTCGTCGTCTTCGTCTTCTCCGTCGTCGTCTTCTTCTCCCTCAGCCCCACCACTACGCATCTGCCTCCTGGACGGCTTCCTCCTGTACTCCCCGCAGAAACTCCAGCCCGTCATGGACCTCCTCGACCTCAAGCTCTTCCTGCGCGTGCGCCAGGCCAAGGCCTTGCAGCGCCGCCAAGCGCGCGACGGCTACGTCACGCTCGAGGGCTTTTGGAAGGACCCTCCCGGGTACGTCGACAAGGTCGTATGGCCCAACTACGCCGAGGCGCACGCGTGGCTGTTTGCGGACGGCGATGTGGAGGGTGGCAGGCTGGACGAGAGCGTGTTGAGGGGGACGGGGGTGCTGGTGCAGGATGCCGGGACTGAGGGCGTGGATGTCGATATGGAGACTATGCTTGAGTGGGCGGTTGATACGCTGATGAAGGGTCTCGAGGAGGTGGGTGGGAGGGGGCGGTAGGGGGATGACGTTGGATATGAAAGGAGAAGCTTGGGGGATGATTGTGGTAGGGTTTGCCGGCGGTCTGTGGTAACAGCATCGTATGTGGAGTTTATATACGATTCACATCATCCGGCCATGTGAACGTGACCAGTAGAGCGGCTTACAGCGGACTTACAATCGCGTGGGTTCTGGTTAACATCATCGCGAAGTCATCAGGTTTCATCGCTTTCCTAAGCACGGAGTGTCGTTGTCTACCACAGCAAGATGACGCAACTGGACGGATTTGAGCAACACTGCTCGAATGTTATGTTGGATCTTTATCTTGACGCGAGTACGCGCCACCTAACCACTGCGCGTGCAACCAAGGCCGTTGAAGGCAAGCACAGTCCAGTCATCCAAACTGCAAAGTCTGTCCTCCCGGTATCTTTAGACTCTGCCAATTGGCATTTCCAGCATGGTCACCTTTTACATCACACGAATCAGCCAAGACAGACGCGTCTCATGGAATTGGAAGAGAGGCACATACCAGGTTCGATGGTCAACATTTTTCTCGTGCCGCAAAACATGCCACTCCGAGCCCGTCGGCGTACCTGCTCCCAATGTCCATCCGCGCCCTCGCCAACCCAGACTTCTTCCATGAAGTCGTCGCCTTCCCAGAGACCCCGATGGGGGTTGTGCTTGGGCATGCCGGCAACACGGCTCAGTATGGCTTGTGGGATGACGAACAGACGTTCCCATTTCTGAGCCCAGCGCATCCAGCGCAGCATGTCGGGTCTATACACCACGCGGACATACGGGTTGACGTAAACGCCTACATTGGCATCGGCAGCCGGGACGTGCCCATCGTTGCCTTTGGCTACCTGGCTCACATCGGCTAGGAACAAGCAGCATTCGCAGGCTTCATAGAACATATCTGGCTCGTAGCGAAAACGCACCGGTGCGGTGGCGTTCCTCGGGCTCGCAGGCTGGACGACGTGGTGGCCGACCTCCCGAAAACCGGGACGCGACAGCGACGGAAGCGCATTCTGCACGTGTCTCGCCTCCACTGAGACGATCCCGCCCCAGCAGGACGCCACGGGTACTGCATCAGTCTCCGCGAGCATGGCGGCGCGGGATATGCCTCGGCCGGCTCTCGTGAAGATGGGGAACATGGGGACGCCGGTCGAGTAGCCCTCGACGTCGCGCAATGCAAAGGTATCGTAGTACAAGAATGGGGTGAAGTAATCAAGACCGCACGCGGCGAGGTAGTGCGTCTTCCCGTCCTCCTCACCCACGTTTGTGTTGAAGATCAGGTGTGCGGCGTCGATGGCGCGGAAGGCGATGTCGTTGAGGAAGACGACTTTGTCGTATCGGGCGGCATCCGGGCCAACAGACACGTCGAGGGGCCGTAGGGCGCGGTTGCGCATCTCGGAGAGGTAGGCCAGGCGTTTGGAGCGCCGCGTGCTACCGTCCGGAAGGACGAAGGAGGCGAAATCCCCTCCCCCCTGCAGCTGCATTTCGGGCTCGGGCTGGGGCTTATCACTACTGCTGCTACCGTGATGACTACCATCGTGCACAAGGGCGTGGCGACAGCGCAACTTGCCCTTCAGCTCCGCGAGGGCCATTTCTTCCTTCGCCCCGCCGGCATTCTCGTAGATACTGAGGAAGACGTTGTCATAGCCCACGAGGGTGATGAGCTCCAAGACAGACTCGCCCCACGCGCCGTTCACCAGGTCGCCTTCCGGGTCGTACAGAGTAGCACTAATAAATATCTTCTCGTTTCCCGGATTCGCGCAGCCGGGCCCCGGGGCGCCTGAGGCTGTTGTTGCTCGACATCGCGACTCCAGCGCTGCGTAGTGCGGCGGCGGCCGGTTGTAGGACGGCGCGAAGATGGGCGTCGCCAGTACGACTGCTAGAGCTGCGATGGACAGGCATTTCCCCGGCGATTTGACGCTCGCGGTGATGGTCCTGGCGGAGAGCCTGCCGAGTCGATGGGCCAGGTATCGTGATCGCAGGCGCCACCACCATGCGACGGGCTTGTCGTCGCTCTCGGTGGCCTTTTCTCTCAAGGGCTCACGCTCGCCGGCTTTGGCCATTGAAGTGGACGGAAAGCTTGGAGTGTGGGCATCAGAGCTCATCCGCTGAGAGTACGCCGAAGGCGATTACCAGGGATAGAGCAACGAAAGCCTGACTTCATGTTTAGACTTGAAGGATCAAGTCAGCTTGCGTTGGGTGAGAAGCTGGTCTGTGCCTTTATTGTATAATTCGGTAAGAGCATATTATCTGCAGGTGCATAGGACTTTCTCACATCACCCCAATGACGGATCGCACGTCTGTCAGAGAATACCGCGGTGCGGTGCTAATGAAACTCTCTCAATCGTTTGCTATCTTTGCTTCCGCTCCATAGACCAATTCTAGTCAAGGTTCGTGCTTCGGGTGAAATAAGGAGCGACTCTAGGTTCAAACAGACGGTGCCTTTTTCCAAATCAGGGGCATAGGTACCAAATCTAATAATTACGGTCCTTTTTTGAGGACAGAGTCATGATTAATCCCAGAGCTATTATACAGACCGCGTCCATCATTTATTAATTATTCAAACCTCAGTATTTCGCATTTCCCTTGATCAAACGCCTCGCCCTCCATGATACCATGAACATAACTCTCCCCCACGGTCCTCCATCGGTCGCCCCTGCGTCTAGCCACAATAGGGGCCCGATGGCCCTGTAGTACGAGGACGTGATCCCCGACTCTGGAATCCCGTGGCCCGAGGCCCATGTAGCCCTTTTCCGTGACCAAGAACCGCCGCTGCTTCGTGGTTCCGATCCGGCCGAAGAACTGCAGATACGGGGTGTCGCCCAGCAGTCCGCGCAGGACCACCAGAGCAAGGTGGATTCTCGCGAGCTGAGCCAACCCCTTGGATCCCTGTGGCGGTGTTTGGCCAGTCTGTTCGGTCAGTATCCTGTCGAAGTCTTGGCATTGTTTCCTCGCCCCGGCCTGGGCGTTCTCGTACTTGTTCAGGGGGTCGTTTCCGTAGACGATGTTCCAGAGCGCCTCGAGCGCAGTCTGCTTGGTGGGTGTATAGACACCGCCTGGGTGGGCATCCTCGGCCATCTTTTTCGCGGTCATGTAGAAGCGGCAGAAGGTGACACCGCTCATCCAGGCGCCTACCAGGTTTGCCAGGTTACTCGCCGCAACGCGTGCTGGCGCGGGAGCATTTGCCATGCTGTTGCTTGCGATGGAGTCGAATTTGAAACCTTGGAGACACAGGAGGTTCCCGTCGAAGGTGGCAACTGTCTTATGCAGACTGGTACCGCCCGCGTCCCATCCGCCTCCGGACCCCTTCCAGCCGTCGTAGGTCCGGCTGATCAGCTGATCTGGCAGAGGTTCCTCGTTCCTGTCGAACTTGTAGTCGATTGCCCACGAAGGCAGATCGGGCGGGTCTGTCGGCTTGCAGCCTCGGCAGATGGCGAGGACTTGCAGGTTGCTGGTCTGCGAAAGATACGTTCTTGTGAACTGCGTGAATACGTGGCTGATATCTGCCGCACTAGAGTGTCATACGTCAGCGATTTTTTCAGACTACCTAAGTGGTATGCATAGTTATGGGACCTTGGCGACGTATGTCTCAATGTAACAGCTAGGAGGAGGGACGGGAATAAGAAGAGAGAATCACATACTAATTAACGTCGATAGGCACTTGGTCAATTTGCTCAGACACGAGGCCCATGAACGCATAAATCTTATCCCTGGGGTCCGTAGAATCCTTGTGCCAAGCCACAGTCATGCGAGCAAATATATCATCGGTCGAATCCTCAGGCCAGTTCCGAAAGCGCAGCATCGTACCCAAGTGATTCTGGACCTCGAAGTTGGTCCTCGACATATTGAAAGCCTCCTCGATGAGAACCCAATCCATCTGAAAGGAGCCGCAGACGACCGTGGCGCAGGGACTCAAGGCGAGCTCCTGTATAACCCACACCCTCGTGAACCACGGCCGCGAGAAGAGCGAGTTGAAGGCGGCGGCGGACCTCAGTCGCTCCGGCGGACTGCGCATGCGCTTCCACAGCGAGTCCTCTTCGCCCGGCAGCTCGCCGCGCGCCATCTGCTTCCAGTTGTAGTAGTTGAATTTCTCGCCGCCGTAGTTGGAGGCCATGAACTCGACGGCCTGGAAGGCAGACCTGGTGTGGAGATCGTGCTCCCCTAGCCATATGATGGTGCGCCGGGAAGACTTGTAGATGTCGCGCATCAGAGGTACCTGCTTGTTCTTCTCGGGGATGTCGCCCTGGTTGATGCATATTGCATCTACCCAAAGTGTCCTCGGACGATCTGGAGACCTGAGGCGTAGCAGAGCTGCGTGGAGATTTCGCGTCGTAGCGAAGGGCAAGCCGTTGACTAGGATTTTGACTTTGTCTGTTTCCTGGCCCCAGCAGTAAGATAGAGCTTCGTACTGGATTTCTGTCGAGACAGGCACGTTTCGAACTTGACAGCGAATGACACCCTGGGTGCCCGGTAGGATGTCCAACAGTCGGAATTGCCGTTCTAGAAGAGGCTGGTACACGTACTCTGCCATCTTCGAAGGTGAAGAGGTCTCACCGTATCAGGAACGAGGGGTATAAGATACGAAACGAGCGCGCCCCGACACGGGCTCGAGGTCATACTTAGCTACGGTGTGATCATTGTGAGATATGACACGCAAGGCTGCCGAACCAGAGTATGATGAGAGCTGATGGTCAGAGAGGAGATTGGTTATTACGCGTGGAATCATAGCTGGAGGGAGGCTCTTCTTCTTGACCGGGGTCGCTAGTGCTGACTCTGATAGGCACGGCGGAGCGATGCCCCTTTCCAGGGGGGTTGACCGTAGATCCCGGCTCCACTTAAGTGTAGCGTGGAGGAAAGAAAAAGGCTATCATGTTTCCCTCACACTGGATCTCGTAAGCACCATAAGATCTATTATGCACCAGTTAAAAGCTTGTAGACAGTAGCTAATCATATTCGAGGCTTCGCTCTCCTGAGCAGACACCTTGCCATGTAAACACCAGAGTCACTCTGGACCAAGCGAAAAGGAGCTGTGCCGTCAAACTTCCCCTTCCGCCCATTCAACCCAACCTCTCAACCAAGCCTCATCCCCAAATAAACCAAATGCCCTGGAGAACAGCGTCACTCTAACTCTGCCAGGTGTCCGACTCCGTGGCGGTGGTCGAGCAACCCGTCGGTACCGTGTACGAACGGTTCGGGTCCGCCTCCCACGCGACGGAGCCGTCAGTGTTGAGCACGAAGTACTTGTACTCGACGGCCTGGCCCGCCCGCAGCGTGATCGTCCCGGTCCAGACTGGGCTGCTTGCTGTGTACTGAGATGCGCTGAGGGCGATCGCACTGCCTGTGTTCCAGCTGCCAAGGGCGGCGACGTTCCCAACAATCTTGACCGTCTGCCCGTAGGTCGTGGTCTTGGACGCTTTGAACGTCACCGCGACGGCTGTCGCCTGGGTGCAGCCGGTGGTCGTGGAGCTGGTTTTTGTTGTCGTTGTTGTCGAGCGCGTGGTGGTGGTCGTACCCGTGGTAGTACCAGTGCCAGTCGTTGGTGTCTGGCCAGACGGGAAGGAAGAGACTGTAGCCGTGGAGTAGCTCCCGACCTGAGACGTAGCTGCGCAGGAGCCCGGGACCGAAGTGGCCGTGGAGGCATCCCCTGCCCAACCAGCCGGTACGACACCGGCTCGTCGTGCAGCGGCGGTGAGGAAGGATGCGTAGGACCAAGTGAGGTCGCGGGCTGACAGAGGGACCCCAGTATCGCGGGAGAATTGCTCGGACAGTGAGCCATTGGACGCAGCGTAAGTCGAGACCACATTTACGAAGCCATCAGCGTAGCTGAACACGGCGTTGTAGATCATTGTGTAGGTAGCCGAGCTAGATGTGTATGTTCCAGCTGTGACTGATGATGATAGGGCCTGGAAGAATGGTAGGGATGTGGAGGTGACGGTGATGAAACCCTGTTCCTGCCACACGTAGAGGGCATCGTAAAGCTGCTCGGCTGCTGCGAGTGTATTGAGATACCACCTCGAAAGCTGTTAGTGAGGGGCACGATGGGGATGAATGAATAGGGGCATGTGCTTACGGGTTTCCATTGTAATATGTGTCTTCTGGATACCTGCCTACCGCCACCGCAGTCGCGGTGCTGAGTCCAGAGTTGATGGTATAGATCGAGCGGAATGAGTCGACAACTACCTTGTGGCTAGCCAGCGACCGATCACTGCAAGGCTGGAAGGTGGCGGCGTCGCATCCGAGTGCGGGATCAAAGGTGTGTATCGAACCTAGGATAACGTTCGCATCTTTGGCAGTCCGGCCATTGTTCACGTTGATGTTTGCCAACGTATACCCGCTTGACGCCGACCAAAAGGTCTGCAGGAAACACAGGACTTGAGGCGCAATAGCATCACAGGCAGTACAAGTCGTGCCCAGAGACTCAGCCAGAGAGCTGCCCTCGACCAAGGCGCGATGTTGAGCGGCAACGGTGAAGAAAGAACTGCCTTGGACTTCCTCCCACAGGTCGAAACCGGTTTGGTTCCAGTACTGCGAAACATATGCGAGATCATTCCGGATGATGGGCCAGACGACGCCGCTGGCTGTTGATGTATAACCATTCGCAATCAACCATTTCGAGTAGGCGATCATGGCGATCGCTCGAAGGGCTGGTCCATCTCGCTGCGGACGGCCCCAACTGCCTGTGAAAGCACTCAGGTCGACATTGAACTTGGGCTCGCCCAGACCGGTGCCATCTGACAGTGAACCTGAAGGGTTGGACACGGTCTGGAGCTTGGCCTGCGCGGTGATATAGTTCGTAATCTCAGTCTGTAGGGTGGCATCGTAACTGTTGGCGAACCTGTCCACAATCGCCTTGAAGACGAGAGCAGAATCTCTGGTCCAGATATAGAAGTCTGTTGGGCTGTCAGCGGCTGTTTCGTAGATCCCATAGGGTTCCAAGGAGACTGACAGTCCGGGTCTGCTGTGGACGGAGACGCAATCACCGCCCCTGAGGCGGCTCCAGCTGCATGGCAACCATCAGCCCCAATGTTGCACAGGAGCTGGGCCAAGGCAATGGGTTCCTCAGTGGCAATGAAGCTGTCGACATCCCTTTTGAAGAGGGCGCCCTTGCTCTGCAGCCGAGACGCCTCCGGACGGCCCAGGATTGTCTGGAAGGCGTAGCTGCCCAACAGAAGCAGTGAAGTGAAGCCTTGCATGATGGGCTGGATGAGTTGGCTATTGTTGCTGGATAAGAAGTCGAACTTCTGATTCTGTAGGGCTTCCATGAAGTCTTATATACAGGAAGCTGTTCAGTGTCACCATGTGTAGTTCGTATGCTGTTTCCAGGTCCAGCCCGGATGCCACGCAAGAGAGCGCCAAAGGGCCGACTGTCGAAGATGGACCGGCGTAATTCCTCGGTGACTCGGGCTCGACGACGTTAGTCCTGGTGGTAACCGCCCGGCGTTGATGCCGATACGGTACCTACACCGAAGCGAGGCTCGCTAAAGCGGTCAATGACGTGTGTCTCCGTCAAGGTCTAGACCGCGAGGACTGCCCGCATACCCCAAGTCGTCAGTCCACCCGACTGGTCAGCTGGCGATCGCGAGTCGGGCCGCTCTGGGGATATTCGTGGAGCTCTACTGCCTTGCATACGGCATGTATAGATTAGGAAGTAGAATCCGGGGATGGCAAGGTGGGCTGTTAGGGTTGATGAGGCTGGTTAGTCTCCTGCGGGGAGAAACCCAGAAACCCCAACATGCCCGCCGGCAACCTTGGAGAGATATAATCCGAAATATAGCCCATACCCACAGCTGGGGACCCCGCAAAGGGGTTATGACAAGTGGTGGACTAATCAGTACCGAGAGAACTGGCCATGTTCTAATGTGCTCTAGTCTATAGCAAGCCGTTATTATTATTCGGACCGTCTGCAGATCTGGGCGTGTTCATGTAGCGTCTTGGAGAGGTATGGAAATCGTCTCACTCGACACATGGGGATACTCGGTGGAATTATGTCCAATGCGAAGACATCGTCACCCGGCAGCCGAGAGGCGTGAGCGGGATCGCATCGAAAGGGGACTTGGCAACCGAGAGCATGCCACGCCCCGTACTCACACACCGTTCAAGAAGGTCCGATACATCAGGAGATGCATGGCAGTGATGGCACCCTCTACATCCGTGCCCGTCGACATACGAGCGTTGCACTGAGTCTCTTGCTGCAGCGTGGGCGCAGGGCCAAGGACCGGACGACCAGCCACGGTGCATTACCTGGCACCATGCTACTTGGCCGCGCAATATGAAATGCCATACAAGGCACGTGCCGAATACCACGACAGACTTCAACGACAGGCGTGGGAAGACCGGATGTGGAGTCGGTTAGCTGTTCAGAAAGGAGCTAACATTCCCGGATCCCTAAAAGATGGAGGAGTTGCTGGCTGACAAGGAGAAGATGAAAGATGAATGCGGCGCAGAGCAGATAGTGGATTCAGCAGGGCATGAGGGAAGATGCCGAGAAGCACAAAGCTCGCTCTGGAAAGTAAGGAAGTCAATTTAGGTAGAAGAGTGAGCAGTATGCTGGACTTTGTCTAGAACTGATAGCACATGAAGTCGGTGACTCCTACGCCGCTGAAAAGCTTCTAGACTATCTCCGTGGTCTTCCCAGTGACTATTGAAAAATCGTCAGCACAATTTCTATGCCGATATCATGTCACGAATCTGTCGACTTACAAACATCGTGGACGTATCCGATCACCTCAAGGTCCTTCGGGAGAAGCGGGTCATTCTTGATGATGGCCATATCCTCCCTCACGCTGGCCTCGGCGCTGTCATTACTTGTAAGCAGATGTTCACAGCACTTTGACAAGCTCTACTTACTCAGTCCAGCCACCAAACTCCATTGCATCAATCTCGCCAGCAAGGTCAGGGGAGTCGCTCGTCCTCTCCTTAAGCTTGTTCTTGATGAATTCATCGGAGAAGTTCAGCAGCCCGCAGTCCGTGTGGTGTACGACTGCCACAGCGCCGACGGTGTTCTTGCCGTTCGACATTATGGTGCTCAGGACTTCAATGCTGCGAAGAGCGTCCTTGGCCCTGCCGCCGGCGTTACGGATGATACCGGGGCCTTGCTCGAGGTCCCAGAAGCTGGCTGGGTCGGCGCGAGGGTCCATGCAGGAGAGTATCATTACTGCTTTTTGATCCAGTGACTCGGAGAACTTCCAGTTGCCTTTGTGGTTGTGGACATGGGCCCTGGAGACTGTCAGTAGTTGGGCAGGTGGGTATTGAAGATGTCGGCGTACTCATTGCCCTTTGCGAGCTTACGAACGATCTCTGCCGACATACTGGTGGGATGCGAACTGGAAGGGATGTTTGGCGAGTTCGTACTGTTGTGGTTTTGGTGGATGGAGGAGGTGTTGCTGTGGTCTTGTGGAGGACCCGACAGCGTGCTATATACCCTCCACCCATGGATATTGAAGAGACTGAGGCCACGTCAAGCAACAACGTATGATTGCTCAGCATCTCAGGATGCCTTCCAATTACCATTCTGCAACGTCCGCGTTGGTCGAAACCGTGGCGTATGTGGTATCACCTGGGGCGGTTGAGTAATCGCTCTCAGCTCTAGATGATGAGTATCAATAATCAGCCCGTACCTTCCCAAGGCTGCACTTACCTTTCTGGCCTCTCTGTGAGAGCAGCCTCGCCGATACGTAGTCTTGGTCAAATGCAAGCTATCACCGATGGGCTCCGGCGTTATATCGTGCGAACCAGCGTCCGGTAGCGTCTATGTCAATCTTGAACTGCCGGAACAGGCCTGAATAGAATACCTCAATGTCAGTTATTGTCCGGCGGTGCGTTGGGTCCCCCGAAGAAGCAGATGACGAAGCTGTAACGTTACTGTCAGCAATACCTAATAAACCTTTCTTGATGAGTGATCATGAGCCACTGTCAACCTTGTGATGACACGAGAACTTCAGCCTTCGTGAATCGTGACGCCGTTCCCGAAGTTGCGGCGGATGAGGGTGTATGCTCGGACCACTCGCTAGATAATCAAGCATACCATACCCCAGCTCCCAGGAGAAGCGATTGCTGCGGCACGGTCTTGAGATGCATCCATACGGCCACCGTAGCCACAATCGCGAGTATTTAATGCACGTGGAGGAACGATGATCCAGTCCATTTCTCTGGTACTCCTTGTCAAGCCTTCTATCCCAAAGCGGATGGAAGCATCGGAAATGCAGCCGCTTCAAATCGAGCAAGGGAAGGGAGCCCAATGCTCTGTCTGGCCGGGTACAATGTGGTCGAGCTCGCGACAGATGATTTCACAACGGGTTTCGGCGACGGCTACGTATGGCGTGCATTTGGCAGTGCCGCCATGAACCACTCACTCAACGCGAGTCTGCCTAGGCGATCGTCAACTAGCGTGCAGAATTGCAGAGCGAAGAAGTTTTCATCGAAGTCCTGCCGTCTACCTAGTAGCCCACAAGCCTCAAGCACGCAGTACGATAGTGATCCATCGAGGCCGGCCAAGCGGGACCGAGAGTGATTGGTTGGGAGACACAGAGACGAGACATATTGTTCTACATAGATGACGAAATGTAAGCACTTATGGTTAACCCCAACCTCACCGATCAATGACCTCGGAAAAGAGGAGTGGAATATAAGGCATCCAGAACTGGGTCGCCGAGCTCAGCCTTGCGGCGAACTCAGGCTTCCCAGACCAGTTAATCTACGACCTGTCGATAGGATGTACATCATGGGAGAAAGTGACGGTTCCATAAGGTATACGAGCTGCCTTCACGTCGACTCTGAATTCGCAAGCGAACAGAGGACGTTCCAGCACAGGTCGGGTAAATTGTGATGAGGAGGAAAAGGAAAAGAACGCAGAGAAGGCCGAAAATTTGCAGGTTAAATAATAGAAGCCGGCTGGCAGGTGGGTGGGGTGATTGTGGCTATGGCTGTGGCTGTGGCTGTGGCTGAAATTTGAAGCTGGTGTGGGCAGTGAATGTGGCTGCACGCCACGGCTCAGTGCTGACTCACCCATCCAATGACCGACCACTGGAGGAACCTTGCATCGGAATCCCTTCCCATTAAACCTCCGTACCCAAAACCAAAATCAACACCCTTCTGCGACAGCGCAACAACGTTACCAAAAACGCTTACCACACTCGATCCTCCTGCTATACTCGAGCATCGCAACGTCTCATCGACTCGGCCAGATAGCAAACATGGATGCTGCGGCCATCGAAGATGCAAATCGCCTCCGCGTCTCGCTGGGTATGAAGCCCTTGCCCGTTCCCGGTGCAAGTGGTCCCCAGTTCAGAGAAAAGACACCCACTCCCGATGGCGAAGAACCTGCGAGCACCCTGGAAACACGAGAAGCCGCCTCCTACGACAACTACAAGAAGGTGCAAGATGCTCAAGATGCGAAAAGACGACGCGAGGAGAAGTCTGCAGCATTCAAGAAGGCTCGCGACGCCGCAAAACGCTTCGAGGTTCTCGAGGGTAAAGGTCTGGGCGACGCGGACGAAGGGGAAGATCTTGACGCCAAATCATGGTTGACGAGCCAGAAGAAGCGGCAGAAGAAAATCGACAAGGCCCGCAAGTTAGAGCAGGAACTAGCAGCTGCTGAGGCAGCCGCCGCCGCCGCGGTTCGATACACATCGAAGGATCTTGCCGGAGTCAAAGTCGGACATGAGCTCGGGGCGTTCGAGGATGGAGACGAGCAGATCTTGACGCTGGCCGACAAGGAGGTTCTGGAAGATGACGACAAAGGTGACGAGCTGGTGAACGTCGAGTTGCGCGAGCGAGAGAAGCTCAACGAAAACCTCGAGTTGAAGAAGAAGAAGCCTGTCTATGACCCGCATGCAGTCAACGATGATGGCGAGCGCAACATTCTTGCTCAGTACGACGATGAAATCGGTGGGAAGAAGGGAAAGCGGTTCACTCTGGATGGGCACGGGAATACCGTATTGGCCAGTGATTCAACCGACCAACCTCAAGGTCGTCAACTGCAGAAGATCAACCTCGATTTCCTGAAAGACGACCAGCCTGCATCTGATTACCTAGACATTTCCGAGATCAAAGTCAAGAAACCTAAGAAGAAGTCGAAGTCAACGAGACAACGACCGGTCGATGAGGATGACATCTTTCCTGTGCAGGCGGCTGAACAGGATCAAGCGATGGACATCGACTCTGGTGCTAGTTTTATTAGCAGGAAGCGCAAGACCGAGGACACCTCATTTGTTGACGATGAGGATCTACAAGCGACTTTGGCTATTCAACGAAGAGATGCCTTGAAGAGAAGGAAAAGAAACCGTCCGGAAGACATCGCTCGCCAGCTTCGACAGGAGGCGGAAACACCAGACGCCGATGACGAGGCCACAGATGCCCAAAGTGGTGGGCTTGTTATTGATGAAATCTCGGAGTTCGTCTCGGGCCTGAAAAAGGAAGACATTGAAGACCGAAAGCACCGCAAACCCAAGTCCCCTGAAAACGAGCCGGTCACCACTATGGAAAACGACTCTGACGAGGATGAACCAATGAAGGATGATGACGACCATGACGACAGAGCCAGGCGCGAGACATCAACACCTGCCGAGGCTGCGGTCATCGGCGTCGACGAGGAAAAGATTGTTGGGACTGGTATTGGCGCTACATTGCAGCTCCTGAGAGAACGCAGGCTTCTTAAGGAATCAGAATCAGGTGACTTGAATGACAAGTTCCGCCAACAGCAAGCATTCCTTGCCGAGAAGCGGCGAAGGATAGAGGACATCGAGCAAAATGCCCGCGACCAGCGTGAACGCGACCGCAACAGTGGAAGGCTCGACCGAATGTCAGTGCGGGAGAGAGAGGAGTGGGCCCGCAACCAGAACAACAGACGCGATCAAGATACATCCCGGCAGATGGTTGATCTCTTCAACAAGGGGTACAAGCCAAACGTCGAGTTGAAGTACCATGACGAGTTTGGACGGTCATTGGATAAAAAGGAGGCATTCAAACTCATGAGCCACCAGTTCCATGGAAAGACAAGCGGCAAGGGCAAAACCGACAAGCGACTGAAGAAGATCGAAGACGAGAAACGACGAGAGTCCCAGAGTATGCTGGATGCCAGTCAGAACGTCGGTATGAGCTCGGCGACAGCTCAGCAGAGTAAGGCGAAGAAGGAAGCAGGCATCAGACTCGGCTAGTACGGCGGGTCGTATCAAAAGGTGCTTATCCCTTTCATGTGCACTTACTACCAGTCAATAAATTGTTGCTGACACGAAAGATGAAGCTCCGCCGTGCCACGTGCTCACTTACTCCGTGGAAGTCCACCTGCTAGTGTTTCCGGTACCAGACGTGAGGACATGAAGTCATGTTTCATGTTCTGATTCGCAACTCTGCTTGCTGACCTCGTGATTGGCTCTACAAGGCCTACTAACCCCGTGAAGTTCTACGGTGCAAGCTGCATATTGGCCCACCAGTAACTATTAGAACGTCGTGTCACACTCGTCTCGACAATCACAAATCCCAATGCACAACAATGGTAAGGTCTAGAAATTTGGTTCATTGATGAAAGTATATATAAACTTCTAATGGAAAAGGGGAGGCGCTTAGGTCAACCCCAGACTTACCTGGATGGATGTGATGGAGTTTTAAGACTCCTCATCAGTATAGGACGAGAGCCTTACCACTCTGACCCGACTAGACCTCGTCATTCTCGAAACAGACAAGCGGACTCGGCCAACCACTCCTCCGTAGCCTCTTCAACAAGCCCAATCAGGTCTTCGAATGTCTGTCCTCTACAGTACATGTCGGCGAGCTCATCCGCGGCGCTTGTGCTGTGGCGGAGCGGCGAACCGCGGCCCGGCGTCACCATGCCGCTCACGCGGCGCTCGTGCGCGTTGTCGATGGTCAGCTTCTTGGCGAGGGCGGCGCCCTGCTTGTTCGCCCGGCGATCAAGCAGAACGTCCTCCTTGTCGGCACTGCCGCTGTCCTGAGCGAACTGCCGGCGCAGGTCGAATACCTTACCTTTCTTGGTGGGCGCGTCGGGACATTCGCGCACGCTGGGGAGCGAGGGGAGGGTCGGGGTTCGCAGGCTGCTGCTGCTGCGTTTAGGGAGCGGCGTGCCGGGGCGTGCGGCGGTGGTGTTGGAGTCTGCTGCTTCGGGCATCTTTTGTACGCGCTCGCGGAGAGGCGTGCGGTACTCACCTGTGAAGAGCGGCGTCGGGACGGGAAGGCTGTCGATTTCGCTGTCGCTGTCGCTCTCCTCGCTGCTGGAGGGGTAGGGCGAGGGTGAGCGGCTCTTGGCCGGCGAGCGGGTGCACTGGCGGATGCTGGAGTCCCGGCTCTCGGGTGTGAAGGTGACGCTGCGGCTGTCGGTCTTGGACATGGTTGCTGGGGTTTGAATGGGGGATTGGGCTGATAGGGGTATATAGGAATAGATAGGAATAGATAGGAATAGATAGGAATAGATAGGAATAGATAGGAATAGATAGGAATGAGAAGATGAATAGGTAAGGACATGTACTTTAGTAGACTTCAACTAGGAAACTTCGCCTTGTGCTTGCTGTGGGGAACTTGCCGCGTTGAAGTCTGGTGTGAATGGAAGTGAAAATGCTTGCTGATTGGAAAACCTCCTCTTGGAAACGGGCGCAGGGACAGGGGTTGTTATACCTCGTTTCACAAGGGCTGGATGCCATTGTCTTGATACAAGGTATGAAAGCGTCGTTGATCAAGTATAGCTGGCCTACAATGTGCATTCTAGTCTGGCTTTGAACCCCTTGTTAGAGGTGTGGCATTGTAGCTTTGGTCCCTTGCAACGATAGACAATGGGGGTAGCGCTGGTCTTTCAGCCATGCTGCGGACCCGGGCGCCAATACTGAGGCCAGAGATGATAAAGGAAAGACAGTGCTTATACGCGCAGCAGATGAGGGAAAAGAAACTCTCGTGCGACTCTTGCTTGAGAAGGGTGTCAACATCAACGCCGAAGATGATAGAGGATGGACGGCACTAGCTCACACAGCCAAATCTTGGGATGTTGAAAAGAAAGCAATCACGCGCATCCTGCTTGATAATGGCGCAAAGTTGGAAACGGAAAATGGTCCCGACACAATGTTCTTAGCGGCAGCACAAGGAGGCCACGAAGGAATCGTACAGCATCTTCTTGAAAAGGGTGTCAATATTGACGCCAAGGACCAAGAAGGTCACGGGGCACTTGCATTTGCAGCAAGTGGAGGCCCGGAAAGCCTTGTACGGCTATTGCTCGAGAACGGTGCTGACGCTAATAGTGGTGTCTGTGATTGGGGGAATCCACCACTAGCCGCCGCTGCATATCAGGGCAAAGAGAGCATCATACGACTCTTGCTTGCACATGGTGCTGATGTGGAAGGTGTGGATAAGCGTGGAAATACACCGCTGATGCGTGCCATCTTCCCCGGTCGAGAGGACGCGTTGCGGCTCTTGCTTGCACATGGTGCTAATGTCAATGCTGTGGATAATTTATGGAAACACGCCGCTGTTGGACGCCGTGAGTGCAGACGAAAGGAGCGCAGGCATAATGAGGCTCTTACTTGCACGGGGTGCCGACGTAAACGTCACGAACCAATTTGGGCACACACCGGTGACAAATGCTGCAAGAGTTGGTGCAGAGAGTATCGTGCGGCTCCTACTTAAACATGGCGCTCATATCACTGGCGGAAAGGACGACGAAAGAGCCAAGGCACGGTCGCTGCAAGCTAAGTTCGAACTCGAGGAGAAACAGCGCCAGGAGCTAGCTACGGACAAGGCGTCTTGAAGTTGAGATACGGACTCTATGTATCTGCCTAGTGAAACATATGTAGATACCGATGAAGACTCGACGTGGTAATCTCTTTGCCACAGGAACCAGGTTCGAAAGTCCTCATGCATCGAGGTAGATGATCGAAAAGCTGAGGGCGCCAAATTTCGAATGAGGAAGTAAACAAGACATCCAACGCCAAAAACGACATACGCAATGACCACATTGGCTGGTCTCGTGATTGGAACCACGCGTGGCCTTAACGCACGTTATACTAATTGACTTCCCGAAGAGATCGTTGGTCGCATCTTGTGGGATAGCCTCCAGGAGTGCCTCCTTGCAAGATATAATGCGGTAAACCGTAGATAGGGACTGACCCGACTGGTCGTTCAAAAGTATACATGATCGGAGATTGCTGGACGCAACTGGTAGTAGCACCATACCAAGGGCATATATCTTTCGAGTTTGCGAGCCGGTCCTGCTAGCCCCCAAAAACGTGCTTTCGTAGGCCGAGGACCTATCGGATCCAGTTGTGAAGTGCCTGCGCGGCACAGTCATCCGCGCGGTAGAATCGCCTCTTCGCAAGAAACATTGCCGTTATCGAGTGAGAGCTCCTCCGTGTGCGTACGGTCGTAGTGTGCTGCCATCCAGCTCACGGTACGATTTTCGCCTTAGCCTCGAACCCCTTCCCCTTGCCGTTTCCCTCGCTCGCCAGTATATTCGACGCCTCGCTATCCCTCGACGTTAAGTAGAACATGAGGATGAATATTATGACCAGCACGGCCACCCACATGATAATGAGTCGGGCGGACCGTCGAGGCCGTGGGCCGTACGGCGAGATCGCCATTGTGTTGGATCGTGGTCGTTTCTCGTGGAGCGGCTCGAGCTTCTTTGAAGGAGCGTATGGAGACTTCGCGGTGGGAAGTTCTCAACCGATGAATCGGTAAGGATACGATGGATTCGAGTCGCCTAACCGCGCGTATCGGCGTCGATGGTGGGTGTCGTGGTCGTTGGTCGTTGAGTTGAGTCCGTAGCTTTTCGGCGGCTTCTGCCCTCAGAATAATTGATGGAATTGACGGCGTCATTTCCGCGTATCTTGCTTATGTCCGGGGAAAGGGGTTTATCTCCGATACCCCTGCTCAAGTTCGGCTTCCGTCACAACAAGCGTTTCGACGACTTCCACTCAACAACTACCATATGAGTGCGATCTAGCCTACCGGAGCTCTTCAGAATCACGCCGCAAAAATCAATAGCGCCTGGCTGGACTTCACATTGCCTCTGTTGCACTCTGCATTCAGATGTCCCTTATTAAGGCGGTGTCGCGGCGACATCAGAAAGGGCCCCAATTCCACCTCCCCCTCCCCCTCCAAGAACGCATGAGAAAGGTATCTGGAGCGTAGTAAGAAGTGAATACAAAGTTCAGCTTAGACTTAGCAGATGCCATCGATCACCATGTTGTCTGTGGACGGAGCAAAGATACGAAATATTCTGGTCCAACAGCTCGATTATCCGTTGCATCGAGGCAAGGCTATCAAGGCACAGGTCGAGGTAGCTACATATTCTCCTTATCAAAAACACGATTCGGCGTTTCGAAAAATCAGAACATCATCAAGTCTCCCACTCGGACCTCTTTCTTCGTGCTCGAGGTCGCGGCAGAGCCTGAACTCTTTCCCTGTCGCACACCCTTGACGCGGAGCACAGTATCCAGATGCTCAACTCCGAGCATCGATTTCTCCTTCGCAGCCAAGAGCCGGGCAGTCTACACGACATTCTTGATCTGGCGTCCATTCAGGTCAAGCTCTGCCATGCGGAGAAGATCACCCTGCTCAAGCTGACACTTCGACTGATGGGCAGCAGAAGGGGGGTCGGAAGCCGGATTGTCAGATGTCTTGATGAAGTTCTGCCAGATCGCGAGCCGTGCCGTGATGTCCAGGGGTGGGAAATGGATCGTCAGGTGGATGCGAGACTCGAAGGCCTGGTCGATCGAGGCGATGCGGTTGGTCGTGAGGAACATGACACCCTGCTATTGTTAGCTCTCTTTTCTGTCCTGAATTTTGGACAAGAACTTCAGAAGATGCTCACTTGGTAGTACTCGAGCAATCGAAGGAAGACTTGGGTATCGTTAATTAAGCGACTTCACGGTCAGTTGCGTATCACGTACCAGCAACGAGCTTGGTCTTGCTCATGCTCGCCTCCCTGCGCTTCTCGAGGAAGACATCGCACTCGTCGAGGAGCAGAACGGCACCCCAGGTGGTGCACATGTCGAGGATGCTCTCAAGCTTCGTATCGACCTCCGAGGCTACCTCACCCAGCTCGCCGGCTCTCATAATGTAGAGTGGCTGCTTCATCTCCTCGGCGACTGAAAGGCAGAGTCAGTGATTGTCGGGTCTGAAGCTCAGGGTTGGTTTCGCAGAAGCGACGTACTCGACTCGGCACTCAAAGTCTTGCCAGTGCCGGGCTCTCCTTGTAGCATCATAATGATGCCCTTGCCTATGCCGCGTGAGTAGGTGCGTGGAGCTATTCATCACACTCGAAAAGAACATACCTTTGCCGTGGATCACATCATCGAAGACGTCCGCTTTCGACAGCTGGGCATCCACTGAGGCGAGCAGGACTTTCTTATATTCGGGGCTCAGCACTAGGCTTTCGAAAGCCTTGTCATTCCAGACGATCTCGCTCACATCGTCGACGCTGAATTTGGCCTGTATGGTCGCTCAATCTAGTGGACAACAGCGTATCATATCACCGTGGACCCACCCATGACTTGTTGGTCAAGCAATATCCCCGGACATACGGGCTGCACAGCGCGTACTGGTCCTCCGTCAGAAGCTCTCCATGGCCTGAATCAGGTTCGCCTTTTTGCTCTACCCGAGACTCGTGCACCCCGGAGGCGTCCGATCTGGTCTCGGGCTTCTCCTTCGGCGCGTTCCTTGATATGATGCTCGTGAAGTCCTCCGACGTATAGCTCGAATTATACCTGACGTAAGTCTTCGGGTCGATGATGATCCTTCCTCGAGCGACCTACAGCCGTCAGTACCCTGCGAACAATGCGATATGACTCAGATATTGTAGAAGGTCTCACGTAGTTACTGTAGATGCGGCGAGGCCCAGTCTCCGGGATGATGACATATCCAAAGTACGACTTGTAACGGTAGCCATTGAGTTGCGCGAAGCGGCGGCCTCGTTCGACGAGTTTGGCACGCAAGGTGTTGTCGGCGAGCTCAGAAATGGGGAAGCATGACAGCTCCGTGATGCGTCTCGTGCCAGAGAACTTAGAGATATGTCCACTGGTTGTCACATAACCCAGCTCTTTTCCGTTGCCGTCGACATACTGGCGTGCAAACGCGAAATGGCCAGAATTCGCGCCGATTCCGTCCCAAGTCGAACCCCCCGGATACAACCCTGTGGCATGCACGCGGTACAGTCGAACCTGGTCAGACTCTTTCGAAACTGGTGTATGAAAATGTCCCTGGTTAGTTACCGTACCCTGTCTTTCTAGAATCGCCTAGCAGAATTACTTACTGCCGATAAGTTAGCAGAAGGTTCAAGTGTATTCCAGAACCGGGGACTCAGGGTCTAGAATAGGGATGTTTCTATACGTACCCGGTCTCCGTTCCTGGCTCGAAAAGCGCGAAGACGTGATCGAAGTCAATCAGGCCCTTCAGGCGGAAGTCGCGGACCTTTTCCTTTTTCGGCTCGACTTCCTTTCTGACAAGGTCGTAGAGCAGTCTGACATGGCTCAAGACCTTCTCATCGTTCTCCTCAAGCATGAGCTGCTCGAAAAGGTCCCAGCGATAGAAGAACAGGAGGAAGGGCTCTTTGAACTTGAATTCGTTCGGGGCGGTGTCGATGTCAGGATAGTCCTTGAACACCTTCGACAGGAAGTTGAGGAGGTAGGGACTTTGTACTGTGAAAGCCGCTAGACAGGAGCCTCCAATACCCGGTTGGTACTTTGCAATGATGGCGTGTTCGATTGATCTCGACTCGACGTCGTCGAACCTGACGATGGAGCGATCGAGTTCCTGCCGCTGGTGGTGGCGGTCTACTCTCCATATCTCCTGGATCGTTGCACACGAGCCTCTCTCGCTGAATGGCACGATCTTGCCGATCTTCGGACTCTTCCCGCGACCAGACATTCTTGCTCTCGTATTGCTATGTTGCGGGATGTTGCGGGGCGTGCAGTGGCAAGGGAGCGCACAGGGTGCGAGATACTTGCCTGCGAAGTCGGATGGGAGAGAAAACAAGCCCGACCAGGTCCTGGGTTGGGCGAAGAGGTGCTTAAGTATCACACATCGGCGCTCAGAGCCTGAGTTAACTCGTTGCTGAGCCTCCTGAGGATAGCCTGTGCTCTTTCATGGACCCAGGTAGGAAAGACAGTATGGAGTGTTGCCTTAGGGAATGGCGCCAATGCCAATAGGAGACATACATCTTCAAAGCTGCCCAAACGAAAGTGTCGATTGCTTTGAGCCGCCCCCAAGACATGACGTGCTGCTTACCATATGCCAGCCTTTGCCCTGTGAGAACGGCTGGCTACTGTGAGACATGCGTGACCCGTTTGAGTGTATTAGTTCTCAAACACAACAGCTGTCAAAGACGTGTCCAACATGGATAGTCATGCAGTATGCCTGCCTGCATGCCAACAGCTGCTGCCTGGTGTTACACGCCCAAATAGGGACTCTTTGGATCCTTCATACCTCACCATTAGCGAGGTTTCACTTCCCACAGAGTCGTCAATGGCAGGCAGAACACCAAGAAGCGAGGACGTTGTATCAGTCGATCGGTCTCAATCACTCCCATCTAGACCACTCCCTTGTCTATCGTGCCTTTTCGTTGGCCACTGGGCTGGTTCCAGGACAGCTACACACGTCGTTGCCTGGGACATATCCCATGGTGGACAAGCCCAGGTGGCATCACGGGTAGCTCTCAGCTGTCTCATTCATGCGTCAATAAGGCATTACCCCGTTGCATACAGCTCCATTGAAGAAGAACATGTTCTTGGTTTCCAGACATACTTTCAGCCCTCATATCTCCGTACACGCCGTGTTCATCAGACTCTAAATCAGCCATGGAACTCTCGAAATACTGGAATAATCATACAGGAATAAGCAGCTCTGGTTTGATACGCTATTCTTAATGCTTATTTCATGGTGCTTATTCCGATTCGATAAATTCACCGCTGTTCAAACTTTGCTGGACGGGTGGCGTTCCACGTTTTCCAGCCCTCATCCGCGGACTCAATCGGGAGATGTTTCCGAGGCCGCGACATGATACGGTGTCCTCATTGCGTAGGGATCCCAGCAATCTGGAAAGGCGTAATCCTTGCCGTTCTCTTGAAGCTTGGGGTTTATCAGACAAGTGACCATGTTCGCCCCCAGCTCAGGACACCTGCGTACCGCGGGTTCCAGATCCCACTCAAGCGGGTCGTATTTGCATGTGATGTAGGCTTGCAGCCATGCCGCAAACCAGGCGACCATCCACCTCGCCGGGTCGCGTTTACGAGCGGTGTTCGTGTAGATGGAGACGAAGAGTTCGTTCATGCGAAGTAAAGGGTCTGCGCTTGGGCTCCAGTGGAGGAGGAGGAGGTGCAGTTTGTGGAGCGAGATTTCACGGAGAAGCTGAATATTGTCTGGTAGCAAATCACAGTCAGTAACTACTCCTTTTAGATGTTTTGCCGAGAAAAAAAAAAGGAATCGTAATGCGTGTCTCGAGAGCAAGGCTCTTAACAAAGTCTATAAGATAAAATTTGCGCCAAGGACATGGCCATATGCGGCAATAAGAGATTCTATAATGTACATACACTGCTCGGCGAAGACATATATCTCTGCGTGCCGCATCATGTCTCGGTATTCGACATGAGTATCGGGCGATGGGCCTTGCGGTGGGAACCTAAGATCGGGGTTGAAGAGATCTAGCCGCGAAGTAGTGCCCAGCCAGAAATCGTGTTTTTGATCATTGGTTAAGTCATACACCTGGTGAGGCGGGTGACCCAACCTGAAAACCACGATGCAGGCTATTCGAGCGTGGAGCGGGCAATCTTCCTGATCATGTCGAGACCAGTCCCTGTGCCACGCGTGTCGGAGACTTCCAAATTGTCCGCGATCGTATCTTAGCTCTGCGTCAAACGAGTCTTCTGAACCAGATGATTCGGAGTCCACACGCCCGGGTTCGAAAAACGGGTTCTCGATTACGAGGTCGCTTTCAGTATTATTTTCATCCCCCGAATCCGTTTCAGGCACCAATTCGTAGTTGCCCGTGTAGGCGAAGTCGTAGAAGCTCTGAAATACGAATTCTTTTATCTCCGGGAAGGTCGCGAATTTGTCTTGTATTTCTCGAAAGGGACCTCCGACTAGCGTTGCGAAGAAGGGCGAAAGCCCTGTGACGATGCTTCGATTCATGAGATATTCCTTCTTCTCAGCACCCACAAGGAACGAGAATCTGTTCGGAGAAGGATGGGTAGTTTGCGGGGAGGACATATTGGGAGGAGAAGGATCTGTGGTTTGCGCGGAGGAGATGTTTGTAGTGTCTGAGGTGGACAGCATGTTGTGACAATCAGGCCTGCAGCTGCGCTGGTCAGGGCTGATGGGTTGAAATATCTAGATTCAACGATATCTAAGGAAGAAGAGGCAAGGTCGGAAGAGAACAGGGAAGCTAGGGGTATATATGTACATAAATATATGGAGGTATTATGTAATACCGTAACACATGTTGACTCGAGTAGGACACTTTGTGATTTCGAGTCCGACGGGGATCATGGTCGAATTCCTATGGAGGCATTGATCTAATGAACAAGGTAGGTAGCTTGTGCCTTATCAGAGAGCGTATGATGGGAGCCATTTGATTTGTGTGATTGTGTGTGGTTCGTGAGAAGATCTACGCAAGATTCCGAGCGGGGATTCGTCTTTATGTAAGGCTTTCGTGACTCATCGGAAAAAGGTGTACGAAAGTTCTGGAGCTATATTAGCGTTAAGGTTGAGAGAAAAGACGAACAGAGTTTAGCTATAAGTTACTAAATAAAAAGTACAAAATCGTTAATATGCTCAAGGTTACGACGGAGCCTGGATTGATTCCACAACATCGATGCTATCTCTCAATCTGCTGGGTCGGGAACACGAAGTCACTACTCTACACTATGCTCCCGTGATGGGCAATTACGTCACGTTGAAGTATACGCAGTGCGGTGGCACCGGCCCAGTCAGGACTTCCAGTCAGGACTTCCAGTCCACCGACGTCGGGTACGTACGCATGAGGGCTGGGCAGTCGTCCTGGACCAAATGTTGTGGGCTGCGCCATGGGTATTGGGAGACGCCTCCGATGGTGGGACTTGCTAGCCATGCACAAATATGAAGAGCAAACATTTGGCGCATATCGCAAAGACCACGATCGTTAACTAAACAGAACTGGGCGGGAAAAGACACGATACGTATGCCCAACTAATATAACAAGGTGAATATACATTGCAAAGTCTAAGCAGATACCCCTGACCCACACGAGTGAAGTTGCGAGTCCCAGTACCTTCCGTTTGAACGCCTGCCCAACCCTCCACCCGTATATCAAAGTTGAACCTTGGCGCCGATACCTTTACCTTGGTACCATAGTGATTCCTTCCAGTTTCCTAACCGCACATCGACGTCAGCATAGGCGTCGAGTTTAAGCCTGCCGCCAATTGCCTTCCTGACGGCATCGTACCCAACAGAGTCCAGGGACCACTCGACGGGAAGCCTGGGTGTCTGCGACACGCCGGGCGGTGCCGAAAACGGTAGGTCATAAATTATCTTGCCCATAGGTTCCGTGTGGTTGTAGAGTGCGGTCGCGTTGACGAAGTCTACGTACAGTGTATTATAGTGCATGGGCGACGCAAGGGTGAAGGAGGCGGTGGATGATAGGAAATGGAACGTCGCATCTCGGATGAAGTGAGTTTTCTCGTCGGACGTATCCCCAGGAAGATCCATTTTCGGGGCGGCAACCGTCATGTTGAAACGTGACAGCGCCTCGCAGATAAGAGGCTGGCCAGGAATGCTATCTCGATGGGCCTTTACGGTGATCGTTGTGTTCCATCCCGACAGGTACTGGGAAATCAGATCCTTCCCGATCTGCGGGCCGAGTGTGCCGCCCATCGACGGTTTCCACTTCGCAGTCACGAGTACGTGAGAGTTAGGGCCCTTGACGATGTCCAAATTCTCCACCGTGGCGTCTCCAAGTAGTGAACCATTCTTGAGAATGTGAATGTTGGCAAATGGCACATGGGCAGTGTATGGCGTAGGATTGGTTACGTTGACCAATGCCTGTAGTGTGATTGAGTCCGGTGTGGTGTCGAGAATCCGTAAAGAACCGACTTTGGGGTTGAGACTGCCAATGGCGCCCTTGGCTAGAGCTGATGATTGGTCAGCATACATTGTATCTCGCGGCAATATGGGCGGGCACGAATTTGCACCTCGACGAGACAAGCCGTCCTAACAGATCGGCTAGCTGAAAGAGCGACTAACTGGATCAGAGGAGCGAAGACGGACGTTTTACTGGGATCTTCCCCTCGGCAGGCAGCTCTTTCACGATGAGCTTCCCCAGTGACGTTACTACCTTGACGTCGACCAACGCCTCGACGTCCAGGCGGATCGGCTTTCCGCCAAATAGCAACGCCTGAACAAGCTCGCTGAACACGTCGCTGTCCGTCACATTCAGTGGTGCTTCAATGATTCGAGATTCGATTCTTAAAGTGGGTTCCTCGTCCTTTTCCCCCTCAACTCTAGTTGAATTTGCTTGTTGCCACTTGCGCAAATCCAATTCTCCCATTTTGCGGTTATGATAAAGAACGTTTGCTGTGGCTCGAACATTGGTAACGTTGATACCAAAATTCATCTCGGAGGGGAGTCCAGCGGTGACTAGGATATTTCCCGAGACTTTCGGGTTGGAGTCGGGGTCATCTGGGTCGGCAAAGGGGTCCGGCAGAGTGAAGTGGACATCAGTCAACGAGAAGTTCCTGATCAAGCCGTCCAGCGTCCGTCCAGGGAAAGGTACAGGAAGGGTGATACTGGATAAAATATCGGCAATCCACTTAGGAGTCTCGCCATCAGGGTGACTGCTGCCACGGACGAACAATGTAGCTGGATCGCCGTGCATGTACTGCTTCAGTAGCATATCTAGCGGCGATGAGCTTGAATGCGGACAAGCACGGGTTAAGGAGTCTGGCAGTCCACGGATAACACCATATACGTCGGCAGCAACATCGGAGTGAGGTTCCACGTGAATCTCACCCGTTGATGCTTCCGCTACTAGGATATACGGGTCAGTTATGTCGCATCCAGGAACCAGAATATCGAATGCGAGCTCGGGAATGTCGAGCTCCACGGGATATTCATTGAAAGCTGATAGAGACACATCTGCGAGCATGGAGCCGTCAAATGGCCCGTCCTTGACGTTGAACCGAGTGATGTTGTACTTTGGAATCGCTGGAATCTTGTTCGCTGTTCAGAATATCAGTCTAGAGTTCATCCGAAGTATGCGAGTTTTCGCATGTAGTTTAATTTGCTATGCAAGCATCTTGTCGCCCAAACACAGAGAGGGAAAGGGACGGTAGAGGGACTGACCTTCAAAGACCAGCGACTCGGACACTGTGTGCTTCCCGAGCGGTATGATGCCGGATTTGAGACTGAGATCAGCCGTTCCATCGAGGCGCAGTTCGTCGAGTCTCCCTTCTAGCCATTCGTTCGCGATCATACGTATGCCCTCGACATTGCCCGGCTGTATTTCAGTGACAAAATCGAAATGCGTCGTGTCGCCTTCCCGAAGCTTGATAACCAAAGGAGGAACCACGGCAGACCCAAGCAGTATGTTCTCGTAGTCGGGAAGGTAGACATCCACCTTGGTCTGATCGGTCCCAAGCTTATACGCAACCCATGTAGCGGCCTTGCCCACTCTCCTCACATGATCATTTTCTACTTTGGATCCATCAAGACGAAAGTTGGCCTGTATGCGGGCGCGAACGCCGTCGGTGGTGATAGAATCGAGAGACAAGTTGGTGGGCTCAATGACAGCAGCCTGTTGGGCATATTCTTGCACGGTTTCCGGCACGATGAAAGCGAGAACTATAATGATTACAGTCATGACAGCGAGAATCCCCATGGCGATAAAGGAAGGCCATCTTCTTGACTTCTTCTTGCTGGACCGTATAGAGGACGATTGACAACGGCGGGACCGAGTCGAAGCGGCATCGTCTCGTTCGGGTTCGGGTTCATCGTGTTCGCCATCGTAGCGCGGGGTATAGGAACTGCTGGAAAGAAGCGGTGCCGACTCGGCGGACTCGTCGCGATCTTGGGCATTTACATGGTCCTGTGCGGGCGCCGAGAGCAACGGCGATGTCTCGTTCTCTGACATGTTGTAGATGTGGAGATTATATCAGGCTAGAACTGAAGGCGGGTGTTCATTCGAGCGATGAAGCCGGCATCGTCTAGACAATACAGGGGGCGATCCTACTGCGAACTGCCCAGTTAATAGTCTGGATGTATGACAATAGATAGGCTTATTCGCGCGATAGATTGGTGGTGATGATAAGAGATGTGATCTCAGCAGAGGCAGAAGCAAGAATGGAGTTGATGGACAAGGCAAGTAGCCGTCGTCATCGTAACGTGCGCCCCACCAAGCTGAGCTGCGCTGGGGCCCGGGGGCTTGGGGCGAACTTGGCGAAGGAAGAACCTTGCAGGCGCGCAAGGCTAACCAATCAGATCCAAGGGTGGGGGTGAGATCTGCGACCTTCCCGTTTCTGCCTTAGCGTGGGTCTTTAGCGTCTGAGGCGCTCACAATCACAACATTCAAGATCCCCAGACTCATCATTCAGCGCCGGCTGTGTATTTCATAGCGCTACATCTACCATTGGTGAACCACCCGTATGTAGATATTGGCCTCGATGCAGCATCCACCTAGTCCTCGGATGCTGACCTGGATGAATTACATCAAAATGTAGTGTCAGTCGATGACAAACATGACATTCGAACCGAGAAGAGATATCCAGATCGTTTACAGCTAACTTAGGTACACATGGACTTCTAGGACAATTGGAGTATATGACTTTAAGTCTTTGATATTGAGTTTCCTCATAACCGTGTTTTCTGAGCCAACCGAGATCTACTGTCACACGTAGGGTCCAAGATGCAAGCATAGTAGCTGTTGAAAAAAGGCAGATGGGTTGAAAGGTGTTGAATACACGGATATTGATTGATGCTATTGATTGTTCTGCTCTGCGTGCAGAGATTGATTATCCGTCTTCTTGGTGGGTCAGATGCCCTGTGCGTCTCTGCCCCACTGAAGATCTTCCGGTGTCTATCTCCGGCTCCCATTCAACACTACAAGAACTTAAAGATGACCTCGAACAGGAAGAGCAACAGACTGAATGCTCAGGAACAAACCCAATAAAAGGAGTTGTTCCTGGGGGGGGTGTGTTGAATGAGAGCCGGAGATAGACACCGGAAGATCTCCAGTGGGGCAGAGACACACAGGGCATCTAACCCACCAAGAAGACAGATAATCAATCTCTCCACGCAGAGCAGAACAATCAATAGAATCAATCAACATCCGTGTATTCAACACTATCCCATCCTGACCCTATCTAAACCCCTGAACTTCACAGTAAGTTTGTATATAAATAATAAATAGAATAAAAATAATTCTATTAAAAGTGTTGGATCCATGCGATTCCAGACTGCAAACCATCTATACCAGGACCCATATGTATGATTAGATAAGATAAGATAGTGGATTGAGAGGGCACTTGGCCAGACCTTCGAGTCCAGCTAGATTCCTCTCAATCCAACCATCAGCAACATCATGACCTTGACCCCATACTCGAGTATTATGATTGATCGTTCAAGCCTGTTCCAACAAAAAGATTATTATAAATTTCGAAATAATTATTTATGAATAGTATTAAAATTATACGTTTATACGAATTTTATTTAATTATATTAGTTATAATATTACGATAAAAGATGTTTTAATTTTAAAAGCCGTACGAAATAAAACTAAACCTTTATATTTATTCAATAATAACATTTTATTCTATATTTATAAGAAAATAAAATAAACCTTTATATTAAAATAAGCAAAAAAACAAAACATCCAACAGTATTTTCTGATTTTTTTTAGCTTTGAAACTAATTAAGTTATTTATAAATTTCTGTGATTGTTGCTACGTCGCCGCCATCAGTGATGGTCCTAGGATCACGTGACAGCACGTGACCTCTTGGACGACTGGCTGTCCCAGACCCACTAGGGCTCTGAATTATGGGGCGGACACACTTATCTAGTTGCCCACCAGATTTGGCTGTGCCGCTCGATCTTCTTTTTTCTCTTTAGCCAGAGATAGTTATACGTACTGAGAGCATTATCCGTGAAACGATAAGTGCAGTATGAGCGTGACAGCGTTCTTGTTTTCAGGAAAAGGTCTATCGACTGTTTGTTGGTAGTAGAATACACTCAGATGCCCAGTGGGTCCCTGTACAACCCGACAGCGTGGCTGATTCCTGTGACGGCCTGCACGGACCTTCCCACATGACAAGCCGATACTTCCCAATAAGGGAAGGATCTGACCAGAGGATCCCCTGAAAGGGGCAACCTCCCGCTGTACCTATCTCTCTCTCTCTCTTCCTTTCCTCTCTAGTCTTGATATTCTCGCCAATAGAGTAATAGCTGCTTGCTGCCGGCCATGTCCCAGCTCCTCAGTACGCTCGCTGTGACAATTCCCACATACCGCTTACATATACAGATGGATACTGCTCATACGTACATGGTAAACAAGGGCTTCTATGTCCTATTCACATATACGGAACGTCACAATTTCTTGTTTTTTAAGGTGGTTCCGTATTAGCTACTATTAACCACCGATAGCGCTACTACCACGCTACCATACAACCACTAACAATAGGGCTAAATCAACAATATCCACGTTAATATTAACCCACGATAGCTTCGTCGTTAAGTTAGTTGCTAAAGCTATAGGGGTCCTCGTGGATTGAGTTGGTGTGGATATTGACGTCAACTCAATCAACATGTTGATATCTGTTGAGTTAGCCGGAACCCTGGACTCGATAGGTGGTGCTCTATGCTGAAAGCCGGATTGACGACGCTGGTTTGATCTATTATCGGTAGTCAGACTCGTCGTGATCATCGTCGTATGAGACCTGCCGCTGGGCATCGATCCAGGCACGGCAATTCTGCTGCTGCAACCCGACGTCCCTACCAACACATGAAACCAATTCATAGATTTCGGTTTCTGGGTACTCTCCTCCCTGCGTTGAACATCTTCCCGTGACCAGGGGCGTACAATCGGTAACGTACCCACAGTCGACAGCAATCTCGTTGTTAACATCTTGCACTCGCAACCAACCTGACGGGTCCTGGATGTCTCCTGAAGGGGACAGTCCGGCCCGGGCAACGTTCTCTCTGCGATGAACAATCTCGAAGCCTAAGCGGTCCGTGGGAGTGTTTGACTACTCAGTAATCAACTGTGCAGTAAAGAAGAAAACCTATCCTTGTAGTCTCCGGAGCCAACAGTAATGAGTTGCGCTGTGTAGAGTCTAGATGAACACAACTGGTTCGTCGCGCTCATTGTTGTTCTTGAATCGCTACCGGTACAGGTTTCTGGTCACTGAACTAAGAAATCTGTAATTGCCCGAATTTCACAGAGTATCCGGTGAAGCAAGGAGGTCGCCAGGAGTTCGATTTCGACCGCAAAGCAGAGAGTTTGAAAGAAGTGCGGAAGAATACATGAGCGGAAGAATAACGGCATTGTTCCGCGGTTTCCCCCTTTCGCCGGTTCTTTCGATTCCCATGTAATCAATCTCGTCGTCTCAAACTGGGAATCCGTGCTTCTGGGACTGGACTGGGATAAGATTTCATGTTTGGCAATCTCCCATCTCAACTCTACTGGCAAGTTGGAGCATCGCAATCTGGGGTTACTGCGTATCTCTGCACGGTCCACCTGCATACCAGTAGGTGCACCCCACAAAACCGTTCAGGGGAGATCCCAGCTGGTCACAACTGGCGGCTTTTTTCCATTGCAGCCGATCATCGCAGGATGCTTGTGAGGTCCAACGCAGGTGAAATCTTGACTTCTCAGCTCCTGAATCACCGCTTCGACATATCAAGCCAATTGAAACACATCAACACTCACGAATTCCCCTCAGGTCCCTCGAGGTGCTGTAGACGGCCAATTGGCTCCCGATATCAATATCTGGCCTCCGGGGAAGCTCATTGTTGGTCTCTTATCAGCTTCTTAAACAGCTGCATCTGACTTACACGCTCGTTTGGCCCTATTCGCGACCACTCACCTCACTCATACTGCGCCACCTCTACTACACACGCCTCCTCGCCCCGTCTAACATTCAAAGGCAAGCCCGGATTCATTGAAACCATACGGTCATCACTCATCCAAAATGCGTTCATCAGTCTTCCGCCTCGCCAAAACCACTGGCCGCAGTGCGACGGCCAGAAGCTACAGCTCAACGACGCCGTCGAGCAAGGTGCGCCATCTGATGACCATCGGCGACCTGACACCTGCAGAGCTGTCCCAACTGGTGCTGAACGCGGCCGAACACAAGCGTCATGTCAAGGCGGGACGGATCCCGAAGGCGTTGGAGAACAAGCTGATGGGGCAGACGATAGCCATGATGTTCAACAAGCGAAGCACCCGTACCAGGGTGTCCACGGAAGCGGCTGTGGCCATCATGGGAGGACATCCCATGTTCCTCGGAAAGGATGATATCCAGCTGGGTGTGAGTCAAGCATTTGAATATGCCCAACTGCGTAAATCTACTCACTAGTCCTCTAGGTGAACGAGTCGCTGTACGATACCTCCAAGGTCATCTCGTCCATGACATCGTGCATGGTGGCCCGGGTCGGTCCTCACAGCGATGTCACAGACTTGGCCAAGCACTCCCGTGTTCCAGTCCTCAATGCCCTGTCAAATGACTTCCACCCCCTCCAGACCATCGCAGACTTCCTCACCATCCACGAAGCATTTTCCAAGCCATCAACGAGCGGGAACACGAGCATCGCGTACCCAGAAATGAAAATAGCCTGGGTCGGCGACGCCAACAACGTGCTCTTCGACCTGGCCATCGCCTGCATGAAGCTGGGCGTGGAGATCTCGGTCGCCACACCGCAAGGATACGGCATACCGAACGACATGCGCAGCTTCATCCAAAGCCAAGGCGAGGGTGTCGAGACCCCCGGGAAGCTGACCGAGACGTTCGTCCCCGAGGAGGCCGTCAAGCACGCCGACATCATCGTGACCGATACGTGGATATCCATGGGCCAGGAGGCCGAGGCCAAGAAGCGACTCGCGGATTTCGCTGGCTTCCAGGTCACCAACGACCTCGCCAAGAGAGGTGGCGCGAAGGCGGGCTGGAAGTTCATGCATTGCTTGCCTCGTCACCCGGAAGAGGTCCATGATGAGGTCATGTATGGGAGTCGATCACTCGTCTTCCCCGAAGCGGAGAACCGCCTCTGGGCTGCTGTTGGTGCGTGACCCCTTGCCATTCCTCATCCATTTGTTCCCTTATACTGACTGACGTGCTCTTAGCTGCGCTGGAGGCTTTTGTTGTGAACAAAGGCAACATCATCTAGTCATTCGTTGCCAAAAGGGGAGCTACTGTCTACAAACAAGTCGATACTATATAAGCAGATATTAAAATAGGCGTCCAACTGGTCAAAACCAGTTTCAGTTGCGCATCTCTACGATGTTTTGTCACATAACCCGTGTGCTTTGCTGGAAAAGCAACGGAGATGAATTGCAAGCAGTTTGCACTAAATGACCCGCGTCTACACAACTTTTGGTATTTTGTGTGTACCAAATGGTACCGGACACCGACCGCCAACGCCGACCCGAGGAAGTGAATGCTACTTTAGCCAGGCGGCAACTGGCTCGCATCGACAACTTCATCCGCCTCCTTGACGAGTGCCTCCTCGTCGGGTCCATACAGGGGAGACCGAGGCAGTGCCATGAGACCAGTACGGGTGGATTCCAGGATTCCGAACGGTGCTATCAGTTTCATGAATGAGTCGATCCTCACTGGCTTAGCAGATCTGCGTGATGTTAGCATCAGACATGTAACTCGTAACCACATCTCCACTTACACCTCAACGATGCAGCTTGTTGTGCTGATGTCCAGAACTTTTCCACCGAACTGATGTGCGAAGTACGTTATTGATTTGAGGTGTTCGTGCTTGTGTCGCAGGGCTTGACTGGCAACCAACTTGCTAGGATGGAAGTCCTCGGATATATCGCCCAGTGTCTGTTCGCCGTTTTCGATGTCGTTTTCGAAGTCAGTTGTCATCTCGCGGTGGTGGGCCAACAGCTCCTCGAAGTATTCAGGCCCCAGAATGTTGATTTTGGCCAGCAGCAGCTCACGCTGAACAAGTGCCGCGTTGGTGTAATCGAGTACAGCCCACACGGGGACCAGATCCTCCAATTGCCGACGAGCTTGTTCAACCACGCCATCCTGACCAGTAAGGACGATTGTCATACGCGACAGGTCATCCACCTCTGTGTTACATACGACCAGCGAGTCGATGTTGAAGCCACGAGCGGCCAGAATACCAGATACGCGGGACAGCACACCCGGCTCGTTCTGTACCAGGCAGTTGAGGACATGGCGTTTCGGCGGGGTCATGGAGGGAGTCGGGGTTTCGTAGAGGATGTTCGAGACGGCTGCCTGAGCGGACCACGATGACGGCGTGCCCTCGGTAGGTAGCGGCGCTTGGCGGCGACGCAGAGCCTTGTAGGCAATGGCGGACGTCGCGGTGCTATTCGAGCTCCATCTGGTCGAGACTTGAGGGACGGCCCGCAGGCTCGCCGCGGCGGTTCGCAAGCAATTGGCTTGGGTTAATGAACGGGACGCCATTATGCTGATGGCCGGTGAGAACTCGAGAGCTCCCTGATGAGATTTGGCGGACCTCGAAACCTCAAGTTGGGTTGGCGGGTTTCAATGGGTAAAGTTCTCCTCCACCTTGACTCACTTCAGAGGCGCAAAAAAGTTGGGTGCGCCAGAGCTTACCTACGGTGAAGGGGCCGTCGTACATGTGTAAGTGTTTGCTGCGAAATCGGAGCTCCAAGCTTGGCCCCACATCCCACCTGCATCCAACCAGCTGCATGCCCGTCGAATGGAAGGAAGCCTCGGGTCGGACTATGCATTCTGCCGCCGCCGTTCCTTCCTCACCTGCACCAACCTCCAGGTCCCCTAGCCCCGTCGGCTCCACCTGCCACCTGCCAATCAGCGTGCCCCATAATGGACGTTACTTCCTAGGCTGGAATTCGAATTTCTGCATCTTTTGCCGTTCCCACTTTGGCTTCACAATGCAGAATTCCAGTTGACTTCTATTGCAAGCTGCCCACCATTATTCATTCACCTTTCGAGCACCTGAAGTCCTGTCTCGTGTGCAGCTCTACTTCGTCACCCGTATAACTAAACACAGCTACCAGACAACTCACCCTCGACCAGTTCACACCGAGCCACCATGGACGACACCGAACGACGCAGCGCAAAACGGTCGCGATTCGACCAGACCGAGCCTGAGCCTCGTCGCTCTCGATTTGATCGCAGATCTCGTTCGCCTCATGCAAAGAAGCCCGACAACACGCGCGACCGTAGCCCTACGAACAAAGATGCAGATAGCGCAGCGACCGAGCCAAAGAGAGCTTCTGAGGACCCTGCAGCAGCCGCAGGTTTGTTTCTACTTGTCCCCTCATAGGAGCTCCGCCTGTCTAATCCAACATCACAGCTGCCGCCGCCGCCAAGATTAATGCGCAAATACAAGCGAAGAGAGGCGTACAGCATGTTGACGTTCCGCCCATCAAGTCGACCTCTTCCGCATCTCCCGGTCCGGGCCAGAGCCCAGCACCCCCAGCCAACATCAATGGTGAAGTCTACGTCTCCGATGGCGACTACATCAAGGACATCGAAGTCAACGACCTGCGAAACCGATACCTGCTCACCAAAGGATCTACACAGAAGATGGTAAATAAGACCCTTGGAACTTTCTACTGATTCACTCCAGAGTTCCCAGCCCCCATGACTGGTGGTTCTTCTCCAAAGTGTTTATTGTCGTGTGCGAACAGTCCTGCTTACACTGAAGCGTGCTAGCTCGCACACGAGTCCGCTCTGTGGCATCTGCTGACCTACCCTGCTTGATCTAGATTAAAGATGAAACCGGAGCTGGTACGATACACCTTCCAAGTTATTGTTGATTTACTATGACAGAGCACATGGTTGACTTTTCAAGATGTCACGACGCGCGGGAACTACTACCCCGACAAGAGCATGGCGACGCCTACGGTAAGATGAGTCCTGCCAAGCTGAGAGTCCAGAGCTAATGTTTCCCAGCACCCGCCCCTGTACCTTCACGTAACGAGTACTTCGAAAGCGGGGCTTGACCTAGCCATTCAGAAGATCGAGGAGATGATGAAGCAGGAGCTCCCGAATCTGGTAGACGAGCGTAGGTTTCGACGTCGTGATCAGGAGCAAGTCGAGCGTGACGAGTTCGGACGCGTAAGTCGCATCACGCCTGCTGATGACTTGCTGTTGGATAAAGATCCCTGCTAACTTCGAGCAGCGTAAATGGCCTGAGGCGAGAATACCGATCGATCTCGAGCCTGTCCAAGGCTTCAACCTAAGAGCTCAAGTTGTTGGACATGGCGGCTCTTACGTGAAGCATATTCAACAAGAGACTGGCTGTCGTGTTCAAATCAAGGGACGTGGTTCGGGATATCTTGAGGCGTCGACTAATTGTGAGAGTGATGATGACATGTATCTTCATGTTGCGTGAGTACCAATATCTCTATAACTCGTGTCATTTTTCGCTAATACACTCCCAGTGGGCCCGACCCAAACATGGTGGAGAAAGCCAAGGAGCTTTGCGAAGATCTACTCGGCAACGTGAAGGAGCAGTACGAAGAGTTCAAAGCTCGTCCGCCCCGACAACACTATGGTGGTCACGGCGGTGGAGACCGAGGTGGTTACGGTGGCGATAGATCCTACGGCGGCGACCGGTCTTATGGCGAAAGATCCTACGGTGGCGGCGATAGATATGGTGACAGATCCGGGAGTCAGAGTCACGCGGGGTCCTACGGCGGCTACGGTGGTTACAACAACTCACCGGCTCCCGGAGCCAATACCGCTTCACCTGCACCGCCCGGCGCTGGCAGTCCAGCTGCCGCAGCCAGCGATTATGCTGCCCAATACGCCCAGTACGCTCAGCAATATGGTGGGCAAGATCCGTATGCTGCGTATGGTGGTTACGCTGCGTACATGCAGTACTACCAACAATACTACGCTGCGGCACAAGCTGCCCAGCAGGGCTCGCCGGCCCCTGGAGTGCCTGGTGCTTCAGGCTCTCCCCCTCCGCCTCCTCCATCTGAAGCTCCTCCGCCGCCGCCCCCTGGAGGAGCTGCGCCCCCTCCGCCGCCTCCCCCTTCGGGTGGTCCTCCTGGTGCTGGAAGTTACGGCGCTGTCCCGCCGCCGCCTGGACTGTGAGTTGACTTGGTCAAAAGCTGGACGGATGGGTAGTGATACCTTGATTGACATTGTGGAGGAGTCGGGGCTTGTCTAATATGAACAGTCGGCGGTAATTGATTCAGAAGTGATGGAGGGCTGGGGATGGTAGATTTGTTGTGGTTAAATTAGTCCTTGACAGCGCACTGCCTTCAACCGACAGAATGCTCGATTGCAACCCACCCGCGCTCTGCGACTTAGCAGATGAAATAGTGACTCTAGTATCTGAGCAACAGCAATTTGCTACATCTTGGTCTCGAGTATGATGCTATTTGTCCATTGGGTGAAGACATGCATCGGGCCACCCCACCAGTCCAACTGTACCGCATCTCGAGACCGAAACTCGAGATTCGACGAGGCCCCTCCTGCCAGTTTAGTGGCCGACCATCGCTGCCTTATCGATAAGTCTTTGCCTAGATACTATGTCAAGTACAGCTCGACATATCGTTGATGCATGTGAAAGCTGTCAGCTTCCACCTTCGCAGTCTCAAGGTGTTCATTCGTTCATAATGCCACATTGAAGCCTCAGACCTTACCGTAGGTACGAATGTACCTGGCTTGACCGAGTGTAGTCTGTATAGTGCTGCCACACACCTCACATCATGAGCCATCAACGATATCCTTCGATTGACCCCAAAGAACCACATTCAGTCTCCTTAAAAGTCCTGAGGTAAGTTATGTATACCTCCCAGCCCCGACTTCAACTCAACGCGGTCAATGATCTAATCAGGCTACGAACAGACTCTCCCGACCCTCCCTCGTAGTTCAGCACCCCCTAATCGCACCACTGTCCGCGCCATCCGATCATGCGACGCCCATACCCGCCTCCCTCGCGTACACCGCGACTAGCGACACGAATCCAGATTCGTTTCTGTTAACACCGATCCTGAACCTGCCTCCCTCTTTCGGGTCTGCCTACATCGGCGAGACGTTCAGCTGCACGTTATGCGCCAACCACGAGGTCACGCCTAGCATCGAATCCCTATCGGCTACGACGCCCTCCACCCCAAAATCACCGCAATTGACCCCAGCGCAGCCGCCACCCAAGAAGAAGTTCACGCGCGACGTGCGCATCGAGGCCGAGATGAAGACGCCGGGCTCGAGTGCGGTGCAGAAGCTCCCCCTGCTGCCCGCCGACCCGGCGCCCCCCGGTGGTAGTCCCGGCGGCGTCGGCACGGACCTCGACCCGGGCCAGACGCTGCAGAAGATCGTTAATTTCGACCTCAAGGAAGAAGGCAACCACGTCCTCGCCGTCACGGTGTCGTACTACGAGGCGACGGAGACGTCGGGGCGGACGCGCACGTTTCGGAAGCTGTACCAGTTTATCTGCAAGGGGTCGCTGATCGTGCGGACGAAGGTGGGGGCTCTGCCCGCTGCGGCTGGGGGTGGTGGTGGTGGTGCGGTTTCTGGCGAGGGGAAGAATGGCGAGGGGAGGGGCGAGGGCAGACGCTGGGTCATGGAGGCGCAGCTGGAAAACTGCTCCGAGGACGTCATGCAACTCGAACGGGTAGGCTTAGATCTGGAGCAGGGGCTCCGATACCGCGACTGCAACTGGGACGTTAGTGGGAGTTCTAAGCCCGTGCTGCACCCGGGCGAGGTCGAGCAGTGCTGTTTTGTAGTCGAGGAGGTGGCGGACAAAGGTTCCCTGGTGGTGGAGGACGGACGGATTGCGTTTGGCGTCCTGGGCATCGGCTGGAGGGGCGAAATGGGGAATAAGGGCTTCTTGTCTACGGGCAAGCTGGGCACGAGGGCATAGGGCGGGTTAGTGATGGAATGCGGGCTTGGGGGTGGGTACTTATTCGTCTCGTCGGTGTGTGGTCCCTGATACACCGAGGGTGCTGTGATGCCTAGGGGCTTTCGCGTGAGACTGATACGGAGAATTATCCCCCCTGTTTCACTATCATCGCTACCTGCCCCTGTTCTCGCCTTTATTACTGTGCTCACAGAGACTCAACTTGAGAGTCTGAAAGCGTGTGCAGAGCAATTTCGCCACGCAAAGCAAATACTTCAAGTCAAGACAATCAGATATCGAGGTCCTCGGCTCTGTTCATCCCCCAGGCGCAGGCCTCAGTGTCTACTTGTCTGACTCTAGATTACATTTCCCCCGACCCCTTAGTCTGGAGCGGGATATTGGCCCTAGACGAATATGTAAGTTATCCCCTCGAACGATATTGTCTGTTGATACATGTGCCGCTGGTGTTTAGGAACTTGGAAAGTCTGTATTGGCAAGGCCAGTTCGTCTCAAGCACGATGGTTTTCATTGCCTTCCCCTGACATTTTGTCTAGCAGCCGTGGTTATACGCAGCGAACGAAGTCCGTCAAGTAAGGAGAATTGCAAAAGAAAAGGACGCAACGACTATGCTAAGGTTAGAGGTGCAAGTCTCAATGATGAGTTCTCCTTGGTTATAATCGTCGACCGAGATCCATTCCCTATGCTTGGTTACGGTTACGGTCACGGTCACGCACCAAGTACCCGGCTGGAAGATACGAAAGTCTGGAACCTGTCATATAATTACTTCATTCATCAAGAAACACCGACCAGGCCTTGCAAGAGACACCGGCAACGCACTATGAACAGAGGCACGCCTCTAGTTAGACAGGACCGAAAAATTAACCTTGAGAGAACACATCCGACGTGTTCTCTTGGCGAGGGGAAGGGGAAGGTGATAGGAAGGGGAAGACATGCTCCCAGTCCAGGAGCTGCAGAGAAGAAGCCTGCTCCGAACCGGCCAGCCGGCGGGCGGCGAAGACAACGACACCAAGTCCCAAACTCGCAGCGCAGCCAGACCCGTCGCGATTACCGGGCCAGAGGCCTAGGAGACAAAAGGTCCGCGAGTTTCTCCAAGTGCAAACGGCGGACGGAGGGAGGGTTCTCCTCCTTGCCTATTCCGTTTCGGTCAACCGGTGCGCGGCCGTAAGGCAGGGACCGGCGCCTGCCGGCGACGACAAGTGCTCCGCGAGGAGGGGAGGAGAAGGCGGAAGGGCTTTTTCGAATGCTTCGCAACTTGCTGCCCGGCGCCGCCCCGTGCACCCCTTAATTTCCTCTCCCCAACCCCCCGTCCCCCGGACTCTCCGTCACTCTTCGACCGGTAGTGTGGGTCGGCCGAGCCGCGTACGGGCAAGAAATCGTGATGCGCTGACCAACTACTAACTAGGGCGCACGAGCGCACCACAGAGGGTGAGCACTGGAAAGAGAAGGGGAGGTGGACAAGGAGGCCCATGGTCATGGTGCGAGATACAGCAATGCAATACCCAGCGCATAGCTGGCAGGAGTTGCGTTTCTGAGAGGAGGCCGAATGGGCCATTCGCCTTGGAAGAACCGGAAGAGCCACGATGGGCGTCGATAAGCGCGGTCAGGATGAGAACAAACGGTCGTTAAATACTGATTTTCCAAGGAATACAAGATTATAGAAGTGATAGAAGCTTATGTCGGGTAGGTACTTGTAGGATTACATATGTAGCGTCAAAGAAGGAGAGAGGAAATGACCACAGCTGGGCGTATTGTAACCAGAAAGGGGTACATTTACAGTCCATATTAGCAGTTGGATTTATAACCTTGAAAGATGACTGCGTAAGGAGATTCCCGTGGTTCTCACAACTCAGCGTATACGGGCTGTAAGTCGTCGGCCACTTACCAAGCCAGCGTACGATGAACAAAATGCAGCAGTTCTGCAGTTGCGCACAAAGTCATGGTGATGTATGGTTCCGATCTCGTGACCAAATGAGCACCATGAATCTGGCTAAACCGCTCGTCCTACTATACATCGTAAGTCCAGTACTACCTGACCTAACAGTCACCAAGTAGAGCCCATCGCAGCTGATATACTGGGCTAAACACGCCACGCTGCACCCCGGGGATTAAAGGCGCGGACCAATGCAGGTACTGTTTGTCTAGTCATGGTCATGACTCTCGTACTATACGTTAGCTAGTACCGACAGGAAGGGTCTGCCCCTTTAGAAGCCCGTCCTACCCGTGGTAGTTCATGTCATGGCGCACTAGTCGATGACTCTAGATGATAAAGACGAACAGCGAGGCCGGTGGTGGTGGTGGCGCCATGGTTTATTGTCAAAATGCCGAAGACTGAGTCATGAGCACGTCGTTTTAGACACGTGTTGCCGGACGCGTTCGTCTTCCGCGACCCTCGGGACACTGGATACGTTACATATGCCCTGACCGAGTAGTGTGGTTTTGCGCGTGACCATGGGCGCGGATTCTTGCCAAGCAAAGCGAGGATCTGATTTCAACGTCACGGATCGTGCTGCCCTGGCTATGGCAAAGCCGGTCCAATTATAGTCATGTCAGCATGTCGTGTGGTCCAGGGTCCACATTGTGTGAGCGAGGGTGAGAAGGAATGGATGGATGAAGAAAAAGGATGAGCCGCGTGCTGATGAGCCACGCCTGCTTGCGACCCTGGTAGATCTGTACCAAAGTCGAAGAACAAACCCCGGTCGCTGGGGTTCGTGACATCTCCATCCTGCCGTGCGACCTTGCAAGGAGGTTTGTGTCTCACACCAACTGAAGAGCTTCTTTGAGTATCCCAGATCCATGCTTGGCATATCAGCTCCTTGTATATGCCTATATCGCAGCTGGGAAGTTCAAGGTTGTCTAGCGTCCCACGCGAGCGATACCCGAGCGTCTGTGCCACTGTGGTCAGCCAAATAAGGACAGACGATCATCTGACTCCTGAGCAGCTCGAGTCATGATTATTGACTTCTCAGCTTCGTCACGGAGACACGTTCTCCGATATGTACTTCAAATAGACAAGCTGTTGGGCGTGGGACCGTTATTCAAACGGCAAGTTACTGGGTTGAGATAGAGGCGCAAACGGTCTTCGGCCCGGACGATATTGATGAAGCGGTAGACAATGACGTGCAGCATGACCCCTTTCCTAGGTCACACGGGAATGCTCATCCGCTTCAGATGCCGTCCAGCGGGTTGGGGGTAGGTACTAGGTAGGTACAGAGCAAAGTCATATGCTATTCGGTTCCAGCTGGCATTGGTACCTACTCCAGACACGAAAGCTGTCCGAAAGGGATGAACTATTCATGGATCGTGACGCTGGGAGGATTGGATAATAAGAACTCGTATGTGTTTAGTTGACGAACCATATTCTCGTCGTCTTCCGGGCGCTTCTGAAGTTCCGCGGCGGCGTCTTCTGGGATTGGACGAGACCCCTGAGCCTGCAAGGGGCACGTACTACCATATGTCCCTCCAGGCAGGTGCCCTCTTCGCTTCGTTCGTGTAATCCGACGGGTGGTTAGTTTTTCATAGGAGTTAGGTACTGTAGGAATCGTCGTCTTTGAAGTAAGCGAGTCTCTGTGGCAAGTGAAAAGCTCTATGATGTGTTCGGCCGTTTGTTCGACTCGTTTAGACGGTCAACCGTGTAAGTCGAGATCTACTCGATTACTTATTGTGGCCGGCTGCATATGGCGTGTGGACGAACCCCACGTATCTGAAACGTTAATGGCTGACATTCGCCTGGGTATCTGCCGTGGCGTCTTCGCACCCCATGTTACCGACTCGTGGATTTGTGGATGGCTGCTGACTTTTCCCTGACCTGCACGCAGACACGAAGAGGAGGGCTGGCTGGTTGGGCGGTCAGGTACAGTGCGTGATGTGTGCCTGATGTGATGGCAACTCGAGCTGATCAGGCAGTCAGGCGGCATCTTTATTGATGATTTGACACGTCTACACGTCGACCACCCCTTGCACCAGATCTGCAGGTGTCATTGAGACATGAGGTATGATCACGCACTTCTGCCACTCTGCCGCTGCATGTAGATGCGCCAAGGCAGAGACGACGTGACAGCCCGATTGATCAGGGGCTAAGCCAAAGCTGCGGACAAAGTGAACTCGTAGTCTGGATACCTTCAGTAGATTGAGTGTCCGGCGCTGCGACGGTCGGCGATCTATACTAGTAGATGCGGTGTGCGAGTTTTCGGGGTTCTCGTGGAGTCGTGGACGCGGCCTGATGGCCCCTGATGAGTCTCGAACAGCCGAGCAGCCGTGCAGGCGACTAGGGAGAACGGATTGGTGTGTGCAGCGATGGTGCCCGCGGTACAGTACTGCAATGACAGGGAGTATTGGCATTGCCGGCGGCTCACATACGAGATGTCAACTGTCAAATGCATTCGGAACCATGCCGAGAGGTTTCAGAGTCGTGAGTCGTGATGTGTTCTTCCCCCGGTTTTTCCTTCATCCTTCTCTAGCTCCTCCGCTTGGTAGGAACGGGATGGAATTTGGAAAAGGGGTAAGTATGCCTATCGTGGGCAGCAAACCAAGTGGGATCTGAGGATGTTTCTCCATCCGGTCTCGACGGCTTGCGTACCTGCAGTAGCTGGGCACCGGTGACCGATATCAGTGAACTAACGTTAGGAAGGCTGACTGTGGCTGTGGCTGGACCTGGGCGCTGTGAGGGCCTTCGTAAGCACTTTTAACGACTCTGAATGTTGCTGGCGAGCTCATTACCAGACGGCCGTTATGGGAGTCCGACAGCACAAGGTGGAAGATATTGATGATGATGACGATGATCCTGGATGGTACCTACTTACAAGTTACCTCCAGTCGGCACCTGCACTTCCAGGTTCCCCACTGGTGGCATTATTCCACTGTCTTATAAGGACATGGAGTTAGCCTCGGGATCCCACCGTTAGACCCCTACATGTATCGGCCTGTACCTTAGCTCAGGGTGCCGCAAACACATACTCTACATTGTACCTGATTCATGTAGAGTTGCGGTGCCTGCCAACAGCACCTTAGATATGTAGAACTTGGACAGACATCAACGTGTGAATAGGTAAGGTATGGATGTCAAATGTCAAGAGGTGTCTGTAGATGAGTAAATCTACAGGTCGTACGGACGCATGCAGCATTTCAATACAGGGGGCAAGCGGGGTTGATACCTTACAGTACATGCCGACACTGACACAAGGGTCCTTGGGCATCGGGCAAAAACCGAGCCTGGGACTGCCTGGCTATGCCTGCCAAATGGATCAATAATTGCAGGTGGGCTGGTGGGATCATGGGACGGGATGTTATTATTATCAACACGCGCTGGATGTAGCTCTCCCGCTATCTGAAGCCCCTGGGCACCCCCCTGCGCGCACCCTTAGCCCACCGCTCACAATACACAAATCGAAAGCCGTATCCATCCCGTCACCCGTCACCCGTCTGCACTTCGTCGCTACAACGCCTTGGAGGGATCACACACCTTTGCATGCCAACGCCCAATACGCTTTTCTTTTGAATGCAGCTGCTTGTCTCTAGTCCTTTTGATTTTGGAACGTGAGCTGTGGCATCGCATCAATCCATTCAGCAATTCAGTCGAATCGTTTACGTCCTGGTCCTGGTCCTGGTCCTGGTCCTGTTCTGCTCAGTCCGGCTTCTCAATGTCCAACGTCCAACGTCCAACGTCCCAATCTCGAGTCTTCGTCGCCCCTTGTCGCGCTTCCGCGTTCCGCATTTCCACCCGAGAGACAACGGCGCAAAGGGGGCTTGCCTGCCGTGACCTTCCTGCAGCTTGCTCAACGCACCGCATAAGTGGTCTGAGGACCAGTTTGTTTTAGCTGCACATCGCACATCGCACATTGCACACAGCACACAGCACACAGCACACACATACGCCACTCGTATCCACCGCGACGACGGTGTCCTTTCCCGCCGCCGTAAAAGCAGAGAGGCCATACACGATACAATACCAGCACCGTCTGTCTCTGCACGAAGAGACCGCAAAACTACCGACGCGATACACCAACAGATCGAGGAAAAGGGTTGTGCGACGGCCAAAGGGTCCTCTGACAACCTACAGGTAACAGAACCTGACACCCGCCTCTCGTCCCGAGTCCACGCCGATGAACGACATATCTCTCATTTAGCAACCTACTTGCTTGACACCGACGACACCCTCTACAACGAAACATTGGGCCGTCTTGCTTCAGGGCGAGTCCCGGGTACGCCCACCGTTAATCACCGCTACAACGAAGGTACCTCTAACTTCACCTGGCACTCATTCGTCTGCGTTGTGATAAAAAAACCTGCGTCGGCCACTCATATCGAAGTCGCCGGTTCTCAAAGACAAAGAAATAACTCTCGCAGCTTAAAAGTGTAAAGGCCGGCATTCTTGCCAGACCCCTGACCGGCGCTCGCTAAACTTCCTCAATGACATCTTGACTCGTCTCTGCAATTTAAAGAACTTGTCTAATACCTTGCTCGCTCAGGGGCAACGAATTCTCTGGGAACAATCAAGACCGCCACTGGCTTGCGATGCCATGGAGAGCTCTTCGGCGCCGCTCGCGGACTACTTCTGGATAGCGGGCATTGAGTCTGTATCTCACCACGATTTCCCCGTCCCCCCTACCCCCACACAGGTCGATAGCACCATCACCGAGGACAGGGAACCCGACGACCAACCCGACCCCGTAGCTACACCGTCCCACAAGACGTTCGCCCGACACTCGCGCCAGAACTCCAACAACCGACTGTCGAAAGCATCCATCACCAATACAATTCACACGCTAGAGGAGCTGGATGGGAACACGAGAAGTAACAGAAGTAGTGCTACAATCAGACCCAACCCGGCGCCTGGCGTACTCGGACAAGATGGCCCGTTCGTCGACTTCGACTTCGACAAGGCTCTTGTCAAGTTTGCCGCCGAGAGGGAGAACTTCCTGGACGACCTGAGCTTCTCAGCTGGTGCGAAAACACAGTCCAGGCCACCGATGGTAAACCCACGAGCGGAACGGATCAAAGCCGACGAGGCAGCAAACGGGAGGCTGAGTCCTCTGAAGAGTATCAGGGGCAGCATCCGCGGTAGCATACGCCGAAAAATCAGCTTCAGAGATATGAACAGTGCGAAGAAGCAACCATCGACCCCCAGACCTGGTATGGACCCGTTTTACGATTTGGACCTACATCCTTCTCCAGACGATCTGGTAGCAGGACTGCCTGCAGACCTCTTCGATCACGATTGCAAGAAACACGCTGCATTCTGTACTGACTTCTGTAAACTAGCATCTGTACGGACCACCAAGCGACTGAGTAGCTATAACTCGGTAATACCTCCTCCTGAACCTCTCAATCTCGACCCTGACATGCACCCTCTAAAACGCCGCTTCGAACCTGAGTTACTGGACCGGTATCCACCCCGTGATGACAAGGAAGAACTATCGAGGAGAGGCAGATTCCCGGACTACGTGCCCATGTTCGCCTTTCCCAACGATATTCAGATTGTATCGTCTGATGAACGGCCGAGGTCGACGTGGCATGGCTTTACGATGACGTCCGACGACAATTCCAAGATCTATGGCGTAACCGTCACCGTGTGGATAGCTCTAACAATGGATGTGGCAGAAGACATCGAGAGGAGATGCGAACAATGGAGACAGAGACATATGACCGAAGAGGAACGAGAGCTCGCGGGCAGCCTGGGAGCACGGCTCGCAGCGGAGCGTGCACACTTGTCGCAGCTTCTGGCCAAACTCCCCACGATCCCCTCTGGGTCGTCCGCTAGGGACGCGCTCGACGATCAAATCAGTGCAGTAGAGGAGAAGATCAGCCTCATGACGGAGATGCTTCGGCCACTGAGACACGGTGCAGCATCCAAGATTGATGGCCTCACCGCTGGTGAGAGCGGGCTTTGGACGCCACGCGCGTACGGCATCCTCGGCCGAGATGCCACAAGAGTCGGTTTCTGGAAGGACTGGCTACGAGCCGTGGTAGTGCCAATGACAGATGGCGGCGTGCTACGTGTTTCGCCAAGTTCACCTAAAGTTGGGCGATGGCAGCCGTTGGAACGTTACGTGGTCAATCTATGCACCGAAGCATTCAGCCCCCTCAGTTCCAAGACACAAGTCGAGATTGGCGTACGGGAGCTGCGCCTATATGCTCGAAAAGAAGCGATCAACGAAATCCCAGGGTCTCGAAACACAGACCTTTACGCGTTGTTCAGGTCGCTCTCGCTTGAGAACATGGTTACCCTCTTCGAGTATGCGATGTCCGAGTCTCGGATAATCTTCCTCTCTTCCCACACAGCGATGCTTCATTTGGCGTCTCACGCCTTGGCCAGTCTGCTTTACCCCTTGACCTGGGCTAGCATTTTCATTCCCGTCCTGCCAGCGAGGCTGTTGTCTGCGCTTGATGCCCCTTGCCCTTACATTGTTGGCATCGAACGAAGATATGACAACATCGAACTACCAGACGATGACTATGTCCTCGTCGATCTAGACAAAGACACCATTGATGCAACTTCACTGCCCAATCGCCTGCCGAAACAGATTCGGCGCAAACTCGTCTCCCTCTTGCAACTCGCGGCCCCACACGCCCTTCGATATGGGGTCACGTCAGGCCCGCCACCCTATGCTGTCGAGTCTTTCCCCTACGACGCGTTCTCTGCCGAAAATGGGTCGTTGTTCCACGAGAGAACGGCGCCGAGCACTCTGGCAAAATGGGTGGCGCAAAGCTCATCTGCCTTTGGGGAACCTGAGCCGAAAGAACATATGAACACCCCTGTCTTTAATGCTTTTGCACATGCGAAGCCCGGAGCAGCCGAGCGTCCCACCACTAGTAGGTCGAGCAAGACGAGCCCCCCGTCTTCAGTCTCACCCGTCTCCCTCAACTTCCCACCGATGCCGTCAACGCCAATCTCGCGCAGTGACTCGGGCTTTGCGTTGTCGGCGACGCTGCGAGAGAAGAGGTCAGGGCATTTCAACGAGAAGGGCCGCCGCAGTTCCTCGTTCGGACAAGCTCCCGTCCACCGTCCCAATGGCCCTTTCCTGAATGGCCACCAGACCAATCTTTCCATTTCGGCCATCTCTGTGGATTCCCAGTCCTCTTACGGCGGCTACGCCCCCTCAACCTACGCCCAGTCGACTATTGCTGCTTCGACGGTCATGCCTAATATGCTTGTCCAGCCCGTACGCAACACTGATACGACTGTGTGGGTTGAAGGCCACTGCTTCAACTTCAGCATGAATGATACTTCATCCACCTGCGGAATCTGCGAGGAACGCGCTGAAGGAGATGGGTGCTATAAATGCTCTGGATGTGGAGCAGTCTCGCATGGCCGCTGCCTCGGCTGCGTCTCTCTTGTCTGCCCTGTAGCTTTTGATTCCGACAAAATCCGAGCGGCTTTCGTTCGGTGTCAAGCGAGTTTGCTCTACACATATCGGAAGTTCATGGGTCGGCCTTCGAGGCAGCAGAAGAGTAACGGTCAGCTGTTTGCTTTCGATATGAATGGGTTCATCAAAAGCTTGCCATACGACCAACAAGAGTACGTTGGGATGATGAAGGAAACTCAAGGTATGGTTGTCTTGTACTCTCACCTCTTCTTAACCTTGCTGATTATAACTAGCATTCAATGAATTCATCCATGAGCGAGAGACGCAAGCCTCTTCAGTGCCGACGATCCGTCTCTTCGATGAGATCATCTTGGCGAAGAAGGCTCGAGGACGGACCGGGATCTCGTCTGGTCTCTCGCGGCTCTCAACCATCAGAGCTTCCCATGGCGTTTCTAGTTCAATTCCCGGGCTTCAGTTGCCTTCCAGGAATGGAAAACCGCCTTCGTACTTGGCCGACAGCTCCGACCACATATGGCGAACTGCTAGCGTACCTGTGCCGAATGCAAAGTTCCCAGGTGAATACCGAGCAGTGGTTACTCGAATCCCTGCCAGACTGGACCCTTCCTTGATGAAGGAGCCTCGTGCTATACAAGGTGTTCCCCGTCCAGAGCAGCGCCAGAAAGGGGTGATGAGGAAACAGGTTCCTAGCATGATGGGTTTTCCTACTCCTACCTCACCAGTCTCGCCGAAAGGATCAGGATGACACGAGGCGTGCATGAAAGCAAACCAAAGATAAAGAGACATTCGACATCAAACGCTAGGCTCTAAGAGTCAAACGGCCAGGAAAGGGCCGTGTCGGAATCTCAACCACCTGGGCATCGATCGTGTAAGATTAACATGTCAGATAATAGTGAGGAGAAAGCTACGTGGACGCGGCCAATCACGGCTCGTCGATCATCTCATCTGGGAGTTTTCGACATTGGGTCCTATAATAGCCGGGGGTTTACCATCACGGCTTGAGACAGAAAGCAAGATTTCTCCGTCGCCGGGAGCGACCATTGTCTGGCTCGGCCTCGTCAGGATGAGATGGGGATCATGAGAAGGTTGACCACCAAAATCGGGGGCAGAGCACGATTTGAATAAGTACCCGTACGTAGGTAGTTGGACTTGTAGAGAGTTAAAGCCCACACATGAATAATTTGCATGGCGATTGATCGAGAAACTGTCTCATTCGCACTGTTTCTAGTGTGACTGAAGACTTCCAATGTGATCTGGATCTATTCTGCGTGCTTGGCCGTCCATCGCGCGCCCGCTCTGCTTTGTCGTGCCTCTGCTCCCTCTGTAGTGGGTATAATAAACGCTTCTCTGTTCTTGTTCTGCCGTCCTGATGCTCTCTGGTTGGGTTTCCGTTCCCGATCCTACCTAGCCTCCGTTTTATGCATCCGTCTGAAGACTAGACGACCATTCGTAAGTCATGATGATATGACCCCGCGACCCCCTTGCAAGTATGCACCTATGTTGTTCTCCTTCATGTCTCCCAGGCGCCCCTGCAGTTGGAAGTCGAGCTCTCAAAAAGTTTGTAACCGATCCCGTCTTCCCCTGTTCTGATTTCTCGACTTTGCGTCCATTCCGGTTTCTGAGTGCTGTCTCCGTCATGCCGTCGGCCTGCCGCTTCCTCCTCCCGGCTTCGGCTTTGGCTGCTTCTCGTACGCGTTGGGACTGGGCCGGCGCGCTGCTTTCCGCTTGCTGTTGTTCGCCCTACTACTGCCTGCTCCTCCCTCTCCCTCTCCCTCTGCCTCTCCGTGATCGTGTTCGCAGTCCGCATCGTGCTCGTGCTCGTGATCATGATCATGGCTACGCTCGCGCTCGCGATCCCTCGCCCGCCGCTGCGCCAGCGCCCTCTCCCGCGGATCCTGCGTGTTGTCCTTTCCTGAATCCGAATCTGAATCTGACGACGATGATGAGGACGAGTCGGAGGACGATTCGTCGGAGGACTCGCCGACGGCGCGGGGAGCGTGGTAGATACAGCAGACTGTGTTTTGGGGCGCGTTTATGTTAGCTGGGCTCGTTGTTCTGTTCGCGTTCCCTCGTGCTGTCTCGTTCAATCTGACTCCCCGCACAACCCAGGGAGATTCGGGGCATAGCAGCAGCATTGAACTGACTGAACTAGGGAGTTTGTATGTACCTTTCGAGCTCTTCCGCCCCAGTCCCTCGTTGTCGACCACGCTCTCGGCCCACTGCACGCGGTTGTCGCTCGGCGGGTGGGCGCCGCGCAGGCGCAGGATCGCAGGCGCCGCCGGTTCTGTTGTGGGCGGCTCGTCTGCTGCTGCGCTGTTGTCCGTCTGGGTCATGGAGCCTGAAGAGGCGGTGGGCGCTTGGGTGGTGCGGACTTGGGTCCGTGACCCCGACCCTGACCCTTCTGGGCGCTGGTTTGGGACGGGCATTGTGGCGTGGCGTGCTAGAGAGAGCGTAGACAACAGCGAGCTGTAGAGGTGTAGACGGACGGTGTCGAGGAAGCAGCGTCGGGAGGGTCGGGTAGCGTAGACAGGTCGGTACATGTAGGGTGAGGTATATATCTCTCCCGCTCCCGAGGCGAGTTTGGGTCCAGGTTTGGGCCGGAGGTGGTGCCACCACTGTCGAGGCCTGTCGAGGTCGGACCGGTGGGTAGTTCGGCGTAAAGTTTTCGAGGCAGGTTCTGTCGGTTCCGGGTACAGTTACTCGATGCTTCCCGTCCTCGAAGTCAGCAGAAAGGACGGTGGTTGTCAAGTAAAACAGCGTTGGGCTTGGTAGAGGCGGGGTGGTTCGTTGAGATTCAATCATTCAGGGTGTGTTGCCCCTCCATGGAATTGACGCAATGTTTCAGTCCCTGGGACGCGTCAGGGGCAACAAAGACAACTTCTACACTCGCACGATTTCACAGTGATTACGTCGTGGGAAAGGAACTTTGTATGTAGCACTTATACACCGTACTTTGTGCGTAGGAATCATTCACAAGCAAACAGTACAATAGCCTTGAACACCAAACCTACGGAGGTAGCCTAGGTACGTATGCGCAGCGTAAACGATATGTAGATAACGATCCTACCTTGAGTGCGGAGAGTATGCACTAACCGGGGTACTGCATTCAGGTGGGTCACTTGATCCGAAAATAGGGGTAAACTCTAGGCTTGACAGCTGGTCAGTTGTGCGACCACTACGTTCGTGGCTACGATGATGTTTCCAGGTAACAGGACTGTTTGTGCTTGACCGATTATTGCCAAGTGGTTATGCTGCCTCAGATGGATCGACCACGATTCCAGAAGGAGCGTCTTTAAATGCTGCCTGTGAGCCTACCCACCTGGCAGCTAGCTGCCTGGGTTATCAAAATCAGCACCCATCTGGGCAGTCTGTGCCGAACTCCTTTACTCCAGGAATATTAGCCAGCACTGGATTTGCGAACCGGGAATCTGGCTATTTGACTTACCCGGTGTTGCTATGTAGCACGACCCCCGAGCTGTCGGACATGAAGGGATACTTCTACGAAGAACACAAAGGCGAAGGGAGATATGTGTACCATTTAGAGACAGGAGTCGAATACAGCAAGTACGAGAATTTGAGCGGTATTATGTTGCATTCCGTCGGCACTGAAGCGCTCTTTTCCACCTGATCAGGTACTCAACATCATCTAGGAGTTCTTGCACGTGGATAAGAATGCTCTACGCACTTGGGAAGGCAGCACTATGGCTACAATTCCCCAATATCAAAAACACCAGTGCAAAAAGAAAGACATGGGACCTGCGGCGCCAGCAGAGTAGTTGGCGCGACTTATCGAGTGTCCAAAAAGGCTACTCGGGTCGTTGTTCGGCTGTCCACGCCTTCCGCCAGTGAAGTAGCCGAAGGCTTGGAACTGATCAGGGACAGTAACCAAGACAAAAAGACCAAACCAAGCCGCCGCAAGAAGAGCGTGGTGATGATAGCGCTCGGTAGCGATCCGGTAGAGCCCAAAACAGCGCAAGATCCCATGGAGGAGAAGGTCCGCGGCTATTTGAAGGACTTGATCAACTTGGAGTTGGTGTTTAAAGGGCTGCTCCCTTCGACACCAGTATTCGATGTGGGAATGGATGCAAATCCAGATGGCCAATGGTATGATTACCCACTTCCCATTGGCCGAGTCGAGCTAACCACCGGTTTTAGACGATGACGAAGATGAGGACGACGGCGGCGACGAGGACGACAGCGACGAGGACCACTAAGAGGTCGACCTCAAGGCTGATGAGTGGTGGCGTACGCGAGCCTGAGCTCTGCCCCTTTGCCGGGGCACCTCCCTACCAAGTACAGAGGCTCCGGCCGCAACGTTGGTTCGCTCCTTCGTTCGCTCCTTCATTCGCCCCTTTCGTTTGCGTTTGCGTCTGCGTCTGCGTCTGTCCAGTTCAGAAAAGTGGGGGACGAGAGCGGTGCCCTTTGGGCACTTTAGTCAATGAGAAGTTCCGGTCCGGATTTTCGGGAGAAAAACAAATCAGGGGCGAAGACACATGCTCAGTGCCGTGGCAATTGTCTGTGATATTGTTTCAATCGCTGCTGTAGCCTCCAGGGCGAACCGCAGTTCGGCAATACATGTAAGGGGGTGGCTGAAGCTTACGCTGAGCCACTCGCAGCCAGCGTTGTCTGGGTGTAGCGGGCAACACATCCCGCATACCAGGGTAAAGAGCAGCCATACACCCTCCCCGGAAAGATGTACGCTTAAAAAGCTTCTTACCACTGCTGACAATCCCTCAGCAGTGCGGTCCGTAATGACATGAGACAGCTTGGACTGAACTGGCTGCTCAACATTGGACCAACCAAAGCACAACAAAAGGTATATTCTACGTCTCTAAGAAGCATTCGATACACCCTGAGAGATTCTAACCGTCGCCCTGGCTTCGGGAAGACGAAGACGGCATAGATTATATCAAGTGAAGATGGTTATAGCCACCATTACGCGCGAGGAGTTTCTCGATAAGCCGGGGGCAACACGCCCTCGAGCTCAGCCTTGATCTGGAGGGCCACTGTCCGAGAGTGCCAGCGGTGCTGCTGGGTATACCCGCCCATGACCCAGTAGTTATCAACGTGCTGATGGCGTTTCCATATGCCACGGATTTTCCCCTCTTCATCGATACCCCATGTTGCATCTACAGGAAGCGAAGTCTTGAGGATGTCGGGTACCGTAGTGCTCGCGTCACTGTCCGCGAATCCTGTGCACCATACCACGGCATCCGCGTCCGCTGTGCTACCATCCGAGAAGCGCAGGCCGGTCTCCGTGTACCCCACCGGCTCGACGCCCCCTATCACTGCAGCTTTGCCTTCGGCTAGCAGCGCCGTGCCACCCACGTCGACGTAGTGCCCGCAGCCGCGCTCGATCAGGTTGTGCATAAGCGCGGTGTCAGGATGCGCGCTGTCGTGAACAGCGAAGCCAGCTTTGGCGAGCGCGGTATAGCGTTCAGGCTCCTGTGATGCGAGATTCCGGCACAGGCCGCGGGCCAGCTGGCCGTCAACGACAGCGGGTAATGTGAGAACATGCTGTCACTTGCCGCCACGCCATAATCGTAGGCACCGAGGCTGCGCTTGTCACAGACATATTCAACGGGCAGGACGTACGTGGGTGAGCGTGCGACCATAGTCGTTCTCAAGCCCGCGGCGTGACAGTCTTCGAGGACGTCGAACGCCGTGTTGGCTGAGCCGATTATGAGGACTGAGCTGACGCCCTGGGCGACTAGTTGAGCAGGGTTTTTGTATAGTGAGGAATGCATGTTGATGCCCTTGTAAAGCTGCTCGCCGGCGATGTGCGGAACGTAGGGCTTCTGCGACCCAATTCCTGTCGCCTGCACGGGGTGCTTGGCAACGACGGTACGGGTGCCCGAGGGCGTGTGGAACTCAATGCACCACCGCTTGTCTGGCAACTGGCGTGTTTGCATGATCTCGGCGGAAGTGATGACGTTGAGGTTGAAAGCCTCGACGTAGCGGCGCACCTGGTCAGCCAGATCGTTCTTGCGCAGGTAGTTGGGCGTCTGTAGCTGTTTGTCGTAGAGCATGTAGGGAAGCTCGCAGAATGAAGTAGGAACGTGAAACCTCAAAGCATCATACCGCAGGGCCCAGTTGTCGCCAACGCGGGGGTTTCGCTCCGCCATGACGCAGTCCACGTTCAGGGCCTTTAGACGTGCTGCGAGAGCGACGGCTGCGTTCCCGCCACCGACGATGAAAGCATCAGTCTCGAATCTCTCAAGAGCATGCAATTGTCTTTGGGGTGACTGAAGCAGAGACTCATCCTCAGATTGCACGCCCAGGTTCTCCAATTTGGTACCCAAGATCCAAATCTTCCATTCGACTATGCTGTCCGTCTTCAGTGGCAGGAGTAACAACCTTCCGCTGCATGTGGCAGCTGGCGAGAGGGTCTCGAAGTTGAAGCTAGCGTCGATAAATTGCTGTACATACAAGGTGTTAGTCAACCGCAATCTTCATCTTTGGAGCCGGATGTTGTATCATAGTGAGTGTGAGAAGGTGACTCACAAGGTCCGGTGTAGCTGGTATGAACCGTGCGTCTGTGTCAAGCTGGAAGCCTCCCGCAAGCTGTCGGAGGTTCTTGGTTTCCAATAGACCAGCCGCGATCACGCCAGGGGTGTAGAACGTCCGCAGATGGTAGGTCAAGGCCAGCTGGTCCTTCCAGTATGCCTGCTTGGCACAAAACAAGCTTCCCAGCCCTTCAACGTCTTCACTTGCCAAAGCAACGTTGAATGCTTCCAGGACAGCGATTGCCTGCCTCGCAGGCTCGTCTCCCCCCATGGAGGCCATGTCTACCATACCAGGAGCGAGAATCGGGACTGGACTCTGCGCCATCATCTTACGCAGATCGGCCTTTGGAGGGAATTTCGAGCCCTCCCAGGAGCCGTTGGGCAGCGCAGGTGCGCACTCGCCTGGTTCAGAAGCCATTAGTCAGAAGCCGAGCTATTGTTGTACACGAGGGGTTATGTGCTCGGTAATTATCGATTTTAAATTTGCACAATGTCGCGAGTTGAACAGTTAGTACTCACTGGAGGCCATGTTCGACTATGATTTTGCTGTGTCTCCGCTGCTGTGAAAACCTTACCATCCGCGTTTTGAGAGAAACCCGAGTCCAATTTCACGCGATCATGAAAGGCTTGACCGGATGGTCCGGTTGATATGTATCTCATGGCTGTCGATAGTGTCCTCTACCACGAACAAGATTATCACCCCCCATAACCCCGCAGTCGTGCGATGCACATCACGGGAATGGATATGGCAAGATGATAAGCGCTTCGCCAGCCAATGCCAGAGCGCCTCTTGACCCGAGAATGTGGTACGGGCCGAAGCTACGAACTTCGGGACCCATGAGTACCCGGACGAGGGTAGACCCTCTGTTGCAGCCGGAGAATCTTGAGCTACCCATGAGGATGCTACGGAACAGTGTCCACATATCACAGTCTTGTCTGATGCATTCGGTGACAATAGGGACCGTCCCCTCCCAGCGAGAAGAGGAAACCAGCCTTGATCCGCCAACTGACTCTCAGTGCTGTACTTTTTGATACGGAAATGCCTCACAAGGTTATACGATGTTATAATGTTGTTGGTGCAAGGGGTACTGGTAACATGTGAATCACATTACGTGGACACTGACGCTCCGACAAGATGGCAACCCCGGTTCATGTCGGAGTACAGGTCATACTTGGCTGTCTGGCTTATCACCAACTCTTCATCAACCCTGTCTAGAAATTTCGAGAACACAGATCTGCTGCAGTTCACACCTATACCCAGAGGCAACAGCCAATGTATATCAACATCCCCAACCCGCCGCTCCGTCATTTGATCAGTTTCCTAGAAATGCCAACTTGAAGAAGAGCCTCTTCGCAAGTAAGAGACGCCGATTCGTACTGCTCGCCGATAAATCTGCATTCATTCTCTCTCTGAGGCTGCATTCTGAGCAAGAATACTGGTCATCATGCCACTGTCGGTCGAGGAACTGGCGGTCTTTCTCGCTGAGCCCGCCCTTGCAGTACCGGAAGGTGTCGAGTCCAATTTCGATAATCCCCCCCCCCCTCTCAACCGAAACGTCCTTGCCTGGGCTGTTACCACACTATGCACAGTCCTCACCAGCCTTATTCTCTTTGTACGCTTATACGCACGAGCGGGAATAGCAAGGAAGGTCCGAGTAGAAGAAATGTTAATGATCTTAGCATATGTCTGTCATACCCATAATAGAACATACAAAGAGTCGAAACAGCTGACACAGTGGCTCCAGGGAGCATATTGGGGAACAGCGTACGCCGGATACAGCATGATATACACACCTGGTTACTATGTTCACCAATGGAACTTGCACAATCGAGACCTTGTCCGCCCGCTCTACCTCATCCTCATCTACGGTTGCAGCTACTCGGTCGTCCTTCCACTACTCAAGACGGCCATATCGCTGGACTGGTGTCGGATTATCGTCGTTGATAACCGTCGCAGAAGTTTATTCTGGTGGGGATGCATGTTCATTGCTTCCATCCAGATCATTTGGGGCATTGCGTGCGTCATCCTCTTGAACCTGCAATGCGTGCCTCACAGGGCGATCTGGGAGTTCTATCTTCCCAGTAAATGCTACGATCTCAACAAGGTCATGCTCGCATCGGCCTGCGTCCAAGTCTTCACGGACTGGTGTACGGTGTTCCTGCCGCAGAGAATCATATGGGGCCTGTAGATGAATTGGCAAAAGAAAGCTGGCATATCAATCATCTTCGGGGTGGGATTGCTGTAAGTCACCACCGTAAGACACATCACTTCGGCCTGACACTAACAAGAATCGCGTACAGTGCTTCCATCTCTGCAAGTCTCCGTTTGAGCACCACAGTCACTTTCGCCCACGAAGATGACAGGATGTACTTCATCGGGCCGCTCCTGTTCTGGGCATGTGCCGAGATGACTTGCGGCTTCTTTATCCTCAGTGTGCCATGCCTCCCCTCCGTTATCAAGGAGTCTGGATTATTACGCAGAATCATGGCAGTCCTGGGCATTAACTCCAATGTCCCCGCCAGGCCCTCCAACAACGACATTGTCACCTTCGGCGGTTCCGGTCCTGCGCCGTTGAACACCAAGCCCCAGAAACGGCATCACACTTACAGCGAAATCGATGAAGAATACGGGTCGTTGCCCATGAATAACATGGCCGACGCCACCTCCCAGGAAACTCTGCATCTGCAGCGTGGGGAAAGACATGCATTGGGAAAATCGCATGTCTAATATTCTCGCGCTCACGATCTTTTCCAAATTTCTACGTGTGATCTGGAATCCTCGCCACATGGCGCGCACGGAGACTTATAAGGGCTGACAGTAGCCGCGGAAAGGGCCGGTGTCAGGCAGATCTCTCAGACCGTTTCAGTAACTCGAAATTGTATTTGAATCAAATTATGACGGTTATAATTGAGTTGCGTAAAATGTTGGTTTGAACCACACAGAACAACCACGATGTGGTGTTGCAGTCAGACCGTGGCTGCCCGCAGCCAACAGCCAAGAGTAGGGAGGAGGTAGAGTACCAACATAAAGGTTGACGTGAGCAAGCGGTGGTACACAGGTACCTGGATGGTATTGTGTTGGCTCCGAGGTGTTTCCCAACATTGATTTCTTGTCTCCTTGCAGCCCACCCCTCTTCTCCCCTCCCAATTGCTCCCCTGGGCTCACTGGAGTCTCAGAGGCAGGAGGCCAACTATCCTGGGCACCAACTCCTACTGCGCTGTCCATCCGACAGTCATCTTGCTTAACTCAAGCTAATATGGTCGACAAGGGTACTGTCCTTGCAGCAAACGCAGCGTTCGCAAGTCAGCACCACCGAGGACGTGTCTGCGTCTTCGCTGGGGCTACCAGCGGCATTAGCTACGGTACACTCCGCAAAATCGTGACCATGCTGCACTCATCCAGCTCTTATATCCTGGGAAGGTCGCCGTCACGTTTTGCAACGAAACTCAACCAGCTCAAGACGCTGGCACCCACGTGTAACATTATTTTCGTCGAAACCGACTTGTCCCCAATCGCTAAGATAGACTCTGCTTGCCAACGAATTAAATCCGCCGAGAAGAAAGTCGATTACCTGTGCATGAGCCCTGGTTGAATGCCTTTCCAAGGAGCAGTCTGTAAGTGAACGAAAAGACACGGGCAACAATTCCATGAATTCGTCATTCGTGACTGACTGACCTGGCACCAGACACGAGCGAACACCTAGAGGCATCATTCGCCGTCTCGTACTATTCCCGCCTGCGACTTGTTTTTAACCTGTTGCCATTACTTCGCAACTCATGCGACCCTCGGGTATTGTCCATCTCACACGGCACCCAAGAGAAACGGATCAACGAGGAGGACCTAGGACTTGGCAAGAAATGGAGTATATCGGGCTTGGTCAACCACACGACGATTTGCACCAGCCTGTCATTCGATTACCTGGCAGCAGATGGCATGACTAAGTCCATCACCTTCCTGCACGCCACTCCTGGCTTCGTCAACACAGGCAAGCCTCGCACGACGTACCCTTCGAGGAAAGATGGGGCAATGTGGTGGGCGTTCCCGTCTGTCATGCAGGTGGTGTCGGGCTGGATTATTCGCTTCTTCGGCTTCTCGCTGGAGGAATCGGGGGAGGACACGTGTTTCACCTGACTAGTGATAGGTTCACACCAGGCTCGTGGCAGACTGACAAGTATAACAACATCGTTCCTGCCAATGAAGCACTCAGGTACTATTGGGGGAACGGCTGGGCACAGCGTGTTTGGGATTTCACCCTGGGGGTCTGGGAGAAGGCGTTGACGAATAGATCTGCTTAGGTGTTATTCACTGCCATGAGGCAGAGTTGCCCACTTTCTCTGAGCCATACTCATTACCTGTACCTAGGCAATTCTTCATTTTCTTCCTTCGGTCTACATTTCAAGCCCCTCCTGATCAAACATACCGTCAGTGAATCTTTCTTGGCCCTTCGAGGTCCTCGAAAACACACATATACGCTAAGTTATGTCACTGTAAATTACCATCTGTTCAGTTCTATGGGAAGCTACCCATTCCCTATCACTTTTTCCCCTGAACCGCCTGCCAAGCACATCTGCACTGAACGGATATCTAAGAGGAACAGACGGAGTTTCAACCAAACCAATGCAGAGGCTACGCTATACCAATTTGCTCCTGTGACTCTACTGTCTCCCGGTGAACGTGGATCGGCTGCGGTGTCTACTCTGACACTCCTGGTTCGAACTGGAGATGGAGCAAGTCGAAGATAATCAAAGTCTGCTGCGTCCCATGAGTGTTGATGTCCCTTCCGCCAGACGACGACACGCTGGACGGAGTCTCCTCGAGTTCGAAACTCCAGACAATTATGGTGATGATGATTTTTCATTCAAGGATTCCAAGCTTGATGCCTGCGACGGTCTATGTCAGCTTTTCCGACTCAGATATACCAGAATCATCCCAAGCAGCGTAGCGCCCCTTCAGGTCTGTGGGCACTTCGGCTGCGTAGTGAGTCTTCTACCGGGATATCGACGGGCTGTTCATGACCAATGTTACGTAAGCCTGTGTCAGTAGAGTACCCCTATTCTTCAAATTTAGGGTATCGACACACAATGGGCCGTTGGATGGATGGGTAATCCTTTCCTTTATCACAGCAGTGTTATCAAGATACCATTTCGCATCTTGCCGAGCGTATGCAGGACTTCTAGGGGATTGAGTCCAGGCGAGTAAGTATAGGAGAACTGGATTCAGGACGCAATCAGGCTGGGAATTGAAGACCTGATTGTTCAGCTACTTGGGAGCCAACGTGGCCCCAGGAAGCAAATTGCTATTCCCTATTCTAGGAGGATCGTGAACTGATTCTCAGATTGCGAAAGATGGCTCGGTGGAGGGAAGTCAATGAGTGACAAGTACTGTAGAAGAAGCCTTGATCATCCCAGTCCCGAACCGGCCACGAGGCCGCGAGGGCAGCGACGTTCCACCGTCTGAAGAAGCTTTGGCGGTCTCCACATTTGATGATTTCCGCACTGCTCCAGTCCCCGACTCCCTGGAGGTACTGGGATCTTGCACAGTAGCGCTGCCGAGGACTGTCTGGTGGGCTTGTCCCATTGGCCGGGCCGACCAAAGTGGCACACCCCACAGACCACCTGCAGTCACGACTCACCACTGGCGCTGGCAGCTGCCAGTGCACTGTGCAGCCACTGGCCCACTGCAGCGCGCCTCTGCCGTCCCTCCAGTCTCGCGCCCCTCCCCTCTCTGCCTCTTCAAATCCATGCCTTCGGATATAGGATTTGGGATTCAGGCCGCACCAGATGTCTTGGGAGAATTAATAAATCGTTCCCGACCTTCAAATCCTTAGTCCTTGTTTTTGGGTGTGCGCGTGCCTTGACGAACCGAGCCGTGTCGCTGTTTGACAGACACCTACTGGTATCTTCTGACGTAGGGCTGGCTGCAGGTGTTCTGACATCCAAACTCCAAAACCCGTACCACGGCCCACGGGCAATAAGGTATCCAGAGTGCCAGTCTCGACTCTCCAGTCTCCAGTCTTCGATCCCCACCCACTGCCCAAGTCCCTCACGAGTCACCACCAAGCCGAGGACTTCGAAATCGAACTCCAGTCATATCTGCGCTGCTATTGCCATTGCCGTGGCTATCATACTCCTACTACCTTACGCACACTAGTCTGCGCTGCATAATCCGAGCTCTTGTCTCTCACCCGAAGCTGCCTACTGAGGTGTCTACGTTGCTCGACACATCGATCGTCGTTTCTCATTGCACCGTCTGTACCGCCTTCCTGTTCCCGCCGCGCTACATGGCGACACCATGATGTTGAACGGAATATACCCAATCGTGGCTAGACGGCATACCATCACAAGATGAATAGTGATGCAGGCCTTCTCGGTACTTTAGTCGAAAGACTTACCTCTAGGGTAAGCCGGCATCCCTTCTGTGTGCGCAACCGACTGGCTGTGCAAGGCTGTTGCTGATTGATGTTTCGCACAGCTCCCACATCGTACCGGCACGCACAGCCAGGAACTCAAGCACGACGAGGTCGCTGCCCTTACTCGCGCTACGCTCGTCCAAGTCAGCGGCACCTCGATCGCCGTCGTTCTCGATTCGCTCGTATCGCTGCTGGAGGAGTTGGCTCGTCCCTACAAGGACTTTGCCGGACACCCATCCCATGTTCTCCAGTCCGAAGTCTACGTCCTATCCCTAGCCGCCGACTGTTGCTCCGCCCACCGCGAGAACCTGCGCAAACCCGGCCCGGATAGGTTGTCCGGGGTTCACGGCAATGGCAACTCCAGTCCGGGGTCTGCGCTCCCCGAGCCGCTGGAGGAAGGTTTGGTGACTCGGATGTTCGAGTATCTGAAGCTCCTCGTCGAACCAATACCAGAAGACTACGTGCTTCCTGCCAAGACGATATTGGAGGACGAATATGTGCGCGAAATTCTCGATATACAGTATGGAGAATTGCCGTCCAGGGTCACCTCCCCAACCGGCTCGAGTGAAATGCGCGATGCGCTTGGGTCGCGCGAAAGTGACGCAGACTTTGACGACGTCGAACCATACATCAAGACCATTGTCGAGTTCGTGAGCGCATCGAGCTGGGCGCCGTCGTTCGAGTATGTGAGGAATGTGATTTACAACATACGAATCTCGGGCCCCGGACAATCTGGCGTGGCCTCGTCAGGGGCTGTAGCCGAAGAGGAGAGAACTTCCCTTGTCATTCTCAAATTCATCTCCTACATGTGGGTGGACGGCCAAAAGCTTTCCGTCGTCGTCCAGGAGCTATGCTCGAGCTTCCTCCACTTTCGGAGGGCACACCAGAATGCCGTGGCGGCCATCGCACCACTGTTGATATTCAGATGGATTGAGCGCTATCCCGACGAGTTTGTGCGGCTACACAATCAGCATAGGAAGCTCGACGGTGGACCCGACACACTATTCGACATGACGCAAACCATAGTTGACAACAACAGGAGGCGATCGGCGCTGTATCCTCTCCAGACAACGCTACTCATGCTGGTACCGGACGTCTTTGAAGTGGCGAGCAACTTACGAGATGCCAAGAGCAGTGGCATGGCCAAAAGAGTTGCATTCCTCGAGGGGTTGAGAAAGGCGTTGAGAAACAAGAATGAAGCGGCCGGGTACTGCTTGGTCATCCTGCTCCGCGCTGCCCGCCACTTCGACGATGATGCAGATGCGGCCATCTTGAGCTATGTCATGGATGTTCAGGATGAAATACGTGACGCCGTATTCCGCCGATACCACCCCAATGGGGATGGTGTCTTGTTTGAGCAAGATCTGACTACTGCTGCGTTCATAGCACTTATACACCTGAACCTCGAAGGCTACGTAGAACCGCTGGCGCAGGCATGCTTAGCTTCTACGGCGCCTCACAGTTTCAAAATCGCCATGGTCCAAGCATGCTCGTACTTCGCACGTCAACCAAATGCAGAGGATTATAAGCTTCTCTACTCCCAGGCTGCTGGATTCATCCAGGGCCAGCTCAAGGTTCGACTTGCATCACTCTACATCTTTTCTACCCAAGCTGACTCTCGTAGGCAATGTCCAAGACATCTGCAGACCTCTACATAGGGGACCGTCATACGCAGCGCAAAGCTTCCGAGGCGAACTCGTGGACGACTCCTGTGATATGCAACATTCTCAAGTTTCTCGATGCATCACCATTGACTCTGTTTGAAAACACTCGAGCAGACGTCGAAGACCTCTCGGCTTTTCACGAGGAGATCTTTGAGTCATTTGTCTACTGCCTGGTTACCGCAAATGATATGGTTAGGGTTCTATCCCGCGGACTGGCCGAGAAGATCCTCGCCACGGACGGCCTTCTTTCCTCTTTTCGGCAAGCGAATGCCCTAGACTCGAACGATTTCAGGCTCAAGTTTTGGAGATTATCGTAAGGTAAATTCTCCGCTGCGAATAGGCACACAGCTGATGATCATTTGCAGATCACTCGTCTTAATTGACATGGCTGAGAAACAGCAACATACGGAGGACGACGCGATACTCAAGTCCATCAGCTCATACCTCGAGTCGGGCTTGTTACTCCTAAGCTCGTGTCCTGTGAGACCTATCTACCAAGTCCCATAATGGGGACCTTGCTGACACATTTCCAGGAGCTTTGTATGCTAACCGAAGATGTTCCAGAGCTCAGGGCTTGTGCCAGAAAAGTCGAGACGGTGCTTCTGCTTTCACTCTGCTCTCCAGACATGGAACTGTGTCAGCATACCACAGCAGCCCTGGGCCTCTGGAACGAGCTGTGGCGTGCTATGGAGTCGGTGACGGAACTGGCCAAGGTAGCGACCAAGCAGCTACGAAACAGCGACATTTTCATTGAGATTGCATCACGAGGTTTCAGGTTTACTGGGATGATGGCCTTCCAGAAGCGGACACGTGGTCTGTTCAGACGCATACAGTTTCCAAGTCCCGGGATACTCGATGCGTGGGAGGCCGCTTTCGACAGGTGGATTCACCTGTCCAAAGACGTCTCCACGACACCGGTCGATATTGTCGACGAGAGGAGTTTCTCAGAATGGCGGAACTTGTCAGGGTTCCTTGCATCCCTCGGTGGCATATGCACAGCCGAGCAAGCTTATAATTTTGTTGAAGACCCTGCAATGAGTGGCATGAGATGGATTGATCGACTTGCGTCTGAACACCACGAAGAGCCCATCCTCAACAGATACCTCCGGCTCAGCACACAGCTTCTGGCGTGTTCCAATGGGCGTGTCAGAGAGACGATGAGAGACGTGCTGTCAACCGAGATCTCCGCTAGTCTATATCAGCCACTGTTCAAGGCCCTCGAGTCGGAGCTTGAGGTGTTGTTCACTGGGGCAATGGAAACATCTGGTAAAGGCCAAAATGGAGAGATCATATTTGCTGAGCAAGCCGCTTCGCTGTTGAAAACCCTCGTCGAACGGCTGGAGACTCCGTCAGAGCTTGGTGCTGCTTCCTCTGTCGACTTCAGTTCACTCGGGCTCAGCTTCGCCAAGTTCTTGGATGGTGCGACTGAGAACCTGGCTAGTCTGAGGGTGAAGATCAAGATCTGCCAGTTGTGTGAGTCTGTGACGAGGAAGAAGGAGCACCTGAATCTGCGGGACGATGTCAGGAAGCGGAACCAACTTCTGGAGTATGTCTTCAGCTGGATCGCGCGACCACGTTCACCTCGAACGGACGGCAGCCTTCTATCGGCTCGCCAAGATGAGGCGGCACGGATTCAGAAAGATCTGGATAAAGCTTGCCTACGTTGTCTTGCCGAACTCACTTACAGATTACCTCTCCAACCTGGGGACGGACAAAGTGATGCTGGTACCAGCGAACTGAAGTCTCAGATGTTCCATACCTACTTCAATCGCTTTCTCTCGCTTCTCAACCACGAGAGTGAAAACATGAAGGTTGACAATTTGGCGCCTTCGTCAACCCGCGATGAAGTTGGCTCAACATCTGAGCTCGCTATAACTATCCTCTCGAACCTTCTTAGCGCAAATATCGACGTTGGGCTCAAGCATTCCCTTAGTATTGGCTATCATGAGAACGTCGAAATCCGCAAAGCCTTCGTCAAAGTCCTGTATAACATTCTGGTCCAGGGAACCGAGTTCAACAATCTTTCGGACAAAGCGGTCAAGGAGAAATACGACGAACTATTGCAGGTGAGACCTCAAGGCCATTCCTTACAATTAAATCTCTGTTGCTGACCAATCTTACCCAGCTTCTTACCCAAGACATGAGCCTTGCTGTTGCCATTAGTACAGTCTGTCCGAGTAGCGAGGTAGAGGAGTTAACGATATCGTTCTTGAACATCTACGAATCTCGCGGGCTCACCTTTGAGCTTATGGAAGCATTGATCAAGCAGGAAATTGAAGAAACAGGTATGTGGAGCAGCTTCCAGTCGAGACCCTTGTACTAATTTGTGTTAGAAAACGAGGCAGAATTACTGCGCCGCAACTGTGTCGCTACAAAGATGCTTTCCCTTTACGCCAAGTGGAAGGGAGCGAACTATTTGAGAGCCACACTTCAGAAAGTAGTCGAAAGATTGATGCTAACGTCCAAAGACCTGGACCTTGAACTGGACCCGACAAGGATCTCATCACAAGAAGAGCTCGAGAAGAATGCGTTACAATTGCGGATAGTTGCAAAAGTCTTTATCGATGACATCTGCGCTTCGGCTGTCAACATACCGCCTTCATTTCGGAAAATCTGCAGCATAGTAAGTAGAAGTCGTGTAGGCCGAGCGAGTTTCGTTCACTGACGCTGTGCAGATTTCCTCGGCAGTCATGCCGAGGTTTCAAGAAGCAAAATACACTGCCGTGGGAGCTTTCATCTTCTTGAGATTCTTCTGCCCAGCCATTGTGGCACCGGAGGCAGAAAGACTCGTCAATGTGCCACCATCCAAGGAGATGCGCCGAGGCCTGCTCCTGATCGCCAAAATCATCCAGAACCTGGCAAACAACGTATTGTTTGGCGCGAAAGAGCCGTACATGTATCCACTGAACGACTTCTTGACACAAAACATCTACCGGGTGACAACCTTCCTACGTGAGATATCGGTAGGTCTCTTGCTTGGCTGCTTTTAGCTCGAGTGCGAACTGATGTCCGTCCAGGTCGCTCCGGACACGATCGAGCCTCCCGCTCTCGAAGTAGAGGCGTTCGATTTTGGTTCCTGTGTAGCCTTGCACCGTTTTTTGTACGACCACTGGGATCATGTACGCCAGCGGCTTTTGTCTCAAGAACGGAGAGAGCATGTCCGCTCCCCCAACGAGCTTGTCCGTGGCCGTACACCAGTCTTCGAGCCACTCCGAGCCTTGATCACGAATCTCGGTCCTCCACCTCTGGCGGTTACTTGGAATCGCCCACAAATATCTGCCAACACACCCCTTTCTTATTCTAGGTTTCAGCATTTCATGCTTCGCAATGCTTCCCGTAGCACAGATTCGTTCGCCACTACTCGCGCTGTTTACGATGGCGGGGAAAGCAAAGTGCGTACACAGCTCTCTCCCACTCAGACCATCCCCCCCTAACTGTAATCAGGACGGACTCTCCATCATCTGTGTTATTCTTCGCCACATCGACCAGGATTCTATAGACTATGATACCCTCTTATATTGCTATTTGAAGGTAAGTCTTCAGATCCGTCAAGCTTCTACTAACCTACACCAACTCTCGCCTCACGATCCACGGACCCTTGATTTCCTTGGTTCAGGTTGCTGACAAGTAATTAGATTGCAAGTCGTCTCTGGAACAAACCCTTCGGCCTACTCATTGACGCGACCTGCTACAATGGGCAGAATGAACCGCAAGATGAACTATTCAAGAAGCTGGAGCTTCTGAGTCCAACCGAATTATCGCAGCAGTTATCCAGGATCTACGTCTACAACATGAACAGTGCATTCAGGTAAGAACCCCGAAACGCTAGTGTTGATTGTTATGCTCATCGAATCAGAAAATGCTTTCGACGGATACTCCGGGTGGCCAGTAAAAACGAGTCGAGTGTGTTCAACCCAGCCAACGCGGACTTCCATCTGCTGGGAAGCTTGCAGGACCTCCAGGCGCATTTCCATCTGAGCCAGCTTCACCTCCCGAAAGAGACCATCAGCGTTGTTACCGACACTCGATATGTCTTCCAGCCAATCACACGGCTCTCGAAGACGAAGGGCAAGATCGAGGTTATCATCAAGGTTGGCAGTCAGTTTGTGCAAGTGACGACCGTGAGAAAGCAGGAAGTGCACCCAACTTTCCGTCTGAACGCCATTGTTAACGATATCTTCCGTCTCATCGACGTGGACGAAGCACCGACTTCGATTCCGACAGATGACGACTCTGCTTTTGGCCTGCGCGCGGACAATGGCAAGATTGTCATGTACTTTCAGAGTCCGAAGAAGACAGACGTGATATCAGCAATTCGAGCAGCCAAGACAAAGTACGGCAAGGATACTCGCACCATGAAGTCATTCGAAAGGCTCATCCGGCCAAAAGACGTGCCTGGGACACTCTTGAACCTGGCGCTCACAAACCTCGCCGCACCCGATCCCGTGCTTCGCATTTCCTCCTATAATTTGCTCGGAGCTCTTTGCCAGGCTTTCAACTTCAAGGCGGCTTCCAAGTTCATGTGCATTCAAGGTGAGCTCCAGCTCAAACTGCAGTGTCTGTGACAGCATGGCTAACCCTACATGCAGATGTGTCCATCCCTCAGGATCCTAATCAGTTTATCATAAACATGAGCAAGACCTTGGCCCAAGAAGAGCCGCAAATGACGTCTGATTTCCTGAATGAGTTCTTTGTTGGCTGGGAAAGTTTTTCCGATGAACAGAAGCCACTGAGTCTCGCATACATGGCCCAGTGGCTGCCCAGCCTACGCACTTCACTCCTTGGCGATGAGACAGACAGCGAGAAGGGCAGGGAGAGAATAGCTGCCATATTTCGAAAGCTGATCGATGTAGCGGTCATGGATCCTACCTTGACTCTTACTCTGGAATACGCAGTTTGGCCTGCGATATACAAGGACGAAATCCTGTTGGACATCTTCATCGAGGAGGTAATAAAGGCAGCCCTGGCCGTGGGACTATACGATGAGCATAGCCAGGCTCTCAACTCGATTGTGACAGCTATCGGGACTATCACGCTTCGTGGAAAGGTCATATCTCGCCTCCGAAAAGCTTTGAACCGATCCTCGCTCCGGCCCACCAAATACCTCCCTGACAATGCTGTTTGGGGCGAGGTCTGTATCCTACTTCGGTTTTGCCTCTCGTTGTCATTCGACTGCGGTGTCCAGTCGCAGCTCTACCTTCCCGAGATATTCCATGTTGTCACCATGATAGCAAACACGGGCGCACCCGATATTCGATCAATGGTCCATCGGCTTTTGATCAATTCCATCCACGCGGCGTGTACCTCGTTCAAAGTAGACGATGCCAAACTGGCTAAGCTGCGTGCTACCCTCGAACTCATATCAGAGCCAAGGAGTGATATCTTCACAGCTCCCTCCGACCTACTGCGAGACGGCGTCTCAATCGCAACGACCTATGAGTCAGGGCTGGTCCTCGCTGCCACTGAAAGCCTTGCCTCGTTGCTCTTCGAGACGTGTGCTGTTGCTGCCCCGTCTGTCGATATGGCCAACGCTTGGCGATCGAGATGGATGAGCCTGGTCGCCAGCACTGCTTTCCAGAACAACCCTGCCATTCAGCCTCGGGCTTTCACGGTGATGGGCTGTCTAGCTCGGGAGGAAGTCGATGATGACCTGCTTTACCAGGTCCTTGTAGCGCTTCGGAATAGCGTTGCGCGATTTGGAGACGAGAGCAGTAGCGACATGCTTGTCGCTGTTGTGACATCCTTGTCCAAGATGATTGGAAAGCTGACTGGTGCATCTCGTTATGGGTTGCAGCTATTCTGGCTCGCGATATCGCTCATTCGCCTGGTGCCTACCACCCGTCTTTTCAACTGCACTGCACTCTTCTTGGAGGCTGTGCTTAACAACATTGGCACCTCGGCCGAGTTGAGGAGCGAGAAGATGCCCCAGATCCTGCTACAAGGTCGGGGTCAACTGGAAGAGGCGACACTTCCACTGGACGACGTCTATGGCATCCATTTCACGCCAGACAACTTCCATTTTGCGATATGCGCTTGTCTCGTGCGAGGGCTTACCGATCCCCTTACGAAGGCGTCTGCCTTGCGAGTCCTCTCTGCATTCCTTGAGATCACGGCCGACGGCTCTTCGAACAGGGCATCAAGAAACTTCTCCACGGCGTTGCGTGGGTCTCCTTACCTGGCTCTCATTCAAGCCAGATCTGCCACTGCCGAGGACGTGAAGGAATGTCTCTGGTCGGCCGGGATTAATCCCGTCAGCGTGGCCAATCTCAATCCCACGCGGACACTGGCAGATCTTACCAACATCAAGGACAGGGACATTCTACTGAACACCGCGATTGAGCTTGTTGACTTCCAAACGCTGGAAGATCCCATCCAGGCTCATACGATGGCCTGGCTGGTCAAATTAGCGACCGAGAGACCGAAAGTCATCGTGCACTTGTCAGTTTATTCTCAATCGCCTTGTCGCGTGATGGATTATGGGCATTAATACTGATCAATGCTCAATAGATGTCCGACCATCGCTGCGCTTCTCGACGAAGTACTACTCCAGGCGCAAAACTCGTCGACGTTGAAGACGGGACATGTCTTGCTCCGCGCACTATCGACGCACGCTAGGCTCGCAGCCGCTTTAGACGGCGAGGACAATCTAACCGATATATTGGAGGACATGGGGTTCGAGGGGCTGTGGCGTTCGAGCTCCTTCAGCCAGACGCAGGACCACGACAGGCAGCTCTTTGCACTGACAGAGAAGCTAATCGAGGTTAGTGTTACCCGTCTCTTCCGGACTCGGTGACCATTGGGATCCGGACTGCAGACACGCTGAATACTGACAATATGGGTAGCTTATTATCATCTAAGAGCCAGTCGAAGAAGGAACGGCGTGCCAATGTGGAGTTGGATTCTTGGCGACCGGGAGCTGATGATGCTCTTTGAACAGGATGAAAGTGTGTTTGGGAGGAGACAGACCTGTTGGAGGATAGGATATGGTCACCAATCTTTGGAGAATCGCGGAAAAGAGGACAGGAGATGGAGAAGTGAAGTGAAGGGAAGTGATCACGCCCGTATATGACCTGAAAAGCATAGCATAGCATAGCCGAGAGATGAAATTCAGAGACTTCAAATTGTGAACGCTGTGTGCATGCCCAAGTGATGCTGGGTACTAGGGCGGTATGGTTTTGTCACGGATGATGGTGTCATGAAGAATTAAGCTGGGGAACAGAGAAAAGATTAGAGGGTCGACGAGCTTGGTATGATGCTCGGGACCTCGTCTCTTGAGGCTTCGGTCCGCTACGTTTGGCTCTGTGGCGTGGAGGATTTTTATACACGGCTCGAGAAAGTCAGCGTGTGCGGTTTACTGGTAGTGAATTTTGCGTGGAAGGGAGTACTGTGGTAGCGCTTGGGTTATCGGGAGGGGCTCAGGGGGAAGAGGTAAGGGGCGAAATAAAGGAGCCGGCTGGGAGTGACGGGGTGAAGGTGGAGGTGGAAGGGGAAAAGAGGGTTGGGTGTGGGGGGGAAATGATAGGAGAGAAGCACGTTACTTAGTTCCTGTGGGGACCTATCACCTTTCCACCGGGCAACGATCTTACTCTCCGGTGAAGAGCAATAACAGCAGACTGGTAAACGTTATCGAAGACTCAGTGATTGGTCACCGCCTTCTATGAGCCGGCTATTCCTGCGGATGCTGCCGGCTGAACCCTAGGACATACGTGGCAGCTTGCCTCCCGTAAGATTTCATCCTAGTGTGACTGGTCTTGCGACGGGGTTTGGTATCGAATTGTTGGAGGAGCTTATTTAGAGAGTGTTATCCCGAAGATGGGGGGCGGGGCTTAGGGCGCTGTCGTGTTGGAAGATCTGGTGATGTACTTGAGCGGAGGGGCTTTAGGTACCCATTGGTTTCCTAGAACAGACAGTGGGAGACACTCGAAGCCTCTGAGAGGTACTGGTTTTTCGTGTGTTTATTCGTACCTTGTCGAATGGTCAAAGGGACGCGAACAGGAACGGGTCTTGGGATTCCGACTCACTCGCTGATACTTAATTCGAAATATAGTGGTGGGTTATCTATGTTGCTTTTTAGAGTGACGTGCTCGGTATGATACAGGATATTCCCGCTGGATCTCCTGGTGCATGGCGACTGATGCCGCCGTTGTTCATACGGTTCTGGTTTCTTCTTTCTTCAACAATTTTTTTTCCACGCGAGTTTTTCGACCTTGAGTTCCTGCTTGAGAGACGGCGTCGTTCGAACAGGCATAGATCCTCATACGGGTTCACCAGCCCGGGCGTAAACGCTGGTCATATTCTGGCCGGTAATGCTGCTTATCATGAAGTCGTCAGCACGGGTGATGTGGGGCATCGTAGCAGCATGAGGGGGACCACAGCTTATTGGCGTATGTGCGAAGCTGAAGGTCTTGGCTTCGTGGAGTCGTCGTCGTCGGTGGCGAGTTTTTGAGGTGTTCACGGGGGGTTAGTCGGCTGGGTCGTGGGTGGGACAAGGTTGTCAGGCTAGAGGGTTGTGTTCACGTCCGGAGATTGTTTCCGTGTCAAATGTCGAGTGGATTTTGTAGTAGATACGTCTTCAGCGTGTTTCAGAGGCTAGCCTTTACTCTTTGACGGCCGATTAGGCGCTGGCTGTACTCAACTACTTATAAGGATGTCTCCATATGTGTTCAAATCTTCGTAAGATCTTCTTCTCTACCGATGAGGCTGTACACAGTCCCGAACTTGGTACATACATATGTGAGGGTACGTACGGAGTGCATACAATTCCGTATGCGTTCTATTGTGCTACATTTCCATGTCCTCATCGCTTGTCATGGGTACGTACCTAGAGACGTACCGTGCCACCCTATGTGTATATAACCAGGTCTGGACCCCCAGCTACTTTTTTTCCTTCCTCTTCCTTCTTTAACAGGTACAATATACATTGGTCTACATATCAAGCTCTTCGGGTTCATCCCTTAGACCTTGTTCGTTACATCGCTATCCTCGGCAACGTTGCGGCGAAAGATATCTTGCAACACGGCAATATTTCTGGCGGCGCCCAGCTCGTCTAGCCTCCTAGCAAGCTGCTGTTTGTCATGTTTCCAGTGGCTCTCGTCGAGCGGGCAATCAACCGGTATCTCACCTCCATGGAGTTCCGAAAAGCCAGAGGGGCTGAGGGAGACGATGTCGCGGGGTGTGAGCTGCTTGACGGACATGGACGCCGCCATGTCGTTAACCTCTGCGCCGGCCTCGACTAGGCGCTCCATGGTGTCGACTCGGCCGTGCTTCGCGGCCCTGCGTGTATGTTAAAATTGCGTTCTAAACACCGTACAGACAATTTCTAGATGAAGAAGGGAAGAGCAGAACAAGGCTTGTTCTCGAATACAAGGCCCCGTGTCCTGGAATGGGATGTTTCATCTGTACCAGAGAAAGGCACTCGCGACGTCCTTGTTGACATTGAACTTGTACAGCAGGGGGTTGATGATGGCGTGGTACTGCTTGTTCGTGGCGGCAAACGCTGCCTTCTCACGGGCATGGCAGCATCCTGCGATCAGAGCAATCAACTCATTGGAAAGCTGGTCTAAAGAGCCCATGTTGGTAACCTGAACTGTCGTGTAATGAAGAGAGGTTCGCAGCCGAAGCGGTATACCGGTATGGGAAAGATTACTTATCGTGTGTGGTTTGATTGTGGGTGGTAATGATGGTGGAAAGCACGTTCTCGAGGTCTGCTAGTGACGTGAGATACAGTGGATTTTCACGGTGCAACGCACCTGCCCAACATGTGATACGGAAAACTGCATGAAGCACCTTCTCAGTGTTCTTAAAACCAATACGACTTATGCATCGTCGTCCTTACGAACGGGTGGTCAGTGCTAGCCATGGCCTTGTGGCTCCTCAACCCATTTTCCAGCCACAATGACGGATGGGTCACGGACCAGGATACAAGGTACCTTGGAGCCCAACGGGTACCCGTTTGTACCTGATTTGTACCCAACTGGGATGATAGCTACTTCTGGGATGGGGACACCACCCATCCCTTCTTTCAATCAAGCAACTTCCAGAATACAGACCAATAGCCACAATTCGTGACCCTGGTCCTTATTCTGCATACCGCTACCACAAGGCACAGCCTGTTATCCAATCACCACCGTTTGATACAGGCATTGATTCCCATCAAGCGCATCGACGAGTATGATTCTTATTATTAACCTCCAAGTTCTCGCTCATATCCTTTGGTAGCATCTGCATCCCATCTTTGCGGCACACCTTCACATCGAAAGTGCGCCATTGACCATAAGGTCTGCTCATCGCATAAGTCTTTCATGCGCAAGTGCCAAACAGCAGTATCTAGTAAGACAAGAGCTGGCCGGCCTCTACCTTCGGCCTCATTCTCGCCCTTAAGACCCGGAGTCCGGCTCCACCTGGAGGCACCACTGGCGGCTCGGGTTGATCCTGCCTGATTGGATATCTGGAAGACCGAGGTGGATGTCCCGAGAGTATGCCGTGACGATACACGGCGCCTCCCCCTCCTCGCCGGGCATTGTGCACCGCCACATGTTGATGAGCGCCGGGCGCGGACTGGACTGCGGCGTGCGGTGGAACCAAGGCCCTTGAGCATTTAGTTTTCCATGCGTCCTCCCCTCTACGTTATGGAAGAATTCGTTATGCTGATGGCGCGTCTGGAATTGGAGGCAAGCGCACGTGGGTGAGCTGAAGCACTTCATCTCCGGAAGAGCTCTGGGAGTTGTTGTGTCTGGTGCGATGTGGCGGGCGGCATCACGCCGGTATCTTTTGAAGACGGCGTGAAGCTCGGAGACATCGATACGTCCTTTGTGATGGCGCGCGAAGGCGGATATCTTGCTGTGCGGCGCCCAATGGAGACGCAGCACGAAGTCACCGTCCTTGTCGTGGATGATCTTCGCTTGTGGACAGGTGGGCACTCGGGAACGGTCGCCGCAGTGGAAGTTGTGGCTCCTATTCTCGCAGTGGATGAAATCAGATGCCTGTGACGATAAGGGGCCAAGCTCCATTGGCTCCTTGACCGCGGTTTCGACGTCGGCCCACTTGATCTGAACATGGTCACAGAGCCGTATGGACGCGTTCCTCCCGGTGCACACTCTTATATCCCGCGACTTGCCCTTCTCGTCGGGAGAGAAAGCTCTGGCAAGATGATCTTCTTTGCAGCCGGCGCAGTGGAGGTATTCCTGGCCAAGACCAGACGCGTTGTACCCCCGACTATACTGGACGGCTTGGAGGTTTCTTAACCTCTTCAAGGCGTCCTCCAGATCGGCATTCGCATCTTCTACCTTCTTTCGCCAACGTTGTTCACCAAAGAAGTCTCTGTAAGCAGTCTTGAGGTTGAATATGGAGTGTACACCAAGTCGCGTGGGCTCTCGACTGCGGGCGTCGGAAGCACTGTCCAGTCGGGCGCGTATCTCTTTGACTGCTATGCTTGCGATGCACGCATCGAGGCCCAGCGTCGCTGTCGGAGTCGGGACATGCCCATGCACGCGAGGGTTTACGTGCCGGTCATCACTCTCTTGTTCGTCACCAGCCGTGGTTTCGTTGCTCGTAAACGACCTCTTGTGTTCTTCTTGGTGGCGTGGCCGCAGTGACTGCTGCGAGGGATCGTCGTGTAAGAGTCCGACCGCGTCATCATCACCAAGCGATGTCCGGCGTTTGCGAGACTGAAAACGTCTCGAGGGATGTAGTATATTCTCTAGCCAAGGCACCATGGTGACTTCTTTCTGTCTACGGCGCTGCGTTGAGAAAATCGACCGTTATGGAGTAAGGTATGACAAAATACTTTTCTCTTCGTTTTCAGCGATGTTGTGACCTTGATGGACCAAAAAAAAAAACCCTCGAATGGTTCAGACCCCGAAAGCGGCACGTGTCTGTCGAGCGAACGCAATTAATTGACGTACACATTTGGGCCTAGACGAAGAGGAGTGTTGATACCCATAGCAACCAATTCACATGTTTTCGCAAATCCCCTTATTCTTGACTCGAGCCGGTTCTACGCCCTCTCCTCTCCTATACACGGCTGATCATTCGCACACGGTCTAAAGATTGGTGCCGGGCCAACGCGTCAGCTGTCAGGAGGAAATGGTAACAGCTGACACCTCCCAAGGTAAACAAACTACTTAAAACTCTCTCAAGTTGCCAGTAGGGCAAGCCACCCGAAGTCAAAATCTGGGGGGAAACGGGCCCGACTCCTCTGATCACAACCCGTCAAACCTTGCTCTACATCAGAACAGCCTCGTCTGACCCCGCCGCACGAGACTTCTAGCAAGCCACGCCTCACATGTCCCACCCCCCTTCCATCCGCCCATGCCCATGCCCCTCCACCTCCTCCTTCCTCTTCCTCGCCCTCACCATCAACGCCCTCAGCTGGTCCGTGCCCTTACTATCCAAGAACTCCAACACGTGCTCGACCTTCTCCCCGTTCTTGTCCATGGCCAGCAACCACATGTACTCGCCCCTGTACTTCCACTCGTCGCCGTCGCCATCACCATTGCTATCCTTCACATGCTCGTGGAACTCGGTCTCCGAGTCCGACCAGACGATGACCTGGTTCAGCGACGGGTTGGGCCACAGCTGCTTGACGCGCACGGGGAAGCTGCGAAGCAGCTCACGCGTCTGGGTCAGGTGGTGGGCGAATGTTTCCCGCGTGAAGGGCCCGGGTGGGTGCAGGGACGCCGGGGCGAAGGTGTGCTTGTAGTTATCGGCTTGGATCGGGGCGATTGTGTCGGGGTCTAGGGTCTTGAAGACCTTTAGGTAGGCCATTGCGGTGGCGGTCAGGGTTGAGGCCGTCGGCCGGGCTTCTGGTTGAGGCTCAGATTGCATATCGTGGGAGGTGAGGGCGTCCTTAGTTGGACGGCTCGCATTCATATCCGTATGGTTGTGAACATGAGCAAAGATAGCTTCTGACATCCACTTGCTATACCCGCAGGCTCTCCCGGACTTAGGGGTTATGAGCACCGAAGCTCCGAGCTTGGTACACATATTGTCGTAGAACAGACTGGGGGTCGACTTCGTCCTGGACAATAATGCCCTTACTCAAGCGATGGTCCGCCATCTGAGCCCTCGAGTGATGAGGAGCCATGCTATAGGTAGCTCGAATAGCATCAGTATAGCATATATGGTAAATGTCCAGCCTGAGCCCGACGCATACACCAGCGGTTCGAGAGCGGCGATGAAAGCACCTGCCCCGAGACATCGCACCAGATTGTATGCAGCCTGGGCAGTGTCTGATCGGTTAGGGTTGAGATCCGTCAACAGAGTCCCGCACATCTGTCAAAGAATTGAGGTGAGCAACGGGCAATGTGAAGCTTTGGAGGATTCAGGGACTGGCTCAGCTCACTGTGAAGATGCTAGAAGTTGTGGCGCCCGTCAGGAATTGCATGATCAGCATGACCGAGATGTGCTATTTAACAGAATTAGTTAGGGTTTGTCCCATGTAGGTTCGAAGATCACTCACGGCTTCTGCCATCAAAGCAACGCCATACCCAACGGTGCCTACCGCACTGATTCCCGTCAAAACGTACACACCTCTTAGCCTAGTAGCTTCGATAGGGAACCCTAAGATATCATCGCCTCGCCGCAGGCCTCCCATTCCCAGCTGCTGACACATTTTACAGTAAGACTTATCCAGCAATGTTCCCGTGACCTTAGAAGCGATTGCTCCCCCAATGCCGGAATGCAGGTATATCAGTCCGGCTTGTAGATAGTCCAGGTCGTATATATCTATGCACTGTGCGGCCAATGACATCTGGAGTGTCATCTTGACTGCATACGTTATCGAGCCGATGAGGATGACAGAAAGGGAGCCCCGGTGGAACAGGACCGGAATACAGGACAGCGGGTTGGGGAAGTGATGCCGCCTTTTCTCCTGTATGGCATCGCTTTGATGGTCATCGCTGTGTTGTTTCCGTACGATCGCTGAAAAGAGGCTCCAGTAGATGCTGCGAACAGGGCGGCTGCCATTCCTGACTAGTTTCCTCTGCGTTTCAGGCAGGAAAAGCAGAAGGACGATGAAGTGCGTTCCTGTCAGAATCACGAGGAACCAGAGTATCCACCGCCATCCCAGCTTCTCCGTCAATACTCCCCCGAAGACCGGTCCTAGCATGGGAGCTGTAGTTGTACTGCCAAATGTCAGTCTCTGCTGTCCCTGAAGCTGGTGTCAAAGGCGCATACAGCAGAATCAACGTCCCAACATAAGACCCACACTCAGCCACCTCAGCTATATCCGCAACATCACCATACGCAGCCCCATACGTGCCCGACGAACCCGCACTCTGCAACATCCTTAAAACGAGGAGCACCGGATAAGACGTCTGCAGCGCCCATGCCGACATTCGCTCCGATCATCAGAACGAACATGAGGATATAGACCGGCCTCCTGCCGCTCTGGTCGGCCATATCGCCCATGAAAGCCGGGGCCAGGCCGGCGACAATGAGGTAGGAGGTGACGGTTAGGTTCATGAGGGTTAGGGAGACGTTGAGGTCGCGGGCCATGGGCACCAGGGCGGGCAGGTTGATGTAGCTGCTCAGGGTGGAGAAGAGGGCCCCGAAGGAGGCGGCGAAGCTGATCCATCGTTTTTGCCATTCTGTGAAGATTGAAAAGGGGGGTTCGATGGTGGCGTGGTCTGTTGCTTCGCTGTCGTGAGATGGGGTCTTTTCGCCTCCTCTATGTTGGACGACATGTCGCGATCAGCACGATGTCGAAGTTCAGGCAATTAAGACGTTCAAGGTGATATTCAAGAGAGGTCATCTAAATATTCAATAGACAGGGCGAAGTAACAGGTCGCCGCCCTCGTTGAATGCAGAACTATCACAGCGGGGTAGCACATGCCTGTACCCCCTGGACTTCCTGTTGGTTCTACCCAGCAATATGGAATGCATGCGCCCCGGCACACCTGTACATATATACGGGGGCTTCTCCCCCAGAGACCTTCTTCTCTTTTCCTTTCAATTCCAGAACGGTTTGAAATCTCACACATTGGCCAGGTGAGTCGTACACGCGAAGCCGAACACTCCGGTAGGAGACTTTCCCATGCTTCGGCTGTGAAGTGCAGCGACTGCCGTAGCCCATCCTCGCGTACTGGGGACGTCGTCGCGCATATCGACGAACTCGCAGATGTAGAAGTGCGTATCGGGCTGAGAGTGGTACGTTCCATACGCAATCGGGCGAGGAACATGTTCGGGGATGAATTCATACAGCGCCTTCTCGGCCTCGAATGACCCTTTCATCATGTTGTAGCCCACATCGCCAGAAGCGCCCTATACCTTGCGTCAGTACTCATGGTGCGACTCTGTGTGTTGGTGTAGAGAGGAATACCTTTTGGAAATACACGCATAACCTGCCATCCGGGAGCCTTGCCTCAAATTTGACGGTGTCAACCCAGTCGCTTTCGCCAGAAGACGTCACCGAAAGGACTTCGGCCCCCATAGGCAGTGCTAGAAATTGTCAGTCGGAATCTGATCTGAATCGAACATTGAATGAATTCCGACCTGCTATCACGCTTTGGTCAAGCGTTACACCAGTGTCTAGATGGTCGGCATGGTCCGGTATCGAACCCGCCGTTACCGGAGTCGACATCTGTGGGGGCTTACTCAGTAAAGAGTGAACTTTCATAAGAAACGGTGTTCGTGTTTGAGTTGAATTGCCAACGGAGAATCTGCCAGGTTTCAACTGTTCCAGGTAACTTATTGGCCCATCATAGCAGCCCATGAATACGTGGGACTGTCGTGACTGTTCCGAGTCGAGCAGTCTCATCAGGTCCACGGGCCGTGTTAGAGCGCCCTCATTCTTGCAGGGGTTAATCGAGCCAATCACAACTCCACGCAGGTTGCATAGCAGGTCTAGGTGGTGACTCCGCCTTTTCCAGGCAAACTTTTACCAATCCACACGGACCACCTGCTCAGACCTCTAAGCATGATTGGCTTCCCCGCGTTCCTGGAGCCAATGAAACAGCAGGTTGTCCCTGTGGATTGGTACAGGTATGCCTGGAAAATGCGGTATGCAGGACACATCAGGAATAAACCCCCTGTTCCCGCATCTTTGAGCAACCCGAGTACTCAGCCTCTCCCTGATGGGTCCTGGCTGACACGCCGCGGCCACGGCTTCATTGTTCGGATATCTCGGACGGCCGACCAGCACACGGGGATAATGATTATCGACAGCACCCAGATCAACGGAGCCAAGAAAGACAGTTGAGGCAACGGCCATTACTATGGAATTGCCGTTACGCGTGAAAGTCCCCATCGGTCTGTTCAGATTATCGATGTACTTTCTCGACATAGAGGTATGGGTCTGCTCCATCAACACCAAGGCTATTGCCATATTAAAGTCTTATACAAGGCACTTCTTTATCCCTGGCCTGGCAGACTGGGACCGAGCTATCATTATGTGTTGTTTCAAAAAGCGGTGTTGCGTTCGCTCATTATGACCGGCTTGTTATGTTCCACGGGTCTCTGAATTTTAAGGAAAATATATACTTTAATGGCAACTTTAAAAAGGAGTAGAGTATCACTTAAGTTTTGCAGGCGTGAATACACATATATACCGTGACTTCAGCTATTTTTAATCAACTTCGTGTAAGGTTGATCGCTTACGTATCCTTATTTTAAACTCATAATGCGCTGACAAGATATTCGCGACTGGTCGAAGTTAGCAAAGGGACGGAAGGTGATATTTACTTTAAAACTATAGCAAATAAAATCTAATAAACTAGTAGGTTTTTAAAGTTGTTTTAAACTATTTTTACAGTGCTTTCCTATCGATAGCTAGTGTCACGGCGAGCGTACTGAGGAGCTGGGACATGGCCGGCAGCAAGCAGCTATTACTCTATTGACGAGAACATCAAGACTAGAGAGGAAAGGAAGAGAGAGAGAGATAGGTACAACGGGAGGTTGCCCCTTTAAGGAGATCCTCTGGTCAGATCCTTCCCTTATTGGGAAGTATCGGCTTGTCATGTGGGAAGGTCTGTGCAGGCCGTCACAGCTAGGGTAATAAATCGCATACTATAATATTAGCCCTTATAACTTTATTAAATAAATGTATCACCCGTTTTTAAGGTAGCTACTACTTTCGTTTAATAAAAGGAATGGAGTGGTTAAAGGTCCACGGATCCGTACAGGGTGGCTGTACTGCTTTTATAATCCTTTATTATCTAGCTGAACTGGGTGGACAAAAGTCTCTGCCCGACCCACCACAATCTCCTTCAGATCAAAACAACGCGTCAATCACCCTTCGACTTCACCACTCTCTCAACACCGCAATTGATAATGGATTTACGATCTTTTGAGGACGAATTAAGCGGTAATTGCGTCGCTAATGGCGAATTCACTTCAGAAGCTCGCTCGGCAATCGTGGCGGCGCAAATCGACGACAGAACGCATAGAGATGTTACAACCGCGTTTAAAACGAAGCGCCTGAAAACCATCTCTGATATTACCACCAACTTTGAGGCCACTACTACACCGAAATCTGCCCCAAGGAGCGGTCGCCCACCCGTTTTGAATACTCGCCAACGCGCTCATGTGATCAAAAAGGCGAGAGAGCTCCCCAGGGCGACGTGACAGAAGATTCGAAACAAAGCCTGCGTTTTGTGCTCTCTCAAGACTATCAAGAGGATATGTCACGCACACGGTCTCTAGAAGTGGCGCGCAGCGAAGCAAATCAAGCTCACAGATGAGGACGCTAAGAAGAGGCTCGCTTTTGCTAATTATTATAGCACATTAGAGCGCCTGGAGGAATTATTGCGAGCTATGTTCTCAGACGAATGTACGGTCCAAAACTCATCCGATAATCTAGGCGATTGGGCCATCCGATTCTCTTCAGAGCGGTACTGTTATGATCTCGTGAACGAGACGGATCACGGCAAATCTCGTATTTCGATAATGGTGTGGTCTATGATCTGGCTACGCGGCAGAGAAGGAGGACTAGGCAAGTTGGTCTTCTGCCCACTCGATCCGGATGCTCCGCGCGGAGGAGTATCCGCAGAGTCATACAAATGGGTTCTTGAGGAAGGCCTGCTTCCGTTCTACGAGGCTGGAGATCCTTTTGTTCAAGATAACGCGAAAATTCACCTCACTGACGGTGTTCTGGAGTGGATAGAGGAGCACGGCATCCACTGTATCGACTGGCCTCCTCACAGCCCCGATATGAACCCAATCGAGCACGTTTGGCGACTTCTGAAGAAGAACATACCTGAAATTGAGCCTGAATTTTCTGAATTGAAGGATAATATCCCCCATTATCGCTACGCACACAAGTTAATTGAGCAGGCGTGGTAAGAGATCGATCCGGAGCAGGTTCGGGCCTTGATGGAGTCACTGGAGGACCGAATAGCTGCAGTGAGGCGCGCCGGTGGTTGGTATACACATCATTGACTTAGTTATTAAATACAATTTATTTGAGAATTCTATCACCAGAATTGGATGCGTTATGGTTCAATTGAGTTGGAGGGTATAATAGATGGAAGGGATAAAATTGGGGATCGGGCGGAGACTTTTGTCCACGCATTGTAACGGTTTCGTAACCTTACCCTGCTTTTGTAACCACTAAGCATATATAACAATAAAGGAATATTCAACATATAATCAGTTATAACAACCACCCTGATACGATTTTATTTAGATTTAATACGCTGAATATGATACTGAGGATTCATCCCCCGAAACGACCACTGTACCAACCTCTGAAGCCCCTATTGCTCCAGCTACCACAGCACCAGTACACCCCCTATTACAGCCCCTATCCATCCTTGTAGCCACTGCAGCCTCCGCTATTACTATCTACTGTACTAGCCACTGTACCAGTACCCATTTTCACAAACTTTGACTCAAACCAGCATGGGACTTTCTCACGGAATCCACAGGTGGCATGTAATCGGTGGTTGACAGCGACAGGACACTCAATATCATGCCCGGCTCGATCCGGGCTGCGAAGCCTTTCGCTTCACCAAGCGATAGCTTTTGATCTGTGTCAAGCGCAACTTGCAGCACATGGTTCACGGGTTGAATGGAGAAGATGCGGACGATGGTCGAAAATTTTACGAGTCGGTAACAGAACCGAATGCCTCGTTTGAATAAGTACACAAGATACGCCTGAATGAAATCCTAAGCCTGCCAAATCTGATCCCAACCAATAAGCCATGTCTCGAATAAGTGCAAAACTGCCTGACCTCGGAGTCCAGCTCCGTTGGGCATTCAGGTCTTCGGCTTGGGGGGTGCCGCCGGGACATACGTGGCCAAAGAAAAGCCAGCAGACTTGGATGGGGTCCAGACTCTTGGGTCATGAAAGCCGACATCGTACTTGGAATTATCTCCTTCCGTATAGAAGGTCCGGATTCCCCCAGGTTTGGCCTTGCTCTTGGCCGACGCCCTGTATGTCGTTGTTTTCCCAGGGATCATGGGATGGTGAAGCCATTCCGTTGGCTTATTGCCAGTGGGATCGGGCTTTCCCGGCGTGGTAAGTGGCAAAGGCTCCGCATTCTTAAAGGGCGAAGGGTATTTGGCTCGAGCGGTCCTTTGGAGGGGTGCCTTTGCTTGCTGTGCTCGGACTTCTCTCGCGTAGATCCAGGCTTGAGAATTGGGGTCCCCCTCCTTCCATGGGATCCCGTCCATGTCGTACTAGAATGATATCAATATGCTGAGCATAGAAAGTCGGGGCCGTGATGGAGGATTCTACATACATAGGAGGAGTCTGTAGGCGTACGACGAGCGGGTGTGTAGCCGGGGGGTGCCGAGCCAGCGGCGGGGGTGTTGGTGTAGGCGGAGCCACTTGATTTGGGCATGGTGGAAGCGAAAAGAGGAAGGATCGCGTGGTTTGAGTGGTGGATAAAGCTTCAAAAGTGAAGAAGATGTGAAGTTGGGTAGGACGAAGCTTGTCTGGGTAGCATTTGTTCAGAGACTCGAAGACCGGCTGCCTCGTCCAACTTATATGTCCACTGATCAGGTTGAGCATGCAGGATACGCTCCTGAAGGGAAACTTGGAGCCTCTCTTGCCGCTGGCGATAGAAAGACCATCGCACACTGCTCTGATTGTGCCATGGCTCAGGAACTGAAGCCCCTCACGCCGGCCGAGCCGAGGGCCACGGAACTTTTGCCTCGTGTCCAATCGTGCCTGTTCATTGATAGTTGAGAGACCGACGGCATTGCTCGAAGAGCCAACAGCACGTTTCAGTTACACGGCCCAGCAAGGGAAAAGACACTGGCGGTGCTATTAGAACAGGGGAGAGAACCATGGTTTGAAGAAACCACCATGTGATATCCAGGTAGTTGACCCGAGGGAGTGGTTTTGGCGCCCAAACCGCGCTTACGGGTCTGACATGGTCACCGTTATCGCGGCGTGCTCAATTGCGCCCATGGAAAGAGGTCGATAGAAGGAAGGATCACCAACAGTTTGTTTCGAAAAGACTCCTGGCCCTTGGCGCTTCGTGGTCGCACGCGGTCATTCGGCGCAACAAAATAGGCGCCCACTGGCCGGACTGGAGCCAGGGCATGCGGGCTCGGGCCGTCTCCAAACTTTCCGGCTACGGGGAACGGGAATCTTCCCTCCTGGGTGCACAGCCCCGAAACCAGCATTGGGCCGCAGCGCAGCCTTGATTTTGATTGGCTGATGCAAGCTCCTAGGCGCTGGCGCGCTGCATGTGACACGCGGTTATTCGGGGGGCGCGACAGATAGCCGCCCATAGGCCCATAGGCACCTGACCCATCGCTGCATGAGAATCCGATTCGTTCGGCCACGACTTTGGAATACCACAGCCTCACTCTTGACCCCTCTTTGCTATCGTGAGGCTGTGTTCCGTACATGAATGCCCTGCTCAACTTACTTAAGGGTTCTCTGTCGACTACCTTTTGGCTCGATCTGTCTGCTACCCCAAACTACCGCACACTTCAATCACCGTTCAAATCCCCGTACCACCTTTTACGGTCCCTTTCACTGTTCTCACACCAAATTGCACAGTTCAATCACCGTTCTAATCCCCACGATCCCTTTCGCTGTTCTCGCCCCAAGTTGCTGAACACCCCAATCACCGTTCTAAGCCCTATACTACCTTTCACCAATTCAACAATCACAATGGTCTCTCTCTTTCAATCTCTAGAAGCCGAAGACCTCCTCGAGGAAGAGAAGCCAATCTTCGACGTCCTGAAGGCGAGCCTCCACTACCCTTCCACACCCAACGTCTTGGCTCAGAGACTCGCAGACGATATTGTCTTCTTCTGCAGGTCGGCAAGGGAAGACGAGGATTATGAAGCGATCCTCACCCTGGTTTGGGACATGGCCTTCGATATGATCAGCTGTATTCCATCAGACCACGAGTGGCAGGATGTCTGGGTCAACGCTTTGGAATTTCTTCGGGTTCGCGAGGACCTGCCCCCCAGGGACGAGAATATGGTGAGCCAGAACGCTCCTTGAGTAGTCTTTGAGATGCTAATTCTGACTTGCCGTGACAAAGCCGGATGGGGTGTCATGGCACGAGCTTCCCTTGCTCCTAAGACAGCAGAGAGCACGTCTCGGTATGAATGGCCCCGATCGAGGCAACTGCCAGCTTTCGCTGGGAGCTTCTCACTGACTTGTCGATTGTCTACAGATAAGGCTTGCTTCGATGACCAAACCAAGTGGAGGAATCTGAACTCGTTCTCCGCCCGATTGTATGCTTCGGGCGTCACGGAAACATCCTGGTACCCTGTCGTGGAGCTTCGCGGCACGGTAGAGAAGTATGCAAGCAGCGCCAGTGTACCTGAGGCTGCGCTGTGGGTAGCGACAGAGTGGGTGATTCGCTGTCCGGACAGAATTTTCCGATTCCTGCAACAAGCCGATGAACCCGAAGGTGAGATGCCGGAAAGGGTGTGGGGGCTCGGCGATGCGTGGGCCGGCAAAGAGGACGTAGGACTGTTGAGCGTCGAGCGCTGGAATCTTTGGAAGAAGTGGTTCTCGGAGAAGAAAGAGAAACTCTCGGAGGCTGACAGTGGGACGGTCGACTCCGCCACTCTCGGGCGGGTTTCTGAAGCTCTGGAGAAGATGTGTGAGGCGGAAGAGAGGGCCAAGTGCGAGCCTACGACTGACGGCTCCAAGCATGAGGTCGACGAGCAAGACGTGCCTGCGATTTAGAGTCTGGGAGTCCTTCATGTACCAAAATGTCTTGCATTTCTTAACCAGTTCAGAACCCCCGCAGGTGCATTATTAGACCAGAGTTGCCCATGCAGGATAAGTTAAAGCCCGCTCCAACAGAAGCATCATGCGCGTAAGCGGCCTTTCGTTCTTCTCACCACGGGAAAGCTTTATCAGCGACAACATCCTGAACTCCGAAGTCGTCTCCCCTCCGGCGCTATCGTGAGTCCGAACGCCAAGGAGCACGCCGACTTATGGACGGCACTGAAAGGAGGTTCAAACCATTTCGGAGTCATTACCCGCTTCGACCTCTTCACGTTCAAACAAAACCGATTCTAGATAGAAACTAGAGTTGCCAACATCTGGCAAGGAATCCGCCATGAAGGACCAGCTAAAATGCAGTGTTGTGACTGCTTGGTGGCTCCGATACTTACTTACTGGTCAAAATGCTCTGAATTGAGTAGTATAGGAGCACGTGGGCTGTGACAGATCAGTATACCCTCGGTGCTCCCACCCCACCGCTGTCATGATACCGTTTGAGACCAAGTGCTTAGATGGAAGCCAACACACGCTATATTACCAATTAGTCTAGAAGCCCGCCTCTCCCTTTGTGCCCGCTCTAATACTTTCTAGTTATGACCTGGCTTACGTTGAAGTAGCCACGTCAATTTCTCCATTCAGGGGTTCCGCCCTTTGCTCCGTTTTCCTTTTACTGATAGTCTTACCATATACCAAATACACCGCACTCGCCAACCCCCAAACTACGATTACGACGAAACCTTCTCCCAACGCTTTCCTCGTTATTTCTTCTGGTGATTTCCCGCCATTGCCTGCTTGAAGCCCACTTGCCTGCTTACCAGCATCCTCACGAGTAATACTCGCAGGACGTGCAGCTTCTCCTTGGTTGCTCGTCGACGCTGTGCTGGGCTGGGTTGTGGGTTCAACGGCCTCACGGATGCGCTTCGTGGCTTCTCCCCAGACACGCAGCTGTGCGGCTCGCTTCTTCTTTGCCTTATTGATCTTGTCTGCTACGTCAGCGTTAGGCCGGAAGTTGAGCTTCCGGCCGGCCGCCTCCCATTTTCTTAGCAGGCTTTTGTCACGGACTAGAACATCTGGAGTCAGTGATTCGTGCCTTCTATAGGGTGGCTTGGGTTTTATGGGAGGCCTAATCTGTATACCGTGGCTTGATAGAAGGGGAGATGAATAGAAAAGAATGCTACTCACTTATCTTGTGACTGAGATCGTACTCCCACCACTTGATCTCTCCAAACATTTTGAAGGGGTAGATCATGGTCGTGTACCTTGAATTCAAGAGCTCGAACGGTACGGGGCCAAACGTGTTGCTATCTGTGCTTTTTCCGGCACCAGCGTCGCCTTCCACCCAGACTTCGTTCGGGCCAAGCTTGACAAGTGGAGAGGAAAGGTGGTTTCTCGTCACCACAACGTCCAGGAAGCGCTATGAGTCGCTTTCCGAGGCTCCCATCGGCGTCCATGGGATCTCTGTGATGTTCATGTTAAATCCTACTTCATGCCATAGCCATGGATTGTGGGGTATACTTGAGTGAGATAATTATGCCTCGCTTGAGTTCAGAGACTGAGTTGATCTTGGTGTAGTAGCTGTAGAATCTACCGTTCCAGCTGTCTTTGGGGTTGAAGGTGGGCGCCATGGAGCTTCCCACTGATGCCGAAAACCAATTGTTACCCTTGGAGATGGCGTTCACGTGACGATTTGCCCATAGGATTATGCCACGCTCAGTCGAAAAGGGACACTGCATGCAAATTAGCACCCCAACATCCAAGCCGGAACCTCAATCTCCCGCAGGAGACCACGAATACGTTATACATACAGTTCTCCTTGGCGAGCGACCAGATATAACGCGTTGGCGATTGGCCCTTCGTGAGGTGTTGGTGGTCTAAGAGGACTCCCAAGCGATCGAGTTCTTCCTTGGATCGCGGCGCCGGCTTAGGCTCCCTTGACGCCCTGGAAGCCCTCGGCAAATTCTTTAACGACTTGGGCGGCCTGAGCTTCATCTTCGCGTCGAGCGTCTAGTCACATGATATACACGCAATAAGCGACATGCAGACTTCGAAAAAAGAAGGAGAGATTCGCAGATGCGGGGCGACGTGAGGGGGGATGCGACATTACATCCCTTGCCAGCCTTATTTGCTTGCAGAAGGCAATACTGTACCTTGCAGGGCGGGCCGAGCTCTTGCAGCCGTGCAGGGGGGTTGGCAGAAAAGAAATGGTCAAGCCATCTGCCGTAGAAGCAATGGTGCGAAGCATGTCTTTCCTCTGATTATGGCCTGAGCAAGTTAACTTATGAGATGCAGACGGAGTACTCTACCGAACCTCGTACCGGTACCCAACCTCTGCAACCTTGCACACTTCAGGAGTCAAATCGCGTTTCCAAAGCTTTGGCTAGCCCGAGCGGGAGATCCAATCCGCGTCAGCCAGAACACCTACCAGCTGACGAAACATCCACCGGTTCAAGTCATGTCGTGCCGCTCACATGTCCATCGTCTGCCCCGGAAGCTCCGCAAGCCAACCGTCCGTATCTTCAACCACAGTCTTCTCTACCGCGCACTGATTCATATCAGCAACAGTCTGGGTCTCCAGGATCCCCTGTACCCCCGGACTTCCACAGCCGTGGAACATGCACGAATCGTTCATGGCGCGCTGCAGAGAGTCGCCCTTCCACCCAAACACATAGTCAGCATGAGTCCCGTAGCCCTTGCTATCCATATACGACCACACAAAGGGCTGCGAGCCATCCTCCGGCCACATGTCTTGGAATGCGGTTGTATTCCACATCGTCTTGTACGCGAGCTGCGGCATGCGAACCGGGTGGGAGCTGGGACACGGACCAGCTTCGCGGAAAAGCCCGAGTGAGGTGTCGTACATGTGGGACTGGTGATCGGGGCTATCGAGGTTCTTGCCGTCCCAGCACGCCGGGAAATGGTGGATGGCCATTATACCGGCGGGACACGGTTTGCTGGGGAAGTCGGCAGTCTCATTGAACCGGGTAAGAATTGTCTCCAAGCAGGTGTATCGAAGCCCGAGGTTGGCTTCTGCGCCTTCTTGGGTTGTTGTCGGACTGCCGACTGTCATGCGGAACCCCTGAGATGTATTCAGTCCAAGCTCACTCTCATGACCAGCCAGGGATGCGGCTATCCGTTGTTGCCGGATCGGCATACAGCCAGGGGTGTGACACTTACGGGCTTGAAAGCGGTGATGGACATATTACCATTGGACTCCAAGTCCTTCTGGGAATAGTATATGGTCATGCCACCCTTGATGTTGGGTGCGTCCTGGCCCTCGGTGCCCAACTGAGCATTTGGGTACTGGGGCACACGCTTGTACGAGCCGTTCTCGTGCCTGAAGTACATCGCCGCGGTCCAGTAGTTGGAGAAGTCTTCGGTGTACGCACATGTCGTGCAGTTGCCCTGCTCGCCAATATCCCCTTCCATGGTCGCGTTGAAAGCATTCCCGCCGACTATCTGGTGGACGTGGGCTGATGGGATGTTGCCAGGCTGGACGACAGGATCAAGACGCTGAATAGATACGGTCGAGCATCCGAATCGGATGGCAGCGTGGGAGAGCCCAGCTGGAAGCAATAGAGAGAGCCACTTCATCTTCAGGGTAAGCTCAGAGATTGATAATCCCGGCGATGTTGGGCGAGAGAGCTTCGAAGTAAGAGATACGGTGCGGTAAGTGATGCTGCATACTCAACATATATCAAGCCCGTCTCTCTATTAACGATCCAAAGATTTGATTATGAAACCTATCTCGAGTTACGCGCCCGATATGTAGCTCCAATGATTAGCCGGGAGTTGTGCCTCCAATATTATAGCTCCAGTGATTATCCGCGGCCATCCAACTGGTCGCCAAGTCTTACCAAGAAAACGCACTATCTGTATAGATGACAGGGCCAATGGTTCTAAGAAGAATCGGAAAGGGGGGATTCGGTAGTTGGTATTTAGAACAAAGCGGACTGCCGAAGGGTCACAGTGTTACCCCATGTATAGTCCCGCCAAACTCGTTATGGTACAATCAGTTCGTGGTTTATTGTCCCACATGCATTTCGAGGGGCTACTCAGCTTGAGCAGCTAACTCACAGCAGATGTTCGCAAAGGCAAGTAACCGAAAGTTCAGGAATGCGGGAATGGCTACGTGTGACAAAACCCAGGACCCTCGTAATTGTTTACGAGGCTATTCTGGGTCTTATAGTGGTGCGACACTATGATTATAGGAATTGTAAAACCTAATAGTTATGCTGATAGCGGATTTGTAGCAGAGATTTGTCAGAGTATAGTCGTGCCTTGAAGACCACCAGGTCGTTGACCAGTCGCCGAGCCAGTGCATTGTCGCGCTATTACAGCGCATATCTAGCGGCCCCCTAGCGCCCGTAACCGCCAAGCCCCCTATTCAAACGGCACGTAATTCCGCAACAGAACTCTCAACGCGTCACGCTTTGCATAACTCTCGTCAACCGCGTACCATCATCGCTATGAGACGCTCAACACGGAATTTGCGGCCGCCAGCTTCTCAAGAATCGATCAAAGCACTAACTACTAAGTCGCCAGCAACACAGTCTGGAAATGGCGAGGGCACTTTCGCCCCAGCTGGCAGGACACGGACCCGGAAGAGGCCGCAACAAGACGCGTCAAGCGACGCGTCGGACGGGAATGGCCATGGCGACGAGTATGTCGCGCCCAGCGCCAAGCCGTTGACGAAGAAACGCAAGATAGCCCGCTCCGGCAAGAACGGCGCTGCCAACGCAGCAATACACCAGCGTCTCTTCAGCAGTCCCAATGCGGATGTCAAGCACCCAGCAACATGCACCCTCCCAAACCGCTCGCACACGGTGGCCTACCACCGTCCCCTACTCCTAGACAGCCAAACCGCCCGCACCTCGCTACTCACCTGGTTCGACGGTATCAGCACCGCGCGCTCCATGCCATGGCGTAAGCCCTGGATCGACTCCCGCGCCATCGCACACCACAGCAGCAGCGACGACACTAACGCCGAAAATGCAGCAGAGCTCCGCCAGCAGCTAGAGCGACGCGCCTACGAAGTCTGGATCAGCGAGATCATGCTGCAGCAGACGCGCGTGGCGGTCGTCATCGACTACTGGAAGCGGTGGATGGCATCATGGCCGACGATCCACTCGCTGGCGGCCGCCGAGCCTGACGCCGTACTCGCGGCGTGGCGGGGGCTGGGCTACTACAGTCGCGCGACGCGTATTCACGAGGCTGCAAAGCTGGTCTGTGGCGACCCGGATATGGGAGGGCTGTTGCCGGTGGGCGCGGAGGAGCTCGCGGCGAAGGTGCCGGGCGTGGGACGCTACACTGCGGGCGCTATCTCGGCTATTGTCTTTGGTCGCGCGGCGCCGATGGTGGATGGCAATGTGCTACGTGTACTTAGCCGGCAGCTTGGTCTGTTTGGGGATGTCAAGGCTGATAAGTCTGTGATTGATCTGCTGTGGGCTGCGGCTGATGGCCTCGTCAAGGCTGTTGTGAAAGATTCCGGAGAGGACGGAGACGTCGAGTCTCCAGGGGTACAAGTCAGCGATCGCCCAGGACGATGGGGCCAGGCATTGATGGAACTTGGCAGCACGATCTGTACACCAAAGCCCAATTGCGCTGCCTGTCCCATCAGCTCCAGCTGTCGCGCCTACGCCGAAGGCCTTGAGCTAGCCCGCAGAAAGGGGCTCGTCCCGGAAGACATGATGCCTCCCAAATCCAAGCATACAGCCATCTTGGATATCGAAGATGCCTGCAGCTTCTGCAAGCCATTTGAGGAGTTTGCACAAAACGGAGAAGACCAAGACGTCGCCACATCCCTCACCACGGACGAAGCAACACCAACCCCAGAGCCCAAGTCCCGTTCGCGAAAACAAGCAACCCTGCAATCATTCGCCTTCACCCAATCCGCCAATTCAAAACAACTCCCCTTGACCCCACCTCCACTCCCGGGCCTAAACCCCCACGCAATGGAAGTCGTAACATCCCACGCGCGAAAATTCCCCGTCAAGGTGATCAAGAAAGCCGTGCGCCAAGAAGAGACACTCGTCTGCGCCATCCGCCGCAGCAGCGACAGCCGATACCTAATCCACCGGCGTCCGGCGAAAGGCCTGCTCGCCGGCCTGTGGGAGCTGCCCAGCTACATTCTACCAGATAGCCACGACAGCACGCCAAAGTCACGCAAGAAGGACGCCGAAAAGTACGTATCAGACCTGCTTGACGCCGAACCCAAAGGCAGATCCCCGAAATCGCCGCAGCTGAGGCACGCGTGCGAGCTTGGGCGCGTGCCTTGGCTGTTCTCCCATCTGAAGCTGACGATGCACGTTCATCTGTTCCACCTTGATGGTGAAGAGTCATCAGCCGAGGAGACCGCCGAGGCGGCTGGGAGCAGGAGCCGGTGGAGCGGTGCGGTCGATGAAGAATCGATGGGGACGGGAATGCACAAGTGCTGGGCTCTGGTGAAAGAGAAGGAGGGCCAGTAAAGGTTCACTGGATCCTCAAACGTCTTCGTACGCTTCTTTGACCGAGGCAATGAAGATCTAGGGGCGTTACGTGCCTGTGTCATAAACATTATAGGATAACTATGCAATCTCAATATCTTGATTGATTACAGCTGCCTATACCAGGGTGCTTATTCCAGATGATATGTCTCGAGTTTGATGTATGAGAAGTGCCTCGAAAAGTTAGGATACAATCAAGGTGGTGTTAATACTACTCTAGGTTTTATTTGTGTCGTGTTGTGTTGCTTGCCTGCTGTTGTGAGGTATGACTCAAGGCACGGGAATCTTCTCATACTGGACCCATTTTCCCTCGTATCTCCAGTGCCAAACATCGCCATCCTTGTGCTCAGCGATCATCTCGAGTCGACACCCGAAACTGCCCTGCATCAAGCCCCATATGTTCTCGACGCCCTCGCCAAACGTGCTGACGAGTCTGCAGTATTCGTCCCATCCCCCCGGGCCCGTGTCGCATTGCCAGTGCTGGGCTTGTCCTCCTGGAGTAGCGATGACAAGCGGAAAAGTGCTGAAGTCGTTCACATGACTTTGTTTGCTGCCACTCGACGGGTAGGCGGGAGCACGCCGTGTCGTTATCACCAAGCAACACGTAGCTCTCATAGCGCAGTTCGGCCCAACGAAGAGCCAGAGTACTAGATCCAGTCCTCCCACGTTGATACCTCGCCCTTGAAGATACAAGGGTCGGGTCTTCGAGCTCAAGTCGCGGCCTCGGTGAACTGATTGCTCTCATGTGAGAGGGGGGAAGGCACATGTCACCGTCAACTCAACTGAGGCGTTGGTAACCGGCTGAATCTGAACGAGGGCCGACCTGTGGAACTCGTGTAACGACTGCTTTGGCATCAATCAAGATCATTCCGAACAATTAGGGTCCATTTTAAGGAAGTCGCCATGGTGCCCAGTCGTCATGTCGGGTACTGCGCAAATTTCAAGGATCATACAATCATATTACTTTATCTTAACAGATCATTTATAGATCAGGGCTTTTCGCATACGGACTCCTCGCCCGTAGTCGTGGGCCCATCCACCAAAACACCAGGGGCGCCGGAGTCAACAATGTGGCAACACAACCCAGAAGCGTCATGGTCCAATGCGTGCCAATCCCCTCATACATCGGTCTTGCAGCCATTACCATGCCCCCGGCAACCAGATAGCGAACTATGGTGATGCTGGCCAAGCCAGTGGCGGCGTGATCACCATAACTGTCAATGATGTACTCGTAGCTGGACACGTAGATCGCGATGATGACCATGCCAAAGACAAAACACGCCCCCAGACTGCTCCAGATCGAGATGGACTTCTGGTCGCCCCACCCCAGCCAGAAAAGGCTGATGGGAAGCAACGGCGCAGCGATGATCGCAGGCCAGATCCTGAACTCGGGGTGGATCGACGATCCTCGTACATATTCGGTCTTCCAGCGTGCCAAGGTGTAGAACCCCGGCGACAGTAGTGTGAAGAAGGTTGCCCCGGCAGCGATGGAACCGAAGCAGGACCCCGACATCGCGGTAGACAAGCCGTAGGTGTCGCGAAAGATGTAATCGAAACCCGAAAGGAACGTGAACAGAAGCACGTAGAGGAGGATGAGGTATCCGCCCAGCACCGTGATGACGGGTTCTCCAGCGAGGAACTTTACGGGCAGAGGCAGCGCCTTCCTCAGCCGCTCCGAGAAGGAGGCGGCTTCGGAATGCTCCGAGACGTAGCGATCGTCGCCGGTAACCCGGCGCAAATGCTCGGCCTTCCAGTCCAATAGCAGCGGCAAGTACGTCTCGGGCAAGAAGAGGAATGCCACGAGAAAGGCGAAGCCGGAGATGATCAGCGTGCTCCATTCCGTCCACCGCCACGACAGGCTGCCATTTGACACAATCCAGCCACCGGCTATGGGCGCTAAGACAGGAGCTACATTTATCATCAGCGCGGCCATCCAAGTATACGTTGGGGTTCATGGGACACTTTACCTGCCACATTCGCCCATGCTATGACCGGGAAGACGAACGCCGTCTTCACAGGCCTAAACTGATCTCTCACACTCGAGCCATTGATACTTAGGGTAGCGCTCGCGAACAACCCCACAAAGTAACGACATACGACCTGCCCCCCAAAGGTGGGCGTCAAAGCCGAACCCAGAACGAAGAACAGGTAGCAGAAGGTCGAGACGAGATACGTCGGGTTGCGGCCCACCGTCTCCGAGAGCGGTCCTCCGAAGAACGCACCAGACCCGATGCCGAAGAGGTACATTGCGGTCGAGAGGTTCTCGGCGACCTGGCTGACGCCGAATTCCTCACTGGCCATGCGGTTCGCGATCGACTCGGACGCGCCCGCCCAGGCTTGGGTGAATATTAGGAGGGTGAGAATGACGATGTTCTTGGCGCGGGACAGTAGCGGCCAGTTTCGAGGGTCCAGCGCGTCGTCGTCGCCATGAACACGGACGTATATCTTGCCCGATTTCCCATCGGTTTGCCTCTCCCGGTTGGCGGTCCGTTCAACGTCCTCGGACGACTTGTCTGGCGATTCTGGGCTTTGAGCTGTCCTCCCAACCTCCGCCGCAACCTTTTTGCCCAATTGCCGGTACTGGACGTACCACCACATCGTCATCAAGGACACACATTAAGACTCTGTAAACACGCGCGCCAAGGCAGTTAATGCAGTTAGGGTCAATGAAAAAGAGTAAGAGAGTTGAGAATACCTTGTGGAAGATGGAAGATGGTCGCGTGACATACTGCTGCTTTGGTCAACTCTCAACAGACTGCAGTGACGTCGGTCTCCGGGGTATTCCCTCCCTGTGTACATCCAATGCAGGTGTCATCCACGGACGGGCGGGAATTTGTAGATCGGAACTCAAAATGATACCTTATACTCCCATTGGAGCAGCTTGCCGCGCATCTGTGGTATGCGCGAGGGTTATCGTCATAGTGATGGAATCACGGGCAAGGTGGGGCTCAGAGGACTATTTACCTAACTGCACCTCCAGCCTCGGGTAGAGAACGTTAACCTTACAGCCGGTAACTTCTCTGGGCTGTTGAACCATGGGATCATGCCGATATATGCTTCTATAGCACTACTCAGCTTGGTTTGTCTGATGAGAGTGCGATATTATTTCTGGATATGGAGGGTGAGGAAGAATGATCAGGAGGGTAAGGATGTATGAACAGTTCGTCGCATATTGGTAAGGTGCGGACTTCGGAGCCACCCCCGCTACGGACTTCTCCCCCGCCATGTCCGCCATGTCCGTCCGATGTCTTATTATTAAATCTTGACGTAAACGACACTTGCAACCCTCGTCTTCACCCTTGCAACCTTCGTCTTCATCCATTCTTCTCCGCAGTCAAACATCCTCACATAATTTCAGAGCATCTCGGACAAGAAAGGCACATCCACCATCATGTCTCTCAAGTAAGTGAATGAATCTCTCAAAGCCAGATCTAGGTACTGGCTGTCAAACAGCGACAAATGGACGTACCTAGGTAGCTGACAGCTCTCACCACCAGCCACCCCACCCACCCAGCAACGGTGCACTGGCCCCTGGCCTTCCTGACCGCCGCATATGGTCTCGACACTCTGCACACCATGTACTCATACGTGCCATCGGCCATCACCAGCTACTTCCCCGCGTCAGCCGAGATGCCGCGGATCGCCTACTACGCGCTCAGCGCAGGCCTGCTCACCTCAATCCCGTCCGTAGTCACCGGCATCGCCAACGCCGCGCAGATGGTCCAGTCCCAGGGCATGTACGAGGCCGACGGCAAGACGCTGAAGCCCAAGATGAAGGTCATCATCGCCCACGCCCTGAGCAATGACGTCATCATTGCCCTGAGCGGCTACATCTGGTACTTGCGCAACCAGAGCTCGAGCTTGAACTTGACTTATGCGCCTCAGTCGTGGATGGTCGGTGTCGAGGCCGTTATGGGGCTTGCGCTGCTTTACTCGGCGAACCTTGGTGGGACTCTGGTCTACAACTATGGTATGGGATTGAGGATGGGCAGCAAGAACAAGTCTTCTTGAGCGGGCGATGGGGTATGAGGGAGGTGTGGAAGGAGAGGAGGACCAACAGAGGAAGGACGGGCGAGCGAATGCCATTGGAACGTACTTCTTGACAGTAATGCAACGGTCGACGTTGCAAGTGGCTGTCTTGCTCATGACTTCAACCTATTGACATGACATGTTGCGACCTACTCGCTGACCGTAGTCGCCAAGAGCAGCGCTGGCGTCGGTCATGGCAGTGATCAGGGGCGAACTTGCTTAGGACGACTCACTACCCGTCTACCGAGAGCTGCGATTGATCTGGAAATTGATCTTTGTGACCAGCTTGTTCATCAATCTATCTCCCGAAAGCCATTGAGCCAATGATTTACCATTGGACATAGGAGATCAAGATCGCTGAGTGTGCTTGTACCTTTACCGAGCGATCACGTCTCATGATGTAAAACTTAATAACACACCCCTTAACAGATTTACAGCCGCGGTTCCAAGTCGCGTTTGTTATCTTCAACTTATTGCAGATGAAGTGCAACCCGGCAACCCTCCGGTCATCTGATAAGATGCCGCCGTACTCTCCACATTCGATGCTACGTATCATCTTAGGTTGGCAAACCTCAATGACTTCGTCTTGGAGCATCCTGAAAGTCATTCAGGAGCTCCAAGTAAGTTGAAGAACAACTATCATAATGAAGAGACTATCGTCAGTGTCATTGCTGTCCTGGTGGGGTATCGCGCGAGGTGCACAGGAGGTATTTCAAGCTGCGCCGCCTCCCCGCACGAGCTTCAGCGACCCAGCATGCCAGCAGACAATCTTCCAGCACGACTATGGCAACAGCTACGGCGCCCCCTATGTCGGGCCCTACTCCCCGCCCAGCGACTGCAACTTCACCACGACCATCTTCAATATGAGTGTCGTCTCCAGCGGCCGGCAATACGACCGACTCGCGACGCTGTGGGTCGGCGACATCGAGGTCTGGCGCACGTCGACCGCGATGCCGTCGCAGTCGGGGATCCACTGGTCGTTTCAGAAGGACATGACGGTATGGGATGCGCTGCTCCGGACGGACGCAAAGATAATCTTTGAGCTTAATAATGTCATTGATGGCGATCGGTACACCGGCTTCTTTAATGTGACGCTGGAGGCACTGTACTTCGACGATGTGTATGAGGCGGGGTGCCACCCGGCGGAGCAGATCTTGCCCATCTCAACACTTTCGTCGTCCAAAAACATGACCTCGGTCTTCACTCTGCCTGGTGACAGTGGCGCAGTCGACCTGACGTTTCCGAGGAACACGAAGACGGCCGTCGTCTCGATCATGGCGTCTGGGAATGGCGCTGAGGCGTTCTGGTTCACGAATGTGCCGACTGAATATGTCAATACGTTCCCAACTAACGAGGGCTGGCTGTACGGATACAGCCCCTTTCGCGAGGTGCAGCTGCTCATTGACGGCCGGCTTGCAGGTGTCTCGTGGCCCTTCCCAATCCTCTTTACCGGCGGGGTGGATCCGGGAGCATGGCGGCCCATTGTTGGCATAGACGCTTTCGAGCTGCCTTCGTTTGAGATAGACGTGACGCCTTGGATGGGGCTATTGACCGATGAACTGCCGCACACTTTTCAACTTCAAGTTGTTGGGTTCGACACCTCAGTCCCGGGCGGGGTCGGCCCTGTCGGGGACAACTGGTGGGCTTCTGGTTCTGTGTTTGTCTGGATCGACGACACAGTTGAGCAGACGACAGCAACAGAAGTCATCAGCGACACGCCTGCACCCCTGTTCGACTTCCAACCCAAAGTTGGGACTTACCTCGCCAATAACGGTACTGTTACTAATACGTCTTTATACTTCGCATTGACTGCAAACCGAAGCCTCACGATATCATCCACGATCACAAGTGGCGGAGAAAGTCGCGGGGTATCCTGGGTCCAGGCCATCTCATATTCCAACATCCAGAACATGACCGACCTCGCATTCAACCAATCCTTAGCCATGGTCACCTCAGGAAGCCATTCCAGCTCGGCTTCTGACATCATCTCGCGCTACACGTACCCGATGAACCTCTTCAGCGCCTACGTCGTGCAGTCCACAGGCGCGACCTCGAATCCGGGATCGGTCTTCTGCATGGTCGACCGGAGCAAGGTTGTTGACGGTGTCTCTACGTTGCCGCTGCTTACTGGCACATCATCATCCTCTGAGAGCTTGAAGACTAGGCAGAATGTAACTTCTGACTACCATTGGAACTCGACCATCGTGGAGGGCACTGCAGGTCTGGACACTATGGATGGGGAGGTCTGGTTGTCTTACTCTGGTGCTCCGGGGGCCAGTTCGGGGGTGACTGGTTATCACCGTTACGCGAAGGAGAAGAACGACAATGTGATAGCAGACGAGGAAGGGTGGTTTGAGATACCTGTTCCGAGCACGGAACCATTGCCAGTCGTGCAAGGGGAGCCGGAAGTTTAGACGTCTCAAACGAATGGGTCGTACATAGTAACATAGGACCAGAACAAGAGCAAATACTACATCGAATGGACCCCATCTGACCCATTATCTGTTTGTTCTATGCATCAGGGCTCGCTCTACATGGACGTGTGCTCTCAGAGACTCTAGAGTCTAGATACCCTTCCCTGGCTATACCCGCCAAGCCCGGCTCAAAGATCCACAAATTCTCCGCCGTCCCGGTGGCACGGCATCGTGGCCGGACCTCGGGACTATTCAGGCCCAGAGGTTTCTAGTGCAGCTACGAATCAGGCCATCGTGGGTCACATCGTATCCACCAGTACGCAAGCCTAATTTCGTGAACTCTCTCTTCTTCATCCCGCACAAGGCATGGACGCTGCTTCTTGAACCAGTCCTTCCCGTTTTCCGTTCGCTTGCAGGTTGCGAAATCTGACTAACTATTTAGACTACTGTGTTTTTAGCAATCGCAGCGCCTCAGCTCGAGTCGCGACAATGTCATCGATAACAACAGCCATCCCAACCGGCGCCATCGGACCTGGTGTCTCGGTCCGGCCCCAACGGAACACACGCACTACCAATGCGCCAACGACACCGCCGGCACCGCCGCATCCGACTTTCAGACAATCTGCTGCAACGGCGACATCGTCAACGTCGCCAAGCCCATCTGGTGGCCGCAGGCGCTGGAAGACAGGAGCGTCTACCTCGCCGACATGGTCTGCTGCCAGGGCTCCGTCCGCGGCGTCGCCACGACACAGACGGAGTGCAACGGCGGACAGCGCCCGACGCCGCTGGCTAGTCTGGCAAATACTAATACGGATAATGCGGCGTCGACGCCGACGGGCGGGCTGTTTTTGGGCGTATACGGCGAGTGGGGTGGGGATGGCGGAGGTCACGCTGCCGGCGGCGGATGTTGCGGCGGCGGTGGCGGTGACAACGGCGGTGACGACTACGGATGTGCTTGGGGATCTGTTTACGGTTACGCCGGACGCGAAGACGGCTACTTCATCGACGACGAGTTCATCGACGGGTCCCGCCGCAACTGGGAATGGTGTGTCTAAAACGGTTTCCGTTGCTGCTACGGCTGCGGACAGCTCGACAGGAACTACATCACAGAGTCCCACGCCCAGTGCGACAGCGACGGCTTCTACGCCATCATCATCGGGGGCCACGAATGTTCGTAACGTTTCTCGAAGTGTTGTTCTCCTAGCACTTGGGCTCGCCTCTTCGGGCCTGTTTTGGAGCTGATGCTCGACTTCTTGTCTGTCTTTGACCGAAACAGACGTCTGGCCCTCATACCAACCTCAAAGGCCATTGTACGATGGATTTGTTTCTGCTACAGCTGCAAGTGGCAGCGCTTCGATCGTGTACTAACCCAAGATACATGAGTGGGCATGTGCGATTCGTCGTCCATACCTGAAGCCACAAGCATGCTACGGTAGTCTCATCAGAGCATGCACTAAACTCTAACGTGAGAAGCTGACTCACTGACTGCTGTTATCAGCCCTCCATGAACAATACCAACCAGGTCATGAGGCGGCGCTGTCTTGGTGGTGGTCTTTGGCAAGCCTTTCCCATAAGTAGTCCAGGCCGCCTGCGCAGCTCCCAAGGACCCAGATACACACATACGATTTATTTTATTTTTAAGCTCCTCGACCGGAAGGGAGGAGCCACTCATCTCTGTTCTACATCCCTCATAGTTGTTGAATTCTTGCCACTCGTCGCTTTTTAATACCTGATCACCAAAGACCGCAGCCCACCATATCGACGATACCTCAACGTCACAGCAACGGGCTCATTGGCGACCATCATGTCGAGGACTAGAAGCACCGTTTCAACAGCATCTTAGCCAAGCCCAGCGAAGTAGTAAAGCCGTAATCACCAATAAGCACCACGTCCTAGACATCGTCCTTCTTTAGCTGCTTTAGCCCGATAGAATTCTGCATCATGACCTGGTGTTTCCCCTGCGTGACCTTCGGCAAGACCTACCACCGCCTGCACAAGAGCGGCATCTTGACCGATACGATACTACGAATCGATCGATATCTCCGTAGGTGCCCTCGACGTGCCGAATCCATGTGTGGGACCCATGCTGACAAGTTTCGACTTTAGCGCTTGCTCCTTTGCGGCTCCTCCTGCGCCGGTCTCCACTGAATCCTCACCTCGATGCAGCGAGCGAATATGCGCGAGAAGTACAACTTTTAGGGTACCTGTCTCGTTATATCGCTTTGTCGTTCCGCTATGGATGCTGCTCTCACGTACAGCAGGAAAGGGAGGCGGCGCACCGCGAGCCCATGCCGAGCGCTGGCGGCGACGCACAGAAGTGTAACTAAGGCGCCGGCCGCAATGGACATGAAGCCTCTCGAACAGCATGATCGATTTGCTTCTGTGCTTCCTATGCTGGTATCTGGACGTCTGGGCATCCAGTCAAGCCACGGACGCGTAGACGCTACCCGCATCTGGAGGATCGTCTAGGGTTGTAAGGACTTATCAAGATGACGCAGTATGCCTTATAAGTTCCGAGCAATCCTCAAGATCCATCTGGAATATAAATAATTGATCTACCAAGGCTGTCAATCATTGGTGATCCATCGCAAGGATGTAGGCACATACAGGATGAGTGGTTCTACAGGCCAGATGGGCCTACACCCGAACCTCCCTCCTACTACACCATCACCCATTTAAGAGACCTCGAGTACTTGTTCTCAGTCATCAGTGCCTAGAAAATACCAAAGACTTCTCAGTCTGAATTGCTACACATATGTGAGATTTCAAACCGTTCTGTATTGAAAGGAAAGAGAAGAAGATCTCTGGGGGAGAAGCCCCCATATGTACAGGTGTGCCATCAGGGTGACCAGATAATCATACGATAATGGCGCCAGGATCCTGGTGGCCTGAGGGTGGGCTGACTGCCCTGAAGCTAAACCCATTAGCGCATTCAGCCCCGAAAGCCTCAGCCTGGTATGATATCCAACAACATATCACTTCATCCCGTCTCAAACTCTCAGTACGATTAATTTTACAACTATAAACCTCCGAGTCTCGATTCAACCAGTCAACAGATTGTGCATACCTTCCACATCAAGATGTAGTACACTGTAGCCGACATCACCTTGTTCTTAGGCCTTATCTCCACTGTGAGCGCAGTTCCCAGCGCGAACGCAAGGCGTGTAGATGCCAGTCAATTCAATCCTCGCGGAGAGTACGTGTTTGGCCCATACCCCTGGCCCAAGAATGATATCCAAACCCGCCGTCACGCCCGTCAACAGTCCATCCAAGAAAGACCCAGAGTTTGCCAGCTAACGGAGCTATAGGGGCTGTGGGGTTTATCACGTCACCCAGGACCTCTGTACCAAGGCGTGCCCGTCCAGCGGCAATTGTGTCCACATCTTTGCAGGGACTGTGTGCGAATGCGATACAACGGGCAGCGTTAGCAATACGAGCCCTTCTGGCGATGACACCGACTCCGATATGAGCGAGTTTGATAATGACAGCGACCACGACTCCCAGGACCATCCGTGGGATGTTATTTGAATGACTACTGTGGCCGACGTCAGACCATTAATGCTACCGCCTTTGTATGAATAGTAACAGGACTCGAGAATGCTGACAAGAAGCAAACGCCGCGGGAAGAGGCGCTTCAGTGCTTTTAATGTTCGGAATCACGAAACAGGGGGGTTGCAACACACTGATAGCTGATCTAAACTTTTTGGTGTATTTTAGGGCATTGGGATTTGGCTCTTCCCTGGCGGTCGAAGAGCTTAATAATACGATCAATCGCTGGTCTAAATTTGATTGTTACACTATCAACGCGATCAAGTCTGGAGTGAACCAGTTATCTCTAAAAGCGAAGTCCGCATCGTGGGGTTTTGCTTCATCGCACGAGCATTAGAAATCTCACGCCAGGAAGCTTGAGGCCGGAACTTTCATTGTTCGAGGTCTAAAGCTGTCCCATGGCGGAATTCGTGTAGATCTTGCCCTCCCCAATGTAACCGGTCAGGAGTTCGTTGTCTTCTTTGCCCCAGTGCATCGGCGTCCCGAGGAACAGCACACCCCTGAGCAAAACCCCACTGCCCTTCCGCTCTTCAGCCACGACAAGTGTCTCTAGCCTTCGAAAAGCTGAGGTCCAAGAGATATGCGTCGAGCTGGACACCGGCCGCCGAGTTCCCCATCAGAAACAGGTCAATCGATCTATAGCCGTCTCCAGTGACAGATTCTCCTTGATAGAGGTGGCGCGGTCTTGGAGAGAAACGAACAAATGGTAAGAAAGGTTGCGAACAGATATAGTATACTGTTTCGTTCTTGCAATCCAATTCTACGTTCGGTCATGCCGTGAGCCATGGCCCATGGCTTTGGCCTCCTCTTCTCCCTCCCCTGATCGGCCTCCCCGTTATCCTACCCCGTCGAGGACCGCCTCCATCGGGCAGGTAGCACTTCTCCGCGCAGTATCGAAACATGAGCCTGGGATCAAATACGGGCATGGCTGCAAGCTGTGCCTGCACCCATGTGTGACGTTCGTTGAGAGGTCTTGTCCGCCAATCGATCGGTCCATTGTTGAATGGATCTGAGAGCTGGTAGCTGTTCTCGCCGAGCCATATCTCATCAAGTAGGCTTCGGGGCACTTTAAAGTACAAGCATAAGAGCCACATCCAAGTCTTAGTCAATGCTTTGCTCCACGCGGCCACGCGTGCCTGATATCCCTAGGCGGCGTCAAGGGTATCCGAGAAGAATTGTAAGGATTCCGGATCTTGTAAAGCTCCTGGCCCGTAGCTTACCCCGGCGTCTCTGAACTTGGAGAGAGTGTATAGATCTTTGAGGTCGACTAGTTTGATCGTCTCCTCCCCCAGTGTCCCAAAGACACCCGAATGTGCGGCATTGCTCCTCGCCATGTGAAGCTCGATGATATTCAAAACGACGTAGCAATGCTTCAAACGTCCGAAGGTCATCAGATAGCCCGTTAACATAGAACCGCCGGGAAACCCAAATGCCAAATTAGAGCCATCACTCGCGCTAGGATGGATCAGCTCAGATAAACCCGCAGCTCTCTTAGCGAGCCACAGAGAGAGGCGAGTGGAGTTCCTCGCATGCTGGCAAAATCGACATCGTAGGCCCTGTACCAGTGAAGGTGCACAATATCAATGCGAGGGCGAATCCGGAGATCCATGTTGCAATTATGGGCATCCCAGTTGGGATAGTGCACACTAGCTGCGTTGGTATGCTCCCCCGTGACGCAGGCGGCGATCCCGAGTACCACTTCACGGGCCTCGCGACACACGGCAGAGATCACAGGCAGTCGTCTGTCGCGGATAGAGGTGAACTGTAGATCGCATCGCTTTGGTATGGTGCTGTGATATGTTTTTACTGGCATGTCCATTTCGACGACGCGGCGGGGAAGGCAGCATTCCCATATCATGAGTCGCAGCTCCGCCGGCAGGGCTGCGAAGTGATGGAATACTATGGTGTCTGACATTTCCCGATGGGTACATTAACAGTCACCAATGGCCACAGCAGACATAGGCTTTCGGGGGACTGATCTCGTCCCAGAGTCGAAAAACCAGAACAGCCTATTTGAAACGAAAGCTTACATGTAACCCCAAATAAAACTCATCGGCCAGCCTGATAACCAACGTCTTGACGTACCCCGCATCTACTGCAGGCACTCATGTTACGGTACCCCTCTCTCGTTGCGACATAAAGGGGGCCGTTCGGCGTAATTATGATCCAGGAATGCCCACGACAAGATGGGGGTAGCTCGAGGTGTATCGGTCGACTGCTGCGCCTCCAGCAAGTCACGCATCTCCCTCAAGGCATATCCACTAAAACCAAGAGTCCTGCTATTTGCACCTTGTTAGAATTTCTTATTTCCAACTTGTCTCCAGTGTCCACACCCCACCTGCCAGCCAATACAGCTTCCTATCTCAGCACAACTATACTAACAACTGCGCCGACAACATGACTGCGACGATAACTGCAACGACAACTGCGACGACAACTGCACCGACAACGTCAATCTAATGGTAAGCCGTAAGCTTGGCGGATAGCCCGCTGTCAGCTGTGATGGAAGTGGAAACAAGGTGCAAATAAGGAGTACTGGCAAGGTGCAAATAGCAGGACTCAAAACCAAACCATTCACCTAGCCTCAGGTCGCCACCAAAGCGATGTTATCCAGGCATCGACCGGCTGAACAACCATGTAAACACATTTCCCCCCAAACACAGACATCCATGTACCAGCGCAAGACCCTACTTACCATCGACGCCGCAAACTCTCAGTCTACCAAGCATCTTCTCTTGCTACACTGGTTCCCACCTCGAAGTGAAAACAGTATAGGATGATGCTAAACTTGATGACTCGAATGTAGTCGAATCGTCTCGGGTCTCTCTCCAAGCTCTTGGCGACGGTTGGGAGGTCCATGCCGGAGAGAGACAGGATCGCGAATTTTTTCCTCTCTGCGATGGCTTGGAACTCCTTGCTCAGGGTGGCCAAAGCCGCACCAGCGTGGCCAATCGACGACCTCTGTTGGTAGATACGCCATCTTGTTATGGCTTGGTGACTGGCCGGTTGTGGGTGCTGCTTTGGAAGGTAAGCAGGTGAGAAGCAGAGGAGGCATTGGATCATGAAGACGAAAACTGGGGTCATGGTAAATTAAACTAGATACAGAAGGGTGGGATATGCGTAAAATGTGTATACGCCAGCGCCTCCTCGATCCAGTCGATGGTATGACAGGGACAGGGATGGGGCCCAGCCAACTGTCAGTCCAGCTGGAAGCACAGTCAAGATCGCTGCCTTCGAGCTGATCGTCTGCACGGAGTTCTTCTTGTACGAGGGCCTCTTCCTCGCAGTACTGGATCTTCACATTTCCCAGATCGGGACAAGCGTTGCCTTCGAGATGGCATAGATATGCCATGTGCCGGGACATACTGACAGTGACATCTTCGTTTGAAGAGGACTGCAAGCATCCCCGATGCAGCACATCACTGCCCGTGCGGTCATCGCAATCCTTGAAGAATTGTCGTAACCCACGATACTAACTAACGCCAACCGTGTCAGATTGGATCAATCAACAAGACAACAAAGCGATCAGGGGGTAGTGACCGAGCTGGGGAGTTGCGGTGCGAAGCCAAGTGGACTTCTTTGAGGTGTAGATTAAGCATCAGCTTGGGCTTGGTTCCCTGAGACTAGTGTTTAAGCGGACCTCGTCCAGTTCCATCTTGACCTCGCGGAGGCTGGCGAGGGATTACTGAGGCAAGCATTCCATTTCCCACAGTCGCTACGACACCATCCAGATTCTTCATGTCGACGTTGCCTATGTATGGGCTACCTGCTTTGCCACCCGTCTTAACGTCCATGATGCGGTCTATGTTGCCAACGGTGTTGCTTATACCACGAGGACCGAGCAGAGGGCCGCCCACTCCAACATTGCCACGGGTCCGGGCTTCTGCAACTTCAGGGAACGATCCGCAGGTATTGACGGAACCACCGTTCCAAGGAAGGGCAGCCACAAGACCTTGTTCGATAATCAACTTGGCCATGATCTCGTCGGCAACCATGAGACAACCCCAGAGAGCTGTGATCGTACCTCGGTTTGCACAACGCCCAGTCCACCTCGCCGGAGTCTCCGATCAGTACCATCCCCCCCCCCCCCCCCACATCTCGTACACCCCCACATCTCGTACAGCCAAACCCCACCAACACCACCAAAACACCCCCTTATTCACCCACATGTAAAGAAGTCATTCAGGTCAGGGAAATTCAACGAAATTATCATTCGAGAGCGCAGAAGCTCTTCATTCGTAATATCTAGTGGGCGCCCGAATGGATCGCCCCGAACGTGTCTGTCTAGGCTCCTGTATGGCCTCCAAAGCGGCCTCTTCAGCCGAGTCTTCGTCTTCTTCTTCTTCTTCCTCGTCATTATCAACCACAATGTCTGGTACATTCGCAGAGGCACCAGGGGTGATATTACCACCCGTACTTAATACCTCCGTGACTGTTCTGAACTTCTTGTTAAGATTAGGGATCTTCTGGCGCTTCTTTGGCCGTAGCCGCTCCAGTTCAGCCTCCAGGGTCTTGATCTTCCTGTCCTTGATAACAAGGTCAGTCTCTTTAGCCTCGAACGCAGTGGATATCTTCCTGTACTTCAGCTGGGTGCCAGGAGACTTATTTTTGCTGAAATCCATGATCTGGCGGCTCGTAGTAGGGGTCCGTTGGTCCTATGGTTCAGAGCTTTCAGGGGTCTCAGGCTCAGGGGTCTTCTGCTTCTCTTCCTGGATTTCTGGATGCGCTAAGCACTTCCTGCGGCTGATAGGATAACATCCAGTCGTTCTGAAGCCAGAGAGGATGTTTGCCTTAGTAAAAGCAGTAGTTCTGGCCTGGCTATAGCACCGAATGAAGTTGATCTTGTCAACAGGCGATGCATCTGTCAGAGAATTTAGCTGAGAGAGGAATTTCTGGTAGTGAGCCTTCAAGGCGTTATAGGGCCCGTTATCTAGGGGTTGCATGCCGTGACTAGTGTGCGCAGGGAAGAAACAGAGCAATATGTTGGCGAAATAACAAATGGTAATGAATTCGTCCTTATAATACAAGATAATCCTTATTAAATAAGGAAAAAATAAAGGAAGTATATATAAAATAAGGAAAAATCATATACGTACGGAGGTGTGGCTACCATGGCCATCTAGTATCAAAAGAACAGGCTCAGCCTGATCTTCTCCTTGTATCTTGTCTACCTGCGGGATGAAGACATCTTCTAGCCACTGGCAGGTTATGTTATTCAAAGTCCAGCCGTTTTCTGAGCATATGAAATGCCAATTAGCGGTCTTTCGAAACTCCTCAATAAACCACTGGGCCTGGAGGTCCTTCCCCTTGAAGATAATATCTGATTTAAGGATTTTTCCAGTTGCAGAGATGGCCTCGATAAAGGAGGTCCAGTTACGGCTCTGGGGGCTCTTCAAGAAGGCCTTCTTAGTAACAGAACTACCTAAAACCAGAGAATCGATGCCTATAAAGCTAATTAGAAGTTTTACGGATTTAAAGGGGTAGTTATAGTCACCAAAACCCGCCATAATACCGCCCTTATCGATATTATACGTGTTTTCTGGCTTGACCCAGCCGTAATCCTCTAGGATTTCAAAGAACCAGTCAACTGCCTTCGGCTTGAAGCCCTTAAAGCGCGCTGATTCCATCCTTTCGCCAACTTTGGCTTTTATTTGTGGGTTATGGCGCTTGAAGCCGGTCATGAAGTGGTCTCCAAGGGGGCCTGAATCTCCGTCTTTTTCAACACCTTCACGATAATCTCACACACCAGGGAGTGCAAAGGGGCTAGTCCTAGCTTCTCTTGACGCAAAATGTAGTTGACTATAGTGCTTTCTTGAGCAAGAGAGAGTCTTTGTTGGTATATATGGCCTTCGCCTTTTAAGGGCTTGCCATTAAGTCGGTCAGAAAGCGTTGTGACAGGGACGCCGTGTTTTTGAGCGCTTTTTTGCAGCGAGAGGCCCTCATCCGTGATATCTAAGATGGCATTCGCCATCTGATCCTCCGTATACGGTTTGGGAGGCATTTTAGGCGGCTATACGATGCTGCGGTGCATACAGAACAAGGCTTCAGACGAGGCTCCAGTACCTGAAAATCTCTATTCGGGGTAGGAAACGGGTAATAGACAGCCAATCACGTACGCTGCGCGGGGTAAATTCTACATTGGATTAAACCTTAAGATCGGGGCTATCTAGAGCACTAAATAAATTCTGAACAGCTTCAATATTGGGCTGAAAGCGTATAAGTGAACATATAGGGTTTAGGTGGTGGTGGTGGGGTTTTGCTGTACGAGATGTGGGGGTGTCCGAGATGTAGGGGGGGGGAATGGTAGGAGCTCGAAGAGGTAACCGTATCTGGCCAGAGATTGGTTAGAATTGTGTCACAGTTCGACTGCTGCTGACTCCAGAAATGACTTTGTTGATGTAAGTGAAGAGGAAAGGAAACTATGAAGCTAGCTAGGAGACAGGAGCAGGTATATAAGGGATGACCCCTGGAGCTGTGGGGTTGTCATTGTGACAATCAGGCCTGCAGCTGCGCTGGTCAGGGCTGATGGAATGAAATATCTAGATTCAACGAGATCTAAGGAAGAAGAGGCACGGTCAGAAGAGAAAGGGGAAGCTAGAGGTATATATGTACATAAATATGTGGAGGTATTATGTAATACCGTAACAGTCATCTAGTGCCGTGACAGACTGCGAGGCTGACCAAAAACCTAGCACTCCTGGGAGCCACCGCCACCACCACTCATCTGGGGAGCACCACGGCTCTGGGGACAGTCACGGCTGACTGTGGCCACTCTGACCGCATCAGAAGCAGGTTTTTGTGTCCTTGGGACCATCGGGGCAGTCACGACCTGTTAACGGCGGGGGCATATAAATGGGACAGCCCCATATATAGGACAGTTTTCCCACCAAAATCTCATTATTACAATTCGTATAACTCGGTCAGTATTAACAGCACGATAATATGATTTGAACAAGAATATTTGCCTCTTTTTTCTCTTTCTTAACGTCTAGCTGCTTAATGTAATCTATGCTGGATATAAAGTTAGATAGCACGGAGTTTTACCCTTACTAAATTTTACCTTCCGGGCTGCTGTAAGTCGGGTTTTCCTGACCCTTTGGTAGGAACAAGGCATAGTCAGGCTTCTAACAATCATAGCGGCCTAAACTGCTGGTATACCCCTAATAAACCCAAAATCAAAAGAAACACCAAGAAAAGGCGATTCGAATGCATTACTCACATCATCTAGAGCTTTTATTCCGATAGAGTTATTTGTAAGTGCAACTGTAGTCTTTTGGTGTAAAAACTGTCCCATATATGGGGCTGTCCCATTTATATGCCCCCGCCGTTACAGACTGTCAGTAAAAGCCACGGAGGGTTGCCTCATTGCGAGGTCAAAGGGCGAGCGGCGTACTAACCCAGACCAGTAAACGGATCATCACCCGTTGGTAGTAGCTGGAAGCTACCTGCCGTTAGCTACATGGAAGAATCAAAGACCATGGTTATGATACTTACCACCGGTGCCATCGGCCTGCGGGGGCATCCATTGAGCACCACCCATAGCACCACCCATGCCGCTATGGTGGGGGACCGGAGGAGGCTGCATCATCTGCGGCTGTCCACCGAACTGGTTGTTGTACTGGGGACCTTGGTGTCTACTATTTGGTAATTAGTAGTGCGTTTAGTGATGGAAGCATATTATTCATACCGGTTCTTAGGAGTGGCCGGCAAAACACGCATGGGTCGGCTGCCGCAGTAGACTCCCTGTATTTAGTTAAGGTGTCTGATCATGGTCCATCTCCTCGTTGCCACCCAGTACAGCATGCAGGGCCATGCTCCATGGCCGCCAAAAACACCAGTTGCTCTGCGCTAGGGCCGGTCCCATCTCGTCCGGAGCAGCATGAGGATGCTTTCCGACAATGATGATAGTGAGCCGCGGGAGCCTGCTGCTAGTCCTGTTCGTCGGAGAACCGTACGGACCTATATCCGCGCGATTTCCCGGTAAGTCATCCACCGGCTAGCAAGTTTTGCTCAAGCAGGTGCAACACTTTGGCGTTGACCTTTTTGTGGGGCGGCCCTTGTGCTGTGCTTCTCACGCAAGTGACGGACCCAGTTGTTGCCCTTTACGATCATGTAGGCGCAGTCCTCGCTGTGGCGGCAAGGAATGGGAGGTGAAATCTCCGCTCTCATGCGGGCATGCTTGGAGTTCGGATCGTGGATGTGGTTCTAATGGGTGCTCAAGTTGCCATCGGTGGTCTTCAGCTTGGAATCGTAGTCGGTGCACGGAAGGATTCCTCCTTGTTGTCGGTGCCGTGCTCTAGCATGACCTCGCAGTAGTAGCTGCGACCAGCCGCCCGAGCAGCCCAATGTAGGGCAGTGTCTCCATCTCACTGCTGTGTTGCCACAAATTGTTTGGCAAGATCGGGCCGGTAGGCCGTAAAGTGTGCCATGATACGGTCAGCCATTACTGTGTCAATGTAGTATCGTTGGTGGTGTCTGTGAATACGTCAGTGAGTTGCAATTGCAGACGACCTCGTTCCTGCCAGTTGGGAATGGAAAAAGAAGACGTACCTTGGTATGTATCAGGAACGCAAAGCTTTGCGTTGGAGAGGAGGTTCTCTCCAGAAAAGGACTCTTTATCTGGAAACGGTGAGGGCGCCGCGATGCAGTGATCGTGGTTGTTTTGTGAAGGATTATATGGATGGCAAAAAGGACGCCAATGCCGAATAGAGAATCGCATGAATAGCGAATAGCAATGGTGCAAATAAAGGTTTTTTCCAAGGTGCAAATAGTAGGACTCAATAGGAATTGAAATGAAAAGGCAGTGCCTAGTCAAAGGTTGTAGGTGGAAAGAAAATCAAGAGAGAAATTGTAAGGTCGGCACAAGTTCAATTGTAGGTGACACTGCAGGTTTTTGCTAATATTCAGCCGAGCCGAATTGTGTGGCCAAGTGCTCGCTAAGCGATCTCGCTGCCGCCTGACGAGCAATGAGGCATCCAGGGACAATGGCTCCAGATACAGCTTAGCGCTGCACCATAGACGACTTGAGTCACCATTACAAAGGCGAATCAACTTAGGTACAGCCAGATTAGCAGCAGTGGACACTCACGCAGACCGATAACAGCAATACGTTTAGAAGCTCAATGTGTTTTAGGCTTGCAAGACTTCATGTTAAAAGTCCAAGATCAAGGCCCCTAATGAAAGGGGTTGGTACTTTGCAGGCTCAACGCAGTGCATTCATGCTGTCGTTCAGCGACTGTCAATGATCACATCAGTTCAGTCTGAGCACACGAATGATCGGGGTTACCCTTGATTGACATTCTCATCCTACCTAGACTCGCCCAATACATGTAGATATGTGCTATAAAGAACAACCTGCTATGTGCAATGGGTTCTCCAGATTGGTCCTGGACAGGACGAGAGGCATGCGGCAAGATTCTGAGACTTAAGCAAAGTGAACATGTGACCACTCGTCGCCTTTGCAGTGGCCTTGAAAGCGCTTATGCTCTAGTCCATCCCACGATAGCGGACCAGCCCCAAGTCCAAAGATAGCCAGCCATTGCGTATTGCATCATAGATCATAGAGTAAGATACCTAGAGGCCTACGCTCATCTGAAGGTGAGCTAGAGCAGTGTTTAAGCTCAGGTAAGTAGAGAAGCCTTGACTCTGGCACCAGGTGAGTGCCTTCCTCCGTTAGATGTAGTGAGTTGTCGACTACAACCTGCACTATATATGGCAATATGCTACACTTTAAGACCATTAACATCATAATTAAGGCTTGGAATTTAAGCGTACCATTCCAATGTGCTGTGTCAATCTCAAACATGATTTGGAATGAGACCGACTTGGGGGTCTGTGGAAGCGAGATAGAAGACAGCTGGATGTCCCACTGAATCCCACAACATGCATGCGAGTCTCGGACAGATGCAAGATGAGCTGTGCACCACCTCTAAAGCTCATGATGTCAAGATTTATAGACGTGCGTTTGCCAGAGAGTGAGACGCAGAAGCAGTTTCTCCGATGGGCAGGTCATCATTAGGGGGTGGTGTTGAATGGCATGCAAGCCACCGTGGCGCCAGGGAGGGGGCAGTGCACTGTAGCAGGGGCCATTAGCTTGAGGGCATTTGGGCACCAAGGCCACATCACAGATCTTTAGAACAACACATCCAGCACCGAATACACAAACAACCACCATTTGAACCATCTACGCATTGTTTGACAGGCCATGATGGTGTGGGCCGGGGCTTTGGGAGTGGAGCTAGGGCCAACCAGACTTCGTGCAGCCTGATGACCTGCGGTGTTTTGGGGGCTTCGGCCAATGCGACCGTGGGCCGGACCGGCACGCAGCACCTGATTGCGTTCATCCACTTGCACGATTGCGCAGACCTGGAGGACAAAGCCTGTTGAGCCTGTTTTGACCCGGTGCAGGTATTGCAAGAGACTTGCTGAACGGACTGAGATCCGTCAGCCCGGTGGTAGGGACGACTTACAAATGCGCGGAGGCATCCAAGATTGCTGCAGCGAGTGAGGTGCTGGAGCCGTCGGGAATGTGCGGAGCCAGCCCGTTTGGAGTCGCGACAGAGCCACCGGTTGACGCACGTGTTGAAAGCATGATAGAGAATACCCAGGTGTGTGATTGGGAATGCCCAACTTGGGACCTATGTGTCTTTACTGTTCACCAGGGGAAGACTATTGCAGTCGTTTTTTGATGACCAAGAACCTGCATTCAACTCAAAGCGTTTCTCAATATGCCTTTGCATCGTTAAGCCACCCACATTGGCTATCAGCCATAGACTGTAGCCTACCTCATAGAATCTGATGGATCATAACGCCCGGCATTGAAAACGGTTCGTGCAGTTCATCATAGAGCTGGAAATCGAACATGATATCCAGTGACTTCAATGGCGACTCCTGGTCAGTGGTCCTTTATTCTCTTCACTGGGCTTGTCCCTCCACCCTTGAGCCCTCGGAGCTGCACAATCTAGGTTTTCTTGCCTAGTCTACTCCACTTGAACTAGAAGAGCGAAGCAACGCCTTTATAAACCAATGGAAAACTACCCCCTCTATCTATTAATGGAAAGCCACCCATCCGAATTGGTGTAGGGGTTAACATTTCACGCTCTCATCTCACCATGAGTGTACCGTGGAGCCCGGGGTTCGATTCCCCGATTCGGAGCTTTTTTCTTTGCATTACAGTCGTCCGACCACGTGGATATCAATCCCGACTGCATTCTCGGTGTGTGGATTTTTTGTTGTTGTTGTTGCCGCCCTTGACATTGAAGCAGCATTGCCCCTGTCCTCCATTGCGCTGCTATTGTGTATGGCTTCGAGGAGTCGGGGTTGGAGAGAAGCAGTCAATCAATCGGTCTAGATGTGTAGTTGGAGCCGCGGGACTAGCCTGTTGGGACCTCCAACACGTTAGGTATCTTCAGGGGGTTTATCCCGGTTATGAGGGGCTCGCAGTCCAGTCGCCCGCAGGCTCATCCGAGTCTTTGAAGAGGACCGTCATAATTATCGAAGTAATAAAGCAATACGGCATAGGCTTGGGGGTAAATGTATACATACAACCAGTGCAACAACATCAAAGAACACCTCATCTATCCAGGACCCGAGACCATATCCTCACAGTGCTTGTACAGCTTGCGATTCGGCATATCCTATGGCATCGGCGTAGCTCCGGGCCCGGTCCGCGGGGTGTAGTTGCGGGTTCGGCATCCCAGGATGTAGGTTGGGAAGTCGCGTGAAGTTAATCCACCCAACGGTTCCGTACTTACTTTTCGCTGCACATATACCGGGCTGCTATTAGGGGTCATATCGATTTAATCGCATCTCCAGTATCGCACCCTGTATTTCCGCCCTGTGTTCATCGCTCGATCATAACCCACTGTTACCGGTATGATCACCTGTTCGAACCAGAAGTAACGTCGCGATGACGTCCGCTGTATTCAAATTACCAGGTGTTGCGTTCATCACGGGAGCAGGCGGCACTGGTGAGAATACGGTATCCCAATCATCCAGTCTCGTGCACTGATACGAATTTCTAGGTATCGGGGTAGCTGTCGCGAAAGCCTTCGCACGGTCGGGGTGCTCAAGACTAGCCATCACGGATATCAAGTCACTGGCGCAGACCCGCGATGCCGTATTGGCCATCAGCCCCAAAGCACAAGTCCTGTCGCGTGAGGGCGACATCGCCGACGAGTCCTTCGTGACATCGTTCGCTGCAGATATCACGAACAAGTTCTCCCGGCTGGACTATGCCGTCAGCTGTGCAGGTGTGTTGGGCGAGTCCCTCCGTTCACACGAGACGCCGATGTCTGCGTTTGACCGGGTCACGAATGTCAATTACAAGCGGACCTGGCTCTCATCCCGGGCTGCGCTGTCGCAGATGGTCAAGCAGGAGCCTCTGGATGGCTCGAAGCAGAGGGGTGCGGTCGTGAATATTGCGAGCCAGCTGGGAATCGTCGCGAGACCAACAGCCGGTGAGTCTTCAAAGTCTGAGCCGCCTCCCGTGGACAATTGCTTGCATTGGGAAGCACCGTATTGCGCCTCGAAAGCTGCGATCGTTAACATGACGCGGTCCGACGCCATTGATTACTCGCGCGACGGGATTAGGGTGAACTGCGTATGCCCAGGTGTCATAGAGACTCCAATGACGACTGGCTCGCCAGAGGTCACAGAGAGACTGAGGCCGGCAATTGCCATTGCGCCTATGCAGAGGATGGGAACGGCAGATGAGGTCGCGGATGCTGCGTTGTTCTTGTGCTCGAGCCAGTCGAGCTTCATCCAGGGCCATGCGTTGGTTGTAGATGGCGGGTATATTATAAACTAGCTATGCCTAATGTCACGTCTGCTATGGCTCTGCTGCGTGCGACTTTCGCTGTCTTAATGAAGGCGATGGTGTTTTTCGTGGAGGACATCGTTTTGGTGTGCTTGTTTGGAAGCACCTGGACGTGAGACACTTCATGATCCCCCTTGAACCATGTCATCCAGATGATGTTTGTGCACGTACGATGCTATCTCAAAGTTCCCAACCAAGATGCAGTCGACTTATAGGCGCATGATGTCCAAGACGGCAACGTAGCCCGATGCTCCCCACATGTCCGGCCCGCATCGTTATGACATAACGATCCCGTGCGGGGTCACAGTTTATGAATTACGGGCGCGAGTATCTCGAGCTCATAAGTTTACAATCCTGTGCCATTTCTGGTAGTGAGATTCAGAATGGGCAAGAAGCGCGTGCTCATCAGCTACGGCGTTGACGTGGACGCAGTTGCGGGCTGGCTGGGCTCGTACGGCGGGGATGAGTCGACGAGCGACATAAGCAGAGGCGAGTCCGAGCCACGCCCGACACTTCCCTAAGAGGTCCTCAATGCGCTGACCGACTGATATAGGTCTGTTTGCTGGAACGATCGGCGTCCAGCGACTGCTCAAAATGTTCAAGAAATACGACATGAAAACGACGTGGTTCATCCCCGGGCACAGTCTCGAGACCTTCCCAGAAGACATGACGGCTGTCCGTGATGCGGGGCACGAGATCGGTCTGCACGGCTACTCACATGGCATGTATAAAAACATCCCTATTTCAGACCCCAAGTCCCCGGGTTTCGGAATACACTTGAACCTTCTGCTAACTTCTCGGCAGTAAGTAATTCTGCTAGGCGATTCCAGAAACATAGGGTACGGTAACTAACCTGGGATGTTTTCATACACTAGGAGAACCCGTCCGACATGACGGTCGAGCAGCAGCGGGATGTGCTGGACAAGACGTATAAGATGCTCACAGATCTCATCGGCAAGCCTCCGCGCGGAAGTGTGGCGCCCTGGTGGGAATGCAGCAAAGAGGGAGGCCAGCTGCTGCTGGATTACGGCATCGAATATGACCACAGTATGAGTCATCACGACTGCCAGCCCTACTACCTGCGGATCGGAGATACGTGGACCAAGATCGACTACACCCAGAAGGCAGAGACGTGGATGAAGCCGCTCGTCAAGGGCCAGGAGACAGGTCTTGTCGAAATTCCTGCCAGTTGGTATTTGGATGATCTGCCGCCGATGATGTTTATCAAGAATGCGACCAACAGTCACGGTTTCGTCAATCCGCGAGATATCGAGGATATTTGGAGAGACCAGTTCGACTACTGTTACCGGGAATATGACGACTTCATCTTTCCCATCACCATTCATCCTGATGTTTCTGGTCGGCCCCAGGTTTTGATGATGCACGAGAGGTATGTCGTCACCTGAATGCCTCCTTTCTCCATGTTCCCCTTCCATCACGGGTGAAAGGGACTGACGCGGACGATCCAGACTCATTGAGTACTTCAAGAAGCACGAGGGTGTCGAATTTGTTACGATGGAGCAGATATGTGACGACTTTAAGGGGAAAAACTCTCCGTCACCCAATGCTATTATGCCAGCGAAAGCCGGCGCAATGCTTCAGACGTGAGAGAGTATGTTATTTGTAGCATTCAAGCATGTAAATATTTTGTCACACCTTATCTGTGGGTTTACGATCCTCAACACTACCGCAGGGAAGACCCCCCCTGAAACGACCGTGTACTACCTGAACTGGCTGATGGTTGACGATTGGTGAAGTTCAGTTCGGCGTTCTCTTGTGAGACCAGCAGAAACCCATCCTAGGTGGGTAGCCTGACGGGAGTCAGTGAGGTATATTATGCGATCACCAGAAGGAGCAGAGATATGCTGCGTGTAGTCGTGATTACCAGCGTCTGTTTTCCACGCTTCCCAGTCCAATCTTCGTTAATAGACTCTAAGAATATGCGCCAATTGATTATCATGTGTCCATTAGATCCAATCTCGTCCCTATGATTCATAATATCGATATCGAAACACGGCGAGTTTAGTACTCCGGGAGCCAGAGTGCATGTTACTTATTCTTTTGCTTCCGATCTCACGTAGAGCGAGTTCGAGCAAGCCACGGCGGGCGCGAAGTCGGCGTCCAGAGGCGCATCGGGGTCGACAAGGCTCATCTGCACCAGCTGTTAGCAACACCGCACACTACACATTCCCACCTCCCAATCGTGTACCCGACACCTTCACGTACCTGAAACTTCACGACCAGGGCGGGTATGACCTTCTTCATCTGCATGACCGCAATATTCTGGCCCAGACAGCTGCGCCGTCCCCGACTGAACCCCATGTGCGCCGCCTCCATCAGGCGCAGCGCCTCGCGGTCGGGCGTGAGCCAGCGCTCCGGGCGGAAGACACCCGCGTCCTCACCGTATAACTTGGTGTTGCGGTGGATGGCCGACGGGAAGCAGCCGACGCTGGTGCCGGCGGGGAAGAACATGCCGGCGATGGTGACGCCGCCGTCCGGCACCAGCCGCTCCATCGGCCACGTCGCCGACGAGAAGACGCGCATGCTCTCCTTGATGACGGCGGTGAGGTACGGCAGCTAGCTCACCGCCGCGAAGCTGGGGATCTCCGGCAGTTTGGCGCCCGCTAGCTCCTGTTCTAGCTTGTACATCGCGTCGGAGTTCTTCAGGAGGAAGTACAGCGCCGACGTGACCGACGCCGCTGTCGTGTCGCCCGCGTCTGAGATCGTCGACATCAGCATCCCCACCACGCCCGTCGTGTCCAGCGTCTGCGGGTTCGCCCTGCTGGCCGCGAGGAAGCTGCAGGAGGTCCGCGTGCTCGCTGCCGCCGCCGTCCTTCTTCTCCTGCGCGGCCGCCCTTGCGCGCAGCTTCCCCGCCGCCGCCGCCGCCATGCCCGACGGCGCGCGCGGGTTGCGGTACAGCAGGCGCTCCAAGCCCGGCAGCGACGACCAGCGGCCCCAGTGCGTGAAGCGGTCGCGGATCAGCTGGATCGAACCACCGACGTCGACCTCGGCCGCGAGGCACCCGATGGGCTCGCCGAAGCTGAAGCGGCCCGCCGCGTCCATCTTGTAGAATAATATCGTATTCGCCAGGTCGAACGGCGTCGTCTTCTTCTTCCTGCCGATCACATCGAGCAGCTCGGCGATGGTCGCGTCGATCCACTTCTCGTAGTCCAGCGACGCGGTGGGCGTGAAGGCGTTCGCGACGGAGCGCCGAAGGGCGCCGTGGCGGGCCTCGTCGGCGGTGCTGACGAGATTCGGCACTTCTTTGCCGTTGGAGATTCCCACCAGGACCTTGTACGAATCCGCCTGTGCCGCTCGTCAGTCAAGCGTTTCCGGCGCATCCACCGGCATCCTCTACCTACCGTGATGAAGCCTGCTCGGCTGCCGTAGACGACATTGATGACCTCGGGGTCGCTGATACTGATGCTGCGGACTCCATAGCGCACAATGGGTCCGTACCGAGCGTGCAGCTCTATGAGCTTGGTTCTCAATTGCCCATTGCGCTGTTGGTAGGCTGGCCAGAGGTCGGTGGTACCGGCGAGGACCGGAGAAGGGGCCTTGCTCAGCTTCAGCCAGTTGGTTATCAGCCAGGTGCAGAGCAGTCCCAGTAGTAGGAGCGACAGCAAGGCGTATGATGTAGCCATCTTAAATGTTTCTGATCCTTGCTTGTTGGGTCTTCTTCGGGCGAAAGAAGAGGAGCGAAACGTGGTATTCGTGTTATAGTCTTGCATATGTACACAAATGCCTGCTTCGCCGCACCTATTGTATTTTGTGTAAGCACTAACTTAGTTCAGTGATCCTCTATCATCACCAACAACGTCAGATCCCGATTGTCGCGACAATCTGACATTGTGTACAGAGTAGGTAGCCAATCACAGTGATTTCAGATGCCCCGGGGCCAATCACTTGGGTATCATTGGCCACTGAATAGGGCGTAGACTCGATCCCTTGCTTTCGCATCCCACGAGGCCGGTGGTGTGCATGTCGTCGCCAAGCTGTACCAGGACCGGAGGATGCGGATGGCCGCTCCACCTGATTGTGCCTGTCGATGACGACAATGTTAACGAGCCTGGAAGTCTTCAACTCCTTTTTTGCCATTCGGAAAGGTGGTTCGACCAAGTCAGGGGTGTGTCAGGGGTATGTACAATGCCAATTTGTGACTGCAGAATGTTTACCCGCAGCAAATCGTTTTGCTTTGTCGGGATCGGTTGAGAAATCACGATCCATTCCCAAGAGAACGATATCAAACATGTCCAATATTGGGAACGGAGAAACATCTGGTTAATTGTCCGGATTGTCTGTCTATTCCTGGATCACGATTTTCTCTAGGCTCCCCTATCCATGGCCCCGCAAGGATTGGACATCCAGGCATTCTGATAGGGCTATTAGTTCTACCCTTGTTTACCAAGTGGACCCAGGCATAGGAAGCACGGAGGATCAGACGATGAGACGATCAGACGATCAATCGTCAAGCCTAGCCCTCCACGAAAACATCGATTCAACAATGTGATTTGACGGCTAGCAGGCTATGAGCTATTCGCTCCCTACCTCGCTGGGTGCTCTTGCTGGACCACTCGAGCTTTTGAATATTCGCGTCTGCTTCCACTCCTCGGGTCCGTATGAATACACCGGGTCGACGTCTGGATCCCAGCCGTTCGGTAATGACAGGCCTAGCAGGATCACTTACGGCCCACCACGGGCACAGCGGGGCCGCGTTTGGGGACAGGGGAGCGGAACAGATGGGACGACACCGCGCCAGCCCGCAGATAGATGAATCCTCCCCCGCAGGCTTGTTTATTCGGCACGCTAGACACGGAATATCTTCCTGTGTCACATGAGATGACATCCATCAGCACCAGGTCAGGCGGTTCTGGCGACAACGTTCCCGTCCTCCCATGCCTGGCCCCTTCCGATGGCAGATGATTCGTACTGCGAATCGCGATACCAAGAGTTATGGTCCCTGTTCGGCAGACATCCACCAGGCCCTGCAGGAAGTGAGCGAGAGGCCCTAATATGTCCTCAATCCGTTACGGTTATGGGTTCGTGAAGGGGTAGACGGAAATACACGCCTATTTCACCACACATCCGATGTCATGGTGGACATCAAACGCGTGTCTACCCAAAGGATGCATCCCGATGTCTGGATCAGACTGCAGTATATATGCCTGCTTCGCTCCTCCCATGGCCCGAATCATAAGTTCTTCACTACGATACAGGTTCCCTTCCTACCACCCTCTTTCACACCTTCAGCGTTGATCCGCATCCATTCTTTCGTGCCTTGACGGTACTTCCCATTCCTTTTTACTTTATCCCTTAGGATCAACCTTCCAGAACACACCAGTCGTCATGTTTAAGTCACTTGCCATCTGGCTGGCATCAGCCTTGACTGTCTCAGCAGCAGGAGCTTTGAACTACACGGACGACAACACTGGCATATCATTTTCTGGCTATTTCGACGGTGAGGGGTACACCATTGGCCTGGCCATGCCCGAGAACCCCTCCACCGACCTCATCGCTCAAATCGTCAGCCCCTTGAAGGACGGCGAAGGATGGGGCGGCTTCGACTTCGGGGTCTCCATGGCGGGTTATCTTCTCATCGTTGCCTGGCCCAATGGTGACGATGTCGTCCTTTCACCTCGGATGGCCACCGGCTATACTACGCCCTCGGCCTACACCGGGAACGTGACCTTGACACCCATTGCTGACGGAACATTTATCAACTCAACCCATCTTTCAGCGACGTTTCTGTGCGCTGGCTGCATTACTGGCAACTCTGACAGCTTCTCGGCCAACGAAACTAATGCGGTTTTTGCATACGCATATTCTACCACCGCTGTGACGGATCCAACTGACTCCTCCACTGAGTTGTCCTACCACACGGCAGGGTACTCTGCCTTCGGCATGACACTGGCTTATGCCAAGTCGGCCGACTATGATACATGGGCTGCAATGGCGAAGACCACCACCACCACACCAAGCGGCAACACCACCATTCCCAGCAACAGCACAACTCCCGGCAGCACTGCCACTCCCTCACCGACAAGCCAGCCGACGACGATCTCTAATGTTACTTACGACTACATCATCGGCGGAGGAGGTGCAGCTGGCCTTGTGGTTGCCGGCCGACTCGCCGAGACCGGAGCCTCTGTCCTCCTTCTGGAACGTGGTGGGCCTTCTACCGTCGCCACTGGCAGCGACGAGGCGGTCTCGTGGAACAGCTCCATAACACCCTACGATATCCCAGCGATGGACTACTACTTGGCGAGCTCCGGCGTATCCAGCCCCTACTGCACGGACACGGCGTCGATGGCCGGATGCGTCTTGGGTGGAGGTGGTGCAGTCAATGCCATGATGTATGTAAAGCCGCAAGACGTCGACTTCAATGACAAGTGGCCCGCCGGCTGGAAGGCCGACGACGTTCGCAAGGCATCGGACCGCTTCTTCAGCCGGAACCCTGGCTCAGACATGCCGTCCGCAGATCACAAGCGATACGACCAGGGCACCTACAACTTGCTGTCGTCGTTCTTGGGAAAGGACGGTTTCAGCCCCGTCAAGCCGCTCGAAGAGCCCAACAGGAAGGTCGACGTCTTCGCACACCCTCCATGGCTCGTGGAGAACGGCCTGCGCGGAGGACCAGTCAAGACGTACCTGCCGCAGGTGCAGGGCTTGAGCAATTTCAAACTATCAATGAACACCAACGTCATCCGCGCCGTTCGCAACGGAACTTGGGTTTCGGGAGTCGAGGTAGAGAAGCAGGACGGAACGCATGAGATCATCAGGGTCACCCCTAACAGCGGTAAAGTCATCCTCGCCGCTGGTACCATGTCAACGCCTCGCATTCTCTTCTACAGTGGCATTGGCCCAGCAGACCAGCTCAAGGCCGTTCCTTCGACTGTCAAGATGCTGTCGCCGAGCCAGTGGATCGACCTGCCGGTGGGCGAGGGGGTGAAAGACCACCCCATCATCACCGTCACCCTGGGCACCAAGAACAACGGGACTTTGACCGCCCTTGACGAGACGGCTTTCACCGCGCCCGATAACACTTCCATCTCCATGTTCGACCGAGGCTCGGGGCTCCTCACCCAGTCCGGCCAACGGCTAAACTTCTGGACCTCAGTCGTCTCGCCAAGCGATGGCAAGACCCGTTTCCTGCAGGGAACGTGCAACTCCCCGTCATCGAACATGGTCCGGATCAAGCTCTACGTGACGCACGGCCTGACCTCATCATCCAACCTCGTCCTGGACAGCACCGGCGAGCTGACGCAATTCACCCACGACCCCTGGCTGCAGACCCAAGGCGACATCGAGGCGTACGAGGGCTTCCTCGCGCGCCTGATCGCCATGGCCGGCAGGCCCGACTCGACGCTGACGCTGCAGCTCGCGGACGGCACGGACGCGCCGGCCGGGATCAACGCGACGGCGCTGCTCGCGGACCTGCGCTCGACGCTGACGCCCGGCGACCATTTCGTCGGCACGGCCAAGATGGGCCCGGACGACAGGCGTAGGGGCAATGGCACGGCGGTCGTCGACGACGATACGCGCGTCTATGGCACTGACAACCTGTTTGTCGTCGACGCCAGCATCCACCCGGACCTACCGACCGGCAATACGCAGGCCATCGTCATGGTCGCCGCCGAGCGCGCCGTAGAGAGAATCCTGGCGCTGGACGGGATGGCTGTCGGACAACCCGCTGCTGGTAACCGTACTGGCGCTGGCAAGGCTCCGGGGGTTGGGGCGAAGAGAGTGCCGTTTCGGCAGTGTCGCGGGTGTGCGAGGGGGCTGGCAGGGCGGAGGCACGCCCTGAAGGATCTTCATGACGCTTGAGTGCGGGTACAGGTGCTTGTGAGTGTGAGTGACTGTTATAGATGGCTTTGGTGTTTAGAACTACTTTCTGTATATATTTACTCTTCTGTACATTCTAGCTACTGCAGATTTCATCGCATATACCTACTATTTTCCACCCCTTGGACGGTGTCGTTACATTCATACGGCATAAATCACTCCCGAAGCAGTTGCGGTCTGTAGAATTTGTCACTTCTGGTAGTTCTGCTCACGAGGATGATAGAATCCGTGCGGCGCCAGCCGCCTCCTAATGTATATTGGAGCATTCTCGCTCCCAGTCCTTGGGGCCCTGGACAGAGGACTCCTAATCAGCCTTCTGCAACTCGACACGCTCGACGGCATACGATCTGAGCCTCTGCTTCTCCTCCTCGCTTAAAGAAGCCCACGGAGGCAGATCCGAGCTTTCGTTGCTCTCCTTCGTCTCCACGAGCTCAGCATCCCCATGAGTCCCATGCAAATCAACACACTCAAAGCTCCTCATCCCAAGGTTCGGGTAGGTCGTAAACCGGTCCAGCAACAACCCCGAGAAGTCCTGCGTCAAGAAGTGCACAAACCTACCATACGTAATAACCACAATCCGCGCATCATCGCCCGCCATGCACACCAGCCTCCGGATCTCCCAGCGCGCCTGCCGCGCGCGCTCCTCCACGAGCGCGACGTCGGGCTCCCACTGCGAGCCCTGGACCTTCCACCACCAGTGCTTGTCGAGCCCCGAGACGTCAACGCGGCACGTGAACTCGTTCTGCAGCGCCTTGACGGGCGAGCCCGTGTCGCAGTCGTGCCAGCCCGTCTCCTGCAGCTCGCCCAGCAGGATGGCTTTGTGGCCGTTGTTGAGCACTTTTTCGAAGGCGTTGACGGCGGTGCGGACGCAGCGCCACATGGGGGAGGATATCAGGTGGGTCACTTTGTTGGCGTGCGGGTAGGACCTGCGGAGCTTGTAGCACTGCTGTTCGCCGGCGTCGGTTAGGCTGGGGCCGCGCATGCTGCAAGTGCCTGGGTGTTTGTCCTCCCAGGACTCGGCGTGGCGGATTATGTCGATTATTGGTGCCATCTTATCTGGAATTTTGACTTCTTTTTGGTTGCCAGAAGCGGCGGAAGAATGGCAAACCCCTGGTTTTGGTGGTCGTCGTCGTTGAACGTGGCAGTCGGGATCTTATCATTCAAGTATGCGGCGCAGTGGTTTTCGTTTTGGAGTTTTCTTCGACATTGCAAGTGTCAAAGTATGGCAGCTGCTTGTTTATCTGACTTCATGTCTTTGTCAGGTCGGAGCGGTCCTAGATCTGATTGTCCAGATGTTGGTTGTTGCCTCCTCCTTCGTGAGTCTTTGTGCGTGACCACTGACAAAGACTGACTGCGCCATAGAAACATCTACCGACCATCCTCCAGTGACATAGAACGGAAGCTAACAATAGGTCGGATGACGCGCGCTGGGCGAAACGGTTGCAAGTCTCCATGTTCCATAGGCTTACCATGGAAGGGACTCAACTGGTTTTGACTGCGTCGTTCCAAATGCTCAATATTGGACATCCGGATATGTCTGTGATAAGTCTATGTTGTGCCGTCGTGACAGACCTTCATGTGCATATTTTTGAGGATGGGTACACTCAGCCCTCATATTGAAGTATCCATACACGCATGTTGGCAAGATTCCAGATTACCAGTGGGAAATTTGAAATATTGGAATAGGCATCAAGGAATACGGACCTAGAATTTGATATACTACTGATCATGACTGTTCGAGTTTTCTTATCACAAATTCGATAAATATACCGTTGTTTGCTGAGGCGGGTGGATCATGGTTGTGTATGATACGTTATAGGTCAGGACTTTGATTACAACACTCTACCGGTGATGCCGAAGCATGATGTTCAACCTACTGACTCAAGGCACCTCTAACATGATTCCCTATTCTGTGGCTCCTCGAAGTCTGCGGTGTTCTCACGCGAGCGGCGCCTATCAAGCCCCTTGGGCTTTGCTGGATCCTGAAGCTGTTTTATCATTATGTTCACCAACTGGCCCAGGCATGGCCCCCGTGCTCGTGACTGGTCCAGGGAGCTTCTCCTTTTCGTTGTCCCTGTCTGGATCTCCCCAGCCAGCTTGCCTGGTGAGTACTAGGTCGGGCCTGCTGTACTCACTGCTTGGCGACGTGCGGTTCAGCGGGATATGGTTGGTGCGCCAGTCGAAAACACTTCTGTACACCATTCGGTAGGCTGAGATGGCGAAAATCGTCCCGATGAAGGCTCCAGCAAGGATGTCCCACCAGTGGTGGGTGTGGTCGAGCGTGAGTGTCCCGCAGACCAAGACTGCACCCAGAAGCGGCAGAAAGAGGAGCACGAGCTTCCACATTGGGGCATGATAGTTCGCGAATACCTTCATCTTGGCGTTGAGCCACAGGAACAGATAGACGCCGCCTGTCGTGATGATTGTCGAATGGCCGCTCGGAAAACTTTGTTGTGCGTTGTAGAGTGCGTTGTTTTTGGGAACTGTGCATATGTTCGCGTTCCACATGATTCCGCCGAAGCCCGCCCCGGATGCCCCTGGCGGAATCTTTGGTTGGCAAAACTCGTAGAACTGGGGTCTGAAGCCACCGATCAACCATTTCACCATGACTTGGAAGGTAGTGGCGCATATCACGGCGTAGACGAGGCCGAGGATGCCGTTGTTGAGATCCCAAAAGTTTTGAATACGGATCTGTGCCAATAGCATAACAGCCATTGGAATGCAGACGCCCAGTACTCCAGCAACCGTTGACGGTATGATTTGTGTGCGCAGCGGGTACGCAAGGTTAGGATTAGTCAGTGTGAACGACCGACTTCCCATTGGGGGCCCTGCTCGAAATACCTGCACGGCGGAGTATCAGCACACGGAGCACCCTCCATGGAGTCAACGACTTGCCGTGGTCGCGATTGTCCCCAAGATGACCATCGTCAGAAGGTCGGGCCAGGTCATCTTCAGCCACTGCAGGAAGGTTGGCCTCTGCTCCATCGTGTACTCATCCCTGTAGACACATCGCGATGAGAAGCGTCGGAAACGGCCGGCGGGAGCGGGGTGGTTTGTTGTAGGTAGGGTAGAGACATCGCGAGAGTCTCGCGGAGGTTCGGCACTTCGATGACGTCTTGAAAAGGGCCTCATCGATGAGGTAATGCCGATGTCGATGGCTGAGGGTATGGGGCGAATCTGAGGTGAAAATAGCTAAATGTTTGTGTCTAGACTGGTGGATTGATGGAGGATAGTAAAAGTACGACTGTCTGAGGAAGTGGACGAGCAAGTTGGGTAGATTTGACCAGAAAACTGACGCAGGATGATGCACGTCATGTCTTCCTCCCTGCGACTTACAATCACTCCTCGCAGTGGTGACATCTGCGAACCGCCCTTTCCCTGAATGGGTGTTCCTGTTGGTCAGCCCAAATTGGCGAGGTAGGTAGTCACTGCCTACGGACAATATGACTGCTGTATGCGCGGATACAGTCACGCCTCATAAGTGTCCGTCCGTCATGCCTCCTGTCAACTCTTCAATATTAGTACAATGTGAGAGCAATATCCCGGATCCGATGAGTGCGTGATGAACAGTACAGCGTTGTTGTATTCAGGAAAAGGTCTATCTACTCTGTTCTGGTGTGCGATCGCTATATATGGGGGCCACGGAGCCTGTGTCACCCGACACGGCAACTGGCAGCCTCATCATGCTTACATATACAGATGGATTCTGCTCACACAATGGAATAATCGCCCTGGAATAAGCAGGTCTAATGCGATCAGCCGTATTCAATGCTTATTCCAGACTGCATATTACAGATATAATAATTACACCTTTTGCTTGATGAACCGGGGGTATGCGGAAATTTCTGGAGGCTCAGTGTAGTCATGACCCTTCACCCATTCTGATTGCGATTGAAGGTCGACGAGCCGACAGCGTTTCCAAACCATCCATCGCTCGACGGAAGAAAGACGGTTGCTCCTTTCTCAGGATCACATAGGCCACTTTTTAGCCTGCACGTTCGATATATCCCAGTTCCGTACCAAGGTATCAACAATTTCCACTGTCTTTCCTGTCCCTTCAGGGCATCAGAATTTTAGTTACTTGCGCCCAAATGAAATTGGAGAAATGCGGACTACTATGGCGCGCCATTGCAGGAGGCCCATCCAGACAATTACTGGCATGATATACCACCCTCCGGGATGATTATGGCCCGCGTGGAAGAGACAGCGCTAAGTACATTGGAAGACAACTGAACATGTGCAACCATCGCTCGGTGGTTATGTCCAAGTGCAACATACAACCATCACGATCGAGTTGCTATACAAATGGGCACTTGGTTGTGAGAAAGAGAAAGCTCCCAAGGGCTGCACGAGAAGAGGACTATGAGGGTTCACATGGGCGGGTTGCGCGTATTGTCCAATTGGTGACAGATTTACGCCGTAGAGTCAAGGACCTTAATGTCCTAGAAAGTCTCCTGCCGGGATGGGACCCTGCCGCGGTCTACTCGGGATTGGTCAAACAGCACACAGACACACAGGGATTCACACAAATTTGGTGCAAGATTTTCAAATGGTAGAGTCAATGTCCTTCCTTGATTCATGGTGTGAGAATAATCCTGAAAAGCTACGCGCAGTAATCCCTTCCGTAGATGACAGAGATATGTTCTCCGTACGCCTCCTCAGTGTGCTGTTTGGCCCTCGCGGCCTGGCAGCGCCAGCTGCCGAAGTGATACCAGACCACCGACCGTCCGCCTCCAATCTCTCCGATGTCCAGGACTGTGTCTATGTCCCCAAACATGAACGGGGCCCAGAGGGCTTCGAGGGAATGCTGAGTCGCCCCAAGGCCCTCAATCCGCAGGACCCGGCTGCGGCCGTTGGCCGGATCTTCTTTAGAACCGATTCTGTTCCATGCCACGCATCACTACAAGGTCAATGGATGCCCAAGAAAGGTCATCAGTGCGGAAGGATTGACAATCAATGTTACCGACATTGCTGTTGCTAATGAAATTAAAGCCCAAACAGGTGACAGACCTTTAAGGTGCATACTCTCAAGGAACACAGTTGATTCTGATCCGGAGACCACATGGGTGATCTCTCTGTCCCGTGCAGCAAAGAAACCATTTATGCTTTTTGCTCACTTAATAACCTCGAGGCACATTCAATACTCCCCCAAGGTTCACCAGTGTGCGAGCTGCTTCAGATACCATGATAGGAACTACCGATATGAAAAGCAAGTATATGCACATTGTGCCAGTACAGTACACCAGGGGGAGTGCAAAAAACCAATCCCAAAATGTGTTAATTGCAAAGGACCTCAAGCTGCCAATTTCGACAAATGCCCTGCACGCCCCAAGGTTGTGAAAGGCATCATCCACAAACACACATGGGAGCAAATCCAGGAAATAAGGCTAGCCGGAGAAAGAGCCAGATCCAAGGCCTTCAATAAAACAGGCAGAAACCAAGCTGGGTCAACACCCAGCAACAATAACAAAGACATCACAATGTAAATCGATACAACAGATACAACTCATCCCAGAGATACCGATACCATTGTTGCCAGTCAATGTTAGGTACATCAAATGAAACATATATGATTGATTGATTGATTGTATTTAACGTGGGGGGTAGCTCCTCAGTAGTGCAAACCACGCCTCCCAGAGCCTCTGCATCGCAGGGTTCTGGAGGTCTCAAGATAATAAGTACAGTCAGTCCCGCTCACGGGCCCATCCCCGTTGTTGCGGCGGTATGACCTTGGGGTCATCCATCTGGTCCTTCAAGAAAAGCTATCTATCGAGGGCAGATTATTGAAAAAAATTTGCTCTTCTCCATGAATTTTGCCCATTCTGTGTTCCTCTCCCTTAAGTATTATAAATAAGCTGTCCTAGGCAAGTACCTAGGCAGTAGCCGGTTTTTCCCTAGCCTCTTACAAAAGAAAATGTGTTGTAGTGTTTTCTTCTCACCATAGCTACAGTGATCATTCGAGTCTGTATGCCCAAAGCGTTCATGGTATCTGGCAAAGTTGCCATGTCCAGATCTGGCCGCTAGAAGTCTGTGTAAAGTACTTCTCTTAAAAGATATAAGGTCTCTTTTAGTTACTATATGTGAGTATACTTCTTGATATTTAGGTTCTGATTGGTCTTTCCACCATTGGTTGAACTCTTTCTTGCCCTTTTGAGATCTCTCTTGACCCAAGAGATTATAGGAAGGTTTGTTATGTCTGTTTTTAGCATGGCACCCTTTTTTGTTAGTGTGTCGGCAGCTTCGTTGCCATCAATATCTCTGTGTCCAGGAATCCATTTGACGGTCACTCCAGGAGTGTGTGCTGTGGCAAGTTCTTAAAATCATAAAAAAATATTCTGTGATGTCTCGGGTGGAGTCTCATTGAGCCCATCTACCACTGACGTGTTGTCCAGGCAGACATATAGCTGTTTTCCGTGTCCAATTGCCCTGGCTACTGCAAGACCTTGGAGAGCACCATGGACTTCAGCATCTATTACTTCTGTTTGGAGAAGTCTGCCCTTTCCCCGGTATACTTCTTGTGTAGTGCCGCCTTTCCTGATGGTATAACCCCATCCAGTACGGGTTGTGCCTTGGTTGTCCAACTGTGATCCATCTGAATAGATGACAAGGTCAGTGTTCACATTTCTCTCCTGTAGCCATTGCTTAAAGAGCTCTGTTTCTTTGTCTTTGTCTTTACGGATTGGGGGCTTCTTTCATGATGGCCTGGTAAATATTGGTCTCTGGAAGTTAAGGACTAGCTGGAAGCTTCTTTGTAGCCTTATTAGATTCTTGCGAGCTTGTATTTGGAGCCTGCCAATAAGAGGGTGTCTCTGGTCTATTCGTCCTAGTCAGAGGCCGTGACATCGTCTTATTGACTCTACAAGAACTCCTGCTGGGGGAATCTATGATTCAAAGTATAGGATATGTCCAGGGTGTATTTTCCAGACTGGCAAGATAGCCCTAATCGCCGTTCGTAGTACGGCATCTATTGTTCCAAGAAGCCCTTTAATGCGACATGCTGATGTCTCACCTAAGCTCCCAACTTTCTTGATTCCTGGGTACCAGGCCTCCAGGCCGTGTGTAAGAATAGGAATAACACAAGCTTTCACAGCCCTCTTGGTTGACTTTACTGGAAGTCCTTTGACTGTGTTGTATAGTCCTCAAAGGTGATTTGCTACCCTATTAGCTTTCTTGGCCCAGTAGGAAACATGATCTTTAAAGTTTAGTTTTTTATCCAGGAAGACACCTAGCCATCGCATGGAGTCCTTTGCTGTTTTGTTCATTGTCCTGTGGCGGACTGGAGGGTTATCTGAGTTCTTTTTTCTTGAGAAGTGCATGATCTTAGTTTTGTCAGGGTCAAATTCAATAGCGTTATTATGTCCCTATTAACTGAGCAAGTAAAGATTTTTAGAAGCCTCTGTAGCTGTTTCCTTAAGGTTCCTTCTAATGCAGAGAGTCATTAAGTCGTCTGTATATCTAAAGCGTCTCTTTTTTATACCAAGTCGGGTACAGATTGGCTCAGTATATAGCATGTAAAGGATTAGAGAGGCTGGTGAGCCTTGTGGTAGCCCACAAGTAAGAGCTTTAATATCGGTCACAATACCTTCAAACTGAACTCTTGCAGACCGCTCAGACATAAATGACTGGACCCATCTTATAAGAAAGCCCCGCCAGCCCTGTTCTCTCATGCGAACCACCAGCCGTCCCATTAGGGCAGCATCAAAGGCCCCTTTCACATCTGAGGTGACTACTGTTGCAACGAGGCCTTGGTCGAGGGCCTGCTTAATATCGTGTATGAGTGCAGCTACCAGGTCAGTGGCAGAGCGCTTTGGTAGAGCTCTAAAATGTTGTGGAGCTAGAATTCTAAGTTTGACAACAAACCAGGTAATTCTTTTCGTAATGAGTCGTTCTAGGCCTTTGCCAAGACATGACAATAGCGATATTGGTCTGTAGGCCTTGGGATTGGAGTAGTCTTCCTTTCCTGGTTTTGGGATCATCACCACCTC